CCCCCCCCCCCTTCCGAGAAAATGAGGGGAAGTGAACATGAGCCCAAGGCGTATCTTGAGGCAGCTTTACCAAATCTGCCTCGCGTATCGTAAGAGTAGAATATAACACCCTGTTCTTTGCCGAGGCAGGATATCATCTTTGTTCCCCATCTAGTACAACATTTGTTATTCGCACACTGCTCTGTTCAGCAAAAATATTGAAAAAATGGAAGCTACACAGACGTACAAGTACATGGCTCTCAGTGGACCACGAGTCATTCGGGTCTTGCGTCTCTCAGGAGGCAGCACGGACAATTTATTTGCTGAGCTCATTGAAACAAAACTTGACCATGCTTGTTCCTACGAAGCGATCTCTTATGTCTGGGGCTCGGACAACAAGTCCCATATCCTCAATTTACGAGGAGGAAGCCTCATCAAGATTACGGAATCCCTATATCATGCGCTTAAAGACACACGATATTCTGCGATCGAAGACGGACCTCGACATATCTGGGCAGATGGTGTCTGCATAAATCAGGAAGACATCAACGAGCGAAGTCAGCAAGTGGGTTTGATGGCTGAAATATACGGTTCGGCCCTCAAGGTCATCACCTACGTCGGTCAAGATACCTTAGATGTGAGGAAAGGGATCAAATTGGCTGAAACGCTGGTAGCGGCCCAGAAAGAGTCCAGAAGGTCCTCAGCGAATAAATCCAACGCCAAGCGTAGAATTCCCGGTGATACTGATCCTGCTTGGCCGGCGTTACGTGATTTTCTTGGAAGAACTTGGTATACACGAATGTGGATTATCCAAGAGTCGGTTTTGAATAAAAACGGAATAATCGTTTGTGGGAGAATCGACATTCCATGGGACCTGTTCCTCGATCTAAGCAATATGATAGCACATAGCGCGCACAAGGAATGCATTCCTATCACCCCATTTTCTGAAAAGCAGATTGGGGCATTGGGTTGGATGTCCCAGCTGAGAAACAACTACCGAAAATACCCAGAGGGAATGCCTTTATTACGGCTTCTGGTAGCTAGCCGGGACTTCAATTGCTTCGACCCCAGAGACCGCGTCTTCGCCGTTTCTTCCCTCATGGCTGAGTCCTGTCGGATCAAACCAGATTACCAAAAAACCACCAGGTGTGTGTATATTGAAGTGGCTGAACAGATACGAAAATTCCATGGCCTGGAGATACTAAGCTATGCCGGTATGTGGAAGAAACAAGATGTTCCGTCTTGGGTACCCGACTGGAGTTTCTACCCCGAGCAAATTCCCATTCATCAATCTTTGAACACGTTGTCGTTCGGTATCCCAAAATATAAGCATATACCTGCTGACCTTGAAACCAATCAACTACGCCTTTCAGGGTGCGTTTTCGATCGGATTGTTCATATTGGTGGTACTTTACGCAGGTCTTTTATAACAGGCAGGTTAGAACGCTACGAGTGGGCGCAAAAACAGTATTCACTGCTCACCCAGTATTCGCTACTCATCCAGTCTAGTACAAAATACGTTGGAGGAGGAAGCAGTCTTGAAGCATTTTGGAGAACTCTTATCTTGGACTTGGATCCTGAGAGGCGCGGGCAGCATCACAGCGCCTTGCCAACTGTCGGGGCCTATTTTGAGTCGTACGTGCGCCCAAATAAGATGTGGGCTCGCGACGAGGCGCTGGAGTCTATGAAGGAATACGGACCTGGCAGTTGGCCGAGACTACCGCAGACGCAGCCTGAAGTTATGGAAGCTTGGAAGAGGGAGTCCAGGCTGGATCCCACCGAGTGTGGTGCAGATAAAGGCGAAGATAATGTCTTCCATTCACTTCGACGAAAAGACTCCCAGTGGCAAGACCCAAGTGATCAAGGCTTAAAATACCGTGATCTCGTGCTGAAAGCCCAAAATCTCTACCGGGCATTCTTCATGACAGAGAAAGGTTACATCGGCATGAGCGCACAAGGGTTCAGATTAAACGACCTTGTCACATTTCTCCCTGGTGCTCGGGTTCCGTTTCTGCTTCGCCGAAAAAAAGAATGCTCAACATATTCCCTTGTCGGTGACTGCTACATCCACGGGATGATGAACGGGGAGATTTTGAGAGATGGGCATTGGAGTGTGTCACCCATAATCTTGGTTTAAAGCTGTGCCAGTTTTGTGTTCATTGTGTTGAGTTGTCGGGTCTGGCCTCTTCCATTGCTGTTTTTAGCTTCATACTCGAACTATCATCCGTATCCTCGAACTCAGTCTTGGTTTCGGCTGCCTTTTACTAATCTCGGCGATCAGACGCCATCGATGACACGATACAACAAATCTCCCCACAGCCCGGTCTCATCTGGATACCGACCGTCCAAACCATGTCAGCCTTAAACTTGATCCAAGTTTAAAGGGGTGTTCGTGCGCTGACCAAGTGGGACTGGCGAGTCAAGACGCCGCACTCCGCGGGTTGCGTACGAAGGCATAAGGAGTCCACGGACAGCAATGTACGCGCCCAGGGTGCAAGAAAAAGCCTTGGCGTGCATTGATGGCGCGCCTTAATGGAGGGCGAAAAATTTCCAGCGTGGAAAGCATGCCATCCGCGGCGGCCGGTGTGGACTCGGGTGGGATGGCTGCCTCACTGTCATCCGACTCTGGTTTCTCCTGCTGATGCTTCGTGCCCAACCAGGAACAGTGTCTGTATTGATTTCTGTTCCTCACTTCCGCACTCGGGCCTTCTTTTGGCATGTTGTTGATTAATATATTGCAACATTAGTGATGGGTAGTCATTGCGTCAGATATAGTGATGCATTAAAATAGTAGTACATTAAATCTCATTCATTCGTAATATCTACCTGTGCCCTTGCCCTATTCTAAAATAACCGGAGGAAACGTAAAAGAAAAAGAAAAAGAAAGGAAAGGAAGGAAGAGAGACCATTAGCTAGCCATCAGCCGCTGCCGTTGCTTTTCCACGGTCGCCATATGCTTCTCCGTGAGTGAACTGGGCAGCTCCTCCATTATACTTCTCAACCTCCGAAGCACGTGTCGCCGGGGATTACATTCTGTATGACTCCGGACCACGTCATGTAGCCTTTCCTCCCCGATGTCGTGAATGACCAGCTCTGTCAACTTGCCATAGAGGCTCAGAGTACTGTACTCGACTTCTTCGGCATCCGGTAGAGGCCAGAGCCCAGCCCTTGCGAGGCAGAAAGTCATTGATCCAAGGATCATGGACTCGCATTTGTGATGACCCATCCATTGCGCGTGGCGGCACCATCTAGGCCTCTCGTCAACCACTACCAGGGCCTCGGTCATGTCGCCGACGACTTCCAGAAGCGATCGGGTGGTTTGGGTGCGGATCGCATCTATGCGCTCTAAAATGGGATTGTTAGCTTGTCAAATGTATGCATCGAGATTCTGCTGCAGGACAACCTACCAACGACATCTGGAGGAGTCTGGATATCCTCTTCTTCACACGTGTCCATAAACGGGGGCCCGTCAACTTCCAATAGCATCCGACGAGCCGTGTCCTCCAAGATGCTGACCTTGCCTAGCTCCCACGCTATCCAGAGCACCTTTGGGAGGAGGACGCGTGCATTATGTTTGGAGATGCCATCCATGCAGGCGATCCACGAGTCAACCCAAGGACTGAGTAATGCGGTAGCATCGTAGTAATTGGTGAGGACTGTCAGCTCGTACAGCTGATCAAGAGTAAGTGTCTTTGGCACAGCTAGAAACTGGCAATGTGCGATGCCAAGCAATATGCCCATGGGTTCTGGCTTGTCGTTGGGTAGATTCACGATCCAGTCTTCGTCGGGTGTGGTTGGTTTTTTTGCTTCGGCAAAATGGCCGTACAGCATGCGATCGAAAACAGGCGAAATCCTCGCCAAAGTCCGAGAGCAGGCTGTGAAGTAGGTGGGCTCGATGGACTGGCCGTCGACAACTTTCTTCTCCCCGACTCTGAGCTTTACATCGCCGTGATAATCCAGGTCCACGGGTGATGTAGATCTCGGGCTGGGGTTCTTGTGCATGTGCGCTATCTCTGTAGGCGGTGGGCTGGGAGATTTGACCGCGAGGGAAGACGGCAACAAAACGAGAGCCATGTTGGTTTCACAAGTAATTTTATCTGGTGGGAAGGGTGATGTTGGTGGAGGAGTGTTGAGGTTGTAAGACGTGGACTGTTGGGATGGATGCCAACTACTACTTAAGCATAAACGAAGGCTCTTCTCAGGCTCCGCCAAGACAAAGACACATCAGTTGAGGGTGGGCTCACGTCACGTCGAGTCCCAGACCAGACGCCAAGGGAGTGCCCCTCGGAAAGCCGGATCTCGTATTTGCACGCCCCTTTTGCTGGCCCGAAGATGGGGAGACCCTGGGAGAAGCTCTGCGATGGTGCAGTGACCCTCCAGCGTGTCTCCAGCGTGTCTCCAGCGTCTCTTTGGTGTGTCTCCAGCGTGTCTCGGTGACGCTCCAGCGCTGCGCGGGTCCCGTGGCCCTGTAACTTTAGCGCGCTGGCCCGCCCATGGCGCCAGTGGCATTGCTAATTTAGGGGGCTGAGGCTGAGCCACTGAGCCAGTGCTCGTGTCCAGCGGCAGTTGGTGAGCTTCGGGCTGCCCGCAAGCTCCATTTAACCTGCGACCGTCCGGAGAATCTTTCTAGAACGTCCTGATCCCGGAATGGTTTCGGAATGGTGGCTGTTTCAGTGAGGCCGAGCGTCAGAATGAGGTAGCGTTTCCTATTGGTTTGAGAGCAATACCTACCAGCGAGCTGTCAGTGTCAATTCAGATACCTACCTTACTTGGCGGTCTGGCTTTTCACCCAACACTTACTTACCTACCCTATATGCGCACCCGCATCAAAGACGCAAGATTGGGTACAAGGTTCGAAGATTAGAAGAATAAAACATACATCTCTGCCAAAAAAAAAAAAAAAAAAAAAAAAAAAGAAGAAGAAGAAGAAGAAGAAGAAAAAGGGAGAGAAAGTCGTTATGGGCTCTAGAAGTCTTGGGATTAAGAGCCCTCGTGTGATGGCCAAGCCTTTGTGGGTTCAAACTATCAACATCCACATTTAGTTTGATGATTTGAATCGATGTCTAGACTACAACAACATGTGATATGGGACAGCTACAATTTTGTGCCTGGCTGCTCAAAGACTCCACGTGGGGAGTCGAGGATATTCGACCTGCGCTCAAAGTAAAATTCTCTGTCATTCACGTACTGAAAACCGAGTATCTTCTCAACAGCGTGCCAGTCACCCTCCTTTGTTCCAGCCAACCCTTTAGGAGTCCATCCTTTTGTGTATCCGTTGCCGCAGCCAATAATCCATGCGTCGTTGTTCCGATCGATCAGAACATTGCCAGGATCTGCATAACCCCAAACTACGCCAGCCGCATGTAGTTTTTCGACTGACTGTAGTATTTGCTTTGCCCATTTCGGCCGCATGGATGCATCTTCAGAGTGGGCAGCAGAGTGAATCCCATGATATTTGCAGTCAATGTGGGATAGTAAGAGCCCGTGAACGTCACCATTCTCGCTCTTGAGTAGCCCGTGCATCCTCTGAACCAAGGTGTCGCTGCCTAGCGATTCATTGATCTTCCGAAAAGCTTCGAGTTTGTCAGGCAATGTAAGATGGCCGCCGTGAACTAGGCGAAGCTCGCCTATTGTTCCGTCAGGCAAAACGACTAGCTCCGGATGTCCCCAGGGGAACGATAATGGTTTATCTCCCTTGAAGATCTTGACCGCCGACGGAGAGAATGTGGTGAATGGCGCGCACTCACGCTCAGAGAGCGGCACGCGAAACGAGGAGCCATAAGAGCTGGCCTGCTCGTCGAGAGTGGCAATCGGGCCACTGGGTCCCGCACACAGCTTGTATTGGGTGCACCTGGCGAAGAGAAAATCATGAATGGTCTCCAGCCCAGGCGAAGGCGGCAGTGCTTCTAGGATTGGCATGAGGGGAGCCACGGCCCAGTCCCAGAAATCCTCCTCCACAAAGCCGTCTACTTCACCTTCGTCGACGACCTGGATCCAGAAGAGGTATTTTTCTTTTTGATTCGGGGAGTCTGAGAAGTATTTCGGGTCCATTTCGATAACAAACATTTGGCCTTTGCAGAGAATTACCAGTTGGGCATCGTGGTATTGGGGGTGGTATGTGAAGTCCACGAGATCCCATAGTGGTGATGCAACATGTCCCTCCACCATATCTGTTGCATTATCCTCTATCATTGAGACGTTTTATTGTAGATAGGCGATGTTCAAACTATGGTGGTTGTTATTGACACAAGTATCACCAATCACGCAGGCGTACTTCCAATGTCTTGTATGAACCGAAGGCGGTGATTCGGATGTGTCTTTTGAGATATCAAGTATTGGCAGAATCTTCTGCTGTTTAGCTGTTTAAAAAGAACTCCACTGTGAGATGTCTGTGTATGTTTGTTTTTCCGTAGAAGAGGAAGAAATGCGAGTGTCATCATGAACTGGCACGATGTATTAGACCGTGAATTTGCGTGAACAAGGTGCCACGTGATTCCAGGCAGCACTCTCCCCTGTTTATCTGGAGCTCAAACTGCAAGATGATAATTCGTTCAAACCCGAACTAACATGCTAACTCATTTTACACATAAGTGGACTCCAACAGGGGCTGGCTTCGAGGCCAAGAACTTGGCTTATTTCCAAAGAATCACTGGCCCACCTCTATCGTGTCCTCTTTGTTTCAAGTATGTAGTTGCTGGTGACTGGATGAACGTAGGACGTAGCCATCTAGCTCTGATTGCAATCTTGATATCTTCTTGTACGTCACCATACCGTGCTCACAAGAATTGATGGCGAGCCCGCCCTGGCACAGCGAGATCGGCCGGGGCCTGACGCAATTTTATACCAAGCTGACAAAGGCTCCTTACCTGTCGCCCGACTCCATCCAAAACCCACCGCCTGAGGGATGGAGTGACGAGGAATTGGACGTGGATGGCCTCCAACCATCTTGCGCCGCTCTGACGCCGTCGTGGACCTCCTCCGTCACCTCCCGTATCTGAAACCGGTGGAAGCAGGCCCGCAGACCAGACAATGGTGCATCTTCCCCAAAACCAAAGCCATGCGCTACTTGCGAGACCACAGCTCGCTCTGGCAAAAAGACCTCGAAGGTCTGTACGAGCTGGCCAACCTGCCGCCAGACATGGTCAGCTTAACGCATCCTGCCGGCGAATACACGCTCTACGGCCCCCACTGGTGGCTCGTCGACTGCAAGACCGGTCGCATCACCAAATACACGGGACCGCCCCGTGGTGAGGCGCTGGCAGAAGAGTTCGAGGCCGAGTGGAAAAAGGCACCGACCTACGCCCCGGTCGACTTCTTCCAGGAGGTCACGACAATGCTGGGGAAGGACTATTATCCGGTCCCTGGCCTGGTTGACGGCATCGAGGCTGACTTCTGCACTCCTGATCGCCGCGAGTCCACCATGATGTATCAGATATACATGCTGGCAGGGTGGCAACACGGCCGCGGTCCGGGCCCTTACTTTGATCGCGAGAAATGCTGCAAGGATCTCGAGGCTTTTCTGAGGGATCAAAAAGAGAGTGAGTCTAGGAAACGCAAAGCAGAGATCGCCCGCCACGAGCGACGGACACGCCCAACACAGACAAAAGATCCTGCCACGTACCCGGATGGGTATGACCGAGATGTGATCGTCACGGGCCTAACACGATACTATGAGAGCCTCGCGCAGATGGCTTATTTCCCTGCCTCTCTCATCCAATACCCGCCCGCCGGGCGTTGGGGCGATGATGCTTTTCTTCCTGCAGTTAAGATAAAGCTGCTGGGCTTCAACGAGCGTATCGTCGACCTGCTGCGGCATCTACCGTATCTCAATGTCGATGAGTCACACGAACACAATTGCTGGTCCGTTAACGGTCGTAGCGAGCCGCAGCGTTACCTCGAAGATAACCCGATGCTCAACGAAGAACTCTCCACCAGCAAGGCGACGCCGGAAAGCCTGTACGCCAACGGCCTCTTCCCCTTTCCAGAGAAGATGCCTGAAGGACTAGTCCCTATCGCCGGCCGAGAGGATGGTGAGTGGTGGATCATTGATACCAACGCCGGCACTGTGATTGTCTATGATGCCGGCAACAAGCCGGTTGCGGATGCGCCCGATGACAAGCCCTGGCTCTGGGCGCGTCCGCGGCCCGCCGGCCCATTCTTCGACGCGCTCGTGAATAGTCTGTATTTCCTTGACTTGGTACCCTTACCGCGGCCTGACACTGAGATTGCCGAGTGCTATCCCGAGGTTTGGGGCGTGATCCGGGAGGAAGGGGAGGAAGATGACGAAGATGATCCAGATCCTGAAGTTGAGGTATGTGATGCTTTAACTTCGATAATATCCGCTACACAATGGCTGTTCGTCAAACTGATATATTGGAAACATTCTAGGAAGCCCGTGAGATATACCGCGCGCATGGCTGGCCGGATGTGGCCAAGTTCCGGCGCCAGGAGTGCTATGATGCCTTGGTTGAGCTCAGAACGAATTTGCTGGAAGAAGGAGAGGGCGATTATGGGCCCGCATAGTCTGTATCTTACGGGGCTATGTAGGGAAACGAGGAGTGGTGTCTACTCCCATTGACCAAGATACTCAATGAAGGTGTAGAGGGATATCACATCCTAGTGCAGTAGACTACAATTGACGCCAACACTGCTGATGATGTGTCGAAAGGTTACACGCAATGCAGAGAGACAACAGTACATAGGGGAACAAGAATAAAGAATACTTGTGTAGTCGAAAACAAGCTTTACTTCTTGCTTTGTGTTCTTGAACCTCTCGCTATATCAAATCTCCGCCATGGGGGGTATCGTATCTTCTTTAAGCCTGCTCGACTCGCATCTCCTCCAACTCGTACTTCTTGTGCGCAATCGCCTCATCAACCTGGCACTTGTAGTGCTTGAATTGGCGGGCGGGGACCCCCTTCTCAAACATCTCCTGAATCTCGGCGTAGTTGCGGCCCTTCATTTCCGGTAGACAGAAGTATAGGTAGACACACATGGGGACGGAGAAGGCAAAGAATACGAAACAGACTGGATATCATTAGTTAGCAACCATATCAAACATAAAACGTAAAGGAGAAGGGGTAAGGTAAGCTTACTCTTTCCACCCATATTCAACTCGTCGCTGTTGATCATATAAGGCATGACTTGCAGGACAAGGCAGGACACGGCAGTGGCACTCATGATGTTGATTGCATACGTCTTTTGGCGGAGCTGCACACTGGGAGTTTCACCGCCAACTGGGTAGGCCGCAGCACCAAGGGTCATCTGAAATGTAGATTAGCGACGGGTGAGTATCGTTAGGAAGGATATGCTTGGTAGTACCTGGTAAAGGTAACCCCAAACGACCATGAAAGAAACGGTGGCCTTGAGGGCGGAATCGTTGTTTACGGTACTGATACCACCGATAATAAGCAACCCAGCGGTGATGACAATCATGCCGCCGACAAGCATAGGCCGGCGACCCAGGCGATCGACCAGCGGCCAGGAACACATATTGCCAAAGAGCTGGATGGCGAATGCTGCCTGTGCGATGCCCAGAGGGTTATTGACACCGGCAAGACGGAAGTAGTAGGTCAGGTACCCAGAAACAAAGTTGACACCGACAAACTGCTGCGCAATGTAGACCATGCAGATGATCAAGGTGCGGCGGCCGTCGGATCCCTTGAAGCACTGGATCCATGAACCTCCCTCACTTGTGAGTTCCTGCTCCTTGCGGATGGTGAGTAAGGCAACGGCAACAGCCGCGTCGGCGTCATAATCAGGGCCGTTGAAACGGAGATAGGACTTCTTGGCTTCTTCAATGCGGCCGCGGATGAGGAGCCATGAGGGAGATTCAGGCAACAGGAGAAGCCCAAACAGGAGCAAGCTTGGTGGCACGACTTGGGTGATGATGGGGATGCGCCAAGCGAGAGAGTCGGAGCGACTAGAACAGCCGTAAATCACGAGGGAGTTGACCCACTGTCCAATGACAATCATGGTATTCTATGTACCTAGGTTAGCTCATGAGGACTTCTGTGTTGGGGTTGAATTAGTTCTTACAATAAGGGCGAGACAAACACCGCGGAGCTTGACAGGTGCCATCTCTGCCACGAAAACGGGACCCAACGAGTGCCCCAGTCCGAAGCCAAAGGTTCCAAGAAGCTTGCCCCCGAAGAGGGTTGGGATTGAAAGGCTGAAATACTGGACGACAATGCCGGCAACACAGAGCAAGGCCGCGAGCAGGATGGTCTTCTTTCGGCCGACGAGATCGGAAATGAAACCAGTAGCAAAGGCCGAAACGAAGAGCCCGATTGTGGTAGCAGCATTGAGAATCTGTTGATCTCGGGCAGAGATGAGCAACTCGCCGTTTACTTCATGGCCGAATTCCTCAAGGAACGGGGTGACGGCGAGAAGATTGCCGATCGTGCCAATCTCGTAGCCAAAGTTTATGGGAAGTAGGAAGATCAAAAGGCCTTGGGTGGTTTCAGTCAGCTCTTATGGTTGTCTTCTTTTGTTTGGGGCTTGACTCTTTCTTACAAAAGGAAAGAACACGTCGGTTCTCCCAGACGTCTTTGAAGGACACACCGCCTGAGTCGGCTGAAGTATTGGCTTCATGAAGGGTTGGCTCTACAGTATTGGCATCTGCACTGGGACTTTTGGCGTCGTTGGCCGCCATTGTCGCAGAGGTATTGTTGATGGCAAGAGTTAAAAGACAAGTTTGAGGTTTATTTGGTTAGAGATAGTGATAACTGGTTATTAGGGTGTATATAAGTAGTTTGGAGAGGGTGGATCAGTGACATTCTCTCTGTGGTTACAAGATACTGACCCATGCCCCATGGGGTCTCCGATGTGGCTGCGGAAGATGGTGCCGAAGGACCGGCTGGTGCTTCAAACTGCCAAATCTAGACCTTTTTTCTCCTCACTTGGGATAGTATATCAGCCCCGTGGTCCTCATAAGTCGACTGCCGAGAGCACTGAGAGCGGCAGTGATAGAGCGGCTGCTTGCTCAGTATCTGATCCCTAGAGGTTGAGTGATCCACCGGTGCTCATCCGAGTGGCCAACATTTGAGGACTCATTGAGTAATGTGAAGCTGTAGCAATTTCCCCGTTCAAAGTTTTACAGTAACTGGCATTTCGATCACACTCCAGCCGGAAAAGGATCATGTTATCCGGAATGTTCTTCTGAAAGCCGCGTCTGGGAGATGGTGATACTAAACTAAAACGACACGGAATCTCGCGCTTACAACTGGCAAGTTTGGATGAAGCATGCCTACACGCGTTACTAAATTCTCTAGACTGGTCTCTCCAAAACCCGGGTTGGGTGATGTAATTCCAAGGCAGGGTTTCTTCCCCATGGAGCCCCTCTTGCCCCTCAAAGCCAAATTGTTAGCTCCTCTTGCTCCTCTTTCCTCGCTACTTGACCCTTTTTGTCGCTCAGAGGCAGCTAAACTAATAATCTGGGGCACCACTTGCCAAGGTTTAGCCGTTAGCTCTCTTTGATTAGAGCGATCATTGCCCAGAACGTGGCAGCTGAATCGTACTACTGGAGCGAGCCGGATGTATGCCCAGAAGAGGCAATTAGAACCACTGTTGGATGGTCCGGCGAATGTTATTCTCTCAGTGACATGTGGAGGAGATAGTTGAGGGAAATTCATCAAGAGTTGACCAATCACGCCAATGAAGGTCCTGGCCCAATTTGGTAATTAGAAGCATCGCGGGAGATGGTTTCACGCAATATCATAACTTAGACTTCCGTGCGGATTCATCATCTCACTCAGTTCAGGTTCGACAGGTCTATCTGATTGTGCACTACCTGCCCGTGATCTGTCAGAATGGCGTCCACGCTCTTGTCCTTTGCCTCCAAACCGCGCGTCTTTATTCTCACAGACATCACCAACGAGCCGGATGATACGCAATCCTTCTGCCGGTATCTGACCTATTCCAACCAGTTCGACACCGAAGGCGTGGTACCCGTCACCTCAACATGGCTGCGAGACAGAGTAGCGCCTGAAGCTTTGCATCAGGTCGTCAATGGCTATGAGGCAGTCGTGGACAATTTAAATGCTCATGCACACCCGGATTCGCAGTATCCCTCCGCCGATACGGTGCGCTCTCTTATCAAACCTGGCGCTCCCGTTTATGGGATGGAGGCTGTTGGCGACGATATCCCTCTCAGCCCAGGTGGTGAGCTGCTGCTGGAGAGCGTTCTTAAGCAAGACGACCGTCCCCTCTGGGTGTTAGTTTGGGGAGGCACAAACGTTCTCGCTTCGGTGCTCCATCGAATAAGAGACCGCCCTGATGCCAAGGAGCTGCGAGCCAAGCTCCGTGTCTACACGATTTCCGATCAGGATGATACAGGGTCGTGGATTCGTCAGCAATGGCCCGAAATCTTTTATATTTGCGCCGTCCATGGTTGGAATCAGTACTTTTCAGCTGGCTGGCTTGGAATTACCTCAGACTTGGGCGAGCATGGTGGCCCCGACCAAAGCATCGTGTCAAACGAATGGCTGAGGAAGCATATCCAAATAGGACCACTTGGAAAGGAGTATCCTGATGTCGAGTACGGCATGGAAGGAGACACCCCGACCTTCCTCTATTTGATACAGAACGGTCTCGGTGTTCCTGAACAGCCATCCTGGGGGTCCTGGGGTGGTCGTTTTCTGCCTGTGAATGTTAGCGACAAGGGCCTTCCCAAGCAGGGCCACATTGCAGACGCTGCAGACAAGGTTAAAGGAATGAATGGGAAGGATTACATATCCAACAAGGCCACAATCTGGCGTTGGAGAAGCGCTTTTCAGAACGACTTTGCAGCCCGGATGCAATGGACGTTGAATTCTGACTTTTCAAAAGTCAACCATAGTCCTATAGCAGTTGTCAACGGCAACAAAGGGCTCGATACTGTCTTCATCGATGTCAAGGCTGGCACTACTATTGTGGTGGATGCCTCTGAAAGTTACGATCCTGATGGGGATGCGATATTTTTCAACTGGTTCCAATACCATGAGCCCAGTGCGATTCACTACTTTCACCTCTTTGAAGTTGTTGACCTTGGCATAAAGCCTCTTGAGAATGGAAAGATAGTAGAGGTGACCGTTCCTCCTGCTGAAAAGTCGTGCTATATCGAGAGGCAGAAGCGCGCGGTTGAACAAGGCTCACCGCTGCACCTCATCCTTGAAGTGAAGGACAACGGCACGCCACAAATGACTTCGTATCGCAGGATTGTGATTCAACCTTTTAGAGGAGAAGCTCCATAGATAGTTAATACTACTCTCGCTTTGTGTCCCGATCTTGCCTCAGACCAAGGGTGAAGGTTCCATATCTTGCGACTGCAAATCATGACAGAATGCCTTTTATCTGGAATTGCATACCCATGGATCTTTGGGCTGATGCTACAAGTTACAACTAATCTCACTACAGCCGCAATCTCCACGATCTCGAACCGCAACCTCCCCCCACACATCCGTCACTTTAGCCTCCCCTGTATATAAGCTTAACTGCAGATCAATCGAGACTGTTTGTGACAAGTCTGGACATGCTGATTTAGGTTAATACTTCAATTGTGTCAAAATTGTGCCCGTTCCCTGCGAGTTTTTCTTTTACGTTATGCACTAATAGCTCAGTAACACAAGAACACCAAGGACGATGTTTATAAAAAAAAAGCTCTCTAATCCCGCACAGAGATGATTTCAGACGCTCGATTGTGCAATTCCAGGGCTCCATTGGCTCAACGGTACGCCCCGTATGACTCATCAGGCAGGTGTTCGCCGTGAAGGTATCATCCTTGCACATGAATCCGACCTTCTATATTTGCCAAGTGCGATCGTGGTCCGTTTGTCAACTTCTCCAAATGGAGAAGGATCCGCGTCCGCCATTCAAGGGGGCCAATGAAACGCATTAATATCGCGTATCACTGACTTGTAAGCAGGTTAGGCATGATACTAACATCCTGACACCTGCCTGAAAGCTCTGCCCGCAGTGCTTGGCAAACAAACGTCAAAACGATTATAAAGCTGTGTAACGCTATGATATTTTTCTCGTATCTGCGCATCTTTCTCGTATCTTGCCAAGCAGTCACGATGCATTCCTCTGCTCTTCTCGTCCCCGCCTTCGCCGCCACAGCCCTCTCCTGTTTTCTCGAGGTGGTGCCTGATGGCGTAGATAACTTCATTCGGCACACCTTGAAGGAGCGGAATGATGAGCCTCTTTATACTCTAGAGTTTTCAGATGGAACAAGGCGCCAAGTAACAGACGATGAGAGATGGGAAATTAAGCAGGTACGTCATTTCCCACTACACTCATTTTATTCTCACACCAGGAGCATTCAATTAACTGTTTCCAGGCGCATATTCGTTTCATCGATGTCACTGAGACTCCAAACATGGCTCAATTCTCTCGTCCCGCCGGTATTTCCGCGGTCGCTGCATTCCCTTCAACATTGACCCAAGGCGAAACGGTGAAGAGTCTGATAAGCGAATACAACACGGAGAATGTCAAGTCGACCCTCACACATTTCTCCAGTTACTACAACCGCTATTACCAAGCAGCCACCGGTGTTCAGTCAGCCCAGTGGTTGTTTGACCAAGTCTCCAGCGTGCTATCTGAGGGTGGCGCGACCGGCGCTTCCGTCCGAAAAGTTGCTCATTCCTGGGCTCAGTTTTCAGTCGTCGCTACGATTCCTGGAACCTCTGACAAGACCATTGTTGTGGGCGCTCACCAGGATTCAATCAATGTTTCGAACAGAACTGGGCTGGCACCGGGTGCTGATGATGATGGCTCCGGCAGCATGGCCATCCTTGAGGCACTGCGGGTTCTCCTCAAGGACTCGCGTATTGCTTCAGGACAGGCACCCAACACTATTGAGTTTCACTGGTATGCCGGTGAAGAGGCCGGTCTCCTCGGAAGTAACGCAATCTTCCAGCAATACGCAACTGACGGCAAAGATATTGCCGCCATGTTGAACCAGGACATGGTTGGATACACCACAGACAACACATTCGGCCTCATCACCGACAACACCAGCGCTGATCTGAATGCGTTCATCAAGCTTCTGATCGGTGAGTATGCCGACATTGGATACACCGAGTCCAGGTGCGGATACGGCTGCAGCGATCACGCGAGTGCCACACGAGTGGGATATCCCGCTTCTTTCTTGTTCGAGGCCGCGTTTGGAAAGCATAATGGATACATCCACCAGACCGGAGACACCATCGACAAGCTTAGCTTTGAGCATGTCCTTCAACACGGAAAGGTGATTCTAGGGTTCTTGGAGGAATTGGCATTTTCGACAACCATTTAAAGCTTGTGGTTTGGGTTAGGTCGCATAGATTGTAGGGTGAGAAGGCGCATGAAATTTTTACTTGAGATAAAGATATTTACAATGGGTGCGAGAGTTCGAGCAGCCCGACTTATAGTCAATGAATCAGAAGATGCTATACCCGACATTTCATCGCGATAAATACGAAAAGCAAACATAAGAGGCTGCATGGCTGTAGTCTTTGGTTAGAGCTTGGTTTGTTCTATGTGATTTGAATGGACTAGGATGCTCATTTTATACCTGACTTGATATACACCTCTGTCTCATAGCTAAATATTCTTAAAAATATAAAAAAATGAATAAAGATAAAAGGCATATCCTATAACCTGCTGCACCATGTTTATTCTGTGTATCCAGAACCTCCAGTGCTGAAGTCAATCACAACTTTGCCGACTTGCTGGCCGCTCTCCAGACGCTTATAAGCGTCCAAATATTGGGCAAATGGGTAGACGTTGTCGATGATCGGGTGCACCTCCTGGACAGCCATTGCCCGGAGCATGGCCTCGAAGTTCAGTCGTGGCCCAATTACCGAGCCGGTTATAGTAAGTGAACGTTTAAGGACATCAATCGGGGGCAGGCCACCGCCGAAGCCGCTCGCAAAGCCGACAATCTTGACCTCGCCGCCTATCCTTGCACATGCAGCTGACTTGACGATGGTCTTCTCTCCAGCAATGTCAATGACTTTATCGACACCACGGCCGTCGGTCAAACGAAGAATCTCCTCATCCCAGTCAGGAGTAGTGCTGTAGTTGATGACTGCTTCAGCTCCCAGTTGCTTGAGCTTCTTGGCCTTTTCATCGGAGGACGTGATGGCAAAGACACGAGCATTGAAGACTCGAGAAAACTGCAGTGCAAACAGCGCAACGCCTCCAGTGCCCTGGACTAGCACCGTCTGTCCTGGCTGCAAAGGCGTCGTGTTGTTCAGGTCCGTCCAGGCAGTGACCGCGGCGCAGGGCAGTGACGCAGCCTCAATGTAGGTGAGGTAATCCGGCAGATGAACAAGCCCATTCTCGTGGAGCATCGCATATTCGGCCAGCATGCCGTCGACTGAGAAGCCGACGCTCTGTGCCCGATACTCAGGGAGGTGAGGGCCGCCTACCCAGTGTACATTGCATGTGTTGGCGACTCGGTCCCCCTTTTTGAACCGCGTGACGCCATGTCCAACCGCCACGACTTCGCCGGCACCGTCAGAAAGAGGAGTGACATTTTGTTTAATCTTGGCAGGGTATTCGCCCCTGAGCAGTGCCGTGTCGCGGTAATTGAGGGACGCTGCATGAACGCGGACTAACACATCATCGCGTCCCGGCACTGGCAGCTCCTCATTGCGGACTTGCAAGCGGACTTTGCCCTCGGCTTCGGGGGTGATCCTCACAACCTTGTATTGCTTCGCCATGTTCGACATGTTGAACGGAGACTTGCTTTTGTCTATCTGGGGGTGGGTTTTATGTTGAAGTAGATTAGAAAGGTGGTTGGACACTGCAACTGATTCCGTCCATGCTGGTGGCGGATTATTTATGATAAATTGTGACTATGCAGCCAATTCTAAATCGGGCCGTTACCGCGCGATTTGCTGGACGAAAAAGCCAGTTCTTGAAAAGTTTGATTGATTACACAGCATATCCGCCCATGAGGTTGTTCTTCGACATCGTTCTGCGAGTACCTACCCACTGAGTAAAGTGTGCTAGAAGAAATTTCATTACACTTCTCTTCGGGCTCAGTGACCAACCCGAGACCCAGCGGAATGAACTGCCAACATTACAAATCAGAAAGATAGTTCCTACGACGATCCATATTTAGGCTGATCGGATCAACGAAGTAGTGCGCCATGCCCACCTCAAGGAACCCTGGGAGGTTCTTGTTTCTGCTAAGTGCATGCGAGTCGCAGGCTTCTTTCTCCCAATTCACTGATGGAGGTATGAAACAACATGAAGCAGGACTTATTGGATGGTAGAATTGGAATGAGCCGTTCTCGCGCAAATGCTATAAGATAATAAGCCTGGACTAAGCCAATAACCGCTTCAGTGACATACTACACGCAATCTGAGGTGGCATGCGCATCGCTCCGCCAACTATCATAATCGAACGAGGCTGTGGTGCGGCGGTGGAAGCAGCCAAGAGCTGTAGCTTAAGCCATAAGATCGGGATTTCTGCCACGGAAACCTATCCATAAACCTCCTTTTGGCTTTGTAGACGTGCTTCTAACTTGGTCCGAGGCGTGTAAACATTTCTTACCTACCTTATACCGAGATCCGGCGTCGTGGACCCTATGAAACCTATCCTCCTGCGTGGAATAAACTTCCTTCACTCGTTTGTTCGTTAGGTTCGGCATAATCGCTGAAGTTTCACTCGAGTGAAAATGGTCTGCTCTGCAGAGCATATGATCAAGCAGATTGAGGTAGAGTGCCAGGATTTGGAACAGACGCCGGATGGCATCCAAGCTTTTAGTGAGGAATTTGATGGGATTTCTAAAGAATACTACCGATCTCCCCTTTACAACAACTAATGAAACGTCTGATTAGTCCCAATGAACACTACAAGCAGCGCAATTTGTAGTAAGTTGTACTTCACTCAGTGCTACTTGAATTGGTGGCTCATGTGTGACTGCTAGACCTCTTCTAGTTGCATTCTATAACAATAATTGGACAGAAGAGTCTCGCACATATCTAACTCTTATACCTCTATCTAATCTGTCAATTAGCAAGTTTCTTACCTAAAGAAGAATATGCGAGAGACACGAAGGACCGATCCAAGTTAAATGGGTAGTGGAAGGATACGAGATTATATCTCGTGTCAGGGGGAAATTTGATCAATGGGTAAACGCCCACTCATTGCATTCCAGCTAATTGCAATATAGAAACGAGCAGAAAACAAAGGGGTTCAATTATCTGAACTGCAGACTGGTACCGGATTTATTGCATTAAGTACTAGACTGCCTCGAGTTACATCCGATCGGAGCTGAGACCCACGAGGAAGCACTCCGGACTTCACTAGTTGCTGCCTCAAGGAACCTGACAATACATCAAACTGAACATCATGGAATCAAATGCATTTTCTCAATGTATGTTCCCCTCGCCTGAGAAAGGACTGTGTTTTGACATCTAATATACTTGGTCCCAACTGACTATTCCCCCTTCTCACTGCGCGGTTGTTCTCCTACTTCCCCCATCCCGGACCTCCAATATGCAAAACCTTGACAGTCAAGAGAATTTCCACCGGAAACAGGATCTTGTAGGGAAAGTTGCTATCGTCACTGGGGCAAGCAGAGGTATCGGTTATGCCATTGTCCGGAACCTCGCAAAACGTGGGGCAGCAATCCTCGCAACATCTTCAGGGGCAGGCAATCAGATTGATGAGCTTCGCGACGAAGTGAATCTTAGCTACAACGGCCAAGAAAGCCTGCCTCCAAAGATTGTGCACCAAACTCTGTCATTGACTGATACGGTCGCACATACAAAACTAGCAGACGCCATCCAACGGCACTTCGATGGCCAAGTGGACATTTTCGTCAACAATGCAGCCATCACCGACCGTACATACCCCGGCGAGCTCGAGGCAGACACACTAGACAGATTGTTGATGTGTAACATTCGGACCCCGGCGTTACTGGTGGATGAGCTAGTCAAAAGACGTTACTTTAGGAAGAACAGCAGGATCGTCTTCATTAGCAGCGCCGAGAGTGTCAATTGCGACCCTTCAGTCTCGATCTACGCAACTACTAAGGCGGCAAACGAAGCAATGGTTCGTTGCTACGCGAATGCATTCGGCGGAAAGAACGATGCGTTCGACTTCATGACTGGAACTACTGCCAATAGCGTGCTTACAGGCCTGACAGAGACAGGAGGTGTTCAGCAGTATGGGCCCAAGGTGTGGCAGGAGTTGCAGGACTTTTGGCTCGGAAAGCAAACTATTCCGCGGCTGGGACAGGTTGACGATGTGGCCGACGTGGTAGGATTCCTCTGCAGTCATGAAAGCAGATGGATCACGGGGAGCAAAGTAAATGCGAATGGGGGAAGTGTTGCTCTGATCTAGAATGATAATAGACTATCTCTTCTTAAGTGGATAGATAGATAACCTATTGTGTATTTACCAAACATCGATTGCCTTCACCGTACTCTCACATTGATGTATTTTTATCACCATTTTCGGCTTACGCGAATATGTCAGGATTTCAATCCTAGCACGGCTGCTCGTCATATTTTCCAACACTTTCCTTGTACTCTAGTCACCTTACTCAAAGACTCTCCTCATCAATGTGTGGCTATCCGCAAATCAGAGTAATCTCTTCCCCAGACTAGATCACACGGTACGTCAATGGAACAAACAACCACTGGCGGGCTCGTGATCAAGTCCGTTGCACCCACCTAGCCCACAGAAGGATGATCGGATATGTCTGGTGGGACCGGACATGACGACCCCAAGATCCGACGGAGGGGCGTGACGACAACACCACCAAGTGAGAGAAGCATCCCCGGTATTACCCCAGATCGGAACGGGTAATGTCATGGGAAGGGATGGGGGCGGACTCAGGAAACCCCGGAGATCGGACCCGGCTCATCTCTCGTCGGTTTGCATCATCTAGAAAACCAAGGCATAGGGACAGCAGATTGTTTGGAAGCTTCTGCCTCAATCTCATTCATCACATATTCAATCATTAAAAAATGGCCTCCCAACCTCGCCTCAAGATCGCCCTGATTGGACTCGGTCGTCTAGGTGCCATCCGTGCACGAATCCTTGCATTCCAGCAGCCTCGAATTGAGCTCGTCGCAGCTTGCGACACAAAGCCTGGTAGCGATGAGTTCGTGACACAGAACCTCCCTCCATCTGTCAAGTACTATGCCGATCCCGAGGACTGCATGAAGAACAGTGGTGCTCAAGCCGTTCTGATATCTACTGCTACTGCCACCCATGCTCCCCTTATCTGCCTGGCTCTGGATCTTGGCCTGGTACAGTTCCCCTCTCGATAAGGTTGAAAATGGAAGTGACTAGAGAAGGCGAATCTGACACTTGTATAGCATGTCATGTGCGAAAAGCCCATCGCAGTTGATGTGATCACTACCGAGGAAGTCTTAGCAAAGGCCAAATCCAAGCCACATCTTAAGTTTTTGGTTCCATTTTGCCGAAGATGTGAGCAACTTTCATAAGAAAACTTCTTCATCTAACCAGGCTAATGTTTTGGCAGACGATGATTCGTACCGTGCTGCCAAGGAGTTGGTCGAGAAGGGCGAGCTTGGGGAGATTCACGCCGTCGAGACCACTTGCCTTGACCAGCAGGACCCTACTGGTAAGAACCGCTTGGGCCTTTTCTCAATAGAATTGTTGCTCATATCTTTTTAGGCTTCTTCGTGACCTTTTCTGCTCAGTCCGGAGGTATCTTTGTTGATATGGGTGTCCACGACGTAAGCCTACTTCTCATGCTGATCATCCAGATGTACGCTAATACCAAGGACCAGATTGATATCGGCCGATACTACTTGAATGTTACTTCTGGTCTGAAGAATCCCAAGAAACAAGTGAATCGAGTCATCGCCATGGGACAGCAGGCTGTCTATGGCGAACTTGCCAAGTATGGTGACTGCGACAACGGATGGGCCATGGTTGAATTTGCAAATGGCAAGGTTCTGACCTCTCACCTTGGCCGCACACTCACAAACGGTTTTGAGAGCTGCACTCGCGTGTGTGGAACCAAAGCCCACTCTGTCGTGAACGGGAACTCGACCATCAATCGTGTTGAGATCCGCGATGGTCATGGTGTGCGGACTGCCACTACCCCCGATGCCTTCGTCCTCTACGACAAGTCGTTCATCAACGACCTCGCTGAGTTGGCCACTGCTGTTCTAGACGGGAAGCCTCTGACCTGCACTCCCGATGATGCCTATGAGGCCGCAAAGATTGCTACTGCTCTCCAATACTCTTTCCGAAATGGGGTGCCGGTTTTCTTTGATGACGAGGGCCAACCCATTATGGAGGTTCCCAAGACGAGCGGTAATTAAAAGTCATTTAGTGATCATGGTTGGATTTTGGACGTACGCCTTTAGGGGGATTATATTCATCTATTTTGAAAATCATAACCAGTTATTCAGTCATTCGGCTAGACAGATAGATACATGAAAAAAGAATTTCACACAGCATCTGCGGCTGGTGCGCTTTCATCCCACCAAGTTGCTCGACTCATCAGAAAAGGCTAGTGATGCGTTAGAATGCGCACTTGGCACAGAGAAAGACGATAAGGAATTATGAATAGACTTACATTAGATTGATCTTGAGATCCCTCAAACACATCCTGTAAGAGCATCGGATCCCAAAACTCGTGCAGCTAAGAGACGAGGAAACGACCAAGATCAGTATTGTCCAAAAATGCCTGTACGCTTCGGTTGGGCTTACCACGTCGTTCATCGAATCCAGTGTTGCCATCGGGAGCGACGCATTAGACAGACCCAAGTCCAAGGCGCCAATCTGCCCATCAGGCATGCTCTCCTTTTGCTGCAAGTTGCCGCCATCTGGAAACTGAGAGCTGGCTGGAGCTGTGGCGAGACTGATCGTCTTGATAATCTTCTGGCGATCTTGGCCAGCCCGCTCAATGAGCCTCGTTCTCCAGCCAAGTAGCTCCACATCTTCATCGTCTCCCTCTCCTCCAGCATTATTGCCATGACCTTGATCAACATCCCCCGGTGCACCGTTTCTTTGAGCAGTAGAAGCCGTCGATATCTCAGCCAGCGCACGGGCTCGTAGTTTGATGAGCCACTGCAAATTGCGCTTGTATCGAGGGGTGCGGGCTCCATGTTGAAGGAGGGATGTAAACAGACTGATGGATGCATCGAGTTGGGTGAGGACAAAGCTACTCATAATGTTGCCTGGGTCGCGCAGCACGAGCGTTCCCAGGCACAATGCCGAGTTGAACACATGATACTACCGAAAATGTGAGTGGTGCTGACTAGATACTGAGGCGGAGGCACAAACCCAGAAATTCCACTGTCTCGTGCTGATGGCGGGAAAGCGAGTATGAATGTCCGTCACCAAGCCGATGATTATCTATTGAAGTCAGAAAGGAGGCGATAGAGAGAGTAGAGATGAAATATATACCGCGCAACGTTCAATGACGGTATAGAATGAGGTTTTATATATTGATTCCACGCGATCAACTTCGTAGAGGGCTTTTGCGTAATAAGGCCGATGAAGATTGATGATTGTCTCGGACACGTTCAGGGCAAAATTTGATTGCTATGCCATGTTAGCTTGACAATTTAGCAGGCTTGGAAAAGAATACAAACTTGGAAAGAAATGGTCACCGATCTTCGCGATGGTTCTGGAGATGCGTTTATTGCGGCTTCTGCAACCGGATACTGCGAAGGCATGGCCAAGAGTGCTGCTCGGCAGCGAAGAGAGAAGGGAATGTTGCGTTCAAACTCGAGGCTACAAACTGGTCAGCCTTGTTACCATACCAAAGGGGGAAAGGGATACACATACAGCCTAAGTCCCAGTTCGGTAACTTCAGAGTATGCTGGTTTTCGCACCTTCATTGCCATGTTCAGGATTCTTGGGCAGGTCAGCGAGCAGATCATTTGGATATGCTTAGGGTCCTTACTCAGCTGAAAGTTGAGAGAGTTCGAATCGGAGTATTGAATAGCTCTTCTCTCCATTAGGATGTGACTGTCCAGAGGGGAAGGCGGTATCGCAATGCTCAGGGTTGATGGCAGATCTGTTGTAGTTCAATCAGTCATGGCTCATCCGGATAAGGCTGCAACTACATACGGTCTTGAGAAGCAGTGTGCCTGGAAGACATCGGCAGCATTGCATTCCCAGAATACCTTACGACGTTCCTCGGCGACATCGTGTGGCAGGTTCCAACGGTTACCATCCCGGTGCATGCCCATCTGTGAGTTTCGTTAAATCGTGCCGTCTCTTCAAACAAAGTAGCTTTGCTCACTGCCTGGACCAAACGCATAACAAGGCCCCATATTGGCCATGCATTGTCCCCATGGCGGCCCTTATCTAAATGCCTTTAGGCAAGTCAGTTGCAAATCACAGACATTAGAATAACTCTGCTCACAGATGTAGGTGTGCCATCAAATGCTGAGACGGTTAGCATCAGGTCCTTGAGGCAGTTGATGAAGAGATTGCCTTACCAGCGTTTGCACCCCCGCGAGTGTGTTGTTGGACAAAAAGTCGCCTTTGACCAACGCCCGCTCTGCTAAATGTAACCAATCTTCTGCTGAAGAATCGAAGTTTGGCATCTCAATGTTGAACATTGTACCCTGGGCCATAACTATGAACACCAGCGCAATTTCTTGTGGATTTATTGGTGATGAGGTTCCGCTTCCTGAGATCTTATAGACTCGGTCAAAAGTCCGTTCGAACTGGCTTCTGGGCGCAACATCATGGCTTATGATTGTTAGTCGTTTGTTCATCTCGTTATATGTGCTTATTCCACGTACTGCCAAGCGCAATAGCGATAATAAGATTCGCATAGGGCCCATGCTTCCTCTCTCGGTGGCAAGCATGAAATTAGGTCCCGGGTGCTGATATGAGCCGCCGAGGCGCTCAGGGGGAATCCAATCGGGGTCGTAGCATATGGGTTGTTATGGGTAGTCTGTACAGAGGCGGAATCTTGCTGCAATGCTGGCGAAGGTGCACGGGTTGCCAACGGCGTCTCGGAGACGTCCTGTGTTTCCGACTACGATAACACATTTAGTATGTTCCGAATATTCATAACTTAATTACATACCTCATTGAGCCATTCGCTACCCGCGGTAGGACCTAAATACTTGGACCGGCCTCTCTTGCTCAGCATCAGTGTGCCAAAAGAGCCCACCTGCTCATCATCATCGGTTGATCGCCCAGCAGCATTGGTGGAACCACTTCCCCCGGTGGGAGGATTGTATAAAGACTCCGGTCTCCCACCAGGGGGTCTCGCGCCAGGAGTATTTAGAGAAGAGGCTTGTGCGGCATAGGGGCCTAGCGCGTGGGCGAGAAGGGCGAGGGTGTCTAACTGGTGATGGTTCCCATGTAGAGTGTGATTCTGGGGGCTGGCCGTGGGTTGCTGCACCGGTACCACCTGAGTCTCTTCAATGGAAGTCGGAAGCACCGTGGGCTGGAGTTGCTGATTTTGGTGGTCTTGATGCATATGGTGGTGATCCAGAATGATGGGACCGGGTGAAATATTTTGGCCAAGCTGTTGTTGAGCTGTTGTGGCATTCTGGGAGCTCCTAGAAGTTCTACTACGTTACACAGCTTAGCTAGAGTCTCATCTACTCTAGTTTGAGAGCAATGGGCATACCTGGAATTATCTCTACCACCGGTAGCCGGAGTACAAAACTCGACACGGTTTCTTCGGACACAATTTGAGCACGGCACTGTGAGAAAATGTTCTAGCTTGAATGATTGAATTTGCTATGTGACCATAACGTCTCTCACCTTGCCGATTGCATTTCATCTTGAGCCTCCGGCATTCTGGGCGAAACTGAAATTAGCCCTGGATACAGCCCCAGCTCTAGTCCGCACTTCCTTCAACTCACCTGCGCAGCTGTAGCAGGGTCGCTGCTTGCGCTGAGGCTTACGAGGTCTAGGGCTCGGGTAAGCCTCTTCATGGACAGTGCCATCATCACCGAGATGATCCATGTCCGATCCGGCCAGTGAATCTGCTGATGTTGGCTGCACTGTGGTCGGTGAGTAGGGGATGCTAGGAGAAAGCAAGATCGGAGATGACGAGGAACCAGCCCAAGATGCGGAGAAGGACTCCAAGTCCGGGGAATCACGTTTCCCCGACGACTCCAGACACTAGAGAGCTAGTTTTTCGTGTGGGGGCAGGGCGTGGGGATGATCCGATGGACCGGCGTATTGTCAAGGGTTATGTCCGATTCTCAGGCGATTTCTGAACGAGTTCGTCCAGCATAGCAGATCCACCGGACAAAGGAGGTTCGCCTAATGGAGGCGATGCGGAGGAACTGGTCTCTTTATGAAGAGATATATGCACAGTTCAGTCACTATGGATCACAGCAATGGCTCATCGTCTCTTCATTCATAGCATCCAGCTTTTGCAGTAGCAATTATGTCTCCTTACCTCAACGGCAACGAGCCTCCCGCAGTGGGCGAGGACCTGATCAAGTCCAAGCTCGAAAATCCGCCTGTCGCCGATGATTACATGTATGATTTCAAGTACAATCATGCACTTCCCACGTCTGACGTTCTCGGCCTCGAAATCCCCGCCGATTGCGATGCTCACAAGGAGGCCAAAGCTATCGTCGATCAACTCGCCGAGGTCATGGGCAAAGGTGATGCTCAGGGCTTCGCCAACATGTTCCTTGAATATGGTAAATATTGTTCTAGAAAATTTGTCAAAATCAGCGGAAAGGAACTGACATGAAGCATAGGTGTTTGGCGAGATAAACTCAGCTTCACGTGGGACTACCGCACATTCAACTTCCGAGAAGCCATTTTGAAAGCTGCGACGGACCTTTTCACTACCAAGGCCACGAATTTCCAATTGCTCAAGCCCGAGCCCAATATCGCTCGCCCATATCCCGACTTTGCGCAGCTACAATTTGTTGTATCCTTCGAGACCCAGGATGTCGTTGCCTCAGCAGTCATCAACAGCGTACTCACCAAGGACGGCTGGAGGATTTACACAATGCACACCGCGGCCGAGAAGTTGAAGAAGTTCCCAGAGGTCCCTGTGGCTGACGGCCACATGACAGGGCCCGTGAGTTGGGAGAAGCAAAGGGCTATCGATGTTGATGCGGCTGATCCGGAGATTCTGATTATCGGAGGTGGCCAGAAGTGAGTAATGCTCTCTTCAAGCGACGCTATATAGATTTCTAACGTTAATATAGTGGTCTTGCACTTGCTGCCCGATGCAAGGCTCTCGGCATGGACAACTTGATCATCGAGCGCAGCGCCGAGATTGGCGATGTCTGGAAGAACCGATACGAATACCTTTCGCTCCATTTCCCTCACTGGGCCGACGACCTGCCATACTTCCCCTACCCCAAGCACTGGCCCACGTATACGCCGGCCCAAAAGCAGGGTATCTACATGGAGTGGTATGCCTCGGCTCTAGAACTCAATGTCTGGCTCAAGTCGACGGTCGTCAAGGCCGAACAAGATAGCGAGGGCAACTGGACTGTTGTCATCAATAAAGGAGGCAACGAGACCCGCACCCTCCATCCCAAGCAAGTAGTCATGGCCACTTCTTTGTGTGGCAAACCTATGACTCCCGAAACTCCCGGAATGGCTGATTTCAAGGGTGTCATCCGCCACTCCACAGCACACGACAGCTCGCGCGAATTTGTTGGCAAGAAGGTCTGCGTGGTTGGCACGTCGTCGTCTGGATTCGACACAGCCTTTGACTGCTCCCGCCGCGGCATCGATGTCACCCTCCTCCAGCGCTCCCCCACCTACATCATGTCCCTCACTCACTCCGTTCCCCGAGTCATCGGCAACTATGCTCCGGATGCCGACCTCAACCGGCCGGACCTTGAGGAGCAAGACCGCCTGTTCTTTGCTACTCCCGTCGGCCCGGGTGAGGAGCTCTCTAGGCGTAATGCCAGTGTCCTCGCAGGACTTGATAAAGAGCTTCTTGACGGTCTCAACGCTCGTGGTCTCCGGACCTGGCTCGGTCAGCGAGGCACCGGTGGTTCCACTCTAGGCCAGACCCGTAACGGTGGCTTCTATTTTGATGCTGGCGCCTGTGAGCACATCATCAATGGAAAGATCAAGGTTGAACCTGGATACATTGAGCGTTTCACCGAAGATAAGGTGATTCTCAGCGGTGGCCGCGAGCGCGAGTTCGACCTGGTTGTGTTCGCGACCGGGTTCACCAACACCATCGACTCTATTCGCTCGGCTCTTGGGGACAAGATTGCTGATCAATGTGACCCCATCTGGGGAATCGACCAGGAGGGCGAGTTCAAAGGAGCCTACAGAGAATGCGGCGTGCCCAATCTCTGGATCTTTGTTGGATACCTCCCGTATACCCGCTATCATTCCAAATTGTTGGCTCTACGCCTAAAAGCCTTGAAGGAAGGTGTGGGCTCTGCTCCTTACAAGGTATAGATATACTAAATGATAGATCACATTGTCGTGCTCTCTTAGAACAGCGTGAGAATTGAAATTACATTGAAGAATTATCTTTTGAAAACTATTCGATGCTGCGAGTATACCTAAGTCAACTCACCAGCCCAAACGATATTGCTGTTTGGATGAGCCCCCAACTTAATTTCAATGTAAGAGACCCTCTCAATTTTAGATTTCAGTACTAGATTTAGATCTGGCATACTATTAATCATATCAATTATCAATTGAGGTTATCATGTCTGCGTGACAATCAGATTTAGAGCCTTACACACGAGTCCAATTCAACCTCGCTTCACAATGAGCACGCCAGAGCTAGCTTCGTAGAGTGCTTCAAGTCTCATTAAACAAGGTAAAAAAAAAGAAGCAAGGCGGGGTTTTATTTGAGTAGAATCTTATTTTGGAGTCTCAATTGTGACTGCTATTCTCCTTTGCACCGAGCTAGCTGCAAAGCCATGAGATCAACTAGATTTTCCTATCTGCAAGCAGGCTAGCCTAGGCATGAAAACAGCCATAACTCTCACACTCCTTTTCTTTTAATATCAAAATTGGTATTTCACAAATATTCGACCACTTATTGTGACTTTACGGGGCCGTACCAGTCATCAAACCCGAGATCAAAGCCCCATTTAGGAGTGTTGATTCGTTTGGCCTTCCCGCCAGCAGCCAGACCATCTAGCAGAGCCAAATCGCTTTCTAGGAGCGCAATCACCTGTCTGTTGGACGAGATACGCTTCTCGGTCACAGACTTGGGTAGCACAACAACACCCTTATTAACGTGGTAACTGATCAGAATAGTGGCGGCTGACACGCCGTTCTTGTCCGCGACCTGTTGGATTTCTGGGTCTGACATAATCGGGGCACCTAAGGCTCAAATTGTTAGAATAATTGTCTTCCTCATCGTATGTTGCGGCACGTGGGACCAAGAACTCACCTGTAGATCCAAGAGGAGAGTATGCTTCAAGGAGAATTCCCAGTTTCTCACAGTACTGCTTGAGCTCGTGCTGAGGAAGGAAGGGATGTAGCTCGACTTGATTCACGGCTGGTACGACCGTCCATGTTTTCTCTAGCTCCTTCAGGTAGGGGATAGACCAATTTGCCAGCCCAATGGCCTTGACCTTGCCAGATTTGTAAACCTCCTCCATCTGTCGCCATGTTTCGCTTTGGTTCCATGACCGATCGACCGATCTGGTACCGTCGGGGTTGACTGGTAGAAGAGGGTGGGATTCGTTCTGCGGGTATCTTTCAGCTTCCATGCCCGTAACCGCAGCGGCGAGCGAGCGAGAACACTTACCGGAACCAGTCGAACAGGCCAGTGAATAAGCTGGTTTGTATTTGGTCAGCGCGGGCCTAGGTGAAAGTTCTGCATCAAAAGGCTCCATACATAGAGGTCAAGATAGTCGACACCTAGGGCGTCAAGACTCTTCTGGAGACCTTCCTTGACATTGGGCTGGTGTGTGTTCCAAAGTTTGCTAGTCAGGAAGATGTCTTCCCGGGGCACACCACTGTCTTTGATCCCTTGGCCGACTTCATTCTCGTTTCCTAGGAGTATTCTTAGTACGTCGCTCGCGCGGTATGGATGCCAGTGTCATTTTACCGTAGATTCTAACTCTCATTAGTACAACCATCAATGTTACCTTGGGTCATACTGCATCACTCACAGGGCAGCATCAATATGGCGGTATCCATCCTTAAGGGCATAGGCCACGGCCTTGCGGACCTCACCAGGCTGAGATTGCCACGTCCCTATCCGTACAAAATTAGCGAGGGACTGTGTTATGAAAGGCAGCGGATTTACACACCCAGGCCGATGGCTGGAATCTTGGCTCCTGTGTTCAGCGTGAAATGCGTTGGCAGAGTCATTGTGATTTAGCAGTACCGTCTCCCCACGTGAATAGATCAACATCAATGGTCAAGAGAGAGGCGAACTCAGTTGAAGATATCTCAAGAAATAGGGTTTTTGGGAAATGCCAAACCAGTAGTCCATCATCCTAGAGCGAGCGCTGCTCATCTCCCAGATGTGGAACCGAAGAATGTGCCGATCGACCGGACTTTTTGTTTCTTTTCGTCCGATCCGATTGATCATGTCCGATGACCCATATTTTATTTGCAACGCTTGATCCGGCTACCCTGTACCAGAGCTAGGAACAGAACACAACGCCAGTAGATCTTGAGATGACTCTCAACTATCTAGTCTTTGGTAAATTGCAGCTGCATTCTAGTTGGACGTAAGTAGAAGACTCTTAGAAAATTAATTGTTAATTCCCTTGACGGTGTTGTGGGCGAAATCGAGAGAACCTGAACATATTACTTCAGCTACAGTTGTGGATGGAGTTGGAATGTGCGCTGCGTCGGGCATACAGAAGACTAACTTGATAGTAAATAAGGACTAACTCCTCTAGAATTAGACTTAAAATCCCTCCCTGCTAGTCTCAGCATGTACACGGTGGCCGGAGATGATCCTGGCTGCTTTGACAAGACTAGAGGATTTGCCTACACGTCTCACTCCTACGCTACGAATTCAAACACAGCAGATTCAATCATTTGAATCCTTACGATGAGCTACACAATCCTACTTTCTGGAGACCGGGTCAACTTCACCACGGTCTCCTTTGACGCAAACCGGAAGAAGCTCACAGTGACCGCGAATTACCCAAGCCCATTCAATGCGTCATGGGTTGAGCCTTCATCTTCGCTCGGACCCATTGACCGGCTGATCGGGCTGTCGGAAGGCATCGAATCCGGTAGCTTGTATACGTTCGAAATTGACCACCAGCAACAGACATGTAAAATAACGAGTTTGAAGACAACTCTAGGCGCACCTGCCCACTGTGAGAGAGTTTTTCCCTGTGTTTGCCAAAGTCTCAAAAGTTAATCTTTCCAATAAACAGTCATCACACTGCAGGATAAATCTGCACTGGCCCTGGGGACTGTAAGTACATGACTGAATGAGCAGTTCATCGTCTTTCGCTTACTAGATACAGTACCTAGGAGGCTCTGTTGCCCTATATCCCATTTCTATCACCGAAAAGGCCGGTCTGCTGCTGGCAGATACACCGCGAACCGAAACTTTCCCAGAATTCCCCTACAAGGCGCTTGGTCGCGGTCCGAACGAGGGTCGACAACGGCAATGCCACGTGCACCAAGTACTCGAGGATAAGAGAGGCTTCCTTTATGCCCCGGACCTAGGTGCAGACCGCGTGTGGGTTCTTAAGGGGGATCAGACGAAACTCGACATCTGTGGCTGGCTTCAGTGCCCCCCAGGAACCGGAGCTCGACATGCCGTCTTCGGCTCTGAAGGTATGTGAATCTTACTCTTCGACTAAGGTATCCCAAAGGTTGACTGATGGACGACACAGAAAAAATCATGTACGTGATCGGAGAGTTGTCGCATACGATCATAGCCTTCGATCTATCCACATCCCCCGAAGAGAACACTCAGCCAATTGACGGCTTTGTACATAACATCATCCCTCCCCATGTTCATCCTGACTATCATTTCATGATGGACTCTTCAGAGTTGTGTGTACACCCCAAGATTCCCAACATATTGTACGCAAGCAATAGATGGGAGAGGCACATTAAGGAACGTCAGCCTGACCTCAAAACTGTCCCCGAGGTCCCTGACGGGGATTCCGTCGCCATCTTGTTGCTCTCAGCTGATGGTAGGAGATTGGAGGAAATGAAACATGTTAGAACTAAGGTCGATACTATTCGTGGCATGAGGCTTAGCGACGACGGCAAATATGTTGTGGTGCTCGGGCAAGAAGGTGGTGGCATCGAAGTGTATGCTATCAATGGGGAGAGAGGAGACACTTGGAAATTAGTGGCTAGCTTAGATGAAGGGTTAGAAGGCGGTATCAAGCATGCTGTCTGGTTATAAAGCCGGGTAGAAGAAGTAGTCATGCATGTCTGTAGGAGCTATTGTTGCCAGCTGTAGCCCAAAAGAGTTTGTTGACTATTCTAATAATTTCTCCCTGCGAGGAAGCCCTTAGTCGCTTATGACTTGGAGTTTATTGATGATCGGGCTATAGAATGGAAATCTCTGAGCGCTGCGCTTTGAGGTTATGCCATCACAGGTACATTCTGTTTCTATTTTCTTTTTGCGTTCGCTCTGATAACTATTGACTGGGTGTCGAGTTCAGATGATCAGGAGATGATAAGTCACTGAAAATCCACTTCACTCTAACATGATGTAAATGTTCAATGTTCAATTCCCATTGTATATTAATCGGAATTTAGCTACTTAGAATACATGAAGCTTTCCAGCCCTTTCCTGTCCTCGTTGGCCGAAACTCAACACTCTTTCCCTCATGCTTTGAGAAATTACATGCTATTCTAGAACATCCCCGGACTGTTCCAGTTTCTAGCCACAAGCTGCATGAGGGTGACGGATTGATAAAAAGTATTAATCTGTCACTAGATATTTAATACTCTATTTCATCACCAAAGACTGCCGCGATCTGCTCCAGGCTCTTCCCTGATGTCTCGGGGACGAAGAAGAAGGAAAACACGGCGGCAGCAGAGCAGAAGAAGCCAAAGAAAAGGTATGTTCCCCAACCAAGCTTGAGCTGCATCTCAGGCACAATCACGCCAATGATGAAGTTGGCAAGCCAGCACATGGCCACCGAGGCACCGACACCCTTTGCGCGCTTGGAGCTTGGGAAAACCTCGGCGGGTAAAGTCCATCCCAGGGGTCCATAGGAGGCGGCATAAGCGAGGACGTAGATGTCTGGACAATTAGCGATGATCAGTTGTAAGTGTGGAAAACGGCAAGCTTACAGATGAGAGCCACGCCGAACCATCCCATACCGGGGTTCTCGGCCCATTTGTTGTTGTACTTGCTTACGACTCCGGCCATGATCATATGTGGGATTCCCATTGCGATGCCACCGAAGATTGACATCTTGCGGCGTCCAACCCTGTCGAGGAACAGAAACGTTGGGATTCCAGCCACAAACTGGCAAATATTGATCATGCCGCTGAGAATGAGGGACATTTCATAGTCTTGGCCAAGAGCGGAGAAAAAAATGGGGGCGTAGTACACGAAAGCGTTGATACCTTTACTTTGATTAGTACCGCTATAGAGATGTAAGCAGGCAACTATACTTACCAGAAAATTGCTGAAAGAACGGGATAGCCAGACCAACAACGGTACGGCGCAAAGTCTTTCTCTTGAAGAGGTCTCCCCACTGCTTGAGTTCAAGGATGAAGGCATTCGAGTCGGTTCCGTGCTCCCGTGCAATGGCTTGCTCCTGGAACGCAACCTCACTCCGAATAGCCTGCCACTCCTGCTGGACGCGGCTGTCCGTGCCAGGAAGATTGCGGAGTTTCTCAAGCGATTTCAGACTATCATCATCGCGGTGGCGCATTGCAAGCCATCGTGGAGAGAATGGGAAGAACTGGATGCCAATACCAACTGCCAGCGCCGGAGCCATCTGTAGAAGAAAGGGCAATCGGAAAGCCCAGTCGCCTGCCATGCTGCGGGTACCATATGTAATCCAGTAGGCGATAATGGCCCCAATGACAATGGAGATGGCCTCTAGGACAAGAAGCGACCCTCTCAAGTTCGGAGGTGCAATCTCAGTGATGTACAAAGGGGCTCCCATTGCGAGAGTACCCACGCCAATACCACCAATTGTACGACCAGCAACCAAAGTGCCATAGTTTTGCGAGGCAGTCTGTATGATGGCACCGACGCAGAAGAATGCCGTGGCTACGGCTAGGCCGTACTTTCTCGAGTAAGTGTCGGCAAGGAGGGGGAACGCCAAGCAGCCGAGAAAGGCACCAAGTTCCAGCATAGCCGTCATGAAGCCGGTGTTGAAGCCATAGCTGGGGTGGCCTGGAGCCACCTCCGGGAAGGACTGCTGGAATTGCGGCATGGTGAGAATAAGTGAGATCACGCCCTGGTCGTAGCCGAAGGAGAAGCCACCGAAAGATGCCAAGAGAGCGGCACCAAACACGTATGGCGAGCGAACGATGCCACCGAATCCGTTGGAGTCGTAGCTGACTTCGGCTGTTTGGTCTTCGAGGTGGACAGCGTTGTCTGATCCGGAAACTTTGTCGTTGCCGTCCGCAACGGTGCAGGAGCTCTCTTTGAGGTCCGCCATGATGGGAGCTGTCGAAGCGGTGGTTTGCTGTGTGAAGCACGTATTGAGGATCCGATGTTCCTTTGATGTTTGAAGATGAGATGGAGAAGGTTGTGCCAAGGTGTGACCTGGTAACAGATATTTATGTTTGCTCGAAACGATTCAAGTCAATATCCTCGGTTGCATCAGAACTTGGAGCTAATGCCCCATGGGGATGAGGTGGATTCACTCCTCATGTGCATGGAGTCGTTCCAGAACGTGTGAAAAACCTCATCAAACACGCTCGGACATGAGGAGCCTCCACAGACCGGACATATTTTCACTATAGCGTGCCCAATATACGTTGCGTCTTTTTCACTACTAGCATGTCCGAGCCCTAGGTGAAAAAAGGACAAGCGTAGCATCGGACATAACGATCATGAACAGGCATCTCCACATCCCCAGACCAGCAATCCATGTTGGCGATGCCATCGCATGCATTCTCTGCCTCGCCTCCGCAATCAGCCATGTGACATCCTAGCCCAATGCCACGGACCGACCGGTTCCTTCAATCGGAGTTGGGGTAAGTGTGAGTATGTATTAAACTGAGGCTTTGGGGAACTCAGAGAGATTACTAAGATGTTTAGACAAAATAAGAACACCACATCTCACAAGAACCAACTTACTTGGAGCTCTTGAGCGCAGCTCATAGATTAGGGCAGTTATTTAAAGAGTATCCTTCCAATAATTCTTATTTATTACTCTTTATTAGAATATTTTTCTTCTTCCATCTCTTCATTTCCACATTTCAGAGCTCAATGCTCTCACACTGAGGCAGCGGGCAATTCTGTAAAAGTCTGTTGATCGTGCTTGCAAGAATGGTCTCCTACCTATACGAAAGCCAACCTTTCTACCTTAGTATAGGCTGTCCAGTAAAGACACGGACAGCTAGACATATAGCCTCCTAAATGCCCAGTTATCTAGAATCCTGGAGCCATCTAGATTTGTGACACCGCTCCCTCCCACCTCCAATTGGTTATCATACATTCCCATCGCCATTCCAACTAAAAATAGCCCCAGCTGCTCTGTAGGACTATGAAGGGGCCGTAACACTGTCCGCATGAGGGGACCTAGGACAATACCCATCGCGTTGTAGACTAATCCAGGATCCGGAATGTACGGCTTGATCGCAGCGTGGTTGGAGGCGTCTACCCCAGCAGGACGAACCGATTCGATATGGAAACGTGACGTGCGTAGTTTGGACAACGCGATCTCAGTTTCGCCTTTGATGCGACCGTAGAACGGAGTCAGAGCATTTGGCTCTATGGTTGCACCACCGCCGGAAACGTAGATGAAACGGAAAGGCTCTCGCTCTGGAGAAAGAGTAGAAAAGGCTTTTGCTGCGGCGAGGGCAAAGTCTTTCGTAATTGTGATGTAATTTCTGTATGAATAGTTAGTCGAGGCGATGTCGTTGATAAGCTTGCCAAACATACTCTTTCGTGACCTTGAGCTGGCTAATACCTAGAGCCCAGACCACTCCATTGGCGCCCTGCAGCTTGTCAAGTACCTCCGGTCCATACGTATTGAAGTCAGTATGAATAATGGTGTTGACTCTTGGGTCTTCTGCCGCCATAGGCACAGGTCTTCGACTCAAGATGGATATCTTGGTGACCGTGCTTGACTTGAGCATGGCATCCAGGACACTAGAGCCCACCAAGCCGGTAGCGCCTGTAAGGATAAGATGCATGGCAACTGTCCGTTGGATGTTGGAGGCCGAAGGGAGGAAAACAAAGTTAGCAGTAAGATAGAGCAAAATAGACGAAAAAGAAGATTGCACGACAAACTCACTACGCCATCATATATAATGCTCGCCTGGGCTTGATCACTCATTATTCCGATGCCTCGGATGCTAATTAAAGCCTTAGCAAGGGCGTAAGCAAGCGTGGCAGTAGAGTTAGATAGTGTAACATGTCCTTGACCCTCCTGACGCCCCGAAAAGGGGAAGGTTGTTTTGCCCTTGAGCAGGGGCGTAAGCAACTAGCGCAGCCAGGGAGGAGAGATACAGTCACCGGGCCGCTGTGGTGGAATGATCTGTCGAAGCAGAGGGGCTCAAGAAGGATGATGTTAGGTAAATAGAAAACAGTTACATGTCGACAGGACGGCCCGAGGATCCTCATTGCTATCTGCACTCGTGATAATCGTGATACGGTATACACGGTGGCATACTCTCTCTGTACTGTGTGGCCGGTGATGTCAATCTCTCCTGGATGAGGACGGTAGTGGAAGTCAACTCGAGATGTTGCTGGGGTATGATTTCCTCTTCTCGCATGGAAAAGCTGCAGCTTGCTTATCCCCCTGCCCAACTCTAGTGCCGACGACCGACAGGCCACAGTTCACCCTTTATATACCCTCCATCTCTCCTTACAAGCAGCAGCAAGGCTCAGCATGATTCTTACTACACATGTTCGATATAGGGACAGGATTATGTTATATGTTAAAAATTCTAGCCTCAGAAGAAGCTACCATGGTCGCCATCGAACAGATTCGCAATGAATTGGCGCAAGCTTCACGCTCCGGGCGCCAGCTTGTCGCCGTCTTCGGTAAGTCTGATTTACAAGCGCATGTTTCAAACGGTGTTGCCGCTATCCATGGTGCAAAACATTGACGTACGTTGCTTTCTGAAGTTGGTGGCACCAGCGGTATTGGTGAAAGCACCGCTCGAGAACTTGTTCGATATTCTACCGGTCCGCGGATTTACCTGATAGGCAGAAGCCAAGATCAAGCCGATCGTATCAAAACAGAATTCGCCTCGTTGAATCCAGCCAGCGATGTGTGTTTTATTCAATCCGACGCCTCGCAACTACGGAATGTGGACAGCATATGCGATAAGATCAAGGCACAGGAGGAAAAGATCGATGTTTTATTCCTCAGCGCTGGCATATTTCACCTCAGAGGGCGGGAAGGTGAACGACATTTCCCCTCCCTTGCAAGAACATTCATCTCACATTTTCCCCAGAAACACCTGATGGTCTCGATCGCAAGATGGCTCTTGACTTTTACTCACGATTGCGTTTCACCGAAAACCTATTGCCCCTGCTAAGATACGCCTCAAGCTTGAGCAGTTCCCAATCTACGAGGCAGGTGTCACCGGCGGGTGGCCGAGTCATATCAGTCCTTGGGGGAGGCAAAGAGACGTCTATCGATGAATCTGACTTGTCTCTGAAACTCAACTATACCTTGAAAGCTTCCACTGATCATGCAGTGACCATGACTACAAACTCATTCCAACGTCTCGCCGCAGCACCCGAGAATGCCAATGTGGCATTCTTCCATACCTCCCCTGGCATGGTCAAGACGAACGGGGATCGTGAATTGAACTTTGTTATCAGGTTGTTGGAGTCCACGGTATCTTATGTTTTCAGACCGTGGATCACGTCGACAGAAGAGACTGGTAAGCGTCATCTTTGGGCGGCCGTTAGTGATGCCTTCAGAGGCGGACAAGTCTACTTGCTCAACCAAAGAAGCGAGCGCGTAGATAACTCCAAGGTTCTGAACAGAATTCATGAGGAAGGACTTTCCGACCGCGTGTGGGAACACACTCGGGAAGTGTTCAACACGATTCCTACTGGTGATAATCACAACGCTTAGGGAATCTCGCTAGCAACAAGCAATCATTCAGGGCTGTCAGTAGACAAGATAGCAGTTGATCGATTGACTAGTATTTGCCCAAATTCAGTTGTTCGTGATAAAGACCTAGAAGAGAGTAGAAGCCTGACAGAAAAATTCCAACTTTAGCCTACAAGTCAAATCCAGCAAGCGCTGTCTGACAGACATCGTAGTCTCGAAGAATCTCCTCCTTGCGTTTAGGATCCCGCAAAACAAAATTGACCTTGAATGGCTCTGGCCCCATCACAAGCCCAGTGTGGAAACCGGTCTCGGTATTGAGATCAAGAGGCCCAGCAGGTTCAATCTTAAATGACCATATTAGTTTAGCAATGGCCGTGATGATGGAATTTTGCGCAAATGCCTCCCCGGGGCAGAGCCTTCTACCAGCACCAAAGGTGTAGGTCGCACGTTTATCGGTAGCATCGGCACCTTTCTTGAGGCCGAGAGGGTGATTGAGGTATCTCTCTGGGATGAATTCGTCGGGCTGCTCATAGTCATCAGGATTACGCTGCATGCTCCAGACGTTGGCAAGAACGGTAGTGCCTTTGGGGATCCGGTATCCGTCTACGATGTCGTCTCTATCAAGAATGCGCGGTAATCCATTGGGGGCAGGAGGGCATAGACGGAAAATCTAGGACACAATAGTTGTCAGCGTTCAGGCCGGGATGACTCGTATACGGGCATTGTTGAAATCATACCTCAGCAAGACAGGCTCCAATGTACGGCAGGTCACCTAGCCTGTCACCACCGGGGATTTGGTCGGGACTGATCCGCGATACCTCTTGATAAACCTTCTCCTGTACATCAGGGTATGCTGCCAAGTACAAGACAAAACTCATCATGGACGCCCAAGTGGTGTCCACCGCCGCATCAAGTAATCCACCACCGAGATAGGCAAGCTCATCAGAAGAGAACCCCAGCTTACCAGATTTGTCTTTTCCATCTTCTAATCCATCTTCCAAGATTTTGGCCATTAAGCATCTGAATCTTGTAGATTTGTTCTGACCGGGCGTGGCCACGCCAGCCTTGCCGCTGAGCTTCTGGGCGGACTCCAGATAGCTCGCATACTCCTCAAACATATAGTCCCTCACATATCTCGCATCTGTCTTCCATGAAGCAAGCCTTTCAGGAATCCATCGGAGCATGGGCACCATATCAACAGGTGGTGCATTTCCAGGTTCAAGCAACTCGAGCCACAGCTTCTGCGCCTTGAAGAACCTATCGGAAAAAGCCTTTCCTCGCTCTTCAAGTCGCTGACCAGTGATAGCAAGAAGCGGTGTGGCTAATGCCCACTGCTTGAGATAGTCAAGAGTGGCAGATGGAGTAGTATTAAGTAGCTGCTTGGCGAGGGCTGCGGCTGTGGCCTCCTGCATAGGAAGGACTTGCTTCAGGCCGCTTGTACCAATCAGATGAGCAACAGCAGCACGCCATTTTCGAAGATACGGTGTGTTTTGCAGGTTAAGGATGTGTTTGTCTGCATGTTGACAGAAAACATGCTCGTTGGGGATGTAGCTGTAGGGTCTACCAGAGTAATGTGCCGCGCGCTTACTCAAAAGTTGATGAACGGTTTGAGGATTATGAAGGATAACGAGGTTTGACGGCCCAACTTTGAGGCCAAGGATGTCACCATAGGTTTTAGACCACTTGCCGAATTGGATGAATGGTTGTTTGAGTGGAATCTGGCCTAGATTTCCAAGTCCCAAGACTGTCGGCGGCCCTGGCGGATAGTCTTTGGGCCGCAGTGTGGCGAGACAGAAGCGAGTGAGCACGAACGCAAGCGCAAGTGATACACTGGCTACAGCAATCAAATTTGGAGTGGAAAGCATGATGAAGATAGCACTCATAATCCGGTTCCACCCCCATTTCAGCAAGAGGGACCCCGCGTTTCCAGATGGGGGGCTTTGCGTCTTATCTACTTAGGTATGGAGGGCATCTGGTGACGAGGATAACGATAAGACTATCCTACTTGAGCCGCACTTCATGTGCTGTAACCCAATAGTACAAGGCCAGGGTCCTTGGTATTGGCCCAGTTTCGAGCTAATGTGAGCTTCATGCAGCGAAGAGTGATATTCGATCACTTGTTGATCCTTCTAGCCGACAGCCAATGCCGACTTTTCGATTTCACATGCCCGACACAAAAGTCCTCTTCTCGCTGAGGAGCTACGCAGTCTTGGCAGCCAAGTGCATTGTAAAAGGCGGAAGAAAATGAAGCTATTGGGGAAGCTTATGCTTTTTTGGACTTCAGCTGCATGGGAAATGCAAATTGACGTCTAGCGTGTGATAGAAAAGGTGAGGAGCATATACTAGCTGTGACGAGTTGCATTGGCACGCAGCCTGAACCTGTTTTCCAGAGCGCTAGACGATGCCCTCTCAGCTTTCTTGGTCTGAATCAAGTCACGACGGCATCAGCCTTTCCAGGCACAGTGAGGTGGCTGAACATCATTTCCTCGCGTGTCATACTCCCCTGCACACTTATGTTACATCCTCAGTATTGTGGTGTAGTCACTCTGCGATCATACCCTCCCCAGTTAAATTCCTGTTGGTCAGCCAACATTGAGATCTTTCGTCGGACTGTTATTCCCGCATTTGTTGGCATGGAAGAGCGCCCCGTCTATAAAATGTTGAAGCAACCTAATTCGTTCCGATACGTCCTGTTTTCACTGTATTAATCTTCATATATTTAGGTGGCAGGGGACAGATCAGGTAAACAGTGACAACAGCCATCCCGGGGCCACAATCATGGAGGTTTCACAACAACTATATCCCGCCCATATGTCAGAGCTGATAGATGGCCTTGTTCAGGCGACCTTCAATGTATCCTATCCATTGTCAACACTCCAGTTGTAATTTAAACCTTCCTTCATTGCCTGAATTGGAGCCACATCCTTATAGACACATCTCTTCGTCGCTCTACTTGGGATGGCGTTTGATCATCCGACCCGGCCGCCCGATACCCGTATACATTTGCCAATTATTCAATATGACCATCCACGTCCATTTCTTTCGCGCAGTGGCTCGGCCATCGTTGAATGTTCCGTAAAATCGGAAAAGCCAGAATTAAGCTCTCCATAGTCAGGGTCTGATGTAGAGAACTAATTTAATCGCCCGTCATAGCTGTTCATTGAGCGCGTTTGGCGCCTGCCGTGGCCGAATCTGAGGTTTTATCCTTATCGCGAACACCAGACTGTTGCTTTTGAGAAGAGGGGTAGGCATCGCCGGTCGAGGGTGGGCTTTGAAACATATCAACGGCCCTCACATTTGTCTTTCCGCCACCCTCTCCCGCCCCTATAGCGCCTGAAGACGGGAGTTCATGCCGAGAGGCGTCCGTATGGGGAACACCCTTGTGCGCTCCCTCTGATGGGAAGTCGGACCCCGCAAGGCCAGCGCCGCTGAGGCCTTCGGTGGAGCGCTGCTTGCGAAGCTCCTCGCCCTTCGGGATTTTATTACTTGATGTTCGAGTGCGGTAGTAGAGAGCCGTCCCGAGGGCGGCTGTAGCAACGACTGGAATTGCGAGGCGGAAAGGGCTTGGTTTGGAGGTTCTAGGATTGATCATGATGGTTTACTGCTGTGAACAGCGAGTGATCTAGTTTTCTTCTACAACATGGACCAGAAAGAATTGCAGTGGTGGCATGACGTCCAGATATTTATATCCTCAGAAAAAAAGGACCCGCTTCTTCTTCGCACACAGTGATGACGAACTGCAAATCAATGATGGTGATGACAGCTCGATCTGGCCACCAGGCTTAATTTTAACGCTTTCATAGTGCTCCCGAGACACTGGAAGAATTAAGTTATTATTAGATATTGCGGGAATGCTCTGTTCTATGAACACTGTGGGTCATCGAAAATTCCATGATTTCATAGTTGATAATATCGAATAGTCTATGATTCAATGACTTGCCCAAATGCAGGCTTTACTAAATCCACACATACCATCGCCAATTAGTGTTTCTGGTGTCAATTGTAAAATCACTTGATAAATCTGGCTATGTAATAGTGGATCTAATACCTAAGCCTTTACTGCAGTGTATATGAAAGATTCTTGGTTGCAAACTGCCTCCATCAACCTCGGCCGCCGTTTGCTTTTTCCTTCCAACAATTAATTGTAGGGAATGCCCTGTCACTTATCGTCATTTCTGTAGCCCACAATCATTCTAGTACAAACCCCAAACTTCGACTTCAGGTTTTCGTGCATCGGGGGTGCACAAACTAGTTGTGCATAAGAATCCAAGGGTGTTGTTGAATTTCTTCCAGAGAGAGTCGTTTGCGAGGGTCCAAAACGAGGATCTGTCTTCTTGTCAGCCACCACTCACTGTTGGCAAATCCAGGATGATGAGTTACCTTGTGGATCAGGTCCGTGGCCTCTGCACTCACAGATGAGGGAACTTCCATATCCAAGTTCTTGATCCTCTTCTGTGTCATCAACATATCATCTTCAAACGGAGCTTTTCCAGCAAGTAATTCGAACGTCAGAACTCCCAGACACCAGACATCTATCATGGTATCGTAGTTCTCAGCGCCGTTTAGCATCTCGGGCGCGAGATAATCCAGCAACCCGCACAATCCTGAGCAATGGCCATCTACCATGGGCTTGCTCCAGATGAAGCCTGAAACCTTCACCTCTCCATCAGATCCGATAAGAATGTTTTCAGGGTTGATATCCCGGTGAAGGATGTTCTTCCCGTGGATGTGTTTGAGTGCCTTTGCTAACTGGGCAACCAGCTTGGCAGCCTGGGGCTCGGGAAGCCCGATATTCTGTTTCATGAGATCATACAGACTCCCCTTTTTGGATAGCTCCATGAGGATATATATGTAGCTTTCATCCTCATATTTGCCTTCAAATTGCCCGAAGACTCTGAGTACGTTTGGGTGATCCATCTCGCTTTGGATCTTGAAGCTGCCTCTAGCTTGCTCTTCGACTCTACCAAGAATCAGATCGGTCTTTCTCATAGTCTTCAGGGCGTACTCAAGCCCCGTCTCACGATCCTTAGCATGATAAATCCGAGAGAACTTCCCCTTGGCCAGTGTCCTAAACTGATTAACCTCAAACATACCCAGGTTCAGGTCCTTACTGAATCGCTGGCTGGGTTCAGTGGTGGGGGGTAGGGTATGGTCTTTCATTTGGCTGGCCTCCTGCATCAAGGCGTTCTCAGGAGATGCCATTTTGCCCAATGTTTTTAATAAAGTGCCACGTCCGTCGGTCTCAATATTAAAAGAAAATTGAATAACAAAAGATGGTTTGTAGGAGTGAGAAAAATCTCACAGAGGAGTGTCCGGGGGCCCTGTGTGGGGTGTATAAGATCACGTCCTAGCACCAACAACAAAGTCGCACGCGTGAACTCCTTCTTGCAGGGCGCGTAAGACCACAGGCAACGTGTCACGATTGGCATTTATTCTAACGGATGAGAGTTCGGGTATAAAGTTAAAAACAGCAATGAAAGATACCAGACCCGACATCTCAACACAATGAATACAAAAGGCCAAAAATAAGCTCTACTAGCCCAGGAGTTATTCCAACGACTCAATTGTCGCCAAAATAAAAAGACTCGCCGTGCTCTTTTGTGCCAGAGCATCCAATTGCTTCACAACTGATTTTGATGCCTACCTTCATCTAGGTATCAAAGGCCCAATGTCTCTTATACATATCCACGGATGAGAGAGTTCAAGTACGAGGTGAAAGCTATCAATGAAGATGCTAGACGCGACAACACGATGGGCACGAAGGGTTAAAAACAAGCTCTGCTAGCCCAAGAGCCATGCAGAAGGAAACTCTGTAAACATTCATACCTAGGACTAACTTATTGTCGGGACGAGGACTACATATCCACAGAAGATCGCGATTAATAATTGAGAGCGCAACATGTGAAGAATGGTTTGAAATTTTTTTTCATTGATTTTCGGTTCTAAGCTGATCTACAGCCAACGGGCTGCTTCTCATGACGAAGGGGAAGCAGCCTAGTAAAGACCAACAACGACGTCACCCTTGACACGAGCAGTCAGGTGAACCTCGGCCTCGAGGTCGAGCTTGATGCCGAGAAGGAGAGCGGCATCCTTGAGCTTGCCGTTGTCCTCGGCGCCCTTGACGATCTGGCCTGTAATTGCAAGCATCGTTAATGTCTGCTCAATCTAACTGTCTTTTGGGAGCAATGAAATAGGATGACGGTGGAGAAGACTTACCAGCAGGAGCATTGAGGCCAGTGGCGGTGGGCAGGGGTACCTGGAACTGAGCACTGTTCGGAGATATAGATTAGCAATCCGGAGGCCTATTTAAGGCACTGGCGCCTAGGGGAGCAGAGAGAGTCAATGCTTACGGGGCAGACATGTTGATGGATTTGTTTTAAAAACGGGGGGTTTTAAAGTGGTGGTTGAAGTGGATTGTTGAAGTTGTGGGTGATGATGGGAGAGAAGAGAAGAATTTGCACGGGATGGATGGTCCCTTTTATGGTCTGTGATGGTTCTATAGACATGTAGTTTTCCCTTTCCTTTGTCGTCAAAATTCTTGCATGATTTATTCGCTGCCCGGCTCGATTCAATGCAAAGAGGTCAATTTCCCGACCGCATTGTTGTGCCCCTGCAGATGCAGAATTGTTTGACCTGCCCAGCTCACCTCGCTTATTGGATTCATTCCTGCACTCCAATGAGAGCACGCCAGCTCTCAATTAAATGTAGGTGTACAGCTTCTGGCGCAGACGCTTTTTCATGCTCACGCAAGCAGATGCGTTTAAGGGTCCAGACTCTAGCCAAGTCACCAGCTATCAATAATATGTGTCAATGCCCAGCCAGAGAGAGACGGCCCGGTCCGTTTGTCCCCAGTCCAGGCCAGAGAGGAGAAATCGCTTGCTTGGGAAGCATCTGCCTAACACGTCACATATGCCTCATATGTTATGCATACACACGTTGTAAACAGCCACACAATGGAAATCAATGGAGGAGCAAGCATGAAATTAATCCCCACTGGCGAGACCCAAACCTGCCATGCCTTGCCGGGAACGCTGAAAGACGTGTGGGGGTTCGGAGCCTTGAGTTTGAAGCCATTCACGCACTTCGAAGAATAACATCACACTACAATGTGGAGCTGAAGGTCTAGCTAGGAGCCAAATCAAACTCTCCTGTTTATTACTGCATGATACGGCAAGAGAGGCAGGATAGTGAGATGATATGGTCTCCAAAGTAAATCCAGGGCATTACAGAGCACACGGCGCTGCCGCTGCTCTCGGTACCTGCAAATATCTCCTCTCCCATTCGAGGAAATCATGTATACCATGAGGATTATACCAATATGGCCCTTGATCTTCATCCATGCACATACCGTCCACGTCAGCTTTGATCGCCGGATCCATTTCCGGCTGCAGCCGTTTGAATCCAGCATATATTGCCTCTGGGATTTCGTAAAAGTTGGGGTTTTTAGGCAACAGTTGTCCAGGACGAATTTTCACAATATCCTCGTCGGTGTTCTCGTCAGGTTTATAAATTTCCTCCAAATCACTCACATCGGAAAGCTCATCCCTATTCCCATCATAGTCGATATAGTTATCATCAAGGGGCACCGGCTGGCTTGTAGAGCAAGCTGTTGAGTGATTTAATGGGCTTCGTTTTTGTCGACTCGTCTCGGGGACAAGACCTCCATGAGACTGGAACCCAAATGAATCAAACCAATCCATAAACTCCTCTGTATATTCTTCTCCGTTTCGTTGGAGATCATACAAATCATGATCTGCTGACCAAAGCATGGCCACTTCATAGGCCGTCCAGCCAAGAGTATCAACCATCGTTAATTGTCTGTCGCTAAAAAGCGACTTGCTAAATAGAATATTACCATGGCGAAATTTTGGTGCCGCGAAGGAGTATGGCGTGCTTAATAGGTGACACATATCATCATCTGTAGCTTCAGGGTTGGTATAGACACTCTTGACTGGTTTCGTAGGTGATGACTTTCTCAATGGAGGTGCTGGGAGGGGCTTTGTCGGCGATGGCCATGGAGAAGGCGAAAATATAAGTGCCCCCATAGCTTTCTCCTTATTTTCGGTCATTGTTTTCGGTGCTTCAGTTAAAGAAATATTGACATGCGAATGAGTTTGGCGGTCCTCATTAATGCGAGGTGTAGCTTTCAAACACTCGGTCCGAGAAGGTTTCTCCGTGCTGCTGATTTCTGAACAACCCAGACTGGCTTCTCCGAGCGATGGAAATGAGGAATTCATGTCCGACAAAATATCCTCAGCAGTGATGAAAACTGCCAAAGGCTCTCCTGCATAGGCAGCAACGATCATTCCATACCAAGTATGATCTTTCACAACCCAGGATCCAGACGTGCCCTGAGCTATTGAACAATTAGCAAACTTGAACAATCGACGCGTAAGTTAAACGGCAAGAGCAGGTATTACCTAACGGCAGCCGTAGCTGCAGCTTTCTGGCGGTTACTTGACCCCCTTCTAAATGTATCGTTTGAAAACCAGGGAGGAGCCAAGCTTCCTCCACTTGACCAAGTCCCAGAATTACGCAAACACGGCCATCTTTCATTTCTGAATTTGAAGAACACGTGGTTATCGCTTTGAAACTGCCAGCTTCCTGCGCTGTCGACGGGGTAGTGTAGGTATTAGGAAGATTCTGCAGCGTAAGAGACCTCAAGAGGGCATAGTCGCTTCTATTAGTCGCAGAATTCATTGGAGTCTGTTCGTTTTGAACAATCTTTCCAAAGCAGTTGATTCCACAGACCTCGTCCAATGGAGTCCACAGTGAAACGATCTCGGAAAGGTCGAGTAGCCCCAAGCGCTGAGCAGGGCCAGACAATGGCTCCATCATTTCGCTCTCCTCACTGTCGTAGCTGTTTTCAGAATCAGATTCTGAATCACTCGCTAGGGAGTCGCTGTATGAAGAGTAAGCTTCATGCAGATCATCCTCCTCCTCGTCCAACAGTCCATGTGCCACCGTTAAGATGGTACCGAGGTGGTGTTTCTGGCATTCGTTCAATATGTCAGACGTTAGAATTCCTCCGATTCTAGATAGACGCTGACTTCGTACTGTATTATCTTTTAAATACGTAGCGCAACATAGCCAGCCACAGGCTGAAGGGGAGCTGAAGCCAGGATGGAGCTCGGCAATATGAAAAAGAATATCTCCTCCTCTATAACTCAAGCTGGAACTTGATACCGCATATTTTTGAAGTTGTTCTAACGGGATCACAGTCTCCAAGATGCATAGCTCAATCCCGCCAATGCAGAATTCAACTGGTCGATTGAGAAAACCTTCGATCCATGAGATGGATCTGAGTGCCTTCTCGAGAACTTTCGAAGCCCATTCACTGCCACAAAATATCCACACATGTGGTAAGAGGGTGATGGTATGCGGGTGAAGAGGATCGAGGACCCCGGACATACGCAGCTCAGCGTTGAATTCGCGCTCCGATCGTCGGCATTTTCGCTTCGATGCCTTTCGTGTCAGCTGGATCCTCGTTGGCTCCAGGTCCAATTCCAGCCTCTCTTTAATACCCCCGGCTTCACTCCATTTCCGCTCAAGGATATCTGGCACTCTCACCTCCCACGGCTTTCCGAACCATGGCTTAGCCTTTTTTCGCCCCTGGTGCTGATAGATGTGTGGAGAGGAAGCTGGGAACTGTTGACTGGTCCTCGCAGCCTCTCTCAGGAGCTGTGGAGTATCGGGTACCGAGCTCTCATTAACAGGCAATGACGAAGTGTCTGGACCTTTTTCTCTTGGTTCTGAAATGGGGATTGTAATTTCAGTATCGCCACTTTCCGCCGAATGTATTGTGCCCGATGAGGAACTCGTGCTCCTCCTGTCGATTGATCTTTCAGGAACGCCTGAGCGGAAAATACTTCGCACTGAAAAAACACTTTTCCGCTGTTCTACTTCCACAGGAGCCTGGGTTAGAACCGAGCCATACCTCAGCATGGTTGTAGAATGAGGGCAGAACAGCCCTGTGGTCAGTGGGTCTGGAAATACTACCACCATTAATCAGGCTTTCTGCATTTTGCCATTTAGATATTGGGTATAATATCAAAGGCCTCTTTGAACAAGAGAAATCGTTCGCGGCAGCCTACATTGAAGCAAGGTGATCGAGCGGGGTTCTAACTCGGGGACATCTTTGCCCAGTTGATTCATCGAGGCTTGGCACGCCACCGGATCTTCGCGGAATATGCTGATGGCGAAGTGCGTAAACTTCTAACCGCTTTGATCGATCCCTGGTGCCTATCAGTCTGATGATAGACACGTGTTGGGGCTTGTAAGGCGCCTTCAGCCATGGTGAGGAGGCGCAGGCAAGCAGGCAAACTCCCCGCAGGGCCTCTGTAAGCCAACCGGAATGACACCTCCATATTCTACCTGCATGGGGACGAAATCGGAGAAGGCTCTTTACATTGTACAGGGAGTTGACTGCTTCCCGATGAAGTCGAATCTGCGGACCAAAATGCACCAGACAACGATCAAGCACACAAAATCGCCAACTATTAAACATGAGTATGTCAGGCATCATTCATCAAACAAAGAGGTGAATCGAGAGTGTCATCAGCGTTGAGGTGCAATCGACAGTTGATCCGCCAGGGCTTAGTACTTGGCTTGTGGCTGGACAGCTCACCCCTGTTTGCTCAGCCTCTATTGACGATGTCCATCCCTGTAGCGATAGCTGTCTTCTGCATATTGAGGGGCAAATAACTTCATTTGTTTTCAAAAGAAAACCCCGTGATCTAAAACCTGTGTTTATGATTGAAAGTATCCTATGGCAGCGATCAAACAACTCGTCACCTCAGCGGTGACAACATTTCGTGGGAAGGCGTCAAGAGACTGGGAACCCACCGACGACATTCGGCTTTGCAACGAGATATGGCCTGCATTGGTTGAAGCATACCCTCTACATCCCGATCAGTATTCCCACTTGGCGGCATTCGCTAAAGACCAAATCTCAAAGCTGCGAACTCTTCGACCACAACGGCTAGGAATTGAAACAGATATAGCCACCTTGGCGGAATATTTACGCACCTTAATTAATCAACCCCAAGAAAATGTCATACAAGGCTTCCAACAATTTTTACAACTAGATGAAGAATCGAGTGCCGACCACAACTCGGTGACGAGGATTCTTGGGGTTTTAGCTTCACTATGTCTCACAACTACCATTGCAACAGACAGGGATGCCGAGAAAGCAGACCATGCCCCTGTTAGGTGGGAGAAAAATATATCTTTACAGGCCGCCATCGATTCTTACATGGAAAGAAAAGATGCCACAGAATGGTCTGTTTCGAAGTCAGCAATTGATCAGAGGTTGACACTGCATAATTTAGTAGCAAATTATGGCTTCGAAGTGGACTGGACTAGCGACTTCAACGAACACCTCAGAATCGATGAATCGACAAAGGTTCTATCAATATATGAACACAAGGTCTGGCTCTATGCACACCTGCGACCAAATACGGAATGTCCGCTTCCCAGAACCGCCATGGAAGAATGTCTCGATACCCTCAACGTCCTCTTTCCACACCACGAACCAAGCACAGCCACCTTTCTCAAGAGCCGAGGACGCAGTTTCCATTTGCTCGGAAGCTGCGGCCGTAAATCGTCGAGGGATCTCAGAGACTACCCCCGCTGGGGACGAAATCTTGACCAACTCCTCAGGGTATTGGAAGGTCCTCCATCAGGAATCCGGCAGCTTCTTCCCAAGCCGAAAGAGGGCAAGCTGCTAGACTTGGTCAACTTTTGGATAGCCCTGTCAGTAGCGTTTCTGACAGGAATTAGCTTCATATTTGGGTTGATGGCTGTCATATTTGCCAAGATGTCGTATGACGTTTCCGTAGAGTCGCTACGCCTAACCCGCGAGCAGTATCTTCTATCGCTGGCTCAGGCGTGTTCCGGCAGAGAGGTTCCAGACGCTGTTCGTCGGTTTGCGATGCAACTTGTATCAAGTCACGACATGAAAAAGACGATTCGAATGTTTGATCGTATACGAACGGAAGAGAAAGAGAATAAAGTTCAACAGCAATGAAAGCTGCCAGGGCCCGGCACCTCAACCCAACGAATACGGATCGCATACGAACAAACAAGCAAATGAATATACGGCATGGTCAATCCAGGTTGTTCTTCTCAATTGCTAACAAACAGCGTAGGATCTGGAAATACAAGACTCATAATTCCAAGCTCTTCTGGAGGACCATATACATAGCCATTGTTCAAAAAGAAAATACCAAATGCGACAGTTGTGTGGTACGATAAAATGTAGCCCCGCACGCTTCTTTGTTGGTTGTGTTTTCTTTCTGAAATTCCCTCAGCCATCCCAGAATCGTGATGAGCGAACTACGCATATCATGACAGTACACACATGTACCCATTGTGAAAAAATCAAGCTGGCGTTACCCCTAGGGCACGCAGCTCAGAATTTCACCAACAAGTTCAGCTTCAAGGGGCAAGACATTGCCGCAGCATCGAATGCAGGCTGTGTCCTGTTCCAGGAATGCACCCGAGTGCTCCGAGGACTAGATAAGGAAGACCAAAAAAACACGCAAGTAAGCTTACGGGTTGGCTTTCGTAACGGCCGTGTCTTTCTCAAGTTTGCCAATCGGAGGGCCTCGTGGTACGAAGCGTATACAAACGAGAGTATGCGCATCCCCTACCCACCAGCATATCTTGCATGTCTAACGCTCCGGTATCCCAGATGACCCATGTAGCTCGTTCGTCTTGGCGAGGCCGGCCAATACAAACCAAAACGCAGCACATTTCCTCTCACTCGCTAGAGACTGGCTTTCTAGCTGCCTAGAACATGCTGGAACCAATGCCCATCATCGATGTGTGCCACCAAATCAGACGGGGTTTCTGCCCTCGCTGATACTCAAGATCACTCCCGACAATGGGTGTTTCCGGGTAAATCTGTGCAAGCCAGATCAGACTCAGGTCGTACGATATGCATGTCTAAGCTACTGTTGGGGAGGTGACCAAAAAATGAAGCTACGGGCTTCAACTTTGTCAGCATGGTTGACAGATATTCCCATCGCTGACCTGCCGACTATCGTGGTAGAAGCGATCACCGTATTGGCGAGCCTGGAATTGCACAACCTTTGGGTAGACGCGTTGTGCATCGTGCAGGATGACCCAGAGGATGTTTCCACACAAATCGGCATGATGCCGCAAATATACCAGAATGCTACTGTCACAATCACAGCTTCCACCGCCAGCACCTGCTATGAGAGCTTTCTCCGACCCAAGTCACCACCGCCATTATACCGAGCGGGACTAGCCCTGGCTGTCGATTTACCAGACGTTAAAAGTGGAACAATGTTTCTTCGCGACTGTGACGACGACGTACCGTTCCGGGAACCTGTGAGTCAGCGAGCATGGACCTTGCAGGAGAGCATCCTCTCGCCCCGCCTACTCGAGTACGGATATGAGCGGGTGAGATGGTCTTGCAGGAGCCTCCAGATATCTCAAGGTGGCAGCTCTCAGAGTCCAGGACAGTACAGCCCCCGTTTTATTTTCTACAACTCGCTCGGCTCAGCCGGAGGAGCACATCCACATGGTCAACGAGCGGTGGCATGGTGGAGAGTCATCGGCGACTTCACGCGCCGGGAACTCACTTTCCCCAAAGATAAGTTACCAGCCATTTCGGCCATCGCTTCTGAGCTTGCCGCGAACTCGGAACCTCGAGATGATTACCTAGCTGGGCTGTGGAGGAGAGACTTACCGTTGCACCTTCTATGGCGAGCAGACTTCCCCAGGAAGCCTCGGCCAACATCGTACCGCGCGCCGTCTTGGTCTTGGGCGGCTGTTGAGAGCCCGGTGTTTCACCCTCACGCCTCCGATGGAGAAGAGGGATGGGAAAGAATGGCCAACTTGGCGGGATGTCTGACAGTGGTTGATTATTTGGCTGAACCGGTATCGCCAGCTGCCATGTACGCCAGCGTTCGAGCAGCTCACCTCATTCTGCGGGGATTCGTGCTTGATGCCAAGCTCTTTCGTACAGGGACAGAGTACGAGATTCAGTCGCCGTATATTCTCCTTCAAGAACGTACCAAAACCTACTATCCCGATGCCATCGAAGACGAGGATTTCCTGGCGGGTTCAGCGGGGCGAGATGTCAGTCTCCTGCTTTCATTCCTTATAGTACGGAGTCCAGTCCTCAAGGAATAGTGATGATCCAGCGGCAGGATGAACTAACATTCAGTCGAATCGGCTACTTCATTTTCAAAACTGGTCGGGGAGTGGCAAGTAGCCAGGATACAACAAAGCTTGGCGTTCCTAATAATCTGCCTCCAGGGGAGTGGACAACTAGAAATGTTCGTATTGAATAGACTGATGCGATTCACTAATACTCCAGATCCCTTTGTCTCGTCACACTTCTATAATGTTAGAGCTGAGCCAGGAAAGTATACTAAAGGATAAAAGACCAGACTAACAGGCTATAAAGAATTAATCGAACGAACGATACCTTTAGTAGGAGTGATAGTATCATGTATTGGAAGATGAATGAAATCATAATAATAGAAGAAGTACTATTTATTTGTCGCTGATGAAATAGCCTCACTGCTTATAACATGAACTGAGATGGGATAATCTCGCCTCTGTCATTGGCTTGATTGGGTGCCAAGCCCCACTTAATCGCCCATACGAACACGTCGCGTTTCTCCTACTTTCATCATGTCTTTCTACGCTCTATGCCAATTCTGTGAAAAAATTGATCTCTGTTCCATGATGGTGGCTATCGGTGCAGATCAGCATGCAGCCGTTTTGCGCGTCACAGCCTATCATCGCCAATACTTCGACATCATCGTCGTCAACTCAGATCCACGAAAGCAATCGATGGTTCAACCCTTCATCTCCGAACCTTTTGCAAGCCCTGCAAGTGCGCCCCTCGGGACTTTAAGGCACCTCCCAAGCGAAGTCCTAGTGGGGATATGCTCCTACCTGGACATCTTGTCCTCCTTCAGGCTCCGCCAAGTTAACCGGATGACCCGTCAAGTTGTATCAGGATTACCGGCATATCGAGACCTTTCAAGGTATGCCTTAGAGAGCCTACGGACAGCTCTGCGAACAGGAATTTCCAACTGGATACTGGTCTCTGACCTCTATCGTACCCTCTGCACAAATGAGTGCTCTCAGTGTGGCCTCTTTGGGCCACTCCTGTTCTTACCAACAGTTGAGAGGTGCTGTTACCACTGTTTGGATTCATCCCCGAATTACCGGCCATTTTCACTCTCTCTGCTATCGATGCTATCCAGGGTTTCTCAAATCCAACTCCGCCGACTAGTGCCAGTCGTTAACACCATTCCGGGGAAATATGATGTGCTTGGGTATTATCATAAGAGAAGGCTGAACTTGGTTGCTGAGAGGACTGTCCTGCAGAGTACTGTCCTAAAAAAAATATCTCCTGATATTCAGCATCTCCTTGCTACTATCCCAGGTCCTCGAGGTAGAAATGGGAGGTTTGCCCTCCGCTGTATGATGGCGACAGCGTTCCCATCCTTGGATAAAGTAAGCTCTACTGTCCAATATGGGTTGAGTTGTAAGGGTTGCCAGGCTGCATTAGAAGCAGGTAACCGTGAGAAACTTGATTACGAGATCCGGGATCGATCATACTCAAAAGAGGGAATTTTGGTTCATTTCCACTCATGTGAAGAAGCACAGAAACTCTGGCAAGCAAGTCACGGAGAAGAAATTTCAGCTATAGAACCTGTATGCACAAGAAACGGTGGGTTTATATTTGACTCGGAAGCAGAGCAGTACTATAAGTAAATTATCTGCACTCTTATTCCTTCACACCTTTCTTGATATTCTTTTTTAAAATCATGCGGTATCTTCGTAGTGTGTTTCGTCCCATCTCCTCCGATCCAATCGGATTCTCTCAAAGCCCACCATAGCCGCCATCGTAGCCGCCCAGACTGTTAGCGTGATGATGACAAGGCGCATCTGCAGGAAATAGCCGCCTCCCTGGACAGAGAACTTGTTGGCAACATTGAGCCCTCTTGACTTTTTCCACTTGGCTCATCTTCTTCTCCTTAGGGCTCACTGCGGAAGAGATACAATTCCTGGATTAAGCTCTCCCTCTTTCCTTTACATACGAGCCTAACAATCATGGACCTTCCCACGCCACTCAAGATTATCTCCATGGAAGTCGGCAATCCCAGATTCGAAAACTTTTATCGCATTTTGGCTGGTGCCCATGTCAAGTATATCACTATAGGCCCCGGTGCACTTCAGCACGAGGCTTTGATGGACATGCCACTAAATTTCGGCAATATTCTGCCGCCGTTGCCATACAATCAAGCCTCCTGGAACACTGCCCGTGTATTTCGCAATGCGGCTACAGGAGAATTGGAATCCGAGATCTCGACCCGTGAGATGACCGGCATTAGCAACGTTTGGCATCCAACCCTGGTTGGTTTTCTCCATTTACAAAAGCTAAAGTCCATGGGACTCTTTGTTCAGCTTTGCACGCTGACACCTGATTCGATACATAACCACCAAAACGGCACTGGGAAAAGGGTGATCGCCAAGATGGCCCGGTTTGAGTGGGAAATCCAGTACCTCGCCCGAGAGAACCTGGCGTACCAGCTGCTCCATGGCACGGGCATTGGACCCCGAGTATTGGGTCAGATCCACGAGCAAGGTCGCGTTATTGGCATTCTTCTCGAAATAGTCCCAGGTCGTGCCGCTGGGATCGACGACTTACCTCAGTGTCTGGCAGCGTTGAAGCGCTTGCACAGCATGCGCATTCTCCACGGCGACTGCAATCGGCACAACTTCATTGTCGGGCCAGGGGGGGAGATTACGTTGATTGATTTTTCTGAGTTCAAGGAGAATGCCACAGATGAAGAGTTGGTTGCAGAGGAGGAATCCCTCGCGACAAAACTTGAAGATAACAGCGGTTTGGGTGATTATGGGGTTCTTGATGAAGAGTAAAGGACCAGACTAGCAAGACGCAAAGAATCAATCAAGCTAGAGACGCCTTTAGCAGCAGCGATGACGTGAGGCATGGATGAAGTCGAAGGCACTAATAAAAGAAGCACCATTCATCTGTGGCTGATGATACAGCCTCGCTGTTGTGATGATAGTCTCGTGGGTGGGATGATCTCGCCTCCGTCATTGGCTTGATCAAGTGCTAGAAATAAGTGAATGGATTATGACGTTGCAGCGGCCATCAAAAGAAGCCATTGAGCCAACCAGGAGATCGCTCTTGGCAGCCCATGTCGGGTCCCCTTCCATTTCTGGTAAGATTTGCTCATGGTGATCGGCTTCGTCTCGCGCCACCACAATAAGCTCACTAGATAGTGGTGAAGAGGCATAATGCTATATTCACAGATGAGGCCTGAACAGCATAAAAGGGCCTGGTGCTCTTTCTTGGGATGGTTATTGCCGTTTATCTAATTCATCAAACCCTTGGTCTTTCTATGCAATAAAGCCTCCAATTACTCTCATACCTTTCCTTCCGTCCTTGAGAAAAAGAACCAAAATAAAATCACAAATGGATTCCCAATACAGTACCAGTGATCTCACTCCTCCTACAGGGCCTCCCCCAGGCCACCTTTCTCAACCTCCCAATGGAAAGAATGTCACGTTTAGACAGCCATCACCGCCATACCACGACGCCCCTCCATCCTACCAAGACAAGGCTTACAACGAGCGCCATGACCAAGGACAATTGACACCTCCAAAAGACAATGAGAAGTCACACCATACTCCGAGCACCTCTCCACAGCCCGGGATGTACGTCGTGCAATACCCCGGCGCGATCCCCCAGTTCCCGCCGCAGGTGAACATCAAGAGCAAGACCTCATGGTCGGGCCGCGCCAATGTCGAGGCCGGCCCTCTGACAGCCACACTCGGCATGAGCGGCCGGACCGAATTCCTCGTCGGCGGCGAGCAGGGCCAGAAGGTCGCCGAGGCCACGGCGGAGAACATGCTGCAGCACAGCGCCGCGCTGCTGCTCAACGGCTTCAGCACCCAGATCACGTACAAGAGCAGCAACTACTTCTACAGCGCGCCCGTCAACGGCGCCATGCTGGATCTCGAGTGGCGCGTGCTGGGCAAGCGCAGCAAGATGAAGCGCTTCTTTGGCGGCGTGCACTCCTTGGAGCTGGTGACGCCGGGAGCAGCCGAGGATGAGGAGCCGTTTGCGACTTGGCATCCTATCAAAGGGCAGCTGAAGCGAAATGGGGATATTGGGCATTTAGAGTTTCATGGCCGGTCGCTGTCTGGTGAGATGGGGGAGGTGTTCAACCTGATGGCCGTCATGACGATCATCAAGGTCTACTTTATGATCCACGAGGCCAACACAAAGTGGAGTGTGTATGGCGCTGCAGCTGCAAGCTAGATGCTACTATCCATGTTTCCTTGGAGTTTTTTCTTTGTGTAGTTATACTCTCCTACTCTCCTATATGAGCGAATGCAAGACTCTTTGAACGATGAATGAACCGTAATAACCTTCACAGTGATAAACATGTCACGTAGGGAGTGTGCTTTGTCTCTGACCAGTCAATCTGGCGTTGGATATATTATTATGTACATGGGTTGGATTCTCTTTGGTTTCAAAGAGCCCACGAGGATCCGCCAGCGATAGCGTAGAAGCATTGTCGCCAAAAGAACGAATCCTCGGCTCGAACCCACCGTCCCGGCGATAGCGTAGCAGCATTGTCGACGTCGAGATAAATCTCGGATGACAGCGAATAAGAACTCTATGGGAGTGAAAAACAAAATCGCTTGATTATATACAGTGTACCCCGGCTAGCGGAGGTTACCATGAGGGATATCATAAGTCATGTCTCCTGGTCCTGTTAGGAGATTGGGTATATGTGGTCGTAAATGTGACAGTTTTACGTCAGTGACTTGACGGGGGACTTCTCAAAGCTCTTCATAGGCTCGAGGCCCCAACGCCCAAACATGGCCTTGTCCTCGTCCCAGCCGTTGCATTCGGTCGTCAACATCTTCTCGCCGGTGAAGATGGCGTTAGCACCTGCCATGAAGCACAACGCCTGCTCTTCTTCCGACATGGTTGTTCGGCCAGCAGCGATACGGATGATGGTGCTGGGCATGATGATCCGGGCGGTGGCAATCGTTCGCAGGATGGTGGTGAACTTGACACGCTCGCGGTCGCCCAGCGGTGTTCCCTTGATGGGCACGAGAGCGTTGACGGGAAAGCTTTCGGGGTGCGCGGGAAGCGTCGAGACGGTGTGCAGAAGCCCGATGCGGTCCTTGGACATCTCGCCAAGACCCAAGATACCGCCAGAGCAGACGTTCAGACCAGCTTCACGCACGTGCTCCAGGGTCTTCAAGCGCTCGTCGTACGACCGGGTGGAGATAATTGACGGGTAGAACTCACGGCTCGTATCGACATTGTGGTTATACGCCGTCAGCCCGGCCTCCTTGAGCTCCATGGCCTGCTTATCGTCAATCATGCCGAGCGTCACGCAGGCCTCCATGCCCATGCCACGGACGCCCTCGATCATGGCCTTGATGTTCTTCAAGCTGTTCTTCCGCCCGCGCATGTCGCGCCACGCGGCGCCCATGCAGAATCTGGTGCTGCCATTCTGTTTGGCCTTGCGGGCAGCCTCGAGGACCGACTCGACCGACTCGACTCGCTTCGCTTCCAGGCCGGTGCCCTTCTGGTATCGGGTCGATTGTGCGCAGTAGGAGCAGTCCTCTGTGCACCCTCCCGTCTTGATGTTCATGAGAGTGCAGAGCTGGACTTCGGCCGGATCGTGGAAGCGACGGTGGACAGAGCCCTGGGATTGTCAGTTGAGCCGCCGAGGGAGAGCAGAATGGAAGGCAGGCTTACGGCTTGGAAAGAAAGGTCCAGCAGCGGCTGGTGGTAGATACCGGAGATCTCCTCTCTCGTCCAGTTGTTCCTCGCGGTGGTAGCGGCAACGGCCTGGCGGAAGACGTGACGGGCATCTTGGATCTCCTTCGACGGCGGGGGAGGGGCCTCGAAGTCGTTTGTCACGCGACTCTTGTCAGTCGCCAGGGTGGCCAAGCTGCGCGTGGATTGCGTCCATCGCGCTGCTTGACGATAGGCCAGCCGAGCCGGGGCGGCGCTGAGAGAGCGTGTCAAAGGCATCAGATCCGGATGCCGAGGCGTGTCTCTGGTGATTCAATTGTTTATCCCTCTCAAGAACTTCTTTTCCCCAGAAGCTCCTCATCCCCAGTCACGGTGTAAATGACAGTGTGTGTTTTTCCGGACACTGTGTTTCCCCGCTTCCCACCAGTAATATTGCGCCCTTTTCCAAGCTTTCCCCTGAACGGACCAGACATTTTTATTGGCTGATCTTTTGAGCTACCCTATGCCAACAACCAAACCTCTCACATTTCACCACAGAATAGTCCTTCAAGAAGAGAAGAGGTTCATTTTCAAGATAGTATATACGTTTTTTTCATGATTTGGAGAAATGAAGTTATTAACCCCGTGGTTATTTTCTAATTTGAAGTGTATGCCCCACGAGCAAGCCAAGATTATGATTTTTGCATCCAGAGCAATATGGCTTCACATGCGCACAACTAGGTTCACTGCCACCTCATTCCCTACATCACCTTCTGTTAACTCGCCCCTTTTTTTCACTCAAACTTGTTACGGCGCCATCTTATCCTCACGTGATTGAATGGAGTTGTTTATTTTTAATTTCTCGCCCTCACGCCGAAGCTACAACAATACCCCTGATCACCGACACCGGAGGCAACTCATCGGTTTGGATCGGCATCGGTAGTCAGAGGCTTTTCCCAACTTTCAATACCTTCAATTGGTCGCGACTCATTACGAAGACAGCACTATGCCGAGTACGATAACTCGTCATCCTTGCTGCCATGAGTAACAGTTGTGAATCTGTGTCACTGTCTCCTATGCAATTCATGGGTTTTCGGAAGAGCCAGCCCACTTGACAATCTTACGTGTTGTAGATGCAGAGATTGAACGCAGTAGACGAGGCGAGTCTCGGCAATCTGCCGCTGAACGTGATGGTCGCGGCGTCACCCGAACAGCCTTCCCTATGATTAAAAAACTATTACACCCCCAGGAGCCATCGTGCTATCTACATATATGGTGGACTCGACCGGGGTAGACTAACACGAGTATTACTTAACAGATAAGAGCATGTATAGCCTGTTGCCGTTAGCCGGTTCTACACCCCCCAACCCTTACACGGGCTCCGCATTCTCACCTGCCTTTATTAGTGGTTCCAGAGACACGCTCAAGCACGGCGAACCAAAATCTATGCGGGGAAGATGCTGATGGTCGGCGAGGGGTGTGTACTGGGATTATAAAATATGTTTGCTCTCCTCACATTTGTTTTCAATATTTCATTGTCTCGACTATTTAGTGAGTAGTTGACGTTGATCACCGTTCTGATACTTCATACCAACATATTCACAATCAATTCCTTCCTTCATCATGGACCAAGGCACGCTTGAGAAGAAAGGATTCGATGCCGATGGCATGCAGCTGGCCCAGATGGGCCATTCTGAGTCCTTCAAGCGAACATTCAGTCGTTGGACCATGCTGGGCCTTGCCTTTGCCATTCTCAACTCCTGGTCTGCACTTGCCACCTCCCTCTCCCTGGCTCTGCCATCTGGCGGACCCATCGCCGTCGTCTGGGGTCTATTGACGGCGGGTGTATGCAACCTTGCACTCGCTGCCAGTCTCGCCGAGTTTCTCTCGGCTTATCCCACGGCCGGCGGTCAGTATCACTGGGTGGCAATGGTGGCCCCGGAGTCTCTCAAGACGGGTCTATCCTGGGTGACTGGCTGGATCAACGTCTCGGGCTGGGTAGCCCTCGTGGCGACCAACTGCTCCATGGCTAGCACCCTGATTATCAACATCATCTCTCTTCTGCACCCGACATACGACTTCCAGCGGTGGCATCAGTTCCTCATATACCTCGCCGTCGCCTTCATCGCCTTCGCCACCAATGCTTTCCTCCATTCTATCCTCCCCCGTATCAACGGGTTCGCGCTCGCATGGAGTCTGGCTGGGTTTCTCGTCATCTCCATTGCCGCCCTCGCCCGTGCAGCTCCCGACTACGCCACCGCCGAGTTCGTGTTCGCTACCTTTATCAACACTACTGGCTGGCCCGATGGAGTCGCTTGGCTTTTGGGTCTCTTGCAGGGCGGTCTGGGCCTCACTGGCTTCGATGCTGTCGCTCACATGATTGAGGAGATCCCCAACGCCGCCGTTGAAGGACCGAAGATCATGATTTACTGCCAGTACATCGGAATTAGCACGGGATTCCTCTTTCTTATCGTGCTGCTGTTTGTATCTGGTGGATCAGCGAATGCGGATACTATCATTACATCTCCGGCTGGCCCCCTTCTGGAGATCCTCCACATCGCTATCAACAACAAAGTCGGCGCTGTGTGCCTTCTCATGTTTCCCCTAGTCTGCATCGTCTTCGCCGCCATGGCCGTGCTGACCACCTCCTCCCGCATGTGCTTCGCTTTCGCCCGAGACGGAGGTCTACCCGCGTCTCGCCTCTGGTGGAAGGTCGACAAGCGGCTGGAGGTGCCCCTGAACTCGCTGTATCTCAACTGCTTCATAGTCGTCGTGTTTGGATGCATCTATCTAGGTTCTACGGTCGCCTTCAACGCCATCGTGGCAGCTTCCGTTGTTGCACTTGGTTTGAGTTATGGTATTCCCGTTGCTCTGAACCTCATTTCATTGAGGACGAAGCTCCCCGAGAGGGCTTTCTCGCTTCCACCTTGGCTGGGCTGGGCGGCAAACATCATCGGCGTGGTGTACACCATTATCACCACCGTGCTCTTCTTGTTCCCTCCCGGACTTCCCGTAACTGGGACTACGATGAACTACTGTATTGTGGCGTTTGCCGTGATAGTCATTATCTCTCTCGTTCAGTGGATTGTTGATGGCCGGAAGAATTACCATGGCCCTCGTATCACCACCGGCTTAGACGAGGAGTAAGCCGATATCGTAGACTTAGCTATGTAGATATCTCAATACAAACCCCATTTTTGATTTTCATCTTTCGGTCAAGTTCTCCCAACAAGTAGATGGTGACAGGCCGGTTGTTCGTTTATGATGCTGCATCTGGTAAGTATATGCGATCTGTAATCGCGAACCAATGGGACGGTCCTCCCGGTCAATGGTTTTCGTGTGGGTAGGCATCATCAGCACTAAGTCCCCGCTACAGCCGCCCCCGCAAATTGGCTTGGGCGCTATCTACAGCGCAACTGAGCCGCTATAACCCCTGTAGCTTGTCTCCCGTCCACATTCCTGTTTAGGCAACATTTTGGACCATGTTCAGAGTCTGATACTTTACGCCGTGAGACCGTTCATTGGCCTTGGCTTGAGTCATAAATTAGTGTTGAGTAACGATAGTGATTCCGTAGAAGCATCTGGATCAGTTCGAAGAGCAGTGGATGTTGTTCGTAAAGAATGCCTGAGGGAGCCGTCGGAGTTTCCGGCCTGTGACCTGTAGGTTACTGATAACTAAAGCCCAAATGTATGAGCAACAAGTGGATCGGGTATATTACATCTTTTCTTGAGCAACTGGTTACAAACCATGGCTTAAAATTCATAGGACTGATTAGGGCTCAGATTCGCTAATAAATACCCCGAGATACAATAGCTTTGGTTTGTTTATGCCTTCTAATAAATCTAACCGTTCCATGCTTATTCCACATTATTGTTCTCAAAGGTGTCTAGATCCCACCCATTCTCATCTTCATACTCGTCCTCAAACGTAGTCCCATGGAGAACTTCATAATTCTTCATCGGCCCAGAATTCTCACCGTAGATATCCCCACCAAGTAGGCTTGCCACGCGCTGCCCAGCTTCCTGGCCTTCATACCATGCTCCCTGTAGATACCCAAAGAACAGGGGGGCTGTGGCCTCGCCAGCAAACCATACACGGTCTACGTTGGCCCGTAGATTCTGGTGTCTCTCCAGTGTGACACCAACTGGCCAGTTGCTGTAGGACCCGTATGCCCACCTATCATATCGATGAGAAGTTAGAGAGGATTCACGGAGCTGCTGGGGGGGAAGGAGGAAAGAGGTACTTACTCTTCAGTGTTCCACCTAGGGTAGAAAAATGCTGTAGGCTCGGGAATCTGCACGCCTGGGAACATCGAACGCAAGACCTCCATGACCTCTGCCTTGGTCTCCTCGTCTGTTTGGTTCTCCACAACATACGCTTGATCGGCAGTGACCGTCACAAATATGATATTGGAGCCTTCATGGAATCCTGGCCCGGTCAGAGACTGGAACAACGGATACCTGCCTCGCTCGTGGGGGTCCGCATAGAGGAAGAACTGCGTGTTCTCATCCCAGAAAGTCTCGTTGAATTGCATGAAGATCTTGGTGTAGGTGCTCATGCTGAAAGACTGGATGGCCTCCATCTTCCACTGAGGAAGCTCCGGCTCGAATGTAATAACCTCGTTCTGGAGGACGCCGAGGGAGAATGTGCAAATGGCGTGCTCGGCTTCTATGCAGCTGCCGTCGTCCAGTTGGACCAGGACGGAATCTTCAGAATAGCTGATCGTGGTCACCTTTTTGCTGAGCATGAGGCGATCATCCCCGTCCTTGAGAAATTCCTTTGCTTCCCCACCGATCATAGCGTTAAGACCGCGCTGATCCCAGACGAAGTTGTTCTCGTCACTGAAATGATTGAAAGTGGCGTTTTCGCCTGCCACACCGAACAGGAGGCTGCTTGCTTCGGGAGGCTGGGCGGTATCGAAGTCCCACCCCCACCACTCGATAGCCTGAGCATGCATATCCTTCTGTGGCGTCCAACCAGCCAAGGAGAGCCCAGTCCGAGCGCTAACGTCCTGGAGGTTCTCTGTAAGAATATTGCCCGATTCTGCCTGGCATACAGCATAAGCCTCCTCCCACTTATCCATCAGCTCGAGGTAGTCAGAAGGACCCTTCTCATCGTAGCTGAGGATGGAGCTGTAGTTGGAGTAGGTATTGTTAATACCGTACTTCTTTCCCAGAGTCCAGATAGGGTTCTCGGGACCATTGATAACGCCCAACCCTTGGAACCAGTTGGCACCTATCTCCACGGTGTAGGGTGTTCCATCAGCTTTCTTGCCGAACTGGGTGTGTGTGACACGGCCTCCAATGTAATCGTTCCGGTCAACGATGACAAAGTCGCTGACAGAGGCGTTGGTCAGTGCCTGGGCAGCCGTGATACCAGCAACACCAGCCCCGAGGATCGCGACTTTGGCCTTCCGGCAAGTACCTGTGCTGTTGTCTCGCCGGGGGAGGGCGGCCGAGTCAACCTCTAGAGGGAGGAGCACAGATACAGCGACAGCTTGGAGGAGAAATGAACGCATGGCGAGGAGGATATGAAGAGATATGACAATTGTCGACAGAACAATGACAAGATTGTATCGCCTATGATATGGCTGTATAGTCACGAAAAATAACAATCCGGATATACGACATTTTATACTTGAAACGTTTGCTCACCTCTAGACACTCAAATCCTCGCATTGCGCCCGTCCTATACGCCAGACATCCTATCTTTCCCCTTGGAGCTTGGCCCCATGTTCTGGCCAAGGATGATACCTTCTTGTCTATGTTAGTAACGCCCTAGAGGTTGGATTATCGAAGCCCAATTGCAACCCGCTTGATATGTCATGCGTGTGCAGTAGAAGGAGATTAAGCGGCCCCGGATTTTGGCATCCACCTCGACGCCCAGGTACCTCGAACTAGCCGGTAGAATGGATGCGGGGAGGTGTATTCGTTGGGTAATGGAATCAAGCAATTCGATCAATACTTGGGGAAGCAATCCCATCACTCGCTTCGGGTTCGCATTCACTTTCCTTGTTGGTCGTGGCGTGTAGACGGATAGACTCCACCAATGACTGGCCAGCTCGAAACGGCAATAAGTTGGGCCACGGATCATGGGGTAGAGTCTGCAACCCACTTCTTGAGATAGGAGGCTCTCTCGGCCCGAGAGGATCCACCCGACGATATTGGGAAGATCAACTGACTTAGCTGGGGGTGCTTTTAGCTCCATCTCAAAAGGGGCAGGCGAATGGAGAGCTTACATACCGGAAACACCGGGAACTCCGGGTGTAGTTTCGTGGAAGTTGTCGGGTGCATTCAGCTTCATGGTGGATGACATCTTGGAACCATCTTCAGCTCAAACAGCACCGCAGTTTTACTGTCTCCAGATAGTGGTTTAGTTCAGCATATTGAAAAGTACCATAGATCGATTTACGTATTTGCTTATGGTCATGCTTTATCAGATCTACCTAGAATTATCCTTCTTAAGCAGATAGCTTGAACCCGCCAACAGCTCCCTTCTGGAAAAGCCCATGCGGGTCATACTTCTTGGAAACTTCAAGCATCGCCCTTTTGTTCTCCTCTCCATACGAGTTGATTGGATCCTGGAAGGTGAAGGCGTAGTTCAAGTACTTGTAGGGAACTGCAGTGCCTCGAGCTTCAGCGTCTTGGTCGATGGCTGCAAGGACCTCTCGGCTCTGGGTTAGAATTGTCTCATCATCGCTGGCATTCTTCCAATACATCAAGATGAGGATCGAAACTAGAGGGCCGTTGTTCGAGCTGAGATTCAGGATGTTGCCCCCAAATCGACTCGTCTTCTCGAGAAGCGATAGCGGGTATGGCTGTAGTGTGAATGAAAACACAACACCTTCGAAACCCTTGACCTTCTCAAGGGCCTCGCTGAAGACCTTGGCTGCAGCTTTGAGGGTGGCGCTGTCTGCCTTGACTGTGGTATTCACATAAGCGCACCTGGATTGCTGTCAGCATCGAGTATTAAACAATGAAAACCATGGGTCAGCAACATACCGTACACCAGTCATAGCCATAGCAGCTTGTTCCTCCGCCGCGGCCTTGACAGTGGTCATGCGCATAGAGTTGAGCTGATCCATCTGAGGCTGCATGGCGACAAATGGCTGGATGTCTGGTGGGTTCTGGACCTCTTGGGCGTAATAGACCTGATTCAGGCCGAGGACCTGACCCATTTGGGCAGCGAAGAATAGACTGATCATTATATGAGTCTCCTCTGACGCGTCCGGCCTGCGCAACTCATCAACGAGAGCGTCGATCTGGGCAGGAAACTGGTCTGGGAAATAGAATACAGCGCCACCCCAGAAGGGCCCCTGCTTAAAGGTCCTCATGTCGAACCGGGTGACGACGCCAAAGTTATTGCCGCCGCCCCTGAGGGCTTTGAAGAGATCGGAATTCTCCTTTTCATTTGCATCAACAACTTGTCCGGATGCCAAGACAACTTGGTAGTTGACCACATTGTCGCACACAAGGCCCTCGCGGGAGCTGAAGAAGGAGAGGCCGCCGGATAGGGCCAATCCCCCAACGCCGTTATTGCCAGAGCGGGCTCCCGTGACAGAGAGTCCCTTCTCGTGGAGTTTGTTATAGATGGCGGTCCAACGCTCACCAGCACCTATGGACACAATGTCATTCTTGTCGTTGAGGTTAACGCCAGTAATGTTGACAAGGTCAAGAGTTATGCCGCCCTCAATATTGGAGCAGCCGGGCAAGGGCTGCTGGCCACCGCCGCGGATAGCAAACGCCTCCTCATGCTCCTGGAGAATATTGAGGAAAGATGCGACCTCCTCTTTGTTCTTTGGCAGGAAGATTGCGCTTGGAGTGATCTCGCTCTGTAGTAGAGACAGGTATGACTTGATCCGGGCGTCAAACCTTTCACTTCCCGGTAGAGCAATTTGCTCGGCTGAGAAGGATGCCTGCAATGCAGACAGAGCTGGAGAGGCAGTCATGGTCAACGATTGTGGGAGATATGGGGTAACAGATTGAGCTCAAGATGGGGATGAGAGTGGGTGATGGTTCGCAGAAGACAAGGGGGGACACTGCCGATACCCTTTGTTGTTATTTTGGCACGGACTCTGACCATGACCAACACGACATAGAATGGACATAAGCAGTAAGTTATCACCGTGCAGATACACCATACACCCTGCGTCGCAAACTGTCAGGACTCGCAACCAACAGCCTTAACTCGGTTAGCTCCACGCAGGCTGGTTACAACTGTTACCTTGTGTTGTGTTGGTTGTTGGCACGTATGAAAAAGGTTCCGCGTGTTGTCTCAGCAGCCTGTATCCAAGCCCAACCGTATCTGCGCCCTAATTCCACGAAATTCTACGCCCAGTTAGAGAGTTCTCGATCACGCTCCTCCTTATTTCGTTTCTCTTCGCCTGTGTCCCCCTTCACACACAGGCAAAGAATCTCACCATGCCGGAAGACACTCCAGCCGTGGTGCCGGACAACGAAACTGCGACCACGACTCCTCAGGTGCAGCGCGGCGCTCGATTCTGGGGCGTCTTCGCTGCCCTCTGTGTTCTGGCATTCATCTCGGCCCTAGATGTCTCCATCATAGCCACGGCGCTGCCCAAGATTACCGCCGACATAGGCGGCGGTTCCCAGTTTGTCTGGATCGCCAACTGCTTCGTCATCTCCTCTACTGTCCTCCAGCCTCTCTTCGGTCAGATCGCCGACATCTTCGGCCGACGATACCCTCTAGCTTTCTCCATTCTCGTCTTCGCCCTAGGCAGTGGCATCGGTGGCGGTTCCCACAATGTTGGCATGCTGATCGCGGGCCGCACCGTCCAGGGCGTGGGTGCTGGCGGCATCTATGTCCTCATCGACATTGTATGCTGCGATCTGGTGCCCCTTCGCGAGCGAGGCAAATACTTGGGCTTGATGTTCTCCGGAGCCGGAGTTGCCGCTGCTCTTGGCCCGCCCGTCGGTGGTGCCCTCGCTGAGGCGGACTGGCGTTGGATCTTCTGGATGAATCTGCCCATCTGCGGCCTTGCCCTGGCTCTGCTTCTCGTCTTCCTGAAGCCCAGATCACGGTCCACGGATGTACCTTGGACCACAGCCGTGAAGGAACAGGTAGACTACGTGGGAGCCTTGCTTCTTATCCCTAGCCTTTTCGCCGTCTTGTTCGGCTTGATCATGGGAGGAATACAATACCCGTGGTCCTCCTGGCGTGTCATCGTACCCCTGATCTTGGGAATCCTTGGATAGGTTTCGTTCCACCTGCATCAGCATTTCTTTGCAACACACCCGAGTGTGCCGTCTCGCCTGTTTGCAAACCGAACCTCGGCCACAGCGTTTGCCTTGACGTTCCTCTCATCGATCCTCATCCAGGCCACTACATATCTGATACCTGTCTACTTTCAAGGCGTGCTTAACACGACCGTCTTACAATCCGGCACATACTTTCTGCCTTATGCAATGGGCGCGCTCTTCTCAGCAGTTCTCGGCGGCGCTTTGCTGAACAAGTTCGGTGCATATCGTCCAGTCCATGCTGCCGCCTTCGCCGTTTCCGCTGTTGCATTCGGGCTTTTCACCTTGCTTGAGTCTGGAACCAAGACGGTGGCATGGGCCTTCTTCCAGCTCATCGCTGCGGCTGGAACAGGCATCACCATGTCTACCATGCTGCCTGCTATCATGGCAGGCTTGCCTGAATCCGATGTTGCCCTGTCATCGGCCGCTTACAGTTTCGTCCGCAACTTTGGTCTCATCTGGGGTATTACGGTCCCCGGCATCATCTTCAGCTCGGTTGTTGATATGAATCTGCACCGCATCTCGGATGCACATCTGCAGGATTCGCTCCATGGTGGAGGCGCGTATTCATTTGCCAGCCAAGCCCACGTGCTCCAAGATGAATACTCCAAAGACGTCTGGGATCAGGTGAATGACGTTTACGCGAGAGCTCTACGAGCGGTATGGTGGTTTGCAATATGTATAAGCATCTTAAGTTTCCTTGCCGTTGCGGGCGAGGAGGGCTTGGAGCTCCGGACCGAGCTGGAAACGGAATTCGGCATCGACGAGGAGAAGGAGCCTCACGGTTCAGCTTCTAGCCGAGAGAATGCCCAGGCCAAGTAGTTAGATTCGGACGTCAGGGCGACCGTAGTCTCGCTGAGCTTCTTTGAATATATATTGGGGTTCTTTATCCAGGTCCATTCTTGCTCGGCCAAACCATACTTCCACCACGAACACCACATACATACGTAGTAGATCAGTCCTACCATAGCATGCCCACACTTCATGCAAAAACCCTTTGCCCAAGATTCTAGGAAACCTTCCTTACTTAAGAGAAGTCCAAGCAGTGACCCGTTTTGTCCCTTGCTCTCGCTCTCACTCACATGCAGTACGGGGTTACAAAGGGCTCTCAAAGAGACTTCAGGAGACCGGCCAGACCCAGCTGTAAGATTCGATGCTTTTGAACTTGGTAATCCGCGTTGCATAATACATCAACTTAATCACCGCCAGCGCCGCTCAACAGTTGCCCTCTTCTTTCCGCCAGCAAAGACTCCCTAAGCCTCTCCGTCAACCTATCAAATATCCACTCGCTCTCAATTTGAAGGCTTAGTAGAGGATTTCGGTCACCAACCCACGACCACACCAACTTCTGCTTATCCAAGCCTTGGTCTTCTGATTCGCGCTTCTTCATCGGCAAGGTGACGTTGCAGTGTGTCCTCGGTTCACGTTCGTCTTCTCCCATAAGCTTGAGATACCAGGCCCATTCCTCAAAAGTGTACCGATGAGGTGTGGACTCTTTAAGATGATTAGCAATGACCTGTATCTCTGAGATGAGAAGAAAGTGGAAGTTTGTCCCAGTGGGAAGTTCGTCATGAGCATTACGAAATTGTGCATGTTTCTGGTGGTCTGCTGGTGCCTTCGCATGTCTTTTGTGGTGTCTCCTTGAGGCTTTTCGATGGCCAGCCGTATATGAGGCTGCCTCCGTGTCACCAAGCTCAGCTTCGTGTTTGGACATGAAGTCATCTAGTCTCTGCTTCGAAAAGGATTCGGATGAGGCAATTTCCGGTGATGCAGAATCGAAATGGTCTGGAAAGATCCATCCAAATGTGCCTATACTGATTATGTGCTGCAAATTGCCCATAAAACTCTCATCACCTGGAAGAATTGTGATGTTCCCCAATCGAAGGCTGCCATATCGGATGATCTTGACCACTGTATCGCCAGCATGCGAGATGAGCATCGTAATGGTGGGCAAGGCCAACAAGGACCAAAACACGAAGAATGACTTTCCGGCATTAGAGACCGGCGTAAGGTCACCATATCCGATAGTCGTCCAGGACACAAACGAAAAATAGAATGAATCAAAATATGTCCAGCCTTGATATGGTGCCTCGGCCTCCATGAAGACGAGGGCACCTATCAGCCACAGGGCGAGCCATAAACTCGTAGACGTGGTCATCACCATCCATCTTCTCCGGGTAAATGCTTTCTTTTGTATCTTGCGCATGAGATTGAATTCTGCTTTGCGCCGCTCAAACTCGGAGGCGAGTGCTTGATTTGACTTCGCTCCAGTCGACTGAGACTTTGCCGAGATGGGTTGAAGCAGTTCATCGTGTTGGCTCCGTAACATCGTTCCAACCACCTTCCTCCGAGCCCTCTCCTCTGTCCTGATGACAAAGCGGCGTGTTCCACGGTCGAGGAATAGCTTCCTGATCGAGTCTATTACCAACCCTAGACTGATAATGCCGAAAATAACATAAGGGATCAGGAGAGCTCTGCCGAGAGTAGAGTTCGGGGCATAGTCACCAAAGCCGGCTGTGAACATTGTGACGTCTGCCCAGTAAACGGCATCTAGATATTCCCAGCCCTCCACGGCAGAATAGACACGAGCGCCACACAGGAGATAAAAAAGAAAAATGATCGTTTGTAACATCAAAGTACGTTGATTATACGTCAGTGTGAATTCCTTTTCGTAGCGACCGGATAAAGCACCCCAAAAGGTTAGAGCCATAAGTGTAGCATCCACGAAGTAGAGAAAGGCTGCCCAAATGCCATACCAAAATGCTTGAGACCAGATGAGTTCACTTTTTGGAAAGTTCAGACTTTCGAGGAGCGGTCCTGCGGCAGTGGCACCCATTACAATGCGCAGAATAGCTGAAATGTACCTGCGAAACACTGTTAATAAGCCCAATACTCTAGAGGTATTGTGTTTGCTGCATACCATCCAACTATCGTGATCGGCTGTGCTATGCTAAAACGGACCCTTCTTGCCATGTTGAGGAACAAGACAAAGTTGGAGACGACAGCGATAGCAAGCTGGACAGCATTGACAATTTTCAGCCTATATGTTCACGTATTAGAATCGTATCAGTTTTGAAACCTTCCAGGGCATATTTAAAGCTACCTACCACGAGGGATTAGGGACGTTGGGAGCGGTTTGGATATTCCCTCCTGGTACTAGCAGCTGCCGCCACGGTTGAGACATGGCGCAAATGCTGAACGCTGAAGCTACTGGGCCGAGGGTTCCAGCCATCATAGGGAACAACATGGATAAAAACCACCATCGGCTGCAATGTTGTCCAGTCAGTACATCGTACTCATTTCAGGCGGATCCGAAGATGTGAGCATGTTCGAGACACCTGTGTAACATACCCGGGTTGCAGATGTGAATCGTCATTATGGAGTCTTTTCTTCCTGGAGCCAAACTCTTGGTTTCTCTGGGCTTCGACGTCGATCTTTCTGCTCAGTTCCGATTCCCCCACTGGCGAATTTGGCATCGTTCTTTAACAGCCTGGTAAAGATCATGAAGCTAGATATCACGTAGATTCGCCCACTTGAAGGAAGTTGCTCCCAAACAGGCTCTCTCATTTAAATTGATGCGGAGCCGTAAAGATCAAGACAGGGTTCGTCGCAATCGCGGAGGAACACGAGAGGATGACGTCGTGTTCTCACTTCGGCGACTGGCATTTAAACTCTGTGAGCATCACCCGCTAACCTCAAACAATGATAGGGGGTATCTTAGTTGAAACTCTTTTCAGAGCACCTTGCCATTAACCGGTTTCAATTTAACTGTCACCAAAAGAACCGCCAGGTCTGTAACGAGAGTCATGTGGTGGCTCAAGTTATTGATAGCGGTGGATGAGAGAAGTTAGAAGGCAATGAAAGGAGTCAAACACCCAAGTATGACACGAGTCTGGTCGTGTAAGGGGCAGGAAACTCAGTTCTACAATTCAATACACAACTCTCAACAGAAATAGTTACACAATCGACGATCTAGTCTTCCAGAGCTTTCGACCAGCGCGTCGCAGTTTCCAACTGTAACGTGATGGCCTCTTCAGTAGACGGCGCTTTGTTTTCATCCTCCTCCGCGTTGTCATTGCTCTTCTTGTTTTGTTTTTCCTTGGCGACTCGAGCCTTCATTTCGCCCAACCTCCTTGCCACATCGTTGGCCTCATTCAGAGAAACTAGACGACGCTTCATCTGATTATTATCCGCACTGGTGGCACAAAGGTCTAGAATGACGGCCTTGCTCAGCCCTTTTGTCAGTTTCTTGGACGGCTTGACAGACGTGCCACCTAACCCAACCTCCCACGTAATTCTGGCAAGAACCCTTTCGCTGTATTTCTCACTAACCCCAAGCTTCTCGGCATTCACAGTCGCAGCTCGAGATTCGCCGCTTCTACCAGGCGAAGGAACAGGAGTAGCATTTCCATCGCCAAACTCAAATGGGGCCTTTCTGTCCCCTGGCTCGAGGCGGGACAGCTCGATCTGTCGCGGCCGTGACAACTTGCTGGCGGTAACGATATCCCGAGCGACTTCCAGAGGGGTGCGGCCGACCGCGTTTTCCCTGTATATCAAACTCGGCTTGAACTCAATCAGTGTCTTGGTGATGGCCAGCTGGCGATTCAAAACCGCTGTATGGAGACATGTATCTCCAGCACCATTGAACATTTCCAGCCCCTCGCCCTTGCAGGATTCAAGGAGAAGACGCAGCATCTCAACCAGGCCCGGCTTGTCATCTTTGTAGGGAGCAGACGATTCCTCGGTCTCGTAGTCTTCTTCTGGCCTGCCATAGAAGAAGTAGCCGTCCGAGCTCTCCTGCTCGTACTTGGAGCCGCAGATCTTCGATATCCAGGAATGCACGGGGTTACTTCCGTCCTCAGACAGATTCTTGCGCTGCAAGAACAGATGCCCAAGTAAACGTGGATCTAGAAGCTCTAGGAATGACCGAAACTCGCTCGCTCTGGGGCTTTCGCCCAAAGCACGATGTAATATATTTTCCCCGTTGGAGTTGCGAACCGATTGGTCAGCGTTGGCCTCGATCAGGATCTTCACAAAGGGAACACGGCCGAGAAAGGCAGCGTTCATCAGAGGCGTGTTTCCTTTCGAATCCTTCTTTTCTATGGCACTGGGGCAGGTCTTGATGAGGTAATGCAATAGCTCGATTTGACGTTCCTTTGGAGGGGATACTATTGCACAATGAATGATGAAGTCGGCTGGATTAAAACGAAAGAGTTGAGCGTCAGTGTCAATGATCTGGATGCGCAATATCACAAGCAATCAGACTCACCATCAATGCCAAGCCATTTCCCGACAGCCCGGTCGAATGCGCCTTGCTGTTGCGTTAGATGTTGGATTCTAGGATCAAGCAACGCCGTCTCAATCTTTGAGAATTCGGTATACAGGCGATGAGGAACATCGCTAAGGAAGAACTGGACGCTCTCGAGGGATCCACCAAGAGCAGCATATAGCAGCGGAGGGGTCTTCAAGCCGCTTGCCCTGGAGATCATATTGCGACCCTTATTCGCCCAATCTTTCCTGCGCGTGTGTCAGCCTTTGTGTTCGATGGTTAATTTTAGCACCTCATTCGAGTAGGTGGTACCAACCTCTTCTTTCCGTAGACGGTAAGGCCTTGGTAGAGCTTGGGTTTTTGGTCTAGCTTGATACCAGAGCCTTTGATGAAACTGTCAAGTGGGATGCCCGCGCCAGTGCATTTGATCATCAGGCTGGCCAGTTCCGTGTGTCCCTTTTGAATAGCGTCTCTGTAATCTAGCTCTGGTAACCTGAAGGCACCGTGGGCCTCTTCCTCTTCAGCATCATCGAGCGTCTGACTGGCCCAGTACTGAGCGATGTCAATGAGGATATTTAGACTGGCCACGTCGTTGTCCACAACACAGTGTTGAAACATCGTATGAGATTTGATGTCTTCGGGGATACCACCGTGCAAAATCGGCTTTTTCCATTTCTCCTCGAGGATTTTGCTTGGAGTGACATGGCACTTGACTACTGTTAGCTGGCCGAGGTCATCGATAGTATAGTTCTCATCCAGGTTCTCGCCCACGATAGCCGGCCCATTGTCGGAGCCACCTTCATCACCTTCATCCTCGCTGTTTTCCTCTTCCTCCTCTTCCTCCTCTTCCTCGTCATCGCTATCATCGCCTTTCATCCTGTACGCCTTTTTCTGCTTCTTCGGCGACCATTGAGCCTTGACAATCTCTAGAATAGCCTTGGCAACTTCATGATGACCACGGAAAAAGGCGAGGGAGAAAGGCCCATTGTCTGCAGTGTCTCGGATACTTGCCAGCAGAGGTGGCTCGTCCTGTTCAGCGCCCCATGCTTGCATTGTCAGTGATTTTACCCTGTCCAGGTTACCGGTGAAGGCTGCTTCCATCCTAGAGATTGCAAGTTAGTAAATTGAGAGTACTATGGTGAGATTGTTAACTCACAATTGAATGTACCCCTCCCGTCGCTTCTCTGTTATAGTGTTGTCACCGTGAAAGGAAATGGAGTGCCCTATTGCCTCTGCGTAATCCTCTACGCTAGGAGTGGGAGACATTGGGGGAGTCTCCTCTCTTGTTTTTATATTGGGATGAAGCTCAGCAAAAGTTTTGGCCCCCTTTGAAATCAAAATCTCCTTTAGAGCAGTAAACCCTGCGATTAGTCCCCGCAGACGGTCTACCTCCTCCGCATCCTCTAATGAGTTGCGGCCTTTAAGGTATTCTTCATACTGCTCCATGCGGATTTTGTAGCTCCTCTCTCGAGAAGCAATCTCTAGCCTAGCAGCCCAGTGTCTGTAGGTGTCTAGATCAAACCTATCAAGGTACTCTTCCATTCCGGGTGCCTTCTCTGGCTTCTCTCTGTGAAGAGCTCGCTCCGCCGTCCTCAACTTGGACTGGAGTTTACCGATTCGAGACTCCACAGTGTTCAAGATGGACATGCCTGTGTAATATCGACGGTTGAACTCGTCTTCCAATAGCTCGAGCGTCTCTGCGTCCAGCGAATTTGGATCGGCGCCCGACTCCAAGATTTTGACAGCCGCCTCGTGGTTGTCAGCCTGCACGGCAGCAAACAGAGGCTGCAGCAACTTGCGATACAATTTCTGATTGGTGTCAAAGGTACCCAGTTCAGAGGATATCCTTGCAGATGTCTTAGCAGCCTTGAGCCACGCATCGAACTTGACAGTTGCATTAGCCCCAGCATTGAGAAGTTTCAAGACAAGAATAGAGTCTCCTCGTTCGACGGCTGAGTGTAGAGGAGCTATAGCTTCGGGGTCCCAGCTAGACCCGGCCATCACCATGTGGTTGATAGCCATCTTTACTCCTGCCCTGTCTTGCTCAAGCAGGGTGTCGACCATATCCTTTCTGCCACTTTCTACGAATCGGTGAAACGCAGTAGCCCCGTTGGAATCGGCCTGTGATGATATGGCGCCAAGACTGAGGAGCAACTTCGTCATGGAGATGGCTTGCTCCGAAGGTAGAGAGAGGGCGAGTGTCAGCGTCAAGATCGCGGCAGTCTGGTCATCATCGATCTGACTCAGGAACTTCACAGGGAGAATCGAGTCGGCGCCATAGTCACAAAGGGCTTTGACAGCATCTTCGTGACCTCCCGCAATCGCCAAGTGCAGCGGCGAGCAGGGAACATCCCATGCCAGAACATCGATATCGTAGTAGTCCGGGCCTTCATCGGATTCCTCAAGGGCAAGCTGATCAATAGATTCGGTGACGCGCTTCAGTTTAACAAACGATCCCGTCGTCTCCGTTGGCGCTCCATCATCACTCTCTTCGGAGCCGATGAGCTCTCCGTCGGAATCTTCATCTTCTTCACCTTCATCCTCATCCATGTGGACTTCATTGGAACTGGCACCGTCGTCTGCCTCGTCGATTTCTTGTTCTTCAGTATCCACCAGGCGTTGTTCCTCGTCATCCATGTCAACCCCATCCTCTTGGTCATCATGCATCTCGGTATCCCCATCACGATCCGACTTGCCCGACTTTGCGTCTCGACGCCTCTTCTCTACCCGATCCGCATCAGCCTCCTCATTTTCGGCGCTCTTATCTAAGAGGATCTTAATCATCTCGGTGTTGTTACGAGCGGCCGCTAGATGAAGTGCCGTTCGACCGTCAGCTAATCGAGCCGTGATGCGAGCGCCGTTTTCTACCAGACACCGTACTACGTTCGGGGTCGAAGAAGTGACTGCCAGATGCAGTGGTGTTCGTCCAGTATAGTCCCGCTTATTGATATCAGCATCTAGCTGTGAGATCCATCCTTTAATCTTGTCAACTTCATCATCGACAATGGATTGGCAAAGACGTGCAGTGTCCCCGATATACGCCATATCGGTCCAGTCCTTCTCTGTGAGCGGGTTGAAGGACCCTATTTGCTGACGGCCAGGGTCATCAGTCAAGAACGAGATCTTTCCAGATATGTAGATCTGTGATTCCCTCTCCGCAACCTCCTTCTCCTCATTTGTGACAGGTTCGGGGCAATATCCGCAGCAATCCTCGACAATATCCTCAACACGGCCGAAGAAGGCGGGGTGTCGATGGAGATAAACCTCCCGTTTATCGTTTTGATTCCATTCGGCATTGAGTAGAAGATCTCGTGTGTAGCATAGTTTTTCGATCCGCTTGACGCCGAACCTCTGACCGTACGGCACGGAGAAGGTATGATAATTGCTGACCTCCTCAGATGATAGCCAGTCAGCGACCTCGTCCTCATAATCATCCTTGATGTTGCCCTCCCCTAGCTTGAATCGGTTCTGCTGTACGATTGGCCGCCCACGCTCCCGACGTCGTTTATTTAGATAATCCTGCCGGGCCGAGGTGGATGGCAGGCTCTCGAGAACCAGAAGACGCGCCAAACCGAGTGTTCTCTGGAAGCTCCTCTCGAAGATGGTAGGATCGATACGTGATCGATCAAGATCCGGCCAATAGACTTCGAAGTTCCTATGGGAGTACTTGGACAAGCGATTCTCATATGAAGGGCTCCGACGGCTCAAATCGACATGGTTGATCTGGGTTATGAAGCTACCTAAAGCGCGGGGAGTCACGTAGACTTGCTTGCCGTCGTAGGCACCACCTGCGGCGTCGATGTCGAAGCCGGTCAGTATTTCGCTGACTGAGCTATAGACCCTCAACACAATCTATTTCTGTCGTTAACGAATCTCTATCGGGCTCTTAACTTGAAGCTGGGTATGAAACTACCTGTATATGCCGCACTGGGTATTGGCTGGCGATGGTGATGGCATACCTGGTGCGAATCACGGTCACTTCATTTAGAAGAACATCTCGCACCGCTTGCTCAATCTGCTTGATTTTCTCGATTGCATCCTCGGGCGTCAGACCGTAAAGGAAGAGATCAACGTCCGACGCGGGACAGAACTTTTCGTGATAATACTCGCGCAGTTTGCGCTTGGGCATTTTGTACTCGTCAGGAACGGGCAGCAGACAATTTACAACCGATGAGCCTGCTGCCACAACATTATCCCAATCCATCTCTGCCAGTGACGACTCTGAGAAGACGTTGAAATTCTTCTGGAACTCGGAAAGGTCCGAAACCGTAGCCGGGGATCCATTCGGACGGCGCTTGTCCTCTGTCAAGGGCATGATATATCTGGACTGTTCCTCCACTGGCTCGGTGGACAGATCCCTGGCGCGAGTAGTGATTGATTTGGTGTCGTTGGTGAAGAGAGGCAGCACATTGACGTAAGGATCTTGGAGGACTGGATTCTTGCGATCCTGTGCAAACAATGATCGGAGGCCAGCCTCATATTGGCGGTAGGGCTCAAGGATCTTGGCCACAGGCTTCTCTGGATGCTGAGAAATATATCTGGGAAGCTCGATAATGGGAGCTGGTAGCTCTGGAAGTGGTTTGTGAGCCATGGCTGGACGGACGAGACTCGCTCACGTTGGCTGTTTTCCTCTCTTCTCACAACTTTAAGCTTCCGGGAGTGAAAGGCTAGTGGCACGAGGAACACGTGAGAAGGTATGAGCAGAGATTAAGATGGACGAAACGACGGGCAAATTCGGTCTTAATTAATCACACGTATTTCTCGTTCAGCTGGAGGCGCCCAGGTAGGACAAATTGCTTGGCACAGTTCAGCTGAGCCTTTACAGTGGAGATAACGCGCTAAGACCAACGGCACAGGCCCGAAAACAGCGCTTCAGCCCCTGGAGACAGCTCGTTAGCACCGTTCATCGGTGCAGCCAAGCGCTGTGGGACAGTTCACGCAGAAGGCACAGCGCTAATTTCAGGGGCTCGCTGAGTCAGCTGCTGAGTCGGTGACTGCATTTGCTCGAAGGCGATCACCATCTTGCATCAAAAGCTCCATGTTATTTTTGCTTAGTTCGTCTTACCATAGTCGTTTGTAGGTCAGTTGATGTTAGCATTGGGTAGGTTTGACCCTTGTTTTGGCTGCTGGTTTGAAATTCATGTAGACGCCCACGGAAGCTTGTACTTCCACCCAAGAATACAGGCAAATTTTACTGCAAGACCTGTAGAAAGCCATCTATGAACAGTCGATATTATCAGCATAGGTAGACTAGAGCTATTACTTTATGTTTGGTGAATTGAATTGATGAGGATAGGGAGAATTTCTGGCCTAGACAGGTGTTCTAGGGTAGCCATGAGATCAAGTTTGCTAATGTGTAATAGCTGAATTCTAAGCTTAAGGTGCCTGCACCTCAGATCAAAACTTCAGGTGAGGTCTGGGTTGCCTCCCACGAAGCTGTGCAATTTCCGCCAGAGATATCCCTTGCTTGCTAGTGTCACTTTTAGACATTCTGAACAGCTCTATAAGGATACAATTATAATGCAATTTTAGGAATAAAACAAACCACAATCTTCTTTAACTTGATGCAGCTGCTTCACATCTGACTAACCCTCGTTCAATTTCTTCTTCCATGTTCCCTTTGTCAACTACAAGGAACAGGAACCGATACCAACTGATTGCTGAACAGTCATGTTCAAGAAGGGATGCCAAGTGAAGTAGAAATAGGCTGTTGGTTGCAACAAATCAGAACTCTGTAGTAATGGGTAATTTCGTATCTATGTAAAGTATCTAATTTCATTCTGATATTGAAAGTCACCACACGTCTCATAAGTCGATGGGATACACACTGTTAGCCAGCCCAGAGCTTAGAGCCTTGCGTGGCAGCATCCAGCCGACGAAGGAGACGGCTTGTAGCTGACAGCTGGATGCGTCTGCACCACCAGCGTGCTTTTATTCACTGCCTGCGTGTTCTGGGGCACATCGAGCGCAGGGTTCGCAGTGAAGAAGTCGGCCGGCTTCAAGGAAATAGTCTAAACGTCCACAGGCATGACCGGGAAATCCCTCACTCTCGGGTTATGGGTCATGCCAAATGTATGCCAAATCACAATATCCTGATCCCGCACGTCTTCATCCCTGGATGCGTAGTCCGCAACGCCATCGGTCTCTTGGAGTGACTGATTCGTCCACCTACCGCCCGCCCATAAGTCGCCATCTCGGTAGCAGGCTACCCACATGTAGTGCTCTGCAAAGCGAGCCCTCTTGCGGACAACAGAGTTCTGGCCTGCGAGAAGTAACTGGCATGGCTGCGGTACGAGCTTGAAGCCGACCGGGTTGCCTGAGACGGGGTTGCGCACAGACTCGTTGACAATCTTGAAGCAGCGGTTGGTAAAGGGGGAGGCGTCGGCAAATCCTGACTTCGCAAAGGGTGTCTTGACCACGCGCCATGCGTTTCCGTGAGAGTTCTCATCCTCTGATTGTGGCACTGGGATTGACTTTTCCTGAATCAGGGAGTTGTTGTGCCCGTCAAGCATAGGATCGACACGGAGCGAGAATAGATGCTGGTGATTTGCGGCCAAGACACCAGGCGAAACGACAATGCCCCATTCAGATGTCTTGCCGGGGTCGATCAGCGAGGTTGAGAGAATGCCAGTCGCGCGCGTCTCCATCTCGATGTTGCCGCTTTGCCAAAAGATCCACCCGAAGATGTACTCATAGTTTCCTACCGTCAGGATGCTTTGGAATATGAGGTTTCTTGCCCTCGTGATGGCCACACCCTGTGTGCGATGGTTTGTGTGCTTCCACCCAATACCGCCGTCTTGCTCATGGAGACAGATGACGTTTCCTGCCTCAACTGGCTCACCGTCCTCGTTGTTAAGCCACCCGCCAAAGTACTTGATCATTCCAAGGCAATCACACCCCAGCGCAGGGTAGTTTGCGGTGCTTCGGGCACCGGCGTCACCAAGATCGAAAGCCTGCTTTCTATGAAAGGGGAAGAAGATTCGGGAAATGACGGCAACCAAAGACTGGAAAACAGTAGAGGAATCTGGAGGCGGTCACTAATAGTATACAAATTCAAGAGGAAGCATGGGGTACCACACCTTACGCTTCAAGGCTCTTGAACAAGCCGTCACGTAGTACTACTGAATCCTGTTTATATATACAAGGTTCTAACATTCTGACGATATGCTGAATTTAAATAAGTCTGAACTAACGTGATGTATCTACTCGTCCAATATTTTGTTTTCTTACTCCTCTTTGCTGACAGCCCAGCCAGTTTCATCTCCACCGCTTGCCGCCGTTTTACTTGGCGTCAAACATGATCATGGGTTGGAAAATGAGGAAAGATTGATTCAAGCCGACGGAAATTTTATTGAAAAAAAAACGAACCGACAAGTAGACAACGCCAAGTGCAACTAAGAAAAAAGACCTGGCTTCCTCAACCTCTAGCATTCCGGATTCGCTACTCTCGTCGATGTATCGGGCAGCAGTCTAGTCCTCTTGCCACTGGCCCGGAAATGGGCAGAGATACGTCATCTAGAAAAGATACTCACTTGACTCTCAATGGATGCCATCATAAAAAACTTGTCACTTTGGAGCAACTATTAGCGTACTATGTACGTAAGATCTTAATACATCAGGGACTTTCTTTCTCCTTCCCACGGTGAATAAAATCCTACAGATCATCTATGCTACGGTTGCCCAGAGAACGTGCGTGAGAGGCCTAAGATAATATAGGCTCCGTATTCCGATCTTGTCCACGGACGTGAACATCGTAGGGCATTTAAATAGGAGAATCTTTGAGGACAATTTGTTACCGTCTTCAAATCTACACTGACATAACGATGGGCAACCGAGATATGACTTGCCCTTGGTCAAGAAGGAATTACCAGATCTCCGATCGATCATTTTGCCTACGCCACCCAAGAGATACCAACGCGTGAGATACCCACTTGATGAACGCAAGTGTTGTTTTACCTGGAAGAATTCACTGCAAACGCCGCAGAGCCAAACATTAGACATGATGCAGTGTGAGGTGAGAGAGATGCCGCTTGATCCGGGGGGGGGTCGACGTGATACCGCCGTGCTCAGCAACCCAACCCGTGGCCCGGCCACACATTCTACCATTTTTTTTCGGCACGTTCAAAGCCGGCTAGAGTTGGCGAGGCGCCTGAGTGTCTGTTGTGTCTAACGACGAATGGTGATAGATCCGATATTAGCAAGAAAGACATAGCGACAGAACAGACTTGAGCTGGGCGACGGAGCTGTAATCTTTTACACAGAGAAACCAACCAGCATCCAAGCATGCATCTTGTTTACTGCACGTGGACGATTGGACGTTGTTGATTTGTTCCCTGAATTGAGTTTCGTTTAGTGTCGCAAGCCACAACCCAAACCCGATATTAGCAGATATTCGTTGGAGGTCGGCGAATTCAGACGCAGTGAGAATGACAAGAGCCGAACTTCCGATGTGAAGGCGGCAAGAGCAAGCTCTCTGTGATATAACTACTTGATCACCTGCTTGGATAGAAGAAGAATTTGTTTGTCTCTATCTCCTTACACAGACTTATAGGTCTAGTAAATTCAACAACCTACATCTGCCAGCTAGTACGTTAGTACATCTTCGAGACCAACAAATTGCCTAGAGCTCAAGACTTCTATCATCCTTTGCTTTTGTGGCACGAAACTTGAATTGTAGTCAGCCTCTGACCTTCGATCAAGGCCTCCCTACACGAAATAATGCCTGAACGAACTCCAAGACCCATGAAGAAAACGAGCGTTTTCAGCAAGAGAGGAGGTGGTAATACCGCCTTCCGCAACTTCAATAATGACTTCTCCCACATAACCGACTTAAACGAGCGTCGTCGCCTTGCCCTCGCCGAGATCGACAAGGCCCCATTCGGCCGGCGCCATATCCGCGCTATTGTCGTTGCTGGTGTTGGCTTCTTCACTGATTCGTATGATATCTTTGTCGTCTCTACGCTGACCATTATGCTCGGTATTGTATACTATGGTGGCACACTACCAACCAGCTCTGATACCGCCATCAAACTATCAACATCTGCTGGCACTGTTGTTGGCCAGCTTGGCTTTGGTGCTTTGGCCGATGTTGTCGGTCGCAAGCGCATGTACGGCCTGGAGCTCATTATCATCATTTTCGCTACTCTCGCCCAGGCCCTAAGTAGCGATTCGCCTTCTATGAGTGTTGTTGGTGTCATCATCTTTTGGAGAGTTATAATGGGTGTAGGTATCGGAGGCGACTACCCCCTTTCTTCCATTATCACCTCCGAGTAAGTCTCTTCACTGTTTTCTGGGCCAATTATCTAGTATTAAATGCTAATAAGGCAATCCTAGGTTCGCGACAACCAAGTGGCGTGGTGCTATGATGGCTGCTGTCTTTGCTATGCAGGGCATTGGCCAGCTAACTGGTGCTCTCGTCATGCTTTTTGTTACGCTTGCTTTCAAATCACAGACTGAGATAGCTGATACAACCAGTACGTGTACTGGAGCCTGCCAAGTTGCCGTTGATAGGATGTGGCGAATCCTCATTGGATTTGGCGGTGTGCCTGCTTGTATAGCCCTATACTGTAAGTATACTTCGAATATTATGCGACCTATCCATCGTCCGCTAATAGGAGACTCTCTCAGACCGTCTTACTATCCCCGAGACTCCTCGATATACCTTCGATGTCGCCCGCGATGTTGACAAGGCTGACAAGGATGTCAAGGCCTACATGTCTGGCAAGCCTGAGGGGCATACTGAAGACCTGGTTCGCGTCGAGACCCAAATCGCCGCTCGTGAGAACCTTCAAGTCACCAAGGCCAGCTGGGGTGACTTCTTCAGGCACTATCGCAAGCGCAAGAACTTTCTCCTCTTGCTTGGAACAGCCGGCTCATGGTTCTGTCTTGATGTGGCCTTCTATGGCCTCAGTTTGAATAATGCAACTATCCTCCAGGTGATCGGATATTCCACCAAGAACACACATAACGTATACCAGTTCTTGTATAATACTGCCGTCGGCAACATCATTATTGTCCTTGCTGGCGCTGTTCCGGGATACTGGGTCTCGGTTGCAACGATTGATACCCTTGGACGCAAGACAATTCAGCTCGGTGGCTTCATTATCCTGACTATTCTCTTCATTGTTATGGGGTTTGCCTACTTCCACATCTCCTCAAGTGGTCTCCTTGCTATTTATGTTCTTGCGCAATTCTTCTTCAACTTCGGTAAGTGGGTCTTCGAAACTAACAATGGATGAGCAAGGATACATCTAACCGCGAAACCAGGTCCCAACACAACGACCTTTGTTGTGCCAGGTGAAGTCTTTCCTACTCGATACCGTTCTACCTCTCATGGCATTTCTGCTGCGAGCGGCAAGATTGGGTCTATCATCGGGCAAGGAGCTATTGCTCCTCTCCGAACTCACGGAGGAACGAAGGCAAATCCGGCGCCTTGGCAGGATCACGTCCTTGAGATTTATGCCCTCTTCATGCTTCTTGGTTGTGGTACCACGCTGCTGATCCCTGAGACCAAGAGAAAGACTCTTGAGGAGTTGAGCGGTGAAGATGACTACACTACTACTTACCGCGAGTCTCCCACTATCGAAGCTCGTGACTAACGCCAGGCGTCGCAACATATTATACGATGAAGGCTTACATCCCGACTTACTCACTAACTCTACGCCACTGGTTATCCACATTGTTTGACTACTTCAGTGGAAAACACGTATCATAGCTTTGGACGCCTTGGTGACCATCTTTCACATTCAATTTATTTATTTATATAGCATAACCTACGTCTCTTCCGTTCATGCTTAAATAATCCCGCAAACGCTTAGTCTTTATTGGGCACAGAATAGTGATGATGTTGAGAATCACTGTATAGCAGAAGATTTACTTTTAAACTGCCCTAATTCAATTGAATTCTCCTCTGTATCAAGAACTTCTCGTCCACAAAATTTCTGTGATGAGCTCGCTGATGGACGTCGCCCCAGCTAGAGTTAAAGGCAAGAAAACCCCCCACGTCTTTACACTTAGATGCAACCCTGCTATATTTCTTCTTGGACTGAAAATTGCATAGGTCAGCCATGGTAGAATTTTGGGCTTGAAAAATAGAAAGAAAGGCAGACAAATTCTCAGCGCTGTTCTCTTACGGAGGGGGATATTAGGGTGATATACTCTTTCTACTTTTATACTGGTGTTTCTCTATTACTTCAATACAGGATAGGAACAGATACAAGTCAAACAGTTTTGACGATATATATCCAAGCCAAACTACAAAGAGCTTATAACTATATAGAACACTGGAAGATAGAATCGATAATCTGAGTGCAGTTTCGTGTTGCTCACCACCCACCACTGGAAATATCCATCATCTCATCTGGGAGGGCAACCAATGTGAGACAAGGATTTGCGCCGTTGCTAGTAAAACGCCTCGTGAACCAACGGGGCCTAGTTTCTACTAATACCATTATGCAGGACAGTCACTGGCGCCATGCTGGCTCAGCTCGCATTCCTGCTATGAAAGAGCCAGTTCTTCGTCGCAAGAAGGGTATTTCTTGCCTTCAAGCGAGAGGTACTGCATCATAGGCTCAATACATACGCAGCCCTTGCAGAGCGGATATAACAACGTTCGACAATGTTGAGTCATGTAATCCTCCCACAGGCTACGTACTATGAAAATATTGTGCCAACAAGCCACTACTCGCTCACTGACACCAGGGCTGTGCTTTCTTAGAATAGGCCGTCTCAAATTCGGGGGGAAACCCCACGGATGCAATTGTACTAGAAGATGATGGAAAATATGACAGATAGCATGATTCACTGATGGGAAGGGAGGGGAATACATGGAACATGGAGAAAGCAACCCATCACGCCGACCCTTTGGGGCTGATTCACACAAGTCGGACTATTGAATGCGCTACTAGCCACTGGGCCCTAAACAACTGCTAAAATAGAAAAAAACGCCTGCTTATTGGGAGGAGAGAAGCCACAGCCTACAAGCTTAAAATGCTAAACGGTAAACGTCTTAGTTGACTCACCCTCGTGATGGAACCATCGCGTTCTAGACACGCCACATTCCGCTCTCAGCGCTGCCCAATTCGTAGAGCTGAGCTCACCCAGCATGAGAAACTGCCGTGTTTTTGCTGGCCTCAGACTTACCAGCTTAGTGCCAGCTTCGTCTGATATCATTGGCCGCCTTATGATCAATAGTGTCAAGACTAGCTCGATCCTCCGCCACAGTCGTTATGTGAATGATCTCGTCTGTTTGCTTCTGGGCAGGGCGGAGCCGCCACATGAGGGCTGAGACTCGAGAGTAGAGTGACTACTTTTAGCATCATCACCAAAACGGGCACTGTCTACACCCAATTGTGCCTTGGGTAGCTGTGAGAGACTTAGGCTTATGTTCAGCCGCAGCTCTAAGTCGTCTTAATCTTTGGCTCAAAGTTTTATATAAACCCATGTGATGTACGTCCTCCGATACCTCTCTCAATATTCTCAACAACACCAACAGCCAGCTAAACAACCTTAAAAGCACTCAATACCTTCACATCATCCTCTTCTTCGTCAAGAACAAGTCTTCCTATTTCAAAATGCTCTTCTCCAAGGCCATCATTACTTCAGTTATCGCCGCTGTCTCAGTATCAGGCGCCCCCTTTGAAACACGCGATGAGGTAGCATTCAAGCCATCCGCCCTCTGGAAATACAATGTCGGCACGGGAGCCATCACCGCTTCCGTAGTTGGTGAGGTTGACAAGTCGAACGCCAACCACGGACAGGATCTCACCACACTCATCACTTTCACCTACCCTCCCGAGGCCACCGGCAAGAAGTGCCAGTTCGCCTTCGGCCTCCACCCCGATGACACCCTCACCGGAAGCAAGAAGCTCGACCTCTACACCAGCAACAAGCCAGCTACGGCTAGCACTACGACTTGGGGCCCCGGCAACCAGCGGAACATCCACCTCGGTCGATTGAACATGGTTAGTGGTGGCGAGGCCACCTGGGAAGGCAAATACAGCAGCTACCTGACCAACAAGGTCGACTGCAAGCCTGCTGGCACTGTCGAGGGCTTTGAGGTTGTGGGCGTCTACGACACTGACAGGGTGTCCTGGAACCCAATCTACCGTGGGCCTCGAATCGTCATCACTCCCAACTAAGAAGATAATGAGTGTACGGGATGGGATTATGGAACATGATCAGCGTGTTGAGTTTTTGTTTTGTCTGCTTCTGATTTCATGATATGTTGATTTTAGCACATCACTTTGATTGTTCTTTGCTTCGAAAGTTTATTTTCGTTGAAATTCTCTGGTTAAATTGTAATGATAAATTCAAGATGGCGAAAGGCTGTTAGCATTGCGGGATACGTTTCATTTCTTTGTACGCACTTGATTTTAATGACATAATACATTTTATCAAACAGAATTGACACCAATTCCAGTAATTAAGAACATCCACGTGATTAAAAAGCTCTCACTGGTGTCATCGAATGCTCTGGGCTTGCGGTCTGGATCCTGCACTATACATAGTCTACGGGACGAAGCCAGTTGTGTATATAGCTATGTAAATCAAGTAGCTAGGCTTGAAAAACTAACTGTACCGAGTCGTAAGGCATACAATTTGTTTCAATAACTCGTGCGAAAGAAAATATATTCGTCCCCATTTTCGAGAGAAGGAAAGTAACTGAGAGGCTTTGTATCACCGCGTACATTGCTTTTTTTCGACCCTGACGGACTCCCGAAGACGTCCAAAGGCACACTCAGTCGCATTCATCTACACCACTCCCTCTCTCAGTCGGATGAGGTAGGAGTTTCGATAGGTGTGGCGGTGGGGAGGTCGGTTGGCAAGTCAGTGCCTGTTGGGAAGGGAAAATCACTTCCAGGAGGAGGACCTCCGGGACCACCAGGACCGCCAGGACCGCCGCCGCCGCCGCCATTATCCTGTCCACCGCCCTCGTAGTATGTAGCTGCGGCACTAACAGTACGCGCGTATGTAGAGTTGATACCAAAGCTGATCCAGGCGAGTATGCCATCCTGAATCTGGTCACCGAGGAAGACATATTGGACAATGGGGTCACTGGTGCGCAGAATCTCGTTAAGGATACCATCCTGTGAGTTGACGGTTACAGACTGGGTGTTGGTGCTGTAAGGAGCCACCAGCTCGACAGCGTCAGTTAGATCCTGGTCAAAGAACACCTGGCCGACATGGCTCGCAGTGGTGTCAGCGATGGTGTGGTTGGACCGCTCAGTTGCGTTGGGGTGAACCATAAGATGAATGTGCTGAGTCCGCCCGCTATAGTGGCCCGGATAGATTCCATCAAAACGCACGGCGCCAATTTCGTCAGTCTTTTGAAAGCCTCGGAGGAAAGTGGTCTTGAGGTTCTCGGGTGCGGAGGTGTAGTCGCCACCACTAGACACACCAGAGTAGACTCCAGTTGAATTGCAACCTAGACTTGTTAGTTATGAAACACACTTCCAGTTTACCCCGTAGGATATCAACTTACTCCAAACCTCAACAAAAGTATCGGTGATGGGCTCGCAGGTATCGACGTCAAAGACGTCCAAGTCCAGGATCAAAAGCACACCAGGCTCGTCATCGGTAATATCTAAGCGGACATACTCGCCAGCAACGTCTGTAGTATGATTAGTCCTTGGGGTATAATAAATGGACTTGTTCTAAAAGCGAATATGCAATACTCACAGTAAGGCCCCTCGGTCGCTTCGGGGCTGAGGAGGCAAGATGTGCCATTGCCAAAGATGACATCCAAGGGGGTCTCCAAATCGTACTTGTAGGATGAATAATGAGATTTGTTCAAGTCCTCAGGAGCACGAACCACGCGGCGGCTACTGGATCTTTGCTTCATGATGTTCTTTCGACGTTCAATGGCCCGCTTCTCAATACCACGCGCTTTGAAGGTTTCCGCACAATGGGCCAGGTCCGTCCGTTCCACCTTGGAGACGAAGTCTCGGCGTTGCAGAACGTCCTTGGAGTGGTCATCCCCTGGATGAGCAGCTACAAAGGGAGTAGCCGCGGCGACTGTCGTAAAGACAGAGGACAGGCGCATATTGCGGGATTTAGAGAGTCAAATATTACGAGATTGAAGTGGCTGCTGGAGATCTGTTGTTGAGGTAGAAGTATTCGAAAAGCGGATGGTATCTCCATTATATAATTTTCATACCTTCACTTCGTTCCCTGTGTTTGCGATTGCGAAATACCCCCGTTCTGTTTCGCGCCCCGCGGTATCCATGGCGTCTACAAAAGGAATTCTTATCGTTTACTACTGCCATTATTGGAAGCTCATGCAAGCATCTGTTTTGACCATCAATAGAACCATTTAAGCTGGTCGGTAGGAGTTTCGTGGCTGCATACACCTCCAATACTCACGGATGAAAGTTGTGGGACACACACCCTGATCCAGGAACAGAAAGAAAGCACAATAGTCCTTTTGCAGTAAGAGGGCCAATCACGGCTAGCGGATTTCAAATATCAAACTGATATGGGTCCAAAGCACTTACAAGATGGTGAGGATTGTCCAGGGGTCCGTTCCAGAAGTTCCAGTCTCATTCTCGGTGTTACAGGCTTGTTGAAGCAAGTGAAATCGATCTATCATTCATCCAATGCCTACAAGCTACTCTACAATAGTTGTCAATATAAAACATTGCCAACTGGGCTTAGTTGATAAAACCTTTGGAAAAAAGACAAGTGCAATACAATACACGGGTGTACGTCAAGGAGAATGCGAAGAGTTGCTTCTGCTCAAAGCTCGTGAAGTAAAAAGTGATGATGATACCAATTTCCGCTTTTAATACACCATAGAGAACAAGGTAGTACCGACAATGGTCCCAGCTCTTATGAGTATGTAAGAGGTAGGTAGTAAATAGTGTGCAGGGCGAGTGTCTGCTGTCCTCCGAGGGAACATGGGTTGAATACCAAGTTGGCATCTAGATTATTTGACACTATGCTAGATGGCCCATTTAGGTTGAATCTGGAGGTCTGCAATGTAACCAGTCGTCGTAAGCCTCCCCTCACTTCCAACCTCCAAAACCACTACTGGCACACTCATATCCCTGCAATCGAAACGCCATGTGACATCGATCGTGGACCCTCGCCTTTGAGCCTTGACCCTTGAAACTCTCATTATACCTAACAGCAGGTCAACAAATCAGCAGACAGGGATTACACCGCCAAGTTGGCCAATACCGGCGCTGAAATCCCAAAACCGAGCATGTGGTCCTTCGCCTGATGCTTAGCTACAGTAACAAGCCTTTTATCATGCATATGAATAAACTTGGCAGTTATGGTTGCCGATCTGTGGGTTATGGTAGCCGTACGTACCTATCTGCATTTTCATTCAACCGCCTTAGGAACACCGCCAATTATTATCGCCCCTCTACAGCTCGCGACGTATTCTCTTACTAGCCTCGGCTCTTTCGAATGTCGCCTTCGCCCCCATCACGTAAACCTTCCTCTCGCTATTCTGCGGTGAACAGAAGGGAATGCCCTTTGAGTTTTCACTCTACATTACAATACAACTGATGCGTGTTTGGGTTGCACGATATAAATGACTCACAGTAGATAGAAAACTGACCACCTGGGTAGCAGCCTTAACTGGACCATCATCAGGTCATAGCATTCTGTCAGTCCTGCGGGCGCAGTACGACAGTGCCCTACTTGCATGACTCCATGCACAACTAGGCACAGTGTCTCATGGGAGCTGAGATGGCACATTCACTTGGTCAAAAGTGCCGTCTTCGATGCTTCTGGTATGCTTCTAGATGAATTTAATGTGACAATACAAAAGTACCACTGTTTGAATGTTGTTTACTTGCTCACCCCTACTGGAGTAATACTGCATCAAATATGCATACAATTCTCCTCCTTTCACGCCGGATAATTCTCTCGGCCATTAATTTAGTCCATTAATCTACAAATTCCTTCCCAATCTGGAAAACTCAGTTGCTTTTTCACAGATTGCTCCAGAGAGCATCACGGTGCGTGCTACAGTTGACGATGGAGGATGAAGAATCAAGGAAACCTCCGAAGTTCACCGCCTAGTGGATCTTTTCCAACTGACAAGGCATGTGCAGTCCTTCTCTTGCTTCGCTGTGACTGTCACATGCTATCGCCTCTTTCGGAATGATACCGAGCCTTTACAATGAAACCTAGCCGCTGCCTCAGCACAACGATTTATTCACACAAGTTGCCCCCATTTCGCCTCCGTTGGCCAGAGTGGTGCTAAACGAATGCTCTTCTTTATACAGGTCTTGATGCTGATACTCGTCGACTATTATAGGGCGTAAATAAGCCATGCATGTCATATGACTATGCCAGTCCCACAAGCATGACACGCAAGGAATTCACACCGGCATTCAAATTATGAGACTGCATCTGAGCCCAATTTTAAAATACATCGTTAAGTTCATTCTTCCTAAATGGTTGCAGCCTCCTTTATTCCGCGTCTTCCTCTCTTGTTTTGATCAGGTAGCCACCATTTCTCAACATGGAAGGTGACAATGTTATGTCCACTAACTTAACACAGGAAAGGTTCGGCTATTACTGGTTTACGGTTGTGACGCCCGTGAAAGGCGAAGCTATGACGACTAACATTACTCGAGTCGCAAATAATCTGTTGGTTGAGCCGGCCGTATGCGAAAGAAGACGAACCCGGAAGGCTACTCAGTCACTTCGTGAAATAATTTTTGAAATCCACTCTCAGACATATGTTCGGTTAATATGCAACATGTCTGACGGAAGGAGAAAGATTCGCCTCTTAGACAGTGTGTGAAGAGAAACAAAGAATTTCTCTGCGTTCCTTGTCCCTCAGTTTGTATTTTTACAACCAGAGGCATGTTACTTATTAGACTATTAGGTATGACTTTTCCTCTATACTTCCTCTCAATGCCTCTCCATACATACATCCATGAACAAACGCCTCTCCAATCAATATACATTCAGCTCCCTGCCGGGGCCTGACCAGATAGGGAATTTTCCCTCCATATAAAATACAGACTTCGTCTCCCTCTTCCATATGTGACGGCCCAAGTCCTATCAGCCCAGCTGCGGTTATGAATGGTCTCCGCGAATGGAGGTAATGCAGCGAGCAGACTAACCAGTCCTTGTCGTCCAGCTGCTGCTTCTCGTCACAAGACTTCAATCTTTCATACGCCGAAAGGAGCTCGGCAGGCTGGCCTGCCCGAATGCGCCTGTGAAGATCGTGGTCGGGGCATCTGGCGCCATCCAAAACTGCAACTCTTATTGCGTCGGAAAGCTCCTCTGTTACCCATACGCGTGGGGACTGTTTGCATAATTGTAAAATGTCTTCGATGAACTCAAGGGCCCCTTCCTTGCTGAGCGGCAGTTCCCAGTCTGGGTCCCAGACATCACCGCACGCTTTGATGATATCAACCTTCAAGCCTTTCAGTGACAGCTTCCCAGAGCTGGTTTCGCCTAGCATTTGTTTGCCTCGAGTATCCCCTGAGGCGGCGAATCTGTTCACCCAAGGTGCCATGCAGCAAGGATTGCGCAGAGGCATGGACCAGTCGGGAGCCCACGTCGGCAAATTTTGGATTCTTTTCGGGAACTGGCAGTATGCAAAGAGATCTATATTTCCCTGTTGCAACAAATTCATGGCTGTATCTCGATATAGTCTTTCGCAGCTGTGGGAATAGTCTATGAGTCTCTCGAAGTGATGATAGTCCGCAGAGAGGTGTAATAATGAAAATAAACGATCGCGCGGATCTCTTGTTTCTGTGTGATTATATTCGAACTGCAGCACCAGGCAGTTTACTAGTACCTGGAAGAAGGTTTCACGGTTACCATGCTGCGACTGACGGGCTGCCCGGCGAGCCAATAGATTTGCCATGTAGCTGCGAGATTTGGGATAAAAGGCCATCTTGAGTCGCTGGATGAGCTGTTCTTTTCTTCTGGAGGGCCGTCTTAAATTTGCTTCTTGGAGAATGTCGATCAGGTCTTGGATAGCATCCAGCATCCTGGGGGAAATCGTCGAACTTCCACACATAATCAGTACGCGAGATGCAATTGCAAACTCTTGTATCGCCCAAAGCCGACTCCAGTATGGTCGGGAACACAGCAAGTAAAACGCATTCGCGAGAACCTGCACATAGGAGAAGTCGCCGTGCAGCCTCACAAGGCCGTTCCAGTCGTGGCTCTGGGCCATCGTTGCCATCTGGGCAAGATGTGCGAACAGTACCTCACTATTCTCAAACGCAGGGCCAAGCCAGGCAATGACAGAGGTGGCGGAGCTATAGACGTGCCGTAAATGGCGGATTTGGTAGGACTTCTCCCTGTCGTTCTGGTGGTTGATGCATATCTGGCTGATCCAAACCCGGGGGTGCTGTTTTTTGAGGCATATTTCCCGCAGGGCCATGGCCACCGAGGCCTGTATCGAGAAGTCCCGGTCATTGAGGGTTATGACGGCTGTCGGGTGTCCAGTGCCCCGGGCATAGCAGAGTGCCGTGTAAGGGGGGCACTCGAGGCGGTCGAATATCTCCAGACGACACACCAGCGGGCTGTTGTGGTCCGTCACGAAGCGCCTGATGTGGAGCAGACGGATCTGATGGCGGGATTGGCTGAGAGGCTGGTACTCGATCTCTCGAGCCATGCTCACGGCGTCGGCAACTGGTCTACTCCAGCGTCAGTCATCCGCCGCAGCGTTGGGATCCCTTTCGGCGCGCTGGCTGGTTGCACTGAGGTTGACCACAGGCTGGGCCAGACCGCGTGCACATGATTGCTGCTGATTGAAGCTGACACTCTGACATTCAACCCTGTCTCTGGACCCTCTTCTCGGTCATGGCGGAGCTCGATGGAACCCTACTCTCCATCCTGGTTGGTTGATTTGGCCTTCATTCGCCCCAAGATGACGGCACTGTTCCAAAAATAACAAGGGAGCAATCTTTGGGTGAGAAAATCAATGTTTTTTTTTCGGTGCTTCTTACATTGTGGCACTGAACTTAGGCAAAATTCGCTTACGATCACACGAATTCTTTTGAGTCTCAACTCCTACCAGGGAACTTTTTGTGAGGTATGAAAAACCGAAGACTATTGCAGGCCACTGAACAATTCAATGAATACAAATGCGAAAGTTAAACGAATGAGTAAAAACAATCAGTCCCCTCAACAAAGGCCACGCGCTATCCCAATGTCCTGCCTGTGCTACTTTCCTCCACCCAGAACGCCTTAGCTAGACCAATAATAATTGAATGTTCCTATTGATCCAATCGTTCTCTTACATCAGCGTCCAGTCATTTATTTGCCCTTCTTTCCCTTGGAGGCAGCCTTGGCCGGAGCCTTTGCCTTAGCTGCGGCCTTGGGCTTGGAAGCAGCCTTGCTCTTCGCGGCAGCCTTGGGCTTGGAACCAGCTTTGCTCTTAGTGGCAGTCTTGGCCTTAGAGCCGGACTTGGCCTTGGAAGCGGACTTGGCCTTTGAACCAGACTTGGCCTTGGAGCCAGGCTTGGGCTTAGAGCCGGTCTTGGGCTTGGAACCACCAGACTTGGCCTTGGAAGCAGACTTGCCCTTGCCCATGGCGACACTCTTGCCCTTAGCACCGGCTTTGCTCTTGGAGCCAGCCTTACCCTTGGAGCCAGTCTTGCCCTTGGAACCGGCCTTGGCCTTGGAACCAGACTTGGCCTTGGAAGCGGACTTGCCCTTTGAGCCAGCCTTAGTCTTAGAGCCAGCCTTGCTCTTGGCACCAGACTTGCCCTTGCCCTTAGCAGCTTGCTTGCCCTTGGAGCCGGCCTTAGCCTTGGAGCCGGCCTTAGCCTTGGAGCCAGACTTGCCCTTGCCCTTAGCGACACTCTTGCTCTTAGATCCAGCCTTGCTCTTGGAGCCAGCCTTGCTCTTAGAACCAGCCTTACTCTTGGTACCAGACTTGCCCTTGCCCTTGGCTACACTCTTGCCCTTAGCACCCGCCTTGCTCTTAGAACCAGCCTTACTCTTGGTACCAGACTTGCCCTTGCCCTTAGCGACACTCTTGCCCTTAGAACCAGCCTTGCTCTTGGAGCCAGCCTTGCTCTTAGTGCCAGACTTTCCCTTGCCCTTAGCAACTTGCTTTCCCTTGGAGCCAGTAGACTTGCCCTTGGCACCAGTGCTCTTGCCTTTGCCCTTGGCACCAGTGGACTTGCCCTTGCCCTTAGTGACTTGCTTTCCCTTGGAGCCGGGGGCCTTTCCCTTGCTCTTGGGACCAGTCTGTCCCTTGCCCTTGATAACTTGCTTTCCCTTTGAGCTCTTGCTCTTGGGGCCAGTCTTGCTCTTGGGTCCAGTCCTGCCCTTGCCGTTGGTGACATGCTTTCCCTTGGGGCCAGTGGCATGGCCCTTGCCAGGGCGGCTGGCATGGCCCTTATCATTGGAAACGTGCTTCCCCTTGGGGCCGGTCTTACTATTGCCGCCGCGGTTCTTGCCGCCGTGGAGCTTCCCAGGACGTTGTTTCCCATTGGAAAGTCCGTGCTTCCCTTCCTTACCCTGGGAATGTCTGTTGTTCCCACCACGACTGTTGGAAGTCCGATGCTTGCTGGAAAGGCCGTCCTTGTGGGATGACTTCTTCTTGTCGGTCGGGGAGTTCTTGGGCGTCTGGCTGCTCTTTGACTTCTGAGGGGTGATGCCCAGATCATGCTCGACGTGCTGCTGGTGTTCCTGGAAGGCTTTGTTCTGGTTCTGGAACTGCTTCGCCTGTTCGGCCATGGCGTGCTTCTGCTCCGCGAACATGGCTTTCTGCTGGTTCGCGAGCTGCTTCTCCTGTTCAGCGAAGGCCTGCTTCTGCTGCTCATCAGGGGTCAGCGCCACGGACGCCCCAGCGAAAGCCAGGGCGACGGCGAATGCGTTTGTGAGACGCATGATGACAAAGAAAAGAGAAGGGAAAAAGAGAAGAAAGAAAGAGAATGTATCGCAAAGTGGACTGGATGGTAAAGGGCTGCGTTATTGGATGTGACTTGAAGCGAGAAGAGTGTGCTGGTCCGATGCGATATCACAGTCTCTTTATATCTTCTGCTCCTGCATACTTTGTATGGTTTGGCATTTGATCAGCACGAGACGAGCCTTGGACTCCATCACTCCATCACTCCATCATCCGCCCCCGAGCTTGGGGAACCGTTCATGTTCGAGCGTACTCAGCCTCCTGGGACTTTGGGCTATTTCCTTTGGAAGCAAGACCGGAAATGCTACACTCAACAGCTAATTTTGGTCAAATGCGAGTCAAAGTCCCAGGGGCGCTGACACACTTGGCTATTTTGCTGTCACACATTCGGCAATATCAACTTTGGGCGAGGAGGGCATAAGCCCAGGTGCGCTGACTGCAGCCAGCTATTTCGGTCGGGATGTCTTTAGTAGGCACCAAGATGGCTGTGTATGGTATTACTTGGGACGGAGAGGCACACATACCCAATCATAATGCGTCCATGTGTGCGTGAGACGATCAGACAGAGTTATTCTGCGGGTCCCTCCCACCGTCCAGTAAGACACGACTAATACCTCCAACACCTAAATGCCTATGAGGTCTCACCATGGAGCCGAAGACCCGGGCAGATCCTTATTAATCAATGCGCACAAGTACTTTCGTCGGTAGTGGCTAATCAATCGTTGAGTACTTTGGTAGACTGCAGCTATAACCCACGGATCCCCTGAGGCCTGAGGTCTAGAGCCGGCCAGCATTTGCCACCGACTGGTCCGTCCGCTTTGCGACTCCAGCCCAATATAGCAAACAGGAAGCTTGGATAAAGCTTGTTGATCGCCAAGGCACTAGCCCTCTGCAGCCGCCGAGTCTCAATCACGGTTGTGTGATGTGTCGAGAATCAAGATCCCTCAAGCCCATCAGCAGCCATTGGCTATTATTAGTTCCGCCCGTTCTAATTTCGGGTTCTCCTTTTTCATGCTTATCGTGAGTTATCGCACATCGTTGATTGGCCTCCAATCGCCCCATTTTGCACTTTTACCTACCCTAAACCTCTGCCAGTCAGCCCGACCTAACCTAGAGCCAAGTATCACGAAACCTCTTGAACTGAAAGAATGTCACCTATTTGAATGAATGAACCGAAAAATAATAAGCCTATAGATCAAGCCGATTATTCGCTTCGATGGTAATGCTTTTCTCTAATCTCATTATGTGTATTCAATACTACAGAGTCTTTCGACTACCTGGCTCAATGTGGACGTGAATGGCCGTAACAAAGACTTTGAATTATCAACGCACATACGGAATGTCATCAATCAACAAAATGTGATACTACCACCACACACTAAAACTAGCGCCCTGTATCAGTCGGGCTTCCTGATGTATTTCAGAACTGATGCAGGATCCTAGGTCTTCACTGCGGAGGGAGCTTGAAGGCACGGAAGCCATACCCAAGAATTTACCCAAGTACTTCGGGAGTATGACAGCCAACGCGCATTAATTTCCTCATTTGACTTTGCAGCCACCTTCTATGCTTCATGAACAGATGGCTGTGCGAGGACCTAATACGTGTGGTGAGATCGCCCCCTGTAAGGCATATGCATATGCTCCGGAGACTTCCTAACTCAAACTTAGTGGCATTTGCCGGTTTCCGAGCTTAACGGCAGGGTCGCAAATATTTTGGTGTCGAATGCGACGATATGAGTTGGTGGAGTAATACCTGGAACCATGACGGTGCCTTGAACACTTCAATGTGTGTTGCGGGTCGAGGTATTGCTGCAAGGAATCACACATGTTTTGCGTCTGTACGCAGCACTCATACAGATAAATATAGCCGCATCAAACTTACTCGATATAACTACTATGTATCAATAAAGGAGTAGAACAGTGTGAGCCTTGATTAATGTGAGGATCCTCGCTCTCCCTATCATCTTAACGCGGGTACTGATAGCCAATCAAGAGGGATTTGAAACCTCTCCGGTTCTAGAATTTCTCGACTAGAATCTTCCTTCATCTCGGTACGGCTATACCCTGACACTCAATTACATTATTGTGTTATGGTGGCAATTTCAATCAAGGGGTATATGATATGGTTGTTGTGTGTTGATCGGTAGGAGCCAAGTGAAAGGAATTTTTATGATGCATTTTCTCAACACTCGCCATATTCAATGAAGTTCAGTTGATAGAAGATAGAGAATCAAAATACTGATCCTGGCAGCTGGAGACATCGCCACCCACATGTCGGGGGCCCCCATGTTATATACCCCTGTCCTGAGCGAGTTGTCATATTCTGTCACTGTGTCCAGGCATGGCGCAGTGAAGTCATTTGACGTGTGTACCGGGATTCTCTAACGGCCAGCCAGGGTCGTCGGTGAGCTGTTAATCTCCCAGATTCGATAAGCAGAAATTTCTCCAATTCTTCCAATCTTTTGCGAGCTCCAGAATCACGAGCATCAATCCTCTGGCCTCTGGACGGGAAGACTTCTGCCGAGTGCGTGGCAAAACAAGGCAGCCATTGAATCGGACCAGGACGTTTTTGGGATCAGGCGCGCACGCTGCCTTTATCTGACACGCATATCGCATGGGCCATCTGACCAAAATCCATTCCTTCTGCCCATCAAGACAGCTGGGCGAGATGGAGTGTCGCAGCGATCGTGGCACACCGAAGCGCGAGCCTCGTACGGACTGCAACGAGGGCAAATTGCCTAAAGAGGTGGTCCCCGAGGACTTCAATGAGGGTGTCAGCGCCGCAAAGCTGCTGGTGGAAGGCAACATAAGCGAGGCCCCCAGTTTGGTCCAGCTGCAGAAAATAGCTGAGCGAACGCTCGAGTCGTAGGTGCCGATTCTCATATTGTCCGTGGTTTTCGGAGCCGTATTAACCGGTGATCTAAATTAGGCCCCCAGAAGCAAAGGGTGTGATGCGAAGCCTCGAATTCTATTTCTGGTACTCGGATGCAGTAGATGCTCTGCTCGTGTTTAGAGCTCTACAGGTCCTTGATTACCTGGTACACTGCGGACCTCGCGAGTTCGAGAATTGGGCCAAGGGGAACATTGACCGCTTACAGGAAATCGAAAAGAACGAAGAAATCTACATCCAAGCACAAGAGCTATGGACGCTCATTAGTTCCTATACCCGGGATCTAGTTCGAGTTCTCTCTGATCCGGAGTTACTTATGGTCGAGCGAAGCTGGTCGGAGCTCTGGGCCAGCCGAGTCGAAGCTACCATTCCAGTGCACTTGCAGGTTCGAACCGAGGAAATAAGAATTCGAGAAGAAGATTCGAGGGACTATGGTGGTTACGATCAGCAACTGCCGCCCTATCCTGGCCCTCGTGCAACCGAGCCACCGCCGGAGAAAGCTCGTGTCGTGGTGCCCTCGAGGCAGTTGCAACGGACCATTACTCCAATACAGCGGCAGTGGGATAATGTGCCGATGTACCCAGAGATTGGAGAAACGCTGAGCCTATCGACAAGCACACAAACTCCAGTACTAGGACTCGGTGACGGCGGCGAATACTTCGTGAGGGCCAAGAGCCCAATAAATACCAACCCAACAATACCAGAACAGTTGCTGGGTGCCCGAGTCTCGAGTAGAAACGCATTGTAATTTAAATTGACACGAATTAAATGAAAAGACAGAAAAGGAGCGAGACCATAGTCCTTCAATCCACAACCATCAGCTTATTCAACTTATGTTCCTTGACTCTAACCAAATTATCCCTGACATCTGACACTGGGACCAACTATACCATTAGCCTCTCAGATTCCTGGCTTTCACGGTAGCATATAAGGCTTCTAGCGCAAGTTCGTCCACAGAATCTGTGTTTTCCTTCTCAGGGATTCTGTCTCTTGGCCGATTCCTGTCTACAAAGCATGTGTCGCTGCCACCGAAATAGGCATATTGGAGAATATGGTTCCTGTCTTGGGATAGCCCTACACCTGAAGCATACTTATCGTCATCAATGTCTTCGTATGGCGTGTCGTCAGGTGGAGGAGATAGGCGGTCAAAATACCGGAATGCCTGGCGATGTATCGAACACTGTCCTCTCCCAATGTCTCCATGGTCTTGCAAGAAGTGACCCATGTTAACCCAAGGCGATGTGAGGGCGCCGCTTCCCATCTTGAACACTCGCAGACCAGTCATGGATTCATTCCACTGGGTCAGGACGGTGTGCCATCGCAGAGGAAACTCACGTTTTTCATAGGCACCCCGCCTTTGGGTAGCTGGTCGGCGGGCAAGTAGATCCCTTCTGTGGTAACCTTCGTTGGAAACAACAATATCATCTCCGTTCCTATCCTTCCCAACAACCTTCGTGCTCTCATCCAAGGGCCTCAAGTGGTTTGCGTGGTACATTATGGGGCAGTTGTCGAGATAAAGCTTCTCCAGCCCCCCACGCCCATTCTGGCGCCCCAGTGAGGCAATCCAATCGACCTGCCATTGGTGGCTGAAGACATATTTCCCCAGGGCAAGGAATCTGAGGCTGGGGAACCCCGAATCAACTCCCATTCCGGGTCTAACGGCGCGGAAGTCCATCTTGGGGTTCCAACCCCAGTGCTCGCGGCAGTAAAGGGACATGGTGGTCAGGTTGCCTGCCACAGTCGGAGATAGCCATGTTGAGGGAAGAGCGGCGAAAAGATCATATTTGTCGCAGAGGAAGAGCTCGTTCTCCGGATCACGATCGTCTGCCTGCGTGGTGATCTGCAACTTCAGATCGACGAGCTCCTTTGATTCGAGCACTGCTTTGAAAGCGTCGGACTTGGTGAGCCGTTCGTCGTTGTAGTCACCCAAATTGCTGATGGTCAAGGTCTTTAGAGGCAGGCGGCTGGCTATCTCATCATCACTGGCACCCGGGATAGTTTGATCGTACACAGGTTCAAAGTGTCTTAGCTGAAGTGTCTGATCGATGTTTGCCTGCTGTTCGGAAGACCATGTTCCAGCCACCGACCGAAACACAGTGTCTAGGACCCTATAGCGGAAATCTGTGGTCTCCTCGACATCTGTATAGCGGTCTAAAAGGGTGTGCCCACAGAATTGGCTAAAAACCACGTTTAGCGCGCTGAGGTTACGGAAAAACCGTAGATATGGGAGGGCATTCAGAAACTCCGATGGCAGAGGGAAGCTGTCATTGGCATCGTATCTGAAGTTAGAGCCGACCCAGGTATCGCATGTTACCTCACGAACGAGATGTCGAAGGTTTTGAGATCGAGCCACGTTAATAAGAAGTTCATGCTCGCCTTTGTCCTCTTGTGCACCAAGATGAACGTGTCTGAACGCGTGGGCCGTAGCGATGGCGCCTAAACGGCGATCTAATGCCCTGAGTGCGAAAAGTGCATCTCGCGGGAGGTATGAGAATATCTCGTTGAATACCTCTGGTGGAATGCGACTCGTGAGATTGCTTGGAAGAGAGTTGGCCATCATTGAAATCTGTGATTGAAACAACTGGTGATGTTGGAGCGTGAACTTTACTCGCCGTTTGTGAATCCTTTCTTTTTTATTAGCGTGGGACCAGCATCCATGCCCGTTCTACAGAGCTTGGCATGACAAGGGTCATTCTAGGACACGGCCAATGTTGGGTCTTCTCTCACTTATTGTCCGTCGTAACAGTATAATGAGGGCTCCCAGCCGATATGTGCGTTGAGCTAGACATTCGGTAGTATCTGGCCCGTTTGAGCTGCCATCACTTCATATCCTCCGCCGAGGCCTATGCTCACTGTGGCCCTCATGGCACATTAGATGGCAAAAGCAATATCGTAATTAGTGCTGACAACCAGTTTCGGTTTCCATCCACTAGCATCAGTAATGGACAATGGATAGCCATATCGTGGAATTGGATTTCAGACAGGGGCTTATAATAAGAGGGACTCCAAATGTAATCCCTCCCGCCCGCAGAAAGTATACTTAATATCCATTTGGCCGGTGGTCAGTATCCAAGACAACGCCTCGATCCTTTCCCACGCATGTATTTCCTCCATACTCTGTATCGTATCCCCTTCTTGAGATCCGCCCTCCTCAATCTCGATTACCCGCTCTAATACCCGAGCAGTAGAGATACTGTCCCATACCGCCTCCTGTATCGGTTGTCGCCGCAGGATATCCAAAGCCTCGCGACGGACTATGGGATCTCGGCATTTGACGCCGATAATGTAAAGCACGGGGAGGATTCCAACCTCGGGTGTAAAAGTAGGCCTCAGTGACCCTGAGTACCGTTCATGGGCTGCCGCTACGTCGCGAGCCAAGGCCACGCATTGCCGAAACTGGGGTAGGAAGTTGTCAAAGCCCATTTCCTTGTCAGGGCTGTGACTTTTGACCAAAGTCCATGCCATGGTATATTGTAGGCGCAATAGAGAGATCAGAGCAAGTGACTCAGAAGTTGTCTCATGGGGGTTCTCTTGTTGCAACATGCTTTCGAAAAGATTGGACCATGATTCCAGCTGTCGGAGGATGATACCCTTGAATGGCGGAGGTAATGGGGGCATCTTCCCTAGTGGAGACAACTCCTGCCCCGTGTTACGTAGTCTCATTACCTGAGTAACGAGAATCTGGAGGTGGTCGGCTGCTTGTTCGATGGACTGGAAGGTAGTAGCTGAGATTGAGACCTGGGGAACATAGTTCTCTTCCCTATCGACGGGGGTCCAGTCGATGAGAAACATCGCAGCCTGCATATCTAGACGGCGGATCTGCCTTGTGACTTCATAAATGAGGCCTTGAACGCCCGAAGATTTGGTATCATGAAGGGTGTCATGCTTGCTTAATATGGCCTGATAGATGTTACGTGAAAGCTCTATGCCTCCGCGTAGATGTTTGATGGCTTGGACGTAGTTGCCCGCCATATGGTCAAAGCAGGTGAAGAGATAGCAAACCAAAAGAGTGATGGCTGTTACTTGATTGTCATCATCGTTCTTTTGGCTAACAAGTAGTTGAATCGCTCGATTATAGTAAAGCAAAGGGGCCTCATCCTGGAGACGGCATTTCAAGGATCGTGGCTGGTAGAAAGCGTGACCAGAATCTGGATCCAGGTGATTGCGGTGCATTAAGGCCAGAGCAATGGCTGCACATCGAACTGATGGCTCGGTTTGAGAGAAGAACATGAGTGTCTTACGCCATGAATTGCTGGGGCGATATTCGTTGAGATTTTTGATAGCAACATCCTCAAAGAAACTCAGAGCCTCTGCCTGTGTTGGTCCAGTCACTGGTAGGATCATGAACGCTCTGGGGTTCTGCAAGTGGAGGCCATCTGGCTGAATGTCACATCTTGTTGGTCGTGACACGCTGGTAGCTGTGGGATAATGGCGAGTAGTCCGGTGCTCGATGTGGTGACGTTCGTGTCCAACTCCGGCACTGAAAGTCGAGGGGACATCACCGATATCACCATAGCCGTCACATGTGCGACCTGTGGACTGGCACTTCATGCATGAAGGCTGGGCTAGATCGCACTTAATTCGTCTTATTCTGGGAGTTGCGTCAACATTGATTGTCAGCGTTTGAATGCTAGAGACCATAGGACAGGGCGTATAGCCTCACTTGCAAGTTTTACAGCCCAGCCTTGACTTTGGGGCGAATTTGCGAGGCTTTTTTCTCCATGATTGATTGCCCATCTTGGCGTCGGGGTTTTTAGCTTTGCCCATGGCGTGGATGTTGGTAGGCTTCGGCATTAGAATGAATTACGAGAGATGGAGGATATTTATATGTATTCTTAGGGGATAATACAGCGGGTGTAAGCCCCTATACCGGATACTGTAGTATAAATCCTTGCTGGAGCCTGGTGCTGTTAAAGAATGTGCACTGTACCTAGTTAATCAGTATATTCCATTAAAGAGGCCCTTAGCATATTCTTAGTGGAGTATTGTGACTGACTCTCGACTCCATAATTCCACTCTTGCTCTGCCTTGCCCGACTCCTCTGACGCTGAACAGAGACCGAGATGGCGTGGGAAAGAAAGCTCTCTGAAGTATTACTTCGATCAAATGTCCGCATCGATTTAACAAGGCATGGCATCTCGTCTTATTTGCGAGTGGCGAGTGTTCCAACGCAGTGGCATCCAGATTATCACTTCTCGCCCTACATATGGTAGACTGGACCAGCGCCGTAGATTTTCCAAATTTGAACCCTCCACCTGTCAGTTCAACAAGAGCCGGGCTGATTCTCACTTGAGCCGAGCCCTTTCTACCTGGGTGGACGCCACGATAACCGTGGAGGAAGCTCTACCAGACACGTATAATGATGTAAGTATCTTCTCTAAGAATCGTTGCTCTTTACTGAAGCGGTATAGCTACGATTCGGACCGGAGGGCGAAGTCATCGTCGACATGATCACCCAGGATGATTACTCCGTAGAGAGGGCCGTAGAGGTAATCACTGCCCTGACCTCTGCGGCAGCATCTGCGGCAGCCAATGCTTCTCCTGATGACCCTACTGATATCCCTTTGTATCACCACGCCGATAATGTCGCGCTTGCCATTCATGGCTTGTCAAGGCGCGTTCGACACTACCGATAATCCAAGCTCATTGACTTTTACGTCCAGCTCCAGCAACAAACTGTATATGAACCTATAAAGACTGGGGTAGTAAAGGATTCATATCATATGAGCTTCTGGACAGATATACCTGAGATAAGCATGAAACTCACGGAGTATTTTTCTTTCGGCAGTAAGTACTGCAACAATATAAAAGAAACTCTTAGGAATAAGACGCGATTAAGCTGACATTGCTTGGAGCGGAGGTTGGAGAGGTTGAGGACGATGGCCACCAGTTGGAAAACTTCACATCATGGCTCGCCCGGCTCTCAGAAATGCAGGTTCCCGGCTACGTAACGGGCATCCTCTGGAGCCACCCCGCCCTAACATGCATATTCCAGAAGAAGTACCGGGTTACAGGGCAAGATGTGCGAGTTATGTGCATGTGGTTCATCTATGCGCCTAAGAAGGCCTGGACAGATGCTCAGAAGCGCCGCGCGCACAAGACTGGCCGGCCTCGAAAGACGGAAGGGTTTGAGCCCGAGCATTGGCCGAAATGGAAGCAGTTCTTGCAAGACTGCCAGGGCTCATCATCAGAAGAGCTCGCAGATGAGTATACACAAGATCTCATTGGGCTTGCTCTAAAAAGCATAGACGAGTTCGAGAGTCAGACTTCTGGATCCATGTAAAGGCTGGAATAACTTGTACACTGTTATGATATACACCCCACAGTTAAACTTGTATTACTCTATTATCGCCCCCCTCAAATTTTCAAAGTCTTTACAGAGCACCTGGGATGTTATTGTTGTAACTGAGAGAGTCTGCGGAAGGATTTGGGATCAGCGTCTTGTGATGGCTACTGATTGGCTTGTTCGTACAAGCGGGGCTCTAAGAAGCAAGCCGTTCTTGTGACGAATGTTGAGGCCAAGCCACTAATAGCGGCACAGCAGAAACAAGGGTCTCACGTCAACTGGCGGACAGTTGCGTGGCTCAGTTTGTTGAGATGCGTCAGCATGAGGAGAAATACGCTTTCATTGGTTAGTTCGTACAAGTGGGGACAGAAGGTGCGAGTTTCCCCCCCCTGTGATATGAATGCTATGTAGCTGAGATTGGCAAGGACTGAAGGGCAAGTCTTGCTGATGTTGGGGTAGATGGTCATTGGCTTCTTCGTACAAGCTGAGTACTAAGAGAGCCTGCTCATGGGGCATTATGGGTGTAACTGGGTAGATACAGCCTCCTGAAATCAAAGCTGATAAGTTGATCCTCGAGTCTCTCTTACCTTCAAGTGTATAAATATGCGTAGTTTCCGGCGTGGTGATTATATTGGCTACACTGGCACAAGCGATTATTTCCTTCACAGTAAATAAAATAACAAAAGCCTGCTCGCCACAAGGCTCTACAGGGGCAACGATGAAACAACTTACGACCGCATTCATTCTCTTGACAGGCCTTGCATGCAAGGCCGATAGTTTGAGCAATAGAGGAATGGTCTATGGATTTGAGGATGTGAGACGGCACTTTCCCCTAACAGTGAGTTTGAAGACTTCAAAACAGTGCAGCTAACAAACAATTTAGCTTACTCCATCTGCCAATCTCACGTGGACTCCATGTTTCGACGATTTCAGGTGCTCTAAGCTGGAAGTCCCATTGGACTATTCAAACCCTAGTCTTGGCAAGACGTCGGTCGCCTTTATGAAACTGTCTGGGAAGAATGCCACGACCCAATCGCCGAGCATTGTACTCATCCCTGGTAAGGCACAGGATGATCACAAACGTAGTTAACCGAATATCATGTGACTAACTGATCATTTTCTAGGCGGTCCGGGTGGTTCTGGCATCGACATTCTTCTTACATCTCGGTCCGTGGTAGGGCAGATGTTCGGGGAGCAGTATAACGTCGTGTCTTTTGACCCTCGCGGAGTGAACAACAGCGGCTTGAACTTTGACTGCTTCCGTGGGAATGCAGAGGCAAGAACGGCATTTAATCGACTGCATGCCACAAGGGCTACCAACGTCTCGTCAGAGTCTCTTCAAGAGCAGTATTATTCAGCTAGTATCTACGGCGAGTGGTGCAACGAGGCCGTGGCGAACGAAGCACCCCACGGATACTACGTCACTACACCTGCAGTTTCCCGAGACTTGCTCACATTTGTCGAGGCCGAGGCCACACTGGCCAATCAGCCAGAGTCAGATGCTAAATTATGGTCTTACGGTATGAGTTACGGCACAGTCATTGGAGCGACCTTCGCCGCTATGTTTCCCGACCGAGTTGGGAGAATGATACTCGATAGTGTTTTGGATGCCGAGCAATACTATGACAATAACTGGAGGGACGTCACGGACCAAATGGACGAGACCATCGAGAAATTCTCTAGCTTGTGCCACTCCGCGGGCCCTGAGAAGTGTTCCTTCTGGGGACCATCGCCGACTGATATCACAGCTAGATTGGACCGGATCATCCTTGAGCTTCAGAGTCATCCAGTGGCTGTAAGCAGAGCTCAAAGTCAAGGGCTACCAAAAATGGCCACCTATTCAGACCTAAAAGATTTTATTTTCACTAATATCTACACGCCACTACTAGGCTTCCCAGCCATAGCCGATGTACTGCATCAGCTAGAGAACGGCAACGCTTCGGCTCTCGCGGACGTGTCCGACGGACTAGGCATAGGGATCGATGCTGGTTTTGTTATTCGATGCGTTGATTCATACCGAAGAAACAAGCTCGCTACCATTGAGGAGTTCAAGGACTACGTCGAATACATGGTCTCCACGAGCAAGTACACCGGCGATATCTTCCCCATAGTCGCAGAAAATATCGTGTGCAGATCATTTCGGCCGCAATTACCTGCTAGTATGGACATTCAAAGTACGAAAAACTCACTGCTCACAGCCCTTCGAATTCTTTCCCCAGCGGGTAAACTATACCAGGTTTAAAGCAGTACTGATTGGTTTCTTTTCGATCTAGACCCGATGGGCGAAATACAAAGACCTACGGCCTTCCCGATTCTAGTCACCAGTAACACGGTTGACCCAGCATCACCCGTCAAGTCGTACGCTTTCCCAACTGCTCCGCTACATGATATCCTACTAACCTGCTTTTCTTCTCTTTAGGGCCCGCAAGTTGTCTGCTCGATTTCCAGGATCGGTCCTCCTGCTGCAAGAAGGAGTCGGGGTAAGTCAATTCTAACGTCCATTTATATCGCTTTTACAAAGGAGAACAGTTGACTTATTCATCGAATCTTCTTTCCGATTGCAGCACGTGGTAGCCAATCAAGGAGGAACAAACTGTTACTTTGGATACGTTCAGGCGTATCTCCAAGGCATAATTCCGCCGACCAACACCACCTGTGCGCCGCAGTACATACCCTTTATTGACAGGCCATTTTAGAACGGGTCTCAAAGCTTTTTGAGCCTTTAGGCTCAGTTCCTTCAAGCAGACGGCGGGTCTTTTCCTGGCGCTTGCTCGGCTCTGTTATCATAGTGTCAATGTTCGATACCGCGTTTAGATAGTAAAAGTCCTGTTAGATAGGAGGAAGAGACTTATTCACAGAAAGAATGTTTGAAATTGTCTTGATTTCAGCTTCTGTATCTAATAGACTTATCTCTCATTCACGGCAGAAAACCTGAACAAGACTAATCCTGGCAGCACCGCCCCTAAAGGGCCAACGCAATTGCTATGTAAGTCCCAAGAAGAAGCGCCATGGTACCAACGGCCACATTCTGACCTTTGATACCTGCCCCTGATGAACAGTCGTCGTCACCACCTCCACCTCCCTTCCCCTTGCTCTTCTTCCGCTTGCATATCTGTGTTGTGCTCTGGACAAGTGTGACCGGAGTAAACCATTTGCTTGTCTCGGATGACGCAACAGTGGACGTCTTGTCGGAGGCATCACTCTTTGTCTTGGATGCACACACTGCGTTGTCCTTACCAAGAGAACATTTATAAGTGGTGCCTGCTATGACTGCCCCGAAACTGGATGGTGCATAGGTAGCAGTGACGCCCTTGAAGTCGCCTTTACAATTGGCCGGTGCTGCCCAGGATGTTTGGCAGGCGAGCAAATACTGGGTTGTAGAAGCCGACTGGGTGATAACTGAAGCGTATATAGAGGCTCCTCCGGTGTCGCGAGGGGGTAAAAATAGGGACGTCGTGGACTGCGTGCTGAGGATGGTTGAGGTTTTGTCTGCCTGTGAAGGGGCCACACCAGCCAAGTAGGCAACTAAGCCGACCCAAAGAGTATTGGAGCGCATTTTGAGAAGATAAATCTCGTTTGGTTCAATTGTTGCAATTCCTCTAATCGATGTTTTTGTTCCAGCCCATTAAGCAGCGGGAGGGATCAATCTCTCTTATAGGCATGAGGTGGTAATATTGACACAACATTCTGCCTACAAAGCCCAATCTCATGGATGCTTACTGCACCTAACCTTGCCACTCTAAGCATTGATGAGCATTCAGCATATATTGTCTGCTGTCGCATCCGGAACGGACGGCATCGATGAGTGAGACGAAAACACTCTGGACCTTCTAATTGGGCAAAGAGCTGCGCTTTCAGCTGGCTACCTCGTTTATTTGTCCCCCATCCTGCTGCCTCTGCTGACCGCATTCATAGTTTAGATGCCATTGCATTGTAGGGCTGACGTAGGGGCGCTGCCGTCAAGCCCGAGAAGGGTGTTTACTTTGCTGTGGGGGGAGCGCATCCATCCCACATCCCGAATACCCATTTGCTACGAGTTACCCTGATCGGTTTCAGCTACAGGGTGATGAGGAGGTGACGACCAACCCTCATCAGCCAATGTTTCGTGGCTTCACCCATCTTTAGCTTTTATTCTGGGGTTAAACACGAAGAAACTGGAAGGGAACTCTTGCAAAGACTGTGTCGTATCTTTTTGGAATATCTTGCCAAAAGGAATACAGAACCGACCGATAACGACTCATGGTTTATTAATTTTACATACCGCTGTTATTTTTTGTTTCCTCTACTTTGGGAGGAAGTGACCAAGAGACGCGATACGCCCCACTAACGCATCTCCTCCAGCTGATTTTCCTTCAGGGTTGCAGTTTAGTTGATATGCTTCCCAGTCTCTAGAAGAGGGTCATATGGGCGTTTGTTAAGATTAGGCTACACATGATTACCTATATGAATGAAAAGCCTTTGACACAAACTGTGGCCTGCCCAAACCCAACCACACCTTAAATCATACAAGCTGGGCACGGGCTCTTTGCCTCCAAAAACTCTAATAAGGGCCGAGCCAATATAATTTGCGACTCTAAATGTGGCTGTGAAACGTTTGCCACTGCGTCAATAAATATTTACTAGGATCTTGCAAGTGGCGTTCAACAACCTTTCTCGCTGCCGGGAATCGCCTTTGCTGATACATAGATTTTTCGGCAGTTTAGTCTGGACCAATAATCTTGTATGACGCGACACTCTAGGCTCGTGAATTCTGAATAGTGCTGTTTATTTGGAAAGGGTAGTGGTGGTAGCTTAGTCGACTGGAAAAATCAATCGCAAGAAGCGAAACGAAGATTCTATAAAACCATATCTTGGGCAGCTAAGTTCTGAACTGAAACGTGCTATTGAACTCAAGTAAACCCAAAGGGCAAAGAAGGTGTTATTCTACCTGACTGGAAAAATTAAATCGTGAAAAGCAAAACCATAATCCTGAAGAAACTTATACTTGGTGCAGGAATATCCCAGAAAGTGCCACTGAATCGAACTGAAAGAATTGTCTTTTTTTTCTGACCTGGATATCAAATTGTAAAACTTAAGCCACGCCAGTATGCCAGTTCTATTTAATCCCTGGTTCTTCTTTTTCTTTTCATTGCTTCTCCGCCCAATCTCGAATACTTGTCCATTTGATTTCCAAAATCTGTCAAGCTGATTTACGGCCCAATATCTATTACCTCCCATGTCCAGCCTTTCGCTAACCACCTGGTGCAACAAAATGGATCTTCTCAAGAAGAAATTCGACGAATTGTTTCGGCGTAATATGCCGGTGAAAGAAACACACCGGCGCCAAAGGATAAGGGAATGGAGGAAAGAGACAGACGCCGTAATCTCTTCACTGGAGGAAGAGTTCGATCCACTGGTTGCCAGAGGGGTTTTCAATCTGCGCCACTCCAACAAGTTATACCAGCTCCCTGACGAAATATGGCTTCTGATCATTGGACATGTCTCCCCAAACAGACAGTCATTCTTCATGCTCCGCCAGGTCTGTAGACGCTTCCGAATCCTCATGGAAGGGCACGAATTCCGCGATCATCGGTTCACGTCACACCATGACTGCGACCGCGTATATTGTGACGGGCGAGAAACATTCTGCCCAGGCTCGGGGTTTGTGCCCGGTTTGCCATTCCCATTCAGTCCACGTCCTCGTTATAGACTGCCCCTGACGAGAGGTTGGCTACAGGACAGAGTGGGAGAGCTCTTGCACATCGACACGCTCTGCGTGCGATGTAGCAAACTTGTTTGGTTGAATCGGCAACACAACAGCAGATGCAAGTTTTGGGAAGAGGGTCAGCACGGTCGATGTCACGAGGGGACCAGCGGCCCTCTTCCCAAGTTTTTATACCGCAGCTTCCGGCGTCGATCATGTATCGGAACCCGAGGCTATGTCAGATTGTGTGAGCACAAGACAATCAAGTGGAAGGAAGTCAAGAAGAATCTTTTGGAATGCAGAAAGCTGATTGAGGAAGACGGAAGCCTCCGAAGCTACGGGGTCGTTGTCAACCAATGCAATCACCCAAGCCATCAGACAGCCAGATGTGATGAAGCCACAGGCCCCAAGTGCACACTTGCCTTGATCAAGTCGGGTGCTTACGTGCTGAACTTGGAATGGAGTCCACATTCCGGTATTGGAGCCTTCCAGTCCTACCAACATGGTCAGTTCAAGGCCAGTGAGATGCGGGATAAGTTTCGGCAATATCGTCGCGAAGGGGCAGGCCTCATTGTGCCCGAGATGGCACCCGGCCAGCTCCCTGAAATGACTTGTTTCCCTCTCGGCGAGTGCACCTGTCTCAGCTACGGTAGTGACGAGGAAACAGAGATGGTTCTGTACGGGTCACAGAAAGACAGCATCTGCCGGGACATGAACAACAACCCCGACCACAGACCACTTTGGAGCAGGGAGGGGTTTCATTTGAGCAAACTTCATAACGGCTTCTGTCGCTCACAGGTGCAAATAGACCGTTGTCCATCCGAGCAAGAAGAGTTGGGTACTTCGCCGTGCATTGTCACAAAATACCACCGTTTTATCGAGGGCTGCTATTTCGCGTCGGAAAAGTACCCAAAGGTCAGCCATGCCTGGCTGCATGCCATGGATCGTTCTTCGTACTTTTGGGGAAGCCGCGAGCTGATGGCCATGGAAACTTGCAGTACGCCTGGGTGTCGTAATTCCTATTCGATGGGCGTGTATGGATGTTACGAAAGACCCTACGACATGCTTTGGACCGCGTTGGGAACTGCGTGAAGCTACTCTTAGTAGTGGAGGAAGTTGCCAAGATACCCCGAAACTCATAATAGCTTCTGGAATTCAATGTGACTATTTTATTTTAATATTACAACCTTTGGGGACCTATGTTGTACCCATCAATGATCGACTGCCAGTACTTTGCCTCCTTTTCTAGCAATTCGAGGCCCTCTTCTGCCAAGAAATCCCGCCACTTCAGCAATCTGTACCTATTCGACTCTAGGGATGAATTCTTCGCAAATTCTGCCAGCTAATTCAAGTAAGGCTCGAAATCGGGCAGGATTTCGTGAAAGTTGCTGGACGGCCCTTTGAGCGCCAGACGCTCTGCCTCCCACTTTCTCTGGTCTTCTTTTGACGGCAGCGCTGCGGAGCGTCCAGCCATGAACCGTGCTATGGCAACTGCCTGATATTCATTGACGCGGAAGGTCAGGCCAGCCTTGACACTGCCAACGGAGGTTAACGTTGGGTTTTCGATGCTGAAGACGTGTTGGTACAACCCTGTAACTCTGCTCGACTCTGTTGTGCTTGCTACAAGATCCGGTTTTAGGTACGGGTAGGAGAAGCGATACGGTTGCAAAAATAAGATGGTCTACGTTCTTAATGCTCTCACCATCGAAGAATTTTACCGCGACCCCTCCATGCTGTGATAATGATATGGGCTTCACTTCACGCCGCAATTTAACGTTGGGCAAGTTATATCCTGCCCGTAGAACTTCATTCTGAGTGCGGACTGCCCATTGTAGCTTTGAACGAAGGGGTGGCCAAGGGCTGGAAGCCAGTCGAGGACTTTGCTCAGAACAATGAAGCACGGCAGTCACTTGGACTTGAGAGGTTGACTGGTGACTTTACAATTGCTAAAATTTCAAATAAGATTCTCGAACTATGGCACGTTCCCTGGTAGATCCTTCAGGCAATTAAAGAATGTCCTCCACTCACGACAAGGCGTTTGATGCAGAGAATTTGGTGTTGTGGCAGGTCTTACGGGAGAAGATGGCATACCACTCCCTTATATGTAACACATTGGAATATTTATATCTCGACATGATTGTAAACTAGCCGACAAGTCGCACTCTGGTCGCCTTTGGTAATGAAGGTACGAGAACAATATCGTCTCTCCGAATTTATGACCTGGAAGCCACATATCTGAATAGCCTCCCAGCCATTTTTGTGGTTTTTGACATGAGTTCGGACAAGTCTTTCGCCTTCCTCCCAATCTTGCTTCAGCCATTCGTTTTCAATAATCTCATCAACATTGACCCAGCGGGAATGGCACTTGAGCGAGCCAAATAGCCAATCTGTGTGGTCCCGGATTTCGTCATCGAGGACTCTCAACTCGGACGTGCCCTTGAGGCCTGAAGCGGATTGGCTCACGCTCAGGAACGTCGCTGGGTCGGTGGACGTGCTTGGCGGCGTAGGCGTATCACTATATTGATTGATCTCAATAGAAATCGACGCCACACCAATTGCCTTGCGTGTAAGAAAGCCGATGCCTTGAAGTTGAAGCGCTGGCTCTGGATTGTCCGAAAGTTGCTTGTTCTGTTACAGATGTGAATCAGTCAGCACGAATTATATTCTACATCCTGGAGGCGAGCCGGGCTGCTTACTAGCCCCCACTGCCCACTCAAATCCTGCGACGTCTTCGTCGCCGGTGCTGCCATGTTCAGATGTGTTGAGACGTGAAGTTTGATAGGTTCTTGTTCCAGGAAATCAGGAGAAGAATCGTGGATGGCTAAGTGTTCCTTTTCTCTGGTTCCTAATATATCTCTTCAACAGATCCTCGGTGTGAATTTGTGGGATCCTGAGTATATATACCGTCCTGATTAAGGACGGCTACCTGAATTGTTTTTGGTATAGTGGCTGAATCCAACAGAACTGGCGGGGAAGCCTGTTAACTATATGCCGAGGCTCGAGATGATGATGATGGCTGCAAGAGAGCAGAAAAGGAATCCAGATCGCGTCGATCCCCACCCCCTCATCTAGGTGAGAACTGACTGATGGGTGTTGGAGAAGGGTCAGTTGTCACCATCCGCCGACCGTAAGCCGAGGCATACTCATCCAAGCTCTTCGGCGCATGACGAACATGATGTGCAAGAGGGATTGGCAAACCGGAGACAATCGAAAGCCTTTCTATAACAGGGACCGACCTATAATTTACCCCGCGCTGTACTTTTGGGACGGAAATCATTATACAAAGACACCGTGGGTTGAAAAACGTGCATTCGATTAAACAAAAAAAAAGTTACGCAGTCTAACTATTATTTCACTATGCCATTCATTGGATCCCCATCTCAAGTACAGTTGCCTCCTTCCACAATCTAATCGTCTGGTATCGAGCTACTTTTCCAAGTCCTGCTTAACCTTGGCAAGCCCGCCCTTTTCCTTGATGTTCTTTTCCAAAACATCAATCCCAGCCATCTTCTTGTGGATATTGTCCAAAGTACCTATAGGTAGGACTGACACGAGCTTTGCGGTATTAGACAGCGTTCCCCTCCATACCAGATGCGGTGGCTTCTTCTGACTGATATCCTTCACTACTTGCTTTGCCCACGTCGCAGCATCCATATGTTCCGATTGGTTGCCCCCCATGTGCCGCTCAATGGCCTCCTTTGCGATATTGTACACTGAATCGGCTGGGAGAATGTGGTCGGGGGCGTTTTTGAAAAAGGTCGACTTGACACCTCCGGTAACAAGATTGACAACTTTGATTCCAAAGGGCTGGAGCTCCAGTCGCAGCGCCTCGGTCAAGCTGGAAGCTGCGGCCTTTGAGGAGTTGTACGCTCCAGTGAATGCCGATCCGCATCCGAGGATGCCATTGCCTGAGGTGTTGTTTGCGACGATGGCGCCGTGCTGTGATTTGAGAAGAAGCGGTAGAAAGGCCTGGGTGACTCTGACGATGGAAAAGACATTCAGTTCGTAGACTTCGTGGGCCTTTGCGATGTCGATGTGGATAACGGGCGTGTTATAGGCGGTTCCCGCATTGTTGATGAGGCCGTCGAGAAGGCCGCCCGTCAGCTTCTTGACATGGTCCACTGCGGCAGAGACAGACTCGTCCGAGCAGACGTCCATTATCACACTCTCGATGCCGGCAGCCTCGGTGGCTGTCAACTTGGAGGCGTTTCGTGCGGAAGCGAAGACACGCCATCCGTAGGCGTGTAGAGCCAGGGCCAGCGCAGAGCCCAGACTTCCATCTGAGCAGCCGGTCACCAGAATTGTTCTTTTGTCAGACATTTCGTGCTTTCCTAATTAGTCTTGATTCCTGATGTCGAGAGTGTTGACTGCAAGAGAATACCCGACTGTTTATATACGCCTTGGACATTATTTCTTTAACTTATGTCAATATTTGTATTATGAGTTCCGCTATCCAAATGTGGAATATTCTGTCAGCCGCCAGATCGTATAATTCATACGGCGCGCCCCACGGATGAAAGTCCGCAAGCTTTAATAAGGTCCGTTCCAAGCCGCCAACGGTATCCTCGATTGAAGCCGGAGAATGGTATGGAACTTGTGTGCCGGGAGAATCATTCTGCCGAAACATTTACCTTTGCCTCGTCGATGAGATTTCACGGTGCAATTATTGCGCCGCTGGTGTCAGCCACGAAGCGTATAAATCCACCGTGGGTAAGTTTTTGCGAGTCTAAGCAGGACGCCATCCCGCCACCATACATAGTCCAGTGTATATAAAAAAACGTCCAGGAACCACTGACCAACTGGTAATAAAGGGGCCGAGCTTCGAGGAGATTCTGAATACCTTGAAGCTGCCTTGACTCAATGAGATTGAGGCTCGACGCTGTGATGAGATCATCTGCACGAATTTCTTTGTTATTCGGACTCAGTTCGTACTACGAAATTGTTTCGATTGGGTTTTGGGACTTGACACCTTTCGCTAGTTACTTGACTCTTCATGTGCCTGCACTTACGCCAATCAATACATATCGAGTTCCTTGAGAAACCCTCGTTTCATCATGTGGGAAACGCCAATTCATGTGCAGTATCCTTCTGATACAATATCACAGTTCATCGATACGGAAGAAAGTGGTTGAAAGTAAGTGGTCCTCTACCAAGCCCAATAGTTCCACAAAATCACGCTCGCTTTGTTCCTGGTTAGTTCTCGTCGCGAGTGACTGAGAAAAAACAATTCAAGGCAGATTCACTTCTCTGTTCCTCTACTGTAAATGAAGTTTAGAAAACTTCACGAGACATTCAACTCGCGTTTCTTCTTTTGCCCGCGCTCGAATCGATGGCATCAGGCTGCTCTGCCCTGGGTCTAAATACTGGGCTCAACTCCCAGCATAGCATTCTCGACCACACAACATCCAACACCCAGATCATCTTTCCAGAGCTCAAGCAACGAAAACATCTCTCAAGACGGATTGATCCTCAAACTTCCCTCGTGCTTTCACCACCTTCAACCATTACCATCCAAGCTATCACAATGGAGTACACTACGGTATTCACCGGTGCCACAGGTTGGAAGTGCAAATCTCGGAAGACCATGTTTTGTAAGGAGAATATGCTTCAGCACACTGCCAATTGCGCGTACTGCAAAGCAAGCAGGCCAGCGGAGGCTGCGCCTCAGCCAGTGGTCACCGAGGACAAGACCGAGGATCGGTCGACCACACCAACCCCAATGGCCTCGTAAAAGACGTGAAAGCCACGCTTTGATGGAGGCCTCTGATATCGCCCCGGCCAGACAAATTCTCATGTTACACTCGAAGTGGATTGCTCAAATGTGGTCCCTCGGTCATGGCTAGGAGCAGGCCGCGTATTCAAAGGTTCACATCTGGAAGGTTTACTTTTTTTTTTCTTGTTCTTTCGTGGTAGATGTTACATATAGGATCCGTCGAGCTTAGGCAGACATGAGACTATTAGGTGGATTACTGTTTTGGCATTTGAGATTGACACTCAGGCGGATAATCATTATATAGCCAAATCACCTATTCGCAATACCTAGGTTCCGAGTCCCATTCGAAATAGTGCCCCTCAACCCAGTGACAGCTATATTAGTAGCGCAGAAACAAGCGGTGCCTTCTTTCAGACTGTCAACTAACTCAATGATAAGGGAGGCTGCAATAAGGCTGTAAATATAAGCCTAATAACATGCGCTTCACGTGAAGTGCCGTCCAATGAAGCCCCGAATTGCTACAGCTTCTTTTAATTAACAATCTCGCATTATAAAATGCCCCTATTGAACTTTTCCTCTTATCATCACCTTCAATTGCTAATACATTAATTTGCGAAGGTGCCCTCGTTGTTCTCTCCGAATAGTATCGCACGTGTGTGTCTGTATACACGTTGATTGCCGCTGCCTAACACAACCATATCACGCTACTGACTGTAGGAATATTTTATCTTACCTACAGCTGTGCATGGAAACTCGAGATTACGAAGAAAGTAGAGTAATATTTTAGATGAAACGCTCGTCATGAAAAATTGAAGCAATGCGATGTGGTATAGGGTATGTAACTGGCGACCGTGTCGAAAATCTCCAGCCTCGGAACCAAACCAAATTAGGGGCCGGGCGTGTACCTGCGATGGATCGGAGCATTGGTTCAATTTGGCAGGCCGATGCACCTGGGATGCGATGCTTGTAAGACCTGGCGATGGGTTCGACACGGCATGAACAGCAGTGTCGTTCCAGGACAAACAAACACACGGCAGCTGGAAACTCCCTGTTTGCCCTTTGTTCTGCTGTGTTTGCCACACAGCCGTCTCAAGAGGTCGCATCTTTGCCAGTACGGCGCGGACTGGGGTTTTGGAGGCCACCAAGAAACACAGGTCAAAGATCACGTCGTGGATCGTTGTATTTGGACCCAATATGCATTCTCTCGCCGTTGTTTGGCATTGATTTGATGCATGAAACGGACGGGACGAAGACGAGGGAGACCTGCCTGATGTGATATGGGTGGCTTTAGCGGCTGCACCGCTGGAGGAACAGCGATTGGCTGCCCTGTAAGCCCTGAGCCAGGCGATCCTTGCCACTGTAGTGCGCTGGACTCTGGCGGACTTGCGCTGGGGCCAATCGCCGAAGCACCAAACACGCGACAGGCCACAATCAAGGAAATCCGAGACATCTGAGACGAGACTGGATGCAAACGTCCGTGTCTGTGCTCATCATCATAGGATGAGTGGCATGAACCGGCTTGTTGGATCCCATCGAGCTTCCCGTCCCGATCAAAAAGCACTCTATCCACGACACTCGCGCACGGTCTGCCACATTCATGCCGCGAGCCTGCTCCCCCATAGGCCTCATCCCGACCGTGTAATCTGGCCACTTACCTACTTCTTCTGCCCCCTCCCGCGGTGCTACGTTGCAGGACAGAAGCCGCCCCTTGTTGGTGTTGCTGGCGACTAAAATTAGGCTGCTGTACTCCTGCATTCCTGGAGTCCTCCTGCGTCGATCACTGCAGTCTTCCGCATCCATGATTCCCATCCTCATCCATTAATCTGCCATGACACACGAAACACCAAACGGCCAATCAGTCTCCACCGCCTCTATAGCACTCTGGTGGGATGAGCCCATCAGGTGAGGCGAGATGTCTTTGACGGCGTCCCGACAGGGGGCATCCATGGAAGGGCATAAGGAAGTGACACTGCCGATTTGCGACATGGCGATGTAAATTCGGTATCCTGCTGTCCTACCGAGTATTCCTTGAGGAAGAGGTAGGATGTCAGTGGCGCAATATAACAAGCCATGAATCTTAGAGCCAGTTTCAGCCCCCAATATATTCAAGTTACCCTTCCGCACTTAAATGCGGAGCAGAGATCAATATGAATGGTTAACAGATACGCAGGTGATGCTTGCGAGATCTCGGAAAATATGAGAATAAGGTCGCATATCAGCGCTGACTATTTAATCTTCGCCTGGGCTTTGTCACTGCGCAAAGTGCCTGTCACAGAGTTATGCTTACGTGCATGCGCTGACACTCATTCCTTGGGGCCATGCATATTGCGTTGAAGACGGACAAGCAGCGGTCCTTGAAATGACTTTATGATGCATTGTGATTTCTGCTTGCCATCCAGCTCATGTTCTGCCTTGTTGGTTTTGATTCTACGCATCGTTCAGGTAATGGGTGAATCGCAGACACAGACCACGGCCGGATTGAAGATGCCGTGCGGACTGTCTGCTCTCGTCCCTTGTTACGTTGCAGGATCTCACCCCGGTCTAAATTTAGTCCCTTCTCTTTCTCTCGCTGGATTTGCCTGCTGTGACTTGGGGTCCTCAATCAGTCCCTGCGGCGTGCCGATCACTTGAAACACACACTTTAGCTGCCGCTAATGTGCCTCTGCCACCAGCCTATTTTGGCCGCAAGACAATGGAAACCGACATTGTCATGCCTCTAGCGGCGCTGATTGTCCCTCCACGGCGGCAACTGGCAAATAACCTGCTCGTGGCTGCGACGTTGCACCCCCTGGCCGTTCACTGCCTTGTCATACGGCAGCCGATCCATGACAAACAAGCAACAGATCGTCATGAAGCTGCCCTGCTTGGCTAGTCCGAGCTCTTTGTGTCGTCCCAACTCCCCAAAAGGTCACGTTAGACTGGAGCGAGCCCTGTAGGATTGCCCACATGGAACAGGAGCCGTGCGATCTGGGCGAAGTTTTAGCCGTGAAGCACTGGCCAGACTGCCCGTCAATGTAAAGGAGGATGCGTGTGATATGTAAAACGACGTCGTGACCACCTATAACTATCGACACATGCCCTCGCTCATGATGCGATCCTTTCCTCGTCAGTAGGCTTTGCTACCTCTCTTCCTCACCTTCCTTTCTTTTAAAACGCAAACACGAGCTTTGGGCCTCGTTTACATTCATTCCACACCCATCATTCATTCCTTCTTTTCGAAAAGACCCTAGCAAAGACATCACTATGCGTTCCTCTATGGTTTCCATGCTCGGCGCCGCTGCCACTGTGGCTGCCGCCCCCAGCTATGTCATGTACTTTGACCAGTAAGTGTTACTTACCCAGTATACCAAGGCCTTAGAGCGCCAGCAACTACTGATACCATTCACCAACAGATGGCACAAGGACTCTCTCCCTGACAAGAGCGTCACTGCCGGCGTCAACTATGTCATCACCTCCTTCGCCACCTCCGATCTCTTCGTCAGCGGTGGCACCTACACTCCCTTCATGCCCCTCGACCAGGTCCGCGCCCTCTTTGATGCGGGCACCAAGGTCTGCATGGCCATTGGTGGATGGGGTGACACCGCCGGCTTCAGCACCGGCTCAGCCTCCGAGCAGTCTCGTCAGACTTATGCTGCCAACATCGCCGCCACTCTTGATCGTCTTGGCTACGATTGCGTAGATGTCGACTGGGAGTACCCCGGTGGTAACGGTAAGCACAACACCAATTAACGAGTGTTATGACCTGTTGATACTGACGGGTGCTGCTTCCCAGGCCAGGACTACCGCCAGATCCCCAACGACCAGAAGGTCCAGGAGATTGACAACTACCCCCTCCTTCTCAAGGCCATCAAGGAAGCCATCGGCACCAAGGAACTCTCCATCGCCGTCCCCGCTCGCCCGGGCGACATGATTGCCTACACCAAGGAGAAGGTCCCTGAGATTAACAAATACGTCGACCACGTGAATGTAAGTTGTCTTCCACACCCAGCCCCGTATCTTCGTCTGACCTCATCCACCAGGTCATGACCTACGACCTCATGAACCGCCGCGACAATGTCACCGCCCACCACACCAGCGTCAAGGGCTCCGCCCAGGCCATCGACATCTACATCGAGCGCGGCATGGACGCGAGTAAGCTCATCCTCGGCTTCCCCTTCTACGCCAAGTGGTTCACCACCAAGGCCGGCGTCAGTTGCTCCGCCCCTACCGGCTGCGAGACGGCCGTCCTCGAGCTCCCCGACGGCTCCGACCCGGGCCTGTCCGGCGCCGTCACCTTTGAGGTCGCCAACTGGGTCCAGGGCAGCGACTTCGTCAACGCCGTCACCAACGGCCAGGAGGACGCCGAGGAGGGGGGGCAGTGGTACTGGGACGCGGCCAAGGGCGTGTACTGGACCTGGGACACGCCCAAGCTGATCGCCCGCAAGTTCGAGGAGATTGTCAAGGCCAAGGGCTTGGGCGGCGTCATGGCGTGGAGCTTGGCGCAGGACAGCCATGACTGGAGTCGCTTCAAGGCTCTGCAGGAGGGTGTCAAGGGTTTGAGCTCGTAAGTCTATACGATTCTTGAGCGGGGGAAAGCACCGCGCTTTTGGTTCATAGAGATGTAGCTAAATGTAATGACAATGGATAGAAACACTCCTTCGCCTAGCAGCTCGGCTGGTGTTACTCCCACTGCTACTCCCATCGGCACTCCCACTTCCACGTCTATTGTCACACCTACCACCACAGCCATCGTCTCTCCTACTGCCACGCCTACTAGCAAGTGCGGACGCCGCCGCAAGTAAGCTTGTTGCCATCATGTGCCGGAGTTGTTTTCAGGTTGACCGAAAACGCTGGACAGAGTGGCGTAGGAATTGCCTGAGTCATTAAGCGACGAGTAGGCAGCGATTGAATCGCCATGCCTTGTAACGTTCTGGATAACGAAATATCATTCTCTATCGAGCTGGCTTGCTTCTGCATGTAGAATATACCCAAAAGACTATCATCATCCACCTCACCATGCCCTGCGTGTGCCGTTGTCTGACTTTGTATGGCGTTTGCATTTTCAGCAACGTGGTTCGCACCCTCGGGAGCTTGGCAGGTAACCGGTAGATTGAGTGAGATTCTAAATTCCCAAGCTATCAGATTCTAATTGCATGTATATGAAGCTTTTCCCTTATCGCGTGAGTGAAGGTATGCTGGCAGGTGATAGTGAGGGTGAAGGTTGATGAACATCCGCGAAGCCAAGTCTTTGTGTTTAACATCGTGATTATTATCAACTCTCTTCTGCCCATTATCTGATCCAAAGGACTGGGGAGAACTAGCACGGTAAAGATCCAAAGTTCGATTGTTACATGTTGAAATATAAGGAAGCACTTTCCGAGTACTGTGGGACGTCTATCTGTTCTATTAGTGTCTAGCATAGCATCACACTTCAAACTGCCCATCTATCCATTCCGCCTCCATTTTGGCATTGTCGAATCTTCGAGAGGAACGTTGCCCTTCCGTTCAACCTCCCCTGGCCATATCTCCCTCATAAGCATGTTGATATCCAGTCCCCTATCCCTCGGACCCTGCCACTGTCGCGGATACCCAAGGCTCACCTCCTCGAACCGACACCCATCCCGCCAGTCCGTCCGTGGAACATGCAGATGCCCCGTCACCACCACCTTGGCCCCAAACTCACGATGCCACGCCTCTGTCTGCACGCTCCCGCACCAGATCTCGAACCGCGGCGCAAGCGGGATGTATATCAAGTCCCGCCGCAGCGGCCAGTGGTTCACCAGAACCAGCGGCAGGTCCGGATGCTTCTTCTTCGCCTCCTCTAGCCGCTGCCGGCTGATCGCCTGCCTCGCCAGTCCCCAATCGACCTTGTGATCGTACGGGTCGGCGTGGAGCAGCACCTCGTCCGTCGCGACGGTGCCCACCTCCTCCGCCCACGCCAGCGCCGTCTGGGGCGACTCATCGTGCGGCGGCGGCGCGAAGCTATAGTCGTAGAGGGTAAACAGCAGACAAATCAGAACCGGTCCCCCTTCCCCGCCGTCGTGTATGGTAAACTCATCCTCCGGCGTCAGGACACCGTAGCGCCGCGCGATCTCGACGCACTCCTCGTACTTCTTGACGCCTCGAGGGGTGGGGTTGCTGTCGTCCCCGGAGGCGACGGAGTAGAGCTCATGGTTGCCGGGTACCCAGTACACCGTCTTGAAGCGCTTCGTGGCGACCTCGAAGGCGAGTTCGAGGTGCTCGGCCTTCTCGCCCAGGTCGCCGGCGAGGATGAGCGAGTCGTCGGGGCAGTAGTCTAGCTTGGCGAGCTCTTGGCGGTTCAGATCCCAGGACAGGTGGAGGTCCGCGATGGCGTAGAGGCGGCCCATGGTGATGGAGATGCTGCCGACGGGTTCAGCTGCTCTTCTGCCCGCTTCAGGTACCGGTTTGATGAATACGGAGAGCCGTTGTTCACAGCTGGCATCGATGACAAATGAATGTGGGGATCATCTGAGCCAGACAACAGATAAGAATCTTGAGTTGGGCGAAGGATGCTGATGTGACTGGCCAACAAATGTGGTTTCAGCCCCGCATATGGTGTAACCACAACTCCTCGCTGAAGTCTAAGTTCCCCAGGCCGCCGACGTGACTTGGATTGAGATCATTTGGAAAAGTGTTCTTGTTGTGCTGGGTTGAGCCCTTCTACATATTGTATTTAGCATAACGCTTACTAACATGTACTCAAACCCTCAGGATGACCAATCTAATAGATACGAAGGAGTTAAACCTGCCCGAAATGTTGTATCCATGCCAGTGCCTTACTGCCAAGATCCGCCAACTGATACATAATCTATGGTTTCCAGCGGCGAACCAAGATGTGCATTGTAATATACACGCCCACACCGAAGCCAAGCATTCCAGAGATGACACCAAAGCCCATGAGATATTGCGGGGCATCTTTGGAAGGAAACAAGTAGGCGCCATAGATCTGGGCCAGGTTTCCCAGGCCGTTCATGACAGCGAGGGCGATAGCACGAACCTCAGCATCCATAGAACCAAATGTAGAAGAAGCAAAGCTAAGGGAAAGTGCATTGGACGACCAGAGGCCGGCAGCCATGAGCACAAGCAAAGCGTAACGGACGGTGAAGTTGTGTAGGACACAGACCAGAATCGAGGTGATCATTGAGAATGTGAGCCAACAAGCAATGAAAACACCACGCCACTGAGGAATTTTGTCTGCAAAATAGCCGCTGATTGCCGTGCAGACGAAGGCGACGGCGTATATGGGCACTGTCATGTACTGAGCTTGGACAGTTTGTGTGTAGCCTAGGCCATTGACCAGAGTGGGATAAAAGTAAGTCAAAGTGGAAGACCCGACGATGACCTGTAAGATTGTCAGTTCAGGAGAGCGAGACTCAGACTCAAGCATCAAAGTGTTAGCTCACCATGTATCCGAAGATGAAACCAATCGTCCTCCAGTCCTTAACAGCGAGCACAAAGGACCTCAGAACTCCAACCTTCTCCTCCGCGGTACGAACTGTGACATTGTCCTCCTGCAACCTTGCAATAGCGATCGCACGCTCCCTATCTGAAAGCCCCTTGGAATTTGCAGGGAAGTCGAGGAGAATAAATACGGCAATTCCAGCGAATCCGACCGTGGCCGCGCCTTCGACTATGAAGAGCCAACGCCAGCCGCGAATGCCATGGGCGCCTTCAAGTCCGGAAGTGATGGCACCGGCTAAGAGCCCACCGAACGCACCGGATAGAATGGCGGCGGACATGAAGACGGCGAAGCGTCGCGATTGCTCTTTTCGCTTGTACCAAGATGAGAAGATGAGCAAGACTCCGGGGGCAAAGCCGGCCTCGATGATACCGACGAATACACGCAGGACAACCAAGTGGTGGAAATCCTTAATCAGAGCCATCAAACATGTCATAACCCCCCAAACTGCCATCAGGAACGGTAGATATAGCGACGGTCGCGTTCGTACGAGGATCATATTGGAGGGAGGTTCGAAGATGACGTAGCCAACTGGTTGGAAAGAATATTAGAGACGGGTCCAGATCAAGGTGATTCGTGGACTTACTGAAGAAGACGACCAGGGCTAAGCTGTATTCATTAGAGGTCAGCTTGAGATCATCGGCCATACCAGCAATCTTCGCATTCCCGATACTAGAAACTTGTCAGCTTTCTTCAACAGAATACCTGGGGCGCTCTCGCTTGACTCACTTGGTCCGGTCCATGTACGAGAGCAGATACATAATCCAAATTGTTGGCAAAAGCATCAAGTCGACTTTGCGAACGAGTTTCTTTTCTTCATCAGCAGTCCATGTCAGGCCACCCGAGCTTTCCACATGCTCCGAGTAGTTTTGATGCTCAAGGCCTTTGAGGTCAGCGATGCCCTCCAGCGTTGAAGCTTGCTCGGCGAGGGAGGCTGGGGCCATCTTGACTGAATATGGGAATCAACACTTGGACAGTGTCGGTTGTCAAGATATACGAAACCAGAAATGAGGAAAGGATGAGTCTGACAGGCGAGCGTTTGATGTTGCAGAGTTAGTTGGATTCGGAGGATCAGCAGAGAGTCGGGGATAGTTGACATTTATAGCTGCAGCGGTGAAGTGAGAGCATAGTACGGAGTCAACAGCAGGGAAAGTAAGCCAGATACACCTAATACATGCCTAAGAATTAAGGCTCCGACCTCGTTTTCTTGCCTGGATACTCCAAGTACGGTTCGGGATGGTTCGATTCAGTCGAGACTCCAAGGCCCCACGCAATTGGCCCCCTTTGCAGGACAGAGGGGATGGGCCACCCCCACGGGGAAGCGGAACATTGAACTTGGAGCTTTTGGGGTAGCTGGGTAGGCAAAAAATACCGGAGCTATCCGTACATAGAAGTTGAATGAACGGGCTGTGACCATGGATAGAAGCTGTAGCCAATGAAGCACCGAAGCGAATCTGTGGGGTTGGTGGAGAGAGTGTCTGGGGTCTCCGCATGACAGAAGGGGGCGGAGAACCCAATAGCCAATAGAGCACCGAAACGAGCCCAGAACTACGGGAGGCAGGGGCGGCTGGATTCGATGCGAGGCCTAGCCTAAATTTTAGTTGTCATGAGATGGACTCGATGCGAGTCCGCCATCCAACTCGTTGCCCCTGGGCAGCATGATAATCCCCGATAGAGGAAATTGGATCAACTGAAGGATACTCTGCTTCGGGCGACAGGAAGTATGTCTCGCTTCGAAGGTGTGCTGGGCTTGAGTCGAGAGAGTGAGAGCCGGATGTGTGTGATTGTATTGCCCAAGCAAGGATATATCTTAAGGTGCATACCGCTCCATTCATGACGATTCAAGGTGTGAAACTGAGTACAGCCAGTCAAATTTGGTAATACGATCATTGTCTTTCTATTCTTCTCTCGATCTCACCGTTTGAATGCCACGCCGAATCCCCTTTGCTCTGCCCAGCACTCTCTCTCGCTCCTACGACCAGACCCGCTTGAACACAGCTTTTTACAATCAAACCGACGTCAATATGAGCCCAGGAGCGGTCGAAAACAACGTCAAGATGGAGAATGCCGTCAATGAAAATATTGGCACACCGACAGATTCAGATACCGATGCCCCTAGCACCCAGTCTTTTGGTTTTTTGAACACACAGCCCGGCCCCTATCACGACTGGCGCGTGACTCTAAAAGACAAAGTAATTGCTATTACTGGGGCAAATAGAGGAATTGGTCTAGGCATCGCCGAGGTCTGCCTGGCTAACGAAGCCATATGCGTCTACAGCTTGGATCTTTTTGAACCAGACGAGGACTTCAAGGCTGTTCAAGAGAAACATCCCAATCGTCTCGAATACATTCAGTGTGACGTGACAAACGAGAAGAGCATTGAGTCAGCCATTGATGCAATCATCGCAGAACGCGGGATAATTCACGGTCTTGTAGCCAATGCTGGTATGACCAAGCATCAGCCCGCCCTCAACTTCGACCGTGAACAGCTAGACAAGCTCTTCAAACTCAACGTCTTCGGGGCCTACTTTTGCGCCACTGCTGTCGCTCGTCGCTTCATTGAGCGCGGAATAAAGGGGTCCATTGTATTCACGGCCTCTATGACCTCGTATAAACCAAACCGAGCTGCACCCTCGGCGCCGTACGGCGCAACCAAGGCCGCGGTGCGAAACATGACTCACACCCTGGCAATGGAGTGGGCTAAACATGGTATCAGGGTCAATTCGATCTCTCCTGGCTTTGTGAAAACGGCCATGACACAATTTGTTGACCAGACGCCCGATTGGAACCTCAAGATGCAATATTATGGCGGTATGCCTCGCCTAGCCGACCCGAAGGAGCTTGGCGGTGCTTATGTATATCTTCTTTCCGATGTTGCATCGTATACTGTAAGTCCCTCTATTATTTCTTATACCTTTCCCTTTGCTTCCTCTTTTGAGTGCCATTCGCCAGCCTGAATCATCGGCTGCGGGATTTCGACTGGCGCCCAATAGGGCCAACCGATCTCTCATTCATTCAAAGCTGGTTTTTATGGTACTTGAGTCATATTTTCCTACTAGTCACTAACAATCCCAACCCCAGACAGGAATAGATATACCAGTAGCTGGTTGCGTGGGGGCGTGGTAAAGTCATGACTTCCTCGCCAAGACAGCGCGAATACGAATCCTCGAATCGGTCCCCCTATATCTTGCCATGGTATACGCCTTCTGCGAAGCTCATATTTTATATCTCTTCACAGGAGTCTATATGCGAAAACGAAAAAAAATTATAATCAGGGGTGTCGAGGTGATGGAGAAGAACTTAAACTCAGGCTCCTACGTGCTACTTTCCGGGATTCAGTCAAGATGATAATGTTGGACAATACGACATGATGCATATAAGATTAAATACAGTGAATTCACTTGACACGCTTTTCATAAGCCTCCAGTAATATGGCTAAATGTTATTCTCTAAATGTGTGTAGTCAGGCGATCCGTGACTTGGTTATAGCGTATCTTCCTTCTTGACTGTGTATTTTCTTTCCAAATCCAATCACCCTCAGTTGTTATTTGCTCGTAGTAGTAGAAAATTAAATCTCTGTTCACCAATGGCTAAATTGTTTTTCGCAGCGTCGAGGGTTGCGACGTGAGTTTTCGCGGCTTGCTGCGACCTCTATTAGCCGTTAGCTCAAGACCACTTCATTCGTACACACAATAATGTGTTGTGATACTGCGTATGGTATCAAGTTGCTTGTTTGGGAATTGCCCCCCCGCCCCCCCTTTTTTTTTTTTTTTTTTTTCAGCAGCTGCCGCATAACTGCATAGCTCTCTCACTTACTACCATTCGTACACACAACTACGAAGAATAAAAAGACGGCACTAGGTACACTCGAGAGTAGTACAATGTTCTTTTTCAGCTTAGGTAGTGTGGTGCTTCTTTTCCTTCCCCCTTCTTTTCTCTTTTTCTTTTGCCATAATCCTGGGCTACAGTCGTCATGCGTGGAACATTGTCAGAAGTGTCTAGTACTCTTCAGTGCCAACAACGAAAAGTTCCTCGTGATTCTAAATAATTTACTAGTTTTCTATATGATAAATCATACGATCTCTCCCTGGTCCGCTACTGGCTAGTTAACCAATCAATTTGCTTCAGTGGCCATAGGCCCTTAAATTTGGTTACCCTATATCTCCCTCAATATCTCAATGAAATATCTCCAGCATTCAAGATCTTGGCCCTCCTACTACGCCTCGATTGATATTCGCAATAAATACAAAACGTCTAAAAAAGCAGCTTACAATCTAGCAGAATTGATTTTGTCTAATCAGCGCTATTTGCCCATAGTTTACGTTGTTGATCACACTACGTACACTTTTAGAATAGGGCGTCTCACCCATTATAGTCGCTCAGAGTGATGATTTATTTTCATTCGGCTAACGCGGGACCTAAAAGATCCCGAAAAAGATACACTTATATGGCTTTCAACGATAAATCGACAGTTATTGTGCGAAATAAAGAAAACTGTCAGGCTATGGCCGAGTTGCTAGGTTCTATTTGTCTATGAGTCGATAGCGTTGACTATCGATGGAAGTGTAGGGGCAGTTCCTAAATACATATGTCTACTCCTTCACTAATAGGTCCACTGTGCTGTGATCCTCCATGGCCGAGACAAGTCGCGACACAATGGCGAACACTCGTTCCTTCTTTTGCATGGTGTAAGGGCAGAGAACCCAGGAATACCCAGCCATAAGACCCTTTCGGTACTCAGCCATCACCTCAGGATCCTCCCTTGAAAGCTTCGGTGCACCAAATTCGTGTAGCTTCGCGAGATAATGATCGATCAGGTCATTCTCATGTGCCTTGCGGTCTTCGATGGTCAGGGCCGTCATGATATAGTAAGCGATGTCGGTGAAGCAGGATCCGCGGTGGATGATCTGCCAGTCGACAATCATGGGGGCCTTGGTCTGCTCAGACCAAGCCGTGTTGCCGATGTGCGCATCGCCGTGCAGGATACACCCAAACTTGGGGTTTCGGGTTGCGAACCACTCCTTGATGACGGGTATCATCCGCTCCTTGTCCTTCATGTACTCGGGCACAGGAGGTCTGTCCTCGGCCAGCACGATGGCGTCCCACATACCACAGAGTCCCAGGACAGCTTCCTCGTAGTGGTCATTTAACCAGGGAGCATCTTCGGCCTTGGTTCCCCAAGTGGCGGCATGAAGGGCAGCAAACTGCTCAACGACCAACTTAACCCGATCAACAGGCCAGGTGTCGACAGGATCGGCAAACACATAACCTTTCGTGGTGGCGACGTCTGTCATCACGAAGTGGGCATTTTCGGCAGTCTTGCCAGACCACAGAATCTTTGGCAAGTTCAGCTGTGGTACTCGGGGCGCGACATTGGTGTAAAAGTCAACTTCTCGCGTGTAGAGGCCGAGGACAAAAGGGTACGCCGCCAGCATATCTGGGTTGAAGCCACCCTTGATACAAATATTCAGGGCGTCCTTTGTCTTCCCGTCTTCTTCTTCCGGTGTGATGGTCATGAGGATCAAACCGGCCGTGCCAGCAATGACCTTGTTCGTTTCAATCTTGGCCTTCTGGAGGCCAAGCTTGGGTAAGAGCCACTCTGCTGTGACATCTTCGACAACGCGGGGAAGAGCTTCAGATTCAGCCATTTTCTTGTTGGTAGCGGTATACGCGGGTAAAACAAAAGGTAGATGAGCGGGAGTGTGTGGTACGAGACTTGTGTGTGCTGTAGATGAAGGGGGACGGCTTCTTGTCGGAGGATTTCTGTAGCTAGGCTGCATGGATAACGGATCGGCGAGTTTATGATTGAGAGAAGAGAGACAACGCTAGAGGCCATTACCAGGCCATCCTTGTTTATTATTCACATTGGTCTCGTATGTTCTACTCTGCTTCGTGGCAAAAATTCTGTGGACTTGGACCTGAGCCGCCCCCCCTTCCTATCTCAGGCGACTAGTGTGTCCTCATCAGGTCACCGTCGCTTTATCACCAGGGGATTACCTATATTAGGGTCCTAATCACCAGAAGCGAGCCTAAGAAGGCCCAACTTCTGGTGGGTGGAAGATGGATGTCGAGGCTAGAGAGCCGCGATATGTTCTCGATTCCCTGCTTCGTATTGGTCGTTCGTGCCTCCATCCCTGTCAAAAGAGGGCGGCCCCTGGCGTTAGAGCTGCACCTCGGATGATAGAACCCAAAAATTAAAACCAGGAGTGCGCTAAGACGATGCTGACATTCGACAGGGATCGCGCGGCTGCTCCCCGGGAGAGCCCCGACCACCCGCAAGATGTTTCTTTATTCAGTAATCAAATAATTAACTAAGATTCCAACGGTGCGGACGGGGCCGGGAGACAACAACGGATGTCCCTCAGCGGCAACCGCGCGCGGGATATGTGGCCAACGACTGTCTAGCCCAAGCACGCCATGAAATTACCATCGGTACAGGTACCAGCTTAGTTCTGAGATCTTCAATATCATAAATTACCATCCTAGTGGTTATCCCATCTCCACTCCCTGTTACGCCCTCCTTATGCATGCCCTATCACGGTGAAGCACTCGGCATTCCAACTTGCCGGTCGTTCATGCAGCACGCGAACTACTAAGCAAACCTCGAATGGAATAGTACCAGCCGTTGATCTTGTCTAGGACAGGAAGGTCTGGTCCGTCAACGGTCGCCTCCCCGAGGGCGGCCAAGTTCCCGGAATCCTCGTTCCCCACAAGTCCACATAAGTCCGCAGGACCCTGCTAGCCGTTACAATAAAAAGAAAGCAAGTATCAATGTATATTAGTTGCGTGATAAGTATACCCAATACCAAGGCTAGTTTAAATCCTTACCCCTCGGCAGTGGCCCAAAGGAAGGGTTGTTTCGCCTTGTGGCCCCTCCCCCGGAGCCGGTGACATCGATCATCCAGGAGAAAGGGGATCTTGAGGACCTTTTAACTCTCTTTCCCTCCGGTCCTGGAGAGCAGACAGCAACGAAATCAACCCACACCAGACCGGAATCATGGCGGTGCGCGACACCCTCCCCTCCTTGATGGCGGCGTTCATCGCCGTCGACGTCGCCATTGTGCTCCTTCGAATTATCGTGCGCCTGAAGATGACCACTCTCGGATACGACGACTATGTCATCGCCGTCGCTACTGCTGCCTTCGTCCTCATGTGCGCCTTTTGCTTCGTATCTCTCGACTATGGCTTCGGCCTTGCCGACCCAGCTGTCATTGCCACCTTCGCCAACTACAATCAGATGGAGGCTTCCAGATACTTCACCATTGCTCAGGTTACCTACGTCGCCGGATTCCCTGTCGTGAGAATTAGTGTGGCGCTTGTTTTACACCGTATTGTCCAGGGGAAGCCTAAGATCCAGCGCCTTCTAGTCATATCCATGGTCTTCGTGGGCATCTACGCTCTGGGCTGCCTTCTCGTCGATGTGCTACAGTGCATCCCGCTCAAGGCCGTCTGGGGTGATGGCACGGGCAGGTGTCTCACAATCACACAGCTGGCTGGCCTGGGCTTTGCGGTATCGGCGCTGGACATTGCGTCGGCGCTCTTCTACGCCATTCTGCCCGTCTTCCTCCTCAAGGGCCTACAGATGGGTACTAGAACCAAAATTGCCATCATGTTCTTGCTGGGCCTCGGTGCCGGAACAGTCGTGGTTAGTATTGTGCGCCTGAGGAGCTTGGTGTTGATCGTCAGCTCCACAGACATTGTACAGGCACTTGACCTCCAGCTCGAATCCTTCATCTAGTGAGTTAATTCCATGCCATCCTTTATCCACTTTGCCTTCTAATCGCGTCGCTATCAGCTCTGTCCTGGAGTTCGGATTATCCATTCTCTGCGCCTCCCTCGTGGCCCTTCGCCCCCTCGTCAAATACTTGCCTTTTGGCAGCCATGGCCGAAGCTCCGGCAAGCAAGGACGCTCTGGAGGATATGGCACAGGCGGAGGTCTTCACAGCGGCACCGGCGAGTTTGAAATGCACTCTCGTCGTCATAACCACAGCAAAGCCGCGGATGCGATCCCCCTCGATAGCGACGACGCGGAGAGCGAGCGAAATATTCTACAAGACCCCCAAGACCACCCTAGATCCGGTATCTGGAAGCACTCGAAAATCAACGTTGCCTACGAAAAGAATTCGAAGGGCAAACTCGATAACCCTGCTGGTGTACCGCTATAAGCTTATGGCTGTATGGGTCACAAAACTCCGGCGAGCATGAATGTAATAGTATTAAGGAGCTAAAAATGGGATATGGTAATGTGAATTTGGTCTGGGTGTTCATTTGAATACGCAGAAGGGAATGGGAAAATTTGAAGATTTGGAAGGCTCGATGCCAACTTGGTTTGATAAGGGGGGACCAAAACACGAACGGAGACATATAAACAGAAAAAAAAATCCAAACTACAGTCTCCCCTGGAACAAGAAAATAGCGCGACGAGCCCTATTGGATAGCTAAAGCAATCTGTCTTTCTCTATTTGCTTTCTAACTCAAAGATCCCATATACTTCATTGTCTAGTGTCTTGCAGAGTATAAGATTACAGGTCACAACTAGGTGAAATAAGCTGAGGCAAACTAGACGCAGCTATGATGGTACCTGCAATCTCCAACTCCTCGTAGACTAACTGAGTGGGTTACGCATACTTCGACTTAGATGAATGGATAATATCTAGCTTTAACGCTCGGAGCTCGACAAATAAGGCTTCCCCCATGATCATACAGTGCAGTGCGCTTGGCTGATCAAGACGCAAAGTCTAAACCTGTGTTAGTTTCGAAAAGCAATAATTCCTGGCGAGATTACGATCAGCAAGAACCAAGCAGTGGCAGAAAGGAGTCTTGACACTTCAGGGACATAATATAGCCCTTGACTATTACTTGCGTCCCGCAACATGGGGCCTTGGGGGCCGGCATCTGGGCCCCCGCTCGCCAGGGAAGGATTATCATCTGGATTCTAAACCTAGGTGGCTGGGTAATTAATCAGGTGTCGCTTCTTACGGTAGTCTAAGATTTACGTCTCACCACGTGTATTTGGATCTCCATTTCATATTATACCCCTGGTGTTTTTCTCGGTATTGCCGCTAAATAACTGCGTGATGCAATATGCTCCCCCCGACGATATATTAACTATAATTGAGAGCCCCATTTCCAAATGCAGACGTGGACAATTTGCTAATTTAGGTAGCTTACTCCTAAATAGCAAATCTGTTCTTTGTCATAACAGCTGAGAGCACAGACTGCTGGGCGTTCACCGTCGATGGTTAACTGCCTATAATCACTTAATTTAACTGCTACCAACGTATATTGGTCCCTAAGGAGGGATTTAGAAAAGCTTTTAAGGCAAAATAGTATTCGAATAACCGCGGCGAGGCTCCTGACTCGGCCGCGATTCCAGCCCGCCCACCCCGTAGCATCCCGATTGTCGCAGCATTGTGCAGGACTTTCACAAGGGCGAATCTTGTTCAAATAAGAAACATGATAATGCAGGAAACTATAGCACATGGAAGAAATAACCAACAGCATGTAGTGTCTAAGCTCTTGAAATATGATTTCTATATATAGAAGAGTAACATCCATTCCACGGTGAGGTACCAAGACACGCCGCGTAATTCTCAATTGCTATCTGTCATCGGAGATCTGTTCAAAATACTGACATTGGCTTGCCCCTTCAAAGAATGGCTGACCAATGGGGCCGTGAATTAAATCCACCCAGACGAAACTCTTGAGGATCCGACGGGTCTTCTCCCAGGTGGAGATTTCTAACATTCGACATGCTTTACGGAGCCAATTTTCGAGCCATGGAAGATCCCCCTCAGTGCTCAACACAGACGCTCTGCTAATACAAACAGACCAGACTTGCAGCTTTAGAAGATTTTTGTCGTCCTGTGATTCCAGGTATCCCAGATCCTGCCTAAGCTGCATAGCTAGGGGTCGACACTGCGCTGGTAAGTCTGTTGTCTTCATAAAGAGGGTGGTGGTGTAAGCCAACATGACATGACGAATAATTTCTTGGACATCATGACGCTCGTAGGCCAAGCATTGTAGCCGATATTGCGAGGTGATTAAGATCTCTTGGAACTGCTTTGATGCCAACTTCTGGCAAGTTTGCTGTGCCATATTAATACTGTTTGTAAAATCTTTCAAGTCATGCCAGATATTTACAAGTCGAATGTCAGGGGTGCTGCAGATAGTGTGGATTGGTGTAGCTGTAGACGTCTTCATGGGCCGCACTAGGCTCGGATTCCATTGGAAATCCTGCTCACAAAGAAAGACCGGCTTCGCTCCAGTTCTCAGGGCCAACCGAAGATCAAGTCTGCGTTGGATTGGCAACGATTAGCACGTGCACGCTCGTATGCTGCCTTTGGTTACAAACCTGCTGCATTTAATCCGGAGGGAATACTTTTCCGTCAGCCCGAGCAGGCCACCGCGGAGTTTGATCAGTTGCCAAAGGCCGTTGAGGTGCTTTCTGGTGGCATCTATATCTCCAAACATATCTGAGATCAATGCCAGACATAAAACGGTGAGAAGGACAGAGTCTGTAATGATGAAGTTCGCCTCGGTAAATTTCTTTCGCAACTCAGCCATAGCCTTGTTGATGAGGGTTACTCCTGTGAACATGTGGCCCTTGCCAACCGTATCGAGGTAGGATCTGGCGATATGGGAGAGTGTATAGCTGTAGAGAGGATCGTGGCTCATATCCTCGAGCCAGTACTGCTCGTCCTTACTAAGATCGATGAAGTCATTGACGGGGTACATGCCCATCGTCATATATGCAATGACTACATTGTTTCGCGTCAGCACCTGCAACTTGAGCGGAGAATAGGGATATCAACCTTACATTTGCAGACAGTATGAAGCATTCCGGATGGTAAACCTGGATGCAAACCAGGGAGATAGGCCATGTCAAGCGTCCGAAACCACACCGGCTCGACTATCGCATTCTGCAAAGGGATATGCTCTGTGGTACCGTGATGTTCACACGTTGTATTGTGGGAACGAGGAGGAGTTTGTTTCCTGTTCTTCCCCCTCATAGCGTGATGGCGAATGAACTTCAAAGATTTCGCGTCGGGTTTAAGGCTGTCTCGCCCGGTGGCTATGATGAAAGGATCAGGGGCAGTATCTGTTCTCTCTCTCTTGTCGCTTCGCTGAATGCGCCATTTAGATTGGTAGGCTCGAACTGCCATAATCATGAGGGGGGGGTAGCTTGAGCGTCTGTTCTCTTTGCTTGTTGACAGGGCAGCTCTGGCATCATGCTTCATCTTGGCTCGGAGTCCGCAGCAGATGTTGACTCCGCCTGGAGCTGGGAATCAAACGTTAGTCAGCCAATTCCTCAGGATTTAACGCAGCATTCGGGTTCTTGACCCATAAACTAAATCCTAGAACGGCAAGCCAAGACATGAAGTGTTTCCTACTCAGGACTAGGACGGGCCAGGATCGAGTCAGCAGCATGAGTGGAGATGGAGTCCTTTCAGCTTGGGCCATCGGGATGTTCACGGCTCCTCGAATATGGCAAGACTTCATGTAAAACATTTCCCATTATGGAGACATATGAGTTTAATAGAAATTCACTATTTGCTAATCTTGTGATAGCCCAGATATCATGGCTTGGGCGAAGAATAAATATCCGAGCGTGGCCCTGCTCTTGATGAGCTACCATACTTCTGTCCATCTCCTTCGTCTCATAAACTGGATTTCTCAATTTCTCTGGGTTAATCACGGACCGAACGACACAAGTCATGTCTTCAAAGTCAATGGAAATGGGTTATCAGCCCATGTCTGGTGGCCTCAAGCTCCCTTTTCGCACCAAAATAAGACGAGCACCAGCAGGCACGGATTTGACTGGCAAAGTTGGGATCATCACAGGTGGCAATACTGGCCTGGGGCTTCATTGTGCGCGTCACCTTTTGTTGCTTAAGCTTTCTCATCTCATCTTGGCCGTCCGGTCGCCCAAAAAAGGAGAGGCCGCAGCCATGGGGCTGCGGGCTGATTACCCAGCAGCAACAGTTGACGTTTGGACACTGGAGATGACCTCCTACTCCTCCATACAGGACTTTTGCAAGCGAGCAGAGACAGATCTTAAGAGACTCGACTTTACGATCCTCAATGCCGGCGCAGTGAAAGTGGATTTTGGCATCTGCAGCACTGGCCACGAAGAGGTAGTCCAGATTAACTACTTGTCGACGTTCCTCCTTGCAATCCTCATGCTGCCCATATGCAAAGACAAGGCACCTTCTGGAAGCCCTGGTCGTCTTACAATTGTCAGCTCAGGGACGGCCTTGATGGCGAAGTTCTTGAACCGCGACAAAAGGCCACTACTTGCATCATTTGATGGCACCACTGTTCAACCTTGGGACGCCATTGAGAGATATTTCTCCTCCAAAATGTTAGGCCACTTATTCTTTGCCAAATTGATCGACTATCTGAACCCAGATGACGTGATCGTCAACCTTGTCGAGCCTGGCATGTGCAAGGGATCAGAGTTGCATAGGGAAGTCCCAGGTGTTGTGGGGGTCTTTCTAAATACCTATAAGGCAATCGTTGGTCGTAATCCTGCCGACGGCGCGTGGACTTATGTTGATGCTGCAGTGGTGAAAGGCAAAGAGTCTCATGGTTGTTTCATCCTGGACTGGGAGATCCATCCGTAAGTATCGCCACTGTCGACAAAGTCTGGCCTTCTTGCTGACCATGGATGAATGCAGGTTTACGAAACTTGTCTATTTGCCGGAGGGAAAGCCAATAATCGATACGCTTTGGGATGAGACAATGGCTGAGTATGAGTTCGCAGGGGCGCGCCTCATACTAAACAAGTGCAAACCGAAGGGTAATGCATAGTGGCTCGTTAAAATAAACGGCTTAATAACAACTATTTCGCGGTTCAGATGATAGATTTAACTTCTTATTATTAACTCACGAAATGAATTTTGGTTATACACCTCGTAAATGTGAAAGTATGAGTGAATCGCAGAATGTTGGCGTATGGACAGCCCGCGCTACGTGAAATGAAGAGGTCAGGGAGAGCAGTTCGTTATTTTTGGTTTCCCATACTCGACGACGGCTGTGGATGGGCTTCTCGAGGCTCTTGGGTGTCTTTGAATCATCGTTTCCAAGTGCCCTTTCCCTCAATATCACTGCATTCTGGAGCAGCTTGTCTTTCTCCTTGCGTTTAATGTTCTGGCTTTGGCCAGCGAGGACTACACCTAGGTTATGTGTAATCTAGATTGTTTCGAGACTCCCTCAAATTACTGTCCCTATCCTCCTCTCTTAGAGATTACCAATGAGAGATGTCCTGAAGTGAATAAGATCGACCGTTGACTTCTCCTTGCTTTTCGCAATACGTAGGAACACGTCTTCGCATGCTAACTCAGCCTCCTCAAGTTTACCTTGCGAGTGTTTGTTAAACTCTATTCCCTTTCTCTTCCGTACCTTGCGAGTGTAGTAACTCCAGAAGCTTGTATTAACGGAAGCCGTAGAATCTCTTCATCTCCGTCGGAAGTATTAAATTCTTAATAAGTATATTTGATAGAAAAATTAGATTAAATAAGATTAATTAGATAGTATTTAGAACTAGACTACTATAGTTATATATATCTATTTAAAAGAATAAATAGAGTAGTTTATAGTACTAATCTAAAGAGAGAAAGGGTTAGAGGAGATAGTATTAATAGAAATACTTTTAAGCTTTTTAAATATAGTACCAGAGACTCTTTTTTTGAAGTTCAACAATCTTCTCGGCCACTCTTGTGGCATCAGTCAGCTGTCCCTGTTCTGAGAGCACTTTTCTGAGGGATTTCATGCTTTTAATTGTACGCGGGTGTGATTCTCCTAATGCCTGTTGACGCCCAGCGATCACGTCTCGCAGAATCGTCTCTGCTGCGGGCATCCGGTCGATCCTTGTTAGGAAATTGGCCAGACTACTCATAGTATCAAGCGTATGTGGGTGTTTGGCACCCAATTCTCTCCTTTGAATCCGGATGACTTCCTTATAAGTTGATTCTGCCTTTTCATACTCCTTCATCTTTGAATATACTTGAGCCAAATCGACCTTAGCCTGCAGTGTATCTTCATGTTCGAAACCTAGAGTTCTCTGCCGAAGATGGACCACTTCTTCAAGTATGGATAATGATTCGCCTCCTGTTTCAGAGATCTCGTCGAACAGGAGTTTCGCGAGGACATGCATGCTGTGAAGCGTAGCGGGATGTTCAACGCCATCGAGCTTTTTGTGAATGTCGACGACTTCCCGAGAAAGACTTTTTGCTTCCTCTTCCTCTTTACCCTGACTAAAAAGCAACATCGCTAGGGCCTCCATGATGGCGAGTGTACGTTGGTCAACCCTTTCCTCATCCTTTAGAATATGGAGAGCCTTTCTGTAAAATTTCTCTGCTTCGTCTTTCTTGCCTTCCCTGCTAAGATGTACTGCAAGGCCATCAATCGCATAAACGGCCTGCGCCTCACCTAACACGCGTATTTTAACCTCGACAAGCTCGCGGAGGAGCTCTTCGCATTCGTCGGCCTTGCCTTGCATGTGAAGCGTACCAGCAAGTCCCTCCATGATATCAAAAGCTTTCTTGTGGTCTCTGCCGTGCTTGGTATGTATGATGTGCAACGCATCTTTAGAGAGAGACTCGGCCTCGCCAAAGAATCGTTGCTGTAAATAGGCAGATGAAAGCTTTTGCATTGCAGAAGCCGTCTCATCGTGCTCAGTTCCAAGTGCTCCAACCCTAATTTTGAGAACTTGTTCAAAGAGTTCAGCCGCTTCTTTCACTCTTTCCTCATTGCCATTCTCCTCGCCATTCAGGAGCAAGTCAGCAAGCCCATTCATCGTCTTGAGCGTGTCATCATGTTCATCCCCCAATGTCCTCCTTTGTGCTGAAAGCAACCCCCTGAACATTCCCTCGGCTTCATCGTCCCTGTCCAAGCAACTCAAGGCACTCGCCAGATTTTGCTCGGCGAGGAGCGTCTCGCGATGTTCATTCCCCGATGCAGCTTTTCTCAGCTGCCAAACCTCTCGAAACATTGACTCCGCCATAATCAGTTTCTGGTTGCTGCCTTGCTCTGCCATTGCCTCTGCAAGTTTCATCTTGCTGTTCACTGTATCGGGGTGATCGCTTCCAAAGGTCCGCGTTTTGATTTTCCAAACGTCTCGGTATATCGTCTCAGCCAGTTGGTAGTTCTCATCTTTGAAGGCTGTCTCTGCCTTGCCGTTTAGCTTTCGGCACTTCTCTAATGTATGGTGATAGATTCCGGGTACACCTAGGGCCATGTGGACTGAACTGTAGCTGGCCGATGGTTGAGAGTCCGGACGGCTCTGCGTGGAGGGGTTAATGCTAGGCAGATCAGTTTGATGCGCCGCATGAGTCGACCCTGCATAAGAGGTTGGGTTCGTGGAGCGAGAATCAGGCCAGAGATTTGAATAGGTTGGCTGTCGCAGCTGTGTTACCGTGGCTGAAGGTTCATCTGGCCAAACATTAGAGTATGTTGAAGTGGCAGTTATGTTTGAGTTTTCATTGGACACAGGCCGTGGGCGGAAAGGAAGGGTTTGGTCTTTTTGAGTAGATTCAGATTGCTCGTGCGGCTGTAGGGGAGGCGCATCGATCCACGGATCATGCAATGCCTCCTCTGACGAAATTCTTTTCTCTGATTCGGGGACCACCAGCTTTTTGATGAACTCTATGGCAGCATTGCTGGTCTGAAGACGACGCAATCCTTCATCTGGGAAACAAGAACGGCCTTGCCAATAATCGAGTAAGGCGTCCCCGTCAAACATGGGTTGGCCTGTGAACATTCTGTATAAGGTCTCACCATAACTCCACATATCGGCAGCAAACGGGCGCGTACTGAGACGGCTACTCTGGAAACGCAGCTCTGGAGGCATGAAGGATAGGGTTCCTCCGATGGTTGTCAGTTGTGACATTTCTCCACCTCGCTTGCTGATTCCGAAGTCGCCCAGTTTGACCCACCAAGGGTTTGGGGGTTGATGTTTGATTAGAATGTTCTAAGGATGAAGATGTGAGTTTTCTTTTTATCGAGAATCATGAGAATCTACAGATATCACTCACTGCTGGCTTGAGGTCCCGATGAGAGAAGCCTTGTTCATGCATAAGGCACAAGGCGTCCAGCACCTGAAGGGATATATCATGAACATCATGCTCCGGCAATCTCTTGCCTGGACACCGAGAGGCATCATCGAGGAAATGTTGCAGATCTCCGAGTTCATGATATTCCATAGCGATATGGATCAGGCCCTCGCTGACAAACCACCCATACGACTGGACGAACAACTCAGAATACTGCCGTATATTAGCCTTCGAAGAACTTTTTACTTTTGCAGTTCGATGAGAGCGTGTAGCATACCCTCGCCTGAGAAAACTTGAAGATAGCCTCTAGTTCTCGCTGAATCATCTTTGACTGCCGGGCTTCCCCATGCTGAAGCCTGATTTTCTTGACTGCTCGGTGCTGGAGTGTCCCAGGTCTGCCCATGTCCTTGACTTGCAGGTCTACAGAGCCGTGGCCACCTTGGCCCAGGACTTTCTCATGGACCCATCGCTCCTCGACATATCGAGACCGCCTGGTGGCAGCCTGCGGGTGGATAGTATATCGTCGCTGTCCCTCATTTGCGAACCGGACATCCAGCCTCGAGTCCTGCACAATCTCCGGGAGACCGGTCGCGAAATCCATGGCTGGCTGCCCGGATCAGAAGTGTCGCTTCCTGAGGGCGAGAGTGATGGCCCTCTCACGGAATATGATGACGCTTGTGCGTTATTTGGACGATGAGATGGTGTTTTCCTAGGCTGAGACCAAGTTTCCCCGCTCTGGTCATTGCGGCTGTGGTCGTCAGCCGATCCTGATAGTTAGATGTATGAGTGGGGGCTGAAATCAATAGTCTGCGCCTGGATAGATTCCATTCGCAGCTGACACAGATTTAACGGTGCTTGATGCACTTTTTGGCTATACTCAGCAGAGCATACAGAACGAGATTACAGCGCTGGCAACGGAAACGACTAAAACCCTTCACCGGCGTCCGCTTTACAGCTTACTACAACGAGGAGTGTCCTAAGGAGGTAATTTGGCAAGACAAACTCTTCGGTCCTCAATATAAGCGCCTACTATCTATTAAGCAATAGGTGAATCCCGATGAAGACTTGAGATCCCGTCTCGGAATGTTTTTGATTACTTGGTCGCTCAGGCTGACAGAAAGGCATATGTGCCAAAGCCCACAGCTTAAGGGCGATAGTTGGTAACGTCTATACTCAAAAGCCCTTGGCTAAGATCCCATCACGCCAGACGCTCTTGATATTGAGCGTAGCATGGATATCGTCCACTGGATTTCCTTCCACCAGGACCAGATCAGCCTTCAGCCCCTGCGCGACTTCTCCTCGGTCTTTCAAGCCAAACACCTTGGCCGTCAACGTGGTTGCAGAGCGGATTGCGTCTTGCGGTGAAAAACCGCACTCCTTCACAAGCAAATACATCTCTTGATGGACCGTAGCACCGTATGCAGTGCCCAGCCCAGGGCCAACAGCGTCGGATCCCCTAGAAATGGTCAGCTTTATCACATATCGCATGTTCCAACTGCCCAAGGCTCACGCTTACACAATGATTGGCACCCCCTCGGCCTTCAACCGCCGCACTGTTTCATACGCATACTGCACTGAAGCGGTTGCGGTTGCAAAACTCATACAGCGACACATTGTGTCATGGTCGGTGGCTGCTAGCTTCTCCTTCACCCTCTCATCCTTGGCAAATCGTTTTGCAAGTGCCTCTCCCTCCGTGGTGAAGCTCCCCAGTAGTGCTAGAGTTGGGTTACACCATGCACCAGACTTCTTGTATTCATTGACGATTTCTTCAGTGACTGGTTCATCCATGAAGGTATGGGCTAGCCCGTCTATTCCCAGAGATAGCATCTCCAGCGTGTCAGCACGACCGAAGCAGTGCGCTACGGCGATCCGGCCAGCTTCGTGAGTGGTCTTGATTAGGGCCTTTTGGATATCCAGAGATGGCTTCGAGATTGACTGGCCGACAGCGGACCCGGACTCATGCATCAGCTTGATGAAGTCTGCGCCACCAGCTGGAGAAAGATTGAATGCGACATATGCTTCAGCTTCAGCGGGAGATTTGAGCTTGGGCCAGATCGCAACATCTGCAGCTGTCTGAGAAAAGTCAGGTTTACACTTGGTTGGGAAGGACTCCAGGGATGATCGTTTCTCACCTGTTCACTCTTATCAATGGCCAGAACGACGGCCATAGGCCATCCCCCTTCGATCGTAGCAGCCACCCCTGCGGCCTTGAAGTCGGAAGCTTGATCCTTCTTGGATGCCGCAATCTTTTTCATTTTGTGGACGTTTGCTGTTTCGTTGTGCATATCCTGGACGGTCGTGACTCCGAATTGAAGGGATTGGGTCAAGGCAAGGTCGTTGCCTTGAGCATGCATATGTGCATCTATCAAGCCGGGAATAACAGTATGGCCAGGCCGGGAGAGTACCAAGTCTGCATTCTCAGAAGGCGGCGATCCAGGAGACACATCTGAGATGATTCCATCCTTTACCGTCACATAGCCGGTCTCTATGACCTCCTTGCCCGTGAAAATACGAACATCAGAGATTGTAAAGGTGGTGAGTGCCATCGCGAAAGTTTAGAATTGATCTAAACAACTTGCAGACAATATCTAGCGTTAGTGTCATCTTTTCTTCTTCTTTGATTCCACTGGGTTAGGCCTTTTATATGTCCATCTGGAAGCGCAAACTTGTGTGAATAACTGAGCCCTTGAGCATGATTGACTGTGCCCCTGTCTCTGATGAGAAGACATCGGCCTTTGGCCGCGAACCCTGCCAGCGTCCGACAATGTCCGACAGAATCCGACAGAATCCGACAGTGTCCGACGCTCCACAGATGTGGGATAGCCATATTAAGTAGGAGTTCCGACGCCGCGGTCTCTTGTGCCATCACTTATCCGACATCAACAATGGCGGCCGACAACAATCGGATGCGCGTACTTCGCCCGCTCCAGGCGTGTAACCTCTGCAAGGCCCGCAAGAAGAAATGTGACAAATCTTTGCCATCTTGTGGATATTGTACAAGGTTTGTCAGCCGGAGATTGCGGCGTTTGGAACCGTCAACTGACGTGATAGCAAACAAATCGATTGTGTCTATGGAGACGCTTCATTTCCTCGAAACCCTGCTTCGCCGACCACAAAAGATGCTTGTCCTAAACAGCCGTCACTATGGCCCTCGCCTGCTCGTGTCATCATAAATCCAAAACATGCCCTACAGCTAGCGGAGGGGTTCGGACGAGAGGTGTATTTGGACGTGTATAGAGTCATTCGTGACAGTGGGCAGTTTGTCGACGACATCACAGCTCGCTTTTTCAATGGAATTCATCACCAGCTGCCGCTCATCTCGCGGTCCTCCTTTTATAATAACTTAGCTGCGTTGGGGCCAGCCTCCTCCGTCGATAGTTCACTGCTCCTGTTGGCGATGTCTCTCTTCACAAAGACACCTGATGCCCATGCAAAAACAGTCCCCAACCTTGAAAAGCGGCGCGCCCTTTATCTCTCCTTGAAATCTCTTTATGCTCAAGTTCAAGCTTGCAGTCCGCCCTCTATTCCTCTAATTCAAGCAGGAGTTCTTCTCGGTATGCACGAGTATATGAATGGGCAGCCGTACAACGGATTTATGACCATCTCAACGTGTGCCAGGATGGCTTATGCCGCCGGAATTCACATGCACTTCTCTCATGAGAATACGAGCAGCCGCAAGCCTGATTCTCCATCCTTGTTCCAAGAAGAAGAAGAGGCCAACACTTGGTGGGGAATTGTCATATGTGAGAGGTAAGTTATTTGCTCCCAGGCAAGAGGGAATAAACCACTGATGCTCTCATTACAGAACGTTTTTGTGTGAGCTAGAGACCAACAGCCAGCCATTGTTATCCGTGTTTCCTGCCGGAGACGCTAGGTTGCCAATTGAATCTCAAGTCCTCGATCAACTCGATATCTTAGAGCATGGATCTTTACCCAACATCCCACTTTCTTGCCTTACCTTTCCAAATCTCGGAGGATTCAGTCGGATGGCGCAGGCTACCTGCTTTTTAGATCAAGTTCGTAACGCATTTGAGGTTGATAACATCGACTCTAGGCTTCTCCTTCTTTCCAGACTGGATACCAATATTCAGTCTTTCCTGTCGTTGGTAATGCCACAATGTCAAGAGGAGCCAGGAATATACTGTTCAGCCATGAACATAACCATCAGGTTAGTCTCGTGCAATTCATCACATTCAGTCCATTTCCCTCTTCTTTGATAATCTGTTCACTACAAAGCTCGTCCTGTATATTGACATCTACGTCAGAACCCTGTTCATACTCCACTGGCATATTATCACGCAGCTAAAAATTTGTGCGCCAAGATACGAGCCACGAGATGTGTGGCTGGCCAGATCACATGAAGCGCTGGAGACTGTGGCTAAAATGGTCATTGATATTGCGGATTTGTTGTTGGCTACACCTGTGCAGGGCACGACAACGTACATGGTCGACACAATGCCACCGCAATACCCATATATTGCTCGTGCCGTTCTTGGATATCTTTGCACCAGGAAATCTATCGAAGAACCAGAGTGGTCTAAGAAAGCTCGGGAGATTCTGCAGATGTGGCTCGACAAGTACTCCGAATGAGATACACATACAATCATGTGGAGATGATCAATCTAAATCGTATATCATTTCTGTAAAATTAAACCTATATACCATGTAGAGTGATTAGATGAGACTTATGGCCTTTGTTAATTCCAGGCATCAGTACTTCTGCTTTTCCGCTGGTTCCCTATTTCCCAACCAGCGTTCCATTCCCATATACCTGATCTGTGTAAAATGACACCACCTCAGTTCCATTGCCATCTCCTTTCCCGCAATTCTTCGAGAACCCCGAAAATTGATCCACTCTCTCCTTGAGATAAGTCTGGAAAGCCTTCTTAGAACATGCCGTCCCCGGTCCATCATTGCAACCAGACAATTGCTGCGGGGAACTGTTGACCAGAACTCGGTAGTAATCGCCGTCGTCATACCCATAGCTATTTGTACAGTTGAATCTCTCAATTGCAATGTTGGTGAGAAACGGTAAAATATTCGAACTCTTCCACGCACGCGCGTGGTTTATTCGGTCCAGTGGCATCGTGCTGTTGATCGTGGAATCGCTGCCGCCAAATTCAGAGTTGTTGAATAGGCCCATGGCTACGAGTACCATCGGAGGCAGTTCTCTGTGCGTGAAGCTGACGTACAGATCCTGCTCAATCTCCCCGTCCTCTAGAAGTAAACTGGCTGTCGCGTTGAACCAAGGGAGCCCGACATAGCCAGCCGCATTGTTGCCATACCCAACATTGTAATGGTATCTGACATCCTCCGCATACTCCCATCCGAGCCAGTCATCGGGTGTAAACAGGTCCGTGCTACAGAACGGAGATTTACCGCGAATGACGGTTTCATAGCCACATATTTGCTGCATGGCGAAAACATCCGAGACGGTGAAGTTGAACCCTGGAGCCAGGTTATTGAAACGAGCGAGGATGGGCTTAGCATATCGCTCCTGGAAGACGGAGCTTTCGTCGCTTCCCGCAGACGAAGAATAGGCCGGACAGCTCTTGTATGGAGTGAGGCTGTTGGCACCTGAACTCTCGGATTCAGAGACATTGACAACGTTGATAGTGTTGTCATCAAGTTCAAGGCCCCGCACCAGAGATTGTGCAGACTTTAATGTGCGCTCTGCCGAGGATGTCCAGACCCGTTGGGGTAACCGCAGATTTGGATACCTGAATTCCAGGTCGACTCCGAGCTGGGTTGCTTCGAGTTTTCCCACCCGAGTGAGAATCTCAGATTCGGCTTCGGAGACGGGTGCAGACCAATCGGCCAAGAAATTCAAGGGCGGTATTTTAGCCCAGTCGACGCTTGTCGTATTCTCGAGCTTCTCCAAAAATGGCTCGATATACTTCTCGTAGTCAAAGTCATTTGCATATATCGCGGCATGGCGAATCAAGTAAGCGGCTCGCTCTGCTGTACATCCAATTGGGGCGTCTGGTGACAGCGGGGGGTCTTGAGGCTCAAAGTAGGGTGATATGCCAGCAAGATGCTGCAGCGGATTGAAGCTGTAAGTCGAGTAGAGGGTAGAGGCTGATGAACAAGCCGCCAGGGCGAGAACGAGTGTACCGTGGACAGCCATGATGTCTGGCTTACTCCTTTCCAAAGAGCTTGGAATAGGTAGGAAAGGACCAATCTGCGAGACCACTCTACTTTAATGGGCTCTAGATTACAGGTCCAATCTACGCCCTGCCTTGATTTAACGATTGAGAAATAAAAACCTCCGTCATTAAGCTTGATCCTTATGCTTGGACATTTCGGCATATCAGTTCCGGCGTTGACGTCATAACATGGGATATCTCCAGGTGGATCATAATCATGACGCATCACGATGTGGATTTGCATGAAACGCGTGTTACCTAGCATAATTTTATTCCGTGAGACGTGGTCCACCCTTTATGGAGTCTCAGAACTCACTGGCCACGCAACCATGAACAACTTTCCACCGTCAGAGCCTGTGTCTTGGATCTCTCGAGAGTTGGGATCGTTGCCCAGCATATTGGTTCCTCGCCCCGCGACTCTCTCCATTGATTCGTAGCATCCTGTATATCAGGACATCCCTCTAGCAAGAATCCCCATTTACGGGCGAATCCATCTGTCACCTCCCATGACGCTGACCTCCACAGTTCTCCCCATATCATTACGCCGGACATGTCTGCATCGCGGAATCTCTCAAACAGTCCCCCGTGCAAATCAGTAGCAAGTGCTTCCATGTCATAGGCGCCCGAAAATAGGATCAGATTATTCCGCATCGTCGCGCAAGGCACGATAGCAATGCGGGGATAATACACCACACACAGCTGGAGGCTGGTCGGGTAGAGTGAGGTAGGGAATGCTGGTGGCGATGGGATCAAGAGTGGAGGAAGAAGCAAAGCGCTCTGCTTAGCCGGTGGCAGGGTTTCACTGAGACCAAGAAGTGCCATGTTGTACATTATCGCTCGCTTCACATTATATTGGACCAGCGTGATAAGCAAATGGTCAGACGATAAGGGAAATACTATCCTTGTCTCAACATCCGTGGAGAGAATAGGAGGTATAGGCAAATACGTATCCGAGGTGCCTCGTTCGTTCGAGGGTGCGCTCGATGAGGACAGCGAGGGTGAACTCCTTGCACGCCATCTAGGATGAGCGGCACCTCCGGCCTCCGGCTCTTGCAGTACCAACATGCCATGTCCAGCCCAGGGTCCCTCAAACTTGTGGGCTCTGGGCTGGACAGACAGTGCTTCTTTGCGTTTCCGGCCTATTTGTGGTTAGCACAGAGTTGAGATACAGCAAGGTGGAAAGACGTGCGCCATGCTCTTTGGTGTAATCGATTTTGGAGTTTTCGCCTCTCTGCTCGGTCCGGCTCTTCTAGCCAGTTATCTTTGGGCCCGCGAACCTGGATGTACGCGTTACGCTGCGTTAAGTATTTGACTGAACTAAAAGACCCGGAATTTTAATACCTCGGTCCGCAAAGTGCGGTGACGCTGCGGAAGAGAAGCGCCAGATTCACCCATATAAGCAACATATCAACAGATGGTCAGCGTCTAGTCGTACGAGTAGAGAAGAAACCGAATCAGAAACGCCGCAAGGGCGGACGGGGCACCTGAATTGCTTATTTTCTAACGCAAAACGACAAGGCAAAAGGGGGCCTGTCAGACTCCCAGTCAAAGATGTCCGGAATATTGCTTATCCCGCTAGGCCCATTTAGAACAAGACTGCCGGAATACCAATAGATTTAGGCTATCACCAGTCACCCGTGTCAAGAGGGTGACTTGATGCTTGAGAGTATCTACTAGCTATTCTAGCTGTATGTCAACACATATAAAATGCAGCTTCATCAACGTAAAAGTATATGATTTATTGATCTCAATATTACAATTTTACCATCAAGTTTTCAAGAAATATTTACGTTCCGCCTAATGATGCCGAGACAACTATCGGGCTTCACCGAGTTCAAGCCGAGCAAGGACATCCCTTCTCTCTGTGGGAAAGTCACTTTTATTACAGGTGGTAAGTCCCCTTCACGAGGATAAACTAATTCGGCCTGGAATAAAATTATCTGGTGAAAGTGATCCTAATATAACCCTTTCTTAGGCACTGCGGGTGTGGGAAAGAGCACTCTAGAGCAATTGACACAGCATCAGCCAGCTCATCTATACTTCACCGGCCGCAATCAATCTGCTGCTGAGCAAGTAATCAGCCTTACCAAGGCTGCTCAGCCGAGCACTTCCATCACCTTCATCCAGATGGACCTCTCCTCTCTCGCATCTGTTACATCGGCTGTTGCTCAATTCACCCACGATCGCCTGGACATATTAATATGCAACGGCGGGATCATGGATGTTCCTCCCGCCGTCAGCGTGGATGGATTTGAGATTCATATGGCCACTAATCACCTTGGACACGCCTTGCTCATTGACAAACTTCTACCTGTCATGCTCCAAACCGTCTCTCTACCACAAGCAGACTTGCGAAGCGTCATACTCAGCTCTGCAGGGTTTGCACTCCACCCAAAGGACGGATTCTCTTGGGATAAATTATCGTCAGCCCAGAGCGGGCTCGTGGAGTCTATGACAAGATACGGGTATGTGACTGAGAAGCACTCTCGCTCAAGACTCAAGCATCTCTATTCCTTTAAACTTTAGAAGCTAACAGCGCATTCGCCCTACGTGCAGCCAAAGCAAACTTGCAAACCTTGTATATGCGGCCGAACTTGCACGCCGATATCCTCAAATACTCAGTGTTTCTGTCCACCCCGGGTTTGTTGCCACAAATTTAATTCACAATTCCTCCGCTCTGGCCAAATGTTACCCATATGGGAGGCACTGGCTGAGAGGGGAATCTATCCTTTCGCGGCATCAGGGATCTTTGAATTCATTATGGGTGGCAGCTGGGGCGGAGCGAAACAACCTTGTGAACGGTGCATACTACGAGCCAGTTGGTGTTCTTCGAAAGCCGGAAGGCCTCCCCTCCGGTGAGGAATTTGCCAAACGAGTTTGGATTTGGACGGACGGCGTTTTGACTAAGTCGTTAATTCTGGAGGTCTTTTCAGTCTATGGACGAACATTGTAGTAGGCTTCAAGGAGAATGGGCTAGAAGGCTGGTGCCTGAATCGTGGATCCTTCGTCTATGTCATTTCTAGAGCAATCCGTACCTAGCTTCAGAACAGGGGTGCCAATGGATAAAACCTCCTGATCTTCGCGTGGCTTTAATCTTAAAGGCTCTTGAGTAAGAGCCTATTCGGGGATGGTTGAAATAAATATCATGTTCTCCCTTTACACAGCCCAGGCGTAGGCACCAACACCTCAAGTGAGAGAGTTCAAGTGGCTGGACTTGCACAGTAAAGAACCAATCATAGAAAATACTAGACCCAACATCCGAACACTAAATATACATACGAAAGCCAAAAGAAATAAGCTCTACTAGACCAAGGCTGCAGCCATACAGAAGGAAAATTTTGTTGACCTTCGTACCAATGACTCACTTGCCATCGAGACGGGCCGGTCATCAGATCCCTATATATTCCTTCCTCTTTCATCTGTATCACACACCCAGTTTCCTTCGTACACTCGTCTTGCATCGCACCATTTCAAGCACGTCAGCACTTCAAGCTCAAAGCTTTCGGATACCAACCCAACGAAGACCAGTGATCCCTTGGCCATGTATCGACAGACTAAAAATTTCAAATAAGCGCTGGTCATTGAAACTTGGCCATGGCTCCCCGCGGTAGGGGCTAATAGCCAGACCTCTCTAAGACACGAAAAACTCGGACTCCGAGTGCCGCCCCCGTCAGGATTAACTTGGCACAGCACATAACATGCTGGAACCACAGGCTGTATGTCGGGTCATAATATGCACGTACAATAGGGCAACCGTGAGCAAGATTTGGCTCTCCATACAGCCAGTCTTAAAGAAGTGCCTTATGAGGCGGCACCTGGCTAGCTTCGCAACAGATTGACAGACCCCAGAGTTGCAAGTGCGGGATCTGCTTTCCTGTAAGCGGCCTCGTCGCCTCGAGGAGGCCCCCGGCTGATCGGAGGATTGGATGTTTGATGAACTTGGAATAGAGCTGCTTTGTCTTCTCTATGCTCTTTATCATCTTTTCTAGGACTGGCTGGATACAGAGCCAAACCTTGCTGACGATTCCCCCTGTTGTGCTTGCGTATTATGACCCCATACAACCTGTGCTTCCAGCATATCATGTGCTGTACGGAGTTAATCCTGGCGGGGCGGCCCTGTGTTCTACCTTTTGTCAGTAAAAATGCAATCTGACGGCTTGGCATACGAAGCTGTGAGAAGAGACTAGGCCTTATCAGGGGCTGTTTTTGCGACAGCTAATAAGCATTGATTGTCATACTTTTATTATGGGCTAACCAATTGACGCCTCCACCAGGAGTGAGGTGAAAGCTACAGACTTGGTCCTATGTTGGTTAACCCTTTCTTCATCGCAAAACTGCCCCCATACGGAGTCGCTCTCCATTCCAACTAAATCAATCCTCTCCTCTCCTTACAGGAATATGGTCAATCGGGGTCGCTCTGAGGGCTGCACAACATGCAAACGACGACGCGTGAAGTGTGATGAAGCTAAGCCTCGCTGTCAAGAATGTTTACGCGTCGGCTACGAGTGCGAAGGCTACGGACCACGTCCATTTCGCATCCGGTATCAAGTTCCACAAAACCCGAGCGACCATAGAAGGAGAAGAGGCCGGCATCAGATAAGGATGAAGGCCCAGAAGGAACCAGCCATACATCGCCCGCCCTCCAATGAACAGTGCGTATCTCCCGTTTCGGCTTCGTCGTTATCGGACAACGAGAAAAGAAATGCGATGTCCTTGTTCGTAACCTATGTCCTTGTCCTCGGTCGCAGCTTGGAATCTTCACGGGGCCTCTTGGAACTGTTGACCCCGGCTCTTGCCTTGGAGGTTGATGATTCGCCGCTATCTCTTTCACTCCACGCTGCCGCTATCCAGTTGTGGTGTTTAATAAATTCAAGATCATTCTCCTCTTCCGACAAGATACTCACTCAGGCGTATTCGCGTCTGAGGACCGCAATTCAAGACCCATTGCAGCGTAGCTGTGAGAGCACTGTTTTGGCTGCGCTCCTCTTGCAACGATATGAGCGCTTTTCGGCTGTGTGGAATCAACATGAACAATGTCACGTTCATCGAAATGGTGCACTGGCTTTGCTAAGACAGCAAAAGCTGGATGGAATACATTCGAAGCATCGTGGCTATCTGATATCCCAGCTGTTTCATATAGAGGTTAACATTTGTATTTCCAAGAAAATCCCGTTTCAGGCGAGCGAAATTTCCTGGTTGACACACCAAGATCTTTCGATCTTGCCGTCAAACCCAAGCACGGCTCTGGATATCATCGGCGCTTCCATTGCCAACCACCAGCACAAATTCTACCTACTATCAGCAGAGAAATTCATCACAGCTTCGGAACAAGAGCTGTCGCATTGGAATGAAGAGCTTGAAGACACTGAGAACCAACTGCACAGCTGGCCAGACAGTGTACCCAGACACTGGCTTCCACAGACGCTTCAGTCGGGAAAGCACTTTGATCGATCGATTATCACGTATGCGGGATATAGCGACATTTATCCCAACATCCAAATCGCATCAATTTGGAATCTATGGCGTACTTATTGCCTTCTCATGCTGCGAATAAAACTGGCTCTTCTTGACCTCTTTCCTAGCTTGTATGAGGTTGCAGGCACTACACAAGATCCTCTAAGACATGCATTTAGGATCAAGTCGGTGCAGCTGGCTCAAGAATCAATTGATTCGATATGCCGAAGTGTATCCTTTCATCTTGGCAACTATATTAAACCTGCGTCACTCTCTGAGCTGATGGTTCCAACGATCCTATGTGCCAGCTATCATGACATGGACCCATCCCATACCTCGTACACCTTGTATCAGAACAGTTCCCTTTTCATGTCCAGAGATGACCATAAGCGACATGTCATTGTTCAGGGTCCTTGGCACATGATGGGTACTCTGAGCCATGTTCTGAGCATTTTTGCGCACAGTGAATCCCATGTTCTGGTGCACGTCTTGAGAGAAGGTCAGATGGATTGGGTTCGGACACAATTCCTCCGGGGGCTGAGATTGCTTCGCATAGATCTCGAGGGTCTGTCAGCGAATAATCACGGTCACTTTCAAGCAGACCGAGGTGATCTCTATGTCTTGAATATAGCTAGTGCTGAGATCATTGCAAAGAGACTCGTGGCGGCATTGGCAGGGTGATTCCGTAATTTGCTCTTTGGTCATGAGAAGATAAGGAAACTACGTATATGGGTGAAAACTACGAGATGTCATTAAAAACCATAGAGTCGTTCGAGAGCAATACCGATGGGCCAAAAAAAAAAAAAAGCAATACCAATTTGATTGAACTAGAATATAGTCAACCCGGTTTGCTTCGCTTCCACTTAAGTTGTAACTGCTAGAAATCGTTCTCCTAACCTTTACTCTTTGGGAATCTTCCTTATTTTTCTTACAATGAGACACCAGCCAGGCCTTATTAGGGACGCTTGGTTCTTGTAAGCAGTGAAATTCTACCACTGCAGACAGTGAGGCGGCCGCAGTAACTGATAGGCGATAGGCATGCATAACAACATTGGAACTCGACCAATCACCACCTCAAAGCTGACCGATGGATACCTCCTATACTCTGGTAGGCTTGATTCGAATCTCCAGGCCCATTCCTTCTCCGCTCCCAAGTCACCACGAATTTCAACATACTATAATCGCGTCGTTCCAAGGCCAGACTTGCATTAGAGTGAGACACTGCCTGCTAGCTACCAAGCAGCAGTGTTTTATAGAATCCAAAAGCAGGCCAAGATAGCTCTCTCGCGCAATCAGCTCTGATTTGCACTCTGTGAGGGGTTGGGGTCGTACAAAGACCCAGAGCCTTGTCGCGAAATCAACGCCAGCCACAAAAGCAAGAGGAGCGGGGTTCACGTCTCAATCACTATACACATTTTCCCAACCCGAGATCAGGGAAAAGTGACGAGATGATGTTCGATCCTGCACTAGATGATTATATTGACTATAGCCCCTTGACAAGCGAGGCAGACGATCAGAAGCGAAGCAATGAATCAACTGATGGTCGTGTATTTTCGCGTGACGCAATTGATCCGCGAGCTGGAAGCCCATCGACCTTCTTCAAATCATTTGATGCGGTCTGGGACCGAGAAGGCGATAGGCCAGCATCTATATCGCCCTCGAGCTCACACCCGCCTCCATCGCATCTGACTGTCGCCTATCATACTGGTGCTACCGATTCCGAGCTTGACAAGCGCATTTATGGCAGAACGCTGTCAACGGTGTAGGAACCATCCTGTGTGCATCTTCTCGTCTCGATCTAAAGCTTACTTAACTTCTCTTATGTCCTTTGTAGTGATCCTTTCGCCTCCCCCCTTGCAGACGAACACAACATGTTTGCACCAAGGGTGAAGGGCCTTGACCCTTATCATTTCTTTCCATGCAAGCCACAGCAGACTCTTCCCAAAATCAACGATGTATTACGAGACACAGTGTGGAGCGATGCAACGTACGTCATAATGAAATGCAGTATTATAGTTTTCATTCAAATCCTAACTCTTCATTCAGACTCGAGGAATCCAGGTTGCAACGCCAGACTCAATTCCACACGCCATATTCCTTGAACGGTTTGGTTCAAAGTAACGAGTGCTCCCCTGTCCGATTTGACAAAGAGGATGGAGTCTTAGCCCTGGAGCTGCCTTCGTGCGATGAACCAAACTTTCGTGAGCACTCACTATATCAGGATGCAACGATCGGCAGTGATGACTTGTATCACTGTCCCTGGGAGAGCCAGGCCGACTGTAACCATGTTCCAACCAATACGAAATGCACTTACAAGTGAGTACCTCTGTAACGCAATTGTAAGAGCGACGATGTGACTAGAGATGAGCTAATGTGTGGCTAGTAAATATGTCGATACTCACCTCAAGCCGTATCGTTGTAAATTCAACACCTGTGGAGAGGCTCAATTTGCATCTTCTACAATTCTACTTCGTCATGAAAAAGAGGCCCATGCGATGCATGGACATGGCGAGAACCCGTACTTGTGCCCTCACGAAGGCTGCGGTCGCTCAATTCCCGGGAACGGATTTACTCGCCGCTGGAACTTGCGAGACCATGTTCGTCGCATACACAAAGAAGACGACCAACCTCGGAAACATTCCAGAGCATACACTGGAAAAAGACACCAACGTCGAATTAGAAATAAACATGGACTCCTTGAAGAGCGCAAGGTTGCGCCCAAAGCCGGGACTCTGGCTGAAGGAAATACACAGACTGAACGTTCTGGTTGGGATCACCACCGAAAGTCGCTCGAAAAAATCGTTCAACAACTCGGCACGACTAACGAAGAGGAACGATCAAATCTGCTAGCTGCTGCGGAGGACCACATCTATTCCTTGAAGTTCCTTGCCCCGGAGACAAAACTAGAAAAAATTTGACATTTTGTATGTTATTTCAGATTATACTTTATAAATCTTTGTTTTTTATTAGGTTAGTCTCCCTTTTGAGAAAAGTGGTGCATACCTAGGTAGAAAATCAAACATCTTTCCCCTCAAAACACTTGTATTCGGCCTTATTCATTGCTTTAGTGGTGATGTATCACAGCTCCGTCAGGTGGAGCATCTCCAAATCCTATGATGCCGACATACCAGAGCCCAAGGACAGTAGCACCCCAGATCCCTAATCCGATCAAGGGATGACGATAATAATGAAGGGTATATTTCAAAAATGACGCTGGCCATGGTCCCTTGATTTGCAGTTCTGACATCGCAATGCCTTCTACTTCGATGGTTTTCAAGCCGAAACAAAATCGAAGTTGCCCATGCATGTCATCAATGAGGAGTTGCTTGAACTTTGAGCTGTGTGATGCAGGTGTGGCCATGGCATTGAGAAGACTTGAGCTGTCCTCCTTTACGTCATCTTCAGTCAAGCATACCGCGTCCATCCAATGTTGGTTGTTTCTCTGACCCAAAACAACCAGTACAAGGTTAGGGCCATTGAAATCTCGATAAACAAGCACAATTCGGTAGTCAGCGTATGTCTTCAATACCAGATTTAAACGGCGAGCTGTAGGATCGAAACAAAAGAACCGTAGTAGGCCGCTTGAATCGGTCATTAAGAACCCCTGAAGCTTATATGTTCCGAACACTGTTCGAGGCCTGATTGCAGTTTTATCCATATAGAACGAATCTTCATAACGCTTTCTCGTCATTTCGACGTTTTCGGCTTTGAAAATCTGACTATCCATAAGCTCCATTCGAATCTGGTAGGATGATGTCCACGGCTGATCATAGTGGTGGCCACGGATTTCAGCTGTACGAGTGAGCCCGTACAGAGTGACCTCTCTGACATGCCGGCCCTCTCGTTCCAACACTGCAATTTCACGTGGGCGAATTCGTGCGTATCGGTCATTGTCTTGACGCTGGAGATATATACCCGCAGCTCTCCGCGGGTCTCCACCAAAACAGCAGTTGAGAATCAAAATCACTGTTGCGTAGGCATGTTAGCAGGTAAGGATATATGTGCCAGGCGTCTGGGAGTAAATACCAGTGTTGTGGGGTTCTAAATGCGCCCTTAGATCCTGTATTCGACCCGTGATTCGGACCCCTCGATTTGTCATTGCGATGGGTTGTTGCGGTGTCTGGAAATCCCATACCCTCACTAAATGATCGTTGGTAGACGGGATACTCGGCTCGCCACTCATGTTCGATTCGCTCGGGAGCCCGTCATAAAAGTTGCTAAACTCACGAGGAGAGTTTGCAAAAAGCCCCCGAACCTCTCTAGGCTTTTGCGACCCCATCGAACGCCAAGCGAAGATAGTCTGGTCATCGGACCTGCGCAGGATTTCTTCCTGCAAACGCAAGAATGCCTTGGAGCCTTCCCCGTATACGAGGGGCATATTCACGCCAAAGATGCCGAACAGGCAATAAGCGATATCCTCTTTCCGTCTTGTTTCTCTGTGAGCAGCCCAGCTCATCTTCTTTGCAACACAGACTTGCTCAAGAGGACTTCCTTTGATAACGAATGTGTCAATCCCTGTAATGTCTCGGATCTCCGAGGCCATCTCGTGCTTCTCTCCAATGTAGTTCCACTCCGTATCATAAAACTCTACCTTCTTCGGGGCGATGAGTTCTTGCAGCGTCCAGCCTCGTGTGAACCATCGACTGCTGCCCAATCCAATGGTCCCTGTGGTCGTCGAAACAACAGGTGGCCCGCCAGAAGTCCAGCCAGAAGGTCTGGGTTCTCCAACTGCCACGTCCTCCAGGTAAGCATAACAGACATGCGCGTTTTGATACCATTTAAACATAGAGTTAATAGCTTCGCTCAACTCCGTACTACTTCTCTTATCAATGCAGCACGAGTCTACCCAGACGTACTCAAAACCCTGGCGCCGTGCTTGCCGGCATGTAGCCAGAATCTTGGCCAGGCCCCGGCTGTCCCTATTTCGTTTTCGGGTAGACCTGTTCCTGAATTCCTGGAAGGTGACTTCCTGGGTGCCCCAGGTATGCGACAGAATCGCGTACGGCGGGATGGACCTGTTAAATTCGCGGAGCTTCAGCGATCTGGTGTGGATGAGCCTCATGTTGGCGGTCCCAACCCCGCGCCATGCATCGGTCGATACAGAATGACAGAGAAGGGCTCATCAAGGGCTGATGATGAGTTTAACCGCAGGCGTCATTCGAAAGAAGACAGTTGATGTTTGGCGATGGTGTGCTGACAGGGTTGCAATCTCAGCCTCGTGATTATTGCCTGCGTTAGCGGGGAACAACATGGATTCTTGCCCACCCCTGTATGTGCTATGCCACAATAAGACGCAAGATTAGCCTACAAAACCCTCAAAATCAATCATTACCAACTTGTTTCGAGGGCGATATTCACCACATATTATACAATGCTGAGTGCTCAGTCAAGGCAACTAAATCAGCGCATAGAAAGGCCTGTCATTCCAGCTGCTAGAGCAAATGCAAAGTGTCTCATTGGAGTTTAGCCACTGTCTATTGCCTACACATCAAAATCGTCCCTACAAGGCTTTAGCTACCAGCACGCTGAACAGCAGTGGCAGTCTACCGGCCCCACGCCGAACCTTGCCAGCTTTGTTCGTCGTAAGCAAACATGAAAGCCTTTGGAAGAAGGCATAGACACTTTGATGAGCCAAGGTCACTGTGAGCCTCATACTGCTGATCTTGCCGAACTTGCGGTAATAGGCAGTCTTCGGTAATTCGGGATGGGATGGTTGCGGGAGTACGATCTGTGGCTGTGAGTAGTTCCGACCAGATCGGTTGGCTTGTTGTTCTTAACACTTGCGTGTACAAGCCAAAGCGAGAATGGACTTAACTTGCTATCGCAGATATTCCTGGAGCTTTGGGTATTTTCCCGATTGCGATTTGGCTCATACATGTCGCTCATGATTGTTAACAGCTGATACATTGAGAGAGATAAAAAGTAAAAGTTAACGAGTGTAAAGTAAAAACAACAATGGAAGATGCCAGATCCGAGACCTCAACATAATGAACAAGAGCCGCGCAATAACTGCATGGTGTCCCGGTTTCTCAGCGACATTGCCATTCTTAAGTTGCACTGGAGTGTTGCCATGAGTATGAGATGCGTGTCCGGATATAAATGCTTGTATGATTTGGGGTGTAAGCATACGATTCCCATTTAGGCATGTTTCGCGGGCGGACATTATCTCCGGATCTGAGGCTATCCCCAAGATGGCATGTTTCGCTAGCACCCAATACCTCCGAAAGACACATGGTTATGCAGCTGAACAATGGAGAACTGAATGGGAGGATTCCTGCCGACATCTTGTGTGCTAACAACATGCATCTCTTCCTACGGGCTTACCTCTCGAATCCGCGATAACGCCGGTGTTCGGATAGTATAAAAGAACATCAATGGACCTACCTCATCCTGTACCAACAACAGCAAACACAGCATCAAACCTCTATTAGACCTATCGTCTTCCAGCCTCTCGGTACAAAATCGTCAACAAAAGTTCTAGGAGGGTCGCTGAAGCCTTCAAATCCACCATGTCTCAGACACCCCCGGGCTACAAGTACTCTACCGACCAGGCCTTGACGGTCACCGTTGCTAATGCCGCAGTGGCACCTGGTAGTTATGTGCCTATCCAGACACTAAGCGGTTCGTCTCTCCATTTTGATGTTGAAAAGATTTGACGATTTGAAGCTAACCTTTCCAAGAGCCAGTTGCTTCCCCAGGCCTCGATTTCTCCAACATTTCCAGCACCTCGGCTCATGTTGTTGTCATGCTAGATCTTGACCCTCCTCTGGCCGACGAGGACCGCAAATACGCCCCGTTGCTGCACTGGCTAACCGCCATCCCGTCAGGGGTCTCCAGCCTGGCCGCCAACGACACAACCACCGAGGCTATTGCCCCATATGTGCCGCCCCAACCACCCGCGGGCTCAGCTCCCCATCGATACGTCACTCTCCTCCTCAAAGATACCCGTGATAAGTTCTCAGCTCCTGCCGGGTTCGAGGGGCCGTATGAGGATCTCTTTGCGCGTGTCAACTTTGATTTGGATGGGTTCATCAAGGCTGGCGGATTTGAGATTGAAGCTGCCCACTGGTTTACAACAAAGCCGGCCGAGTGATGGCCATCATAAAGCGTGACGGACGTGCCAAGCACTTCGAATAAATGCATCCAGCTTAGATTATACTAAATAGTCTAATTGTTTAAATAATCATCATGCAGATAACGATTCAGTATTGATCCCAAGATTAGGCATATGGCAAATTTGTGTTGCCTATGCCTAGATTTATGTATAATGAAGGTTTGAAATCGAGTAAAAGGTTTGGTATGCACTGAAATTTGGTAAAAAAAAAAAGAAAAGTGTGCAACAAGTCACGTGTGGCCTGATCCTTTGCATACAGCAAAAAAACAACACAAAAACATGCAATCCAAGATATGTTGATGGCTACCACCAGCTACCCTAGAGAGTTGATGTGACGAATTTCGCTCGCCGCAGTCCATCATCATCGGTCGCGTGGCCCAATGGCAAGGCAGTTGACTACGAATCAGAAGATTGTGGGTTCGATCCCCACCGTGACCTTTCTTTTAACTTTTGCGGGATTGCTTTTTTGTTGAGAGTTATTTTTGGTTCACTTCATCATCGTGTTCAGCGAGCATATCATCGTGTGTGAGGAGGCGCTTGACCAAAGTATCTGATTTTTCAGGGGTGCCACTGGGTCATCAGTCGCCTGCATGCGCTAAGGCAAACGCGTTTATGTATATCAGTGGCGAGCAGTCCAAAGCGTGTATTTTTTGGCACAATATTACGCACGTCGATCATTGCCAAAGCTTGAGGCGGTGTAAATATTGGCGCAAGTAGAGAGTTATTTATCTCTTCAGGTGCCCTGAACGCAGTGACATATCAACTCCGGCGTCAACACTCCTAGCATCCCCATCACGGGACGATAATTACAGGGCCATTGCTTCTCAAACCCTAGCTGCATGGTGTCAGTGCAACGGCGGTTACCGTGAACGCTGTTTGGGTAGTTGATGAGTGGGTGGCCCCGTTCGACGATCTTATTAGCGTCCTGCAAGGATTGTGGTTGTGCTCAGCTCAGCGGGAGTCAACTGCATCGCTTGTTCCTATTCTGCTCAGAGATCTAGGTCAAGCATCGTAAGATAATGAGACTACTAAAGAAAAAAACGAAAAACGACATAGTCACACCACATAGAATGATGCTCTGAACGGGCGTTTCCTGTCTTCGAGTAGGGTTGCACTGAGGCAGCACTACCGTACGGCTGAACAACCCTGGCCCAAAGAGCCAATCGTCTAGTCTGCAGCACGCATATCTAGCTCTGAAGGCCCCTGCAAGAGGCGTCGTGCGAGAGGCCGCACCCTACGAGCTGAGGAGAGCTGAAAGAAGTTGCATATACATTTCGCAGGAGAAGCTTCATGCCCACATGACAGGCATCGCTCATTGGGTACCCGCAGAGAAGAAGGATTCAGTTAATCTCAAGGCTTGGCTTTCTACTTATCACATTGTCCGACAAGGGGAAATTACCGCCGCTGTGGGCGTGGCTGTTGAATGGCCGTCAATCCAATCAGCTAGGTCGAATAGTCCATCTGGCTACGTAGGTCTAGAACCGCCAGCTGAACAGATAGTTTCGCTTCCAGCCGCTTTATGATAATAAAAAGAAAATCCTGTGCTGATCGTCCAGCTCCCCTCCGCTTCCCCAAATCGATTCGTGCTTTTGCCCTTCCTTGTTACCAGCCAGCACTCATTTTTGTTCCTCTGTCCATGCCCAACATTCTACATTGGTGGGCGCCAAAATTCACACTGCAAGATGTCGTTTGTTCTCCCTAAAAGACTCCTCGCATATGTCGATGGCAAGTTCTCCATCATCGATCCGCCCGCCCATGGGGTCCACGAATTCCACATCGTCTCCTACACCTGGGGCACCAAAGTCCCGCAGTATGACCCGGGGATCGCGGGCCTGAACTGGACGGTCAAGATCTCCCCCGAGAGGCTCAACGACATCAAGAGATTGATGCAGACCGCCGGATTGAAATATTTATGGGTAGACTGCGTGTGTATCAATCAAGATGACGAGGAGGAGAAGATGATTGAGATTGCCAAAATGTACAGGTACTACAAAAGTGCCTTGCAATGCCATATTTTGGTGCACATGGACGAGGTCTGGTATCCCCAGCAGATTGTCGAGGACCTTCGTTTTGTCGACCATATCCTGTCCTACATGGGAGGCGCGGCGCTCGCAAAGGAGGCCAGGTTGGGTGAGAATCTGACGAGCATCCTCAACGACTGGGAGCACGGGAAGTGGATGTTTCCTGTCGACAAGGGAACCGTCCGATCTGCCGGGATTGAACTCGGAATCCTTAATTGCTACGCTACGAGCATCTACCACGTCATCACACTCTTCCACAACCTGTATTTCTCGAGAGTTTGGACGTTCCAGGAAATGCTGCTCGGAAAGGAGATCTTGATGTGGGGAGTCAACACTGAGATCGTTCGCGAGATTGGAGAGCTCGATACCTGGATGGATCTGGCCACAGCCTGCACCGACAAGGCGTACAAGCTGCAGGCGTGGATTGAAATACCCCGGGTTCTGAAGCCAAACGCGGTCAATGCCGTCCTGAGGGTCATCGAAGAGCACAAAATCCTTCTTGGGAGCCTGCAGACGCAGGTGAAAGGCATCAGCTCTGCTAGAACTGACATCATCGCGGGAGGGCCGAATTGGTGGGAGGATAACCACAAGGGAATCAGTAACATCTTCTCGGCAATATCTATCACTCCAAGAGAATGCAACCCCGATGAAAAAGCCGACGTCTTCAAGGGGCTCCTGGGAGTTTTCAGCGGACTCTTCACGGCGGAGGAAATTGGGCAGAAGATGAACAAGAACAGAACCCTTGACGAAATCTCCTTTGCCTTTTTCCAGCAGCTATCCTTGAAAACCGACTGTGCGTGGACAAGGCTCTCTATCAGCAGCGGAGAGAGAGAGTCGTGGGATTGGATTCCCGTGGTAGCAGACTCTGGTCAGCCGTTAACAACAGACTGTTTCTCCGGCGTGGTAAATCTGGGGCGTGCGAAGGCCAATGGCTTGGCGAAATCTACAGCGGTAACTGGTCTCATTGGCACTCCTCGTCCCTACATGAAGATCAAAATGCTCGAGGGAGATGGCAGTTTCCGGTTCGTCTTCAAAGGCTGCAACTGCGGAAAGAAAGTCAAGACCAGCACGTTCGGAAGCGAGCGTATACCCACTATGGACCAGTGCAGAGATGTCGTCAAGGATGAGACGGGCAGAATGCTGGTGCAGTGTGCCACTCTCCTAGGAAGCATACTAGACCCCGTAAACGACGTCGTGAAATATCGGAGGAATCTCCTCCGGAAGTTGCAGCCTGATTGGAACTGGACCGACCCCAGTGCCAAACCAACGCTTTGGGCGGACAGGTGTGTCAGTGGCACAACGTGGGAAAACCCCCATCCGGAGGGCGTCCGAGCCCATAACTGGTCGATGAACTACAACTTTGTCGATATTTTTGACTGCGGATCCCGACTTTACAACAAGGCTACCGCTAATCTGTTGTGTGAGGTAACAATCAATTGCGGCTGTACAATCACTGGTCCATTTGTTTTGATGATCGAGGCACTCACTGCGGTGCACGGTAGCTTCCTCGGAGACACATCGGCAGCACTGGATTCTGATAATCGAATCGTTCTCCGAGATGGTATGGGGCTGATCCAGGTGGGGGATGTGGGCAAGGCCTTCAATGTTGTTGCATTTGGAGGAGACGTGGGTGCCTACAAGAGTTACGCCTCGACCTGCAGGAGCACAAAGAGGGACAAGACCGCACCATTTGGCAATAAACAGTTTCCTTATGGTAGAGCTCTTGTCAGGGACGAGTTCTCACACGGAATTGGTGACGTTGGGAGAGACTATGGGTACGTCGAGACTGGAGGTTCTGGAAACTTGTTGATCTATCGTGGCCACCCAATGGGCAAGTACAAGATTGTCGGCGTCTGCATAGATGAACATGTTGCAAATAAGAAGGGGAGAAATTCTGTCGTCATTCGTTGATATATTGGTAAACGTACGAAGGATAATTTAGTAAAGAGAAGCCTTAATCGGAACCAATCTTGCCCATCACAGTCCAAAACACCAAAAGAGAAATCAAATAAACTTGCTTCTGTCGACACTATTCTATAGTTATAGACCATGCAAATTCGATAGACTTCTCGGTGAAGGTATCGAACAGAACGCTGCAATGCTCGTCGGCTTGTCGCGGAAACACGTTCTCAGCAACGTCACTGTGCATGCGAAGAATGTTCTCTATTTGGACACGCCGAAGATTTGGAAACTTTCCAGACTCAACGGCCAGTCGCTCTAGGTCAGCCCAAGCCTGGGTCCCTTCGTAAAGCCGGAGGACGAGCGTTTTCAAGTTGGCAGGCAGAGTATCTGTGAGACAAGTTGATGGTACTTCCGGGTTGCGGCGATGCCGGCAAAAGGACGTGTCATCCAGCTTGACCGTTTCCAATGCGGTAAAGCTCTGTAGCACTTGTGGCACCACAGTCTCGCCGCTTCCACTATGGAGGGAATGTTCTGTCAAGTCGATATTGAGAAACTTGAGTGAGTTCTTGGTGGGCCGAAGGCACCGAAGAAAATCGCGAGCAGAAAAGTGTGTGTCAATATGTTCGCCCAGATATGCCGCTTGTGACTGATAGGAGAAGCGTTCAAGGTGCGGCGCATGCGAGACGACATCGCTGATGAGCGAGTCGGTATCGCCATCGGCTTCCAGAGCACTACCCTTGAACTCGACGACTCGAAGAGAACTGCCTGCTCCGTCCCTGAAGATAGTTCCTGATTCTTCGTCTTCCCCCTCCCATTCACTACTCAATCCCTTGCACCTATACAGAGAAAGATGTTCTAAATTGGGCGCGAGGCTTAGCAAAACAGGGATGCCTGGCACGTTGGCACTCACGCCCCAGTCATCGTCTGTCAAAAACTCCAACCTCTTCAGACGGTGGAGCGAAGCAGCTTCAAGACCTATTCGCCTACTCCTCTCAGCGGTGTAGTAGTATTTGGTCCCTTCATAATTGCCGTCGTTCTCCACGTAGACTTGTAGTGCTTCGAGATTGGGCGCCAAGGCAATCAGCAGCTCAATGCAAAACTTGCCCAGGGATGTGTCCTCCTCGTCCGCAGATTCAAAGTCCTCATCGCTCTCACGTTGCATTCCCAGCCGCTTGGCGACGTCTTTCACCAGCGCAATCTCCTCGGCCTTGTCGTAATTCCAGCCGCCACATTCGTAGGTGTGCTGACGAAGCCACCTTATCTGTGCTGCCAGATCTGGGCGCTCGTCCAAGGTGCGGACGAACTTGGGGAAATGGGCATAGTCGGGAACATAGGCCAATACATGGTAGGTGATGGGCTGTGCGATCACGCGCAGCACTCTGCAGGTCTGGCTGAGTGCCAATAACGCCGACGGCACGTTTCCCCAGTTCAAATCTTTTGTATCTTGAGCATTCGAGGTGCAATGGGAGCAGAGGTTTTCGCAGATCATAGAGAGAATCTCGCGAGGGAAGTTTGACAAACCCCTCCGCGTAGATGTACCACCCTCGCTGTCTGCCATCGTGTTGGTGATGCGTTGAGAAAGTGTTAATCGTGATTCTCACCACCGTGAGCTGCAGGAGGATCTCACTAAGCCCCCTCACTCCACACTGTGTGTAGGATTCCTTAGCACTGCCCTGCTGTCTAGGACGAGAAAGGAAGCTTGAACGAGCTACTAATCGCTTGGCCTCAAAGAGTGCCAGTAGTCCATGCCAAGATTCCGAGCAGTTATTACCGGGACCAGTTTGTCTTCAAAGTCACTTGTTTTGGAAACTTTGAATAATGAGAGCTCCAGTAGGGCCAAGCACGTAAAGCAAGGCAGTCCGCCCCTGTAACCAAGCTTGAATTTTTCAAGTAGTGTGGAACTTCCTGAGAAGCTCTACAAGCTGGTGGATTCCGCCTACGGAAGTTCAATTTCGCAAGGTTGGCCCTTCATTCCTACCTGTCTAAGTTAGGAATGAAGTTTCTGCGATTGAAATCAAGGCTCTGATGGCCAAATAACATAGAAGATTAATTTCTTAGAGTCACCAATCATACGAAAGACCGGTGCATCAGAATTATGTAACTTTCATGCCAAAGCGTCAAATTGGGCGTCAGTAGTTGGATGCCCCAATGAAGTGGATTAACTGGATGAATGTAGAAGGCCAAAGTTGAATATCCCAGCCTCTACCTTTTTTTTTCATCTCCATCTCCCATCAATAGGTATCAAGCCGCCAAATCAAAAAGTAGAGGCTTGTCATTGCAATGAAATTTGGTTTTTTCCCCCTCTCGCTCCCCAGGAGGAAGGGGATCGAAAGGCGCTTTAGCCATTCGTGTATGTTGAAGACTATTCCCGTCGGTTTGTTCTGCCGAAGTGGATGACCGACATCATCTCACTAATAATTTGATCGTCGAAAGGGATTGAAGCGCGCGACTAATAAGGCGGGGACCTGAGGTAACATAGGACCGGTGACTCATTCGCCGGGAGGTTGAATGGCCAATGGTATGAGAGTTGTAGGTACTGATTGACACAGGATCTTTTGTCGTCCAATACCTGTGGTAACTGATAAGCGAGTGTTAGCATTGCATTACATTGAAACCTCGGCAAGTCTATACACATGTATATAATGGCATAGACTTCTTACTCAATCTCAGCATCACATTCTCTTCTTACTACATAGCTGTGGCAGACTTCTAACAAGACAGCAAAGCATCTCAAAATGGCTACACAGTCCCCCAATCATGGTAGCCGTGGTCGCTTTCGGGAAGTGTTTCCTGAAGTCCACCTTGGATTTTGGAAGCCCGGCCCCAAGAATGGGATCACGGATGTACCGGGAGTCCTCGCGCACACAGTGACAATCCACGAGGAAAATGGTCAAATCAATACAGGCGTGACAACAATTCTTCCACGGCGCGACTGGTTTCACAAAGCTTGCCATGCAGGGATGTTCCGTCTCAACGGCTCAGGAGAAATGACCGGAACCCACTGGATCGAAGAAACCGGGCTGCTACATTCGCCAATTCTCATTACGAATAGCTTCGCGGTCGGCCCATGTTACACCGGCATATACAAATATGCAATCAAGCACTACGGGCAAGGGAAGGAGGGTGTCGATTGGTTTCTCCTCCCTGTTGTCGCGGAAACGTTTGACGGCCATCTCAATGACTTGCGACACTTCCCTATCACTCCCGAACACATTGTCGAAAGCATCAGCCAGGCATCAGAAGACCCAGTACTTGAGGGGAATGTCGGCGGAGGAACAGCCACCATGTGCCAAGGGTTCAAAGGGGGCACCGGTACTAGCAGTCGAGTCGTGCCTGCAGAGGAGGACAAATCTTACACCGTTGCTGCCCTCGTGCAGACCAACTACGGCCGTCTTCATCATCTTCGAATCTCTGGGGTTCCTGTTGGGAGAATACTCCAACGAAAGGCTGAAGGGGACGCTGCAGCCACAGCCCATAACGAAGAGTATGATGATGCAAAGGACAGAAAGGATGGTTCAATCATCATCATTCTCGCGACTGATGCGCCTCTTCTCCCTGGCCAACTGCAGAGGCTGGCAAAACGCGCAACAATTGGTCTAGCGCGTGTGGGAGGATATGCGCACAATCCCTCTGGCGATCTATTTCTCGCCTTTTCGACTGCGAATGAAATACCCGTCCAGACTGTGACAGGCCAGCACCGATCGGTTGACCCATTCAAACCTCGGACCCTGAGCGTGGATTCAACGGACAACCAAACTATCAATGGGCTCTTTGAAGCTGTCGCCGACGCGACCGAGGAGGCAATCTACAATGCACTCTGTATGGCCCAGACAATGACCGGTAACATGGGACGTACGGTGGAAGCCATGCCATTAGATGCAGTGAAAGAAATCGTCGGAAAATTCAAAGAAGCTGAGGATTCGTGTTTTTAAACGTCGTCGGATCAACCAACATCACCATACACTATTTTTGTAATCTTTGGATTCCAGATGCTAGATCAAAAAGACCCAGGAATGGAATTATTAGCATGTTAGTGTATGTTCGTGAATAACCCAGATGAAGGTAATCAAACTTGGCCTGTCATTGAAGCGAATGGTGGAGTCAACCACTCTGCACCAGGGGCACATATGCGGAAGCAAAATCTTGTTGGTTCTATATTAACCAGTTATGCGATCCGGCCAGTCGGTAGATGACTGGCGAGGAAACTTGACAAAATTTCGACGATGTCCAAAGTGCCTAATAAATGAGAAGACCTTTTTGACATCTCAATACAATGGCCGGACACATGCTCATCTTCCTACTTCTTCTCAACACAATATCCTGACCAAATGAAGGATCATTCCACAATGAGTACGCTGTGTTTATTCTTACTGTAAGCATCAGGCTTTTCTGGCCGGGCCCATCATCTCGTAAGGTTTTGTGGTCAGCCTGGCCTGAAAAGGAAGTATATGGCGACAAAACGACATGATCACGACAGAAGAGGCAAGAACTGTTCCCTCCTCTTTGTGGATCAGATGCGTCAACACACCCAGTTTTCTTGTAAGATCCTATTTGAGATATTAGTTATAAGTCAGCTCAAGCAAGTTCTCAGGGGTCGGCTGAGGTTTGGCTAGGTTATAAGCCAGGCATCTCTCTCATCTACCTGATGCCTCTTCTATCTACTAACACCACCCTTACCTCATTACCAAGCATCGATATGTCTTTTAAGCCTACCATTGGTAAGTCATGTTCGGCATAAGTACAATTGCAGAAGAATAGAACGCAGACAACGGCTCTTTCAAACCTCATCTTCTAAATCTAATAATCTGTTTAGTGATTGTTCCTGGAGCATGGCAGATGCCTGCTGTCTGGACCAGCTTCCAGAAGAAGCTCAATGGCGCCGGGTACCCTACTGAATACGTCAAGTTAAAAACAGTTGGAGGCGAAGAGCTGCCCTTGGCTGGGCTGGAGGACGACGTCGCGGAAGTCCGCTCCGTTCTCGATAAGCTCTCCAGCGCAGGAAAGAGAGCTGTGCTACTCTGCCACTCTTATGGCGGCATTGTTGGCAGCAACTCGGTCGAGGGATCCAATGCTGTTGATGGAATGATTTTCCTCTCAGCCTTCTTGCTTCCGAAGGATAAGAGTCTGAAGGATATGCTGGGCGGTAATCCCCTGCCATGGATGATTATGCAGGTTCGTTAAATATACTAAACCGCACGACGCCAATTGCCAGAGCTAACCTTTGCACTCAAATTCCTAGGAGGACCGTGTAGTCGGGAATCCAGATCTGATGAACGAAATTATGTTCAATGATCTTGATCCTGAAGACCAGACCAGATGGGCTAAAGAGATGACTCATACCTCTGCCCAGCCTTTTGCTATTCCCTCTGGGTATGAGCCTTGGGCCAATGATATTCCTTGCAGTTACATTGCGTGCAGCAATGACAATGGTCTCCCTTACCCTCTTCAGCAGCAGCTATGGGAGCAGCTTGGATCCGAGCCCAAGGTAGTTACTCTAGAGACAGGCCATTGTCCTTTCCTGAGCGCCCCCGATGAATTGCTGGCTGCAATCAACGAGGTACTCGCATGACTGCATTGTCGTTGGATAGTAAACACTGAGTTTGAATATAGACCATATGGATGATGCAATTCTGAATCTGTGATAGTCACCGTCACTTACAATACTATAATGTTAAGCATAAGAGTCATGCCCAACGAGCAGACCATTTAATGTCTATTTATTAATGGTTATTCCCTTTCGTGACCCCTTCTTGGTCTGAGCCATATCACTGATATTCGATCTCACAATATATTAAGGCACATTGAGTCTTTCCATAACTCCACAACTTTTTCAGAGGATGCATGTAGTGTACACTATAGCTAACATTCGATCTAAATTCAAAGAGATGCTGCCAGTTTTCTAGTACAAAGCCTCTATTTTCCCAATCATTGCAGTGTGCAATATCATCCTGATTATTTCTCGGAATGGGCTAGCATATTGCATATGACATATCTACTTCATGGACATCTACCATTGGATGAAGCGCTTCTTGGAAGCCACAGCGCAAGTATCCTCACATCCAGTGCATGCTGATCCGGCTTCCTTGGTGCTACCGCCAGAGTAGACCTCAGGGCCAGGCACAACATAATCGCTCAACTGAGCCCAGATGTTGACCAAAATACCGGGGTCGGAGGCGGAGTATGCACCTGGGAAGTTGACAGTCGCGGGCGATGCGCTGCCTCCGCCAGTAACCGTCAACTGGTAGCAAGTAACGTAGGGCTGGGCGCCGTTCTGGCCCGAAGCGCTGTGCAGGGCGATAACTTCGGCACGAAGGAGATAGTCGCCGGCGGGGATATCCGCTGGGATCTTGACGTCCATCTTGCCGCAACACTTGTTGAGGTCCTTGACACCCCAGTAGTCGTCGCCGCCTTGAGAGCTCGTCGACGCCTTCTTCCATCCGTCCTGGAACACCTTGAACCAGCCAGTTGAGCCGTCAGCTGTAGAGGCGTCGTCGACCTTGGACATGTATACCATGACGGGACCATAGTGGTTTCCGCCGATAGCCTCGTTGCTGCAGCTTCGGTCGCCGGGTTGCTAAGAATAACGGTCAGACTGGCTGATCTTGTATAACTAGAAGGAAATTTCGGATAATATAGTGTGGTTAACTAACCTGGTGCATCTCCACGGTAACCGTCTCTCCGGCAGCAACGCTGCACTTGCTAGCTGCGGGCGAAGTGCCAGCATTGCATCGAATGTCATTACTCTCAACGCTGGCGATAGGGCTGTTGCTGAGGGGGAGACGAGCACAAGTCGAGCCGTACTTTTGTAGTTAGCTTAAAGAGTTCATTCCATTCGAAAAGGGTGACATATCTTATCCACACCGTTCACCCAAAGCTGCTGGAAGGTGGCATGGGCGGCAACCTGCTTGGCGGCCAGCGCCGTGAGAGCGGCGATCAACGTCGATTTCATGATGAAGGGAAATTGGCTTTCGTTTTCCGTGCCTGACGGAGCGTAGAAGATCTGAATGGGATGTGGTTTTGGGCTAGAATCAAACCTATTGGCAGGTAGGGTGTTCGTGAGGTTTTATATTCTCCCTTTCGCATTGTTCATCTCCAAAAAGGGCAACGGAGGTTGTTGAGGATATGCGGCCCGGGTTACACGTTCTACAGACCTGCAACATGACACAGGGTCTTCCAAGGATTCCTCTGTTTCTAAATCCTTGCCCGTCGCCAAACTCACCAGTTGAATGGCCGGAGAATAGTAAATCTCCGCATTGGGTTTCGGTAGGGATGCTCCGTGTTTGAGAACATCTCCACAAAACCTAACAAATGGCATGGATCAGAAATTCTCTGACGGCTCGTGGGATAATCTTACCGTGCCGATCAATGATATTTGTGATAGGGGTATACATGTATCTGATACAGGGGCGCTTCCAAGGCGGATTAGGCGGGTAGCCACACATGACATGATATCATCTGGATTCAGTTTTCAGCGTAATGTATATGAAACGGTATGATCTTATCCAAATGCGGCTCAAGTTCTTCCCCGAACCATTCTCTAAGCCTCTCGAACAGAAAGGTTAGGCCACTCAGAGCCAATGTTTATCTCCATGGTGGGACAGGAAAGATCCCCCAAACCCGTCTTCAATTGAGGCCTTCTCGATAACAGCCAGCATGTCCCTGACTGAATCTTCTGGCTGGGCGGGCCCCTTCCACTCAGGGTATGCCCGTAAAAATCCGGCAGCCATGGCTCCAAGTTTTTGCAATTGCTCTGGGGTAGCTATCGAAATTTGTTAGCCACATCTGACAATGGAAAGGGGGCGCGAACTCGTACCATCGGCTGTGGACCCAACATCCACCACGCCAGGACTGAGACTGAAGAAAAGGATACCGTCTTTCTTGTACTGGGCGCTGAACTTGGCCACGGCAATATTCATCCCCGCTTTGCTGATCGAATAGAGAGCGGCCGGCTCGATGTCAATCTGATTGATCGAGTCCAGGTCCGCATGGCCAGTCGTAAGTGCTATGACCTTCTTCGCCTGGCCCTTGAGGAGAAGAGGTATATAAAGCTTGAAGAGGTTGATGTTTCCAACGATATTGACGGTGGTGATGTTGATCATCTGCTTCTCGAGCTCCTTGGGATTTTCCGCCCTGTTGATCTCTTAGTCAATACAATTGTCTTTAGTGCCTGTGCCCACTATGAATAGACTCACAAGACTCCGATAGGGTCGTAGGCATCCCACTTTGAGACGTTTGCAGCGTTCGCAATCAGGTAGTCAAGACTTCCTCCAGTGATTTCCGAGGTGGCTGCCACAGCGTTCTATTGAAAGATGTCAACAAGGTGTGCTAATCTCGCGAAGCGATAAAAACGTCTCACCTTGATAGCATCGTAGTCAGAGATATCGGCTTGCAGGATGTTAATATTGGCCCTCCCAGCCAGTTCATCGGACACCTTTTTGTCGGTTGCCTTCTTATCACGGACAAGTCCAATAACTTGATTGTTTGGGTTGGCGGAGATTTGGCGGAGGAACTCCCACTGTGATCAACTTCAGTCAGTAATTCAAAACTTGGAATTGACACAAGACTTTAGGATCTCTTACTCCGAGTCCTCGAGAAACACCGGTGATAACGTAAGAAGGCATTGGGTGTGATTTGGTGGTTGGTTTGGTAGGCTGATGTGCTCAGTGTGAATAGAATGTAAGTACTTTAGCTCGCAGAAGAAGAGAAAAATCCAAGACTTTTATACTCTTGTGAACTCTTACATGCCCTGAATCCACGGCCTTCCAAGGCTGATTGGAAATGACATTTGTTACCGTATAGCACCGGCCTTATCGAGTGAGGACCACAAATGCAACCTTGAGGACCGGCTTGTGTGGATCGTCTTTGCCATTTCTGGATATTTCTGTCATCTATTGTGGGGGACAACCTCGCACCAGCCCTCCAACCCCATCTGATTATACAGCACTGGCTGGTTCGAAAGCGGCGAATTCTGTAAAGGGAATTGGATGTCAGCGATATTGGGATTCTGATGCAATTGATGATAAATTCGAACCCGATGCTTTGACTCATAATGGTATCATAATTTGTCCTTGCGTGGACAGTGGACCTAGTGAAAGATTGAAATCTAGTTGCAAAACTTGAAGCTCGCCCTTTGCACTCCTTGACTGATTGAGACGGAAATAGTCATAAGAAATATCAGCACTTCTTTATCAAGATCGTAAACAAAGCAGAGACAAAGAATATTACGACTAACTCGCATTATGTGTACACCAATATGGTATATACATATCCGTTTATGGTTGGACAATCGTGAGATTACAGTGAAATGCAAGAATTTTAAAATTCAAAATCTAGTAGTTTGGGTATCTCAAATCGTGGTTCTAATCATACACATAGAGCGCAACCAAGATGAAATTTGGTTGCTCTTCCGCGGCCATTGGCGGACAACTATGGGCTTGCTGTCGGCTCATATTGGGAGGCTTCTCTCAGGTGCTCGGGCGTGCCAAGGGATTTCATCTCGGAGCTGTAAAATCGCTTGTGCGCAACTTTATGATCACAATTCGTACAGTAATGACTGATGTGATTGCTCCATCGACCGACATATGGCGCTGCCGCTCCAACAACAGTCGTTACGAATAATGTCGTCGCCGTGACACTGGAAATTTGTCCCTCGGTCAGTCAAAATCATTATTTGATAAGATCGATGATAGGGAACTCACTGGGTAACAACAGACGGGTGTTTCTTGACCCGAGTTTCTGTGCGGCGCCTGCAAAAGGGACAATCAATCATGTCAGATTGATCACCAAGTAGGTGCAATGGTGTCACGGTGGGTTGTTCTTCACCCAACGAGGAGTCCGAAAGAGGGCTGATTATCCTCCTCTGAGGGAACGTTGAGATATCTGAAGGGCTAGGCGATCCGGACAATGACGATCCGTCAAACACCTCTTTGTTGGTCGAAATGTCATCTCTGCCAAATTGTCGTCGAGCCTCCGCTGTGGCCAGCTCAGGCAAAGTGGTGCGGTCGACGTTCCTAGAATTCGTAGTGGATTTTGGGCGAGCGGGCATCCGGATATCGTCCGGAGTTTCATACGTTTTGGGCTTTCTCTCATCATTTGTCGCGATCGTAATCGCAGGTTCGTTGCCAGCGGTCGGCGTGTAGGCAGGTGGTTGAGGCTCAGGCTCAATAACCATCATACGGCCTGTCGTTGGGTCAAGAAATTGGGTGGTCATGGCGGCCTGATTTGTTTATTTCTTTCAGCTTTTGAGACAACTTACTCAAACAGTAGTAGAGAAAAGGGTCGGGAAGAACTTCACATTCGTTTATGCGAGAGCAGGAGGGAGGGTGCCTATATATTGCGTCGTGTCTATCCCTGATCGTCCCCTTCCATCCACATTCCATCTCGCCAGCTTGCTCCCTCGCTGCTGAGCACCACTAAATCAAGCTGACGGGGCACCACAATGAGCTACCCCATGTCGATGTGACAGCCGTACCGAGGAGCTTCATTGGCGCGCTCGCCTCTGTGCCCCCCTTTCCGTGGCAGGGTTCCATTGGATCTTTCCACACTTGTCTTCTTTGGGTGTGTTTGAGCGCGACGATCCACGTCATTTGCTCAGGCGCAGCAACAGGGCGGGTCTTTGAAGCACCGGCAGTGCATCTGATAATTCAACAAATGCAGTAATGGGCCCGACTTTGCTCAGCACGAGCACCGCCTCAAATAACTCGTCCAGATGCTTATTAATTTGGCCAGGAGTACTAGTGAAAATTGAGGCTTTCCTAAAAAGCTGTTAGCAGCTCGAGCCAACCTGCCATTGAATACAGTATACTCCATTCTGATGAGGGTCTAGCCAATGAACCGTTTACATCGTATCATTTACACTATGGACCAGGTCAAATTCGTGTTGTTTACGTCCAGCCTGTACCTCACAATGGACTGGGCTGTTTTGTATCGAGAGGACGGATAGCCCTGAGTCTCCGAAGCTAAAGGTCACCAATTATCGTCTGATTGACATTGACCATGAAATTCTAAGAGAAACATCCCTAGCTGTTATCTAGATGTCAAACGTAGAGAGAGTATACACCTAATGTGGGCTAACGGTGGGTTTAGTATAGCGTCGTTCAATACAGGATTCTCTCAGCGTCACAGGTCTATGTCACGGCAATTACGATTATTTACCAATAAATATCAAAAGCCAACATATAGATCATATGAGAGTTTTTTGCAATACATATGATTCAATATTCTCATTATCAAGTTTTACACTCTTTCCATGAGATTCATGAGATACTCATGGTAAATGTGAAGAGGTAGTAGACATGGCAGTACCGTCACACCCTGAAGCTCTAGGGTAGATGCGATTGCCTAGACCCAAATTTTGGTCATGAGATTCGAGTAATTATTTGAAATACAGGATTTGTTTTGTGATTACGCCTTGCCCTTCTTCTTGAGCTGCTCCTGCTCCTCGGCTTGCAACTCGGCGTCAATCTTGGCGCCTTTGGATGGCTCATTGCCGTGCATGGTTGCCTATCGAGGTCAGATTCTATCACGCAGCGGAATATCAAACCGGGTCACACCTACAGGCAATGTGGGGTCCTTTTTGGACAACTTCGTTTCCACATCTTCCTCTGGCTCTCCCTGGCGCTATGATAACTGTGAGTGCTCGTTTGATGAGATACAGGTTCATAGCATCATAGCACATACCTCTGCAGCCGCTAGTCTGTTGGCAATAGATCGCTCATCCTCTGTGACGTGGTCAATATCATAACCTCATATGCGTATTCAATAGGGTCCTCAAATCGAACTCACTGGAATCCAAGGTGTTGTGGGAGTTCTCCTTCCCCTCATTGTATGGATCTGACTTGTTGATTTCTGACTGCTTGTAGTTGCGCTGATCCCCGGCCTCGTAGACTGAGGCCTGTCCGACAGAAGAGTATCCAGACATGTTAATTAATGTGATGTGTTTCTCAATTAAAATTCGAGGGTTTCGTTGTGAATTAGAAGGAAACGACGTTCGAATTCATAACGCCGCATTTTTATATCTCATCGTTTTGCTCATTGTAAAGTCTCCACCAAACCACCATGTACGACGTCATTTTGTCGAAGACGTCATAGAAAATTCCATCTTTCCTGTAAAATCAATCGTGCTAGTCATCGATCGGCAATTAATTCTGATACAGAGATACTTCTAGAACATTTTTTTCGAAGTCAAGCTTTGCACCGGGGGTAAATTGAGTTCGGCAACGCATGCGTCGAATGTTAGACACAACTAAGCTACCACATATTCTTTTGGCTAAATACAATCGGATCGGCATCCTACCTAGCATGTGTTTATGCCAAATCTGAGATCTGAAATTTTGGAAGCTAATTGGAGAAATTGAAACATCCAAGACTTAGTCACGCTTCTTCCTCTTCACTCTAATCTTAGCATCCAAAGGCGGAATGCCGAACCCACTGAACCAGCTGTTAGGTGGCCGCTTGCCTCCATACTGCTCCGGAAACTCCAGATCGTAATTCTTGACAGCGTAGGCCATGATCATCTTGAGCTCAAAGTCGACGAGGAATCTTCCCGGACACGCGTGTCTTCCGTGGCTGAAGGGCAGGTATTTCGCCGACGTCGATACCAGGCTGAGGTGATTCAAGCCAGGGTGTCCCGTCATTTCATCCGCGGCTGCCTCACGCTCGCGGGAGAATCTGAACGGGTCGAACTTGAGCGGATCCTTGAAGTAGTCCTCATCGGTCTGGGACTGGTGGGCAAGGATGGACACCATTGTCCCACGCTGCAGCTGAATGCCATCAGGGGTCGTGATGCCGCTAGGCGCAACTACCAGGCGCTGGACTGTTCGGCCGATGAAGGAGTTGACACGAAGGGTTTCCCGAGCTACACTGTCGGCCCGCACCATGGCAGATACTTTGGATTTGGTCCACTGTTTTGAAGTAGTATCGTTCCCTTGTCCCAGAACACGCGTTACTTCATCTCGCAGGATGGAGACAGTATCAAACTCAGTGTCCGAGTCGATGATATTGAGGACGAGGTTGTGAAGGGTAATGATTGTCTGGTGCATGGTACCGAAGTTTGAAAGCGCAAGCCGCTTTGCGATGTCATCCAGGCTGTTGGCCTCCTTTGGGCGTTCATTGACGGCGTACTGAAGCATCATTTCGATCAAATCTTGTGGCTTGGAATCCTTCTCAGTCAGCTGGTCTCTCAAAATATTCATCCGTTCCTGATACAGGGGCTCGATGCGCTTCGCAAGATCTCGGAGCTTTCCTGTCATGGCTCTGCTTGCCCAGGGGCCAAGGAAAGGTCTGAATATTTTGAGAGACGAAGCCATCGCTCCAGCGGTATCAAGCATACCATCCAAGACATCATAACAGCTCTGGACGAACCCGTCATCAGCACCTAGTGAAATATCCCATTAGTCTGATGTACTAGGATCTACCATCTGATGCCGTTACTCACAGAGGCGTCTTCCCTCGGGGGAATCTCCCAGGGTAAAACGTAAAGTTGCGCGGCCCCCGATAATCCGGCACGCAGGGAAAAGATCAACCTCTTTCCAAATATCGCAGTCGTCTCCAAAGCATGCACTAAATGCAGCGCTCAGCTCATCATTCAAAACAGCGCATACGGTCTCAATCGCGCTGTTTAGATCGGTCTTGATTAACATGCCACCCCATGGATCATACGCAAACTTGTTACCCAGGCTATGGTGGGGTTGGATCGAATCTATCTGTGCATCGAGAGAGCTCAACACATTGTCTGGCTGTCGGCAGAGCCATGCTAATGAGCTTGGTGGTAGAATGACTTCATCGTGGGGACCGAACACGGGGATAAGCACTGATTTTCCTTTCTTCGAGTACTAAGTGCATCATTGAGTTAGCATATGTGCCAATGTAATTATCATTCAACTTACGTTTTCATACACATCGTTCAAGAAGGACAAGCAGTCAGTGTTGAACTGTTTTCTCATCGTAATCCATGTGCTTCCCTTGTCTGCTCCTACTCGAGGCAGGTTGGATGGGTAGTATATAACGAAGAACACATGATATGTTAAGACGAGAATAGCAATAGCCAGAGAGAATAACCCAAAAAGCTGTTGAAAAAGACCTATAGTGGTCAAATAATCCAATATGTTGCCCATTGTAAGGTGAGTCTTTTGTGATTCAACCTAGATCTGGCACGCATCAACAGAACGAGGGAAGAATATCAGCAAATTTAAAGGGAAAAATCATGGGTAACACGGGATTTATAATAATCTGCATTACATATTTCGCAACATAGAAGAGGGATTTTCATCGCCCTAAGTGCCTGGACTACCATGCCCACGACACTCCGTTCACTGACGATCTGATAACTTCAGTCGTTCTCGTCTTTACTCTTTGCGGCTTAGATGCATCAGATAACTAGACCCCGACATAAGACCGCCCCCGCCGGCAGTTGGCCGTGCCGCCTCATCTCCGGGAGGGATGGGATGCCTCCGCCCTCCCACATCACGACGTTCAGGACGGTCTAAAGAGAAGGCAAAATAGGAAACGTTCACCACAGTATCAGTGAATAATATCCATGAATAATAGATACAACATGGAATTTGAACTCATCTCCGTTCAAAGAAAAGCACAATCTTCATCATGATTCTCATCACTCCCATCACAGGTAGCGGGCTGTAACCATGCTCCTCGCGCTGGGACCACAACTCGGAAGTACGGCATCTTTATCTACCTACTACGAAAGAGATCGCTTCAGCTGCAGCCAATCCCCAACGGGAAAAAGACATCATGAAGCTCCACCGCGTCAAATTTGCATTTTTTAGATTTGTAACTGTCTCCATGGAGGATCTCGGGAGTTTCTGGTGGGTAATAACTTAACACTCTCTGGTAAAACCCGTCAGTCCTCAGCAAGTTGTCGTAAGCCGTCCCCACTTGAAGTTTCGGCACTTGTCCTCATACTTCTTTAACCATGCCAGTACAATCATCCCGTCAACTAGCTGATGCTTGTATGACCGCTAAGTTTCTGGCGTCCCCATCCAGGAGACTGTCGTGGCGGCTAGTGAGAGGGCGTGATCCAATCCGGTGCAACTCAAATGGTTATCAGATTATCAGATGTTACGTCGTATGTGGCACCCCAAGTATATAAATGCGCGCAATTGGGTCAAACTGTAATGGCCAGTAGGAGCATGTTTCACGGCTAGAATCTGATTGGAATACATTTAACACCTGTCTGGTTCTAGTTATATCCGTCGTGCTCCTAACTAGTTGGTCGAAATGTCTCACAAGACCAAATATCATATTCCAATGAGAGGCACGAATATAGTCAGCCACATAACAGACATAATCTGCAATCAAATCAGGGTCAGAATAACCAAAATTATGCCATATGTTAGAGGGTGTCCATCTCATTCATCAAGAGGCGCCTGGATGGCCCCGCGGCTCTCGCCGCCACATCCTTGGAGGTTCCATAAGCCTCAAAGCTTAGCATCGTCCAGATTGTTGTATTCTGAGTGGAGAATCATCCACCCAGCATACCACAACGATGCGTGCTAGTCTACTGCTTTCAATTTTTGGTATATCCTCCGATGTGAAAAGCTTAGCTCTACAGTTCTCCTGTCTCCTGTCCCCCTTGCGGGGCACTAGCTCACCTCGCGTTACCGAAAGAGTACTGAAATCCGAACATTTAGGTATACGGGGTATAGAACATGTCTCGCACGAACAGTGATTGGTAAACAGCTGTTTTCTAGCCCTGTCTTAGTCTAATGATCGCTGTCAAATTTCGATCAGAACGTACGTAACTGGGCGACTGCCCACATGGCGAAGAGAGGTCATTTGGGACAGGAAACACATGTGGCCAACGAGGATCCCCGGATTGATTCCATATCATAATTGCTGAAACATCATAAATGATCGTCATCAGGCGCGGTAGCTTGATACGTAATGGGCTGGTCTTATAGCCTGAGCCCTCCATCCGGAGCCATGAGAAATCTGTTGTGTGACGAAAACTGAGGGATTAATGGAGAGCATGCATAAATTCTTACTAGACCGCCTGGGAATTTATCCATTTTGCTTTTCAAGGTCATAACGCCAGTCAGGCCCATCGGTGGTGATCAACTTGCTTTGAGCCCAAAGTGCCGCCGCACAGCTGAGAACACAGCTAATTAATGACGATATTTTCGTCCAGAGACAAAATGAAATGGATGGTGACATGGGTAGATGCAATAAACACTCGAGCATATACTTTCTGACACGCTTGAATTGACAGTGGGAATGCCAAAGGCAATTTGAGCTTAAGCCTTTAGTGAGTACCTATGGACAGCTAGTTATGGTAGTCCAAATTTACGCTCTTGAAACGGACTCGAGTCTGGCCTCCGTGGTCTTCTCGTACCGCTCCATTGTGCTTTCATCCACCGCCTCATGGAACACATCAATCTCTGTCGACGCAAACTTCCTGGCACTGATGTGCTTCTCAAATAGCAGATCCAGTTCGGCAAAAGTTCGTCCATTAGGTTCGGGTACGCGGAAATAAGTGTAAATAATGCAGAGGAAGCAGATGCCGGCCTAGATAAGATGTTAACAACACAACCCTGAGTCCATGTAGCAAGCGGAAGCTGTGGAAAAGACAACGTACCCAGAAAAATCCGGTAAAGTTCTGCCAGTTCCATGCGGTGGGGTTGAGCATGTAGGGCGTCAAAACAGCGTTGATAATTCCCACAACATTGCTGTTATTGTGTCAGCTTGATGTACCATCGGGCCAATTCCAAAGGCGAGTTGTGACTTACTAGAGATTGCGACCAAGAACGACAGTCTTGATCTGAAGGCGGCGCGAAGATAGCTCTCCCACCAAGGAGTAGCAGACTGTTCCGACAGTACATTGATAAAAGAAAGCCCAGACGATCATCAAGGAGCCGGTAGCAATTGAGGTTTGGTCACGCTTAGAACCCGGCGCCAGGCCCAAGAAACCCATCACAAGAAGAATAGTGAACAAGGCACTGAGACCGATGAGGTACAGAGTTCTCCTACCAACTCCCCGAGCCATGAGACCCCAGGCGATGAAAACACAGACCATGTTCATGGCATACTGTCCAAGGGCAAATGAGTATGAGTCATCAGTGTCCAGTCCGGCAGCCTTCAAGAAGTACGTGGAATAGTTTGAGAAGCTGTTGCCACTCAAATTCTGAATAGCCCAGACCATGCAAACGACTTCAGTACGGCGAAGATCAACGCCCTTGAAGCAGTCCAGATAGGAAGCTCCCGTTGTAATCTTCTCTTCGAGAGCGGTGGTGTGCACCATCATGGCAATAGTCTCGTCGGCATCGAAATCGGTCTCCCTGTCCAGGCTTGTGAGACGGAGGAGGGATTTCTTGGCATCTTCAGTGCGGCCCTTTCGCACGAGCCACCAAGGGGACTCGGGTGCAAGGTAGATTCCAATGATGAGAGGAAGGGGCCAGATCCATTGGAGGGCATACGGGATGCGGAAGGCATACTCGTCTTCCCTGTTGATCATGGCCTTGATGATGCCAATACCGAGTTCCTGGCCCACGCCCCAACAGAAGTTGACATACGTCGTGAGGTAACCACGGAGGGCGACGGGGCAAACTTCGGACGCATATGATACCGTGACAGTCTGGAAGACACCCCACGGAAGTCCGCATAGAATCTCAGCAGCGAGCAGTGTTTGCACGTTTTGAGCTGTGAAGAAAATGGCAACCGTTCCAGCTAACCAGGTAAGTGAGATGATGCAAGTCCATCGGTATCCAAGCTTATCAGAAGCCCAACCGTTGAGGAAGAGACCAATGATAGAGCCAACAGCGGCACCCTTGTTGCACAAACATGTTAGTTACATAGCAGCGATAAATCAGTAGAATTATTTCCACACTCACGTTGCTCAGACCTGCCTGCCAGTGTGCAGGGATCTCATAGCCGCCCTTCCCGTCAGGCTCACCAAATTTCTTGTTGAACTGAGGAAACGCGTCTTCAGGGTTGGTCAGTATAGGTATATGCGACAATGTTCTGCCATAGCTACATACAGAAGTTGTTGACGAGACTCATGTCAAAGCCTTCCATGATAATGCAAGTGGAAATCAGGAGACTCCAACCGATAGCCTTTGGATACAAGCGGATGCCCTGCATCAGGGTCATCTGCCGCTCTTTTTCGGATGCAAGACGGGCGTTTACAACCACATCCGCATGAGCCTTGCTAGGGTCTGATGCATGCTCTGCTTGCTGCAGAGCAGGCTCGACGACGTACTTCTCGTCGGAGGCAGCCATGATTGACGATGTGAACCCGTGAGCTTGTAGAACGTTGGAGAATGAAGTGAAACAAGGTGCTGAGATGTGGGATGAATTATCTGGGGAAATGGTGAGATATGACGAGAATTATATAGTTGTTTGAGCAGCGGTCCACAACGATAACCGAAGCTCTGGGGACCCCAGAGCACGCCCCCAGACTCTGCCGCTCACGCATGTGGGTGTGGATGAATATGGACGGATGTGGACAAATGGGGGATACAGCGCCGGCAAACGTTGGGCAGAACCACGTTTTCCAGGACGATACCTCCCGTATTTGGGGGGCTAGAGCACGATTTGGAGGGACAAACGCTCAATGGAGGAAACCTCGGCGGAGCGAGCCATTCATCAACGAGCAAAAGGGTGCTTCCGACTGAATGACCGGGGGGGAGTGACAGACTAGAGTGTTTGGGTAGGTAAGCCAAGCTCCGCGGGAGCGTACTTCTCAACCGCATAAAACCAGAGCGGCATCTGCCTGTCACTCAGATCGAGATTTCTCGTGGAATTCTAGAAGCCGGCGGGTTCAAGTTCAAGTTTGTTATATCTCATCAACATAGTATGTGCTCCCATTCCACCCTTTCTCCCATCTCAAACCTGAAGAATGAAGGCACCGGGCACACACCACAGAGGACACACAGCGAGTCAGGTGCCAACAGAGCAGGAAGAGCCCAGATGAACAACTCCTAGCGTGTCTTGGTCGTGAGGGGTTTTCGGAGTTTAGCTGCTTTGGTCGGGTCTTTTGTGGAGTTCCTCCTAACCGAAGAGCATCTCAGCCAATGAAAGGTGTTGTGATGATGACTCCAAATCTCCTCCACAGCGGAGGCCTCGACTCCAAGGTGGAGAAGCTTCTACCTAGCACGTAATTGCCACTGAGCACGAGCCAGGTCGTCCTTATCCTCGGCAATCTCGATCAGAATCAAGCGAGTGCTAGACGGGAGAGTTATGCGAGGCGAGGGGGGATGATGGGTATATGTATTATCTATTCCTTTGAAATGCCGTATCCGATTGCCCTCACTTTATAGACGCGTATGTACGTATTCTCATGAAGAGCGGCCAAACTCGGTGGACGAAGGCGCTCAAGTTCCAAGCCGCCGGCGGTGAACTACCGTATGACTCGTCGGCACAGCTAACCAAAATAGAATAATCCTCAAGCCTATTGGCCAAAGCCGGGGCATGAGGCGCATTAATCATCATTGCAATGCCGTAATAGAACTCAGACTCACTCATTATTGCCTACAGCGACTCCACCGAAGGGCGAGTACACAGGAGCCCTTGGGTGTTCTCTAATGTTGTCGCAACGAGTAGTGTGCCGTAGAGGGAATTCTTGAATGGTCATGGGAAGTAATAGCATCATTTTATTTCGGCAATCTGACGCCCAGACCGTAAATTCCAATTAAAAGAGCCCCAAAGAATACTACCAAACATCCTCCTCCTGAACAATCCCATTGAGGCACATCCACATTCACATTCAACATGAAGGCTACTTATATATTGCTTGTCGTATTTAGGAGTTGCACTTTCAGAGCTTTTACCCTGTAGCTCATTTCATATTGAGGCAACCAAAAGTCCTCCGTCGTGACTTTAGTCTTTGAATAAACATTTGTTTATGGACCAATACTTGCTCGGCTTAGTTATTCTTTCTTGTTGCCTAGACATAAATTTAGAAATCGAGTTACGTATATACTAGTAACAAGATGAAACTATGAAGCTTAGAATACGACAAGGGAGAGAAAACAACGAACAGGTGTCTTGAAGACAGATCGTATCAAGTCTTGAAGGTATTGAAAGCGTTTTTCAAACTAGATACTAAATGGCTCACCCAACTCAGCGAATACAAGCCAAAGCAGCTTCCAATTTCATCTAAAGCACAGATTGATAGACGTCTGTTATTAGACTAATTAAATATTGTTTCATTCCCTAGAATTTCACTGTTTTATGGCTTCTTTGACCTTTCGCTCTAGGGTAGCCCCTTACACTATATCCAATCTCGGAGAATGACGCCGGTTCTAGAGAAATTTGACCTGTGGGCCATCTGAAATTGGATGTTGCCGGCGCTGTCAGAACGCGTTCTTGAGCTGAGCCGAGCACGCTAAAACACGTCACGCATGTCTCGGACCCCTGAGATGGCTTCTCTCGTCATCCCTTTTTCAAGAGACAACGCCCGCCCTGAGCTTCGAGCTTATCCACTAACGAGAATGTCCGGGTAGGCAGCTTCTGCGGGCCGTAAGCATCGAGTGCTTCCGATTTCCTCGGCAATCGCCAACATCCCGGCCGGACTTGCAACCAATTATACAAGGTAGCTGGTTCATCAGACCTTGGCACTCGCCACGGGGGTATCCCTCCCCTTCCTGATGATGAGGTATTTGGTGCCCCAGAACATTAAAGCCAGCAATATAGCCACTGCACTGGTCCATGTGAGACCAAGGAACTTATGGCCGCCCTGGACCTCAACACCAATATGCCTGGTTAGGAGATTCATCCTATCGATGCCCTTCGTCGTCATCACTGTAGCAATTATGCTTGCCGCAACTAGAACACTAGCAGCGATGAGGCTGATAGACACTGCTGATAAGACCACCTTCTTGTGTTCTGGCTTGGCGAAGGCGGCCAAACAAATGAGAATGCTGAGTCCGCAAAAGGTTATCCCCAGCACGTAGAGGACGAAAAATCCAAGAAGGGCCTCGTTAAGACTATCAAGGTTGGCTTGGATATCATCAGTCCAACCCAAGTCAGGCAGCTTGATATCGAAGGGCCCCAGACTGAGCTGGTTGTTGATGATGGTTTCGAGATCCAGACGGTCTAGTCAACCGATTAGCGTTGTATATTTCCTTGGGAAAGAGGGGAAGGAAACTTGCACCCGGCCTTTGAGTCAGAGCAATTTGTTGTTTGGAGTGACGCCGACTTGACGGTCCCATTCGGTTGGAAGCTGCCTTCACACCCATTCATCACATGAACTGAGTACCAATCCGAGATGCCGAGTTTGTCAGCCACCTCGTCGACGGCGCCGCCAATGAGGTCGTTGAGTTTATCAATTATCGCATGCTTCGCATCATCCCATAGATCTTTAATGATATCAAGAAAACCACCACTGTCGTTATTTTTTCCATCAGTGTCGCTGGCCTTGATAAGATCGTAACCAATTCGAGAGACGTTGACCTAGGCGAGGTAATTAACTATGATTAGTAGCCAAGAAGAGGACAGATAAAATAGAGGAAAGGAGAAGGCTTGCCCTGTAGGCCTTTGCACTCACCCTCGCAAGCGCGTACTCCTCCATGAAGCCTTCCTTGTGGCCAGCAGACAGTGAAAGAGCCGCAAGGATCAATCCTATTGCGCTCAGAACCAGAGGGATGATGACCGTTAACCTTGCAAGTAGAGCCATTTTGAGTAAAAAGAAATGATCGCGTGATTTTCTTTCAGCAGGGAAATGTAAACAGGAGCTACGACACAGCGGGGTAATGCCAGGTGAGCTTCTTTTACCTTTCGGTGTGCGTGGCAGGTTCAAAATGCTTAAGTTTATCTCTAAGCTCAGCCTGCGCCAGCACAGCGCGGTCTGGCTTTCACTGGACAGTCCACGCTGGAAAGGGGCAAGGAACTTTGTTGAGGAAGACTGGTCAAACAGTAAGAAGCGACGAAAGAGCGGTGGAATTGACAGGAGGAACATTACAAACCTGGTCTCTGATATTCTGGCATGACGGAAAGTGTCTCAAAGCACTACATACTGCCTGTATTAAGCCAACGGTGATTGGCGCTTCAAGCCCTGGCGAAGTGTTTTAGAAGGGCGCAATTCGGCTCGATTAGTTTGGGAAATCCATCAACCGTTGGACGTGCATTGAATTGATACGTGGGCAACAAACAGCATTGACCAGTGATTAGGGCCGCCCCTGCAAGCATGATGTGTGTTCCATTCCGGTTTATGCATGCGACTTTGACACACCTGAATCACATGCTTGCCACACATTCCAGATCATGCTTTTCTAGACAGCTGTAACTTCCAACATTTGGCCGATTGGAGTCCAGTTGCTTCTCCAATGATCATGGGGCCATTTTTATACTAGCTATGGCTTCGAATGCATGCATATTATAGGTGCTGTAGCCTTGGGTAAAGACTGTGGGCTCTACTTCAACAAGCAGACGGTTTCGCTCTTGCGTCATCGAAGGCGATCGTACTCAAAAAAAAAATCCACACTTATGTCTTCGATGTATATTGAGTTGTCTCACAACATCTTTCTGGCATTGAAACAGCCTCGGTGAAATGTTTTGCAGCATAACTCTTATGTTATACTAATACATAGAAGAGATTGAAGTGCTTGGATGTTGGCTCTTATATGGGAATCCAGTATTTCGGACGTAGTGGCTTGCTAATAGCATGTGCATCTTCTGACGTAGCATCTCTCTCCTGCACACGATGTTTGGATTGCATGCATATAGAATCGCGCTTACTGAACATGAACAAATCAGGTATATTCTTAAAAGGATGTAAATGCCGCGCTGAGTACATAATTCTAGAAATGAATAACCATTGAAATAACCATGCGGTCGCCCTCAGCGACTTCGTGTACAGTTGGGCTTCAGTCATGAGAACGAGCTGTGTCTATATCCCTCCTATACCTTTGAAAATGGCCTTTGCAACTTGATTCTCCGCCTCTTCGTGCTTGGTCCTAAGAAAAGCCATTATCGCGAAAGTCGTAAAATCATTTCCCAATTCACCCGAAAGCACCGGGCCTTTGAATTCGAAGCGCCCGATAAGCTTTTTGTTTGATGTTAACGACAAACCACTACTCATTGAGTCCTCCTCAGCCGCGACCGTAGCAGCCACGATGCCAGATGATTTCCCAACAAGCTGCAGGCTCTTTTCCTTGCCTGTTAGTTTCTGGTTTAATTTGTCAGTGAGCTTGTCCCCGATGGACTTTGAGGTACTGGTCCAGCTCCACGACTCCATACTCCCTCTGTAGGGGAACCGGAAATTGCCCTTATACTCGGTCTCATGACCATTTGGTAGTTTGATCTGGTATTTGGAACCCATCGCGCCCTTCATCTTGAGTTCGCCGAGATGTTCACCGTTGTGCTTGAAATTGTCGCGGCGAAGAGTAATCTTTCCACTAGACATGCTTAACTTGCCCGAAAATAAGGGCTCTCCCTTGGGCTCCATTCCGAATTCGACAAAGGTGCCCATATTGGAGTCTGAATTCCACCATGTGGACATACTAGCAGGGAAAATCATCGATGAAGATGTAGGGCGTGAATTTGATTGACTGTGCCAAGATGACGCAGAGTTTGGTCGTTGTTGTAAATGCTGTTGGTTCGGGATGGAAGGCTGAGGGCTCGTTCCATAGGGAGCGAGATGCCCGTTGTTGTAGTCAAAGGCCTGGGGCTGAAGAGCATTATCGTGGCTTTGGGAAGGATAGTGGCTAGAAACGGGGCGTTGGTAAGAATCGGGATCCTGAGGTCGGCTAGAAGTAGAAGCCGAAAGGTTGTTCACTTCTCCCCATCCCCAACCTGGGGGAGGCCCTGTGGGTGGTGCAAAGTCGTCAACCCGTGTCGGTTGATAAGTCGTGGGATGTTGTTGGTATGGAGGCGGGTCATTTCGCTTCTTTGAGTAGCAGCTCATCTTGCTATTTAGAGTACCTATGGGAAAGGTCAGAAGTATGTGATAGAATGATGAATCGATTTTGAATAAGCCAAGCAATAGATATCAGCAATTGTTCTTGGATGCTTGGATGCTAGTTGATTGTATAAATATGAATCCCTGCCGCGGGATGTTTCTCTTTTAGGCAAAGAAAACTTCCTGATAATGGCTGTGTATTGGTGGACCTCTTTGCTGACTTGATGATGTAAATAGCTTGATCAAAGTGGCGCAATGATCGTCGATCTCTGCAAGTTCTGCCAATGAAAGAGGTCATATAAATCCCTGATTCCGTCCACATGCCGCCTTTACCTAGTACAGTACTGTGATCCTAATATGGCATGCCAAGCTACATCTCCCGATCAAGCGTTGGGTAAACAGGAAGCGTCTTCTCTAGCTCCGAACCCGCCACTGGTTCGTTTGTGTGGGGATACTTCATTCCGAGACAGTACTTGAGAGATGTGAAAGCTGCAAAGCCGTGTGATGGCTATCAGATGATGCTCAAAGGTGTTGCCGTGGCTTGTACGAACGCAAACTGTGGGATTCAGATGGCAAAGCGTATTAGTCTCCATTAGGAAACCCCTGAACACGAAAGACTTGGTTTCGTGGTCTAGTTGGTCATGATTTCTCGCTAACAATCATCACGATTGCGCCGAGACGGTCCCCGGTTCGAGCCCGGGCGAAACCACATTTTTGGCCATAATTAGAATTGAGACCGGCTTTCTATTCTCCATCTTGCTTTTTTTTTTTTTTTTTTTAAGAGATTCGGTTACTCTCCATATGTGACCTCTGTCCTTTATCACCATAATACTTCAGTGCCCCTTTTGGCTGTCCTTTTGGAATTATGTTCACTACAAGATGTGGACTTGATACGTGCTCCCATCTACCCCTAACTGATTTGGAAGATATGCATCCTCGCTATATCGTTGCTTGATATCGGCTCGGTCGAGGGAGAAGTCTTTACACTCATGGAAAGGAGTCGCCACGAACCGCTCTTCAGTCCTCGGGCCGGCCTTGAGCCTTGCTTCGACCTCTGCATCACTGAGCCCGATCAGCCCTGAGCGATATAAATCCTCCAACTGGTACAAGACTTCATTTGCCATAGTCGAGAAGAAGTTGTCGTGAATCTCCCGCACCAGGCAGCGCAGAATAACCGGCCGGGGGAGTCTGCGCAGGATGCCCCGGGAGATGGGGAAATCCTGCATGCTCTTCCAGGTCTTGCGGTCCTTCGTCCACTCCCAGCGGCAGGTTGTTTGGTTTTGCAGGATTTTTATATTACGGCTGTCCCACAACTCGGGCTTGAATTGCAGCTCGACGTATCCAGATTGTATGCTTGGAGAATACGCTTGGTCAATGAGACTGAGATAGAGTTGTGCAAACGGCCGAGCAACCGGGCAGGGCATAATATCCTGGTTGATCTTCTCTCTGGCCATGTCGAGAAAGAAAGGTAAGAATATCTGAGCCTTGACCAATTCCGGTTCCAGGAATGGGTAAAATATAGACTTATCAATGGGAGAGTTCAGAAATCGGGAAACATGCTTGAGGTCCCTGTACAAATCATGCTGTAGAGCCTCAAGAGGGTAAATTGTGGTGGGGAGTTTGATATTGGTTGCGATGCCAAAACAAACATTCGCACAGCACGCTATTAGCTTGAAGTGACGCTCCTTAGATGTTTTGCGTAGAATGAGATAGACTAGCGACTTGGATTTTCCTGGCTGTAGAATAAATATCTCGTCCAAGTCTGGCTGAATCAATGTGTCCAATTCTACCCGTGTCGCTAGATATATTGCGGAGCGCGGTGAATTGAAATATCGGTTGCTCCTCCACCGCCAGCGTGTTTCAGTCCGGTCGAGAGGGATTTCATACAATCCAAGGTGTCCGGATTTATCAACAAGACGGGCTTTTGATGTAATGGCGACTAACCTTGTCAGTGTAATTGCCAACGCGCCAGTATCAGAGTTCACACTGGCGTCATAGTTCCAAGGGCGGGATTCTAGAACCGTGGGAGGATGCTTCTCATAGGGAAGAATCTCGTGACCCTGAGTCCAGAGACTCGTCACCGTGTTCTTGGACGTGAATTTCATTAGCTTGATATAGGGGCTTGCCCCTGAAGAGTTTGGGACTTGCGACACCGCCTCTGTCTTACCCCTTGCCCAGCTTGCGAAGTCCTCCCAGGCTAATCTGTCCTCCACTTGCGTGTGGAAGATCGATTCCCACGATTCTTGTGATTCCCATTTAGGCACCCAAGTCAGCGTTAATGTATTGCTGGCACAGCAGCGGGCGTGAAAAAGGAGCTCTAGCCGTGAGAGAACCAGCATACTGTAGGCGAAGAATCCAACAAATATCTGTTGGCGTGATCGCGTATAGTCGGGTAGAAGTTGCCCCTTGGTTGATTCGTCTTTCAAGAGACCTAAGACGCCGAAGATTCGGTCTCTTGCATCAGAAGCCTGTGACCTGGACATTCTCGCTACCAGCTCAAAAGCATTTCCTGCGGGAAACTCTCTAAAATAAGTATGTGTATTAGCCATCATCAATGAGACAATTACAAAGCGACGCTCTTTGAAAGGCTCATGACTTACCCGCGTGTAATATTTTGGACCCAAGGAGCTCCCGTATCTTCCCATTTCCAATTCTTGGGTCCCTCTACACTCCATCTTTCCATTAAAGCCGAATCAGCCCAGAAAATCATGTCATGGATGGGAATGATGACCCGGCGAGACAGTATGAGCTCCTGGATAACCCACACACGCTTGAAGTATCGACGAGTTAGGAGATGCCCCAAATGTAGTGATGGTTGATTCTCATGAACACCACTTGGATCGACGGGTGCAATAAGAGCCGATTCCAGATCGTAGAGTCGATGGCGTGATGCATGTGTGCGTGATGGTTGGACAACATCATATCCAAGCCACAGGACAGCTCTGGAGCACTCGGTGTATATTTTCCCCATCTTTGCAACCTGCTCATCTCTTTCCTTGGTGTTATGTTGATTAATGCAGACAGCGTCGATCCAAACCATCCTTATACCTCGCCAGGGGCGCAAGTATTGGAGCATCTCCCAGCAGTTGTTAGTTGAGAATAATATGTCCCAATATGGCCCAACATAGACAGGACGAGTCCTTTTATAGTTAGATATCTCTTTCTAATGTGTGCCATGAAATGCAATACTTGATGAATGAGAGATCTCACAAGGTGCCGTTTCCATCCTCGCCTGCCCACGTATATGAGACCGTCTCATATTCGGGACAGTTGTCATGTTCATAGGTCTCCAAAGACAGGTGGACAAAACCTCGGGAAGACTGTTGGTTTCGGTCGCCCAAAGCCTCAAGACAGACAAGCCTGAATTGATTCGAACCAAGAGTAGAACCGTAAATGGGCGACCACTCAGCGACTGATGCCGACAAGGAATTTTCCTCATTTTCTTCAGCTAGCTGGGCTGTACTCGCATCCGAGGCCTGCGTCGAGAGCCCGGCGTCTCTTTCTGGCTTTTTATAGGGCACTATGGGCGGCCAACGGAGGTTAAGACGGTCGCTCAACTCATCGAAAGGGACAGCAGGAAGGGCGCCCAAGCCTAGCTGCTCGCCCTCAGCCTTTTCCAGAGCCGGCCTTGCTGACTCCCCGCAAGACCGACAGCAAGGGACTGAGTCGTCATTGGTGAATACATCCGGCGCCGAGCAGATGCTCAGATGCCATCGGCTCATGCTGCTTGTCAAGTAAGGATAAATTTCAGGACCGAGAAGCACCAGTGCTTTGCAGGTAAGGATTCCAGTCAGGACTATAATTAAGAATAGAGTGCGCCAACTATAGAGAGGAGACCATAGCTGCCGGCCTTGCTTCAGCCGCTAAACCTGTCCAGCTGAAGGGTAGATTGGGACCAAGTATGGGATGCCGTGGCAAAATGCTCAGAGGCGGTCAATCAGCAGATATTTCCACTTCACTTGAGGCACAGCAGTGCTGCGGGGTAATAATAAGTCAGCCTTCTCGTGCGAGAGCGGGGGCCCTAAGGGCTGACTGCGTATATATCGGATTCTTCCTTATTAAAGAAAGCATACAGTCATGCATGGACTCTCAGGAGTGTGCAGTTTTAAGTAGCATTATTACTTCTTGCATTATTTCTTCATATTGTACATAATATAGACTGAAAAAAGTGAACCCTCACTTCCTCTCCACATCCTCCTCGCCCAAAGGTTCTCTCTGCCGATGAGGCAATCGTTGGTGAAGCCCTTTGTATACAGCCTTGAAATTGTCTCTCATTCCTATCACCTGACCGTCGCAGCGGTATCTCTCTACGCCTTCTGCTAATTCTTCGAGCGTCTTATTTTGAAGCACCAAGCTCTCTCCTTCAGCACGCGGGTTCTGCATGGAGGGAATCCAGACCCACGCGAAGAGCGCGCCCAGAGCCATGACACCCCCGAAAACGAGAAAAACGTATCCAAGGCTTGTACTTCCTGGCTTGGACACTTTTTCGTTTCTAGGGTTGCCGTCAAACTTCATAAAGGGCAAGATCACCTGCACGAGGACGGAGCCGAGCTTGCCGCTGGCAGCTGCGATTCCGTGGCAAGTGGCTCTGTAACTGGTGGGGAAGAGTTCTGCTGGGATAATAAAGGTCAAAGTATTTGCTCCTGTTGCCATCTCATTAGTAAATTGTAAAAAAAAAAAACACTCATAGTCTGAAGTTGTCTACATACCGAAGTTGAATAGAAAGTTGCAGAGTGCAACAAGGACGATCGTAGCAGGGAAGTTTTCAGTGTACGCCACAGCCCGGAAGGTACCACCAGTGATAAACATAAGCATTGCAAGCGCAAGGAACGAGTAGATGAGAAACTGCTTCCGGGGAATGTAGTCGATGAGCCATATAACCAGCAAGCTTCCTAGGAGAGAGGGAAGGCAGACGGTGAGAATGTTCCTTTTCGCATTCTCTAGTAGAGCTTCATAGATGCTGGGATTTGACAAGCCTGGATTCCAGCTCCTGTGGTCATCAACAACAATGCCATCAGTAGGTCGACTGGATGCCCAGACGTTGGCCAGGATCTGAGGACTCCCAATTCCAAGTCCATAGAAGGCGCTTTTCGAAAGATAGAATTAGTACAGTGACAGGGGTTGGAAATCTTGGAGGATTACTCAACTTACACATCGAGAAGAAACCAGCATGCAGATGTGCCGGCTAGGAGTCTCCAGTTTCCCTGATTCCAAAAGTAGTCCCTCATGTCTGGCAAGGTGAGCTGAACAGGTAATGAGTCAACCCGGTGTAGGCGGGTCTCTGAAGCCGTGGCATTTGACTGCAGCACCCGGAGATTTTCCCTGTATAGATTCTGCGTGTTCTCGACGGCTATCTGGCCCCTGTCTCTGACGTCGAGGTCATACAGCCCGGGATCCTTGATCTGGAAGCGGAAGTAGATAGCAACCACAGCTGGGATCGCACCAACTCCAATAATCCACCGCCAGATACTGTCAACCTGGCTTCGACACCAGGGTGGATCTTCCCCCTGTGTGCCCATGGGTGTGCCCATGCACTTTGTCAGAGGATTCGTTCGGTTGTATCCAGCCAGAACGGCGAGCCCAACCAACTGTGCCACGAGTTGTCCAAGTGGCTGCATGAGAAACACGGCGCTCATCATCCGAGGACGGGCTTGGGTTGGTGCCCATCTTGAAGTAAAAGATTAGATTCGGGCCCAATAAGATATTATGGCTTTTGAACTTACTCGGTGCAGATGGAGGCTGACAAAGGGTACTATTTATTTGCGTGAGCTATAGTCACTGGAGTCTTATGCTATTGGTGACAAACCTCGCCGCCGATTCCTGATTTCTTGGTTAGCAAGGAGTCTCGGGAAAGGAGTAGGATTGGCGATTGCCTTCTTACCTATGCCCATGGCAAATCTCATTGCCACAATCCAAGCCACAATGCTAATCGAATTTACTCCTTGCGAAGCAGCACAGACTGTAATGGTAGTCACAATCACAATGAGTAACTCAATTCCATAGAGACGCGTTCGTCCCAGGCCTATTTCCCAGTAGATGCGTCAGCTTATTATCGCTTGGTGTGGTGCGGAGAAGAATGACGGACGGTCGGCCAGATAACCAAAGAGAAGCTGTCCGACAAGCGCGCCAACCAGCGACATGATATTGATCAGGGACTCATTTTCGTGGTCATTATTGTTTGGCCAATACACAAAGGCCAGAGATGGAAGGATGACATTGGTGGCAAAGAGGTTGTATGAGTCCGTGAAGAAGCCAGAAGCGCTGACTTCCCAAACGAGCCAATTGAAGGCGTTGGGCTCAAGATCAATAATCTGGCGGATATACGTTCTCTTTTCAGACCTCGTCTGCGTGTCGATTTATCATTAGAACCAGCTCGAAAGAAGCATCGTCGCCGTATCTTCACTCACCTCTAGGTCAGGCGGCAATTCGAGTTGGGATGTCATCGAGACAGTAGCACCAACCAAGCAAAATGTGGTGAATAATCACAGAAGGAGTAAAGAAGATCGTCATCAATGGGAAATAAGATACCTCATATCAGGTGTTGGGGTGTGGCACCCCTTTAAGGCGCAGTGGATGGCGGAAAGAGAGTATTCTATGGACAAGGATTCTTTCAGCTCCTTCGCCTGCTGTGCACGCGGGTGCAGAACCCTTATTGCCTCGTCCGTTCAGTTTGGTAAGGCTGAATCGGCATCCCAAAGTGCACTATTGGGCGCATGCGCCCCTTGAAAGTGCCCGGTGGCATTGGCATTGCCCTCTCCAGCCGCGTCTTCATTGGAACCGGGCGGGCAACACGTAACACGGGCGAGCATCTGGCTGCAGCAATGGAAGACTAAAGCCGGAATGGCACTGCCTCTCTCGCCTTAAATGATCAATATTTGGGAGGTGGTAGGCTCGTGGAACACAGACATAGTGACAGGGGTTGGCAGCCTCATCGGGCGAATCAAGTGTCAACCTGGGCCCATGTGGAAATCCTGGAGTGTTGAATGGATCGGCGGCTAAATCTTGCTTATTAGCTTCAGAGCACATGGTCTGCCCCTCGGGACATTTGTGTGTATTGAGTCAGTCCCCCCCTGTTCTACTTCTGCGCTTCGATCAGCGAAACTGCTCATGGTATTTCCTGACGCCGCGGTCTCTGGTCCGCACAGTGGCTAGTTACCTTCTACCACCTACCTACTACCTGCGTGCGGACACACAGACCTCTCTGAGTTGGATCGGCAGACTTCTGTCCCAAAGCATCGTTCTGCATTGTATAGGATTAGCTAATTTCTCGTCCGTACTGGCCACGTTGGACTGGGATGAGACAGAAGCATTAGACTGCGCTGCCTAATATCATGACGCTGGCTGGGTTTGTTGGACTCGCAAAAGCTATAGACATATGCCATGATATTTGGGACGCCTTCGCCAACGAGCGCATTAATGCCCCGGCCCGTATCCGTGCGCTCGTCACCACTATCGGGCACCTTCATGGCATTCTCAAGTTTCTAGACGAGAACTATCAAGACCAATACCCCCTCAAAAACCAGTTCCTAGAGACTCTCGGGGAGTGTGAAGAGTTCATTGACAACTACCGCACCCTCAAAATTGCCCAGCCCAGCCCAAGAGACAATCCATTGGTGGATACTCTCCGGCATCCTTGGGATACCACATTGTATGGCCTTGATGGCGCTGAAAGGCACGCCGAGGAACTGAGTCAAAAGTTGGTATCTCAACAACAAAATCTGACCATTTTCTTGTTGGCACAATTCCTGTAAGCGTACTCTCTTCTCTCTCTTTCTCTCTCTTTCTCTTGTCATTTATTCACCGCCATTTTCCGTCCCCTTTCGTCACCTCCGCTATATCTTCAAGGAAATCCTGGAGTGCTCATATCCAAACTTCAAAGGAAATTTACGGAATCCAATCATGAGGGTGCTCCCCTAACCACAAGCACCCCATCCGAAACATCTTCAGAGCATAGCAGCATGGGAGCATCATTTGGTATTTTGGAGAATCAAACGCCTTTTGAGATATTCAGTCAGGGTAATCTCCCCCACGAACAAAAGCTCGCAAAATTCCACGAATGCTTCCAGCTGCTCCGGAATCGATATGAACGTGTCACTAGCAATGCGGCACAACATGGCAGAGCCCCTAATCTCACTCGACTCCATGAAGAATACCGGGCACTGTGGTTGTTCCTTTGTAGTCATGTCGGATTACCGAAGAACAAACAACCTGCTATGCCTCCAATGGACAAACTATTTGCCAACCCATCCGGCATCAGCAGCGATGTTCGTATCAACAGTGATAGAGCTATTCCGGTAGCACGTACTTGGTCCTCGCCGATCCCAACGGAAGAAAGTATCAGCAAAAGCCCGTCAACGTTCCAGTTCCGTTCGAGTAGCACGGTACGGACCACGCCACAATCCACTGGTATACCGCACCCAGGGCCGGCACCATCAATCAGCTCAGCTGAGTCGATCATTTTGCCCGGCCCTGCCATGTTTCCTGAGGAGCACGTCGCGTCAACGTTCGTCCTCCCCTCAGAACCATAAAACTGCTCTGGCTGACAGACATACAGATCGTTGACTCACTCGACTGGGACATTCACAGCACGTCTGGGGCACTGGACAGTTCAGAATGATGGTTCTCAGAAGATCATCACGTGGTATGGAATAGAACCTGCAGGAGAATTAAGACATACTAGTAGGTGCATGTGCCACTGTTACCATTTCTTGGGAAATTGCGCCTGTTAAATTGTTCTAGTACCCCCTGGCATCTACCCCGTCTCGCTGCATTGCTCGCAGAAACAGCCGCTTCATATGAGATTTTTAAATGACAAAATACACAACGTGATCTGGGTAGACGAAAACGGCTTGCAACATCCCCAACAACTTACCCCTAAATATGACTTCACTACACGCGAGCGCTACGAATCCTTCCAAGGGGACGTTCGTGGCAAGAAACTACTAAAGACATACCATACTGACGCTATATTTTCCAACCGCCAGCCTCAAAAACCGGGCGAGGCTCTCCTCGTCGTTCTGAAGATCTGGCAAGAGGAACGACCAGGTGAAAAGGAGTACTCTATCACCTATCTCCGTACAAGGGAAAGACAATATGCCGATTTTCCACTCTCATCGTTCACTAGACCTGCAACTTTGGACACTAGTAAAAATGCAGTTCGGCTTGAGGCCCGGTCATACGCTGGTGCTTCCCGCCGAAAGTCGAGCTTCTTTAGAAAAGGCAAGTATATCAAGAATGTTTTGACATTATCTAAAATTCTGACTCACCGAGGATGTAGAACGCCCAAAGTTGGGATCCATGGACTCGAACTTTCCTTCAAGCCCGCTGGATGATCCTCTTCTCGGCGTCAAGTGGCTATTGATCCAATTCAGTGGCCGAGCAGGTACTCACCATCCCGACTACTCGACCTCAGCATTCGCCTAGTTAACACTTAGATCTTACAGACGCAGAGGACTTCACGAAAGTCTTCAACGCAATGCAGCCTATGTCTACCAACTCACCAAACCTCATACCCATATTCCGAACACCGTCGATGCAGTCGGTTGAGTCGTCGAGGTCTTCAAATTCGAGAAGACGTGTTTCCAGCACGCCTATTGTCTCACCTTCCATTCTACCTGAGGAAGGTCCTCCGTCAAGGCTAACTGAGAGCCCGTCGCCGAGAATACGGCCACAGCCAGACATCAGTTAACTGATATATCTGCCCAAGAAAATTCAGAAGTGTATTTGTTTATTAGAACATATAAATACAATGCTGTTCCTACGTTTTGCCGGTCTCTAATACCGTTTCCCTGACAAATCATCACTGCGACCCGGGCCACGCATCAATGATACTAGAAAGCAACGCGATTGATCTCAGATAGGTATTCGATTGTATTGAAAGCCACATTTTTATTTATTTACACGATAGCTTAGATTTAATCTGACCAACTAATGTAGAAAAATCATACTACAAAGATTCGTACATTTGCGGATGTCTAAATTTAAAGAGTAAATTCCTGACTGACGAGGCCCTTTCCGTTGAAAGAATATAAAGAGAGGAAATGAGAACTGTCAATGGTGTGTAGACCAGGCCAATGAGACCCAAGGCCAGATAAAACCTGAGCGGCAGACCACGATTCTCCGTTATTGGTACTGGTAATGATCTTCTGCTCGCCACCATCGACATCAGGGAGCTCAGGCTTGGCCTCATTGCTCATGAAGTTCACGACAATAGTGCTGCCAACATAAATGATCTGAGGAGCACCAGCTTCGTTGCCGCTGGTGGCAGCATAGATCTGCCGGCGGCTTTCCCAGGTCGCACCGTCATTGGTAGATATCATGGCGTAGATGCCCATGTGTCCTGATAGCTGGCTTTCGAAGACCACCCTGTAGACGGAGAAGTTAGCAATGGAAAAAAGATCACGTAAAAGATCACAGATTCTGCTTACATTAGCTGGTTGCTACCAACTTCAGCGACACCCATCATGCCATCACGAGCTGTGACTGCAGAGCCAGTGACGGGGATAATTGAAGACCAGTCTTTGCCGCCGTTGGTGGACCTTTTCATGATATTATCCTGATCCCCATCATTATTCTCGGCAGAATAGTAGGCTTGAATAGACCCGTCCTTGGCAATTCGCAAAAAGGGTTCCCATAGGCCGTTCTTTGGCGTGACTGCGGCGCGCTCATCAAGCTGTGAAAGAAAGTCCCACTTAACACCGCCATCAGTCGACTCGCAGATGGTGAGTCGGTAATGGGTCAGTTTTCCTGAAGCATCCTTGTCGTGGTTTCGGAAGGCCATGAGCAACCGGCCGTTGACGTTGAGGGGAAACGCGTTGCTCAAGTCGGTCTCCGAGGCAACTCTGTCTGTTACGATACCAAGGGGAGTCCACGACTTGCCGTTATTGGTAGACTGGGCTGAGCGAATATAGGCTCGGCCGTTCTCGATAGTGGAATAGCCAGCGATTAGGATGCCATCACGGAGGGTGACTCGCATATTGACGCCCTTAGAGTCAACTACGACGGGGTCAGCAACGGGCGTGGCATCGCGCTTGTCAAGACCGGCGATGGGGACGACAGCGGCGTTGGCGAGAGTGCTAAGGGCTAGTGCTGCCGTGAAGAGTGATCGTAATAAACCGACCATTTGGAGTGACGGTACTTGTACGGATTGGTAGTGAGGGAAAAGAAGGCAAGCTGTTGATACTTTAAACAGAAAGCTAAGGGGGAATCAATTTATATACCCGGATATCAAGATCGGAATAGAGCATCACTACGAAAAGTCCGGTCCACTACCACACCACCTCCAAGTCTCACTCTTCATCAACTGTTGCCTTTCGTGGCATTTGCCTATGTCATCCCTTGAAGGATTCGCTTCAAGGGGCAGCTCATCAGCCGCCTCAATCTCACGCAGATTTGTCAGATTTAGCTAGCCATCGTAGCCGGAGGCCCAGACATCAGACTACGCGAGGCTTGGCGTTTACCAGCGCCACATCACTGCAGGAATGCACGGGCCGTGTTTGAGAATACGCGCCTTTGAACATCCGGCCGGTAGTGGCCTTGAAGAGGGCGGCAATTCTCTGCCTACAAACATGGATGGGTTTCGCCGGCTGATACTAAGCCATTGCAACCTAGCGCTTACATCTACACGTCACATCCATGCAACCTTCGTTGGCATGTTACCACAAGCTAGCTGAGGATCCAACAGCAAGAAGCGATGATAATAGCCAGCAAGTTTTGTGTCATATACCTGGACAATCTGATAGTCGATTAAGCTCATAAATGTGTAAGATTGGTAGAGAGTTGAAGCTTTTAATTGAAGACAGCCGATAACCAGACAAGTCAAGTTCATATCATACTGCTAACGTACTAGGTGTTTCTCAACAGTTTAGCCAGCTAGACCTGATCCTGGTTCTTTTTGGGAGATACAGCAAATTAACTGCTGGGGAACTTCCCAGGCTCTGTGCCTTGAAAGGTATAAATGGTTACAGTGTTTGCATGAGACTGTAGCTCCCCTTCTCCCCCTTCCCCCCATGCGCTATTTTATAGCCATATTGATTCTAGAAAACTAAAGAGTAAATAGTGACATTCATCCATTTAGATTGTAAGCGGTAGGTTCTGTTTGGACAGCGCGGTCAATGGCGCTTATCCCCGTCGCGGGAACAGGCGATCCGCAATACGCAATACGCGTTTGCCCATGGAGGTGATGTAATAACTGTGACCAACCGTATGACATGAAGTGACGTATCCAAGACAAAAAGAACCTTTTGAGGGCGCTTTCTTGGCTTTATTTGTTACATCAATCGAACAGACTGATTGATGGGCAGAGATCTAAAGAAATCTGAAGCAGGAGTTCGGAATTCCCGTCGAAGAATAAGCCAAGACCTAATTTCGGAGTTCCGCACCTGAAAACACAGAAAGAGCATGGGCTGGCCAGCCTTGGTGCTCTACAGGGATCGCGATAATTCATAAAAACTGCAGGTATGATCTGAAACGAAACCGAAGACATAAGGGCTCTCAAGGCTGTACCGCTAAGGTTTCACTTGTGACCTTCCAACCTGGGGACTGGTCGCTTGGACCAAATTGCCCTTTTGGGTTTCTGGTCGGCGATTCGCTGATAAAGGAGCTAGGAATCCTACTCTTAGACGAGATAAGTGGTATTAGTGACGAAAGGTGTACATGCTACTAGAAGCTCGAGTTATGCTGAGCACATGACATGCGCAATTCACATTACGGGTACACAATCGATTGCAGAACAGAACCAGGGCTTGCCTTCTTCTTCCTTGGGCCAATAGAATCAATGGACATTAGTAAGGGTGAAATTTGGAATGGGCTAACTAGTATCCAGGAGTCAGGAAAAGGCAAAACGAGTCCGAGGTCCACGCAGCAGCGCAAGTCTACAACATTCTTTTGCAAGCCATTCCAGATTTTGAATGCATAAAGAGAGATAATCAGCTCTTAGATCTCATCAAGAGCTTTCTGGGTCGATCTACTCAATAAGAAGGTAATTTGTGGAGAGCGCTAGTCTCTGCTAACATCAATCTGGTTCATTCCAATAGCTGACCTAGGCATCTATAGCCGACGGGTCAGGGATCTATAGCTGCTTGGAGGCCGGCTATTGTAGAGGGCGGGGTAGAATTGAGACACTACACAATCCTGAATGGTTGCCAAGTGAGCAACTGTGACAAGATACATAAGGGTAAACCGCGATAACTAGGCAAGGATTTTCCTTTTGCCTAGTTTGGCCTAATCTGTCACAGCAGCTCAATGACTTTCGTATCACACTCTCTTCTCTTCTCAGGCCAGAAATCATAACATGACCAAAACTTAAAAGCACAGGGGAAAACATCTGCCGCGCATGTATTCGTTGCCGGTAGAGGAAGACCAGATGTGACCTGTTGGTGTTACTCCTAGATCCCCCTTCTAGGGAGTACTTGGTCTCTTTTCGTGTTCTAGGAAGTTCTAGCATCGTTCTATCAGTGACTCGGTAGAAGAGCCAGGGAAGCCTCCTTGCCTTAGCTGCCACGTTGATGGTCACGAATGTGCTCTTGCCGGTTCAAAACGTGGCGGCGACTATTCGCATATGAGACGCAAATCCAAGAATTCGAGAAACGGCAGCCGCCAGCCACCAGCTCATCAGCCACGGCCGATTCCACGTGTTGAACCTCATCTAGCTAATCCGCATCAACCACAACCGGCCGATCTTTGCAATGAACATCCTACTGGATTCCAGAATCCTCTTGAAGCGCTTCAAATCTTAGTGCAAGCAGCCGCGGCTAGTCCGTCTTCGACAAATAGAGCCGTTACCGGATCTCCAGCCGACCAAAATACTATTCGTCGTCTTGGGGTTTCGTCTCCAGATACGGTAGAGCATGGGCAAATCGCCGCCGAAAGTGCGGTGTCAGGACTTGAGTTATATGGACCAGTGGCAAATGGACTACTCGACGCGACTATGCTGGACCATCTACTGCAACAGTAAGCTTATGGAATTTGAACCGGCAATCTCCCTCTCCCCCTCTTGGGCTATCACATGCTGAAACTGTCCAGCTATGCTGAACGATATCACCCATTGATGCCTATCGTGCCTGATCCATCATCAACAACAAGCAAGAGATGACCACTGTCAGAGCCCTGGCCAAACAAGCACAACGCCATGCCTTCTCTCAGAAAGTTCCTCAAGGAAAAATTAACCAAAAATTCACAGCTACCCGTCGGCCACTCTCCCGAATTTGATACGGCCCGGGAACGATGGCAGAAGGAATGCACACAGGGTTAGTCCGTCCTCCAGCTCTAACCGTTCAAGACTAATCACAACGATGATAGACCAAGTTCTTGCCGACTTCACTAAATATCTCCGCAACGGCTCACCGAACTGGCCCGCACCATTCAAGCAGAGTGAACTCGACTTTTTGGAAAAATCCTTTGCTGCGCATGCCCGTCCAGACAAGAGTAAGCCATCGCACCCGCATAGGATGCTTATGCTGACATGTCCATATCTAGCCTGGGATCAAGACTCGCTAAAGGCATATCTTCAAACCCAAGTCCCTGAGGATGGAGAATGCCAAGCTCTCTTGACTGCCTCTATGCCCTCGCTCTGGGCCCTGACTGTTTATTTCGCGCAATGGCCATTCAACACCGCGTCCAGCCCTCCAACCAGTCTTGAACTCCCCGAATTCCTCCGCTCCTTGGTGTTCCTCTCAGGCAGGCACAATCGTTTGTTCCACGCCTGGCAGAATCAAGATATTGATCGCAATCGCAAGACTGATCAGCCGGTACTCGAGTACATTTTCCGAGCGTTGGCCACCTCTCGATCAGTGGAGCAGCCGCCCACCTCACCAGCTGCCAAGTCGAGGTCCCAGACGGACGTGCTAGATGTCTTGAGTGTTGCGCAGCCAGTTATGAGCGAGGGAACCAAGATTCTTACTAGTGCTGAACTGACACCAGTGGCTGATCGACTCGCTCCTCCGACTCCACCAGACCTGTCAGGTCTTGCCATTATAGATACGAAGACGAAGCTTGTCCCGCTGCTGGAAGAGTTAGTATTGCTTCTCGACCAAGCCAGCAAGTTTGAGCAAGGGAGCCGCACCGCCCTTGTACTCAAGAAAAAGCTCCAGGCTGGCCTTTCAGAGATACAGAAGGAGGACCAGGTTTTGTATGATGTCTTTTCAAAATCTCTTGACAGCAATGAGTGGACGGAGAAAGGGAATTATGTAGACACCATATATGATTCCATCGCGCTCCTGTTTAACACATTTCTTAATCCTCAGAGCTTAAGGACTGGTCGGACGGTGAATTGGTCTTCAGGAAATGAGGAGGCGTTACACATTTTCCCGCTCCGGAGCCTGGGGGCCACTGTTAGCTAGACGTGTTAGTAACAGTAGCAGTATACTGTGTATATTGTCTGGCCTTTAGCCTTAGGTTCGCACGAATATCGTTTGATCTTTATCTCACCTATTTGAAAATTATAATACTATTCTCTGTTTATTCCACGCCAGCCTTACAATCATTCTGCTATTAGCAATACATCCTCTTAAGATGAAATAGAATTCCTTCTAATAAGCATTCAAGTCTTCCACATTCCCGGCTATTTCATACATGATGAGTAGTTGCAGTCGACGCCACTCTGGAGAAGCATTGAGTTTCCAAGCCGGAGCAGAATTCTTGCGGCACTCTCCGAGAAAGCCTCCACGTACTTAGCACAATTTGAAAGGCTACAATTACCCGCCGCTAATCTGAAGCTAAAGACGGTCAAGATCTTTTTCTAACACACATCTAGAGAGGAGAACAAAGAGGCTAGAGCCTTCAAACACACACCTCTATACTCATGTGTGATAAAAAATAACATTATTTAACCGAGGAATGCCTCATGGATGCTGTGAATTCTCCTTGCAAAAGTTTATTCTGCAGCTTGAATTCTACTTGAGTTACTTGTATCCCGTTTGCTGCTCTGTTTAATTGAGTAACGAACTTGAAGGCTTTGCCTGAGATTGTTGTTGGAATTTAACACTAAATCTTTGATGGATTCTTGGCCAGGAAAGCTGCTGCTTTTCTTTTAATTTAACAATAACATCATTTTTCTTGGGGGTAAATACGCGACGAGCCCGGCTCCGCGAGAATTAGCGAGGATTATCTGCTGAGTCTGCAAAGGTGCTACTACAAGAGCCTCGTGGATGAGCAGCCGCAGCTGACATTTAGCTGGACTAACCCCCCGGCATCCTTCGAATGGGCCTTGTCCTTGTGAGGCTCAAGATAAAGAGGAAGAAGAAACGTTTTCACCAATAGGGAGATTTAATAGACGTTGTACTCCTGTCATTAATCTGTATACGCACAGCCTTGTTCGCTGTACGGTATGAATAATAATAGACAGGCCTTGATTTGCTGTCCTTGAAACGATACTCAGTTTCCATATGGCCAATCCTCGAAAAAGTTAGTGAGGCCTTGGCTAACCGAGCATGCTATGACAGTCCCATGGTCCTCTCCCTGGTATTTAGAAATGGAGAGATTCTTCAGAACACCACTCTTCTCTAGGCGGGAGTGCATAGCAAGGATGTTGGTAATCATTTGTGCCAGGTTGTATTTTTGCTTTCTCCCCTCGTACCACTCGTCCGGCTCATCTCTACGTCTCGTTGGGTCTTCCTCCTCACTCCCAAAAGAAAGCCAGAGGGATGGCGCGACTTTTTGGTTATCCTTATTCTCAGGGAAGGCCTACTCTTCTTGTAGGATGAACCTGTTGTGCCACCAGATGCTGGGGCTACTTGCAATGAAGGTATCGAACATGGTTGGCCGAGTGAAACAAAGGTGCAAAGAAAGGAGTCCGCCAAAAGAATGTCCGTAAATAGCCTCCCGTCCGGGTTGGGCCCCGCGGCGCTCCTTCAATCGAATGTGAACGAGTGGCCTGACGAGATCTTGAATCATGTCGGCGAACTCGTCGGCGCCACCTGCATTCGGACCACAGCCAGGTGCGGGAGGGGTCAGGTCATGGACTCTTCGAGAATCCAGGAGCAGCTTTGAGTCTGGCTCGATATGGAAGCCTATTGACACAATGATGCTTTCTGGGAATGGGCCGGGTGATGCACAAAGACGCCGATGAAGTGCCTCGAGGGCAGTCAGGAAGACAGAATTTCCATCTGTGAGATAGCTGCAGGTCCATGTCAGTTGGTATGATCTTTACGTACTGTCGGCAAAAGAAAGAAATCCTCTTACCAGATAGGAACAGGAGGATGGTCTTGATCAGGCTGCTTGAGGCCTGGATTTGAGCCATCACCCCAAGTGCGAGGAAAGCCGATTTCAACCAGATATTCTTGGCCTGATGCATTTTTGACTGACCAAGCCTCAGTTGAAGCGAGGTATGTCGACGAGGATCGAAGTGGTTGGCTCATGATTGTATAGAGAATGGAAGGTTTGATTGAGAGAAGAATTCATTTCTTTATTCGCGCAAGGTGATTACGCAGTCTCCAGTGATATTATGTGGAGGGCATCCGCAGAAATATCTGATCTGATTAGATCCCTGCTTGCTATTGGCGCTAACAGCTCAACTCTGCATTAGTCCTGCTCGGATTCGTGGTATATTCGTATATATTTGTCATTGTTGGGGCACTATTTAGGTGCCTAATATGTGCCTTTGATTAGAGTCAAGCTTATGGTTGGTCATAAACCGTGTAATTCTGGCTTGCAAGTCCACCTGAAGCCAGGAAGATTTGATAACCCCCCCTAACTTACTCTCAAGAAGACTTTCCATGCGGGCATTCGGGGCATCTGGGTTTCCTTCAATGCAGCATTTCACTATGAGGGTATTCTCGGACCCACGGACGTGAGAATCGATCAAAAAGGATTTGCTTGCTGCAAAGCTGTAGTCCTCAATGACGATCTTTACACTGGCCGTTGTGTGAGTTATACATGTGGTTGAAGGATATTTGCAAGATCGCATTTTAGAAAAGGCGCATATCAGAAACGACTTTCATGGCGACTTTTGTATTATTACAATATTCATTCTTATGTCCCTGGTGTTTTTGTCATTGCCTTCATTGAGTTCCGGTGATTTGGGCCGGTAACAACAGCTTTGATAAACAACGTAATTCTCATTACTAGAACGAAGAGATAGGAAATTATCTGGGATACATATAGCGTCTTAATTAATCTATTGATATATTAATTATCTAAAATTACAAATGGTTTATGGTAGTTAAAGCCTATATAGGGTAAATGGTGTCCATGAGGCTATTTACTACATTGCTTTATTAATAAAAAAGAAGAAAAACTAGATAGAAGACAGTTCGAGATTTTCTGGCATTTAGAGAAGCGACTTATTGAGCAGAACGACGAGCAATGTATCTCATAGAAAAAATGTAGGATGATTATGTAGAAGGCGGGGATATCTAAAGGGCGAACCATCATTTCACATGTCAGCAAGCTCTGACGAATTATGACGTGAGTTGAATGACCCCTCTATGAGGATGTTGGTGCGGCGCGGGGGTGAGTGGCAAATGTGCCGTGACCGTATCGTAGTATCGTCCTGGTCTCCTCAACTTTCCCCAACTCCCCAAGGGAAACTATTTATTTGCTTTTTGTATGTGGAACGGTTGGCGTGAACTGGTCCCGCCTCAGCACAGCACCATTTATCTATACCCTACGATGGAATCCCAGGCAAAAGCACATTCTGAGGCGAGTGAGTACAATCTTTATTCTCTAATATAGCGCTCAATATCTAACTCTCCCTGAGCCCAGAAGCCTAATAGTCGGTCAGAGCATCTCCAAGAAATGTATGGAAGGGCACCACATCGAAATCTCCTTAACCATCAGTTGGACGTATGTATTTAGGTGGTTTGTCCAAGAACCCTCCTAATCATCTTTCCGTCTCATCTTGGAACGTATTAATTGTATATAGGAAAGAAGGTATTTTGATTCCGGTGATTTTGCCCTTTCGCAAGCCCAGAAGGGCTCCGATATTGGAAAAATCAAGACTGGGATTCAGCACCCACAACGGGAGAGTATATCTCACCCAAGAGCTCCTAATCCAAGCTCCAGTAATATCGACGAGAGCGCAAGCAAGGGGCAGCAAGATCAGAAGAGAAGCAGTGAGGCACCGAATCAGAGCCACCTTCGCGAAATGGCGGAGTCGGAGAATGGGAAGTTGTAGTGTTGGACGGGTGACACTAGTACATTTATTTCAAAACAGTATTACCTTTTCAGAAAAAGTCTACCAGATTTTGCCATTAAATAAATAATCATGTCTAAGGTATAAAAAAGTAGTGTTATTGTTGGGCCTGGAACCTTCACGAGAGTCTCATAAGTTGGCCCAACTAAGAGACGTCTAACCAGACCTATCCCTCAATGGACGGTTTGGACCTGCTCTATGACTAGCAGCTGCCTTAAGCCCAATTCATTGTTGAGCAAGAGTAATGACAATGGAAATAGACGCTGCAACAACTTGCGCAAATGCAAGGCCGATTCCCCAATCCCCTCCTCCCACCCCCCAGAGGACTAGGCCAAGCCAAATGGCAGCAATTCCAAACCAAACACATGAGACTCTAAATGGTACTTCAATCAATCGATCTGTCTGCCATCCTAGCACGAAGTGTAGGCCTCTCATCCGAATTGTTCGCTGAAATAGTTCATATGAAAGAGGTAACGTGATTTTGTTCTCGCCCCTAATTAGGTCAGAATGTGATCGTCTCTGTAATGAGGAGAGGAGGTATGGAAAGAGAAGAGGAGATTAATACTTTATATCGTAGATGCAACACTCTTGCGCCAGACCTTCCAACGTACGCAGTCCATTGGCTCTCGCCGGGTCCCGAGCACAGTCCTTTAGTCGCGACAGCAATATAAGCCTCTTGCGGCGCTGTTCCGCTTTCTCTGCGTCAACTTTGATACACGGCGAGGACAACGCCCGCATCCCGATGAGGCATTCCTCACTGTGAACATAATTGTCTAAGCACGCGTCGCTAAATTCAACGTATTCACCGGTTGGATGTCTTGTTATAATCTTCTCGCACTCCTCTAAGACCTTCTCAGTTTCAACTGATTCCATCTGGATAGGATAACGCTCATCCGATTCAACGACGCCAGAAAATTGAAACTGTAGGTTCAACATCAGGTTTGTCCGGCCACTTGATTGGGTCTAATCTTACCTTGACCTCTAGCACTTCTGTGATTCCGTAGTAAGGCAGCCATCTTTTCCAAGGGCCCAGATACTCGTAGGATATTTCCGTGAGTCTCTCATAAATCTCACTATCTGACTCGCAGGCACTCTCCCAAGGTATCATCTTCTCATAGATGGGTTTCGGATTCTTAGACAAGGCGTTAGAATACCGTTTTATCCGGCGGGTCTTCGTTGGTCGAAGACACGGCACGAGAACAGCGTATTGTCCATATCTATGACTCTCTAGGCAGAGGAAGCAGCCCTGCCCCGCTCGATCTCGAAAGTCTGGCATATTTTCAGCAACGTGCGTAGAAGTGCTGAGGCCGACGACGGGCTGGCGCTCAACATCTTGTATGTGGATGATAGAAGACATTTTTAATTAAGGCAGAAGAATACTGGCTTGATCGTGACATGGGTTGAACAACGTTGTTGTGATGATCAGGCAATCCCACCTGATGCCCGAAGAAAAGAGTCGCATGAATATTGTGGCTGAGGATGCATCGTGGCTATGTAGTCGAACACCCCTCCCACCCAAAGAAAAGACCAGTCACATCCAGCTGTGGCTCCTCTGTAGTTGCCCGCCACAAGTCATCACCTAGGGACTTTGGCGTTGAAAGGCGACCCATACCAAGGTTTGAAAATTAATCTGCGAAAATTTGAAAGGAATTGTTGGAAGGTATCACCCCTCTGGAATCGCCACCTAGGCTCCGGGTCTTTGACCGGAGCTCTTAGCAGTTCTTGATTAAGGTGAGATAGGTAAAGGTAGTTGTATTTCTAGCTAGCTAAGAGGGTCAGGAGACCCCTATTTGACCTGTTCGTAGGTCACAAGATAAGGGTCCGAAAGGCAACGCCGGCCTGGCCAATTTACGATTCAACAGGAATTTTATTTGTGTCATTGCCAATATTGAAGGTCAGGTTTGGTATTTCAATACACTGATGCGTGAATCAGAACGTATGGTCCACGCAGAGATACCGTAAGTCAACTGCGCAAGACAAGCTACAACGCAAAGCCTAGACTTCCCTTACACGATACTTTCCGTCCTCTTCGTACGCGTTAACGCGATATTCCTTAAACCTTCGTGTCGGTAGTTTTGCCTCAAACATGATGTCGAGCTCTTCATAGCTTCGGCCCTTGGTCTCCGGCTGGCGGAAAAAGGCCCAAACCACTGTGAGGAACGCAAAGGCGAACCAGAAAAAGCCAGTCTTGCCTAACAACTAGGATCAGCCATAATGTAATAGTGAAAAGTGACGGCAGCACTTACCCTTCCAATTCCAAGCGTTGGGGTTCATCATATACGGTTGGATAACGTTGGCCACGATCTGAGCAACGTAATATGCTGTTCTCGCTAGAACGACAGTTTTTGAGCGCAAACGGGTACGAAGAAACCTCGGCGGGGATCGCCCAACCAACAGGCCCCACGGTGAGCGAGAAAGTCAGGAGCCAGACGATGCACAGCGCAGACTGAACCCACTTCACTGCGGAATTATGGGTGTCGATGGCCAAACAGCCGATGACGAGGAGCCAGACGCTCATGGCAGACATTCCAGTCATATACAGAGTCCGCCTCCCAAAGTGCCGCATCAAAATCCACGATACAATTGTGCCACAAAAGGCGATGCCTGTGCCTCCAACGTTTAGATTATAAGCGGGATCAGAGTCCAGGCCCGCCTGCTGAAAGAAATATGTTGCAGAATACGCGAATTGGGCACCGCAGGTAATCTGACCGAGGAAGGAGACGCAGGCAATCTCGGTGCGCCGTAGATCAACTCCCTTGAAACAATCTAGGTAGGAAGTGCCCTCGGCCATGTTGCGCTCGGTCTCGTTGGTGTGAATCAGGAGAGCAACCAGAGGTTTCGCCTGCGGTTGTTCATGTTTCGCCATAAGTCGGAGTGTGCTTTTCTCAGCCTCTGCAAACTTGCCGCTTCTTACTAGGTACCACGGTGACTCGGGCATGAAGAATGAGCCAACAGCGAGGATAGGTATCCAGAGCCATTGCAGAGCAAAGGGGATGCGCCAGGACCAGTCGTCTTGGCGGTTGATGAAGCTTTTGAGGACACCAGCGCCGATGAGTTGGCAAGTGGCGAAGCACATGTTGGTGTACGCCGTGAGATACGCCCGCAGCGGAAGAGGGCAGAGCTCGGAAGCGTAGGCAGGGCCAATGGTAGCAAAGATGCCCCAGGGAATTCTGCAGTAGCCATGGTCAGAAGGGACAATCTTGTTTTGGGTCGAGGACCAGCAAACTCTTACCCGCATAAGGTTTGGCCAACGGCTTGGAGTTCGATGGACATGCCAAACACAGAAATAAAGACAAAGCTCGCCATCAGCAAGACGCCCAGCATAAAGGCTGGTCGATAACCAAAACGTTGGATAACGAAGCCATTCAATATGGCTCCCATGATGGCACCAGCTTGAGGTCCGCTGCCCATGGCGCTCTGCCACTTGGCCTCGATTTGATAGTTGTCTGTTGCTTCGTTGATATCTCCAAATCGGCCGGCGTAGGCTGGATAAGCGCACAGTGAGCCAATGAGGATGGTATCGTACCCTTCCATAATGATGGACATGGAAACAACAAGAGACCAGAAGATGGCTCCAGGATAAGACTTGATGGCCTGCCTCACAGTCAAGGAGTGCTCGTGCTCATTTGCCGCCTTGGCATCGTCCATTGTCGCTGTCCAAGAACCCTGCTTCCAGGGCACTTGTTCTTGACCGAAGTTCGTGTCAGAATGCCCGACTTTCTCATCGTGTTCGGCCGCTAAGCTTATTGATCCATTCTTTGGAGCCGCCATTGCAACAGCGTTGACGTAGAACAAAACTCTTGCTCGTTATATGGGTTTTGGTAGAAATGGACTGACGTGCAGCTGCTGTTCAAGTCAGCGCTGGGTCAGGAGTGAATGTGTGCTTCCAACTTTAACTTCTGCACTCTTAAGGTCGTATTCCTCCAGGATCATAAGGGCAAGAGCGACTCATTATAAGTCGGCGCGAGAAGCGTAGACTGACGGCCTGTTCTCAACTGCAGACATGGCCATACAATGTTTGTCCGGGGTAAACAAGAGGGGAAGCATGTATCAATCTTGGCCTTTGGCGCATAGCATTACCTAGTTTGCGCCTAGTAGAGTGAAAGAGACCGGCTCATCACCCGATCCCACGGTCTTATTTTGCGGGGGCGGGTACCGGACTGATATTGTGGAGGAGGAGGGGGCATGTACAATCCACCCCCACAACATATTTCCAGATGATGCCTCCACTGATCATCAGTCATGGTTGCAACGTCAGGGAGGAGGCACGGAGAACATCACCCTTCGTGTATGACTAGAAGGATAGGACGTTAGTTCTGCTTTGGCATATGTATACTCTCACATACATTCTTCTCACAAGCAAGTCCTCTTCCAGTCTCATCGCTCGACCATGTCCCAATCCGGCCCCAAGATGGAATCTCCCGCGCCTTTCCGATGGTCTACTGATGCTTTTGACATCGACTTTGTTCTTGACACGAAAAATGTGGTTGCTATACGTCGTATCACACCAAAGGGAAAAGACTTGAAACAGGGAGCAACGGCAATCCCTTCATCCGATACCCCTCTCATTAATGTCAAGCTGGTTGGTGAGGGCAACACTTCCACCAAGACTGCCAAATCTTTGATAGGAAGCTACCTTTCTGCCCGAATGCGGTACAAAAGTCATGAAACTCATATTGAGGGCTCTGAGAAATCCCTTGTTATTGACACCGCGGACGACGTAACAAAAGTTCACATTTCAGTGCGCCTCGTTGTTTATGGCAATATCCCTGTACTTCGCTCATCAGCCACTGTTACGAACCAATCTGACGACGCTACGACTTGCGTCACTCAACTCTCGTCGTTGTGCTTGGGTAACTTGGTGCCTGTCAGGGACTGAATTGACGAGTACACCCTCCATACGGCCACTAACTCGTGGTTCAGAGAGGCCCAGTGGTCGAACCACACCCTGCCTGAACTCGGCATCGACTTGAATGGAATCTGCGAGCTTCCTGATGGACACACGAGCTCTCAGGCTAGCTTCAGTCTCCAAAACCTGGGCTCATTCTCCACTGGAACCCATCTACCAATGGGAATCCTGAAATCCAAGCACGATACGGATACCTGGCTGTGGCAAGTCGAGCATAACGGTTCCTGGAGGTGGGAGGTTGGCGATTATAAAGACAACCTCTACCTTGTTGCAGGCGGGCCTGTTGGAGTCGCCCATGACTGGAAGTTGGTCCTCGGCCCCAAGTAGAGCTTTACCACCGCTAAAGTCGCTGTAGCGCGAGTTTTTGGCGGCATGGAAGATGCCTTTGCCGCGATCACCAGCTATAGGCGGCGTATTAGAAGGCACCACACTGACAATGAGCGACTGCCCATTGTCTTCAACGATTATATGAATTGTTTAATGGGCGACCCCGATGAAGAAAAGATAAAGGCTCTGATTGACCCGGTTGTGAGGTCTGGAGCCGAGTACTTCGTCATTGATGCTGGCTGGTACGCGGATGACAGCAACTGGTGGGATGATGTTGGCTTGTGGGAACCTTCACTGAAACGGTTCCCCTTCAGGCTTCAAGGTACTATTGGATGAGATCAGATCCAAGGGGCTAGTTCCAGGGGTTTGGCTTGAGCCTGAAGTTGTGGGAGTTCGCAGTGTCGTCGGCCAACGGCTGCCTCGAGAAGCCTTCTTCCACAAGAATGGGCAGCGGATTGTCGAAAAGGGAAGGTTCCAGCTCGACTATCGATGTGAAAAAGTACGTACCTGGATGGACAAGGTCGTGCATCGGCTGGTTGTTGACTATGGCGTTGGCTACTTCAAATTCGATTACAACATCGACGTTCTGCAGGGAACTGATGTTCATGGGCCGTCATCCGCAGGAGTCGCACATTTAGAACACCAGCGGGCATACCTCTCGTGGGTTGAGTCTCTCTTCGATCGCTATCCTGATCTGGTGATTGAAAGTTGCTCGAGCGGCGCACAACGCCTAGACTACGCAATGCTGTCCGTACATCCTTTACAATCAACGAGCGACCAACAGGAACCTAGTCTTTATGCCGCCATCGCAGCAGCTATCCCGACTGCTGTAACACCTGAACAGAGCGCATCGTGGGCCTATCCGCAATCTGAATGGCCAGATGAAATCAATGCGTTGACGGTCATCAATAGTCTTATGGGCAGGCCGTCTTGACAAGCTCAGTGAAGAGCAGCTCCAACTTGTCATCAATGGCATGGACGTGTACAAGTCAATACGTCAGGGACTGCGGGATTCCCAAGCCACCTGGCCTCTGGGCTTACCCGGCTGGCATGATGAATGGCTTGCTCTTGGGCTTGTCGCAACTTCTGGCTCGATATACCTGGCAGTTTGGCGCAGGGGTGGGCCAACGGAGATGGAAATTCCTATCCATCAACAATCCGTCAGTGAGAAAGACGGCCATGTTGAAGTTCTTTACCCAAAGGAGATGAGCACTAGAGCTGCTTTGAATAAGGGAGTCCTGAAAGTAGAGCTACCTGATGTGGTGTGCGCCAGATTGCTTTTGATCAGTAACTGAGTTGAAAGCAATTACTTTAATTGAAAGCATTATGCACCATCATTTTAGTACTTTGATAGATTGAATAATCCAGGGCTCTATATCACACTGACACTAGATTAGAATGAACAACACATTATTCAGAGGTCCTCGCACTTGTTGCTTTAGTTTTACGAAGAGTCTACATCCCAAGCTGCATAGCTCTCTCATTTACTACTTACAAAGAGTACACCCTGTGACACAACTGGCGGTAAGACGATTGAGTCTGTCGGCAAGATATCCATTACGAGAAATCGAGCGAAGGAAAATGGAGTCGGCAGTTGGTGTGATCAACGAGTGCAAGATGATACCCATGGATATAAAAAATGGACGAGTGGGGCGTAACCAAAAAAATGGGGGAACTATGAAAAGCTCAGCTTTGTGGAGACAATTGGGTGGTAATGGGAAGCCGTGCAACCCGAAAATCATCTTCCTCCCTTGGTCCCTTTGTTGGCTCATTGTCATTATCACATTGCACAAGCCCGAATCAGGATGCCATCTATCTGTACACGCTGTGGTGATATAGCGTACTTATAGATCCTACGACTTCCCCCTCCATTATCTTCACTCCAGCAAACCATGCTGCACTGTCTGCAAACCTACGCGAACCAGCCTGACCTCATCCGTAAGGCAGCATGAATGAAGTATCACCAACACCAACGTTTAGACAATGCTACTCATTGCCCCACTGGCTGAATGCATGTTGGTTGGAGGAAGTCCCTAAATTGATTTAGCCCCCACTACATTTAGTACCATATTCAATATCAATCGATTATGTGACACTTGGCAAGGAGAGATATGCCGCGAGGCTGGTGCTGAAGTAGGCACTGACTGAAAATCCTGACATTACCCATTGCCCCTCTCTATCTTCGAGCCCCAACTGTCTCTTGTTTTCCCCCAACCTGATCGTACACGCTCAGACACTCAAGACGTGAGGGTAATGTTGACCATTCGTTCGTGGCCTCTAATCGCTTGCTACCCTAGCCACCCCATTCTGAGGCCTTTCACTATGGCTTACAGCCCATTGATTGACGGCATATTGGTTATTGTGCTGATCATCCTAATCCTCGCCTTCACCCCAGCCTCTACCTTCATCCGGCTAGCCCCCCTTCCTATCTTAACTGCCTTGACATGGCATTGCATCACAAACTGTCCTGTCTACATACGCAGGAGCTCATGGGCCGCTTCCGTTGGAGGATACACTCTCTCTGCTCTATTCCATTACGTGGATGTGGGTTTCATCAGCCAGTGGAGCTATAATCTTCACGGCCCAAAGCGCGATTTGGTACGAGGCCTGTCTAAGACCGCGAGCCCCAGTCGCAAACCTCGGAAAGAGAACCGCCAATTCTTATCCCGTTTATCCTTTGCCCTTTCCATATTTTTATCATGGAGATTTCTCGATACCCCTTATGAGGCATGTGGGGTAGCTCTGCTCAGACGGAACCAAACACACTCTCGCTCGCGATTCCTATACAATACTAAAATCACCATCATTGTATGCTATCTAGTACTTGATGTGATGGATGTATCAGCAGATGATAATATCACTTGAAGATTTTACCGGGTAGATCAAGTAGGTCTATTCTTTAGACTACGCGAAGTATCACCCGAAGAATTAGTGATGAGGTTCTTCGCAGCGATGGGCCTAGGCGCTGGGCTTATATCTGTGCAACATGGCCTCTACTCTCTGTTGGCATTTATCTGTGTGGCATCGGGCCTTCACGGTCCTAGTCAGTGGCCTCCGTCAATAGTTCATTTTCTAGTATATACAGCTTAAGAAGTTTCTGGAGGTTTGTTCTTCTACATCCCTATTTTGCTCCACAGAAAGATCCTGAGCTCACAGACCTATAACTAGTATATTTTGGCACCAGATCAACACCCATAGGCTTATAACCATCTCAAACTTTGTGCTATCCAAGGTTCTTCGCAATCCTCGAACCTGGCCGACTCGCTCTCTGCGTATGTGGTCTGTATTTCTCGCATCCGGCCTCTTCCATGTTATGATTGATATTTCATCTGGTAAGCGCCTGCGGATACAGAGATACCTTTCTCCAAAATAACTCATAATTTCTGGAAAAGATGCAAAACGTTCCGGAGCTATTCCCTTCTTTCTTATACAACCAGTGGCTTATGGTCGAGGATCTCATAAACACGATTGCGATTTCTCTAGGACGGAACCCTGGCCGGACGCCGTCGATTACAGAACGCTGCATTGGTACGGTTTGGCTCTGGTTGTGGATGGCATGGACGGCCCCGGCGTACTTGTATCCAGTCTTGAACTCAAAGGGCCCAGATGATGCAGGAGTGGTGCCTATCAGCGTCATCAGGCCGTTGAGTAACCTACTGGCTGGAAAGTGACCCGGAGCAGGGACGCGTAGCATAGATTCAACGCTCAAAAACATTCCAACATTTACTAACATTTACTAAATAAGTTTAGGGCATTATAACTATGTTTTTTAGGGTGGATAGACGATAAGTACCACAACCATCACTTACGGTGTGTCCCGGCTCACATCATCCAAGCCATAGGCTATTTGTAAGGATGATATCAAATCTCGGCCGAGGGGGTCTGATTCACACTAGATAGGATACCACCCTATTTAATCTCTTGTTTTCATTCTCTATCGTCTCGAACCCATGAACTAGACCCGGACTGATCACGGTTCCGAAAGCGTCTAACCCAGTACTTCTCAACACAACCATCCAATCTAAAGGACGCACTCCAAGACCCTTTTCAAAGCTATCCATCATGGAGACAAAATACGTCGACCGAAATATTCCAAAGGTAAACCCCCCCACACGGTGAATTTCCAGAGCGGGGGCTGACGTAAATGTAGATATCGCTTGCCGACTTCGAAGTGCGCATCGATGAAATCACGCAGCAGTTGTGCGCTGCCGCTGAAGAGGTAGGATTCTTCAGCATTATAGACCATAGCATATCCCAGACCCAGGTAGACACAATGTTTGCCACATCCGAGTCCTTTTTCGCTCTGCCAGAAGACATCAAGCGCACGGTTCCTTGGAATCCTCAGAATGTAGGATATGAGTGCCGGTCACAAATCCGGCCATCCACGGGAGCACCGGATCAGAAAGAGTCGTATCAGCTCCAGTTCGGGGAGAACATGAAAGGGCTATGGATGTCAGATGAGCATGTTCCGGGATTCCAGACCAAATCCCTCGAGTTTATGCACAGCCTTCAGAAGGTATCAGAGAGATTGATGATTTGCTTCGCTAGGGGGCTAGGCTTCCCTAATGATTTTTTTGTCAAGGCCCACGACGTTACCAGGCCAGACTGTCAGACTGTTCTCCGCTTACTACATTATTTCGAAACCCCAAAGGACAAAAACAGCCAAACAGCCTATCATCGAGCCGGTGCGCATGCCGACTGGGATCTTCTGACTCTCTTATTCCAGCGCGAGGGCCAAAGTGGGCTAGAGATTTGTCCAGGCAGAGAAGTCGTTACCGACTTTGCTTTGGGAGATTCCTGGACAAAAGTGGAATTTGAGCCAGGGAGCATCATATGCAACATCGGCGATCTGCTCATGAGCTGGTCCGACGATCGCTTCAAGAGCACTTTCCACCGAGTCAAGGCTCCGGAAGAGGACGGTGACTACTACGGGGAGAGGTACAGCATTGCGTTCTTCAACCAGCCTTGCAAGGACGCACTTATCCAAGGGCCCCAGAAGAAGTATCCGATGGTGACGGGCCAACAATTCACCGCCAATGCTATGGAGCTTCATTACAAAGGCTTGAAGCGTACTTTGGAACACAACACCACTGAGAAGGTGGTTGAGAGCCAGCCAAAATTGGAGACTGGAATTGCTGTCCAATCTGAAGCATGAACCTAAGACTGTCATTGTCGTCTTGCAGAGAACGGAATTCATTCATTTTCAGACATCTTGATTTAATTGACAAATTTGCTTGATTCTTTCTCGAAAACCTATTAAAGACCCAGCTTAGATTTCTCCGGAAGTGATGCCATGCCATCTAGCTATGTAGGCGAGTTAGACTCAGCTATTTTAGAATCGAAGATGTAAGGTTGTATGGCCGGCCGGAATGATTACATCTTCTCCACCCACCAAGACTGCCAGGCGCAAGTTGCAACCTGTTCCAAAGGAAGAATTCTTGGTAATCATCGATATCGGACCGGATAGCAAAGAACCTTTGTTTAATCAAATGGTGACAGTAGCATCGGATGGTTGCAATATCGTGCAAACGCTTACCATTGGCCGATAAGCAGCCGATCTCGGGTTTCTTATCTCGGTTCGGCCGAGGCAGAGGCAGAGGCCGAGAGCCACCCTGTAGCGATGGATGATGATGCCCGCCCTTGATCCAGCGTGCGATTAGAAGTATATCAGTATTTTGCAATGGGTGGCATATTTGTGACGGAGATGGCATAAACGGTGTCTTGTTTCCGGAATATTTCATCACAGCTCTTACTGTTATCCATAGGCATTGTGACAATAACTTGAGCACGCACACTTGGTTCCATCATCAACATGCCTTCTATAACATATACAACCAGTGCTACTTTCACAGTTGAGCCTCTTCCTAAAGAGGCAACAAAGAAAACCAATTTCGGTGCCGTTATCCATGACCTAGATCTTAGCAATATCAGTGGTATGACTCTTGTCAAGCATCAATAGCTTCCCCTCACTGACCACACCGAGACAGATACCGATGTGGATGCGCTCAAAAAAGCTATTTGGGAAAAGAAAGTGGTAATTGTAAAAGGCCAGAAAGATCTTCTCCCACTCAAGCAGTGGGAACTGGTCACGCGCTTTGACCCGGACGCGCCCAAAGTACACTCGCATGGCAGTCTGAAGACATTCAACAAACAGGGTGGCATCTTGTCTGTAAGTTGCCTTTCACATTGAGGGATCAGCTAGCCATTTAGCCTTATCCCAAACGGCTCATTCGTATACTTACTTATCATCTTCTAGACAAGCCGCGACGTGATTGGCATCCCGGGAGCTGAGAACGTGCGCTTGATTGGCAAAGGCTACCAAGGAGCTGATCATTATGGAATCAAAGATAAGACAGTCAAAAAGCCTCTGAGCCATGACTGGCATGTTACCGAACTCCCAGCTGAGGATTTTGAGAGCGGCCACACTCGCTTTCAAAGGTGGCACCTCGATGCTCCCCTATACGAGCGTGACCCCGCGTGGTTTACTACCCTCCGGTGCATCAAGCGACCTACGTCGCCCAAGGTCACCGTTCACTGGGATGATGGATCCGGGCAGGCACTGGAGACAGAGCCAGGATTGACGGCATTTTTCAGCAACGTGCAGACGTATGACTTGATGACACCTGAAGAGAAGGCCATGGCCGACCACAGCTGGGTTGAATATGCCCCGCACCCGTATCAGTGGATGGGTAGTTGTCGAGGAAATCCAAATGGTCTTGGTGTCGCTTGCCAAGGTTACGAGAAATCGTTGGAAGAGCTTGGAGAGTGGGACCCCGAATTTGTGAAGCGCTACCCAATGGTTTGGGTGAATCCGGTCACCGGAGAGAAGGCATTCATGGTCCACGGCATTTGTGTCCGTAAACTCTTCATGAGGTCGTCGGCAAAGGAGGAACCGAAGGTGATTGACAAGGTCGAGGAGATCAGAAGCTGGCTCAAACCTATTCAGGAACGTATTCTGCGTCCGGAATACATCATGCTTCCAGAAGTGGAGGAAGGTGATATTGTCATGTGGGCCAATTGGCAATGTTTCCATACCGCCATTGATTATCCGGATGCATATGGTCCTCGAACGATGCATCAGGCCAACGTGAGTGCTTCTTCAGCACCCGTTGGCCCTGTCCCAATCCCCACCCATGGATGAACTAGGATTCCATTGATCAAGAAAATCCAATATGTAGACTGATAACTCAAGAATTACTATCTTAGAATTAAGGCTAGTATATGATATGATTGAATGGGTTTAAATATTGCGCATATTGTCTACTCGCAATAGAACGCAATTACAATGTTCTACGTGAAGTGTCTAAGGAGGCAATAGTCTCAACTCTATATCTCAAGGCTTTAAACGACAGGCCTAGATGAAATTGGAGGCTTTGCGGATATTTTCTTTATCATCACAGTGCTGTGTCTGTTAAGACGTAGAGATATGGCGGCATTGGCCCTCCCATGCCGTCTAGTGGTCACATACACCATTATTTGACCCTTTTGCCAATATCAGTCATTTCAAATAATTACCAACTAAGAATTATCCTTTTCAATTCACTCACTTTTTGACGCATTATGTTCATCCAGGATACAAAGTATTACCACATGATGGAAAAGAGAAGCAGTTGTATTTATAGCTCAGCTATCGAGGTGTGTAGTCTCCGTAACGAGATTACATCAAGGAAAGACGCAAAGAAATCTTTGGTGTATTTGAAAGAAAGCCACCTCATCCGGAGGGGTGATCACTTGCCGCAACGTTACATTGGTGCATAATTCTATGGCCGTATGACTTTGGGAACTCCGTCTTTATAGGTTGTCTATCAGCAATAGCTCTCTCGTCTATTTTGGGCACACTCACAATAGAATGCCACAGGGCGCGATTGTACCAAAGTATTACGTCCTGCTCTTCGTGTCGATGGGCGTATATGTTTTCAGGTTCCAGAGCAGGCCTCATAATTCTGTTCGTTGTAACCCGGGATCAGCTTCAGCACGAGGCTACAAAGATTCTCTAACTTACTTGTTCATAAAAGCTCTAACTTCTTTTAGGTCGTCCACCACTTTCTCCTCTGCCTCCGGTGCGCTCTTCAGATACAGCTTCAAGGCTCCCTGCCCATGAACCTGCAGCGACTTCTCGCCCGTAACGGGGTTTGTCCATACCATTGGGTAGATGCACACGTGCTCTGGTTTCCAAGGAGGCAGTTCGTCCAACGGTTTCTCCAAGCCCTCGGTTTCGATTAAGTGGCCCAGTCGCGAGCTATGCGCTGTCGACATCCAAATGAAAGCATGCGGCGCGTATTCAATCCGGCTATTCAAGACGATGTTACGAGTTTCTTCATCCAAAACCTCCAAAGCCCGAGAGCCCTCAACCATGGCGGTAGCTCCTGGCGAGATGGTCATACTTGTGCCCGTACCGTCGTCCCAACGGACATTTACGTCGGGACCCTTGGGAGTCCGTACAGCGAGTAGGCATCCTACTCTAGGAGGAGGAATCTTATAGAGCGCACCGTCGAAATGCCACTGGTAGAATCTGCTCGCGCCCTTCTCACGTTCCTCTGAGGGAATGTGAGGGGGTAGATGGAACTCTTCATGATCAATTCCTTGGATTTCGAAATCAGGCGGAAAAGAATAATGATTCTCCGGAACGGGCCCACGACCTAAGATATGCACTTGCGGCTGCACAGGGATGGCTGGACGCTTCGGGATTCCATATATGTTGACGCCGTTGTGGGTTGCCAACAATGGGTCAGCGCCATGGGCAAACCCGCCGGTTTTCTCGTCAGGATCAAAGCTGCACAGATCTCAGTATCTCCACCAAAAAGTCATGTATAACGGGAGCATACCTTGAGGTGAGCTTGTATTGTTGTTCGGGCTTCAACATAGCTGGCTGTTCCTTGAACACAAGGAGCTTATGGCGATGCAAAGCATCATGGATGAACTCGAAATCGGCATCAGTGAAGTTATTCAAGTCGATGCCGTAAACCTCAGCACCGAACTTCACATTTTTGGATGGATCATGCTGGATCGGCACAATCTTCCCATTGGACTTCTGAGCATGGGGAAGGTGGAAGGTTGTCTTTTGGGGTGCAAGCAGTAAGCTGGCCTCTTCTTCTGTGACCACGGCTGTGATAACCATTGTTTCGTTACTTTGAGATTGTTATAATGCACAAGTTGAACGTTTGGGTACTTCGAAAGTTTTGTTAGATAGATATACCCCAGATGCCGGTTCACATGAACGAAGTTTACTCATTAAATTTAAGAGTCGATATTGCCCAGGCCATCCATTGCGAGATTCCGTGCATCTGTTCGGCCGAGGTAGATATAGATAACGGATAATCAGACACGGGGCACATAATAAAGCGCATCTATTGGAGGGACCCGCTCAACCTCGGGCTCGGCCGAGCCACCTCAACCATCATCGTCCACCACAATGACCTCTGTCCTCTTTCCCTATTTCTTTTTCCGCCTCATCATCTTTGTCAGCGAGCACCTAAACTGTGTCATTGATTCCTAGAGGCTTTCACCAAAGGATATCATGGCATCTAAATATGTCGAGACAGCCTCCTCAAGGAAACTACATTGTCTTCAGACTGGTGATCCGAAAGGACAACTCATAATCTGCCTCCACGGCCTGGGAGGCTCTACGGAAACTTTCAAACCTCTTCTGCCCAGCGTACCACAATCCCACAATATTGTCTGTTTGGACTTCCCTGGCTTCGGCGAAAGCCCTGCTCTAGCTGAGCGTCCGACGGTTGCCAGCTATGTGTCCGACCTGCACGATGTCATCACATTCTTCCAAGCAGGTGATAAGAGCCCACAAGGCTCTCAAAAGGTAAGCTGAGTTTATGTACCAACTAGTTCTGCCGGATCTCCCTGTTGTTCCTTTTGACTGATCCCAGTCAAAGGTAATCTTGATCGGGCATTCCCTCGGATCGGCCATTGTGCTGCACTTTTCTGCCCAGTATCCTTCTCTTATTGCTGCGATTTGCCTCCTCGGAGCCACCCGATCGGCTTCTCACATTCCTGTCGTGCAGGCCAGAATGCTAGACATGGCAAAGAACACTCGGGAGAAGGGTGCGGCGTGGGCAGCCGAGCTCGCCAGCAGATCGAACTTCCCGCCGCCGGAAATGCGCGATGTGGACGAAAAGCTGCGAAAAGAGGTGTATGATGCTGTAGCTGCGTCAGACGCTGAGGGTTACGCATTGACCTGCGAGATGATGGCGGACAACTCACACAAGGATCCAGACTACACTAAGATTAAGTGCCCAGTGCTTCTAATCGCGGGGGACCTTGATGTCATCAGTCCAGTAGAGAGGTCAAAGGGTCTAGTTGATATCATAGGACCGGACTTGTGTACACTAGAGATTGTCAAGTCTGGGCATCAGCCAATTGTGGAAGAACCGGATGCTGTTGCGCGAGCCGTGGGACAAATGCTCCGAAAAATCCAGGCTTGATGCGATATTCACAGGTATCTCTGATATGATTTAACTTAGTAAGATACGCCTAGAGAGATCTAACAGCCTCCTTTATACTGAATGATCTCTGGATATTAAGTCTACTATTGCTATGTAACAGAGCTATATCGACAAGTCTTGGCTTGCTAAATAGAACAAGTTCTCTATGCTCTCCTCATCAAACGGACCCGCATCGAAAAAGCTGTCGGCAAGTGAAATCGAGTTGGCCGCGGTGGGTGCTTCAATCTGCGAAGTATGGATAGCCTGGGCTCTCTGATCATTGCAAAATGCCTTCACAAATGCCGGGACGTTAAAAAGACGTGGCTTCTTTTGGCAGCGCATATTGCTTTCGTCAATGTCGTCGCTTGAGGTCCTTTTGGATCCTTGAGGGGCCACAGTCCCAGATACCTCGTCATAGAGAGACGTGAGAAGCTTAACGCCCCTAGCAGCAATGGTGCTATTTCGGCACTTGTGAAGCATTCTAACCATGTCTTTGATAAGTTGTAAATGTTCAGCATTGCTTGGCTCGCCTGGTCCGGAGTGAAAAAGATCTAAAATCAAAATGATCGAGGCGGCGACGGCAAACGCCTGATGTATCCATAACACCGGGCCATCCTCTTCAAACACACACTTATACTCTTTCATGATGGTCTTGGAAGCTGATAGGCAGGTCTTCCTCGTGAATGCGAATGCTGGGTTAGAGAAGCTCTTGGAAAGGAAAGATCGATGGATCATGATGATCTTGTGAGCCGAGGAGATGGCCAACGACCTTCGGGCCCAATGAACCCACACTGGCCAGTCCGGTTCTAGGGGTATACTTGACAAGTATCTTGGTCGGTTCGTAATCGCGATTGTGCGCAGTTGCTTGTCCCACTTCAGGACCTGCTCATATTTCGTGAACAGTGTATTGCAGGACATGAGCCCATCCTGTAGTTGGGGCATGATCCGTGCGATCTTGCCCAGAAATCTTGAGTAGCCAGCAACCGTGGGTATGGAATCTGGCAGAGACGTGAGATGCCCATCGTGGCAATTAAGTGGCGGCTCCGATTTGGAGTACGCCGGATTAATGAGATATGTGTCGGAAAATGGAAGACTGAACCAGTCTTGACAACATATCTGTGACCAAACACGGCGCCCTGCCTCCTTTTCTACTTCTCCCCCAGGGACAGTAGCAGTAAGGCGATGAATACCAAGGCTCTGTGCGATGCGTACAGAAGCAGCGAGGTAAGTCGATTGGAGGTTGGAGAAACCAAGCATATGGGCGGATAGGGTTAAAGTAGCGATGGCCTGGATCGAGAGGATTGAATGGTTGGAGGCAAAGTCGGCTTTGTTGAGGCAAGTTATTGCAGCCTGGAACCATCGCTTTGAGAGAATTTCCCTTTCCCTCTCGTCAAATCCAAATCTTTCCGCTGCTTCAGCAGGGAGGCATGTGATGCTCCCGGCCAGGACAGAGAATAAGAAGGCTACCCATTGGAGATCGATACCCGGATGCTCTATTGAGCCGTCGCACTTGTCGTAGAAACTTTTCAATTGGCTCCTTAGCGAGGGGCCATAGTAAGAACAATGATACCACAACAGACAATTCTCGTGCCAAAGGACCAATTCCCACGTCTTCTGTGGCTCGGGAAGAAGAAGTTGGAGGACCGAGGTTTGCGATAGGTCATCAAGGTTGCCTTCATCTGAAGATGCGAGGTCGGAATTTGCTTGAGGAATCTGGACATCTCCTACAGTCGAAGCTTGGGTGATGGCTTCAGGTGATGTTACTGGCAAAAGATCCGGATTCTTTCTTCGGCCCCAAGCAAGAAATTCGAGTATGGATGCAGCGTCCTCAGCTACAGTATCTCCCGAGGGTGATTGGGACTCGTTCGCGGTCGCTTGATGTATAGGTTCTTCGTCGGCTGCAAGAATTCGGTGCATGGTCGGCTCTGGATATGACTCGTGTACGCTCGGAGATTGGGTCGGTCGACGTTGAAGTTCAGTTTCGAGATCAGTGATCCGACGCCGAAGCATCATTAGTTCTGATTCATCCTGTGCATCGATATTGACTGCCGGCGACAAGGCCGTTGGTAAGTGTGGCACAGTTGCCCGTCTCCCGTGAGTCCGAGCTTCATGTGCAGCAGGGTCTATACAACTGTTTTGTTCGCCTCTAGACAGTGAAACATCAGCAGCGTTCGGGGATATAGAGAGCATAGACCGAGAGAGGCTGCAGTGCTCACCTCCTGATACAATTCGAGCAGGGGACTGTTTTGGAGCATTTGACTTTGCGCCGTGTGCAAGAGGCGCAGGCGAGTCGATTCCGTGAACTATTCATTTGTCTGGATCGTGACGCTTGGAAGTTCATAGAGTACAATTGTGCTCCGATAGACGAGAAGCTCGGGCTCGGGCTCGGGAGGCGGCGGGGGACAGCGGCCAATTATCACGGACGCAGAGTCATTTCCTTATCATTGCCGTAGAACGTTTATCTCTTGGATGGCAATGACCAATCATCACAGTTGAGATTGCCCTCCAACTCGCCCTGGTTGTATGGGGCTTCTCCACAGTGTTATCTCCGATGTTGGAGATATCGATAGGCGAGCCAACAGTCCCCCTCCAGTTCCCCAGTTAATCATCTCACATTCCGGGGGGTGGGGGGGGGAAGACGTTCATATCTTTGTCGGGCTGGGACGGGTTGGACATAACCCTGGTGATGGTGACCCATGGAGTAGCTCCCGGTTATCAGGCTCGGAAATGTTTTGCCCATGATATATCTAGTAATGTCCTTGACGATGCTTTGCGACCAGATCTATCTAGCCTTTAGGTGTCCGTTGCTTGTAATCAAAGCCGTTCTCCCCTCTATCCATGACTCTATCCTCTCTACGGAGTAGCTCGGCCATGCTGTCTGCAGCCAAGAAGAAACTTGAGCTCCGACTCACTGAACCAGAAAGCTGGAAACTCCCGAAACAACACAGTAGCATTGCGCCACCGGATGTATGGACCAATGCAGACCAAGATCCCATCCCGCCAGAATTACGAACATGGACAGAGATGACCTTCATCACTTACTGGTACAGTGACCTGGTTACAATCAGTGGCTGGTCTGCCGCTGGCGCTATTCTGACTGCTGGGCTCTCTGCAACTGATGCAATCCTCATCACGCTAACTGCAGGCATTTGCAATGCCATTCCCACCGTATTGAATGGTGCCATTGGGTCGGATCTTCACGTTCCTTTCCCCATCGCCGTTCGCGCCAGTTATGGTTATTGGCTAAGCTACTTCTGTGTCATCAGCCGAGCCATTCTCGCCATGTTCTGGTTCGGTGTCCAAAGTGTCGGTGGCGGGCAATGCGTGACTGCGGTAATTAACTTGGCCCTATTCGCAAAAGATATGCGGCTGACATTCACAGATGATTCTGGCTATCTGGCCAAGCTATGCAAAGGTTGAGAATACCCTGCCCAAGTCTATCGGTATCACAACGCAAGGCATGGTGTCATACCTCATATATTGGCTGGTACAAACGCCGCTTCTTCTCATCCCTACACATAGACTGCAGCTGTTGTTTAATGCCAAAGCGGTTCTCGTCACACCCATGGCTCTCGCCATCGTGATCTGGATCGCGGTCAAAGCTGGTAATCAGTCTTCGGGCTTCTTTTATGCTCCTGCTACCGTCTCTGGTTCTACCAGAGCCTGGCTTTGGCTGTCTAATTTGGTAAGTCATCAGCCCCTGGAACGTGCACTCCTTATTACCTTATTATCCCTGACATCTGAGATATAGACATCTGTTACGGGGGGTTACACTACCTTGACAGTCAACATTCCCGATTTCTCGAGATTCAGCAAAACAAAAGGTGCAAATCTCTGGCAGCTTCCAGCAATCCCCTTCTTCAAAACGATTGTCGGCATCTTTGGTATTGTCGCCGCAGGGGCTGCCAAGGAGGTGTACGGGGAGGCGCTCTGGAACCCAATTGATATCATCAACAAGTGGCAGGACAATCCTGGCGGGCGAGCGGCTGCCTTCTTCTGCGCGCTCATCTGGCTCCTGGCACAGATCAGCGTCAACATCAGCGCCAACGGTGTTTCCTTCGCCAACGACATAGCTTCCATAGCGCCCAAGTGGTTCAATATCCGCCGCGGAGTGATTCTTGTCTCCTTCCTTGGCGGCTGGGCGTTGTGTCCTTGGATCATCCTGGCTTCCGCAAAGGCCTTTATGAGGTTCATGTCCGCATACGCCATCTTCATGGCCCCAATAGCAGGTATCCTGACCACCGACTACTGGCTCATCAAGCGTCGCAAGTACAATGTCCCAGCGCTCTACGATCCGCATGGTATTTATCGCTTTGGGTGGGGTGGCAATTGGAGAGCCCTGGTCACAACGGTTCTGATCATCACGCCTCTTTTACCTGCTCTTGGGCACGAAGTAAACCCCGAGGGCGTACCTGTCCCAGATGGTCTACAGAAGCTGTTCAAGTTTAACTGGATCTACGGGTTTGTGACCTCGATCGTGCTCTATTACACACTGAATATAGTTTCCCCTCATCGAGAGACCCTGCTACCTCAAGTTGTTTACGGGGATCAGCCCTCAATTGATGGAGTAAAACCCAACAGAGAAGTCTCAGAAACACGTACAGAGGACAAGATGGACGAGATTGAACCAGTCTAGCGTTGGCAAATAAGATGTTCAGCTTGCCTACTGGCCTAGCAAAGGTCCATGTCCTCTCCCGCATATCTTAGGACGAATTTTATGAATCACACATTCTTTCCATTTCAAACACGGGGTTTTGATTCGTCATATTCATCCAGTTGAACCTTACCTGCGATTAATAAGAAGAGAGTTTTGGCACATGAATATAGTTTCCACAACTTCAGGAGCTCACTGCTTCCGTGCTCATCATCGACAGGGGTCATTCCACTCTTGGTAGTGAATCTATAATCCAGAGGAGATTTAGACAGATCAATCGAAGTAGTTTGTCTCCAACTTATTTCGATTCTAGACTAGCTCCATTACAGTAACTCGGTTAATCTGTGTTCCAGAAGCAATGGTCAGTATGCTGTAGAGGGGTGGAAGGGGTAAACTGGCTGATTCCAGTCCCCCACATACCACGCCCGGATAGTGTGTGATGCACAGGGACCTACCTAGAACGGGCAGGTAAATAAGATCGTAGACAGCCCATGCGCCTTTGAAGCCTCTCGCTCAAGAAAGATAAAGCGTGAGGCAAGGTTAGACCTGTATTGCTGTTATCGGTAGCGATCCGATTATCCGGCCAGGGAAATTACCTTCTCAATGCAGACTCGATGGGTGGAATCAAACAATGAAATGCTGATCGTCGGTCAACGATCAGCTTGGGTAGTATGGCTAGGAGCAGCCAGCTAATGGATGCTTAACGTTGAATTGCTGTCTGTTGCCCATTATGCTATCATGACACAATCCAGCGGGGAACATCCTATATTTGAGTGATCTAACCTTCGACAGGGCATTCTTCTTGATCCCTTGGGTCGACATCGCAACACCACTCATTGGCCCTTCACTGCTACTGCAAGGTTGGGACACGCGCACTCCATGTAGGCAAAGTGTGCCAAGCACGTCTACTCAACGCTCGGCAGGGCAGTCCCGAATACTCCAAGCAAAGGGCAACCTCATCTCCAGCGTTCTGGCCGCCGAGCTGCAATTTGACGCGTCTTTTGCCTTCTGTCGGACGCACATGGGGGCGGAGAGCGATGTGACAGGCCCACGGATGAATCGGCATCTGGCCCGCTTAACCACATCGTTCGGTCTCTTCTGGTTGCTGATGCGCCTAATCCTTCGTAGAATCGCCCCATAGTTGGGTAGGGAGTGTCCAGTAATTCGCTTTGCAAACACGGGCATAGCCGTTGGTGGTACAGGCACGTTCCTGGAGTTCCTGGTCCCATCGCGACGGTAAGGACCCGCCTCATCAAAAGGTCCCTGGCCAGATGCGTTATCTCTGACATGCCTTTGAGCTCGGACGTCGCCGATGTATTTATTGATATGTAGGTTACCGATCAAAGGCTATGTTCCCGTGTTTTGCTAGAGTGACCATCTGCATCGCAGCCTTGGGAGAAACTCCATCATGAAGTCGGTTCTCGCTCTCACCAGCATCACCGCGCTCCTCGGCAGAGCCGTTGCCTGCGGTGGCGATGACGATGGCTGCTATGGCCCAATTGACAAGGTCGAGCACGTCCGTCTTGTCAAGCGTATCCAGCCCGGTGCTCCCGGCGCTCCTTATGGCCCAAAGGGACCTCTAGAATGGGGCCAGATCAATTTCATGCACACTGTACACCATCTCCCTTAACTCAATGCTTGCCAAGAAGAAGGAAGAAGCTGACCAGCCGTGCTATGAAAAGACCGACACTCATGGGTGGCTTGCTGGCCATCTGAAGGAGGAGAATTATGGTGCTGATTGGGGAGATTTCGCAACCTTCACCCGTCGCATGAGGCAGAATGCCGATGACTTGGGCGTCGACCTCCTGTTGGTCGACACTGGTGATCTTCACGACGGCGCTGGTCTCTCTGACGCTACCACCATCGATGGCACCAAGTCCATGCCCATCTTTAGCGAGATCGAATACGATCTTCTCACGATCGGTGAGAGCCATCCGGAAATTGGGGACGAGCCATGACTTACTAGTGGAGAACAGGAAACCACGAGCTGTACGTGACTGAAGTTGCCAAGCAGATGTTCAACGAGTATGCCAAGAAATGGGGGGATCGCTATCTCACTTCCAACGTCAAGGTCTACAACGATGCGACCAAGCAGTATGAGCATGTGGGAGCCACCCACCGATACTTCACCACCAAGCAGGGCATCCGTATCATGGCTTTTGGTGTCTTGTTCGATTTTACTGGTACGTGATCGGACGACTCGACCAAACTGCGTCATCCACTGACATGCTTGCCTAGGAAACTCGAATGCTTCTCAGGTCATCAAAGCCAAGGACATGGTCAAGGAGACTTGGTTTCGGGATGCCATCCACACTGACAAGCCAGTTGATCTGTTCGTCCTCTTGGGACACAACCCTGTCCGCCAAACCGACTATGCCAACACATTCACCACGGTGTGGAATGAGATCCGAGCTGTTCATAAGAACACTCCCATCACCATCTTCGGCGGTCACTCCCACATCCGCGACTTCGCAGTCTACGATCAGGCCTCCGTAGGAATCGAAGCTGGTCGCTACTGCGAGACTCTTGGATGGGTCTCGCAATCCGGATTCAGCAAGTGCAACAGCGGATATCACGGAGCCAAAAAGCCGGATGGCAAGAAGCTCACACGTAAGGCCACGGATAATTCCACAGCCCCATGGGCGTACTCTCGTCGATACCTGGATTGGAACCGAAACACTTTCATGTACCACACCAGTTCCAACAACAATTTCGACTCTCAGACTGGCCTCAAGATTACCCAGGAGATCACCACCGCCCGCAAGGACATGAACCTCGGTGAGGTCTACGGCTGCGCTCCTGAGACATACTGCATCTCTTGCGTCCCATTTGATGACCCAAAGAACATCTTCCCGGGTGTGATCAAGCCCGCGGTGAACGCCATTGTTCTCAACGAGGCCCGCAAGGACAAAGCCCGTATGATCATCGGAAACACGGGCGCCATTCGCTTTGACCTGTACAAGGGCCCCTTCACATACGACGATAACTTTGTCGTTTCGCCCTTCCGTGACGTTTTCCGTTATATCCCCGACGTTCCTTTCGACAAGGCCAGCCAAGTGCTTGCAAAGTGAGTGCATCATAAACCCTGAGGGTGAGTGATCAGAATCAACAAGAATACTGACATGTGTCCATAGGCTGAACAAGGGCACCGTTGCTAAGCGTGAATTTGCCTCTATGCCTATCACCCGTGATGACTGTGTTGATCCCCTCGTCGGTGCTCTGACCCTCCGCGATATGCACCAGGAGCGCGGTATTGTCCGTCGTCAGGAGACCATCACCCCCGGATACGCCACCAAGGATGACTGGGGAACCGATGGTATGATTATTAAACAAGGCAATAGTGGTGATCGTTTGCTAATTATGTGTTGATAGGTGATGATACGGAGCATACTGGTATTCCCAACTACAGCATCCCCAGTTACTGGGAGTCTCGTGCCGGGTTCCCTACTGGATCCGATCCTGAGAAGGTTGATCTGATCTTTTTTGACTTGTTAGTGATACGCAAATGACGGCCAAAGACTGTTGATCGGGATGCTAATGAGCGATTCAAGCATTGAGAAATACGTTTTGCAGGATCTCGGCTCCGGCTTCACTTCCGATATGGTTTCGTGCTACATCAACTGCACATTCACTTCTCAAGGTAAGTCTCCGCTCTATTCGTGCTGAAAAAAGAACAAGTACTTATCATTTCATGACAGACTTCATGCTGCCCTATGCCAAGCTGATGTGGCAGGACAACATCGACAACTGCCCCATCGGCGCTTAGGTAGTGAGGCGGGATGTGGTGTGGGAAATTGTATAGTAGAATGACGTAAATCGATGACCAAGTAAATAATATTATTGATGTTGATGAGATCAGAGGCTTGTCAACTTGAATGTGACGTTCGCAACCACAAGGCCGTGATGGCGTTGTCTGGCTGCACCATAGTGGGGGAAAAGAGAATTATATAAACCTTTTTATAATGCGCTCTCATACCCCCTTCTAGTACTGAGCCTAAGAATCAAGTTTGGCAAAGGTACCCGCTCAATTTCGGTACCGAGGTGACGTCCACAATAGCTGTAGTCCAACAGTGGCTGCGTGCAGAACGGTTCCTCACAACCAACGCCGGTGATATAACCATACTAGACTCCCAAACGATTTACTCGGCGCAGTGGAACCCCTGTCAGTATATGCAGAATTAATTGGCCTGAGCCATTAAAAAACTTGGAGTCTCCTTCCTACTCATCGCTGAGGTGAGAAGTGACAGGGGCTCGAGGGTGGGCTAGATTCCGGCCAAGCTACCTCGCACACCTGAACAACATCAAAAGGAGAGCTACGGAACACAGTTAGAGGAAACAACATGCCGTAGTGACGTGCTGCATTAGCCTGAACCCAAATGAGCCAATTACAGGCACGACATTGTAATCTCCCCACACTCTGGTCCTCGTCATGGCACCCTGATGGCCTCGACAGCTGATAATTTGGCACCTTGATGGTCTCTTGCCTAAGTCGATTCGATGTAATCTTGAGGCATGATGCGATAAGATGTTGTTTTTGGTCAGCATGGCTTGATTTTTGTGCGTGCAGGCAATGTTTGTGCTTTAGGGTTCGCTTTAGACGAGGAACAATGGCCACTCCTAGGATCTTAAAATGGCCAGCGGCTGAGAGCCGGTCTTCTTCTCTTCTCTCTCTTCTTTACATGCTCATAGTTGATCCTTCTCTGTTTAATTGACAAACCCGTTCCAATTCGACTTGCATATTCTTGTGTTGAGCGTCCCCTTGCCAGACTACCCTCCAACGGACAACAATGGGCAAACGCAGAGCCCAAGCCAAGCCAAAAAAGGCTGCCCCAAAGACAAAGGTTCCGCCAAAAGCCTTGCCCGTCACATTGCTTTCAGGATTCTTGGTATGTGGCAATGCCCTATAATTCCAGCTGGCTTGCTGAAGTTGTGGCTAATTGCGGTGCTTTATTCTAGGGTTCTGGCAAAACTACTCTCTTACAGCACATCTTGAAGACTGAGCATGGCCTCCGGATCGCCGTCGTCGTCAATGACATTGGAGCGTAAGTCTGCCTCACTCCCACAAACAACCCCGTGTCTGAAAGATGGGCTGTCCGGCTAACCTCTCATAGCATCAACGTCGACGCCTCCCTAATCAAACAAACCCACCGAATCAATCAGACAGAAGAAAAGGTCATCGCTCTTCAAAATGGATGCATCTGCTGTACCCTCCGCGGCGACCTCCTCGAAGAACTTGTCCGGCTTGCTCAGCTACAAGAGTTTGACTACATCATCATCGAAAGCAGTGGCATCTCTGAACCTGAACAAGTGGCCGAGACTTTCGACTCTCGCCTAGCCGAGCAGATGGATGCCATGGGAAGCCTCGAAGGTGAACCTGGTCTTGATGAAGACATGCGTAAAGTCCTGAACCAACTGTGAGTTCCCCATACCGCTTTTCATTATTCCTGGCTGATTGACTGACTGGGCTCTTGTTTAGGAAAGAGGCTGGTGGCCTAGAAAAGTTTGCCCGTCTCGACACCACCGTGACAGTCATCGATGCCTTCACTATGATGAACGATTTTGACACAGATGACCTACTGTCCAACCGTCGTGATGACGTTACTCCGGAGGACGAGCGTACTGTATCCGATCTGATGGTTGACCAGATCGAGTTCGCCGATGTCATCGTTCTCAACAAAACAGATATGGTATGGCAAGCATCTCTTCTCACGTGCGAGATCCAAGTCAGCTAATGATTCTTTGAATGACAGGTCAATAAGAGCACCAAGGAGCGCATTCTAGACTTAGTCAAGAAGCTCAACCACCGCGCCAAGATAATCGAGGCTAGCTACGGCAAGGTCGATGTCAAGGAGCTTGTCAACACCGGCATGTTCAATCTTCAAGTGGCTCAGACTGGCTACGGGTGGCTCCAAGACCTTCATGCGATGACAGTACGAGAGGTACGTAAACTCAAGAAGCTAAGCTTATACTCACGATTCAAGGGCTAATGTCTTGTGCACAGGTCAACGGCAAGAATGTGGTCACTCCCAAGCCTGAAACAGAGGAGTACAACGTCCGCAGCTGTATCTACACACGGCGCAGGCCATTCCATCCCCGTCGACTCTGGGCTCTGGTGTATGACAAGTTTATTCTCCAACTAGAGCACCCAGAGGATGGGGAGGAGGAAGAGGAAGAGGACGACGAAGAAGACGAGGACGTCGTGATGGTCGACCATGAGGATGCTGATCAGGAAATGGATAACGATAGTAACCATGGTTCTTCCTCTTCTCGCGAGAATGCCGGAGGATCGTCCCCTCGGAGCAGCCACTCCAATACAGAAACAGTCCAGACAATCCCCTCGCCAACACTTCAGTCCAAGAAGATGCCTAAGAAGTCGCAAGACATTGAATCATCAGACTTGGATGAGCTCTTCACGCCCGACAACGAGGTAATTCTCCGGAACAAGCGCAATCATCCTGTTTTTGGTCGCCTCTTCCGCTCGAAGGGCGAGTTCCTCTTAGCCACTCGACCACACCGCGCCGGCGACTGGTCCCAAGCTGGTACCATGTTGACCATGACTGGTGGTCGTCCGTGGTTCTGTACCTTGCCAGAGGAAGAGTATACCACTGGAGACGGCGAAGTCGACAAGCTGGTGCAGCACGATATCGAGCAGGGCGGCGAGTGGGGAGACCGTCGCCAAGAGCTGGTGTTCATCGGAGAACGACTGGATCACAAGGCAGTCGAGGCGCTTCTGGATGAGTGTCTCTTGACTGACGAGGAGTTCGAAGAATGGAAAAAGGTGATGCGTAACGGTGTCATGAGCGATTCAAAACGGCAGGAGGTCCTGGAAGAGTTGTTCGAGGATGGATTTCCTGACTGGCCGGAGGATGACGAAGACCATGAAGGTCATGATCATGCGCACCCGAATGGGCTGCGATCCATCAAGCTGGAGCTGCAGGAGGTAGATTGATTAAATCAAGATCGAATGTACGTCGAGAATAAATTAAAGATGACAAATGTCTATGAGGAAGACTCTCTGAAGGGCCCAGACGATCTATGAGATGAAGCAGCCACGACTGCATCGTAATAGCATAGCTACTTCCACTTAGTCATAATTTGCTCATTCATTCGCAGTCGTAAAATCCCATTTCCCTCGAGTGAGTGAGATGAAATATGGGAATCAGCATACGTATATCCTGGTGCATCACCTCAAACCAGTTTCGAATCTGCGGAAAATCCGGCCCATATTGGGTCAGTCATTGGCGCCACGCCCTGAACAAGTGGTGTTACTCCTTGATAAATAACTTGCTCTTCCAAAGGATGGGGCCATCACATCCAGGGGTGAACCTGAAACATCTCTTCCATTCCTATATCCGGTGCCTGGAGGCACAGCTCCCGTTCCCCGATCGGTTTGTGGGACCACCAAGCACAATCGAATGACGCTACAGAAATCACAGTCGATCTATATTGAAATAAATAATGAAACTAGGTACAATGGTATAAATATTAGAACCGTAGTCCATGCAAATACAGTTGCTCAAGCAGCTTTCTTTTTGGAGACGCAGGAGTTTGTCGTTCCTTTCTTAGCTCCCTCTGTGACTACCACATTCTTTATTTGTTCAACTCCTGGCGAGAATCGTTCAACAAATTTCAATAATGAAGTTCATCATCTCCTTTGGACTGGCAACCCTGGTGGCTGCCGCTCCGTCTCAGAACCCAACAAGAACCCAACCTCTTGAAAAGCGTGCTAGCACTCTCTGTGGGCAGTGGGACTCGGTCGAGACCGGTGGATATACCATCTACAACAACCTCTGGGGCCAGGATAACGGATCTGGCTCACAGTGCCTGACAGTCGAGGGTGTTACTAACGGCCTGGCTGCATGGTCGTCAACGTGGTCTTGGAGCGGTGGCTCGTCTAGTGTCAAGTCGTACTCCAACGCTGTTGTTAGTGCCGATGCTGCTAGAATCTCTGCTATTTCTTCTATCCCTTCGAAATGGGAGTGGAGGTAACTATCATCACGTGTCCTGATATTATACTTAAAGGGCAGTCTTGAGCTAATCGGCGTCATCCTTCTAACAGCTATACTGGAACCGACATTGTGGCCAACGTTGCATACGATCTTTTCTCCAACACAGACTGTGGCGATACCCCTGAATACGAGATCATGATCTGGCTGAGCGCTCTAGGTGGCGCAGGTCCCATCAGCTCCACTGGCTCATCCATTGCTACAGTTACTCTTGCCGGTGCATCGTGGAACCTGTGGAAGGGCCAAAACAACCAGATGACTGTTTTCAGCTTCGTAGCAGCGTCCGACCAGAACAGTTTCAGCGGTGATTTGAACGACTTCATCCGGTATCTTGTAGAATCTCAGGGATATTCGGGCTCTCAATGCTTATACTCAATCGGCGCTGGCACCGAGCCATTCACGGGTACCAATGCTGAGTTCATCACAACTGGTTACAGTGTTTCGGTATCTGCCGGCGATAGCGGCAACGATGAGACAACACCTTCTCAGGCTCAATCAAGCAGCGTCGAAACCTCTACAGCAACTCAGCCTCAGCCCAGTAGCACGGCAACCCCCACTGTCACACTGTCTCAACCATCCAATGAATCAACTACTACACCAGCGCAATCTCAGCCTAGCAGCGTGGAAACTACTCCAGCGGCTCAGCCTCAACCGACCAGTGGAACAACAACTTCAGCCCAAGCTCAGCCTACCTCCGGAACGGGCTGCTCCCGCCGCAGGAAGCGCAGAGTTAGTGTCTAGTGTGGCATACACTTTGATCGCCGGTGAATTGCTGCAGGGCGGCCATGAGCCTTTGTCAATGGGGGGATGGTCTTGGTATTGGAGATTGAGCTAAGTTGCGTACGAGCCCAGCTCCTGATAATCGCAGTCTTTGTTTGTTAAGGTAGTACAGAAAATTCACTCCGTTCCAGTCGTTCCTGTCACTTTGTCACGATCTTTTCATTCCCAAGGTTTAAACAGGCTGTAAAGTTATGAATCTGACTCAGATCTTGCCGCTACATGATTCAGCACTAACTATTCCAAACTAACTCATCTATAAAATGACACGGATGTGAATTTAATGGAATGGCGATTGATCTCGATACTTTGTACGCAGTGAAGCCTGAAAATTCTGTAACCAAAGACGTCTTTCCAGCACGCTGAAGCTCCGATGTAGGGTAGAATCCCTGTTTGCTCTCTCATCAACACAAACACAACTTCGAGTTACATTGCGTCATAAAGCCAAGATGAGACGCCTTCGTGGCTACAAGCGGGGTAATCAAGTAAGAGTCACTGATTCTAATATTGCAGTGACCGGGTACAGCAGCCAGGTTGGTGTAACATGCACTGGGTTCGTGCTTACGGTGGTAATATGTCGCGATTTATTCCTCTCAACAGGCAGCATCTTATCTGTCAAGTCTGTTCTGGAAGATGGGGATCGGTTGAGTCGTGTGCGTGACGGCCTTTTGTTGTGGTGACAGGATGAGGAAAGGATCTGCCACTTATTCCTCCGAAACGTTGCACTAATCCCGCTCTGTTCTTCAAATGACGAGCAATGACAATCGCACTTTGCAGACGGCAGGGTTCAAAGCACTCCTGTGGGGTGATCTGACGAGGACTGGGGGTTCCATACCCCGGCAGATGGCAAACATCCCCATCTCACCCGGGTAGATCGGAACGCTTGGCCACCGCGGGCGTGCAATCGGCACTTCCAGCTGGACTAACCCAGAACTTTTGTTGGTGGGAGCTCTTTTGGAAGCTCCTGTAGCATCGGTAGGCCTTGTACTCGCCGTCGCAAATGCCGTTGTTACCGAATTCTGGCCCCGGCGCAGGGCAAGCTCGCAAAAGGTCTCGTTCATCACCCAATCCGCGAACATTTGTGATTCGTGCGCCACCGCTTATTATCTCAATTCCCTGATGGGACATAGTTCGTGATTGCTGGGTTATACACAATGATACAGGGCTATCCCGCCTGCCATCCGCATAAATAGCCCGATGGCGCCCATCTCTACTTGAGTATCATCAGCCTCACTCTTCTCCAAACCTCTCTTCACCTCTCTCACGATGCGCTGTAGCTTGATAGGGGCTGTTTTGGCCTTTGGAGGCTTCTCCCAGGCGGCCTTCAACCAGGGAGCTCTGCGAGCGTTCAATCGCGTCCAGCAATTTGAGCAGAGATGGGAAGCAGTTCCAGCTGAGCAACCAGCCTTCCAGGCTCGGGCAGCACCAAGGTTTCTCACCAACAAGACTGAGAAGTTCGCTGTTGACGGTACATCCATTCCAGAGGTGAAATTCGACATTGGCGAGTCATACGCCGGCTTGCTCCCCATTTCTCAAGCGGCCAATGAGACCAGAGAGTTGTATTTTTGGTTCTTTCCCAGCACCAACGCCTCAGTTGACGATGAGGTTGTGATTTGGTAGGATACTCTCCATGACTGAAGTTATGTTCTCCATGCTAATTTTCATTGGACAGGTTGAACGGAGGACCAGGCTGCAGTTCTCTCAGCGGTCTTTTGACTGAGAATGGCCCCTTCCTGTGGCAGGATGGTACTCTTGCTCCTGTTCCCAACTCTTATAGTTGGACCAACCTGTAAGAATCATCGCATCTTTCTGTCACTGAGTGTTTAGGGCTGACCGGAAATAGTACCAATGTGATCTGGATTGAGCAGCCGGTAGGCGTTGGATACAGCCAGGGAACGCCCAATATCACCAACGAGGTGGAACTTGGTCTTCAATTCATTGGGTTCTGGAAAAACTTCATTGAGACGTTTGATCTCCATGGAGCGACAACGTACATCACCGGCGAATCATACGCTGGCTACTACGTTCCATACATCGCCGACGCCTTCATCACAGCTGCCGATGATACGTACTACAAGCTTGGGGGTGTTGCCATCAACGACCCTATTCTTGCAGATGGCACCCTGCAGCAAGAAGTTGTCCTCCTGCCCTTCATTGAGTACTGGCAGAACCTCCTGAATCTCAATCAGACGTACGTCAATGCGCTGCGGTGGACTCATGAGCACTGCAACTATTCCACGTATCTGGATACCTATGCAACTTTTCCACCACCAGGCCCGTTACCCAGTCTTCCCGACCCTTACCAGGACCCCTCCGGAAACTACACTTGCGACATTTTTGATCTTGCGTACTACGCCGCGCTGGAAGCAAACCCGTGTTTCAACATCTACCACATTACCGACACATGCCCTCATACCTATGCTCAACTAGGCATTGTCAACTCGGTATGATAAAACATCTTCGATCCCAATTTTTTTTTGTGCTAACTCTGACTTCCTTAGGGCGACTACTCTCCCCCAGGCGCGCAAGTCTACTTCAACCGCACCGACGTGAAGAAGGCTCTCAACGCCCCCGACGTGGATTGGTACCAGTGCACGCCCAATAATGTCTTCGGTAACGGAGACCCCAATTCCAACGCCAGCGATTCATCTCTCGCCCCTGCTCAAAACAACGTTCTCGGCCGAGTCATCGACAACACCAACAACACGATCGTAGGTGTTGGTAGACTGGACTTCCTCCTTGCTCCCAACGGCACCCTCTTTGGGCTCCAGAACGTGACCTGGAACGGTCTCCAGGGGTTCCAGAAGTATCCCCAGGACAAGGAATTCCTAGTTCCATATCACGAGGAATACAACGGAGGAAGGCTTAGTGAGGCCGGCATCGTAGGCAACTGGGGTAAGGAGCGTGGTCTGACGTACTATGAGGTCCAGCTGGCCGGCCATGAGTTGCCAGGGTATACTGCAGGAGCGGGATACCGAACACTGGAGCTGCTTCTGGGACGTATTGACAGCTTGGACGCACCTGGAGGTTTTACAACTCAGGCCAGCGGTTCCCCTGGGAACAGTACTCGCAGCTTGAGCGGCCGTATAGTCTAGGAAATCTAAACCATGGAGCCAGTCTTAAAATAGAGAAATCAATACAAAGCAAAATTGACAAATATCTGAGCACCTAGTGGTTAGCAATCGGTGACCTACATAATACACTGACAAAAAGAACTACCAATGAGCTAGAAGTCAAGTACGGAAAGATAGTCTTCGATAATATTCGGATCCGGCTAAATGAGGTAATGGATCGATGATGACTCTGCCTCTTTAGATAGTTTGACAGACTTTATACTCAATAGGAACATATTCCTCGATAGTTGGCATGAAGTTAGAAGGGGAGAAAAAAGGCGAAATGGTGGGCACAGCTATTCGTGTGCCGTTCTACACAAGAAGTTGCAACCCTGGGACGATTGAGAAATAGTAGCGAAAGAATCCAAACCGAAACCCGTGTTGTTCTTGACAAGAGGTCGTGCTCGATGAGAGTAATCTGATTGACATGGCAACAATCTCCTCAAGGGTAGCCCGTCGCTATTTTGAGGTCCCTCCAAGGGTATCAAAAGCTGCAGGGGCTCACTGAGCTTCCCTGTTAAGACGAATGGTCAGTTTGCCAGATAGACGAGGGTAGATCGGTAGGATAGCGCTTAGGCCAACGAAGCATCATAGCATAAATTCGTCAGTCGCCGGCCGGAAGCCGTTGACGGTTCTAGATGATCTGAATGTCTGCAGCCAGACAGTCACCCAAACTTGGTTGGTTCAAGCTAAGGGCAGTTGATGCTCATATCTTGGAATTTAGCACTGCGCTTGTCTTTCTGATCCCTTGAGCAGAGTGCTAGAGTTTTGGGAAGTATGAGGGTCAAGAGCGATTCCAAAGTTGTGAATCGTTTAGTAGGATTTGTGTTGGCTGGGCTTTACATGTAGGATAAACAAGTGCCTTCACTCTTAATCGGAAACTGAGGGGCTGATAAATCAATAAATTCGTGACACAACATTCGCCAATTCCGAGTCGCACTAATAATAAAATGATGATGAGAGTGACTGTGAAATCCTTGAATGGTCATTGGACAGGCAGTTCGCGTTGCCCATGAAAATCTCTCGCTTATTGACCAAGTATTTTATCATGAAACACTGCAGGATCACCATCACCAATTCCCATAGCTCACGCTCTCCGGATTTAGTTGAGATCGCACCCGACTGCTAAATGGAGGCAATTTCACCGCCTGCAAGGGCCGTTGACCGATAACCCGCGAGGCACAGTGGGCAACCACGGTCTTGAATAGAGCGAATGCAAGGGTTGTTCGTCTAAAATTAGTGACCAGAGCGCGGACCTTGATGCTGGTTGGCTGTTTCCCAGGCTCGTTCGTCTGAAGGTGAAACAAATGCAACGTGCCGGGGTGTGATCGAAGGATCTGGACATTACCAACCCAGTTCACCACCGACGTTGATAGACAAAAATAGATCCCAGATAGGCGAAGGAACCGTCAATATAAGCCCGATGCACTCTTCTAACCAAGAGTTGCGATTGTTCATGTGGCATTGCATCTTCTAGGGCTTCTTCACACAGACGCATATCAACTGAAGACTCACAAGATGTTCTGGGCACTTTTCTTTGCTGTCACCGCTTTGCCGTTGGCATCCGCGCTGCCAATGGCCAGTGGTGACAATATCCTCACGGCTATTCTCCCTCGATACGACGATATCTCAAACGACGACATCACGAGCAACGGTGGCCAATTCTCCCACTTCCCGAAGACAGCGATCATTGGCATTGTCGTACCAATTGTCGCTATCGGCCTGCTCCTTGTCTTCTTTCGCACTTTTCTCTTCGGAGGCGTTCCCAGGACCAGGAACAATGGCTACATCAAGACAAGCGACGACGGATCAATGCTTCCTGCTTCTCGAGGGGAGAAGTTCGCGCCGTCTCCTTCGATCAAGCCTCAGATGGCGACTGTCAATCCCACCGCTTGGCCAAATCTTCCCCGTTCGCCCCCGCCAGCTTATACGCCGACCTCCTCACCCAGGTTGAACAATTCTGCAGCGAGCGAATGGCCAAGACCTGCTGCAAGGTGAAGAGCCTTACTTTATCTAAGTCCTCCGAGTTTCCGGAGGAACGCATGCCAAAAATAACAATACACCTCGCGGGCCACACGATTGAAGCCATCAAGGCCAAACGAATGCCTTCAAACCCTGAGAATCCCATAGCAGTCGCCGCAAATCAGCATCGATGCTAGATATTGGCTCTCAGCCGGCTCTCTTATATGATGAAGCGAAGGATATCCGACATGATCAATGCCGAAGGCAGTTGGCGCATGAGCGCACAATTCAGAAGGATAGCTTCCAACACATTGACCCTACACGGGCAGTCTCATTTGTCTCAAGCGCTGTCTCAAGCGCGCAACACGCAACACCAATCAGGGTTGATAGGCGGTGCATGCCGCATAAGACTTAGAAGGAGTCTCATGTCCGTTTGTGGACGTTAACAAGGACGAGTTTGACCGTCCCGAATACCCGTCCCGAATACCCATCCTCCTTATGATCCAAGTTTCCATTTACCGAATTTCGGATCCGAACAATAAGGCTACGGCAACAGGACACATGCTCCTAGATTGCTAGATACAAGGGGAGATAGATTAAAGCTTGGAGCCAACGAGAAGGGCAGTCCAATAAAGATTATGGAGAACATATGAGAACATATGAACAATAAAAATGATTAGCTTTCTACTCTCATTTCCAATAAGCCGTGAAACAGTGCACCGTTAACATAGATCCTCAATGAAAAAAAGGACTGATTGATCGACAGTAACACAAACTCGGCTATCAGTCTGTCAACCGCGGCTTTGCTCGTAGTGATACCGCGTAAAGGGACGCTTCTCAACGGCTTAGGGAAGCATAGCTCCAGCTTAACAAAAGAGCCTGGCCTTGTCCCATTCTCACCTAGCTTCGATCATTCTAGCTTAGATCAATATCCACTCCATCTCGACTCGGAAACGGAACAAACTTTGGTGTTGCAGCTCGTGAGATGACATCCTGCGGCCCAAGGACTTCGGCACAGCGCCAGGTATCCTATTTATTAATAATGGATGAATCTTCTACGGCCCGCCCCTTGGCCACGGGAAATTGGGTCCAGAAATCACGTCTCAGAGGCGCATCTCTTACGTACAAAGTTCATGATGGCTTCCGGTCCCAGTTAGCGGCCTCCACCAAGGAGCCACTTCCGGCCTGTTCCCGTCCCAGACAAATCCCTGATGACGCCGCAAAAGGATATTTCCTTGACTAACACGATATATCTTGACACGAAAATTTCTCTCAGTTCCCCCGTCACCGGAGCTTCGGTTTAAGCTGCTCTTCGTTCCGTTCGCGGAATTCGTCCTCACCCTCACTGTCCCTTCAATTGCCGCCGTCAACCGACCCTTCCCCAGATTCAACTCTTTTGGTCCAAGATTCCGGGGTAGAGATGCCGGATCTCGTAGACTCCATCGAGAACAATGAGGAGAAGCTTATTTGATCGTAATTTCACCAGGTCTCCGGCCAAAGAGGGCGTGAAACCTGGGGCAGCCAGCGATATCGGGTGAACACGACCATGTTTCGACTCAGAAGTAGTACGATGTTTTCCTCGAGGCCCAGTTTTCGGCCGCTAGCGCTCGCTCCAGCCCTTCCAGACGCATTCTTTAAAAGTTCTTTGCTTTCCTATTACCCCGGGGAGATCCTCGCCCCATGCTTAAGGTTCCCTCTCCTCTCTCTGCCACTCTTCTTCTACTCTTGGTTTCGGTTTATGAACCTTATCCCCAGCTTACGATTGTGTTGTTACCCCTCGTTTTTTATTTTATTTCTTGTTTCTCTTCACGCCACTCTCGAGCCATTGTTTGTGTCCATGGGGTTGTCTTCTGCTGCATTTGTCATTCCTTTTAACAAGGACAAGTAATCATCTCTCGGCATCAATCACAGACACAAGCTATCAAGAACACCGTCCATCATGACTTCCTCCAAGAACACCAAGCAGCAATCCACTGCTCAAGATGACGCCATTACATCCCACCCAGACGTTGACACCGCGGCGGGCGAGGTGTCCGAACTCGAGAAGCGCAAGGCACAGGATGGCGTTGCCAAGTTCTCCCGCTTGGGCTGGAAGAGACTGACCATCCTCCTCATGGTCACGGCCATTGCCCTCGGAACTCTGTCCCTGCCTGCTGCCTTTGCAACCCTGGGCATGGTGCTCGGCGTGATTCTTACCATCGTCTCAGGTCTCTTGGCCATTTTTGCCGGCCTGCTTGTCGGCCAGACCAAGCTTAAGCACCCCGAGATTCACGATTATGCCGACGTCGGACGCGTCCTGTTTGGAAAGGTCGGATATGAGATCTTCCACTTCATGTGCATCCTGCAACTTCTGTTCCTTGCTGGTTCGCACTGCCTGACGGGAACTACTGCCCTGAAGGTCATCACAGCCAAGGACGTTTGCAGCGTGTACTTCGGCCTGGCTTCCGCCGCGGCCTTGTTCGTCATTTCGCTGCCTCCCAGTTTCGCTGAAGTGGCCATCCTGGGCTACGTGGACTTTGCGTCCATTGTCATCACCATCGGCATCACCATCATCGCTACCGGGATCCAGCATGACCCGTCCAACCCCCTTACAGCATCTGACTGGTCCGCCTGGCCCAAGCCCGGTATCACCAGCACGGATGCCTTCATCGCTGTGCTGAACCTCGTCTTTGCGTACAGTTTCACCATCGCCCAGTTCTCCTTCATGGACGAGATGCACACTCCCCGAGACTTCAACAAATCCATCTGGTCTCTGGGAGTCATCCAGATCACCATGTACGTCCTCACCGGCGCTCTCATCTACGCCTTCGTTGGCCAAGAGGTCCAGTCCCCGGCACTCTTGTCCGCCGGCACAACCGTCAGCAGGGTCGCCTTCGGCGTAGCCATCCCCGTCATCTTCATCAGCGGCGGCATCCTCATCGTCACGGCGGGGCGCATGATTCACGGCCGCATCTACGCCAACAGCATCACGCGCTACGTTAACACGACCAAGGGCTGGGTCACCTGGATGCTCACCATCACCGCCATCGTCGTCGTCGGCTGGTTCATCGCCGAGGTCATCCCCATCTTCAGCGACCTCGTCGCGCTCATCTCCAGTCTGCTCAACTCGGGGTTCGCACTCTACTTCCCCGCCTTGATGTGGTTTATGCTCCTTCGCGAGGGCAAGTGGAACACGCCCAAGAATCTGCTTCTTGGGGGCGCGAGCTTAATTCTCCTGGTGATTGGACTTTTCCTACTTACGGGTGGTACATATGCCGTCATTCGCAGCATTGTAAGTTTACTCCCACAGTAGCCCCTAACTTTTACTTCGTGAGCTAGATACTAACTTGCTTCGTACAGGTTGAAGGGTACAAGTCGGGAGGAGTTAAGACGCCATTCACATGTTCATAGTGAGCTAAGAGGATGTGAAGCATCTACCCCTATCTCGTCTAATTTCCCCGGGGTAATCTCGCGCGAATGCGCTGTATTATATAAAGCAAGCCTCTTCCTTTCTTCCATTATTTTCACCGCGTGAATGGTTTTATTATTGCCGGTATTTGGACGCTTTATCGGAAACCTTCGTGGCGACTCCGGGCCGATTACAATTTTCAGCTAGTGCATGTCATGATTCAAGTGATAAACATAGACAAGGAGTACAAACTTCGGGTAAAGCGCACGTGATACGAGGGAAGACCATCTAGTCACTCTTAAACGCATCTCCATACAGAGGCTTATCATGAATGCGAAGGTAAGCTATGACTGCTTGATTTTGGTTCCGTCATTTGGAATAACATCGGCACCACAAAGAACTCGATGTCAAGCCATAGCCAGCCAATTATTCTTCACCTCGTTTCCCAAAGCATCTAAGACTATTATGATCTGATCATTATTAGTTTTTACCGTAAACAAGGGTTATCCCAAGATGAAGCTATACACGTGACGTTATCACACAGTTTTAGCGGTCTATACCAGAAAAAGTCAGAAATCAACACATTCAGCCTAGGCACAGGCATCAGCGCCTCGGAACCTCTAACAATAAGGGTCCGCTGGTCAGAGGTATATAACCTGGCCATGGCCCCCAAGAGGGAAAGCTCATCACCACCAACCACAACCGCCTCTCCAAGCAATAACAAGACAATAACAATAATGTTAGTATCTGACGTCAATACACATACTAGCCAGGACCTATTCAATCCGATTGACCAGATTATCATTGATATCTCAAGGACTACTGCAGTCGTCTCTCAGAGCGGGGCATGGACGAATCTTCGAGGACCGGGTCATTCGCGTTGACTGTGCCCTGGCTAGTAGGGATATTTATGTCAGGTACTGACAGTTGCCATTGTCTTGTTGTCGCTTGGAGAGGTGTACGACGTAGAAAATCTTGGCAGAATGAGTCAGCAGAGGACGTCGTTTAGCTCATGGGCAGGAAGCAGGGCAGAGCATGATGCCTCGGTACATTTCTCGCGAGTCAGCCCATGTCACATGTCCTCAGGCCACGACAACAATTTTTTTCAACGATTGAGACTCCAAGAAAAGGTTCTCCGGTGTGATTACTCTCATAAATAACGGTGGATATGGTATAGACACCAGAAAAGCATCCGGCCTAATGACAGAACATAAAGGATTTCCACATTCATCAGTTCATAACAGTTGATTACTTCTAGTCTTTTATTAAAGTCACTATGGTGTGCCAAGGTAAAAGTTTAGATAGTTCAAGATTTATAATACACATCAGGGCCTACATAAAGTGCAGTATATGAAACGGCAAATCTATCTTGCGCATTTTGTCTTTCCAAGATCCTCCAGCTTCAAGAATCAGAAACCAGCACTCTTCGCTTGTCTCGCCAATCCAATAACATCCACCCAGTTCGGAGGTCGACATTGCGTATGCTTAGTTGCCTCTTCAGCGTCAAGTCCAAACTGCAGCAGCGCGTGCTCGCTCGCCCAGTCACCTGTAGCTATGAGGCCGACAGGTACTTTCCCCACAGAGTCAAGGTCGCTGTCGACCTCGCCTGCGCTGGGATCACCCTCTGGCCTGACATAGCCGGTGGGGATGTTGATGCTCGGGACGCCGCAAAAGTTGGCGAGCCACACGTACTCCATGGTCAATAGAGTGAGATCTCCATCGCTGACGCCATACTTAAGTTCAGACGGGGAGCGAATGGGCCATCCTGCACAAGACGTGGTGGGGGTCACAATGACCATGCCAGGATACGTCTTCCAAATCCAGGACAGATGCTGCATGAGAGTTCGGCGGAGCTTTTGAGCGAGGAGGTAGTCGGTCGAAGGAGTAACCTTGCCCAGGGCGAGCAGGGTGCGGTTGGCCGCGGAAAGACCCCGTGGATCAGGAAGCAGTGTCGCGCCATCGGTCAGAATCGTCATCGCATGTGCCATTTGGCCTTCACGGAGAAATGGGATATCAATGGACACAACGGAGTATCCCTTATTCTGCACAAGCCAGTCTACCGTGTTTCGACACAGTTTCTGGACAGAAGGAGAGGCTTTCTGGAACCAAACTTCGGGGATGCCAATCACCTTGGGTCGCTTGGGGTCGATGATCAGCTTTCCAGTGCCCTCAGATTCAGGGTGGAAATCAGTGCTTGGGTGAGGCTGGCTCAGCACGGAGTAGACTTCAGCAAGAGAACGGATATCGCTGGCGATTGGGCCGTTCGTAGCACATGTATTCGCGTGGTTCTGGCCCGGGTAGCACGAGAGTCGGCCGTGAGACGGTTTTAGACCGACAACGGAGCAGAAAGATGAGGGGATACGGATACTACCGCCACCGTCGCTACCCAGAGTCATAGGTATCAAACCAACAGAGACGGCGTACGCGCAGCCTGAAGAACTCCCACCAGGGTAATAATCACGGTTATAAGGATTGCGCGGTGTTCCGTAAAATGGGTTGTTTCCAGATGTGTCTGTGTTCAAATGTCAGCTCGATCAAAAGATGAAGAACCAATTGATGAAGGAAATCCAACGGGAGGATGCGTACCCATTCCAAATTCATGCATCGAGAGTTTCCCGAGAATAACGGCGCCTGCTTCGGCGAGCTTTCTCACACACCACGAGTCGATTTTACCCTCGTCGTTCATAATACGACCAGTGTAATCATTCAGCGAGCCCAGAGTGGTCTTGTAGCCCTCGAGATCGAACTCGTCCTTGATAGCCGTGGGGACGCCATCCAGCGGCCCAAGCGAACGATGCTCCTTGTATCTCAGGGTAGATTCCTCAGCCGCCTTGACAGCGAGGTCGACATTGACGTCAAACCAGGCCACGGAATGCTCACCTGGCGGCAGCGTGTCCCTCCGGATGAAGGGCAGAATGGAATGAACAACATCAAGTGGCGTGATTTCCCCTGCGAGGTACAGGGCGCGATAGTCGCCAACGCTATATCTCTGATGAGGTGCAGGCGGAGGCGATGAAACTTTATGAATCTCATCCGTTTGCTCGGTAGTCTCAGACTCAGAATCATGGGCCTTGTCCAGTCTAGCCAGCGGGATGACGGTGGGATCATGGCGTGGTTCATTGTCTTCAATCAGCTTCTGGATCCTCCGGAGCGAGCTGAAGCCAGCGCCGGCCCACACGATGCGCCTGATGAAAGCGAACGTCTCCAGCCTAATGATTCATCCGAGTTAGCGATGCAAGCAGGCGTAAAGATCAAGTGGAGGAGGCATTCGCTTACAGAAAGACAGAGGCGACAAGAAACCATCCTCTCAAGGCTGGAAGAGGTTTCTTCTTCTTGGGCACATAAGGGATACCCTCATTCCTGTTCGGCGGTCAGTCAGCGCAAATTAGGCGGTGGATGCTCTGCTCCATGGCTTTTGAAGGAGAAAAGTGGCCAGAGCGACTTACGCGGGAATGGGGCGAGGGTAGAGGATGAAGCGCTCGCGCGGAGCAGCATCATCGAAGGAGACCATGATCGATGGTGTATTACAGCTCCAGGCGAGCTGCAGGTTGCATCGGCCGTGGAGGATGGCACAGCTAAAATAATTAATTGGACGGAGGGTGGGGAGACCAGTTCGGGAGCTCGTCCCGGACTGTTTCTGTTCCACGAAAGCCGCGTGAAAGCCGCATCACATCGTAAGTCGCGGATAAACGTTACATCGGGGCCGGAGCAATAGATGCTTAGTAAGTATGTTGTCGTATTCGTTTCCGGAGTCCGCGGGCAGCTGGCTACCCTACACTCCTGATGTTTACCGTTCTTGGTCCAATGATTGAGCCCATCGCCATTGAGAATCTAGGGCTTTAAAATATTTAACTACTACTTACCGAACTTGTATTATAAGAGTCGCTTTATATTTCCATAGAGTGGAAAATTTATTCGTGTTGAGAAATCAGTTAAGATATTATTATTTGAAAAGAGGAGGCCTTTCTCTAATCATTTTAAACAAATACATTAGGACTACCTATGTTGCAGATACATGCTTTAAATTTGCCATCAATCATAAATAAATTTCATAAATACAATATTTGGCCCTCAACCTTCCTCGGGAGGAAGAACTAGTCCATACTCCCCCTTAACCTCCACCACACCCTCCTTCCCTCTCCACGAATATCTCACAAACAACGTCTTCTCCTTCTCCGGGTCTGGATCCCAGAATCCAGGAATGCTAGCCAACCGCAGCCCAGGGGGAACAACCAGCTTCCTACCCTCCTCACTCAGCAGCGCCGCCAGCGCAATCGTCACATCGGCCACCTCCTCCCCGCCCCAGCTGGAGCCGTCTCCCTCCTGGACACCGAACTTGGCGCTGAGAATCACCAGATTATCCCCCCCGCTGGCCAGGGAGAGGTGCTTCTGGCGAGCGGTGACCGGGTGTGCGAGGAGTGTCGTGAGGAGGTCGGCCCGATGGCGCTGGGCAGCCACCGAAGCGGATGTCGGTCCCCTCAGGTGCCGGGGACGCCGGGGACGTCCAGCTGCGGAGGGGAAGAAAAAGTTGTAGGCGGCGGCGGCGGCCATCGTGGCTGTTGATGTCCAGAAGATTAGCCTGGCGGAGGCGATGGAGCTTTGGTATGTTGAGATGAGAAGGGGGAGAGTGAGGCGTTGGCCGAGGCGCGACCAGTGTAGAGATAGATGTAGGGAGTGCTCTGTGATGGCGACCTCCAGGCCCAGCTTGGATGAACGCCCTACAGAGAATAGGCTGCGCAGGGCTAGGTGTTTCCCCTGGAATGCGTCTGTGCAAGCTTCGGCTTCGAAGAGTAGCGGGGGTGAAGGAGAGGTAGCTAAGAGGCTGGGAAGGGGTAATGCTCTGCTATAGCGGGCATAGCCTCCAACGCCAAGAACACCACCAGTTGTGGTCACGGCTGCTGTCCAGGATCCGAACTTATCACTGATGTAGCTCGGATTGCCGGATAAGTTGAACTTGGCTGGGGTTGATGAAGGCCAGGTCTTGAACCCGGCTTCAATGCTTGGAGGAATCCGTAGCGGGAACTCGACGAATCTTACACCACGACCCAGTTTGGCGAAGCCTGTCAGAAACCGGCAGACTCTTTCTCCCGCCAAGCTTCTATCGCCACTGTCAATCAGAATGAATGCCGTGCCGCCCGGCAGACCATGTCGAGCGCCGACAGATGCTCGGGGCGGCGAAAGTGTCAGGTCCACAGGGCAAGTAACACTTGCGTCGAATGCTGTCGGATTTTGGGTGTTGGGCAGTAGAACTTGGTGGTTCACTCGAGTGGTAAAAGTCTGGTCCGGCAGGATAGTTGATTCGAGCTCTACTTCCGTCCGAACCCATTTCGACGCACCTGGCTCAACCGGAGCTAATGATTTATTGACGGCACCCCCATGGAGGGTAGCCGTAGCCAGAGGCGCCAGCTTACTCTCAACAAGCTGCGTCAGTCTTGTTCGCGGCAGCGTTGCAGGCAGCAATGGCTGGTAGCGATCGGAGAGTATCGTCACGGGCACTGACGAGACCTGGTCTACAACGCCATAGGCGGCGCCGGAGATGGTGAGAGAGGGGAGCAGTACACCGAACTGATGATCTGCTGCAAATCTCTGTAACAACGTGCTCTTGGTTGCTATTGTCATTGAATGGCCCAAGGCGTAGTCGAGCCCTCGTAAAGCAGAGGAAGATTCTCGACCCTGCCCTCCGAAGCGTTCCGACGTACGCCTTGCATCGAAGCGGACGCCCAAATGTGAGCTTGTTAATAAGTTGACGCCCGAGTCGCGCGATTGAGGATACTGACCCAGAGACCCATTGGCCGCGAGATCGCTGAAGCCTAGAGTATCTCGATTCCGACTTAGATCGTACTGCGCGCGCCGTTCCGGGTTAATTAGTGTCTCGAAAGCCGCTTGAATCTGCAAGAAGTGCTCCTGGGCTATGCCGCGCTGATCTTCTGGGTAACTGGCCGGGTAGAAAAGGAGGAAGAGCCGGTGGTAAGCGTCTCGGATGTCGTCCTGGGAGAGGTCTCCTCTGTCAGAGAGGACCAGAAGCTCATATAGATCCGGGGATAATTCATCATCTGTGCCCTCTCCATGGCCTCCAACATCCGCCGGGTCCAAGAGAGACCTTGAGTCCGCATATTTATCACCACCGAACACCTTGGAATAAATGGAGCTGGCATCGTCAAAACCAAATTCATACTCCTGGCGCGTCGCCGCAAATTGATCATTCAGCGAGTAACGCGAGCTGGGCCGGCGCAGAGCAGTCTGCTGAGAGGGGTACCGATTGTCATCCTGGAACACAAGCGAGTCCCTCGCACGGCCTGAGTTCCTCGCGCGAGGGACGCGAAGGCTGCTGTTGTTATTGCTGCCGCCGTAATAGTCCGACATGGTGCGCGTACGGACGAGGGGGAGGGGGAGAAGTGAGGGGTAGACATTTTGACACGGCGCGGAGCCTCGGTGGGCATTTTAAATTTGAAACGCTTCGTCTCGTCTTCAAAGGTGGGAAGATGGGCATTAACCGGGCACGAATTTCATGCGTTCGACTGGCTGGGCGCCAAAGCAAGCATGAAGGACGCCAGAGCTAGTCAGGGGTCTGGGCATCAGGCAGCGCCCATCACTCATATGAGATGATGATGCAGCATTGGGCAGGGGTCTTCCAATGGGTGGTTCGACCTTTCGCAAGACTGTGTGGGGGAGGACCAGATGATTGGATCATGATGGTGGTTTTGTCTATCTATCTAGTTCATCTATGTCTATTGTATTGTGCAATTGAAAACACGTTCATCAAGAAGAAAATGAAAGGCTGGGATGGTTTAATGGGTATACAAAAAGAAGCTGCTGATAAACAAACCAAGTGACGCGACAAAACAAATCTAACCTTTTCTGTGTTTAAACGAGTGTGATAACGGCGGTTCGTGTCCTTATACTCTAGCCAGATTCGTGAAGCTGACAATGCCGTATCGCCTTGAGGATAAACCCTCTTCTGTGATTGGAGCCACTGGCCCTGCTTGGAAATGGAAATGCCTAGTTGCTCGAGCCATCCACGTTCTTCGATCATGATGGGGCTCTTCTCGTGGTCGATCTTGCTGCTGCTCAGGCTCGCGGCTCTTGTCGTCTCCATATGTCTCCTCCTGCGTCTGCACCTCTAGATTGCCGATGTTCTCCAGATCGAATGAATCCGTGTTCCTGTTGATCGAGATTTGAGGCGGGTGTGGCAGGTGAGTGAGAATGAGAACAGCCATGAAACAGATGGTGATGATGGGTAATTGCCAAGGTGTCATGAGGAACGCGAGCGTCAGCTTGGAATTGACAGAGATGATGGCGACAAGGCCCAGCCCCAAGCCTATGGTGAAGACGCTGCCCGTGCGGAACCTATTGAAATTAGTCCATCCCTTGCGCTTCGACAGGAGATGAAGTATCATCAGGAGAGCGAGAACGGTGCCCGCGCTTGCGAACAAATACGAGAACTAGATTGGCTCAGTTAGAGATTTGATTTCTTACGGTAAGCGAGGACGGGTTATGATGGAGAACAGAACGTACGATAAGCTGGAGTCTGTCAAGGGTCTTTTTGGTAGCAGCAAGCTCAGCAGCGCCGAGGCTATAAGTCGAGGGGTCATCCTCGTCCTCCACCGCGACCGAGATATCAAAGGCGTCACTAATAGTGTTCATAACAGTACTAGTTATCGCCAAGTAAGCCTCGGCCCACGTCTCATAGGATGCCTTGTCTGATCTCGGACGGACGCTTGCCCAGAAAGCATCAGGGATGTCCTCCAACCTCTCCAACGCCGTGTTGAGGTTCTTGGTAGCGCTCTCGAACTTTTTAGGATCTCCCACATACTCCCACATCATGGCCTGAGCCGTGACGCGCAAAGATGTGACGACGGTGTTTGTGCTGAGGGTTTTCATCCCTACCCGAGCGGCGGTCTCGAGTGCGGCGCCCGCGCCGTGTATAGCTTCCATAAATCGCCACCAAACAACCCATTGGTTACCACCTTCGGCGAGGAGAACGAGCGCGATGTGGAATGGGAGATGGACGAGGGCCCAATACGCTTGATTCGAGGCACTCATCTGATTGTGGTGGTGCATCCAGTCGAAATATAGCTGAAATGTGATGTATGTAATCGCGGCGGCAGATGTGATGATGCCAATGAGGGCGGGAGCTGGCGGGAGAACATGTCAGTAAGCTATGATCTGAGCAGATGTGTGAACATGTAGGGGAGACCTACACCAATGATCTGAGATTTGCTTGATATATGTATACTCGACAACTTTTGTAATATTCTTGGCGAGGATGATGACGCCCTCGCCGAGGATGATAAGTGTGAGCAGGTTCAATCTCTCGTTGAAATGCGTTCCCTCGAAGCTCAGAGTCTGGGAAAATGTGGCGTGGAGAATGTGAACGGCCATCTCCGTGATACCGCCGACATACCAGGTGAGCACAAGATGCTTATCGGGTTCGGTAGACGGCACAACGGCGATGATGAGGTAGATTAGCGCGGGAACGAGATGTAGCACGATGGCTACGAGTAACGAGTTGCGGCTTCTCGGGTGATGGCGCGCATGCAAGAGAACTAGGCCATATTGTGCGGCGAGTACCAGCCTCGAAACCATGAGGAAAAGCGCTATATGGTCAGCATGGTCAGCTCAAAGGTCTTCTCGTCCGTGGATGGCTGAATATGGTTAAATATATCCTCACACATTGACTGAAATATGGCCCTGACAAGATTTTGTTTCTCAAATGAAACACCAGCTTCAGCAAAACCGATCATAACAGCAAGATGAAATGCGCGGGCGATGCGCTCGAGAATGCCATCTTGGCCAAAACGAGCATCGAACAGAGTTGTAACCAGCCATGTGGTCCAGAGTAGACTGGAAGAAGAGATTAGCTATCGTTACTTCGCCGCAGAGAACGTGTAGAGAGAGAACTCACATAAAGTATCCGATGAATGATGCTAGTGTATCCTTCTCAGTGATTGGATGGACTGTGGCGAAGACATTCAGGTTGGCCACAAACCAGAGGTCGTAGAATAACTATGCGAGATGTATGTTAGGGATGACATGTTGCCTGATGGAATGCAGGTAAACTGAGCTACCTCGGAAGTTGAAGCAGATTCTCTCTAATACAGCAGTAATGTATGTTAGCTGCTAGTTTCGTGAGGTATGCGGATGGCAAATGCTCCCTCTTCTTACCTTGGCAAATTGGAGGGGAGAGCTCTCCAGGCTGGCGGGACGTTGAGACTCGACATCAGGGCTTAGAGCTCGGAGCTCCTCGGTTTCGTGCAAGCTCTCAGCACGGTGGCCATCTGTGGCCGTCTCCTGGATGGGGTTCGAGGTAATCCCAAGCTTGGAACTGGCGAATCGAAGGTGGGAATCTCGACGGTCTTTGACGGTGATGCTTGTAATGCTTGAAGCAACGAGAGTGGCTTCGCCGCTGCACCTGCTCTCGCTCCGGCTGCTGTGATGTGCCTGCATCATCTCCGGAGGCTTCATGGAAAAATTTTAGGTAAGAATCATCTTGGTGAGAAGAGAGTGACGAGGATGCCAAGAAACGATATATTTATGAGGGAAACGATCGACGTGAGAATGAGAGACAAAGGCGGGATGTTAAGAAGGGCTCAAGTCCCTTTGTCAATAATTGGATTTCATGCTGTTATCTCCCGGCAAATCTCTGCCGTGGCAGAAGAAACGAGCGTCTGTCTGGTAAGCAGAGTGAGACAAAGGTGATACGGGCGAAACAGATTGACGTCTGGCTACAGGAGCTGGCGCGGGCGGACCGACGGTCTGTGTAGCTAAGCGCAGACCAAGGGATCGAGCTCGTCCGGCCCAATCAAGCTGTGGACAGCGATAGCTAGTGAAATAATAACACGGAAGAGCAATCAGGGGCAGGGAGCCGTTGTGATCCAATGTTGTGATGATGCGCGATCGTTGTGTGAATGGCGCTGATCGCTGCGGATGAGCGCTGTGGCACTGCCGTTCAGTGGCCTCTGCACCTGTCGTGAGCGGTGGTACAGGCGGGCTACTGCTCTGTGACGCCTAGAGATTGGGCCTAGGCGCTGCTCTAGCGCTGCGGAAGCCTGTCGCTCAGTGGGGTCATGCGCTATGACAGATCACCGAGCCTTCTGTGCCAATCAATGTGTCGCCATCTGGGATCTTCGCGGCGGCTTCTGACACAAGTTGAGACAACATCTGCGCGATCCAATCCAGGACATTACTTGCTGGCTGATATGTTGGCAGAAGGCTCCCGATTACCCGATGCACTGCATGGGATTCGTGTTTGCTTGACGCGTTCCTAGTATATCCTAGAGGAAAGACAGGTACCGCGGCGGCAGTTTTGTGCCGACACATGGCCTTCCGCTCGACCCTGGTTGGCCCTGTATCAGTGGCTTTCGAATGGATAACTCTTGTGCAAGCATTCTCTAGCATAAAGCTGCCGATCGGGCACCCATACGGCTCCTGCAGTGTCTTGCCTGACGCAACGCTTGGTGGCTCTGTTGTCTTACATTCGCCCCCAAAAGACTCTCGGCGTGTTTCTCACTTCAGACAAGATCCATCATTAAGTATGTATCTGCTGTACAGATGTCGCCGTGTTATCCGTCCTGTCTGATCGCCATCTGCTTACGTATGGGCTAAATGCCTCCCAAGAATGGCACTAAATTCATAAAATCAAGGCCGCCTGCAATTGCCTGCACGCATCTAGCCCCATCCCTTCTTTCGTTTGATGTTTTTCTTTCCCCTGCTAGATCGCTTTACTATGAGAGGGAGCATTAAGGGAAACATTGAACACGACACTAGCAAGCCTGTCAAGTAACGGGACCTGTTAGACAAAGCATCAATTTGGAAACAGGCAGGAAAAGATCGACGGTCTGGCCAGCTGGTGCTTATTTTGTGGGCGTTCAGGGCCCTTGCTTGTGTGTGATTAGCCTCACAATCAAAGCTCGGGCTTCTTGCTTGACTATTTATATAGATAGTCATGTCTTTTGTTCTGCCACTTTCAGCTTGTTGAGCCTTTATTCCATTTTTGCTATTATGGCAGAGCATAACTGACCATGTCACTAAAAAAATGAATTGTTGTATTGCTAACGCTGACTTGCGTAGGCGAACGAAGAAAGCCCAAATCTCCCTGCTGAAGCCATCCATCTATTTCGGAAGATCATTCAAGCTGACGACTGAAACCCATATGTTTTCCTTATTCTCGCTGTACGCTACCAACAGTTTATCCCCGACTTGGACAGCTGTCGGATAGCTGAACCCGTGCGCTCTGCTCTTCAACCCGTCCCTCGTGTCCGGTGCAATCACATTGCTCGCATTGGTCCTCAACACACCAACACTTCGGTAAGCCTGATCCTCGCCCCTGGACATGGCCAAGGTCAGAGGCTGCCTTTCGCGAACCTCGCTGTTCCATCTCGGATTCCAGACCAGATACCTATCTCCACTCTCCGCAACTTGGCCAAGGTATTGTTTCGTTCTGGCGTCGGGGATATTACTCTGGAAAATCTCGTTTCCGTATTGAGCAAGCCGACGGGGATACCATCCCCTGCCCTCCGTTTCCTCATTGTATTCGACCCATATCTTCTGAGTGTTGGCCGAGTCCCCCGATATGTCCCTCCAGAACCGCTGCCAGTATCCTCCTGTAGGCGACGAACTGTCATTGTGCCATACTGCATGTGTCTGTTCCTGCATAGAGTGAATGTCGTCTGCCGCAAACAACTCGTTGTTGTACAGCCACGACGACCATGCGGGAGCCTCGCCGGGCTTTATCAACTTCTCGTTGATCTCGCATGCTCGCTCGCACCCCTTCATCCCGTACTTGGTACCATACACGGTCTCATTGAACAGCTGAGAATGCGTCAATTCGTTCTTCTCGATCCAGCAGGGGTCGCCAGCCGGCTTGCCATTAAACGTGATGCGTCGCGCGATACGGCCTGCCGTCATAAACCTCCCGGGACACCAGCGCGTTCCTGACTGTCCAATGGCGTAGAGCTCTCCCTCCCCGTCCGCTGTTGGCAGGTGCACGAAGCTCAGTGCCTGCCAGGCCCGCTGTGCAGCCTTGATGTTGCAGTAATACGTATAATTGTGGTGGGCATCCGTCTGGTTTGGAAGAAGTGCGGCGGGGAATAAGCTGGAGCCCGGACCCCAGGTCATGCCTCCATCCTTGGATGTGCTGATCCAAACGTCTTGGCCCATGCTGTCCTCGTCAATAGGGGCGGAGGAGTGAATCAGGTACACGTTGTCACCGAGAGCGAAAAGCTCCGGGTGATGCGCATAAGTGCGCCCTTCCTTGACTCCATTGTATATCTCGACCTCCTTGATTACGGGGATCTGGTCCCATCCAGCATAGAGGGTGTCACTGTAGTCCAAGTCTGGTTGGACCTGCCATAGTGTTGAAGGGTCCGGCGGTATTGCTATCACAATTGAGACTGAGAAGCCAATGAGCGTGGCAACTTTGCTGGTCGGTATATGCATTTCTTATGTGCAAGCCACCCTGCCAGATCAAAACGGTCACTGCAATGTTTAATTTGTGATAAATACTACTCAGTTTCCATCTCTCTCATATATATCTGTGCTTGTCTCTGCCATGTTCCCCGCCTCCTATAATTCCTCCGTGCCAAGCAAAATACCAATAACCGGCGAATGAGAAATCATCTTTGGTCCCGAGATCCTTTGTTACCACTATGGATAACTACACCGGCTAATATCCCCCATGCGGACATGCACCACGGGGAATCCACCCACTGGCTAAACAGATTGGCAGGAACTGGAGAAATTCTTGGAACAAATGAGAATGACATCGGTCCTCTCTTTCCGGACCGGGCTCACTGGGAGGTCATAAGCCTTGACATGATGATGATGATGCTTGTGAGCGCCCGTGAGCGGACACTTGAGCATTGGAAGGCACTGGTTGAGGAGGCTGGTCTAAACAAAATTTGCGTATACTCAGCGACGAGCGGCGCAGAAAGCTTGATCGAGTGTGGGCTTGCCTGAGGATTGGTAGAGTTGCACTCTCATTACCGTTAGAGTCACGGGGATATCATTTGAGCACTTTGTAAGGAAACCGAATGGAACATGCAACCAAGGGTTCATTTTGCTAGATAAACTACGATACATCATATGCTGATATGGGGGATTATATACCCCAGGAAGAGGTGAAATCGAATCACCAACATGCAAAGCCTTCTAGTCCGAGGAGTTCTGGGTGGTGATCTGACCACCATCGCTGTGGACAACCCTGGCATTGGCAGAGCCAGTGGTGAAGTCAACTGTAGCCTTGTTGAGGCCAGCCATCTCAACATTCATGACCTGGCCAGAAGTGTAGCTGCCATAGGTGATGTACCACTTGTTGATGGGCTGGATCTGGTAGGTGCAGTTTGGCTGGGGAATGATGGTGGCGGCGGGGAGTGTCTTGCCGTTGACCACCTTACCGAGGCCAATGACCCAGTTGTCTGCACAAAGTGTTACGTTAGAATTGAGAAAGTGGGAGAATTTTGGGGGGTTGGGGATCAGCCACTTACTGTCCTTTGCGTTGTTAAAGGTGAAGCCATTGTCGGGAGTACCAGGGGCAGTGTTGATGGCAAAGGCGCCAGGCTTGCCGCTCGCGTCGAGAGTCTTAGGGTACTGGGGAGCGCCCTCGATGATGTCCATGAAGAGAGTGGTGCCCTTCTTGGCGTTTCCCTGGAGATCCGCAGTGCCGACATCAACAGCCTTGGAGTTGGAGACGTTGACGGCAACGTTATCTTGCCCAGGGACTCCAGTCGAAGAGCCAACGTAGGCAAAGTACTGGGAGGTGATGGTGAAAGTGGTGGAGTCGCCAGGCCCGGCGTTGGCGACCTTCAGAGCGTTGTTCCAGACCTTGGAGCTGACAGTTGAGCTGACCTCAGGGGGCTCGTTGAAGATGGCATAGTGCTGTGTGGCTCCAGAGTTGTTCTGGACGGTGATGGTGTAGGTGTTAGGCATTTTGGGATAGTCGTCTCAGAAGAGAAGTCGTATAAAGGTAAGAAGGAAGGGAGAAGTCAGAGAAGATGCCACAGTTTTGTGTATGGTGAGAATGGTGTGTCTAATTCCACCACGAACAGCAAGGTCGTCGGTCTATTTTATACTTTGCTCATCCTAGGAGGCGTTTTCAAACCATGAGCAAACCTTCCGACCTGTGCTTTAACCTAAGCTGGGGCTATTGCGGCGCCTGCTTCGCGAGATCTGCAAGCCATGGTTTACGCTTTTCCAGGCAACTCCTAGTGCTGCATCTTTCGATAGTCGTTTGGTCGAGACCGTGAAGTTTCTCGTGATTCGTACGCCTCTCAGGTATGGAGGCCAGGCTACCCGCTCTCATGCAACCGATATCACTTCTCATCTGTCTCGGGGAAGCCGAAACAGAGAGTATTGATGCAGCTCAGCCAGGTTCGAGAATAGTGACTAAAAGGAGTCAAGCTGAGCTCGTATCACCCTAGCTGAAAGCGTAGCGATGAGGGGTAAACCCCTGTAGATGTTGCTACTGCCGTGCCAAGTGCTATAGTGGACGCCTCGGGCCGCTTGATGGCAAGGACTGGAGAGGGTTTCCCGTGACGACCATCGCTCTACTAGGGTCAGATGGCCTTGTGGCGTAGGATGGCTCTGGACTATTCCAACTAGTCCTGTGATATCACCGCCACTAGCGGCCGGTCAAGTATCACAGGGTCGACGTATCATGAGTGTAGCCAGCGTAACATGTACGTACCCCTTAGTAAAATTGCGGTGTGTCAGGAGGTTGCGAGTAAACACTGGTCTCGTCCGTGGCGGTGCTATGGATTGTACGTGTGCAGTGCCTGGACGAATGATAAAGCAACACCACAGCCTGTCCTGTCCATCTTGCCTCAGAAGTGGCAACTACCTCAATCTATCAAATTGAGATTCTACCATATTCAGCAGCCATGTCTAGTGGCCCATCGGCCAGCTCCAATCCTGCTGATGGATCCTCCAAACGTGACCCGAGATACGTCGATCTAGGCCTTGATGCACCTGAACCTTGGTCGAAATGGTCCAATGACCCATCTAAGATGAAGCTCGATACATATTTTTGTCTCAATAATCCGAGTAAGTCTCAGAATACCAGGAGAAAAGAGGTCCCTTAGGATGTAATCTGACTTCTGTTGATTCAGACGTTCCAGGTCTTGCGGCAGCCTACAAGCTGCCAGGACTGAAGCCTGTCATCGTCAAATGTGGCAAGCCTGGCTCAGGCTACAAGTTCTTGTTGAAGGATGATACAAATTCCTTCTTTTTATTCAATGAAAATGCAAATGAAATGTACCGATTCATAGAGACTCTAAGTGACAAGGACGCTGTTGAGCTAGTTGAGACGGGGACCTACGATATCACGAAGTTAGAGATGCAGTACCAAGTCAGACGACAGGGTCAGTCGGGATAATTCACATGGGGTTCACTACTAGAGGGTAGCTATCAACAATCATTATTATTAAAAGTACATGCACGTGGATCAGTCAGTGACTAGGCAACCGAGCTTGTCGGCGTGAATGAGCCAACTGTCGTGCTCTGATCATCAGTAATGTCACTGTCATTCTCAGCCGTGGTTGTGCTGCCTCCTGTTACAGAGATATGATATAGAGCAGAAGGAGATTCTTCCCACGACATTGCATCTAGTGCCGTCATCCGATTTCCAGGATTACTCGGAGGCGCGGGGGGCACCTGCACTGTGAGATTATTGTTCGCATCGTGAACGATCGAAACACGGTCTGTGGCGAGCTGATCAAAGTCTATGAGGACTGTGTCGGTGCCGATCTCCTGGGGCTTTTTTACGAGGTCGCGGGTATTGAACTCGCCCATCGTGATGTAGAATTTGTTGGACGGCATGATCTGGTATGTTTGGTTCGGAACGGGGACGAAGGTTGCGTAAGGGCCGATATCCTGACGGACAGAGCAGCTATATCCGATGAAGAACTTATCTGATTCGATGCTGGGTAAGTATGGTGGTAGGTTTAAGAGAGCAGCAATGAGGGTTGGAGACATTGCTTGCATACGTACTTGAAGCTGCCTGTTGGGGGACAAAATCAGTTCTGGTCCTGATAGCGAAAGCTCCCGAACCAGCCGTGGCTCTCGCCGTCACCTTTGAAAAACACGGGGTGCCATGGGAACAGTCGATCTCGAGCACCGTGCCCGAGACGAGAGTTCCGTCGAGGGTTTGGGACCCCAGGTTCACAGACTGCTGGTCAATCACTTCTGTCCCCGTTCCTACTGGCTTCTTCTTCGGATCGGGCGGCGTGGGGATGTTGTAGTCAACGTCGTAGATACCGCAGGTGGCGATGAGCTCTTTCGATAGGATGAAGGTAGCTTGTCCGTGAGGATTCGCTACCCCTTGCACGCGTGTGATTATTCGGGTCAACGTCGGGGTACTCGGTGAAATTGTTGGAGGTTCAGCATACAAGCCGTAGCTACAGGTATCTTGTGACCTGTTGTTGATAGTTATTGTGAGAACTGTCATTATGGTGGCCGGGAAAAGAGCTGACCGAAGGGGATGTGTAGGCAAGCATAACAGGGGAAAAGACTGTGCTTGACAAGAGAAGATGGGGAGCTGGTCCACACGGGAAGGGGATGTCCTACAACTACCGAGGAATGTGGCGAAACAACAAGGGTCTCAAAGGAGGGCGGCAACTCCCAAGTGCCTCCACAAACCCCGGAATAGAGGGCGCAAACTAGTGAACGCCACCTCGCAATCAAAGCAGATATTGGCCGAATAGTAAGCAAATGGACCTAAGACATGCATCTGCCTAGACGAATCCGTCCTCAGCTGAATTGGAGGATGTGACGGCTCTTCTGCTCCCTGCAGTTCAATGTGATGACTTCTACACAATGATACACGTTGCAACATCTATTAGCATGGGCTAAGAATCTCGTATTACGTATCTAACCATGGGGCACCCTGGCGGAGGCTAACTATTCACTCTTGTGGCTGGCTGAGACATGGGTGGCCTCAGGTTATTAGATACTAAGCCAAGCTGATGACTCTAGATCGAAACCGAAGTCTTACGCGTCTTGAAGCCACATGCCTTGATGGATAGCTCGACAGTACGTGGTCACCAAATCAGGCAGGGCAAAATTAACGGAGTGGGGGATCTCTCCATCGGGTCCCTTGACTTGAACCGCCGATTGTACTCATATCTTCTCTCTACATCGGTAATTGATCAGCCTTTGCTTTGTACTTGACTTGAAAACTCTGGAAATGGAGCCGGATGAAGATATTTGGGGCGACTTTCATGTCTTCCGTGGCGACTCTACGCTTACCAAGGATTTGCTCTTCAAAAAGGTTGGTGAAGGAGATCTCCAAGCCAATGTGAAGTGGTTCTGGACGTGGATCGATACCCTACATACCAGTCTTCTCAATAATGAAGACGTCGGTATCAGCCCGTCAGCCCAGACTGGAGATGTGCTGGCACTGCTAAAAAGATTCTTTCCCCTCCCAACATCTCCAAATCAGTAGGCCATATCTCGTTCTATCGCTACCGAGTGTTCCCCTAAATTTACAATTACTAAAATTAACGCAGGCAGAGAGAACGCCCGCTGGTCCTCCTAAATCCAGATAACACCGGAAAACTTCAGTTCGTAGAAGTGACGTACGGAGATGGGAAGAAGATCCAGATTCCAGATGGCGCCGGTGCTCTGGCTTTCATCTTCAGCGTCGCTGCGCCCCCTGATGCTCTCCCTCGAGACTCCACTGCGGTTCGTAGATGGATTATTCCTCTACTGGCCGCATTGTCCAGGTGCCTCTATCTGGCGTACATCTTCAACCAGATAAACGGGACAGACCCAGAGCCGACAGAGGAAGGCAATGTCATGTCGGTTCCAGTCATGAGCTGCGCAATGTGGTTCGTCGAAGCAGAGAATAAGCTACCTCGTTACCTGTTAGGGTCTACATACACTACGGGGTCCAACATCGACATCAAGGCAGTTGCCAGCCTGACCAGGCGTCGGTTGATGAACCTTTGGAGGCGTGAAGGGCTCGTCGACCCTCAACTGTCGTCCTTCGCACCTCCACGAAAGCTACCTCCTGCGAGTGCGAGCCAGTATTTCCTCTCACCTACGCTACAGGCCGAAGCTGAGGAGCTTTTGGCCGCGGCGATGAGGAGCGATGCTCTCTCTTCCACCCTCGTCCCTACATTGAATACCTTCATCAAGCCAGGGACTGTCGAGCCTCTTCCGAGCAAAACCCCTTGGTTTACATTCCCGAAACCCACGGTGGATAAAGCGACCATCAAAGCTAATGCCGAACTGCTGAAGAATTACGCGGAGACCTCCCTACAGCAACCGCCTCTGGAGATTGGGCCTCTCTCAAGACAGAACATCTTGAATAATGCTGATCCCGTGCTGGAGACCACTCTTCGCGCCGCATTGAGCAACGTGCTTCGTATCGTTTGGGCCGCTCGTGGTATCCTAGACCCGAACGACGGGACGACCATGGCTGCTCTCGAGACAGCCTTTTCCGAAGTCTCAGCGGCGTTCTTCGTGCCACACTACTACCTTCTCAAGCCTGACCTCAACAACCCTACCAAGAAGGTATTGGACTACACGGTCGAAATTCCGATCGCTACAAGAGCGACAGTGGCCAAAACACTGTTCGATACCTTGTGGACACCGGATGCAAGCAGAAAAATCATCAACATGGCCTACAGAATTTACCACTGGGTCACTGCCGAAGACGATGAACTCAAGTTTGCCGGTGGAGGGGTATCTCGATGGGGACGCTGCGCTGAAACATATCCGGTCTGTGAGCTCCTGTAAGTTTATTCGGCTAATCCCGACGCTCGAGTTCTTCAAGCCATACCCAGATTGAAGCGATACTAAAACTAGTACAGGCCCAATGTGACCTCAGAGCGGAAGCTGCTTGGTGCCCCTGATGAATCTTTAGTCAAAGGGGTCGCTATGGAGATTCGCGCCTTCAGCAACCTGGTACCTGCGGCCCCAGCTGTTGGTATCTTTGCCTTGGAACAAAGCTTTACTTGGGGCACACTTGCTGAGATTCATCGATGTCGTGATCCAGGATTGTTCAGGCTACCGTGTCAGAATTGCCAGATTTTGTTGCCAGAGATGGATGTACGTGTGGGGAAGGATAACTACGACACTGAGCTTTACAAACGGCAGCCAGACTTAAAGGTCGTGTAGATATTTACAGAGAACGCAGGCAGCTTATTATTAGAATATTTGGGAATTCCTCAATGCTTATCATATAAACCCGTATGTTCTTTAACAAATGATGCGATTGACACCAAAGGGATTAGCCTTGATATTTACTACCTTCATAAACCCGAGGCGCTCAGTCTTATGTCGAACCTTTGACCCTTCCAGATCGCCAGTATGGGAACATGAACTCATTTCTTGCTTGGGTGTCGGAGTTCATACAGAGTTAAACAAATGCTCTCGTCCAGACGCTCAGGAAGTCTGGGCTGAGTAAGACAGGCCTCCTACCAACAGTTCATCCCACATAGGATCTGTACAATATTTCCACGGTGAGATTACCGTATTTGCAAACAAAAGTATTCACAAAACCAACAGTCGAGTTGGTGCTATTTAGAAGATGGGTCGATGACATACCCTCAATAGAATCCTTGCAAGGCCAGGCATAAATAGCTTGGGGGCTGCTTGTCAGCTGGACCAGCATGCATCTTCTGTGACTGCAACTCGCTGTTGGTCGACCAGTGGATAAAAGGGAAGGGTAGCCCACCTATTATATACCGGTCGCTGCAGCCTGTTGGCTTGGCTGCTTGCACCAATGTTCGAGTTGGGTGTCTGGCAGTGCAGCAAGACTCCTAATATAGCCGATGCACAACAATAGGGTTACATTTGGTCGAATTGCGCTCCTCTTTTCGGTATGTTCCAGTGGGAACCGTCAGCTTTGATCCTACGGCAACATGCATATGATTGTTCCCAGAATGCGGCAGGATTCGGATGTGTCGTTGGGACCAACGTGCTTTAGCACCTGACAAAGACAATCTTGAAATAGATTAGGGGAGCTGCATCGTGAGTAATAGCCTTTTTTTAATAAAGCAAGACATGCGTCAGCTCAGAAAACTTATCTACGTCTTGACAAAACATTCAAACCATCACTTGTAGCAAGAGCTCAACAACTCTCTACTAACATTATTGTTGTCGGTGCCCCCACCATTCACCAATTCAATTAATTCAAGCGTATCTAACAAACTTCTTCCCAGTCTTCAAGATGTTCGGCCTCAAGTTCATCGTCCTCTCCCTCTCAGTGCTGATAAGCCAAGCCCTCGCCATCAACGTGATCCTCTTCGCGAAGGGCCCCAAAATGCCAAAGGAGGTGACAAAGGAGTGGGCGATCCCAGCACACTCATGCGACAAGCCAGAGAAGACAATCGTTGAGAAGATGGGCAGCTGGTCCAAAAACAAGTACACAGCCCAGATGGGTACCGGCCAAAACGCACGGGTCGTCGTCAAGCCCACCAAGGAGCCAGACACGGAGGCTGCTGCCATCCAGATGCTTGGGGATATGGAGAGCATACTGGCCAAGAACACCAAGAAGGGGTGGTGCGAGAAGCTCGTTGACAAATTCAAGGGGGGTAAAAAGGACACCAAGAAGGCTAAGGGGAAGCGGATGGCTATGCGCAAGCGAGCTGCCAGAGCCCGACGAGAGGGAAAAGCCCGACGAGGCTACAGGGCCAAACGAGGCTCGAAAGGTTACTAGATGGATGAGGAAACTTTCTATATTTTTAGTTGGCTTACGTGTGAGATACATGGGACATGTGACGGACGGGGGCAACCTGACATAGAATAGAGTATTAGTATTCGCGCTTTCATCACGAGATGTCACTGTTTAGATAATTATGCGCTATATGTGAAAGTTGAGGTCCCTTTTCAATAATCGCTCTAGATGATGCAGACCCTATTACTAGTAATGATGGTTTCTCTGATCTTCGGCACCATGACAACACCCGGAGTCTTGCGCGAAGAAGTTGGCCCAACACTGTGCCGGCTCTACCGCCACAAAGTCGCCATAAGATCCAGACCTCCTCGACACTTGAGGTGCCTAGTCAATTAGCAACTAAGTATAAAAATAATCTAATTCGGAAGCCTTCTCATCCATCCCTTCTCCCGACTATTTTAACAATCTCTAGCACGAGGTTCAAATAATATATGTCTTATCGAAATAATTGTATTGCATATTCTGTGGATTTTTAGATTTAAGTGAGAGAGGATTCTCATTAAGTTCTTTATACTACAATTAAATTTCTACCACTTAAGAAACAATATTAAACGGTTCATCCCCCCTGGCCCCAACATCGGCTTCATCGAGCAGCCCACCATGTTTCATGTTATTATCTCGCATACTAGCCTAGACCCGCTCCTCCGCAGATAGATTACCTCCGTGATCCGACGACAGTATCTCAAGGGAAGTATTTGACAAAAAATACATCTCGCTGGCTAACACCCCTCCGTCGCCCCCCCTTTGCCTGGTGGGGCAGCGCGATGCCCTTGACCCACGAAACGAGTAATAGGAAGACGAGAAGTCCAAAAAGACAGTCCCGTGGACTGACTAGTGGAGTTTGTGTGGATCGAACACACGACCTTCAGATGTCTAAAGACTGAAGTCAACTTCAGTCTGACGCTCTCCCAACTGAGCTAAAACTCCAGCTGATTGGTTGACGACCATTCAGCTCATCCCGGTACAATAAACTCGCGAGCACCAAGACTGAAGCGATTCAACGGAAAGGGAAAATGCAGAACGATGTCGTGATTCGTATAGACCACGCGACCTTTAGAGGTCAAAGGACTAGGGACTAAAGTTGGGGATCTGCACTGGAGACAAACCAACGTTGTCTATCAGATACGTCTTATGTCGGCGAAATGGGTTCTCTGGGTCTACCCTCTTACTCTACTCCACTGGCAACCTAGGGGCATTTAAGGAGATTCAATTCGTATACAAAAAGCGGCAGGACCATCTTGCCGGAACCAATCGAAGGGCATTCGTCAATTCCACAGGCGAGATTGGCGTTTCATGAGGGTGAAATTTTCGTGAAGTGGATCTTGCGAGCTACCCGGGACCGAGGTTGGCTTCGTGTCTACTAGGACAAATATCTCGAAAGAAGACGTGGATTATGACCTAGTTACCAAGGCAATTAAGTAAAAAGTCGGGGGAAAATATCGACATAAAGGGGGGAATACTATGGACCTTGAATGAAAGAAGCCTACTATTGGGGTTAAAGGCTGTTATGTTCCTTCTCTTCGCGTAGGCAACACATGCTCTTAGCGAGTCAATCAGATTAGTTGACTCTCAGGCACTGACTAATCTTTCTTTCCTACACTAAGTATTCGTACTAATTAATCATAAGTAATTTTCTTTTAGTGTTCTATTATCTATTGCCTCATAAATTATAAATAGCCTGAATTCCAACAGGTTATACAAGCTCTAGACGAGTTTGTAGATATAGAACTTTGAGGAATCCTATGTATATTAAAATAAGAAAGCTCGAGATATCGAACTGGAGTTTTAGCTCAGTTGGGAGAGCGTCAGACTGAAGTTCGACTTCAGTCCTCATGACATCTGAAGGTCGTGTGTTCGATCCACACAAACTCCATTCAATCTCTTTTTGTTCCCTCCGCTGTCAGCTACTTCGACCTGTTTCTAGGCCGTTACGTTTTTTTTCCCGGAGGTATACGACCTCCTGTTCAGCCATGCCTGAGTAATAGTGCAGTGCGGGCCAGTGCGGTGAATTGACGATGACTACATCGCCGGCTGTCTCAAACTCCGACGGTTGACAGTTTAGATCGCCAAGCATTGTTTCCGCCCCCCGTTTCCCTTAGGCAATTAAAATTTTCTCTTTGCTGGCTTTTTTAGTTGCTCTTTTGCCAATTATTCGTGGTTTCCTACCCCATTCCCCCTTTTCCTTTACTTACTCTGATTTGTGAAGCCACGGCTAAGACAAGAGTTAAGTCCCGGGCAGCTTGCGGACTGCTGCGACAGTGAAAAAAAGGCAAGATTTCACCCAGCTCTAATTAATACGAAAGGTTTATGCGAATATGCTCTGCTTTGGATCTTGAAGCCTTCTCGGCCTCCCACTCACCTTAACTGGACTTAAAAGAATCAGGAACATCAGCTACATTTGATGGTAAACTCTCTGGTTTATTAGTTTGAATATGAGAAGCAAAAATATCTCACCGGGTACCTACAATAAACATTATCCTCTCATCCAAGATCCTTTGGTTCGAAGAATTTGTGACGCGCAAGTGGTGCAGGACCACCGGACCCAATGAACACATTCACGCATCGGGGTAACCCAGTCCCAGAATAAAACCCGGGTGCCTGACAAATGAAATGTGGCTTTGCAGCCAAGGGGCAAATCAAAATGAGTGCCGTCGGTGTTGGATGGACAGACCTGCATAGTATACCGGGGACTGTATCGATCTTTGCGACAAACGACCCTGTTTCATACCAAACATGGCTTTTATCATTCTATTGCAAATAGAATTGTTAGAAGGTGATTTAATAAAACGAATTTAACTATAGTCTCTCGAAAATAAATCAGCCGGCCGCACCGAAGTCTACTGCGCCATTGGGTTAGGCGCATAGAAAAGTTTACGCGCTGACAAATCCATCAACAGAGGAGTTTTAGCTCAGTTGGGAGAGCGTCAGACTGAAGTCAAACTTCTGTTTCCTGTTATCTGAAGGTCGTGTGTTCGATCCACACAAACTCCACTTCTCTGTTCTTCTTTTGCCATTTTGTTCTCTTCTTTTATTCTCTTCTGTGTTATGGAGGATGATGTTCCTATCTTCTTCTTCTTTTTGTGGATTTGGGATGAGACCGAAGTAGCATTCGCCCTGGCGCAATGAAGGGTTGGAATAAAAGCCGTTAACCAACTCCGTGATACACTCACTCTTTTTCTTACTTTATATTTGTCGTCGTAGCGCCTGTGCCTCACGCGTTACCCAGAAAAAAAAACGATGAGTCGAGGGAGGCTTCCGATCCTCTTCCGTAAGCTATAAGGGGCACTGTCCCGAAATTGACTGGGATGATGATGGAACATCTTCAATTCATCAAGTCTATCTTTATATTTCTATGCTCGTAGCAGGCCGTGAGGTCAGGTAAATCATTTCGCCGCATCTATTTCTCTACCAGCTGTGGTAGCCACATAATCATCGACATTCATCAAAATGGCATGGGACCCAGAGATGCAAACAGGTATTATAGTCCAGCCTAGGCAGGCAGCTTGAAACCAGAGCGACGAAGCCTCTGGAAGACACCATGAGGATCATAGCGCTTGGCAGTCTTCTTGAGGAACTTGACATTTTCGGCACCGTAGCTTGCGATGACATCCTGGTCACCAAGAGCGTAGTTGAGATAGATGTAGTCCTTGTGCGCTCCAATCTCCTTGCCATATGCGATGATGGACTCGCGGAATTCAAGAGTGAGGGGGTGGATCTTCTCTTGATTCTCTGGGGTATCGACCGTGCACATGATCATCCACATGATTGTTGGGCCGTCCTTGGTGAGCTCGGTCAGGCCAAGCACGTTGCCACCGGCGTCTTCTGCGTGTTTGGCCATCAGAGGCGTCACGGGCTGGAATTGGAGGAGAAGGTTGAACTCGGAGCCGGGGGCGGCGGCCTGCATCTTCTCGACGGTCTCGGCGTGTTTCTTCTCGGCGAAGCGCATCGCACGGACGTCGTTGGAGAATTGACCAGCCATCCAATTAGCACTACGAGGCAAATGATAGTTAGCACAGAATCGAGAATGGGTCAGACGTGTATAATCAGGAATTGCGACATACTAGAGGCCAAGAGGAGTAGGTCCGGTAAACTGAGGGATGAGATCCGCAATTTCGCCTGTGCTGATTGTGTTGGAGATGCTGGGAAGGGACAGGTAATCTTTAAAAATGGCTGGATTTGGGATGGTATCAACATTGGATACCACAGAGATCATGAATCGGTCAGTTCCATTCCACTGGATGGAAGTAATAATCTCAGAGGCAGGATCGTCGTCCATCTTCTCCGTAAAGTCGATGTAGGCGTCAAAGACAGAGTCACTATCCTTGGGGTCAAAGAAGACGAAACCTCCCCATAACGTATTGGAATTTTCAACGCCTTTACATGGCTGGTCAGCTAATGTGCAAAAGGATCAGCTGATGAGAATGGACACATACGTTCATCAACTCGGGTAATAAATCCAAAATTACCCGAACCGCCCTTCAAACTCTTGAAAAGGTCGGGATTCTCCTTGGTGTTGGCATTCACGATTGAGCCATCAGCCAGGACGACCTCAAAGTTGGCGACAGCGTCACAGGCAAAGCCACGTTTTTGGCTATGGAAGGAGTACTAATGGACGGTTAGACGATTTTTGATTAGAGGATGTCATTTACTTACTCCCCCGCCCGTTGTGAAACCTCCCACACCCACAATCGAAGCACGGCCACCAACGGCGACCACGCCATAGGGGTTGAGGGCTTCATAAACATGCCCCCAGTCTGACCCAGGCTGGATCTTGGCAGTTCTTGTCTTGATATCATAGGTCGTTTTGTTCATGTAGCCTGAAAAGATCTAATATTAGACAGTCCTTGACCAAAAAGAGCGATGATCAGACATACTAAAGTCAATCGTGATGCCGTCATCTACGCTGTTTGCTCCCCTCCATGCCGAGTGGGAACCACTCCGCATCCCGAAGAGACACTGCTTCTCTGAGATGATCTTAGCGATTGTGGAGACATCTTGCGTGGAAGATGGCATGGCCATGCATGTCGGCGGGAGCGCGGAGTTGGCCGAGTAGTAGGTGGCTAGACGGGCATCGTATTCTTTGCTTTTGGCGTCGTAGATCTTGCCCTTTAGCTGGGGATGTTTTGCAAGAGCTCCGCACTAGTCGAGCTGTCAGTGAGTAATAGGGGGAGAGCAGAGGCGAGCAAGTGTTACGGACACAGCTAAGCGAGCTTTCTGCGGTGACCAAGGTGGCCAGGGCAGCGGTGACCCCTATAACAGTGACCTTCATCGTGAGATTAACAGCAGGGGACAAGGTAATCACACGAAATAAAAATTGCAAGGGATTTTATTACAACGGACTTGAACGAAGGCTTCATTGATGCTCTGGTGGCTGTCTACGCCTTCTTAACCAGCGACCACCAGTGGCAAAGCGGGCCAATTGAATCCTTCAACCCTGGCTGGGCTGAGGAATCCGGATGAAATCAACCAACACGGATATGGGGATCCATAAGATCAAGAGGGTCGTTCTGGAGTCGACCTACAGCTCTCCACAAGTCCACTCTCCGATCCACGGCTCCCGCAAAGCCTATTCCGGCCCGCCAAAAGCATGGAATCATATCGACTGACTTAGTTGAAAGTTCTCTAGACTATCGAATAAGCAGCCCATCACCCAAGAGCCAACACAAGGAAGAGCTTTTCCTCCCATCACCACCTAATCTATTAAACACCGCCTTTACTGGAATTCTGGCATGCAGAAAAATGACTCGCTCCTGGGACGCATGTACGTGTATGCATACCACTGCAGCACATGGCTGTTGAGCTAGATCTTGAATCGCAATCTTCACCGACGATCACTGTCCACCTTCCTCTGGGGAGAGATATCCGTGGCCCCGTCGAAGCTAGCGAATGTAGTGCCATTCCCAAAGACCCCGTGCATCCGTGTTGGCCGGCTGGGTGTATTAGCCTGAAACTGCCCTTGTTTTCCAGTAGTAAGCGGAGGAGGATCGCCACGTAATTTACCCCTTCTTATTCTTTCCGAGTTCTGGGGAAGCGAGCTGGTGCCAAGGGAAAAGAAGCGAAACTATTTTCAGTTAGAGAATCGCTGATCTTTACCTAGATGGCGCCGCGTAACGACCTAGCATGAATCAACCTTAGCCACTGTAATCTTGGTGGGCATTTTTGTTGAGCTAAATCGACCAGCCTTCATCATGCCAGGAGCAAGGAAAGTAGCGTCCGCGGAACTGGCATTGTTCTCGGACGTTAAGAGGTTAGACTGAATGTCACTGAGTAGTAAGCGGAATTTGTCCTGATTTGCGTGATGTTCCAGGCTCTCTTCCCTGCAGTTTCTCCTCGAATCAGCATAGCAGAACACCGAGTGATCGGGTAGCAAGATGTGAATGCAGGCATCCAAGGACATGGTTAGCGTATCGTAATAATGTACCCCAGCGGGGAAACGATATTCACGCAGGACACCATTTCATGCTTTACGCCTAGCTGCCGGCTACACAAGCGAATGCAAAGAGCTGAAAATACTTCCATCGGCCTTTGATCGACACACTTTACTCGAAAACCAGGCTTCGGCCGGACCGGGATCAACGAGGTGGGGAGCTGAAGTGAAAGGGGAGCCAGTCACGGGGTGACCCTGCACTCTATGAGCGATGTGACAACTCGACCTAATGGGAATGGTGAAGTCAATTTCTTCCCCTGGTGACATCGAGTACATCTCCGGCTGTCGCGTGAACCGCTTCTGCTGTCGCAACCTGCCAAGGATCGCCCGGATAGATAATGACCCAGCCCAAGCTCACCCTTTGCTGATCATCTAATGTTTACTTGTTCTCTTTCGCTCTCGTTCCCGCTCGCCTGTCCTTCCCCACGATGTCGCCATGGCCATTGAGTTTCCAACTTACAATGGCGTCGAGGTCGCAGCCTTACCGCCTCCCGGATATGAGGTCGATTTCGACAACCGGAAGCAGCAGAAATGGCTGGAGCACATTCTGATCTTCTGCCTTATGTCCCCGCTGGCGCTAATGGCCCTACTTCAGCGGTTTTATACGAAAATAATCCTCTCCAAAGGTTTACAAGTTGACGACTGTAAGGCCTACTTTTTATTTCAAGCCCATCGCAGTCTCTAGATTGAAAGGACCTAACAGATGTGACAGTTTTCATGCTATTGGGCTGGGTAAGCCTCGTTCATTATCTCATGTTTCTCGCCCTCAAACGGCGATCAACTGAGCGGATCCTTTACTTACTGAAGTATTAGGTGACAGCAATCCTAACCCAAGCCCTGATGCTAAGTATGATGCTATTTTCAACCACCCATAACAAATGAAGCAGGCCCTAATATTGTCATCACTTCAGCGTCGATATCTAAACGATTATTCTGTTCCCATTCCTTCGAGATGCCGTTGACTGATTACGAAAGCTACGCCTTGGTAACACGACCCTGTTCTTACGACCACCGAACGACACGAGGCTTACATGGGAGATTCTAGTACAGTTATGTGACGGCGCCGATTTATATGATGTGCAATGGCTTCACGAAATTATCTCTTTTGCTCTTCTATCTGCAGATATCGCCCCAGACATGGTTCCGCCGTGCTGTCTGGGTGAGCATCACCGTCGTGAGCCTCTCGTCTCTCATCATTGTGTGCTTCATGTTCTTCGGATGCAGCCCGCTGCACAAGGCTTTTCGACCTAAAACAGAAGGACGTTGCGTTAACGCGGGCATCTTCTACATGGCCACCGCCGCTTCCAACATCGTCACCGACGTCATCCTATTTGTCCTCCCTATTCCGATGGTCTACAGCTTGCGCATGCCCCGCATTCAGAAGTTCGGGGCTATGATGGTATTCGGTATTGGGTCAATGTATGTTTGGTTGAACTGGCGGAGCGTTTTGGAACCATGCCTGACAGAATCACAGAACGATTGGCACGTCTGTAGTGCGTCTGGCCCTTCTTCCTGTCGTCCTCAAAAGCCCGGATCCGTCATGGGATGGCTGTCCCGCCGATGTATGGACGTAAGTCTTGACCATCAGATCTTGCTTCTACCCTTATTTACGTTAGCTAACTATGTTGACTAGATTCGTGGAGGCCAATCTCTTCATCATTTGTGGCTCCATGCCTACTCTCCGAAAGTTCTTCAAGCACCTCATGCCCCGCCTCATGGGCTCATCAGGCCAGTCTTCGAGTTATAGAAACCCAGCCAGCCCCGGCCCTTCCAACAGTGGTAACATGATCAGCCGCCTACGACACAAACGCAAGTCGTACGCACAGTTCGCTTCAGACGGGGAGGAGAACGAGATGCAGGACTTCAGCGGCGGGGACACGACGAAGAAACAGAGGAGTGTGACTGTCACAACAGCGGATCAATCACAAGTCCCAGGGGATAATCAGAGTGACGAAGGGGCCATTCTACAGACGAAAAGTTTTACATTACAATATAATTAGATGAACGCGAGCGGCCAATAAAACATTTGACCAGACCCAAACCACTCTCCAGTCCTCGCCTAGGCACTGTCTCGATCTCAAGGCTAGACCCTTAACGGCCTTGGATTGGTGATGGAGGGATCGGCAACTAGCAATTGCGTGATAGATAGCTTTCTTCGCCGGTCCGAGATGGCGTGAGGGGAATGATTATTTATGCTTTCAAGTCGGCGACCGATCAGCCCCGCTCCGGCTAATAATAAACCTGAGATGCGTCACTTTTGTGCTTCGCTTCACATCACTTCCATCCACCGAGCGCCGTCCCAAACCACCGATCGGATTGATCCCCGTCGAACTACACCATGACCTCTACCGATACCACCAAGCCTTGGCATTCAGGGCCAGCGGATGGCTGGCACGGCGTCATTGCACCTGGCTCTCGCTTCCCACCCGCAGCTGACCGGTACCACTTGTATATCGGGCTCTTCTGCCCCTTTGCGCACCGAGTCAACCTGGTCCGTCTGCTTAAAGGGCTGGGAGATATCCTGCCCCTCTCAGTCGTCAAGCCATACCCCAAGGGTGATGATAACGGATGGCCCGGCTGGGAGTTCCCCGGCTGCCGTGGAACAAGTGACACCTATCCCGGCGCAATTGAAGATCCTCTGTTTAGCTCCAGATACATGCACGATGTGTATTTCCGCGCCGACAAGGGCTATAAGGGTCGCTACTCTGTCCCGGTCATCTGGGACAAGGTTGAAAACACGATCGTGAACAACGAGAGTATCGAGACCCTTCGGTGGTTGCAGACTGCATTCAATGACCTGCTCCCGCAGGGGAGCCCACAGCAGCTCCTCAACTTGTACCCCGACCACCTCAAATCAAAGATCGATGAGGCTACGGCTTGGATCACGAGAGATTTCAACTCTGGCGTGTACAAAGCGGGCTTCGCCACTGACCAGGAGACGTACAGCAAGAATGTCCCCATTGTGTTTGCGGCGCTCAACCAGCTGGAGCTCTTGATTCAATCAAATGGAGGGCCGTATGTTCTCGGAAAGGATCTGACGGAGCTCGATGTCCTGGTGTATGCAACGGCTATTCGATTCGACAGTATCTACGTGCAACATTTCAAGTGCAACCTCGGAACGATCCGCGCTGATTATCCCGTGGTCAACGAGTGGTTGAAGAATCTGTACCATAACGTGCCTGGATTCAAGGAGAGCACCGATTTCAAGCACATCAAGGAGAATGTAAGTGCTTACCCTCTGTTCACGTTTGGTCTTGCTGACCCGATGCTAACCTGATCATAGTATACAAAGAGCCACGCCAAGATCAATCCGTTGGCCATCACACCGCTTGGCCCGTACCCTGATATTCAGAACTTGCCTGTGAATTTGGATTTCAAGGGTATCAAGGCCGGTTCAATCGATCACCCGCTTGTCCTCGCGCACCAGAAGACTTTACCGGGTATTTAACTGCCTCTCCAAGGGGCAACTAGCTTGATCTTCACCCGTAGCTATCACCGAGCCATAACGATTAGGGTGTCTCCTAATTGCATCCATACATTCATTCGTTAGGGTGGCGGGATTCTGTCTCAGGAGCGCAAGGGCAAGATTTAGAATGACTGGAATGAATAGAATGGAGATTGATGGGATTTCCTTAACCGCCGTAACATCTAGGGAATTTTTTTGGACTTTCATTCTGTCTGATTGGTTGTACGAGAGATATATTTCTCCTTCAGGTATCATGTCTATGGTGCGATATCATGGTGAGATATTCTGTCTCGGAATAGCCAAAATGCCAACATCATCTCAATCAAAGTGACGGGAGTGCAGGATAGTTCCTAGGCATGCAAGTAGGCCAGTCTACGTCAATATTCTGAGACAGAGTCATTGGCAAATGATGCAATGGAATCTTTGCCTTCATATATCCTGAATCCTTCCCTTGTTGGCATAGGAGAGAGCCCATATCTCCTGATCGCCGAACGACGGACATCCATGCATCATGTCGTACCCGACTGAAGGAAGTATTTCTGAGGAAGATGGGGATTCGTCTCCTTTCCTCCTCTCGGAGGGCTCCAGTAAAGACCCAGTGGAGGTAAATGATTACAATCAAGGCTTCGACCCTACCAGCGACTCGGCAAATCCGCAAGAATGGCCGCTGTCTTACAAACGAGGCATTGTGGCCTTGCTGGCTGGATCCGCGTTTACAGTGTACGAAATACCAATTTACGAATATTCGAGTATTTAGACCATGGCTGAGCTAATATCTGGTCACAGAACTTTCAACAGCATGTCGGTCATTCCAGTAGCAAATCAAATCGCCGAGGACGTTGGAAACGCGGAGGATGGCTCGAAAATGGTTTCAGCTCTCCCCGTCACAATATGGGAGTTAGGTGAAGCGACTGGGTGTCTTCTCATCGCGCCGCTCTCGGAAACATTCGGTCGTTACCGCGTGATTAATATTTGCAGCATTATTTTCATCTTCGCGACCATTATTGGTGCTCTATCAACATCCATGTCGCAGTTCATTGTCTCGCGGGCACTTGCTGGCATGGTGGTAACTTCAAATGTTCTCAACCCGGCCATTATTGGAGACATATTCCCCCCAGAGCATCGAGGTACTGCGTTGAGCATTGTCCAGTTCGCACCAGTTCTTGGAGGCACAGTTGGAGCGGCTGCCAGTGGTGCCATCTCAGAACTGTTGGGTTGGCGTTCTGTACTTGGGACTAGCATCTCATTAGCAAGCCTTTGCCAGTTCGGCTTCTTCATCTATTATCGGGAGACCTACAAACCTGTCATATTAAGAAAGAGAGCAGCCGCACTGAATGAAAAATTGGAGGACACATCAAGCTCTGGTAGCTTGGGAGAATCATCGTTCCTTGAACAAGCATCGACCGGGATTTTCTTGTCTCTACTACGACCTGCTCAAGTCATTCTCGATTCAGGCGTTCTTGCTGCTTTATCAGTCTTTGGTTCCGTTTTGTTTGCTCACTATTGTGTCCAAAACGTGACGCTCCCGCCAATTTTAGAAGACACCTATGGCATGTCTCCGGTTGAAGCTGGAAAAGCTTTTCTAGCAAATGGTAAGAACTTTCAGCAAAACGCCGATTGTTGATGTTAACATAATATTCGTGATAGGCGTGGGATCGATCATCGGTATCGTTATATGCAAGTTTACTATTGATAGAATATACCTCAAGCTTCGAGCAGCGAACAAGGGAATTGGGCGACCTGAATACCGTCTTCCCATGGCCGTAATTGCAGCCTTGATGATGCCGCTTGCTCTCGCGTTGTATGGCCTTTGCGCTGAATATAGGCTCACGCTGGGCCTCTTGCTCGTGTCCGTCGCGTGGACTCGTATGTGTATCGTACTGGGCCTCGTGCCCGTCATGGCATACGCGGTGGATGCCTGTAGTCTTTACTCCGCTTCTGCCGCGACAGGAATTGTTGTCCTCCGATGCATTGCTGGTGCATCCCTACCGCTCCTCACGGTACAGATGGTAGAGTGTGTTGGCTATGGTTCAAGCTATATTCTGTTAAGTGTTATCAGCCTGGGACTCGGGTTAATTCCAATTATCATCATGCGTTTTGGGCTACATTGGAGGCAGCGTTCAACATATACATCTTGATTTCTGCTGTCGGACGGAAGGAAATCGAAAAACTCCGGACCTTTCGGGTGCTTGATTCTCGAGGTGATTGAAGCGGTTCTTTCTTGATGTTTCGTACGGGAATCCTAATACAGCATCCATATAACTGAGTTTATTGAGTCCCAGATTTTAATACATCCTCGAGGACGGTGAGCATTTGAATCAAGAATATGAATCAACTTGCTTTGAAGTATAGGGTACCTGATTTATGACTGTGTTTTCAGAAAATCTGCCACGCGCTTAGAGTTTCCTCCTGTGAGACGAGAAGTTTAGAATATTATCAAACCTGTTGCTTCGTCTATCCCATCAGCAAAACCGAATGTGACCACGCCCTGGGGGGTAGGGCTTGAGGCTGTTATGTTTGGTTGAATTGTAGAAATCGATCCTGTCCCCTTGTCCCCTTCTCCAGCGAAATTGATGACCGGACAGGAGGAGGTCAGGGGTATTAGAAAAGCAGCCTTTAATTGGCCACAATATGCCCCAGGCATCCATCTGATGGAAGCCTACCACTGTCTAAACATTGACCTGTAGCCTGAAGCAGCAACATAGATAAAATCAGTCGCCGGTGCTCCCTCACCACATCCTACTATGCTCCCATCTCGGCACAGCAAAGCTCAACATGGTACAGACAAGGAGCCAGTGGCGTGCCTCCGCGTCTAGACTGTCGCCAGAGCTGCTCCGCATGATCTTCGCGTGGTTCTGTCCACACTGTCGCGGCAAATTTGAATGGGAAAACTGGGCTGATGACGACGTGAGCGAAGAACGCGGACAGGACATCTGCTCGCTTGTTAACCTCTGTCTGGTCTCAGTGGCATTTCGCAATGCGGCTCAAGAAGTATTGTATCATAGCTTCGATACTCACTATCTCAGCATGAGTCGATCGAGGCTTCGGCTCGAGCAGTTTCTGCGCTCCATTGCAGCACGGCCGGACCTCGCTCGTTCAGTCAAAGCAGTCAGCCTGCACCCAGATTCAATCGCAAGGCTGGACTTCTTCGCAAGTCGGGATGCCTTCGATCACTGCGCTCATGCGCTTGGCACCAGCGCCCTTGACCTCTGGAGGCAGACGGAGCTCGTCTATCGGGCCAACCCACAAACTCAGCATCCAGGCTGTGAAGCTTTCTTCGTAAGAGATGCTGACCCTGGTAGCTGGGCGCAAGGCCCATCTATCCCTTTTGTCGCCAGCCAGCTCCTTACTATGCTAGTTGCTTTGTTGCCCAACCTGAGTTACCTCAAGGTAGACAGTAACACTGACCAACTTGACCTATCTCGAGCAACCTCGACTGCGATTGGCCTCACTAGGTTGCCTCTAAAGAGTCTTGATACAATTCTCCGCTTTGAATCTCTCTTAAAACTGTCGCCAGATATAGAGACTCTAGTATGTCGATCTCGATCTAGGCTGTCCTGGAACAGCCTTCCGAGCGTCCGATCGCTCGTCGTCGCTAGTTCTTCTGTAGACTCCCTCGACATCCATGATCTTCTATCTGTATGCACTGGCGATCTCTCGAATTTTTCATATAGAGGCACCAACGCGACGGCTGAACAGATTGTCCGCGTCCTCAGCACTGAAAGGCTACACGCCACTCTTCAGTCAATCCATATCGACTGTCGATTGGTAAATTTTATCGTTCGGAATCGGGTCATGCCGAACTTCACACCCTTTCTAAATCTGCGGACTCTCTTCCTCAGCATCTTTCTCATGCATCCGGATGCAGACTCCGATAGCCAAGCCCTCGTGAGCATGCTGCCTGCCAGTATTGAGTCGCTGACGCTCGTGGGTAACGACGCGGGATTAACATTCGATTACAATCAAGCCAAATTCATCCGTTGCCTTCGAAACAAACTCGTCGGCCTCGCTGAAGCAAAAGCAAATGCTTCGGGTTTCAAGCACCTAAGCCGGGTAAGATGCGACGCCTCCCAGGTATGCACCCGCTATGTGAGGAGCAGGTTCAAGCGGGTTGGTGTTGATTTCATGTATCAAGAGTCCCTCAGGTTGGACACTTTCATCCCGGAGATTTCTTTTACGGACGTGAATCCCCATTACGCGTTGCCATTACCGGACTCGGATGGTGATGATCTATAGGACTTGAGCTAGGAAGGAAGGGTCGAATAGTGAATTGTAGATAGAATAATAGTGTAGATAGAATAATAGATAGCACAATATCAAGAAAGAGAATGAATTGATGAGGAGCAGCTCAGTTGCTGCATATTTGGACTTTGTCTAATATTGGATCAATCAAATCAGAGCCTCGGGGCCGTCATGAGGTAGGCGTTCTCTGTGACAATAGCACATGTTCAATTGTACGTCGATATTGATTTGAATACATAGCCCGGCTTAAGAACACAGTTTTTCATCTTCATATTAAACAGGTAGAAATACAAACAAGCAACTAAAAAAAAATCGAGGCAGTTCCTTTTCATCCAAAACAGCGGGCAGTCAAACTGTACAACAGTGAGGAAAACCTGTGCGCAAGATTTTCATTTCAGTGGCCAATCACTGAACCCAATACCCGCCAGTCCCACGTTTTCTCTCTATCCTACAACACACCTTTTCCTACCTGGACCAGCCTTTTGGCCCAGCCCAAGTTCCTTTAACCATTGAGGCGTAATATACCCAAGGAAAGAACTCTTTCTTCATGTGGTAGAAGGCTCTCCGGGGCACAGCCTGGTTAATACCAAACCACTTCCCAAAGGTCTCATCCGGAACTCCGCCATATTTGAATTCGGTCAACAGAACCTTCCCGTACTGTGTGACCAGTGGACAGGACGTATACCCGTCATACTTGGCATCAAGATCTTTGCCTTCTATTGATTTGAGAAGATTTCGGACCAAAACAGGGGCCTGGGCGGTGACGGCAGCAGCAGTTTTAGATGTAGGCAGGCCCGAAGCATCGCCAATAGACCAGACGTTTGGGAATCGAACGTGTCGAGTCGTCTCGGAATCAACATCGACATATCCCGCCTCATTGGCGATAGAACTATTCTGCACGAAATCATGAGCGCACATTTTGGGAGCCGCGTGCAGTAGATCAAAGCGTTTGGTGACTTTCCCGCCCGGGGTATCGAAGATCGCCTTGTCGCCGTTGATCTCGACAAGATCGTGCTGGAAGAGGCCCTCGACTCCCCGTTCCCTTCGGAGCTCCTCGAGCTTGGCGCTGTACTTGGGGACGCCAAACATGACGGGAAGACCAGTAGCAAAACTGATCTTGACAGGCGAGGATAAATCTCCTGCACTGTAGAGCCCAGCCGTCTTCCAATGATCTAACGCCATCCACATGAGCTTTTGAGGCGCACCGGCGCATTTGATGACGCCAGCCGGTTGCGTGAAGATGGCATTGCCCTTTTGTAGCTTCTGGATAGTCTTGAAAACCTTGTCGCATGTGTCATAGCCGTAGATGGTGGACACCATGCTGCTTGGGTCGGCAAGGGCTTCTGGCATTCCCTTGATCTTGCCATAGTCCATGTGGATTCCCGGGACGACAACTAGCTGCTCGTACTCAAGTCTGTCGCCGTTCCCCAGCAGAACGGAGTTCTCCTCGGCTTGGATGGAGGACACGCTTTCCGGGTAGAACTTGAAGTGGGGATGCATCAGGTCCTCCTGACGCCTGCGGAGGTCGGTCTTCTTCTTGACACCGCCGCCCACCAGGGTCCAGCCGGCTTGGTAGTGATGCCATTCCGCGGGATCAACGACGGCAATGTCATTGGGTGCGAATTTACCGGACCGTCTCAGTTTTTGACTGACGGTCAGACCGGCGGAACCGCCACCGATGACGATGACCTTGTGGCTCCGTGAGGCAGTTCCAGCTGGGGAAACTGTTGCGAACGCGCGAGTGGCTGAGCTCGCACAAGAGGCCACGCGAGCAGCGGGTTTGATGGACTGACAGAACATTGCGAATGGAACTGAAGGGTTGAGAGAAAAACGAAGAAAAGAGGACGAAGGATGAAAGCTGAAAGCTGAAGAAACTCAGACGGCTATAAATGAGCGAGAATAAAGGAAGCCAACCCACTGGAGAGATTAAGTGAGAGATTTGAAGGACGGAGCCACGGACGGTTCGGCAAGGTGGCTGCGGGACGGGCAGTACTGCATAGCATGAAAGCTTAGGTGTTGTGTTGTCCTGCATTCGCCGAATTGCGGATGCATAGACGAGTAAGAAATACTGATCAGAGTGTCGAGTGAGACTGTCTGTCAATGCGCCGAGTACCGCGGAGGTCGGGTGACCGATTCATGGCTGAGGGCATTGTGACAGGGAGAAATCTGAGATGTGAGCAAATTATTACATCAGGAGTCAGACCAGGGAGGGAGGAAACTGCTACGAGAGATAACCTTTGGGGAGACAAGGGCGGGACTGGCCAGGTCAACGGCTCGGAACACATGGGAACTATTTTAGACTCTGGCGCCGACCGAGTTGTACAAGGGTAAGAGGAACGGGGTAGCAGGTAGTCAAGACAAGGCTTTGCAGTTGCCAAGAGGTTGAACTCCCACCATCCGGCCGTTGTTCTGGCAGCCTCGGCCATCGGCATCGGTGTTGATGGGTACAGCCCCAGGCGGAAACAGGGAAGAGGAGGGGCCAGGAGGTTTTTCTTCCATATAACTCCGGACCCATGAGATCGATGCATGAAGAATTATATGTCATCAGGTCAAGGCTGACAAGGACGGTGGGAGGCACTCGGTGGCTCCAGCAGCCTCCGGACCGACGCTCGGAGCCGGTCGCCGATTGATCGCCGACTGACAGTCCGGAGTGTTCGGCGACCATCATCAATATTTCTTCGAGCGACACTCGCTACTTCTGTATGTCTCTACATTCATTTCTCCTTTATTGAATCAAAGACATTCAAACAAGTATCCAAACTGCTTACCAAAATGTATGCACTGCGTCCTCAACTCCGAAGAGGGAGCACCCGTCTCCTGCAAGCATCTTCAAGAAGAAGGCTACAGGCCCGAGAAACGTTGACATGTCTTCAAACCAGGTCCCAGGCAACAGCTGCGAGCCCTACTAGCGGAAAACGTCCAAGTCGCGACAATGGATTGGCTGCGCCGAGCCCAAGCCAGCTCCATTCGAAGCACGCAACAGCTGGCGTGGCTGCCCAAGCATCCTACTCTACGGTAGCCCCAGCTATCAGCGAGCCCATCATCCATGACATCTTTGAAGACGTGACCTGCACGTGGCAGTACGTGGTGGCAGATCCGGTCACATTGACAGCGGCCATAGTTGACCCTGTCCTGGACTTTGACCCCGTTTCTCGGGCCATCACCACCAACTCGGCCGACAAATTACTGTCTGTTGTGAAGGAGAACGGCTACAAGGTGTCCAGAATCTTGGAGACTCATGCGCATGCTGACCACCTCACTGCGGCATCGTATCTTCAGAAGCGGCTGGGGGATGAGCAAGGTGGCTTCCAGCCTTCCATTGGCATCGGGAAGCGCATCGGAGGGGTCCAGAAATTCTTCGGCACTCGCTATGGAGTTCCCGGTGAGGAATATAGTGTTGTTTTTGACAAGCTCTTCGAGGATGAGGAGACCTTCAAGATCGGGTCTCTCGATGCGTCCGTGATGCACTTGCCTGGCCACACGCCCGATCACATCGGCTACAGAATTGGAGGTATAATTCATCCCTCCTGACGTTCCTTCTTCTCAGTTGGGAGTTTAAACTGACCAGCTCCTCACAGATAATGTTTTTTGCGGTGACTCCATCTTCCATACAGATATTGGAACTGCCCGCTGCGACTTCCCAGGTGGTAGTGCAAGCACCTTGTTTCAGTCCACTCACAAGCTCCTCGAGTTACCTGATACTGTCAAGATCTGGGTAGGGCATGACTATCCTCCAGAGGGCCGCGATGGTCCCGTGGCATGGGCAAGTGTCAAGGATCACAAGGCCGAAAACAAACATCTCAAAGCTGGCGTCACAGAGGAGGAGTTCGTTGCCCTTCGGAACAAAAGAGATGCAGGTCTCGGAGAGCCAAGGCTTCTCCATCAGTCCCTGCAGGTTAATATCAGAGGAGGGCGGTTGCCTTTACCGAATGATAGGGGAGAAAGAATGCTCCTTACACCTTTGAATACGAGAGGTGCGGAATGGTAACGAGAGCATTACTCCCAAGTGCCAGAAAACAGGACAATTTTGTACTATCATCTTCCTCTGTTTCGCAATAGCAAGTTATGTCTATCTCCTTTCAGCTCAATTGATGGCTTCAATGTTTGCCAGAAGAGATCCCCTATTCTTAACTTATCGAAGATACCCGTCAATGTGAATGAGTGATCGCATCTGGCCTATGACATTTCGGCTGAAACCATACAAAGTAGAGGCTGAATCTAATTGGCGAGATGTCATGCAGGGCACAGTCAGAGCCAGTTACCATTCCGAGCGAGGAGGCCACACACAACGCTGAATCAGCTTATTTGGGCCATTTGTATCCTTCAGCTGGACTCTCCCACACTTGTGTCCACTCTTAGGAGCCGCGCTCGGAGAGATTACCTTCTTTCAGCAAAGATGTTCTTTTAGTTTGTGATTCTCACCTCGGCATTTGTACATGGCTCGTTTCATAGTTTGTCCCTGCCATATTTGTACTTTCGTGCGGAATAACGGCATCCAGATAGCTTCAGAGACTTCACGTCAATGGTTGCTCTTCATTTTTCCTACCCCGCTCTACCCTCTACTTCTCTCCGGGCAAAAGTGCATTACATGGGACTGCCTAAACTGGGTTCAAGAGTTGAGGTTTATCCACATTGCAGCTCATTTGTGACGAAGGATCAACCTCAAGACGAATATAAAAGCTGCCCATAATCTTCAGGTCTCTCTTCATTTCAGCACACTCATCAATCAATCCAATCAGAGCCCCAAACAAAACGCCCACGTCGTTCTTTCGCAATGCGCCTTATAAGCCTCCTTCCGTTCTTGCAGCTGGCATGCGCCACCGTGCTCGTCAAATATGATGCGGCCGTAGGAGATGATCCGAAGGTCCTTGGTCTTCTCAATCTTGAGGGATGGGAACGCGCTGATTGGCCTTCGGGCAAAGGCATGAATAACTCTGTGTACTTCGAAACGAAGAAGGACCCGGCCGGTGTGGCAGCTGCTCATGTCCACAAGGATGCTCACTTCACACGCGCCGAGTACCACGCGTTGAAGGGCAAGACGACCAAGAACGCCGTGTACTACATTGGCTATAAAGTTCGTTTTGACGCCGTGGAGGCCGGGACCATTGTTTTCCAGTGGTAAGTCATGAGATGCTGTCATATTTTGTTGAGTAAGTCGCTGGGTGGCCGAAGAAACTGCTAATGGGTGAATCTGTTTTTGCTTCAGGAAGAACTACGACGGTCAGACTGTACCAACTGATAACATTCCCGCTGCACTTGTCTTTAGAAAAGATCCCAACGGCGACAAGGCCCACACGATGTAATATCATGAATCCTTCTGTACCTCCTCGGCTCAAGTTTACTGACTTGTGAGATTATTTATAACAGTCACTTTGGCGTGCAACCCGACCCTACCAAGAAAGGCGCTGACACGATCTGGACCAAAACATTGACCATGGGCAAAACTTATCGATTCGGGATTGTCATCGATACCCATGAGAAGGGCTTCGTCCAACTGTACTTCAACGGTGATTTGGCCACATTCATTCACCCAACTACGGGAGAGCACGTCCAGAAGCTGCCCGGAAACTACTGGCCTGGCCCCATCGAAAGTTCTGACCCGAAGGTTGGTCTATACGGCGCAAACACGAACAATGCCTGCGACTCATATATCTACAACGTCGTCATTGGTACAGCGCTTTCAGATATTGCCGCCGTTGCTGGAATTTCCACCTAGTAAGATTGGTATGAAATCCAGTCACCAAACAGGGTTCAAAAATAGCGGAATAGTGGGTGAAATAGTCCTATATAGGAAGACTCGGGCTAAAGAAAACCTTCATGGGTTATAGGAGGCTGGTTGACTAGCTAGAGAGAGAAGATGTGTAGCTAATGACTTGCAAGATGATGAGCTGTACGCTCTAGCTCAATAGATGTAACAAGAAGGATGCCACCGCAGATACTCCCAAAGGTATTTGCCTCAGAGTAAAGTGATGTGCGTGTAATGGATTCAAGACCAAGGTGGGATGACATTCGATCCGAATTTCATGACTCCAGCACAAAAGTTGGATCCCCAAGCCATTTCGTAACGAGAATTTATTTTTGGTTTATTTGTGACTGTTAGTTGTTGCCATCGCTAATGGCCTGGACTTCCAATAAGGGCGACCTACCCTGGAGCTGCGGATGTACACTTTTGATGCCGGAAAGTGCGCCTCCGGAAGAATAAAGATATCAAGCAGGTATACATGCGTGAGCACAGTTTTGATTTGACATTTTAATGATTGAATGGGTTGTCAGCCATGGTGTAGTTAATCCACCAGAATTTGCTAGAAGTGCTAACTGCAAATATTCAATATTTTCTCACAGTCAGTGAGACCCAAGAGCTCGTGAACCGAAACAAAAAGTAAACCGACATTTGTCGGGAAGTTAGCGAAGATATTATTTAAAATTAAAATAAATGATATTCATTCTAGCTTCTTTTCCCACTCGTTCTTTGCCAGCTAGAACTGCCATGCTTATTCAATTAATTATAGCCACTAACGGAGGTCGCTACGGGCCAAAGGTGCACGTACAAATCGCACTCACTATTATTCACCGAAGATAATGCATGCTGTCGTATGTATTTCAGTCGTGGCAAGCTACTTAGCGATTGCTTGTCACGCTTCGCTGTGTGGAGCTGTCCGGAAATCATCTTACCAACACATCAATGCGAGAGCTGGTCACTACCCGATGATCAGTGTTTTTTTTTTCTATAATGAGCATCTTTCAGCCCGTCAATCAGCCGCAGTTCTTGAGCAGAAGGGATCTAGGGATTCACATGGCTCCACAGTGGACGGTCCCAGAGTGGAATAACATCGTTGATCTTGTGGTGCCCAGTTGCATCACGAGCAGTTTTTCGATCGAGTCATGTAACTTGGTTGGTCTGATAACATTGGGTGATACCTGTGCTGCATTACCCGCTCTTCTCCACAGAAGTGATCACCTCAGAGCTCTCCGCTTTGTGATCTTCGCCTAAGGCCGCAGCTAATCTCGAGTCATGGAGACATTAGGATCAATAATGATCCTCTTATTGCTGACTGGATCAGGACCGAACTACGACGTGGCACCCAGGTTGCTTCTTAAGAGCCACATACTTGGCTAGTCATGTAATGCTCTTGCAACGGGCGGCAATGATGTCTCAGACTGAGTTGATCCTCTCCACTCAGTCAACAAAAATCGATTCTAGGTCCGCAAAAAGTCTGCATACGAATCAACAGCTGCCACAACAGCATTGGATGGGACAGCAGCATCCAAATGTTGGGCTCGAACTTGAGGCCTATGCAAAGCAACCCACTGATCGAAAATAGTAGCGCAGCTTGGCTCAGCTGGGCTGCAGTGGTACAGTTGTGGTGAGTGAGACTGCATGGTCAACCCTTGCAGACGGCAAAATAACCCGCCCGCAGCGGCTGATCCATGTGGAAATCTCATCTCATGCAAGATCGAAGATGATCTCGCCACGGGCCCTGCTTTTTTTTTTTGTTCAACGTGTCAACACCATTGCTGGGTCCGATGTCAGCATTGAATAGCTCTGAACATCGACGGCACCAGCCATCTGGGTTCATGCTGAGTTATTCGTCACTCGTATGTAGATCAGAACAACGATTACGAAGCATGTCGACGGCATCAGCCTTATCCTCCGGTCCTGCGGATCTCAGGCGTAGGGTCCCGTTATTTGTCTAGCGTAAGACCGTGGAACCTGTTTCCCCCCAACGAGGATAGCTCTATGCGCCGTCGCCATGCATCGACCTAGAAGTCTTGAACTAAAAAGGGTTGAAACATAATTGGGCATAAGTTGTCTTGCTGCTCCATGCCAAGCCTCGCATCATTAACCGTGGGTCTGTTCTTCAGGGGCTTCTCCCAGGAAGGTTGCTTTTGTGATAAGACGTTAGCCTCGAGGAATCGATCTAACGTCTTTTCATTTGCGTTCTACCTTCCTACGAGAGGACGGCACAGAAGCAGGGCAGTTCTTAATAGCCACTCAATCCAGCACATCTCATCCGGCAACCATCATGACGTCCAAAAATGAATACGATTTTATCATTGTTGGTGCTGGCCCGGCTGGCTGCAGCCTCGCACGTGGCCTTGGCAACAGCCTGAGCCGGCCCTCCGTTTGCTTGGTCGAGGCTGGCGGTGTCAATAACGACGCCAGCAACCGCGTGATTGGAAACCTCTTCGTACAGAAGATGAACCCTGACCAGGCCAAGCTGTACGAAAGCAAACCTCAGCAAGCTCTCTCCGGTCGCAAAATCGATTTGACCCGTGGCGCTGGCCTCGGTGGCTCGTCGGCAGTCAACTTCACAGCCTGGACCGTTCCACCTCGCGACGACTTTGAGGCGATCGCTGATGTCACCGGCGATCCCTCTTGGCGGTGGGAGAATGCTAAGCGACGTTACAAGGCGCTCGAGACATATCATGATAAGCATCCGGAGGTCCCAGCCGGAACGGAGAGATATCTGAATCCCAAAGCTGCCGACCATGGCTATTCAGGGCCTCTCCATATCGGTTTTGATAATAGGTGGGATAGCTACGCCACTGAGATGATGGACATTTGGTCCGATAACGGATACCCCATCAACCCTGACCTGGGCAATGGCGATTTCCTCGGGATTTCCATTTGCCCAAAGACTGTACATCGCGGTACTCGTGTTACGGCAGACAACCTTCTTTACCCGCTTCCCTTTAACCTTCACATCAAGACGGCGTCTCAGGTGCGCCGAGTAGTGTTTGAAGGGAAGCGAGCGACCGGTATATTCCTGCTCGATGGCACGGTGCTGAGTGCGCGCAAGGAAGTCATTCTTTCCGCTGGTGCCCTCGACACACCCAAGATCCTAATGCACTCTGGAATTGGACCGGCAGAACAGCTCAGCAACTTTGGCATCCAAACCATTGTTCATAATAGATACGTGGGCCAGAATACCAAGGACCATTACCACGTGGCCTTGAAGTATGGCCGGTCCGAGAAATCCAATGAGGTCGCAGCCTTCTTCCGCGATAAAGCCCGGCAGGAAGCAGCCCTCCGCGAGTGGAACATCTATCGAACCGGCGACTTCACTAACCTGGGAACGACCATGAACATGGGCTTCTTCAAGAGCGATGCTGTCCTCAATAGTCAAGAGTTCAAGAGTCTGCCTAAAGAGGAGCAGGCCCGCCTTGGGATGCCTACTGTTCCTACGTACGAGATTGCTGTTCTGGGTATTGCTCCTGAGTACTATCTCGCCCCCGAAACCAGCCCCCCCTTGCTGTCCGTCCTTGTTTTCGTCCACAACTCGCAATGCAATGGTAGCATGAGGCTTGTTTCAGATGACCCTACCGTGCCATTGGACTTTGACGTCGGGTTCATGGCTCATCCTTATGACCGACGTGTGGCTATCGAAGCAACCAAGGAAGTCTTGAAAGTTACCGGCAGCACCGCCTTCAGAAAGGATGAGCATCCTACTCAGGCCGCCTTTGATGTACCAAAAGATGATAGCGACGACAGCATTCTGGCATTCTGGAACAAGGACTGCACAAGCACATGGCATACTGTCGGTAGCTGTAAGATGGGCCGCCGTGGCGATGAGACTGCTGTTGTGGACACTCAGTTCTCTGTAAAGGGCGTCAAGGGACTTCGTGTCGCTGATCTGAGTGTCCTGCCCGTTCTTGTGAGGTGAGTCTGAAACTGATTGTTGCTTATGATGAATCATTATTGGCATCTGATACTAACAAAGAATCACAGCTCCCACACACAGACTGCCGCTTATCAAATTGGTATGCTGGCTGCCGAGAAGCTTGTAGCAGAGTACCGTCTAAACGGAAAGCCAGCCTTGTAATTGATTATAGCCAAATTTGACGTTAGCATTTGCCTTTTCTAGACTTGGACAACTTATATACCCTATCTCCAACATTTTACCAATGAATTAGTGCAGGGTTATCAGTGAGAATGCAGCAGTGATAGATACAAAAAGCAGGAATCTCTGGTCTATCGAGGAGTTGAGTCCCGTTCAAGCCGTGATTTTGATCTCAAAAGCGACTGCCTTATTTATCCTCTGACGCTGGCCAAGGTTCTATCGTGACGTTCCCCCAAATCGACTTCCAACGATTTGTCTTCTTTTCGTACGGCTCCCTCTTTGCCATCATTGGATTCGGCCTCACCACCATGTTAAAGAAGTCTGACAAGCCTCGAGGGGCATAAATTGTCCACTCCCCCGTGTCCTCCGAGCGCAAGCCAATCATTGCACTTGTTGTATGCCAGGTGTCGATGCCCGCCTCCACGCTTTTATGAGGAGGACATGGGACACCAAACTTCTTTTCGAACCATAAATGGACTCGCGCTTGGTTACGGATCTCGACTTCCACGGGTAGGTCGGCAAAAAGCTCTCTACCGGTTTGGATGACAGCATCTTCTGCTTCATATGAGAGGTCTGAATCGTCAAAGTAGACGAGATCGTAATCGCGTATGCCCGTCTCAGGCGGAAACGACGACATGGCATTCCATATTGTCTGAGAAACAGCACCAGCAGCAAGATACCAATTTGGCAGCTTCAACGTTGCGGCCCGAGAAAGGATAGTCATGAGTGTTGGATTCTTTGAAACGATTTCGCGAAACCGTGCAATCTGTTGGTTCAGAGGGAGCTGCGCTGGGTTTGTAGCCATCTTGAGACACACGCAATATCGAGACCGACTAAAAATGCAGTTGGTGGTGTTAAATCGCCGAAAAGTGAGGGTAAATTAGGCAACGATGAGCGTCTTCAGGACTCAAACCCCGAAATTATTTTATGTGCAAGATTCGTGATAGCACGTGACCATGTACCACACAGTAAACCAGGCCTACAACAATACCAAAAAAACAGACCTTTGTTATTAATATAATGTAGGTAGGTATCCTTATAGGTAACATTCTGAATCAAGCTAATACTATTTTTATTAAGGGTTTTCTCCCGAAGGTAGAAGGTTTTATGGACAACTAGATGTAACCTACAAAAAGCCTAGGAAACCCATCTTGAATCGCCAACAATCAAGATATCGTTACGTCGAACATCGTTTTGACCTTGTTTGCTTTACATGGCTCTCCTCATTCTTATCTTTGATCTCACGCCAGATTATCCAGCCTGGTGCAACTCGCTGTGCCTGACTAGTCAAACCGAGAATGAAACAGTGGCACTAAGAGAAATGCAACAAACCTACGAATTGACCTCAAGAAAATGGAATAGTTCATGTATTCTTATGCTTGTGTAAGAAGTTATGGCCGGATCCAGAGTTTATTCTTCGCACCAGTTCAGAGTTTACAACCCGACGGTCGTTTATGGTGATGGAACCTGGCTTGACCGAATTGTCAATTCAGGCTAGCACACATTGATTTCATGAATGCATGCGAGGATTTCTTCCCTGAGACTGTACCTATTTTTCCCTATTATAATTTATTGAATATCGTCAATCAATCCCCACGATCATCCGAAGTAGTTAGTGAGGTTCAAAATCAATTTAGCATAATGATAAAGAACCACCACCAGCAGATTTAGCCTTCGATGAACAACTTGGGATAGGATGTCCAGTAAAGGACGTTTCACGTGCTCAAGTAGCTTGCATGAACTGCATTTGTAATTGTTGGATGATAATTTCTCTCTGAACAGCTTCTCCGCGGAGACGCTCCCCCACGTATCAACCTGTCGCCCAACCCGCCAATTAAATCAATCTTATGTACAGCTCACACAACCTGATCCGAGCCAATTACTCTGGAAGAGCCATCACATGGGGTGACTCGTTAGGCTATCCGGGTCCACCCGGGAGATTTAAATGGCTACCCGGGCTCTCGTATCCTTTCCGAAGGTTGTCATGTCAGTAACGTTGTGACGAGGGATCAGGCCATTCACTTGTGTACTTCCTCGGACTTGCTTGGCCCCCTGTGCCGTTGTTCGGATGGGGAATCCCTGTACTGTGGCATTATATAAGGTATATAAATCCAGATTCACTGATACCATGACACTTCAGATCATCTCTATCGAAGAAAAATTCTTCAGGCAGAATTATCATTATTTACTAATCTCAAACTTGCTCTTGATTCAAGATGGCGACGGAAGTAGCGCCTCGGTTCCCTTTCCAGCGAGCGTCCGCACTTGAACCTCCGGCAGAATATGCCCTGCTCAGGGCTCGCGAGCCTGTATCCCGTGTCACACTCTTTGATGGCAGTCAAGCATGGCTTGCCGTGAAGTACGAGGACGTTTGTAAGATTTCAACTGACACAAGGCTCTCTAAGGTGCGTAAACACCCTGTCGTAGGAGTGATTACGAATATGTTATCGGAAAGGATTGGAATTAACAGAATGCTAGGAACGAACGCGGCCTGGATTTCCTGAGCTAAGCGCCGGTGGAAAAGCCGCCGCCAAAAACAAACCAACCTTTGTAGATATGGACAGCCCTGCTCATATGAATCAGCGGTAAGAACTTTTAGAAGCTTCTGATCGTAAATGGGCAATCACTAATGATCCGGATTAGAGGAATGGTAGAGCCATTTTTCGTCAAAGAGAAGATTGAAGCCATGAAGCCCTATATCCAGAGAACCATTGACGGCCTGCTTGATAGCATGATTGCCAAGGGATGTGCCGAACCAGTCGATCTAGTCGAGAACTTTGCCCTACCAGTTCCTTCATACGTTAGTCCAACCACTTTCCTTATGACGAGGGCTACTTGGACTGAAGTATAATTCTATAGATCATTTACACCATTCTGGGGGTCCCCTTCGCAGATCTCGAGTACCTCACAGCGCAGAATGCGATTCGGAGCAACGGCAGCGCAACAGCACAAGAAGCTTCGCTCGCGAATCAGTACGACTAGAATCTTCATTCAATCATTATCATCCTATACATGCTCATATTTTCTCATCCCTCAGGGAACTTCTAGATTACCTCGCAAAACTAGTCGACCAGCGCTTGGAAGCACCACAGAACGATTTAGTCAGCAAGCTTGTGGTTGAGCAGCTTCGTAACGGCCATATTGAAAAGTCTGATGCGGTGCAAATTGCGTTCCTGCTCTTGGTTGCAGGAAATGCAACTATGGTGAACATGATCAATCTGGTAGGTTTATTGTTCGAGCCATTGACCTCGGCCGCTGACGTGTTGGACCAGGGCGTCGTGGTGTTGAGGCAACACCCCGAACATTATGAAGCGCTGAAAGCAGATCCGTCCTTAGTTCCGGGATTCGTCCAAGAGCTGTGTCGCTATCATACTGGCTCGTCGCTTGCGATGAAGAGAGTCGCTAAGGTGGATGTTGAAATTGGAGGAAAGGTATGAATCTGAAGCACAAACGTGCCGTGACTCCGAAGATTCTAAATGAAGTCATAGACAATCCGAGCTGGCGAGGGAATCATTGCAGCGAATGCGTCGGCAAATAGGGACGAAAGTATTTTCCCCAATCCAGATGAATTTGATATACATCGTGATTTCGCTGGTCATGATGCGTTGGGCTTCGGCTTCGGCCCGCACCGCTGCATTGCTGAACATTTGGCTATTATCGAGCTCGAGCTCGTCTTTAGTGAGTAGACTCTCCTTAAACTATGACATCAACTACCAAGCACAGCATGAGAGGGATGGTCTCGGTGATGCTAACCAATCTGCAGCTACGTTACTTCGGAGACTACCAAACCTCAAGGTTTCAATCCCCACTGAAGAGCTGGAGTGCAGCCCTCGGCATAAAGATGTAGGCATCTTGAAACTACCGGTCATATGGTAATGGTAGCAGATGAACTAGGAATAAGCATGTTCATGTACACTAGAAAAGAAAACCCCCCTTTAAGACAGAATGCAAGATGATATTCTCTACCCTTTTTTCTCTCCCTAAGGGCCCTCTTGAGCCGCAGTGGATCTAAGAGTATCGATATTGTAAAATTATTTTGGAATTGGCATATCCTGGTTGTAATGATAAAGTATGTACATATAAAACAAAGTTCCGCTGTGTCCTCTCGTATTAGTGATAGAAAATATTACCATCAAATCTTGAGGCAGTGAATGAGTCGGCTCAAATTTTCTGCATAAAATAGTACATGGGCAACCTCTCAAGATTCTCTGCTCGTCGAGGAGTCCGCTCGTTTGACCAGTACGATCGGTACATCCTTTGGATGTCCAGTGTCCGAGGTCAATGGGAACTCGTCGTCAGAATGGTGACCGTTCTTGGATGTGTAACCCGCCTTTGTATCTTGTTCCACCTTGACCTCAATCTCAGTTCGCCTATGGATTCCAATTCCACCACCATTTCGAGGCAGATCCTCGTCCGAGTTACCAGCCACGATTTTTGATATCTGCGCCAACGCCACTGAGTTGCCTTGATTCCATGTGCTCTGTCGCTCGGCGTGACTCTGGTTCCCGTTATATCCTCCAGTAGGGTTTGAGCTGGAATTGTGCTCGGGATAGAATTCGTCCGAACCACCATTGCTGGCAAGTCGCGTGATGAGCTTGGCCATGGACATTTCGATGTTGAGTTTGACCATATATGTAACAGGATGGAATTGGATAAAGACCGCTTTGTTTTCTAGCCACATCAGGCCAATGAGCATGGCCTAATTATGTTAGTGAGCGAACAAGGCTCGGACACCGGTGTATGATAGCTCTTGTACTTACGTCCATGGCGATAGATAGAGCCATCAGTCGGGCGTTAAAAGAAACCAAAGGTTTATACTTCTTCAAGTTATGTTGCTTCACAAGACGTTGCTCCACGGTGCGGAGAAAGTACCAGTTCAAAAAACCGTCAAGAGCCATGATAATGAACTTGGATGCGCGATCCCAGTAGTTGTTGATGTCGACAAATCTGAACCAAAGGAGTCAGGTATTGGGGGGCGATGCAGAAGATGATTCTAACTTACAGCTGGCTCACAGGGGGGTCTCGATGGGCGGGGATGAAAATGCAAAACACAGCAATATTCACACAAGTCATGATCCCAGCAGTGGTCCATTTCATGATCGCAATTGTTTTCCTATGTTCGGCGATGATGGCGATTCGGTTGACGATGATCTGCATCAGCAGCTGGACTTGGAACACCCAAAAGAAGAGTACGAGGAACAAAATCGGAACGCTGTAATAAATAACGTTAACCACACGATGACAGAAAAGATGGTATGGACCGTGACATACTCTGAGGGAACAACTTGATCAATCCAAAGCCAACCAGAGACCATCATCCCTATGTTGGCGACGATCTCGCCCCATATCATGTAGATGTAGGAACTTCGAAGAGGGTTTCGATTCCGTCGAGTCTGTTTGATGGCCTCCCATGTCGTCAAAAAACCAAAGCCGATGGTGAAGCCAAAGGCCATGGCAGCGACCGTAAGGTCACTCTTTGACTTGACGGGCGATACTGGCTGCGAATCCATGGCGGCTAGGATGGCTCGTGCTACCCAAAGTCGAGGTCGTAGTTGCACAAGGGAACGAACTAACAGGAAAGATCATCGCTTCACCGAAACCCGGGACCCTGTAGATTTTTAATCCGCCAGATCTTGTACCCTAGCACGAGTCAATGAGCTCACCAGCTCTTGAAGTGCGTAGGACCTGACTAAAGAAGGGGCATCCAGTCAAAGTGTCCACTGCTTGATCTAAGTGTAGAATGGATCTGGCACTAATGATTGTCTTAGTATAGACCAAGGCAATGCCAGCGGCGCCATGATTTCATCGCAATATTATCCCCTTAGTGGCCAGGACTGGTTTGGACGAATCTTGGCTCTTGGGTAGTGATAAGGGGCAAGGAGGGCAAGAGGCGGACAATATTCACCGAGACATTTCACAGCTCTCGTCAACTCTCGATGCGTGAATATGCACCTGATCTGGCCCGTTCTCAGATGGAATAAGGCAAGCTCGCGTAAAAACAAACTTCCTGATCCTTTGGACGGGATATCGGATGAGAAGATCGTGTGTGATCTGTGCGGATCAGTGGAACAGTCGATTCGGCCCTTCTTAGCCGTGTTTAGTAGCGAACCATCTAGCGCCTTGAGTCTCAAATGGCTGCTTCATCATCACAAACAAGTGAGAAGGAGACCCAGCTATCAACTAGTGTAACCCTTATTTAGTAAATAACGGCCTATGTAAACTCTGATAAAGCAAGGGCACATCTTGATTTGGGAGTTTGGGTTGGCCACCCTGATAGCATGATGATCAGCAAATGGCCATACTTTGAAGACCAACTCTCGCAGCAACCTTCAACAAGCCAAGCCAAGAGCCCGCCGTCTCTGCTGGCACGAGTGAATCACATAATATAAAATGGTCTTCGATCTACGATCCTTGGGATGACACATATGTGTCACCAAGCGACTACTTTTAGTTTCTCGTGTCAAAGGGGTCTGTTCAGATCCACGTGGCGGAATTAAGCTGGTGCTAGCTTGGAAATTGTTGAGTTTCGGTGACACACCGTGGAAAGTCCCGCTTCCGTTCCTCCGGCCGGTAAAGCAACCCGCGAAGCCGCGAGGTGTGGCTGACAGATTGGTTAATTCAGGGGCTCTCCTACATCTAGTCAGTAAGCACAAGCTTTTTGAACATACACTCACCAAGACTCGCAGCGGCTGGACCATCTAGCCGGAGTCTGAGGCCGTATTAAGACATGGCATGCGGCTCCGGAAACTGGCTTTTCTCGCTACGTGCAGATGAACCGGATCCCCTTACTATTCCAGATACGTTTTGAGTGAAACCGCCCACGACAAGGTCTGCTTCGCAATGAATCATTCACAATGGGGCCGATACTGGTCGGGATTGGGAATCACACTAAGTAGATAAGAAGGTAGAGTCGTCATTGTACCTTGCCTTAGAGAAACCGAACCCTTCAGCCCGTTGGCCATATCAACTTTTGCCACCAATAGTTCGATCTTAGCCCAAAAATAAACACGCGCGACGGACGACTAGGTACCGAATGGGTGTGGTCTTCCCAAGAGACGGCCATACTGGTTCAGGAGTATTATGTCGTACCCCTCCGCGCCCACCATTCTGGTCCCGGGTACCCGGGTATGACATGAAATATTGATGAGGCTTGAAACTTCGAATCTTAAATAAGTGGAAACGGAGAAAGACGACGGATCGTTACCTCAGCTACGATTATATAGACAAGACACATCGTTTTCATTGAACGAGAAGAGACCTTGGACCCGAGCGTTAAGGGCTTTCTTTTAGAACTATGTAATCGTAATCTTGCTTATTGGACATGCCCAAATCCTTGAACGCCTTCCGAATTTGCTGAATGTCCGTTAGATTAGCTCTAGCACCAGTGATACCTTTAGCAAGGGATCCTCGATGAGACTGCTGCAAGTAGCCCGGCAAGACATGTGGTGCCCTTCTTACGGGCCGTGAATCACTGCGGTATGTCACGCACAACGTGGAAGCGCGCAATGCCATCATTCGCGATCTGTGCGACGAGTCCATGCTCCCAATCAATATATCCTTGCATGTCTTTTCGAGCGTTTTCAGTTCCTTCATATGGGCGTTTGTAAACATCAATAGGTTTTGACAACCATCGGTGTTCTGTCTCGAGTAGGTTGCCCTGGGATGTCCACGCCTCCGTTCCTCCGCTTAGATATAGGATCTCTCGCGACAAGTGCGTGCGAGCGTAGTCCACATTTAAGGCTGCAATTTTGCCGTCCGGTGATGTTAGCACGATAGGCCCGGAACCCGGAGCGGATTGCAGATCACGGGCGAGTTCTGGGCCAGAAGCGAACCAAGCCCCAGGTATGTGGCCCTTTCGATAGACTGGGCTGCGGGCAAGATCCACGATTGTTGGCTGAGCAAGTCTTTTGAGGTCCTCGACTGTTATGGCGCCAGATTTTGGTACTTGCCAAGAGGCTTGCGTGGCCGAGGGGAGATCATCCGGCACTGAAGCACCGTGTTCAAGAACATGGACATCCCAACCGAGCTGTAACAACCAGCTAGCGGTCATGAGAGCTCTTACTCCATCGGTATCGTATAACACTATCCGGGCGCCTCTAACGCCAACCCATTCGTCGGTAGCTTGGACCAACTGGCCACCGGGAGCAGAAACGAAGCCCTTCGGATGGCCCTGCTCGTACTCTTTTGGATCTCTCACATCCAGCAGGTACAGCGTTCGCGAATCTGCCGCCGCTGTGAATTCTCTGACTTTCTCTATACCAACAACGGGTACACCGACATGGCTAACCCACCTTCTGGCATACTGTCGCGACTGTTCTACAGCTGCAGACGACGGCTGCCCGACTCGCTCAATTCTGCCCTTGTCGAGTTCCAAACCCTCGAGTGTCCAACCGATGGTGCCGTTTTCGAGAGCAACGACTCTGTTGGGAATACCCGCATTGACTAGGGACTGAGTACCAACGATACTTCGGGTGCGGCCTGCGCAGTGGACAATAACGATAGTGGTCGGTTTCGGGGCTACCTCAAAGACCCGGTACAGCAACTCCCCTCCCGGGCAGCTTTGCCCTCGCGGAATGCTCATGGTGTGGTACTCTTCATACCTTCGTGAATCCAGAACCACCACATCATTGTCGCTATCTAGAAGCTGCTTGATCTCGCGTGCAGGCAAGGAGGGTGTGTGACGAATGGCCTCCACGAGCTCCCCGAAGGCTTTTGAGGGCACGTTTACGTCCCGGAACACCTCGCCCACCCGTGCATAACCGGACAGGCCACCTGCTAAGATAGAAACATCAAGATAGCCTATGGCTTCGAGTCGTGCCACAGCACGCTCGGCGTAGCCCTCCCCATCATCGTAGACAGCAATGGGCACAGAGAGCCGAGGAACTAGAGCCGGTACTCTGATCTCCAATTCCGATACCGGCACGGTCAGCGCGAAAAATGGATGGGCGTCTGCATAAGGCCCTTCTTCTCGGACGTCAATCAAGGCCACTTCATCCTTGTTAGCCCAGTAACGGCGCAAGGTCTCCGCGGATACTGTTTTGGCCATGATGTGATCTGGATGAATATCTCCGTGAGTGAAGGGGCGCGGGGTTTGTCGTTATTTTGAGAACTTGGCGAAAAGCTGACGGTGGTATGGGAATAAGTTTTCTCAGATGGTTCACTCCAGTCTGCGGACAAGCCTACCGGTAATCGAGGACGCAGGCTCAGCAGACTTGCTTGAACCTTTAATCAACGCTTGCGTGTATTTGAAGTTCCCAGACATCGAGGTGGCGGATATTTATTGCACACCATAACCCCGCTCATACTCGTCATGTCTCCACGTGGTATTTGCTACTACTACTGCATTATTCTAAACATCCCGAGACACCCCTCTGACTCTTTTTCTGTTACACTAAACTTGTACCAGTTAGAGCTAATGCCAACCAGTATACCCTCGGACAAAAATCTATGGCAGCAACAGCCTCACAAGCAAGCAAGGTTTAGTTAATATTTTATGTTGTCCAAAGCTAATCTAAAACACGCAAAGAACGCCTATCTGCCTTTGTTTGCCGCACTTCGGATATATGGCTCAAGTGAAAAAACCTCAAGTCTCTGGCCGCACGTCTTTGTAGATCTGGTCCCATCTTGGTTGGAGAACCTCGGGTGTGCCAAGCATTTTCAGGATCTCGTAGCCATAGGCGAAGTAAGTGGCGTCTATCCAACAAAGTCGTTGTTAGTTAACTGACTATCTCGCGTTTCTTGTCGCAAAATGGTGTTCGACCTACTGCTTCTCCCCTTCGTTGACAAAGCCATCTCGGGCGTGAAAGATGTTGAGCTTGTTGACATATTGAATGTCGCCTTTTTAGAATTCGGTATTGACGCAAAACTTCCCCCCGATGAAGTGCAAGGTGTCCAGGGCCTCAGCTTGTACCTCTGTGATGGGTGGAATATCCGCACTACGAGGAAGCGCGCCGAACCCTACGAAGTATCGTCGCCCGTATTGGAGAGAGACTCTTTGGGGAGCAGTGTCAGTAGGTGGTAGTAGGTGGAGAAGCGGTCTTTCCATCCATTATCTGTCGCCCTTTTCACACCTGGGCATGATATTAATTGGGACATTGCGAAGTGGCAGCGGGTATTTAGGCTGACATACACTTCCATGTCCCACGATCCAGCGAGAGTATGAATCAAGTCAGGTCGAGTCCGTGCAATCTCACTGTAGACCGTCCATATGCATGTCAGCTAGCACCTCCTTCCTTAGCTATCTCAAGAGCAAAAAGTGCAACGATATCCCCTGAGCCGGTGTGGAAAACCTGCTTGTCGGTGGTATAGGCAGGACTACCGATGATATTGTTCGGGTCAGATTTGCTGAGATCCTTTGCGTGTGTAAGAACTACGTCTGCTGGCTCGCCGTTAAATTTGTGATCTTGTCAGCCTCGCTGCACAGCAAAATGAGCGAATAGTCCTATATAAATTATGATGTTATCATCTCTAGTGTACTCATCGATTGGAATGCCGCGGATGACAAAGAATCCATGGCTACTATGAAGCTCACGGGACAAACGCCGAAGCTCAGAGTGCAGAGTTTGAAATGGGGACGTGTCGGCGATAATGTGACCATACGATAGATTGAGAGCTGTTGATTCAATATCAATTACCCGTCAAACTCAAAAGGAAAGTTTTCCTCTCGTGTTATATTCATGTTGGCTCTGTGTGAAGGACACCAACATTTGAAGTGAGCTACGGCTCGGTCAATCTCAGCAAGTTGCTCGGTGTTGAGGACATATGTCCAATCATACGACTGTGCCAAGGTGGCACCCTGTCAGACTATATCCCCAACTAATTGCTCTGGAAATCCTTTCGGGGACCTTAGAAGGAAAATTGCCCGTAGCAAGACATCTGGCAGCGTGGGCCTGCCAGTTGTCATAGTTGGGGGCATAATTGATCTCAAGTTGACCAGGGGGTGGTTGAGCGGCCGGAGTGACCCAAGTTATTGTCGTGGTCGACATGATAGTAGCAATAGTAAACAAATCCGTTCATCCAAGTCAAGAGTGTTAGTTAACCGTGGGATATGATATAAGTCTAATACTTGAGATAATATCTAGATGTTCTTATGTGCAAAGGCGTGCATCAATCATGATGGGCCGATTATGATAGGATTGTACGTGTTGATCCCGGACTGCCAGTGCCAAGCAAGATCGCCCGGAGGAATACATGCCTTTATGCACCCATTGCACCATCCTTTCAGGTAGAAGCCGGAATGAAACATGCTTCAAATAAGCAATTGCAGCATGCGTTAAGGTCCGCTTTTCTAATCATTTATGCCTGGGGTTTGATTTATCTGAGTTGATGAAGGAGAAGACATGATACAGAATGGCATGGCTATACAACGTAGCTTCTTTCATTTTGTTGTTAGAGCGCCTTAATATCCTCTTTTCCTTCCACGAGAATCAGAACCAGGCTACCTTCGTATTACCGAGAATGTAATGGTTCCAAACAGAGCCAACGAAACGGTGGTTGAGGCATCGGCAGAAGGAGAATTGTCTCTGACTTCGACGAGCTCAGCTTAAAGAAGGCTCGGCGCTTCGAAAAAGCCGCCATCACCCACGACGGCACGGGTTTATTCGAGGACGAGTTAACTCTAGAGGCTGTGCTTACGGCCTTGACTGCGGAAGAAGAGAAGCGGCACCTCCGAAAAGTTGATTGGCGCCTAATACCACTACTTTTCACGCTATATCTTGTGATGAAGCTGGATGAGAACAATGTGGGCACTTTGCATAGGAAATTTCAAGATCAACTTCTCTTACATCTGTTAGGTTTCCAATGCACGAATCATGAACAAGGGCACGGATCGTAACATCCTGACGCATCTCGGTATCACGTCTGACCAGTCCGGCATGGTCACGGTTCTATACACTGTGAGTTGTAGCAATCATCTACGACAGCTGAGCCTTTGTTGAAAAGCTGACCAAACTAAAACTATTTACATTCTTATCCTTCTAAGTCTATTAGATAAATTAGTAACCTCTGAAAATTTATACTATAGAGAATCGCTTAGGCAAAACATATAGCTAGAAGCATATCGAAAATTAAACCTATTCTAGATATAAACTGTCTAAGAGAGTGTTCTAGCTAAGAAATAAGTATATATATATAATAAGAAGGACTTTACTGAGTTTCACCGGACTTTATACTGGCTACGCAGTGAAGAACTAATTATATACCTCCTGTGGAACATATACTGAGAGCGTATGAAATTTCCTTAGTTAGTTAGTACAGTCTGCTGTTAAGTACTTAAGCAGCAGACTGCTGCTACTTCCAAAATAAAGGTTGTCTTTTACTCTTGAATTATTCTTTATTTTTGAAATCGTGATCTTTGACTTGTTATTCTGCGGCCAGTTTGGCTCGTATAATAGCCTGGATAGTCTCATTTGATTAATTAAATGCGGGAGTCCCCAACCAAACACCAAACACATATACAATTGATTGTGGTTGTTGGCCTTGACTACGCAGCTTGGTTGCAATTCCTCCCATTTGACCGATGTCGACATCGCGATCGCGGATCTACCCGCTCTTTGGTTGTGGTGTTGTTAGTTGGAAAATTCCACCGCAATGCCCCGTCCTTATCCTATCAGCACGTGATATATGCGGCCCGATAGAACCTAGATCGTAACACTCGGTCGTATTCTTCTCTCTTAAGGAAGCCCTGTTTGTAGCGCTACGTTAGGATTCTTTTTCTTCTTTTTCTACCTTGGGAAATAAGTTGCAGATTAACTATTTTGCATATCCAGAGATTTAAATATTAGTTTAATATTATCATTGTAGCTTAGCGTAAACAAAGCCATGGTGAACAGTGTGCTTAAACGATCTCTTACCTCGATATAAATCCAATCAGTTGATAAACGAATTGGACTGATACAGTAACTATAATACAGCCAAATTAGCTCCAGGGGCTGAATAATAGCTGAAGCTCCGAGCGCTGGACTTACGTGTGTTATCCAACTCTAGCTATAGCACTCTATGAATTAGTATCGCCGGAAGTATATACTCTGGTTGATTTCCCCTACTACTATCCGCTAACTATGGAAATAAGCATAAAATTTCAACTTTTTTATTATCTTTTACTTTCTACGTTCTACCGGTCTTGCTTGAGTGATCAGGCTAGTGAGAGGGGATAAGTATTCTAACATAGATTGTTGGTTATTGCCAGTATTAAGCTCTTTGGCCTTATGCTACTGCTAAATGGCTAGGTAAGGTGAGACATACAGACATCATTATCCAATAACTCAATGCTACATGTAGGGCCAAATTGTTATCATTTTATATGCCCTCAAGTGGAAAAATCACTAGTTAGGATTGGTTTTCCGATGTACACAGGTCACTGCATCGCATAATTGCTGTCTCTACCATTTGATGCGGCGGTCCGTATCTAGGCCAACCCCGGTCAACCCTGGAACTGTGTAGTCTATCTTCGTAGGCTACTGTTACGAACAAAGGTCTCCTTGTCAGGCCGTTGAAGTCGCGTGTGTCCTGAGGGACCCACAACATCAATATATACCACATCATTGGTTCGTCACTTGGGACAAGTGACAGACAAGTGACAACTAAGGGACGGGCCTGATATATATATATATATATATTCATTTCATTACCTAGAAACATTCTCTTATATAATTATCAATACAATCGCTACCGCCTTCATTGAAACTAGCTCCTCAGTGCTCGTATATCAGTAGAGACTTGCACAGCTCCAAGACAACCTGATCGTCCCACTCAGAACAACTCTGATTAGTTACATCTTTAACCTACCTAGACCCCCGTCCAGTGTAAGACGCCCAACCGTCACAGCTACCAGCCCCTTTCCCCACTTCTCCCACTTCTGGGATGCGCATCTTAGCGCTGTACAGTTGCGAATCGGCTCGCAATACTCCTGAAACCCTTCAAGGACCTTGGCCATGCTGGCTTCTGTGCCCTAGCTTGATCGGTTCCGAGGAGCTAGAATCAACAAAACTTGAACCTACTAGGGCCGTATTGTCAAGATAGTCGGCAAAAGACAAAACCGCCTTGATGTTCGTCGTACCATAATTTGCCTGTCTAATGTTCATGAACTGCTTGACGAACAGCCGATACAGTTGATTAAAGAAACCATACGTGCCCATCCATTTTGCTCCCTCACCTCGGCATAGAATCTTGGGGGACCGGGCATTCTATACTGGACAAGGCTCATCAGAGTCTAGCAAGATATCTAACATCTATCCCGTATGCCTTTTTGCATGCAGCAGCAAGTACTTACGACCGCTATAGAAAACTCATTAGGGCTAAAGTTCCTAAAAGCAGAGGCATAAGGCTCTTCGCCCTGCTCGACGCTGGTATTTATTCTCTTGAGATCGTCATATATACCAGAGGCCAGAATGAACAACTAAGCCCTGTCCGTACGTTGTATCTGAATCACTTCAGGGGGCTATGGGGACAGGATCAGTAGAAACAGGCAGTTCGCTCGGATTACCAGTCGCGATAGCAGACGACAAGATGACGGCGAGTCCGGCTAGTAAGACCTGCACGAGTAGGAGATAGTTCCACATCTGTAGATACACACATACCCTTTCTCGCTTGTCCTTTCCTTACTTCTGGAATGCCTCGCCCAGAAGAACAAACAGTGGCCCCTGTTCGCAGGCAAACCGCTGATCGTGCAAACATGCTCGTTTGTTCAGTGACGGCGAGGCGTACTCCGAGCAGTACTTAATTCGCTTTTTCAGATGCCAAGGACAGCAAGATGCGTCTCAATACCCTCCTCAGATGAGTGTGGGTTAGAGACATCTCTCTTTGAAAAATCTGAAGCTTCGACAGCAAAGCCGCTTTCATTCTCAGAGGCCAGCGTAGATCTGGATTTGCCAAACACGCGGACAAAGTTTCGGCGTGGGGCCGGGGTAGAACTGTGCGGGGAAGTGTATCAGGTCTGAATCTGACAGAGACGCGGGCAAAGTTTCGGCGTGGGGCCGGAGTAGAACTGTGCAGAGGAGTAGTTAGGGTGAGCACTTTGACTCGAAATTACGGCTGCATCATTAGCATACGAATGGGTGCTCTATTTGCACAATAGTCTCTTTGCCTGTTCTGAAACCGGAATGCCGGATGAATGTCCGCCACCTGCGCCGGTCAGTCCGCCGTCTTCAGGCTTAGTGAGCGGCAAACCGGGGCATCTGGCGCCGACGCGAAGTCAGTAAGAATGTCTGTCTGTCTTTCATGCCCACAATACCAACTTGCTTGGATTTTCGACGTGACGTATTTAACCAAACGTTGATATTGATAGTAAGAGAAGGTATCACACCCAAGAATACCCTGTTATTATTCAGTATCCCTCATTGAATTCGTTATCTAGTTGTTATGAGAATATCCGAGGCTTTGCAATGGGTCGCTCCCATAGTGGCCCTTCTGCAGTCCAGTCACGCATCAATCACCAGCGGGACGCGGACGATGGCCAGCCTAGACCACAATAATGTTGAAATATTTCCCATTCCATCTGAAGTATTGAAATCGACAGCGTTCCGAGTCGAGGTTCATGCTCTTGGGAACTCGACGCGATCTGCACATGTTGTCGAATTGTTTCAAACTCCCGTGCATGAGATCAATACCACGACCGGACGAACCCAAGTCCACCAAGTTTCGGTGGGTATTTTGGATTTCGATGGGTCGATCAAGCTATCCATAACTCCGGACGTGAACACTTTCCCGACGATTAACACTGTTCGCGTCCGTCCTCTTTCTTATCACATCAATGCCACAATCAACGAGCGGACTGTGGAGATCACTTTAGAGGAGCCGAAGGACCTTATGATAGAGATCAACGGAGACATCTTTAATGCTTTGCATCTTTTTACTGGGTCACTTTCGGGCGTGCCTTCACCAGCAGCCAACAGCACACTCATAAGGCGTTATGACGCCGGATTCCATGTGCTCAACGAGACAGTCAAGGTTCTATCCGGAGAGACCATCTATCTGGAGCCTGGCGCTGTAGTAAAAGGCGACTTCGTTTTTCAGAACATATCAAACGCTGCGATCATCGGGCGAGGGGTCTTGTATCAAGCCGGTTCAATCCTGATTGAATCTTCCGAAGACATCCGAGTCGAGGGTGTGACGGTCCTCAATCCACTGCACTACTCGCTGACTCTTGGGATGGCCAATAATGTCTTCGTCAGCCAATTTCGTTCTATCAGCGGAGTGAAATGGGGCGACGGCATAGACGTGTTCTGCAGCAGCAACGTTGTCCTTGAGAAGCTGTTCATGCGCAACTCAGATGATTGCATCGCCCTGTACCAGCATCGCTGGGGCTATATTGGAGACTCACACAACATCACCGTCCGAGACTCGGCCCTCTGGGCTGACGTTGCACACCCAATTCACATTGGTCTCCACGGCAATTCAGTGGATCCTGAGACTATGGAAGGAGTGAACATTTCTAACATTGACATTCTTGATCATCGAGAGGCACAGATCGACTACATGGGTTGCATAGCTATCAACTGTGGCGACGAAAACCTCATTACTAACGTCAGTATTGATAACATCCGCATTGAGGATTTCCGCATGGGCATGCTATTCAATATTAAAGTATTCTTTAATGCCAAGTACAACACGTCACCTGGCCGGGGGATTAAGAATATCAGAATCAAGGACGTATCCTATGACGGACAAGGCGAGATTATGTCCCTTCTCTCTGGATATAATGAGACGCGTTCTGCCGATTTTATAGATTTCCAGGGCCTGGTCGTTAACGGAAAAGAGATTTGGGATGGTATGGCGAAGCCTGGCTGGTATCAGACGGCAGATAGCCTTCCAATGTTTGTTGGCAGTTTTGTAAATAATCTCACGTGGAGTCAAGGGAAAGTATCAGAATAAAGCAGTAAGATAGATACGTTACTCTCGACAACGACAGATGTACTTAACCAAATGCCGGTAGACTTGGACAACTCAAGTAGCCAATTGCTCGAAGCCGCCTAACGGAATAGCACGAATCGATACAAGAAAGGAAGCCACGCCAATTTCGCGAGAAAATCACGTATCACTCAATAGAAACACTCTTATTAGACACTGGACTGTGCCTTGGAACTATGCAGTGGCCTGTATGCTTTACGTCATGTAGACTGGAGTTGGGGACTTGGAGTCCACTCCGGCCACAATTGGTCATTCCGGTCGTATGCTGCATTTGTACGTGTATGCTGTTAAAATATAGCGGGACATGCTATGACGACAGAAGTACAGGTTGTGATGATGCAATCCGTGACTCATCTATGCTTAAGAGTCAGTATGTTCAAAGAAAATGCCTACCCGGAAGAGAAGAAGGGTCCCCATTGAGCATGCCCCAGTCGACCACACCGGTACGAACCTCTAGGCCATGGCCAGTTTATCCACCTCATCAACGCTCTTGGATATGTACAAAAGTACCAGACTCGATACGACATGGAAGGATATCTAAGCTCCTAGACTTATTCGCTGTACTTGACTCAATGTGTGTGCTTGCCAGCTTGAGTACGTTTGTAACTTGGGGAGTTTTGCACATACTCCTCGTCTGTTCAGCAACCTATCATACCACAACTGCTTCAGCGTCATATAAATAGCCCACGCAATCATGAGACGCTAGCTGAAAACTCAAGGAGAGAACACTGCGATCTCGGGCACGTCCAAAAAAGTCACTGCCGGGTCAGACGACCAGACTGGTAAATTGCCATGTCATCTCCTTTTTACTTCCTCTCAGACTAAGTATAATATTACTCTTGTTACCAGTGTAAGCTTTCTGGCATCGGGGCCGCTTAGATCTCTCTCTACTGTCCGTCCGCAGTCTCCTTCAAGTCCACCTCAAGTCCGCCTCAAGTCCGCCGCACGTCCGCCATTGGGCCACCTTTCCGGATAACTATCAATGCTTTGGAACAGGCAATTAAAGCATGGACCAATGCTTGTTAATCTCGTCATCCCGCGCGGCTGTGGTAATCTACCCACCAGGACAGTAGTGGCCACATGTAGAGTAAAGATGCGAAGTGTTCTCCGTAGTTGTCGGGAGGTGCGGATGCAGGCTGAAGTGGCCCAGAGGATAGCAGGTTCGATGGGCATAAAAAGCAGTTCATGCCTCGAAATTCTTAAAGTTTCAATTGCACCCACCAACTATTCATTGTATAATTTCGAGCAACGGGCAACGCAATATGTCGACGGAAAAACAGCCTCTCATTGAGTGGGTCACACAACTCAACGATACTCTGTTCATTCAACCCAACGACGATATCGCTTTGAAGGCCTTGGATGAGCAGGTTGATCAAAGCTTTGTTACCAAGTACGCTACCCTGATTCGATAACCTTTGGCCGGTGCATCTGACCCAGTTGAATACCAGGATCAACCACAATGTGTACACCTACGACCAGGTCAAGGCCGGTCTCCAGTATGCCCGCACTTCTTATATATCGATCCAGGACACATTCTCTGAGATACTTTCATGGGAGAATCCAAAGAAAGGAGATGTTGTGGTGGCAGTTCTAAGCAAATGGAGAACCAAGGATAGGGCCACGGGTGAGGAGACCAAGAAGACTAACGTGATTCTCTGGGAGGTCAAATGGATTGATGGGAAGCGGAAGCTTACAGGGCAAACTGAAGTAGAGGCTGAATGAGGACGATTCGGGTATTGGCTGTGTTATATTCAAGGCCGTCACTTTTCCCTACTCACGGCGGTTAGTCAACGTAAAGTGTTTAACTAGCGAGCTATATAACTGCTATTCTTGAACACTATATAGCTTTGTGCGAAACCCTCGTAAAAGCAGATTAAGGATGAATAAAAATGTAGCCTATTACTTTAGGTTGAATAGCTCGTATAATTCAAGGACTTGAAATAAATAATTATTATAAATATAATTTACATATTTTCCATTTAAATAAGCAACGGCCACCATCGGCCCATCTGGTGGCTCGTATGGCGGGTTTGCTGTTGAGTTGGCGCTCGCAGTCGGCGTCAATACTATTGCCTTGGGCGAGATGAAGCGAAGTTGGGCGAGGTGAGGAGGAGGCTCAAGAGCCCCCGTCTCAATACTCTTCTTATGACTGGTGACGTGGAAGCCGACGCAGCTAAGATTCTACAACGACTGGGCTCCCGGCGGTGTCCAGAATACGCTCTACCTTGTAGCTGCTGAACACGCCCTGAAGCGGGGTGGACGCATTGTCCTCAGCGGCGCTTTTGGTGGTGTCGAGGTCTCCTATATCTCCATGATACTCAAGAAGCTCAAGATTGAGGGAACTTGGATGTGCAACCGTCAATCTATGGAGCGTCCTATCCGTATGGTAGAGGATGGTCATATCAACCCAGGGCCCAGAAGTGGCATCCAGGTCCAGCGATTCGAACTGGATGAAGTGTATCAGGCCGTGGAGAATGCTGAGGCGACAACCCCTTGGAGAAACATCACTATCATCGCCTAGAATGTCTGTGATGATTAGGGATTTATGTGGAAAATTAAGGCCGCCCCATCTCAAAACATTACTTACCTTACACCACCAAAGTGTTCAAGCAGCGCTTCCCCCAACCTTGGTTGGGGTAGCAAGGAAGAAAGGGAGGAAGAGAGCTAGATAGCTACCTTAGGCTTTTTGAATACAAGCCTACTTGTCTCTGTCAAACACACACACTCACGCCCTCGCAATCCCCTCCCCCCCAGCAAGGAAATAGAAGAAGATACTAGAAGGCCTCCAGCAAACAGCACCGAGCCTGGAAGGTAATACTTCTGGGAATAGTAACATAGACATCGTGAACGATCCCATAACTGGGAACATGGCAGAAAATTAGGTAATGAGGACTAGATGTAGCAAGACGGACCCCCAGAACTAGGGACAATATCTCGTTGGGTTTTATGGCTAACTCGGCTCTAACGAACAGATGGGCATGCTTGCTCCGGTATTCTTCGCCATGATGATTTAAAACTGCGCTTCAGGGTTAAGCCGCCACATTCCCATCCTTCCAGCTTTCAAGTCCGATAACACCCACTCTGAGAAATTCCGTATCGTTGTCAATGCGCTCACGAAGTGGCCCCTTACGCAACTCGGTTACGTCCCACTTTGCCCATACGAATCTACCGTGGAGGAATTTCGCCTCATCTGATGCTGCCCAGACAGCAAATTGTCCGGGTAAGTCCTCTGTATCGCGTGTAAATTTCCTGGTAATAAGAGTAGAAATGGGGGCCTATGGGGGCATACCGTCGTCCCACTGGTGCTCATCTCGACTGATTCCAGCGGCTTCCGCCAGCTCCGTATAAACGCCACCAGGGTGATAGCTGATAATCTGCAAGTCCTCAGGTGAAACATCCTTCGCAATCCGTTGCAGCAGCATTGTTCCTGCGCTTTTGCTTGCACCATAGCTGGGCTGGTTGCCGGTTAGACGAGTATCGTGGATAGCCATCGAGCTCAAGTTGATTAGAACCTGCCGATTAGTTAGTCTTGGATATGGCATTGACATCGTTGGGCAATAGAAACCTTCTGACGGCCTTTGGAATTTAGCTGCTTATAAAGCCGCTCCGTGAAGTCAAGGTTAACTCTTGTGTTTAACAAGTATTCGCCCCAGACAGCATCCCTGCCCACGTTGAGAATTGGCTGCGCCGACAGTTTCGCTGCATTTAGTACCACGACATCAACGTGGATGTCTTCAGTGGCTAGGCTCTGCCACAGATTGTCGACTGCATCTAGATTAGACACGTCACATACTCGGCCTATCACCGTCGTCTCCTGGAATTCCAGCCCAAGACGTGAGACGGCTGATTCAACGACGCTCTGGCGTCGTGCGACAATAATAACCCTCTCCGCGCTTGCTTGAGAGAAAGCTCTTGCGATTGCAAGTCCGATGCCTGTATGGCCACCGGTGATGAGCACAGTTTTTCCAGCCTGTGAGAGCTCCGGCCGGAGGGGCGAGATCTCGGGATAGGCAGCTCTATGGACAGTTTTCGTAAATGAAAAGCCAGGCGAGAGAGATTCAATTGAAGATGCCATGGTGGGATGTTTGATAGTAACGTCAATGGAGAGTTGGGAATTGGGAAGGCTGCTGTACGATGTTGGAGGGAGGCTCCTGGTGGAACGTTATATCTTATGTAGGGGAGGACACTAAGACACATATCTGATGGCAGATGAAGTATCACAAACATTTCGGGTTTCTCATGATCCCGAATTACCGGGTGAGTATACACTAAGGAGAGCCTGGCTAAGGTAGCTTTATGAAACTGCCGATACCTTTCGCCATATATGCGCAACTCCGCCGCAACTCCGCCGGCCCAAGTAGACGCGATACGTCGCCTACACGGAGGTAGGCAATACTGAGGCAAGGCGCTTTCACGACAACGAGGCCGATTTGCATGCGAGCGCCGTTTTTGCTGCCTCTTAGCGGACCCCTTCAATGAGTTTTAGAGTTTTATCTTCAACGAGAGCAAGTTGAATATGCCCGTGCCATGGCATTATCAATTAGTGAGCGAGGCATACATTACTGAGATGATAGGGGTGGAAGGATCTAGGATGAGTCTAAACATGTCATATTCATCTAATATACAAGAATGTATAACAAGATTGGTAAGTTGAGATTCTCAATTATCCGCTGGCATTCGTATGAACCAGTTCTCTACTCTGTCTGCGCCCCACATAAGCGTGAACAGATGATGAGCGAATTCATCCACCTCGGACGCTTGGACACTACGATTCGCCAGTGCTTCACTCTTCAGGCTGTACCCAAACAATGGATCCGCCTTGCGGGCGACAGTTGCCCAATGTGCGGATGAAGGGGCGTCCCATAGTCCCGCGCGTGCGGTGAAAGAAATGTCCCCTCCGCAGCTAGTGGTCCAGTCACCCTTGAGACTGCGGTACACTCCGATAGCTATGGAGCATAGTAGCCACGTACGGCGTATCGATTCACAAATGATGAAGGCTTGGTGGAGATGTGAAATCCGACCCGATTGCGCTTGAGACTCTTCCGAGGATATCATCAGCGTACAAGGGAAGAATTGAGCGAGGTTTGCGTCTTGACTAGCTGACGCCCACAAATCCATCTTCCAACGATGCAAGGTGCTGACGAAATTTTCACCTTGGGATTGACGGGATATAGAAGACGAGGCTAGTGCCAGCAGAAAGTATATCAGGAGAGCCTGTGTACGGGCCAAGTGATCCTGAGTAGTGACCACATAAAGAGGCTGTCCAGTCAAGGCGAGTTGGGAGGAGAGTAGTTTTGAAACATACGATGACGTTATGCTATCAACCATATTCTCGTTCTCGGGGAAACCGCCTTGCGAAACCGCTATAGCCGAATACGCGTCCTGTATACAATCTGGGATAGCTCTTGCTGGGTACAACTGACGGTGGATAAAGGGATTGTGGCCTTTTCGTTGGAAGCGCGTGAGCCACGACTGGAGACCACGTATGAAGTTGGAGAAGGACTCCGGTGAGGGCAAAGACCTAGGCATATCGTGGTGATAAGCAATCACCCAAGTTGAGGGGTGTGTGAACCATCTCAAATCTTCAGAAAGCGGCGGCGGGGGGTTCGGAAGCGTAGTTGATGCGGCTGCTGGCAGGTTATGTCGGGCAGTCTCGGCAGGGACGTCAGTGCCGACTTGATCGTGTGGCTCAGTTGATAGAGAAAAGCTTGAATCTGCATCGTTGCTAGGTCCTGCATCAAGGACGTTGTGACTACTCAGTGCAGACCGAGACGAGCGATGCTGCACTGCTTGCGGGTATGCACACATCACTTCCCGATCAATACAACGAGCGCAAGACGGAAGCGTCCGGTCACAACGTCGCCTACCCTTAGCACAGGCAAAGCATGATTTCTGCTTTGACCGGCGACCCATGTAGAAGAACTTTCCGGCGGAAACGTCGAGGAAGCGCTTTGCGGAGATGGTGTTGTTGGGAAGGTAAAATAGACTCGGAATAAAAGTTTCAAGCTACTAATGGTTCATACTGTAGATCGGAGATGGTGAGGATGTGCGGTGCATGAGAGCGGAGCGGAGTTGTAAGTACACCGGATAGCCTGCGGACTTAAAGGACCTACAGAGTTAAGTTTCGGATAGCTCGTGCATTAATCATAGTATGAAGCGAGCGTGAGATGTCACCCTCTGTAAGAGGCACAGGACACGCTGAGCTAAGTCCTACTTCTGAAGGCCTGCACAGCGCCTCTTGATACACCTCGCAGGAAGAGCTATCGAGCCTAACTCTGGGAGGAGACTTTCCTACTTTCTCACTGGCATCCTTTTGCTAAGCGCATAATATAAATATCTATGGCTAAACCCTCTCAGAGTATACAGTGAGCGCGAGACCTGGAAGCACCGGTTTGATATCATACACAAGAGATAAAGTCCGTAATTCTTCTCTCTAAAACAAAAATGGAGGAAGAAAGAAAGGGAGGGAGATAGATAGCTAGGCCAGTTGAATATAAACCTACTTATCTCTCTTAAATATATGAATATATATACCTATCCTCATACCCTCGCCTTATAGCAATCTAGAAACTAACAATAATTACTTTCTTTATCCGACACATACACTAGCTTAGGCCGCCACTGGAGGTCGACTTGTTCTAGTCTTCAACTTGCAGACTAATCCTCGCTGTACGGCAAACCTAGGTAGATAGTGAGAAACACTTCAAGCGTACGCCGGAGGTGCGGAAATGCTTACCAGTAATCGATAGTCTGCAGATCTTTCTGCGGTGTCACCAGAGTGATGTCGAATTCTCGGAACATTTGAGGGATAATCTTGGACATCTCCTGTATATCACATTAGCCAAACAGAAAAGGGTCTCAAGGGAATCGTGTACAAGGTCGAGGGACTTAGAAGGTGCTTACCATCATTGAGATGTGCTTGCCGATGCAGCTCCGGCTTCCTGCGCCAAATACCAGAGATGATCTCTCCATTTCTTTAAGGTGCTCCTCATCAGCCTCCAGCCATCTTTCTGGTCGGAAAATATCCGCATCCTCTCCGTAGATGCGCTTATCACGAGCTACGACCCAGGGGTTGATGCCGACAATTGTGCCTTCGGGAATGAATGTGCCGCTGATGGTGGTGCCACCCTTGGGCACATGTCTCTCCATGATCAAGCCGACACTAGGATGGATGCGCATGGCCTCCTTGAGGACCGCTTGCAGATATGGCAGACGACGGGCCTCGCTCTCCTGGATTGGGTCAGACAGCTTTCCTGCGGCGTCCCATTCATCGAGTTCGCTCTGTAGCTTGTTATAGCAGAGCGGGTTGGTGATCAGATTGTGGACGATGGCTCGCAGGGCTATCGCCGTGGTATCGCTGCCAGCAAGAACGTTGGTGCTGGTGTGGCTGACAATATCGACATCCTCGAAGGCGCCGCCATTGTGACCCCCCTTGGAGCCGGCTTTGACCATCTTCTGAAAGCGGATGAGGAAATCATCGCGACCCTCCTCAATGTTTTCTTTGCTTTCCTCCATGCACTTGACCGCAAAGTTCACGGCCGGGTTGAAATCCTCAATGGCTGGCATGATGTACGGAAGAAGTGGGTTGCCAACGAGCAACTTATGGAGGTAGGGAATCTGGCCGATGATGGCGGCGTAGGCGAAGAAGTTTCCGAGCGTGGCGATCATGTTGTCAATATCCCTTGACTGCTCAACGAAGCCTAGTGTTTTGGAGAACGTGAGGTTTCCGATTACATCAAAAGCATACCATCTAGAAGGAGGAGAATGAGCCTCGACGTTCACCAAGCTGGGCACTTTCGATGAGATATAGAGGGTTGGGGCGCTTACTGGAGCCATTCACCGAGGTCAATGTTCTTATTATTTCTCTCGTGTTCCTTGAGCTTGTCCATGAAAAGTTTTGATACGTGGTCAATCTTGAATTCGAGGTCCGTCAAGGCCGCCATACTGTAGACATGGCCGATTGGCCGCTTTATTCGGGCATGAAAGGATTCATCACGGGCGGCAAAGATATTGATGAGCCTCTTCTTCTCGAAGCGGGCCTCTTGGATCGGATAGAATGCGGTTTTGGTGAAGCCTCCGTTGACACCATAGATGATCTTGATGGCGGACGCGTCTGCTATCGAAATTTGGTTAGGTCCGATGCGGACCAACGGCCCGTACTTTCGATGCAGAGAAATTGCTAGAGTGTCTTGTCAACAGCCATAAGACCTGGGATTGGGTCAGGGTAGCTCACATTGGTGTTGGAAATCGCCCTTGTAGACTTGCCATGCTCGCCACAAACCGGTATATCCTGCCCAATACGGCCCAGGAATGACTCTTAAGTCTGATGTATATTTGTGGGAAAGGGTATAGAGAAATGCAGCTCCGATGGCGATGTAAAGCAGATGAGGAGCAGCGTACGTGTCGTACAGTTTTACCAGCTCAGATAGCGTTAAGCCCGCGAAGATGCCCATGGTGTCGATCATCAAGAGGAAACCCGAGTCCGCTGAATTTATTGGAATAGTATTTGTCTTGTTTCAAATAGCGGTCATGGAGGGTCAACAGCGTGGTTTGTATTCGCCGTGGTACGAGGGAAGGGCCAGTGCATATTGGGTTGATATTCTAGTCATCAGGGGAAATGGAGGCATGTAGTTAATTTGAGACTGTCAAGTCGATTCCGCCAAGTCGATTCCGTCAAGTTGATTCCGACAAGTATAACTCTGCCAAATATCCACATCCCCACGCTAATAGCCATCTAGGGATGGCCTCATCAACCTGAGGATGCGGGGTAAGTGATTAGATATGATGTGATTGGAGACAGACGGCAAGACCCGATAATGTACATCCGATAAGCCCCATGCCTGGACTTCACTATGAACAGGAATAGTCCTGCGGAGCATGTTTCTAGGTCATCTTTAGGCTAGTTATCTCTCCAACTGGATAGGACGTTTTTAACCACCATGATGAAAGACTGGGACTGATTAGCAAATGTTGAAACATACAGCCTGTAATAAACAGCTCGCAGGGGTCAAGGAAGGAAGGTTGATCAAATTAACTGATCTCACCGGTCTCTCCGGGGCTTCCGGAGGGTTATCTGTGAGATCCCTGTGAGCCGGCTGTTGCAGGCTGCGGAATCCAACACGTGTTTTGGTGCCGCCGTTCGCTATTCCGACATTTTAGAACCTCTAATACCGCCGGCACTATATTTCGTACCAAGAGAGCCTTATGCCCCAAGGGGGCATTGTTCGATACTGTTATGTCGGATCTTGAAGATATGCAAATGGTAACTATTATTGAAGGGAAAAAAGAAGCTATATCGAGCGACATGCCTTCTCCAAAATGTTCTATGGGCTAACTTAGTCTGTATATGTCTCTGTTGGTGCCAAGCGGGCGAGAGGAAGGTATTGTCAACTACCGAGATAATTCACGAGCGTTGAAGCCCGCAGCCCAGCCTGTTCGACGCATATACAATTCGCTAGTAAATAATATCAGGAATTCCGTGGAAGCCGGTCCGGTTTCAAAGCGTAAGGTAAGGTTCAATCACACAATAGCCGCGGCCGCGATCCAACAGACCTAGACGGATCAGGTTATCCGTGAGGGGTCAGTTGGCTAGGGTGGAAGGTCAAAGTCTAACTGGACCCGATCGTCAGAACCCTGACCTATCGGCTCGAGCAACCCTAGCCGGTAGGATCGATGGCGAGTCTACTAACTTGATGACCAGCCTATTACCGAGGTATCGGTGCGGGCCAGATGCCTCGAAGAGCGTTCTGATCCTATCCAACACACGGATTGAAGAAAGATCATAACCTCGGTCATCCGGATATCAATATCCCTAGTAATTCACACGCTAGAAGGATGCTTGAAGGACCTTACGTGCCGCTGCTCTCATGAAGATGCGATCGAGGGATTCCCAGGGATAGAAGGGGTCGCGGATCCCTTCTGTAATTACAAGTGAGAAGCAACAGTCTCAATTTATCCCTTTTACCTGTGAAGCTGGAAGCTGCTAGGTGGCGACACCAACAGTTTCAAATCAGGGCGGGTGATCAAAGAACGCGTAGGCAGCGGCAAGGCGATCCGCCGCTTGGAGATGCGACTCACGGCTGACGGTAACCGCCGCGCAGTGTTGGAGCTGTATTTTGTTCCGTTTCACGCCTCCAAATGTTCTAAAAGTGCGATCAATGGTTTTTCTTTTTAGTTTGGAGAACATAGCGCTGTCTGGATAATGAACACTGGGTTTTTGTTTCATGAAATGGACAAAGGCTGCGTTCGGCGATGCCCACTGTAAGAAGAACAAGACTGTACACGAAGCTCTTCCTAGCGGGCAAATAGAATAATGAAACAGAATCGTTCCTCGCATCGTACCACTTAGTTCGGGTTAGAGCAATCTGATGCTCAACGCACCGTGTCCGAAAGTGCTCAGACCAGCAATGAACAGGGGCATTTTAGGTCTCAGATTTATTGGTTAGCGTAAGCGCATCGGTCGGAACCTTGCGGAGGAGAAACAAGCCAGGAAAGGAGTTCTAGGGTTAGATTCATGCCATAGGCTGTGTTCGCAGAGGACATCTTTTCCTGGACTGCTTTAATGTGTTGTGACACTAGGTATAGTGCCAAGTTGTTAAATTCTTGGTGTTTGGGAATTTCCCCCTTTTTTTTTCAGCAGCTGCATAGCTCTCTCACTCACTCACTTACTACTTTCCTGAACTGCTAATGTTCAACAAGTCGCATTGGTTTACGTCGAGTCAAGCTTGCTACAGCAAGTCTTGCTACATTGCAAAAATTGTGTAGTTGTATGCAGTTAAGTTATGCAGCTCCGGTGCTTCCGGAGGGGATAATTATGCAAATTGCTGTACGCTTCTCTTTTGGGCCTAATGCCCTGTCAATCTGAGAGAAGAGAGGCGTTTGTGGCAAACCGGCCTCATTCTGACTAAGCGCGTTGCGTTGCACGATGCAGCGGTTCCAACACACCCCCCAGGTGCAGACCCTTTGGTCTGCAACTGCGGCCCCAACCAACCCACCTTGATGGCAGGTTGATCTCAGTCGTTGGTTTGAATTGAAAGTTGAAAATTACAAACCTTGAAATCAAAGCACGGAAATGTCACTTCGTCAATAGAATTTGTTCCAAGTTTAATATCTCATAGGGATAAATTTTCATTGTACGCTCCCAATAAAACATCCAACATGTCTGAACTATCTGCGGCATATTGACTGATAAGTGAAAGACCCGTGAGAAACCTGGATACCTCGAAATTCACATCGTGAATTTACGGCACATCGACAACATTTAAATAAACTCAGCTCCCTTTTTGCGACTCTTCACCCTAGCACAACCCCTCAGTTAGATGATAGTCTCAATACCATTCCGTGTATTTGGCAACCAGAGGTTGAACATTCTTTTGAATATCCACCACCAGGCCCTCCTGGGAAAGCTTCTTCTCATAGTCAGCCTGCCACTCGTTGCAACGTCTTTTCTCACCTGGCAGTGGGCCGTTGGGACCAAACTGGCATTCTGGAGCTGGCAGTGATTGGGCAGTCCCAAAATTTGCCAACGTCTTCCTTAGTGTTTCCAAGGCGTTCCTTACGACGGATCGACCGAGACTCACTCAAGTTGTAGTTGTCCAACTTTCCATGCCTCATACCTGATGGCCGTTCAATGGCACCCCTAACTTGAATTAGAGTTCCGATCATGGCCGTTTCAGTCTGAATGAAAATCGCAACGTGATCTCTGGGTGTGCCGGGGAAGTAAACCCTCCACACGGGGTGCGTCACAACATCTTGTCCTGACATTGTAGCTAGTTTCACGACTTCTGTCGTCGTCAGTTGATGGAGATTTCGAAAGGGTTGGGTGTTTTGAGCGCTGTGATCGTATCAGAATGGCTTGGTATGCGAATCACTCGTTGCTGAGGTGTTAAAACCCAAAATCATGATGGAGAACCTGCTCTATTTATGTGAAATATCCAAGCCGTGTCTTCGATATGAAGGTAGCACATTATTTGAGGTGAAGACGGCTTCAGGCGTTCTGGAAGAGGAGGCATTGTTTCTCTCCTTCTGGTTTACCGCTGCTCGTGCTGTGAATCGCACGCGAATGATAACTCTTTGATGTTTTTTCATTGTCAAGGAGCAGTTATCGCTTTTTAAACAGACGTCCATTTCTATTTCTAAGTTCATCTGGAGCAGAATAAACTCGTGAATCGCCACGGATGTACGAAATCATCATCACTACTGTGTGCAGACGCACAAAACAAAGAAGCAAGTCTGGTAGAGTTCCCATCAGCAGTTTGATTATAGTAAGTAGGCGCTGCAATAGGCATAGACATGATTAACGGATAAGAGTTCGAGCACGTTGTAAAAAACAGCAATGGAAGATATCAGACCTGACATCTTAAGTAAATGGGACTTTATTGAATGTCGACGATAGTAGGTAAATTCTGAAGCTCTGTTCTTACAACTCTCTAATTAACCTTGTATATGTTTCTCACTACACACTACGGTCAAGTCTCTGTGCTTCACACATCTTAGCGTACAGACCCCCGTTTTCTAATAGCTGTCTATGTGTTCCCGATTCAGCGATTTTCCCACCATGAAAGACAAAGATCCGGCCAGCATCTTTCACAGTGGACAGTCTGTGAGCGACAGCAATGGTGATCCGGTCTCCAGTAGTAGCAGCATCCATGAGCGCGGACTGGACGACTCTCTCTGATTCGGTGTCCAGCGCACTGGTGGCTTCGTCAAGCAGAATCACCTTAGGCTTTCTTATCAGCGCCCTAGCGATTGCAATTCTCTGTCTTTGTCCTCCAGAGAGTTGGCTACCGCTCGTGCCACATTGGGTATTGAGACCATCCGGTAATGAGGAAACAAAGTCCCACACGTTCGCGGCACGGCATGCTCGTTCAATATCTTGGTCCGAGATCGTACTAGGGACATCTGTATCGACTCCTTGTGAAATATTCTCGCGAATAGTTCCAGGAAACAGCGTTGGCTCTTGCTGCACCAGGGAGACATGGCGTCGATAAGATAACGGATCGAGGGATGGAAGAGGTGCCGACCCATCGAGATTGATATTTCCACTCATAGGGTCATAGAAACGCTCAAGGAGAGATATCATTGTACTTTTACCACACCCAGATGCTCCCACAAATGCTAGAAATTGTCCCCGATCAGCCTATAATAGGATTGTTAGTTAGACTGGGTAGACTGTTTAGCTGAGTAGAGAGTGGAAAGGGACTCACATTCAACGACACTGCTTTGAGAACTTGGTTATTCGGAGCAAGCGGATATGAAAACCCGACATCCTTGAACTCATAGGACTCGCAACCAGATGGAGGACCCTTGTCTTTGTTTTGCTCAGTCTGGCGGATAGCAGGCTTCAGTTGACAAAGCCAAAAATAGTAGTTCGCGGCCTGATTAGCCCCAGAAAAGCCTTGCAGGCAATGAAGAGTAAGTGTTCAGTCATTAAAATGTGAAATCCTGGTGAGCACTTACTGCTAGCGAAACTGAACATTTGTCCTGCTGCCTGGCCAGAGAAATAAACGCCCATAAAAGAGACCATGAACTGGTAGAAGTCAATCTCACCGTCATGTATGAGGCGAGATCCCCACCTAAAGAAGGTCGTCAGCTGAAAGTCTCTCATTGACCAGCAGGTTTCTTACCAGAATCCTAGAGCAAGAATGAAATACTCAATAGCTTGAGTCAGGGCGAACCAGACCATCATATGGAGCATTGACGGAGACATCTGCTCAATCGCCAAATCAAGCTCGTTTGTATACTTCTTCAAAATTGTATCCTCAATAGCCAACGAAGACACCGTACGAATAGCGGTTATTGTTTCAGATGCCACAGATGCGCTTGCAGCAAATCTCTCCTCCGTCTCCGACTCGATCTTAGAGTCGAGTTGGACTCGAGAATATCCCGCCACCATCATTGGCGGCATTCCGGCCAACACACCAACAAGGCCAAGTTTCCACGATACTGCCAATGCAAGGACACTGGATGCCAATACATTGACTCCGGCTATGATTATCAGCGCAACATTTAGGCCCATGAGTTCTAAAATGGCCTGAGGATATAGGTCGAGGTAATTAATGATCGCGCCAACTGTGTTTTCCGGGCGGTCGAAAAACTGAAGATCTTGCTGCAGAATAGAGTCAAGAATGTCTTTTCTCATCTTTGCATTCAGGCCCTTGATCTGGTTTAGTATTCTGCAATTAACTGAGGAGGGGGGGGAACACACCTGGCAAATGATATTGGTCGCCCAACCCAGGGTAAAATAAGCTGCGAAACTTCCAATTGATATGACGAAAAACAATAGAGAGACAAAATTACCCTTGGATACCATATTGTCTCCCTTAAAAACTTCCATGATTTTTCCCAAGAGCAGTGCTTGTCCTGGGTAAACAGCAGCTATCAAATGCGTCAACTGATGGTATCATTCAAGGGACCAGGTCTTGGACCTACCAACTGCGACACAAGTCAATACCAGTAATATATACCAAGCATTCAACTCGGGCGTCGCTGCCACAATCTTCAAAACGCTTCTGATCAAGCCCGTCTTCTTATATTGTTCCATGCTCACCTGATCATTAGTGACTGCCAGTTGCCCAACTTCATTGACATCAACTTGGGCATCAGATTTGGCCATCGGACCAATGTCACCGCCCGATGAAGAACCCTGGTCACCAGAAATGGTTTCTACCTCCGTCGGCTCCATAGGGGATAGATCTTGTGCCTTGACCAGTTTCGCATAAAGCCCATCCAAATCCACCAGTTTCTCATGGGAACCTTGCTCCATTAATCTGCCTTGAGACATTACGACGATGTTGTCGGCGTTTCGAATTGTCGCTAGCTTGTGGGCAATGACGATCGTGGTCCGATTCTTCGACGCACTGTCCAGTGCTTTTTGTACAATTCCTTCTGCGTGGGGATCTAGGGCGCTGGTAGCTTCATCAAGGAGTAAGACTTTTGGCTTGGAGATGATACTACGAGCGATCGCGATCCTCTGCTTCTGGCCCCCCGAGAGAAGGCCGCCTCTCTCACCAATACGGGTATCATAGCCTTCTGGTAAGTTTTCGATAAACTCTTGGGCAAAGGCCAGTTTTGCTGCATGTCGCACTCGATCCATTTGCTCCTGGCGGGGGGCATCTTGCCAGCGAGTCCCGGCCAGACCGTAAACTATATTGTCAAAAACACTCCCATTGAATAGGACAGGTTCCTATGAAGGGTAAATTGATAATTAGAACGCGACGCAAAAAGGAATTTGTTCCTCAGCATACCTGTTGAACGAGACGGATGTTGGTACGGAGCCATCTCAGATTGAAATTCTTAGTATCTTGGCCGTCCAGCTTTATAGAGCCGTCTGTTGGATTATACCACCGCTCCAACAGCCCGATTATAGTACTCTTCCCTGAACCACTTGGACCCTTCCAACTTGTCAGCTCCTCTCCTCTTTATCTTGTGGAGTCTCGATCTAACTACTCACCACGAGAGCAGTAACCTTTCCGGCAGGAACACTGAGAGTGAAGTCGTGTAGGACATTGACATCGGGACGACTTGAATATGCGAAGTTGATTCCCTCAAGATCAATTTGCCCAAAAATATTCCCCGGTTTCGATCCCGAATCATCAAAGGGATTGATCTCCGACTGCCGATCGATAACTTCGAATAACTCAGCCGCCGCGGCGCCAGCACGGGTGAAGTTCACCGTGTGGGGAGCTATCGAAGAGAGTGTACTAGATGCAATGGTGACAGAGAATAATACCCTATCAACTAGGCGTTAGTACCACAGCAAAAGATCAGGGACAGTGACATACGTGAAAACAGTCCCGATATTGGGAACCTCGTTCCTGGCGATCATGCCAACGCCCTGCCAAAACGCAAGGCCCATGCCAGCGTATATAACAAAATACTCTCCCCCAAACATGAAACCATACAAAATATTCTTCTTCATACCAACTTTATATGCTTCTTGAAGGTAGGCGTCGTACTTGGACATGATCCTCGGTCGAAGGTTGAACGCGTGGACCGTTCGAATGCCACCCAGGACGCTCTCTGCCAAGCTTCCCGCATTCGCATAGATTTTCAAAATATCCGTCTCTATTTTGGCGTCCGGGATGGATAGAACAACAGAGAGTGCGACGGTAAGGGGGACGATGCAGATAATAATCAGAGTCAACTTCCACTGGCTGATAAATGCGATGATGAAGGCTGCGATGAATGTGCTTATTGACTGAATGACAATCCCGAGCTTTTCAGAGGTACCGGATTGAATGAGCTTTCCATTTGATGTCGCTTGTGCGGCGATGGATCCGGAGACACCTTTGTCAAAGTAGCCAGTCTCCTGGCTGAAGGCAGCTCTCAGATATTCGTAACGAATGTTTCGAGTCAGCCGGTAGGAGACATAGGTGAATAAGGAAGAATACATGTACGTCCCCACAAATCTCACAATGCCGATATAGACGAAGTAAAGACTAGGAACGGAGTACGCTTGTAAGTCAGAGGGAGGCCTTGCCCGAGGACGGCACTTGGACTTACGCAGTAGTCTGAACTGCCGGCATAAACTCATCGCTTGTCGCTCCAGAGACGTTGGCATCGTTCAGAATCGAAATGAACCGTCCGAGGACAACATTTACCATTGCCAATGCAACTCCTGAAGCGACAGCACCTAACACAGCAAGGAACCCAAGAAGATACTCCCTGGGGCTTCCATACTTGAACACTCTCTGTCACAAACGGTCAGCACGTGCCCAAGGATTCTTTTAATCATGAAAGAAATCTTGTGAGAGAAACTCACAAAGTAGCCATTTGAACCAGACGGTTCTTGATTTTCCTGCTGAGTCTCCTTGGTGTCATTTTCTTCGGGCAGATCACCAGCTTTCTCGGACACAGCTGAAGCCGCCATTGAACCGCCAATTCGCACTTTTCAGCCCAAATGAATTGGAAGAAGTGCCGAAATCGTCGAAAGGGTCAAGAAAATATCTTACAAGCTCTCAGCTGGTGACATGAGAACTCTTTCAATATTTAGCTTCGATTTCGCACACGCCCGCCAGAGCCCCGAAGGCCGAAAATAAAGGCATCAATCCACATCAATCAGTCAATAGTTCTACACAGCAAGGAGACAACAATCAATAGAACTCATCTCGGGGGACGGGCGCCAAGAGAGCGTGTCCGTGAGCCGTGACTCGTATCTGGGCTTCGGCACGCGGAACTCCGGCTTCCGGACTTCTGTTGCCGTGGGGCAAGACGCGAACCGACGCCAGAAGACTTTTGCCGTCACGCAATCAATCTTATCAGATCTAAAAAGACGCAACCGCGAACGCAGACTCTCGCAGTCCCTCGTTCCGCAGGCCGAGGGCCCCATAACTAGCCCTTCCAGACCTACAGTCCGTCCCAGGGCCCGGCATATCTTGGCTTGTCAGTCCTGCAGCCGGACTCGTGCATGATCTGCCTCCGCTCCGTCTCTGAGGCACAGGCGCCATCCATATACCATGTCCGCCATGCTGAACCGCCCGCAGCAAGGGCAGCCACAGCCCGAGGCGAGTCAGCAGGGGGAGAGTTCCACGATAGGCGTGCTGGACGACGAGGACCAGGACTATGATGACACCGCCGTGCATGACGAGTCATTTGGCCAAGCCGGCGAGCGTCACGGCCCCGATGGCAATCCCACCGAGTCGTTTGCTGTACGTCTGTGGCCCACTCTTGCTCCCTTTCGTGCTCCCTTGGTGATAGACATGTTTTGCATCTGCTGACACTTGGGGCAGTGTGTGAATTGCCGGCAACGTAAGGTAAATAAACCACAAACCACACCAACCCCAGCCCGTTCCAAACAGTCCTTCTCATTTACCTTCTGCTTGATTTCATACGAGCTGTTCCAAGAAAACACAATGTTTACACTGTACTCTGTTATCTCCTATCCAGGTGAAATGCGACCGCGTCTATCCGTGCTCTCACTGCGTCAAAACAAGTGTGCAATGCGTCTTTCTCTCCAACCAGAAACGCAGAATCAAGCGGCAAAGGGTCCACATCTCAGACATCTAGTGAGGCCTGTCCTTGAATTGACTCTTCGCTGACCTCGCTGCTGACTTTGATCTTCTATCGCAGTGAAAACAAGATTGACCAGATTGCCTTGCGAATTGAAGAGCTGAACAGGACCATCAGCCAACTCAGCCTCGCCCAACCTCAACCAGACAAGACAAGCAGCGGGCCAATCAACCAGACTACTCAGCATGCTTCACAAATGAACTCATCACCGGGGCTGGTCAACAACACGCCGTCGTCTGGTGTTACTTCGTCATTCGACGAGAAGCAGACGCCGCCGACACAGCCGGAGTTCGAGGGCGAATCGTCGCTCTCAGCACACGCCACGTTTGCTACCAAATTTCTTCAGAGCTGTGTCAGTAACAGCCCATCATCCAAGGTCATGCTGGAGATGACATCTGTGCTGGACACTCTCAAAGCCATTGTCGACTCTCAGAAACAGAAGGCCGACACGCTCGAAACACTGTACCCTAATGCGCGACCTCTTCTCGCGGGAGCAGGTCTCCGGCAACTGCCCCCTTTGTCCATCGAGCATGCTCTCGCAGCCCTTCGGATGGTACAAGGTAAGAAGAAGTCTGCAAACCTCGTGAGGGTTCTGAGCATGCTAACTGTGTCCCAGAAAACAGCCGCATCCGGGCCCTATGGCTGATGGATGTCCAAACACTCTCACAGTTCACAGGCCACTTTATCAAGGTCTGCTCTCCCGGACCTGCGACGGAGGCAGATTTGATCATCGTATACGCGGGCTTCTACTGGCTGTTCGAGGAATGCTCCAAGGAGGTACCTGACGACTCACTCAAAGCAGCCTATAATGCTCAGACCATCATATGCAGAGATAATTTGGAGACGACTCTGTCGCGGCTCCCCTTCCATCTCATGGCAACCTTGGACAACGCCTTTGCGCTTACGCTTGCGGTGGGTGTTCTTTAATACTTTCATGTTGAGAATGTGACTGACCGGGTGTGAACCAGACACTATATTGCTTGGAGAAATGCAAACCATCTGCTGCGTGGGCTTTCATCTGTACAGCATCACAGCAAAGCCAAGCCCTTGGCCTTCATAGCATGATCGCATGGCACACGGAAACAATGGAATCAAAGCAATACAGGATGCGATTATTCTGGACTATATATACCGTGGAGAAGACGCTGGCGTTTCGCCTGGGACGATCGTCAACCATTCGGGACAATGACATCTCAATCCCTCGCATCAGCAATGATGCTTCGTCCGAATACGGGATTGACGACACCTTCTCATTCTGGATCGAACTGTCAAGCCTCCAAGGCCGGGTATACGACGAGGTGTATAGCCCCATTTCACTAACCCAGCCAGAGGAAATTCGATCAGCCAGGGCTCGCGGCCTGGCCACCCAAGCAAGAGGCCTTCTTCAGGCACAAGATCACCTTCAGGTAGGAGGGTATTTGTGGTCCATGTCAATTGTCTGCGATACTAATTCTTGTTTGAATAAAGAGACAAAATCATGCGATAAGGTCAGAGCTGATGGGAGCCGGACTGTCCGAGCTGCTGTGGCGTGCCGACCGCGTGACGGCTCTGTCAATGCTCACCCTCATCTACCGCAGCATCCCGCCTGAAGATGCTTCCAAATCTGTATTTTGCACCGAGTGTCTCTCTGCCGCAAAGGAGGCATTGATAGAGCACGAGAAGTGCGTCGCCATTCTGACAGACAAGGAGTTTCAACCAGACATGTTGGAACTATACGTGAATTGGTACGTTCCCCTTACAAAGAGGCAACACAATGGGTGTGGACTAATCTTGGGCGGATTAAAAGGGCACTTCTCCAATCTCCGTTCACTCCGTTCATCGTGCTGTTTTGCCACATCATCGAAACATCAGATCCCTCTGACTTGGAATGCCTGAAGAGACTAGTGGAGATACTAGAAATCGCCGCCTCGACACCTAAGAATGTCATATGCGAACGGCAGCTTCGCTTGTTCAAAGCACTCTACGACGTCGCCATCAAATACTTTGAAATCAGGGCGGAGACGACACAGGCAGAACATGGCGGTCAGGGTGCAGACGGCTTAGGAGGTCCATACCTCGACGCGGCCAGCGGCGGGTTGCTTCAGCATCAGTCAACGTCGCTCTTGGGGTCCGAACCACTTCTTGGGCCTGGTTCTGAGATTACGTACGGTCCAATAGAAGATCCTGTCTCCAATCTGGGGAATAACAACGTAAACCAGGTGCCAGGTCAACAACGGGCCATGCCAGGGGCAAGAGTTGGCCATTTCAACCCGCAAGGGCCAGGGGCTACCAGAATGGAGATGGAACAGTCGGGCGCAGGTCTAGCCACCTGGTTCTATTTGAATGATCAGATGATTCGGATGCTGGGAGAAAGCTAAGCCGGGATATTTCCATAAGGGGTTTCGACAACTACAAGCACTTCAGCTGAATTCAAGGGTGGTCAGTTCAATAGTGGCGTGCCTGACGGTCTTCTTCGCCAATGGTTTACAACCTCTCTGCTTATGGAGGGCCCCCCCTAAGAATTCTGCCCCAGCTAGTACTACGTTAACTCCTTTTTGGCCGGGGCAAAGGAATACGGCCTCCAAGTGCAATTATCTGACAGATCCAGGGGTAGATTAGGAAGCAGTTCCCTATGCCGAATGATCAATGGTGATATCGTGCTCACTGGCCATTTTATACATAGCAGAACGGTTGTCATTACTATTGTCATCTTATTTACGGTCATGGGTTCCTGGAGAATTCGGGTATGGCCGGCATTCAGATACGCTCGGGAGGGGGGTTTCCAACCAGGTTATTAATGATACTCGACGCTAGACCTTTATTACTGTCGAGCTTCCGGATTCATGTAGTATTGGCTTTGTGCGAAACAAGCCCTAAATCGTTCCGAGAAATCACCCCTTTCCAAGCGGTAAGAGGCTCCATCTTACATTGTAAATCGTCTCGTCCCCCTGTAAAGCTGAATGATAGCAAGAAACTTGCAGAGGATACGGTGAAAGCAGTGCCTTGTCGAAGACTTCTACGTGGAAGCCTATGTTTAGTCCTGCTATTTCTTCTCTTAGATAGTAGGGACACACTCGTACTTATCAAAGAGCCTTGATAGAAACGAACGCGGTTTGATTCACGTGCATGATTATGCTAATTTATTCCTTCATTATTCCTTCAAGCGAGGTGACCAGAGCTCCGATCCATTTCAAGCATCGCATCATTGATAATACTATCTGCATTATTATTATGTGCACATACCTCTCCGCTAGCTGGTAAATCAGAACCAGGCTATTCCGGAATGAACGGATCTGACAAGGCATGCAATGAGAATTTCAAAATCCATGCTCACAAATATCGGCACTCGCTTCGATCACATGAGCGGCTCTCTGCCGGAGAATGTTAATAATAGCTCATCGTCAAAAATTTCCATGGCCAATACAAATCATCTCATCTCACAACGGGCAAAAAAGGAAAGAAAAAGAAAATAGACGGCCAGGTTGTGGTCGGCGTTTGCTGAGACAGGGCAATTTCGCTTCCCAAGCCCATGTCCAAACGCTGCATGCCAAGACACACAAAGTGTCGCACCATAACAATTACAGCAGAGGCAACCTGATTGAGGTCAGATAGGAGAAATCCCAGCTTCAGGCTCCAGCACTCTGCGAAGAAATCGAGACTATCGAGGAATGATCTACAACTAACTGGGGAAGGGCAGCGGTAGAGGAGCAGAGCGAAACAATGGCGTGCAACGAACTTTCCAGCGAGACTACCTCAGGCAAGGATAGACCAGTTCGTTTCAGCAGATAGCTATTGGGCGGTGGCTAGTCAAAAATTCTCCTAATGAGATTGAGCATCGCGGCGCGGTCAGAATATGTAATTCTCCGACCATGGCATCGGCCGCCAACAGATAAGCAACATGGGACGAAATGAGCGCTGCGGCTACTAATAATACGCGTATGCACTGGGGATGATGCGCAAAGTCACATGGGTGAATGGCCAAGAAGGCCTGGCCTCCCCGAATAAGTAATCTATGTCTACGACATGGTACGTTTTGGGTGCGACACTGCGATAAAAGCCAGAATCCCTACCAGCAGGCATCGATCGCGGAACCTGCCATGGCTGCTTCCTTTCAAGGCCTAGGTATGACATGCGTCTTGAGCGATTAGTGTCTTCCGGTGAGGACGGTGATGGGAATCAGGAGGCATCAGGGCAAGACGGGTCGTAATCCTACGGCATGGGATGGAAGCTTACACTTGTTTCTCATAGAGCAGTGGGTTTAAGGAGACGACACTGCGCTACCTGGGCTCACACACGCTGGGCCAACTTGCAGTGGTAAGACCGTCCTTTGTCTCACTGATGACTCCAGAGCCAAAGAGCAGAACCGGCACCATCTCCCCGGACAATGACCAATCGGCTGAGTTGGCTGATCGTGCCAGTCCCGCTGGGAGGTGGATTCAAGCATAGCGTGTTTCAGTCCTCCCCCTTGTAATTGTATGACCATGCTCTTCGGCTGGCGGGTGCGCCGCACGGCCTCTACTGAGTAACTGGCTCCTCCTCCTTCGTGCCCCTGGAATCCTAGATGAACCGATGTGCTCCATCGGTCAGCCCTCCCGTCCCCATGTCGTCGAATCGCCAAAGTCAGAAGGCCAGACGTTTCTGGAATTCCATCTCCACTGGACGACTGCCATGTGGTAGAGACTAATTAAACAATGTGTAACTGCCACCACGCGCTATGTATGAGGCTAAGTACTGGCTAAACCACGAATGAAAGACTGCTTACTGGTCGGTTTCTGCAGCAGACCCCTTTCATGATGCAGTTCTGGATGGTCATTTTCCTTTTCCGGACGTTTACACGTTTGAGTTACCGGCGTGGCTCTCCCTTTCTTCCTCTCATTCAGTAATTGGGCAGCCAAGTCTCTTATCCCATCCTGCTCGGCCTTAGCAGTTTCAGCTGTTGTGCGCCCGCGGTTATAGGGTAGTATCAGCGAGTGTGGCATGTGGTGGATGGGGTTGTGTAATCATTCCTACCCATGCAGAAGTCTGGTCCCAGTGATCTGCCACGGTCCAGGGGCAGCTCCTCTCTCGGCCGACTTTGTCTCGGCTACTGCCTGGCGACAGGCGGGAGGCGAAAGACGAGATGAGCGGCATCAAATTGCCTTCCTAAACCTCTCTGTCGATACCAGTCCCTGGCATTAGCCTTGGGCAAGGTTTCCTGCCGGTGGTGCCGTGACCACCACGAGTCTTGCGGCACCCTCACCCTTGGCGCCTACGCCCCCAATTTCTTATTTTTCCCTTGCCCACGGGAGTGATACGTGCCACTGCGTGGAAAAGACGGGCGTAATGCGGGCTGAGGATTTGCTGGGCCAATCAAGCTGGTTGCTTTGCACTGGCTCCTGGTTTCAGCAGAGGAAGCATGCAAGCCACGCCACCTCTACATACATCACTGTACATATGACAGCTAATCAGAGGTCCTCTGTAAGCGGGTGCGTGGAAGAGGGTTGCGGGCGCTTCCAGTGCTCACCTCATGTCGGCTGGAAGTTAAACTGGCATATCGAATTCGTGGCAAGAAACATATGGTAGACGCCGTACACGATACCCTCCATCATTTCAGATTAGATGCGGCCTCTTACACGCGTCTAAATGCTTTATAGATTCTAGATCAAGCTGTTGTTATGGAAATCTCATTCGAGCCGGCTTCAGGGAGAATCGCGACCCCTGTTCCCATCATGACATGGCTCCCTGGCTGTTCTCCATCAAAACACGTCGCCAAGCCAATCAGACACTCAAAGGAACGATATGCCCAATCACCACGTTTTGTCTAAGCCGGCGGGAGTCGCTGTTGGAGAGGGGCAGCTCCCTCGGGACAGGGGGCCGGATGCTTTGTGTTTGATGCTAACGCTGGGGAGACTCACAGACGCCGAGCTGGTTGATGAACTGCCGCTTTGGCCTCTCGTAGCAGTGGGAGACACTTGGATGCAACTCTTATATGTACGATCCACTCCCCTCTGCCCATCTTGCTCCTTCAACCGCTTCTTTTTCTTGTCCAGGCAACAATCCAGGCTGCTGAGCACTGCCCTGTCCATTCATTCTTGTTTATTCAATAGATCGTACAGCCTCAAGCTACCAGCGCTGTTCTTTTGCTTCATTTACGGCTAGCCGCATTTCACACTCTCTTCCTAGGCGCTCTGCTCCCAACGAAACCAACATTTCAACAGCAGCTGGACCGACAACCGTCTTAGCCCACCACCGTTTTTCGTTTAAGAACACCTTTTTGTCTCGAGACTCCACCATGAAGACCGCCTCGACTGCCGCCTTTGCGGCATCTCTTGTGGCCTCGGCCTCTGCTTTTGGCTACAACGAAGGCAGGACTTTCGCCACTGTCCAGTTCACCAACAACCACATTCTCCAAGCCAGTGTTGACCCCATTGTCTCTCCCGGCAAAATTTCCTCCCATGTCCACAATATCCTCGGAGGTAGCAACTTCGGCATGTCCTCGACCGGAGAGGACCTCTTGAAGTCAAACTGCACCAATGCCAATGTCAAAGGTGACATGAGCAACTACTGGTTCCCCTTACTGTACTTCCAGGACCCCAAGACCGGAAAACTCGAACCGGTGGAGGTTTTCTACCCCAAGGTTTATTACTTGTACGTGTTACTTCGCCGTTCTCACTATATCCCGTTTGGGTATTAATTTGGTGTTCCTCAGTTTCGAGAAGACACATGATGTGATCAAGGCATTCCCAGTCGGCCTCAACATGCTCGTCGGCGACCCAACGAAGCGTACTCCTCCTTCGACCCCCGAAGAGATCCTCACCACTGGCTCAGGCCAGGAAATCAGCAACGTCCACGTCACCTGCCCCCGTGACGAGAAGGTCACCGACGACAACAAGTATCCCACTGGCCCCTCGTGGCCTGTGGACTCGGACGGCACCAACGCCGGCATTGGCAGCGCCAACAACCCGGGTGCCGGTGTTGGCTTTCCCTTCAGAAACTGCGACGGCTACGCCGCGCCGCTCCGAATGGATATCCACTTCCCTTCTTGCCTAAAGAAGAATGCCGACTTGAAGGACTACAAGAACAACATGAACTGGCCCAAGAGTGTCAACGGCGGCTACCAAGACTGTGCTGAGGATGAGATCCACGTGCCCCATCTCTTCATGGAGGTCTACTGGAACACTCCCCTCTTCAAGGACAGATGGGACCATTCTGGAAATGGACCCCAGCCTTTCGTCCTCGCCTCTGGTGACCGCACCGGATACAGCTGGCACGCTGATTTCATGGCCGGCTGGGACACTGATATCCTCCAGAACGTCATCGACAACTGTAACACCGGAAACTCGGGTATGCTCAAGTGCCCCGGCGTCGAGGAGAACACGGACAAGTGCATCATTGAGACCCCAGTTGACGAGATCATCGGCGGCGTCTTGGACCAGCTTCCCGGCAACAACCCAATCTCTGGATGGGGCGTCGGCACCAACCCTCAGCCTCAACCCAGCGGAAGCTCTTCTTCCTCAGCTGCTGCATCCTCCACCGCCCCGGCCTCATCATCCTCGGCTGCTTCGTCGTCCACTTCCGCCTCAGCCGCCGCCTCGGGCTCGTCTTCCTCTGCATCCGCCGCCTCTTCATCTCAGGGCGCATCCAGCGGTCTGCCCGGCTCCAGCGACGACGCCACCAAGGTCATCGAGAACCCTGCTGTCTCGACTTCCTCCGCCGTTGCCGTCGAGACCTCGGGAGCCCCCCAGTCGTCCTCGGCCGCCGCATCGCAGTCTTCTTCCACCAAGACCAAGAAGCCCAAGTCCACCTGCGCTCTCAAGACCGTCTACGAGACCGTGACCGTGACCGCCCCGGCCTCCGGCGCTGTGCAGTCCCAGGCCGCTCACGCCCGCCGACACGAGCACGAGCGCCTGATGCACCGCCATGCCGGCCACCGCCACTAGACCCTTTAGTTCTAAGGAGATGTTTGTTTCTTGTAAAATTTAGCCGGCTTCTGGTTCACTTTGAGACTTAAAATTCAAAAAAACGGGAAAAGGCAGATGGCTGCTTCGATTCTTTGTATATGTAGATAACTTCATTGATGACATTAAAAACACTGCGTGGCATTGCAGGTATTTGCCGCTCCAATTCTCATTGCTGCCTTTGATACATTCTACTTGTGATTTGCTACAATGCCTGCTCTGTGAGTGTCAATTGTCCAAGGCCGTTCTTATGTCTGTTTTTCAGGAGATTTCCCCACCCCCCTTGCTTGATATTCCTCCCTCATCCCATCCCCCACCAGGTTAGGGTTTTCGTAACGGATGCCCCTTTCCTGAAGTACCCCCATTCGCGACATGCTCCAAGATATGAGTGGTGTAACTGACCCTCTGTTGCCCAGCATGTGAGATATCTACACGCTGCCGCCTCTACCACATGTACTTTTATCATTGTCCATCTCTAATCTACGGCATTTGCCTTTCCAGGCTCTCCGTGAGGTAGCAGTGGCTTTGTCACTTCCAGCACATCGACCCTTAGGTCAGGTTCATTCATCCTTTCACTCGAAGCTCTGGAAGCATGGATTGCAAGCTTATTCTCGCCGCACGACCTACGTGCCCCTGTGGAAGCCAAATTCCCACCTGGTCAAAAATAAGCGACGACGTATTCATCACCTGCCGAACTCACAGGATAGAAATTAAACCCGGAACCAACACACCACGCGCTCATCAATCCACATCCTTATTCCCACTCAGACCTGCAGCTGTCGCGTTTTATTTTCTAGGGTGATCGACAGACTTCCCCCGCCGCGCAACCGGGAGACTCAAGCTGTGAGTTAAGAAAAAAAAAAGCAATGGATGCCCTGACTCGTCGCTGTGAAGACTGTGGCTCTCGCCAGAGGATCCGTTTTCAACAACTCTGCCGCCGACACCTAGGATAGAATTATCATTGAAGACTACTTCTTTGGCTCGCTGAGTGGGTGTTGGTTCTCTTGGGAATTCCCAGATCAAGATGGCGTACATCTGGGATCGGCACAGGTTCCCGACATGATGGTTAGGTAAGGTAGGTTGCTTTATAATAAAGGTCTTGCATCATTGATTATAAATTATCCCATCCATAGAGAAATAAAACCTCAAGAGAGAGTAGGAAGAGCAATGCTTGTATGAACTAAGTAAGGACGTGATTCATTCAATTCACTAGGTTCACAATTGTGGTTGAAAGATTGACAACATCCCTCTTTGGCTTTCTGGACACTCAACAAAAATGTCTTCTGTTACTACTCGCCAGGCATTCCGCCGAACTGACGATTTTACACCTGGGACACCAAAACTCAAGCTCGTGACCGAGGATCTGCCCCTGCCACTACATCCGACAGAGGTTCTGATTGAGGTTCACGCAGTCGCACTCAACTATCGCGATGCCAACATTGCCAACGGCGGCAACCCGTGGCCTGTGATCCCGAATGGCATTCCCGGAAACGATGCCGCCGGCCAGATCATCGCTGTGGGCGAGAGAGTCTCGCTGGTCTCGGTTGGTGATCGGGTAGCTCCTATTACGGACTCGGCATATCTTACTGCTCGATCAACCGGACGGTCGTGGCTCGCCGCGAATGAAGATGGAGTGTTGGCCAGCCATCTGGTTTTCGACGAGAAGTTGGTGACCAAGCTTCCTGATCACCTTGATTGGATCCAATCTAGCATCATCCCGTGTGCAGGCACAACAGCGTGGTCTGCACTCAAAGGAGCTACAATGGGCCAGACTGTCTTGATTCAAGGTGATTAATTCTACCCCATGCGAGATCCAATACTAACCCCCCATTCTAAGGTACTGGCGGAGTGTCAACGTTCGCGCTGAAGCTGGCGCAAGCATCTGGGTTAAAGGTTATCTTGACATCTTCTGATGATAAAAAACTCCAAAGCATCAAAGCGCAATTCACCAAGCCAGAAATCCAAACTGTCAACTACAGAACGAACCCCGAGTGGCACGAGGAGGTTCTCAAACTCACCAACGGCGTTGGTGTTGATCTTGTAGTGGAAAATGGTGGAAGCAGCTCCCTTGTCAAGAGTATGTTGTGTACTCGTCGGGGAGGCATTGTCAGCCAGGTTGGCTATCTGGGAGGTCCTAAGCCTGAACATCTGAAAGAATTTGTTTCCACGATCATTGACAGAAGACTGAACGTCAGGTAAGAGTTTATTGAGCATCAGCCAATCTCGACTTAGTAGCTAACCAGCATCAGGGGGATAAATGCCGGGTCAAAAGATGACCAGGACGAGCTCATGGCGGCAATCTCAGCCGTACAAATGACATTCAATGAGATTCTAGACTCTGTGTGGTCCTTTGATAAATCCGAGGAAGCGGTTGAGTTTATTTGGCAAGGGAAACAAGTTGGAAAAGTGGTGGTCAGCCTCGACAAATAAGATGGCATGGACTTTCTAGATAGATTTTATACGTATCAATGGCAGCACATCTGATACTCGCATTGCCTTTGCCGTATGTGTATTTGTGTGCTGAATCGTTAGAGAGTGTTCCCAGGCACCCGTATTTGTGTTAGAGATGGCAATCAGCATGAATTTATAGGGCCACCATTACTGGAAAGCCAATATCTATCTATTTGGACCTTGAACTCTGATTCCAACAATCAGACATTTCTCTGAGTTATTCTGTCGGCTATCCAGTTGTCAGTTTGCTGGTTGCTTTTTCTCCTTGTCTTTCACGTTGATATCTCTCCAGAACAAGGTAGCCACAAGCCCAATAACAGTGAGACACAGCGCGGCAGAGAAAAGATTCCGCATTGCCTGGGAGTAACTCTGCTCGATAGCCAATCTCTCAGCACCTCCTTTGTCAAAGGATAGCTGGGAATAGATACTGCTGTAAATATTTTCAAGCTGAGGCTGGGCACTGTCTGGAAGGTTTTTGGTCAGATACGACGGAAACACCTTAGTCCATATGGCAGCCGAAATAGTGGCGCCTACTGCCTGAAAGATGCTTGTTACCATGTTGTATACGGCCAATACCACGGCGATATGCTCATGGTCAATGACAGCCAAGACTGCCACCTCGGACGTGAGATATATCAACCCGTCTGCTAGTGACAAGAACACTTGTGCCATGACAATCAGCCCGGTTGGGGATCCTGTGCCGGAGAAGTGATACATGAGGCCAGTGGCGAGTATTTGCAAAGGGCTCCCAATGTACAGTGCAATCCATTTGTAGTGAGACGTTGTACGAATCAGTGCACCAGCAGCAATACCCACCAATACCCAGCCGACGCTATGGATATTGACAACATACCCTGCAAGGGTGATGTCCAGACCCTGGATGACCTGTAGAGACGAGGAGAAATAGGAGTACCACACGTAGTAGACTAGATACGTATTGGCCGATGCAATGCTTCCTCCAAAAATTGTGCGATCTTTGATGAGTTCCCATGGAAGGAATGACTTTGGTGCCCAGTACTTCTCCCAGATCGCAAATAAGACAAAGCAAAGGACACCGAAAATAATCATACAGATAATCATTGGCGATGCCCAGCCACTCGCCTGGCCAGAGTAAAGGCTAAACGGCAAAAGTAGTAAAGAGAAGCCACCAGCAAGAAGTAGAAGCCCAATGACTGCCATATGGCTGCATATTAGATCCCTTTACCATAAATAATACCGGGAATAGAAAAAGCCCGGGAAAAGAGGATTAACTTACAGTCAAACTCGACCCAGTAGTATTTCAGGCCCTCCCAAACGCTTTCGTGTTCCTTGTGTTCGGACACACCACCCCTCAACCGGGCCTTTCGATAATTCCACAAGAGCAGTACAATCAGAGACAAGCCAGCAATTGGTGCCGCAATGGCAAAGGTACCAAAGGACCACCTCCATCCCGGCCCGGAGAGGAACCGGCTCGCGATGGGGGAGCCCACGAACGTTGTAACCAAGTAGGGGGCGTTATAAAGGCCAAACATGAAGCCTCTGTTTCTCAGACTAAAGTTGTCTGCAAGGATAACGTACAGAACGTAGAACATTCCATCGAATCCGGTCCAGAAGAACACTGAAGCGGCAGAATATGTCACCACATTCTGGCACGCGGCCATCATGACAACGCCGATGGTGAAAACGGTCAGCATGACAGCAAAGCCTATTTCACCCCCATATTTCTCCAATGTCTTCTGTGCCATCATGGATACAGCTTCCATCGCGCCTTGAAGTCCTGGATCGGGGAGCGCAGACGCCGACGCGTCTGCTTGTAACCATTCTGATTCCATCTCGTAGGAGGAAAAGAGATTGATAAAGACTTTTTTATCTAGAACGATTGAATCATTCAGTTGGAGATTGGAGAGAGAGTAGATGAGCTAATCGGTTTCCTCTTGAACTTGATCTGGTGGGGTGAAGAACCCCGTCTCGAGGAGCATCTCCACTCGAATGACCCCGAAGCGCAAGAGGCTATGCCCATATCCGCCATGAGAGCACAAGTAATCAACCATTCAGTGTTGAGCTGTCTCAAACTATTTACTTGCAAGATGATTAGGGCGCAAGCGGATGATGTTATGTTGGGAGCTCAAGCTGACCAAGTTGAAGCTATGCCGAACGAGTGAGACAACTCAGTAAAGAAAGGAGAGCACTTTTAGCCCTGGACGATCTGTAAGTTTCGCAGTTCGGACTACTGATCTCTCTCGATTTAGTCATGGGCATGTAGAGGATCCAAAACTGACCCAACTGGGTGATATGAAGTTAAGACACTCGAATAGTGTCTTGCTCACCTGCGAGTCTGTGAATAATATTGCTCAACGTTAGATTGCTGGTGTCTAGTAACGAATAGCAAAGAAATGATGAAATAAATATGATAAACTTCTATGGTGATACTACTGGATCACTTTATTCTTTGGAGAAAGTGGTCTGCTCGTGACCGCCCTCCAATTCGATGCCTCATCTCTTCTGTCATCGAGGTGTCGCCCTACAGCTTTCTACTGATCATGGAAGTAGTGGGTGACGCGCCCGGTGGGAGGTCACCCAAATGGGGAGCTTAACATGAGACTTATTTGATGAGGCAAAAAGTTGGAAGGAAAGAGAAATCTAGACTCAAGGTTTTAGCAGTCAGGAGAGATGATGCGACATTGGCAGCAGCATACAAATAAATCATTTCAAAAATAAGCTTAATTAGGTAGTGCCCTCACATGAGAATGTAAAGCTGCTAGTTCTTCCTGTTTAGTTATGCATCATATGTAAGACGAATGCTTACATGTAGGTGCTACGTTAACTACACCATACCTTTACGTTCTAGGTTCGGCCATCTATCCATTTCTGAACCTCGTTATGATGTGTCCAAAATCGGCTAATGAAGGAAACACATTGCCAACGTTATGCCTCTTTCCATTAAGGCGATCTGGGAAGGTGACATTGATGACTGTTCCCCAGTGTAGATCGTGACGGGAGGGGGAGGCCAACGATTGATGACGCAAGGCTTTTAGAGCACGTACTGCTCGTGTAGGCACTGAAAACATACTACCCATCTCGAGTTCGTTTGAACAATGACGTCATTCTTGATGAGAAAATCCAAGGCCAGCCCTATGCTTGTGGCTCTGAATGGAAGTCTTGCCGTCTTGCTGAGTCACATAAGCAACGGTAACCTGGCAAACCAAATCGGCGGTAGTACAGCACCAGATCACCACTAAATACTAGTAATCATCCTCGTAGTACTAAGAAAAAATACATCAGCTTTATTACGGCAGCATTTCACTTTTGGCCTAGGTTTGTTAGAATTTTAAAATGATGCGGTCCGAAGGAGAGCAGCGATGAGGGTAACCACGTGACCGATGAGTGCCCAGACAACTTGAATACATGTATCCGTATTGTTGATGCCAAGAAATTTAGAGGAGAAATGGCGTCTCTTCACGTGTTCACATTCTATTCGACGTCTTCTTTCGTCGGGTGCCCAGGCTAGCCAAGGAAAGGTTGGACGCAATCATGATCCTGGCGAACAAATGGGCTCAAACAAACCCTGTGTCAAGTCCATCACTATGATCATCAATATTTCATCTAGTCCATAAAAAACAAAGCTCCTCTGGCCATCCGATTTGTCAGACGGAATAGCTGGCCGCAATGACCATGCATTGCATCAGTAGTCGTTTCAGGGGTGTATCGAGGGGGCACCAAGGTAAGAAGGACACTAATTCAGCCGCCGTTCCGAATTGAAGGCCACATTTGGCCCAAATGATTTTCATCTCTCCGTATGTTCCCCCATCTTTTGACCCAGTAAACAGAGCCCGCTCATAGTACGATTTCCAGCGTGAACTGGAGGGTATAGTAGGTAGCCATGCATATAATATTAAGCTGCCGGGGTCCCGCCATGAGCTCTAATGAGAAACAGAATGAACGCCCGCTTGATATTGGCTCACTTCATCGGAAATATCTAACCAGGTCCCGGCACCATGGATGGATGATGAAATGAATGCGTATAAATAGGAGGTGTGAAGCACGGACGCGCTCGCCACGCACTCGTGTACCTAAAATGAGCGCCCATTTCATGCACAGGCCCCTTCGAGAATGAAATGCAGGTGAGATTGAGATGATTTTCAGAGCTCATGCGCGTGGGAAAAGCAAATTGCCTAGTGTGGCGGTCAGTTTCACCGCGGTGACCAGCAAGTGGCTCAAGCCGCAGACACCTCATCCATATTTACAACCAACCCCCCTGTCACATTGCTTTTCCACGGCTAAGCAGTGAATCGATCAACAATGTTGATGCCCGAGGCTTAGCCGGAGCATCCTAGGTAAGCAGACAGCGCGCACTTTGGATCCCCTCCCGAAATATGCCATGCGGTAGAACCCGAGGCTGTCCGTCCGTCTGAGTGAAAAATTTCAGAGAGAGCAAAATCACGGCGCAGACAACGAAACTCCCCTCCCAGCCATCGCGCAACGCGCGCAGCTGGAGCCCGCCCCATCCCGAGAACCAGCACGTCTCCTGAGAGACTTCTGACCCGCAGATTATGGGTGGATGGGATTATTACTGTGCCCTTTGTGGTGGGCCCTTTGGTGTAGTCTACTGGGACTCGGAGGACGACGACGACTACAAATACGATCCCGATGTGTTACGTGATCCTGACGACCCGCAGCTGGCCTGGCTACAGGACAACCGCATCATCGGCGAGAATCCGGCCAGTGACGCCCAATCCAAGTAGGTTTGCCGGCACCTCTAGCTCAGAGACCGCTGAAGTCAATGGCTGCAGGGGCACGTTGGACAGCTGGACGGCTGACTTGTGTCACTAGAGTATGGGTTTCCGGCCCGGCGGTAAATGATGACTATGGGACCATGAACTACGAGCTGGGGGAGGCTCCAGACCCTGCGCTCGCAGCCTTGCAGAACGGGGGGAGCATCAGCGTGTAAGTCCTCCCTTTGTACTTCGAGCGGGGCGAAACCCGGGGCAATCTTAAGGCCTGTCAAGAACATTAGCTCATGTTTCATGCCAAATCAACAGATACGCCTGGGAAGCCGATGATCCATGGTGTGCGCCATTTCACACGCGCTGCCGCGAAGTGCTTTCCCGCTATGTTGGCGTCCCCGAATTAGACAAGGAGATCTTCTTCGACACACTGAAGAGCAAGGCGGCAGATGACCAGTCCGGTCGGTCTCTCAACATACACTATGGCGATATCAGCGACAAGATGGAGCAGTACTGGGGGGCAGAACGGAACGCAGAGCATTATGTGTGCGACCCTGTGGAGGTCAAAGGGCTGAGGGAGCTGTACCACAATCTCCCTCTACGCAAAGTGGAGGAGGTGAGTGAGTTGAAGATATACGGCACCAGAGGCGATCCGTTTGCGAAATTCCCACCCGATATATTGCTACTTATCACGTCTCACCTCAAAGAGGTGACAACCTTGTACAGTCTCCGACAGGCATCCCCCGCATTCGCCAATCTGGAGTTGAGCAATGGTTTCTGGAGGAAACGCCTGAAAGACGATATGCCTTGGCTGTGGGATCTCCCAACGCCGACATTCTCCCAGCTGCACGACGTCGACTGGAAGAAGGTCTATCATAGACTGGACTGGGGGAGCAGGCCTTGTGCGAGAAAACACAACAGAATCCCTGGCTTGTGTAACAGAAGAAGGATATGGACCCAGCTCTGCCCCGTATTCGCAGAAGAATATATCCAGTTCGCCGCAAATGTGAAGGCCTGGGGGAGTACGAAGCCTCTTGCTCTCAAGGACGCCTTTGAAACAATGCCCAGACAGCTGGGATGTCCGGAAGTTGGAGGGACTAGGCCAATCACCGAGAACATGATAGATTTCTTTGACGATCTTCCTTCTGCAGACATCTCACTGGTGGTGGACTGGGCAGCAAGTGAGCACTTGATCGATATTCACCTTCTTAAAAATGGCCATCACAACCCTACTAAGGGGCAGAGGCTCACGCCGGATCACACCGAGACGATTCACATCCCCGATGACGACTGGCTCACTGGTCTGATCTTCACAACCCGTGAAGAATTGGTCGAAGGTAGAAGAGAGGAACGCTACATCTTTGGCCTGGACATTCTCTTCGCAAAGCAGTCTCCCGTCAAGCTCGGCTCGGACCAGGGCGATAAGCGTCTGTTTTATGTCAGCTCACCCGACAGGTTCATTGTTGCGCTGAAGCCATATCGCACAGATGAGGGAATTTTGACGCGGATGGGCTTGGTCGAACAGCCGTCGGAGCACGCGGAGGGCTGCCAGCGCATCGTCGACACCTCGAGGGATGATTACAGCATTTCCACCATGGAGTACTCCTGGTGTAGAGAACTCCCTCCTCTGCATGTCCGGTTGTCTCAAGCCAGCGTTGACCGATTCTCCTACTTGGGGTTCATTGACCAGAACCCAATGGAGCTCCTCATGTTCGGGACCTCTGAGGAAGAGCTGGCCGATATGACTAGTATATCCATTGATATACATCTTGGAGGGATACAAGTTGCGTACGGCCACCGCCCAAGTCGTGCGGTGGGCTTTCGCTTCCAGGCAATGAAGACCTTGCTGATAGACGGACGAGGCGGAGAGCGCATTGTACAGTGCCATTCGACTGTCCAGGGAAACCCGAATTCCTTGACGTTTCTCACAAACCGAGGTCGCTGCCTCTCGATTGGAAAGTCGGTTGGCAGTCGAGGCCCGCTTCATTTCACCAATGGTTCAACAAACTTGATGCCTTGTGGCATCTTCGCTTGCTGGATGAAGGTTGGCAAGGCGCAGTGGCTGCTTAGGAGTGTTGGTGCCGTAGGGTCAGTCCTACTGGGCTACGTCGACATCACAACGCTTCCCTCCCTTCCACAGGACACGAGTGGTTATTATTGGGAGCCATCAATGTTGCCTGAAGGGTTGAAAGAATCAGGTACCATCTGGGGATCACGTGTGATCCAGGAGAATTCCAACACGATCCCACGTATCGTCGGGACGGTTCCGTCTATGGGATGCACCGTTAGCAGACTCGACTGCAGTCGTCCTATAGCAGAGATGCGGGTGACGCTGGTCCATAGCACCTACGATCCCATCTTGGCTCCCATCACAGCTATTGCGTTCAGATATACCGACGGGGAGGAGGCAGCAGTTGGGCCAGATGTCTTCCCATCTCCTTCTACATGCGATTGGTGCAGCACTGGGTCTAGCATCAGAGAGGAGATTGACCAAGTCCCACACTACCGTCACCAGATATGGAATGTAGGCGGGAAGCGGCTCAGGAGTCTTCGTATTTGGCGTCCTGACTCGATGAGTCTAGGTGCCATCCAATTTATAGCTGAGGGACGTAAAGAAAGCCCTGTTTGGGGTTTCTGGGGGCACAACATCAAAGATATGGAAGTTGGAGAGATGCGGTTCGTCGGCGAGGGCGGGGGAGATTTTATCGGGTTGAAATTCTTCTTCCAGGGCATTGGGCGTGGGGGATTCCGGGATGATACCGTGATCGTCGCAATTCAGGGTCTGTCCGTGGCGTAGGAGTGCGCCATGAAGCTGTATTGGTCCTGTTATTTTCATTCTAGGATTTCAATCCCTTTTGTTTCACTTTTCTACGAAGGGGGTAGTTCCAGTATCTATGGCACGTGTCAGCTTCCACCCAACGGGCTTTTATCATATTCCACATGTGCTACACTCTATCTCATGCGAAGCGAGCACGATAGGAAAAAGAGTATATTAACCTCAGTAATATTTAAAACTAGATTTCCCCGTCTTCACCCGATTCCCAAGCGTAGCTCATAATAACACACGTACTAGGCATCCTCTTTAGCATCACGATGATTCTAAACATCGCCACAGCGGTAGAAAATACACGTTGCTTGATGGGCTGTAGCGGCGAATTGCAGTTCAGGTACTGCCATATAATTCATAAACCCTTGTATCAAGGCACTAGACGGTGTTTCTCACCCTTGGCAAGCTTTATCTCCAATTATGGTAACGCAATGACATATTGGAGCGTTTGAAAAGGGGTTCCGGGGAGGATTAGAGTTCAAGGATCAACGCTGACAGCTTCAGCCTATAAAGTTGATTCAGATGGATCTCGCCAGATTAACCGGATTCGTCCGATATCGCAAAATCAAGCCAAGTTCGTAATAAGAGGCGGATCGTGCGGTCGAGGGTGGGCCTTCTGCGTGAGATCAGGCTTATCATTCTGGTCCATGCAAACCTGGATTACCTGGTCCAAGGGGCAGTTCGCGCTAGCATTCGGTCTGTGAGATTTCTATATAAACTACAGTGATACGTGGCTGAGCTCCTTGATCGACCTAAACATCTCAAAATTTACCTACCTTGGGTATTTCCACCAGATTCACTATGCCAGCGATTGAGGCCGCAACCTTAGAAAATGTGTCCAGCATCACAGACACATTTCTTGCTTGCTTCAATGATGAATATTTTACTGAACTGTTCCCTCCAACCGAAGTTGGTGTGAAGTATCTTAATGATGCTTTCTCCGCATTCCTCGATGACAAGTCGGCAGGATTATTCATAATAAAAGATGAACAAGGTATAAACTCGAAATCTCTTCGCCCTCGCTTTTCTCATCCTGTTCGATTTACCTGGAAATGGCTAAATCTCTTCCAACAGGTAATCTAGCCTCTGTTTTGCTGTTTTTTGAACAGCCCGGCGGACAACCACCAAGAAAATGGACCACGCGATGGCCAGCAGCCCGAGAGGGAATGAACGGCCCGATGATGGAGGAATTTTTCCTTGGAATGGACACGCAGCATCATCAGGTCATGGGCGATAAACAGCATACTTGTCAGTATCCCAAAATGGCGGTCAATCGTAGGATTTATCAAGAAGCTAATACATCATAATGAGCATATAGATGTCGAACTGGTCTTTACGCTTCCATCCCAGCAGCGCAAAGGATACGGTACGCAAATGGTAAAGTATGTTGCCGAGTTAGTTGGGGCGACACAGCCATTATACCTCGACTCACGCGCATCTACGGTCAAACTCTATGAACAACTTGGCTTTGTCAGACAGGACTGCGACATCGAGGGAGAAATGATCCCCATGGTCAAGCCTGTAAGTCGGGGTGATTCTGTTCAGGCGGCAACATGACATTTCTGAAATATTCGGACATTGTGAGACTGGCTGCGATGTTTGCCAAGGCTTCCTCAATTAAGCGATGATGATCCATGGTTCTGCGTTTCATAAATTACATTCGAGATCTAGTCACTCCTTTAGAATAATATTTGAGTCCAGACCATGAAAACCAAGCGATCCATTGATTATCGATGTGCCTGACTTAGTAAATCATGACCGACTCCATTAATGATACTTCATTTCCCAGTGTTCAAGAAAAATCCAACAATGACAGAGTCCTTAAGATTGCTGTTCCGTCGATATCAACTCCAAATGAGCGTAGTAATTGCTTTCATTGCCTGGGGAGGCTCCTGTTGAGGCAGCGCTTCTTACCCTAGGGCAGGTCACCTTGAGGTGAATTGACAACAAAACCTTGCTTAATCTTACGTATTGCTTGAAGTTTATAAGTTCTGATCACTGAAAAGGTGGCATATGTAGCGCCGAGTTGGTTGGCAATACTCTGGACATCTCTTATGGCATAATTAATCTACTCCATTCGAAGTCGCTGGTTCCGATATTAACAATCCTATAAAGAAAATTGGAACACTAGATAGTTCAGCTTGCACCGCAAAAAGCTAGCTTGTGAGGTCAGTATATCTAATTATAAATATAACATTTATCCGTTATAGGGAAGCTGGATCTATTTTATTGGCCATGTTACACTGGCTTTAATTAACTCACGATCCAATGGAGTCGAGCCCGATTTTCTCCCAATAGTCTCTCAGTTCTTGGAGACGATTGGTCGCGCGTTCAGAAGAACAAGGCTTTCTTACATCATATTTATTATTACTGTCTTGGACAGGTAGGATACCAAATAGTTAGCAAACTGTCCACTAAGATAACGAAGTCATTCTTTGCGGCAAGGTGCAGTTGAAAACACCAAAATAGAATGGGAAGGGCACCCATCTGCCTATAACGGGATAAGGTGTGTCTCATTTCAGAACGGACGACCCATATTTATTGTACAAAATCAATCATGTGGATAGGCTGCCTCTTCTCGGAGCCGTGCTATATCGTGAATGACTGTAATATGGGGTAAGGCTTTGGTCGCCTTGGGACATCCTGCCCTATAGAAGTACTAGAAATAGCATTTAATGGTGATGTAACATCTACGGTATGAGCCGTGGGTCGTATTGATCTACTAAAGGGAAATCGCATTATTATTTAAGCTTCGTCTGATGTGAGGTGTGAGTCAGGAAAGGGGTAATGAGAACTTTGGATATATTGGTGGTGTTGGTAGCCAATAAAGGGACTGTGCCTGCCCACGTCACTCCTTTAATAGCATGCCTCACGCTCAATAATTCCTCTGGGATTCGAGAACGGGTGCACAGAAGTAGTAAGAGCCGATTAGTGGTGCGGACATTTCTTTCCTTGGCCAGAAGTTCGGCATCTCTAGGTCAGTCAGCCTGCAGACGCCGGTGAAGCGCCAGGCACAGATTGCTATATTAGGAACGTTGCGCGAAGACAAGCGTGTTCCTGCAAATCCCGCTTACAACCGAATAGGGCACAGTGATAATCCTTTCACCTGCCTCATCCGGGAAAAACTGGTTCCCAACAGCTTCTAGTCTCGGAAGAAGTCACGTTGCCCCCGCGTGAAATCAGTCATGCCAAGTAAAGTGCAATCAAAGGATTTGCCATGTTCCGGCCTGCCCTTGCATGGTCAGACGAGGCGCAGTACCCATGGGGTTCTGGGTGTTACCACTCTGCAATTTCGCATGCACGATTCACGCAGAGCTCGACCTCCTCGGCTTACGCGGCAACAGCTGGAGCTCTGGCTCGGGCATGAAAAAGACAATAGACCGGCCGAAGGTCAGCATGGAGCCAACATCAATGTTGGCACTTTGCAAGGCCACCAACGGCCATGAGTAGATTCTTTTTTAGCCGGTGTCCAACTGGCCAGTGCGTACTGCGTTAAGGAGTGCGGAGCCTCGCCTACAAAGGATCATGGATTAGAGCGACCCCTGGTTTACCGTAATATCAAACAGGCCTATACGAGTTTGGCAAGGGCTAGACTCAACATGGATAGCTCCACCGTCCTTATGCTATGCCCTGCTCGCTCCCAACCGACAGCCGATTTGGGAGGCAAGGCATGGGATCGGGAACGGAGAATGGTTCGAGACCGTTGAATAAGATGCATGCTCTGTCTCCTCCTTGGACCGAGTTCTTGGTTCCGCTCTTCTCCATCCACGACGGCTTCATTGTCGATCAGTCTTTCGTTCAAGACCTTCACTCCTTTGTAGGGTCTGTAATTCTTCTATTTCTGGTCACTCACTATCCATTACCATTAATTTACTTCAAACTCTCTCTTTAACCTTAATTTATTACACCGATTAACCGGACAATCATACAAAATGTTGTCCAAATCATTGTTCGCGGCTCTTGCGCTCGTCGCATCCGCTTCAGCTCAGACTTTCACTGAGTGCGATCCCACCAAGAAGGGTATGTTTAACCAACATCAGTGAACCGACCATGAGGTTGAGTAGGATGCTAATATATTTGTCTAATTAGACTGCCCTCCCGCCCCTGCGCTGGGAAACAAGAAAATCTCTTGCGACTACACCAAGGGCGACTGCTCCGACTTCACCAAGACCTACGACTTTGACTACTCTCTGAGCGCGGACAAGGGAGCCAAGTTCCACATCGAGGCTCTGGGCCAGGCACCCACCATCGCAAGCAGCAAGTGGATTTTCTTTGGTCGTATCGATGTTGTTTGCCAGGCCGCCCCTGGTGTCGGTGTTGTTACCTCGGTTGTCCTCCAGTCCGCAGACTTGGATGAGATCGATTTGGAGTGGGTTGGAGGAGACGACTACCACGTCCAGACCAACTACTTCGGAAAGGGTGATACCTCCAGCTGGGACCGTGGTGGCATCCACGATGTCTACTCCCCCGTGAAGACCTTCCACAAGTACTCCATCGAGTGGACCTCAAAGAAGATTGACTGGCTTGTCGACGACGTCGTGATCCGCACTCTCAAGTACGCTGATGCGAAGGAGGGCACTCGCTTCCCTCAGACACCAAGTCAGGTCAAGATCGGCACATGGGTTGCTGGCTACGAGGGCAACAACCAGGGTACCATTGACTGGGCCGGTGGTATTACCGACTTCAAAAAGGGCCCCTTTGATGCCTACTACAAGTCGGTCACTGTTACGGATTACGCCGGAGGCGACAGCGCTCCCTCCGAGAGCATCAAGGAGTACCAATACACTGACAGGTCTGGCTCGTACCAGAGCATCAAGGTCGTCAAGGGCGAATCTAACAGCTCCTCATCCTCTTCCGCCTCCTCGACCTCCGCTGCCTCCACTTCTTCTGCTTCCAAGACATCATCTTCTGCCGCTTCCACTACCGCCGGCGCTTCGTCTTCCTCCGCCGCCTCCTCCGCCGCCTCCTCTGCTGCTTCCTCTTCCAGCAGCGAGTCCAAGTCTTCTTCCGGCTCAGGATCAGCTTCCTCCACCAAGGGCGGCAACTCCAGCATTGGACAGACTACTACCTCGGCCGCTACCACCCCTGGCAACACCACTCCTCACTCCTCGGCACCCACTACTCCTGGCTCAACCCCTGCTGGATCTGCCACTCAATCCGGCTCTGCCACTCAGTCCGGATCTGCCACCGAGTCCGGATCTCCCACCAAGTCTGAGTCTGAGCAGCTGACTACGTCGACTGTCTACAGCACCGTCGTCCACACTGTTACCTCGTGCGCCCCTACCGTTACCAACTGCCCGGCCCGCTCAACCGTTCTTGTGACCGAGACTGTCCCCGTCTACACTACCGTCTGCCCTGTCTCTGAGCTGCCCACCAAGTCCGACTCCAACGGCCCCAAGCCTACTGGCGGAAACGGCTCCAAGCCCACCGACTCTGCTGGCAACAAGCCCACCGGCACTGGCTCCGGCAACGTCCCTGCCAGCAGCAACGTCCCAACCAGCACTCCCGCCCCCAACTGCGGACCTGGCTCCCCCAACTGCCACGTCCCTGGGGTCACCATCCCCTGGCCTCCTGCTTCTCCTTCTGCCCCTGCCACGGCTACCGCTACTGGCAAACCCTCTGGTGCTGTCTCCTCCAACTCTCCCAACCAGCCTATCTACCCTACCGGCACCTTCATCACCACCACCGCTGCTCCCTCGCACCCCGCCAACGGCACAAGCATCAATTCGCCTGTCGTCCCTACTTCCATCCCCACCGCCGGCGCTGCCCGCTTCGTTGGTGGTGCCGGAGTGGCCGCTGGCTTTGCCGCTCTCGCAGCCATGCTCCTGTGAGTAGAATGACTAGTTTTTGGATGAAATGGGAGATGTTCTCTGTACAATGTCGTTGACGCATTTGTGGCATGGAAATATTGGGATACATAAGTAATAATAAAAGATTTTGATTGATTTCACAATATGCCTGATCCCAACCACTAGATTGCTCTGTGCTAGACTGTAGGACACGTCAAAATGACTTGACAACCTCTTCGGACTTATCTTCGTGTCGAAGGTTAGCCTAGCCGAATGCTACCGAATCCATCGAGATAACCTTCGTTTAGATCCTTCGCCAATCAGGGCTACTCGATGTTGACAAAGGGCGGAAACAAGTCTCGTGATGCCGATGATAGCCTTCTGCGACCGCGTGAATGCGCTAGAAACCCTTGCCCCCCGCATCATGCCTTATCATGTTGACACAAGGCGTGGCGACTTTGCCAGTGGCGTTGTCGAGATTATGCGGGGTCATGTCGAGGCAGGGCGGAAGCTAAGATGCTCCTAGTCCATGTCACGATGGTTGTCGACACTCGGATAAAGCTCGTGCATGAGGCGTATCTCTGGCTTTGTAAATGTCACATTCTCATTGGCTTGAGATACGTAATTCCATGCCCTTTCCCCAGATTCCGTAAAAGCAAAATGGGTCACATGGAGCAAGTTGTCCCAGAAGCTTTGTGAAGGGATGGACAAGGCGGAAACACTTGATACTAGGGGGTGAATGATACTTTCGGGAAACATCTATTTAATCATCGACTGTTTCCCTCCTCAGAATTCAAAATGCCGTTGAGCAAGCCACTTTAGATACAAACAGGCCATTCTCATTAGATCAGTCTTCTTCATTCCAACTCACATGTCGTCCGCCGAGACTCTCTTCCCCTACCTCCGGAAGGATCCATCAGACCTTCCGGAGGGCGCGGATCCTTTTACCATCACTACTCGCAACGGATACCTGCCCTTCAACCTACCTTTGAGAACATTGCCAAGTGCATTCGACGCCCTCACGGAAATTCTCCACCAGATGCCCATTGTCAAGGAGGATGGAAACGCGGGGCTGCTCGCTACCTTTGAGCTCGGCCCCCTGATAGACAATGGCGCTCTGCCTGATCTCACTGATGAGATCGATCGTCTGCTTATCCCAGGCACAGATAAGCGCGACATGGCGGCCGTCACTGCAGCCTTTCGCGACTATAGCTTTGTCGCCTCATCCTATCTTCTCGAGCCCTGCTGGGAGACATACAGCGCCAACAAAGACAACGGGTACGGCCTAGGACGGCAGGTTCTACCGATGTGCATCGCGGGGCCGTTGACCAAATGTGCTGAAATGTGAGTTTGCATGATGCATCGCTTAATTCCAAAACACGTTAGCTAACGAGCTGGTGCAGTCTCGATATCCCTCCCTTCATGTCTTACGCCGCCTCTTATGCCCTCTACAATTATTACCTCGTCCATCCTGAGCAAGGCCACAAGGACTACGAAAACCTGCGTCTTGTCCGTGCTTTCGAAAAAGGACTCGACCCCAAGTCTTCCGAGGCAGGGTTCATCTTGACCCATATTCACATGGTGGCGGAAACAGGCGGCCTCATTGAAGGCGCAGTCAATCTCCTATCGGCGATTGATTCCAAGCCTTATTCCACTGATCGAGAAGTAGATGATATTTCCGCCGCCAAGAAAGGTCTCCAGCTCATTCTGGACGCCATGCAAATCATCGAGACAAACATGGAGAGCATGTGGAAGAACTCTCTTCCCAAGGATTACATGGCATACCGGACTTTCATCTACGGAATCACAAAACAATCCATGTTCCCTGATGGGGTTGTTTATGAGGGTCAGTTTGATAATAAGCCACAGTTCTTCCGTGGCGAATCCGGGGCAAACGACGCGATCATTCCTCTTTTGGACCATCTTTGCGAGATCCCCATGCCACCTAACCCTCTGACTGATATCCTCGTCGAGTTCCGTGAATATCGACCGAAGCCTCATCGAGAATTCCTCAAATATGTCCGTGAAACATCATCGCGGCTGGGTGTGCGTCGGTTTATGACGGGCTCTGGTGACATGGAGCTTGTCATCCAGTACCTCCGGGTCCTTGACCATATCCGCAGTTTCCGGTGGAGACACTGGATGTTTACTCGCGAGTACATCATTAAATACACGCTTCATCCTACAGCCACAGGCGGCAGCCCCATCATCACGTGGCTGCCTAACCAACTGGACGCTGTTATGGAGCTGATGGAGAAAGTGACGCAAGACTCTGGGCTTTCGGTTATTCTAGACGCTGAAGCTTGGAGTGAGAAGTTGCCTCTCTCGGAAGCAGATTTCATCATGGCCCGGAACATCATGACCAACGTTGTGACTAAGAAGGCCCAACTACGAAAAGAGGTGGCAAAGTATTGCCAGGATCGGAATCTTGCATGAGGAGTAGTCTTAGTATGATATTGTTGAGCGGTCATTATTTTCAATATTAGCTAGAAGGACGAAAAAGATTGAGCCTAAATGAATTCAATGTCCCAATTCAAAAGAGATCTGCTGCACTCATTCCATCGATATTCCAACAACCATCTAACTTTTACTTGCCTTGACTCTTTTTCAATTGACCCATGCTACCTCTATTTGGATATCTATCCGAATCACCAACGTACGTATTCTTGCTCACCGCTTATGGAATATGGCTGCTGAGGGCAGTTGTGAGATGCAAGATAAGTCCGCGAAACACGTATACCTTTCTTTGACGAGTCTAAAAGAACCATCAATGTTTAGGCATGGATTATTGGATCACGATCTCAATGATTTGTATTAACTCAATGAGACTACGTGAGGGAATGTGCTCATAGCCATGAGAGTTGGTATAGGGTAGCGAAATGCCGCTCTCCAAGTGTTGAGCATTTGATTCTCTGTCGCCGCATTATTTCTGGTCATTTCGATGGAAGTATTATCGGAAGTTGCACTAAAAAATTGAGCCTAATAGCTAAGGGGATTTCATTTTCGTCCTGTATATTCGTTGGGCTGATGCCGGAGGTTTAGGCCACAATTGCACGTTGCACAGAACCACTGATTTACAGGAGTGTAACGCGAGTCGGTGCTGGGATTGGGCAGGCTCATTCCGAGCTGGAACAAGCTTATTCTCGTGCTGGGGGAGTTTACGTCATGGATGGAGAGCTAATGCATGTCTCGGGGGGCCAGGCTCTGTTCCAAGGTCTTTATAGGACGGAATGTTACCTCAGAGATTCTCACCGGCATTAGCTGACGGGGCCAGAACACGCTGAATGGTGCCAAGCTTGAGAAATTGGCCGCCACTCGGGAGACAGAGAGGGTTTGTCTTAGTCGGTGGTCACTTACGTGCTAGTTTGGGGGATCTATAAGCCTTAATAACTCATTAGATAATCTGTGCCAAACGCTGAGCAACACTGGCCGTCCGAATTTAAATACTCACGACGCCCAGATGAGACCGGTCCAGGTTCGACAGAGCCAATTTCCATCACACTTGGAACGATGAAGTCCCCGATCCCCGATTACCTCAACCAGGTGCTTGAGAATGCCCGACCCAACGATTCTGGGGCTCCGGCCAACTATATTGAGACGCTGGCCAATGCCGATACGTCTAAGATAGCGGTCGCCCTCGCCATGGTAGACGGCCAAATCTACTCAGCTGGGGACGACCAGGTTGAGTTCTCTATCCAGTCCATCTCCAAAGCCTTCGTCTACGCAATTGCAATCGAAGACGCCGGCCTAAAGCGCGTGCTTGAGAAGATCGGCGTGGAACCGTCCGGAGACGCGTTCAACAAGCTGTCGCTCGAGCGGGGTAGCAACCGGCCGATGAACCCCATGATCAACGCCGGGGCCATCACGGCGCATTCCCTCGTCGCAGGGCCGGACGCGACAGCGAAGCAGAGGACCGATCGCATCTTGGAGATCCTCTCCAAGCTGGCGGGAAGGCAGCTACAGGTGGACGAGGAGGTGTACCAGGCGGAGCTGAGGGACGCTGATCGTAACATGGGCATTGGCTACATGCTCAAGGCTGCTGGTGTCATCCATGGCGACCCGCGCGAGGCCGTCACCGGCTACATTCGTCAATGTTCCATCAATGTTAACGTCCGTGACTTGGCAATGATGGCCGCAACACTTTGCAATGCGGGTATCCATCCTGTCACTGGGGAGTCTATCATCCCCCAAACCAGTGTCAGACAAGTATTGTCCGTCATGACCACTTGCGGGATGTACGACGCCGCAGGAGACTGGGTTTCCAATATTGGCATTCCGGCCAAGAGTGGTGTAGCTGGAGGCATCATCGGAGCATTGCCAGGCCAGGTCGGCATCGCCACCTTCTCCCCCAAGCTTGATGAGCGTGGTAACAGCGTGCGAGGCGTGGTTATATGTGAGCAGCTGTCCCGAGACATGGGGCTGCATATGATGGACGTCAGCCAGATCGCCGTGGCGACTGTACGCACATTTGCGGCTACCATAGTTGCTGGCGAGAAGGAGCCTCACCATCCCAACTGCAACCAGGAGGTAGCCGTCTTCAGTATGCGAGGTAATGTTCGCTTTGCGGGTTCGGAGCGTCTTACCCGTGCACTTTCCCGCGACCTCGGCGCTCCAAACCCTGACGATCCTGGTTCCGGCCGCTACCACAAAGTCTGTGCTGTTGTTTTCTCATTCCGGGACGTCTTTTCCTTCAATGCAGTGGCTCGACGGGTCATCCAAGAAGACATCTATCGCCTGTTGGTGGAAACGAAGAGTGTGGTAGTCATTGACCCCACTGATGTTTTGCGAATAGACCAAGAACGTGCAGGGGAGAAGCTACGAATTGTTAAGACCGAAACCGAAGCCCGAGAGTTTATTGGAGGAACCGGATGCCAAACTATTGTTAAGACCGATAATTGGTAGTAGTTGTAATGACTCGAAGCTCTTACTGATGGATTGATTCATTGACGAATTTACGATACAACGGATGTCCCTGTTTGGATCATGCTCATGTGCTCTGTGGTGATTGCATGATATAGTAGATTAGTGTATAAGTCAACAGTTTGCCTTCTGTCACTACCTATGAATAAGTTACTTGCATATGTCTAAACTCAACCAACTGCCGAGTTGTTTAGTAAGTATGTTGTGTTTGAAGGAGAATTGAACATGCGCAGTCGCTTGACAGCACCCGATAATTGGCTTAAAAATAAGAGGAATACAAAGACAATATATTTCATATTGAATATATAGATGGTAACTGTTTCCTTGAATGGTTATTTTCCTTGAAATGTCTCTCTTAGTCGCAAAGTACCGTTTACTACAGCTATTGAAACTCAACTCGGGTATCTATTTTTTTACTACTAGAGACATTATTGTGTCTAATAAGCGTGAGCTCGCCAGAACCAAAAAAAAATGGATTTGTTTCCAAAGACCTTGAAGAATGGTATGCTCGGTTACGCTACTGGTGCTCAACATGGCCAAGCATCGGGTCCGTAGAGCTGTGAGGCCCGGATCACTGGCCATGTATATATTTTGTCAATGTCCTCAATGCAAAATATCTTTGCATAGCGGATGGTTCGAGACTCGGATGGTTGAATTGCAAATTTCCCTCTGGGATGGCTTTGAGAAGACCCGGCACCCTTTCCCCTGGATCAGCGTGATATTTTGCATTACTACCTCCCTTAATAGAAGATTTTGGTCAATGTCGGGATGTTTACCAACTGTGGCTGAGGTATTTATTGCGGTTTAATAAAGGGCAGAACGGTTTCGATGTGCCAATCAACCAATGAAAGCTCGGGAGCTTCATTCACCTAGCCGACACAAGTCTAGACCATTCAGTCACTGACAGGCTCGTATACATAGCTGTAACAAATCGCTGTCCTTGGGCCGTTGGTGCAAAAGTCGTCATTGTCACATACAGATGACGTCGGAGTATTAAGCATCATCTTAACCATCATCGAACCACGCAGACAGCGTTTATTCAGTATCATGGATTCGGGGAATATCTAATTATTACTGATAATTGTGAACTGGGGGCTCGTACAACGATGTCAACGGCTGGCCGTCAAGGTTGCAACCACAGCTTCTGGACTGCCATTTTACCGCTATTGTGATGATGCGATACAAGCCGTTTGTTGCGACTCGCTTTGTAGGGCTATCCCTTAATTTTATGCATTGGTGGGGCTTCGTTCTTCAGCGAGACGTTTTGCATGACCATCATCCCACTCTCCCGCTTACTTGATCTTGAGGTAATCGATGCTTAGGTTTCACCCGCGCGGTTGATGACCAAGAGAACGGTCCACAGCCGGTCCACATCAAGCTGTTCTGCCCAACCACGGCTTTCGACCGGCACTTCAGTGAATGATCCTCGTAAGGTGTATTCATGGATCCACCTGTGACGGTTGGGGCTTCCCTCTAACATGCCTGCTGCTTCGCCACAGGACGTTTGCCGACATGAAAGCCGTGTGGGATAAGACGCGTACGAGCGAGAATTGCTTGCGTCTAAGCCAAGTTTCGTTACGCAACTTCTGTCACAGAAGAGATTGCTCAGAGGGGTTTAGAGCCTAGCACACGTCAAGTACTACTGTATATAATATGGCGACGGGACTGCCCATTGTGCTGAGCATCACACACTTGCCGATCACCCATTCATCAGCTGCTACGATCTGATAAGTGCACCATGTTGAAGCAAATCATCAGCGTAGCCCTGCTTGCAGGGCAAACCTTTGCTTACGACCAACTTCTCAATTTCAAGGCGGCTCCCGAGTATGAGACTCGCTCTCTTGATGAGATCCACCAAGCGGCCCTCAAGGAAGGTGGTGTTGTGACAGTTTGGCACGGTGGTGACGAAGCCAACCAACAAGATGGTTTGAAGGCAGCCTTTGAGAAGAGATTTCCCGGAGTGACTCTTAACATCACCGTTGCCCTTTCTAAGTATCATGACGGCAAGCTCGACCAACAGCTCGGCGCCAATAACGTGTTTGTCGATAGCATCATCCTCCAGACCCTGCACGATTATCCTCGCTGGGCGCAACAGGGAGCCTTGCTGAATTATGCGCCCGTTGGCTTCAACGAGATTGAGCACTCCTTCAAGGATGATACTGCCGCCTGGTATGGTCTCTACGTGTTCTTCTGGACCGGCGCGTGGAACACGAAGAAGCTCTCTGGAATCCAGGCCCCCGTCGAGTGGAATGACTGGCTGCGACCCGAGTTCAAGAACAAGCTTGTTATCACTTATCCAAATGACGACGACGCTGTTCTGTTCGCTTTCTACCTTGTGTGAGTATGCCTCTGATTCCTCTCAGAATAAGTAGCTAACATGCCCCAGCATGAACCAGTACGGAGAGGAGTGGCTCGACAAGCTCATTGACCAAAACCCTCGCTGGGTGCGCGGCACTGCGACCCCCGGCACCCTCATTAGCCAGGATAATTCCACCTCTGCCGCCTACTTCGCCGCCGGCGGAAGCTTCGCCCCCAGCGGTGACCTGAACTTCTCCGTCCCCGTGGAGGGCAAGTACGTGTCCTGGCCGCAGACGGGTGCCATTCTCAAGAATGCCCCCCACCCCGAGGGCGCGAAGCTGCTGCACAACTTCATCCTGTCCGAGGATTTCCAGAAGAGCTCTGGCGGCTGGTCTGTCCGCCGAGACGTTCCCGCCCCTGCCGGTTATCCAGACCTCTGGACCAACAATGCGACGAACCCGGCGGAGTTTGCTCGATTCATGGCTGACCGGGCCCTGGTGGAGAGACTGCGGTTCTATTTTGAGGCTAGAATTGGTTCTGCTCAGGGTCTTGATCCTATCATCGATGGCATCTAATGGTAGTTTTGTTGAGCATTTAGAAATTTCGAAGACAAAAATATGGGCTGAAGCCGATATTGTTGTATATTATCTTGGATTGTCTATCAGTGTTGTGAAATCATTCTGTCCAGTCTAGCGATTGGTTCTGATATCTGTCATGGCCCGTGATATAGGACGTAGGGCTTTTCTAGAACTGCGCCCGTCATGCTGGATCCGAGCTCGAGAACATGCATGGAACCCCGAAAATAGGCAGTTATCTGGCAACTCGGAACGTGTCTGGAAGTCTTATATCTCAACTCATGCATCCCTACCGAAGTATCTGGCCATCGAGCGGTTGCCATAAGGCAGTAAATATCAGTCTAAACACTGTATTTACTTACCCGAGATCTCTGTAAGTAGACGTCTAGTCGCTACAGCTTAGTGGCTCTGTCCACTACAAATAGTGAAGAAGCCCACTAGTGCGGGCAGAATTGAGTCCTCTGGGTGCACTGTGTTATGATGCTTGGTGCTGTATCAATTTGTTGTCTATCCTTTGTTGCTTTTTGTGCTCTATCTCATATACCAGCGCGAGTTGAATTCCAGTCAATGTCAAAATGAAAGAAAAGGGGAAGTTCGACTCGGTATTACAAATGCGCGGATTGACAGTTGGTGGACCCTCCGATAATAATAAGTGTCACTCCTCCAAAGTTCAGACTAGGCCATGGAAAAATAAACATGCGTCAACGAATGCGTAAATATTTGAACTGCTGGCGAGTTTGCGTCTAAATAAGTAGGCCAGATGTTTTATTTCTCACTTGTTCACCGCTTTGATGGAACATCGGAAATTCTTGTTCACGCCCACGTGACTAAAAGCCGGTTGCTATTACGTGCTCGATAAGAGAGAAACGCAATCTGCAACGGTATCACGCAATGCGAATACTCGGACTAGATAAAGCGAGCGCCGGTCTTCATCTCTGCTTCGAACCCCCTGAATTTATTTCCGCTGAAGCAGGAATCTTGTCAGTAATAAAAGGAATATAATGTCTACCAAGGCCAGTCGAGTGGCCGTCATCGGTGCTGGCCCTAGCGGTGCCATTGCAACCGATGCTCTCGCAAAAGAAGGGGTTTTCCAGACTATTCGCGTCTTCGAAAGGAGATCCGGCATCGGAGGCACATGGTAAGCCCGAGAACTCAAGCTTCTGTGATGAAATATTAACTCGGCCAAGGTTCCCTACACCTCACCTGCCAGTCGGAGTCCCGTCGCTCAGCGACCTCATATCCGGCAACGCAGATGCAGCAGTCTCTATCCCCACACAACTCCCTGCTGTTACTCCGGTATCAGAGGCGGTCAACAGCCACCAGCACCGATTCTCTGATACCGCCATACATGAGAACCTTCACAGCAATATTGTTCCTTCTCTCATGAGTTTTACACAGGAACCACTCCCCGACACATTGTCTGAGAAGACGCTAGAAGAGTATGGCCCGGGTGCCCCTTTCCGGCACCATTCGACGATTCGCGGCTGGATTGAGGGCATCTTCTCTCGCGGGGGGTACGACAAGCTGCTTGAGTTAGATACCACGGTTGAAAAGGCCGAGAAGGTCAACGGCGAATGGGTCCTGACCCTCCGGAAGATTGTGAACGGCCGTAATTACTGGTGGCGTGAGACCTTCGATGCCCTGGTTGTGTCAACTGGACACTACAATGTGCCTTGGTTCCCAGAGTTACCGGGCTTGGTGGAGTTTGACAAGGCCTTCCCTGGCTCTATCCTCCACAGCAAGCACTACCGAAAAGCCGAAAGGTTCAAGGGAAAGGTAAGAGAATCCCCTCTTTCTTTAAATGTTATCTATTGCTCACTGAAAGTTTGCAGAGGGTCGTGATCGTGGGCGCCTCGGTATCTTCGAGCGAGATAGCGCACGAGATCCTGGATGTCGTGCAAGCACCGGTCACGGTGGCGATTCGCGGGGAACCCATCCCAGCTTTTGGGTGGGAACCATTCTTGCATCCCAAAATCGAGGTGAGAAAGGGCATCAGCAAATTGGACCCTAGCACAGGTGATGTTCACTTCACCGATGGATCAATTCTGAGCAAGGTCGACCATGTGATATTCGGAACCGGCTATACATTCAGCGTACCATTCCTCCCTGAAGTTCAAAAGCGAGTTCTCAAAGCTTACCGTCGTCTTCCCGGAGTGTATCAGCACACCTGGAACATCGAAGACCCGTCGCTGACATTTGTCGGCATGGTAAGTGCTTTCACGGTTGTGCTCCGGGAAGTTTTCGAGACTAACAGTCCAATATTTAGCTTGGCGGAGGCTTTACATTCCGAGCATACGAGTGGCAAGCCGTGGCCGTAGCCCGGCACCTTGCAGGGCGAGCCAAACCACTGCCACCTATCCCTGAGCAGCTTGAATGGGAGCGAAAACGGGTAGAGGAGAAGATAGGAGGAAAGAATTACTACAGTATCGCACCTAATTATGAGGAGTACTTCAAATTTCTCAGAGATATCGCAGGAGACCCTGCTCCGGGGACAAACGGACGAAAGCTACCTGAATTTGACCCTGAGTGGCTGAAGATTTGGCAGGGCATGCCACAAATAAAGATCGACGGATGGAAGAGAAAGAGGCTCGCAGCTGAGAAGGAGGCAGGCATTCCCAAGTCTAAGCTGTAGTATAGAGAAGTGAAAGGCCAGTTTCGCATGGTCGCTAGAATTTCTACAATTATAGAAACGAACACCATCCAATGCGTCATGCGAAAGACGAAACTTTAACAGCGATAATGAGAATGGAACAAAACAAGAAAGGAAGTATAATGAGGGAAGATATAGTAGGACAAGCTAAGATTTCCACAGGATATCGAAGCACGACGAACATCTTGGGGAAGGAAGGCAGATTTCAAGCAGGACTTTCACTACGAGAATCGACTGACGGTTCAGATCACGATCTTTCAGTGGCTCATTACCGAAGAGTTCATCACCTAAATCCACACTAAGTATCACTGAGAGAGATGGTCCTTACTTTTAGTTTCTATTGTTGACGGCTCATCATGGCGTTTCGGAGCTCTGGGACGGTGCGGCGCTAAATTTGATCTATCGTGAGATTTCCATTCAGCGAACGGGTACTGCAAAAACTCCGAGTTCGTCTCTTACCTGACTTTAATTGGTTCGTTCCATTTTAACTGGTCTCAGGCTCAATCACAGCTCAAGCTGGATTAGCCTGCATGTGAGATTTATGCCATAAGAAGTGATTGCTGCCTAAATCTTGCGGCTGCCCAAATCATGCCACACGTCAGATTTCCCCTCACTTTCCAAGAAGAATGGAAAGAGAAAACCAGTATCTACGGACAAGAAAGCATACAGAGCGTTCACCAATCCTCATATGCACCATAGCTTACGAATCAATAAAGTACAAGCCATCGAATCTCAACCTGCGTGTTAAAGCCGACAAAGATCTTGATGGATCTAGATATATCCATAGGTCCTCCTCGAGAGGCTCTCGACGTGCCGTCCGCTGATGACGGAAACCAAGCAGATCGACTTCATACCTTAGGCCTTAGGTACCGAGATCGATATCTGCAAGACAGAGCGGAAGAAGACCTAGAACAAGCCATTCAGTATTTACAGAAGGCTGTCGATCTGTCGCCAGAAGATGGTTCAGAATCAGCAGCTTGGCTTTATGATCTTGGAGTGGCATATCAAAGCCTATTCCGGCGACATGAGATTGCTATTCGGCATCTTCAAGATGCTGTCGATCGGACACCTGAAGGCCACCCACAGAGAGCGAAGCGACTAGAGCGCCTTGGGGGTGCTTATCGGGAACGATATATACGAAAAGGAGATACTGCAGATATAGATGCTGGGCTCCAATATTCTCAAGAAGCCGTGCATCTGACATCACAGACTGAAGCCATGTCGGACTATGTTCTTCGGCTTGAAGCTCTTGGTATGGCACATGAGGACCGGTATAGAGCAAGAGCCGACTGGACAGATATAGAGACATCCCTCTGGTATTTCCAAGAACTTCAACGTTTGACACCACATAACGATCCACGTTGGCCATGGCGACTGGACTGTGTTGGGAGGGTATACTTAACATTGTACCAGGTCAAAGGGAATGAAGTAGATTTGCACACGGCTATCCGAAACATTCAAGAAGGTATAAATCTAATATCTGAAGATGACCCAAACTGGTCAAGTCAGCTTGAAGGTCTTTCCATGGCACTTTTGTGCCGATTTGCCTTGACAGGGGATGATATGGACCTTGATAATGCTATAAAATATGCTCAAAAGGCCCTCGATACTACACCACAAAGACTTTCAGAGCGAGTCAGCAAACTTTCCGTCCTTGGGTTGTGCCACGAAGAGCGATTTCTTCGAAAGAATATGGCCTCAGATCTGGACACTGCTATCAAAATTCACCAGGAAGCTCTCAGTCTTACCCCAAAAGACCATCGGGCTCGGGCCGAGAAACTATTTCTCGTCGGCGGGGGACACTGGGATCGGTGTTGTCGAGATAATAATCAAGCCTACATGGACACGGCTATTCGGTATATGCAAGAAGCTCTCGATCTGACGCCCAAAAATCACATGATGCGGGCAGAACGGCTCCATGCCCTTGCAAGAATCTATCAAGAGCAGACAAATTTAGAAGCCGCCATACCTAAATTTCAAGAAGCCCTTGAATGCACAGCCAAGGATGACTAAAGTCGAGGACAGTTGCTTCATAGTCTTGGGTTCGCTCATCAACTTCGATTCACCTGGTTTAGAAACAATGAAGCGGACCTGGACATAGCCATTCAACACTACCACGAGGGCTTTAACAAAATGCCGAAACACCACATTGCCCGTGCACATAGTCTCATTCGCCTAGGGTCGGCATACGACGCACGGTATCTCTATAAAGGGGATGAAGCAGATGATAGCAGAGCTGAACAGGCTTTCAAAGAAGCACTACATCATTCTTCATCTCCTATTGTTGATAGACTACGAGCTTGCAAGCAGTTGTTCTTTTCTTCTGTGGAAAGAGAGCGGTGGCAATCTGCTTACGAAGTCGCCTCCACAGGAGTATCCCTTCTCGGGCAGCTTGCCCCCCGTTCTCTGGTGACATCGGATAAGCAGCGTCTGATGATTGAATTTTACGGACTTGCTTGCGATGCTGCCGCAGTGGCATTGATGATAGGGAAGCAACCTTATGAGGCGATTCGACTTCTTGAGATTGGTCGAGGGGTTATCACAGGCTCACTAAACGAAATCCATACAGATGTATCTGAGCTCATTCAGCAGCATCCTGAGATCGCAAAAGAATATGTCAGGCTTCGCGATCAAATGAGTTTATCTGCTACGGAGAGTGGCCGGCTTGAGTTGCTCACAGCAACAGCAAGCCGAGCAAGCCAGCGTTATGATGCCGGCCAGAAGCTTGAGCGAATAATCCAGACTATTCGGGGTTTGCCTAACTTTGATCGATTCCTCATGGCCCCTTCCGAGGATGAGTTGAAGGATGCAGCGGGGGCGGGACCTATTGTTATCCTAAATGACGGCGACCGCAGATGCGATGCGCTGATCATCACAAAGACGGAGCTGAAGTCTATACCGCTACCTCAATTAAAGGGGAGGGACATGGCCACCTTTGCAAATAGTCTTGGCAAGCCGCAATCCATGAATACACGGCTGTTGGAGTGGCTTTGGGATACAGTCGCGGAACCAGTCCTGGATAGTTTGGGACTCTCCCAAACAGAGGCCGGATCCTTACCTCGCGTATGGTGGATTCCTACCGGGCGTCTCACTAGATTTCCCATCCACGCAGCTGGCTATCATTTAAGTGGCACCCAGGCTGTCCTGGATCGAGTTATTTCATCATATGCATTCTCTGTTAGGGTCCTTTTACAAAGCCGCCGGGTTCCATCCTCCGAGCCACCCGGAGCAGGATCAGGCAAAGCCGTTTTAGTTGGCATGAGAGAAACACCCAGGTTGAGTAATCTTCCATTTGTGCCGCTGGAGATTGACCATCTCGAACGTATTTGTGGCTCTATGCAGCTAAAAGCCTTCAAGCCTCGGCCATATCGAGACGATGTTCTGGCCGCTCTTGTTGACTGCGATGTATTCCATTTTGCGGGTCATGGAGACACCGACCGAGAAAGTCCTTCTCAGAGCTCCCTAGTTTTACTTGATGGGCCTTTGACGGTGGAAGAACTCTTTAACACGAGCCTCCATGATCGTAGGCCATTTCTTGCTTATCTCTCGGCCTGCGGAACTGGGCAGGTTAAAAACTATAGACTTCTCGACGAGGCACTGCATCTGATTGCTGCATATCAAGTATCTGGATTCCGTCATGTTATCGGAACCTTGTGGGAAGTAAACGACAAGTCTTGTGTTGATGCTGCCTCCATGACATACAAGTGGATACAGGACCAAAAGATGACAAATGAGTCTGTAAGTGAAGGCCTTCACCGTGCAAGCGTAGAGCTTCGGGGGTCATGGATTGAGGAAACTGTGGCGAGGACAGGTCATCCAGTGGCAATTGCGAAAGATGACAACTGTTCAAGGGACGTACCTTTAGAACATTCGAGCCCGGATATAAAAGTAGGACTAAGAGATATGGATCTAATGGAGGACTTACCGCTGTATTGGGTTCCTTATGTTCACTTTGGGATTTAGGATCCTTGAATAGGCTCGTTACATGGAAATCGAATATACTGCGATGCCTCCATAGCTCAATTAGTTGTACTACCTCTATACTGAAGACCTTGTGCCAAATGACACATCCTCGAAGGTTCTTCTACCTTGCTTGAACGGGGGGATGTCAAATGACAACTAGGCACTAACTTAGTATATTCCAATTTCCGATTCCTGTCTTTTCGTATCCGCGGCTTCATTTCTCATAGATAATATCGTATTGGTTGCTGCTCAAGAAGATAGGCCTGTTTGGTGGTGATGCGGCCTTAGTTCATAGTAGAATGACCTACTAAGCTTCTGTCCTGGGATTTGGTCGCTATTAGTTGAGGTAGCCAACTTGTTTTTGTACCATGCCCAAGGCAGGTCACTGTCTGCCTCCAGGATCAGCATTCAGATTGCCTACCCGTAGCACTAACAAACGTCAAATCTGGCTGTAGATGGTTGCCGCGCCTACAAAAAGGCATTTTGAAGCCCCTTTTAGCAATGACCCTCGGTTATAGCACTCTGCTGCAAGCCTTACAGACGTCACATCGGCACCAGGCTGTTCCCCCTCGGCACTATTATAGTCCGGCTATAGAATGGTTTCCGTAGAAGTATTCGTAGGTCGTTTTTTTTTGGGGAGGATGACTTCTCCCCTTGAGAATACCATTTCGTCTTCATCGCCATCGCCATCGCCGACTACAAAACCATTGGAACAGGTGGCTATCGTTTGTACAGCCGTTATTCTCTCCATCTTTAAGGCTATCCACCCCACGACGACGACCACGTGGAATAGGTCAATAATTCGAGACAGCCATATTACAACAGCGGGAGAAATGATCCAGCATACGTCAACGTTCGAGGCAGGCTTCGATGCCGATGAGAATCGCCGCGATGAAGAAATTTTCGCCTGTGGACAAAGGAGAAGCTCCATGGCTGCCATGGACCCTGAAAAGGGGGCATTAGATACAGAAGAATTCGAGGGAGCCAGCAGTAGGGCTTAGCTCAGATATTGGACATGCATAATGCACATATATTACACGGTGATTTTAATCATGAGTGCCGTCATAGATAGGTATATATATCGTTTCAAAAAAGATTGAGAAATTTCCTAGCGCACTATCATCAGCAGAGACTACTGTTTGCGTATTGATCGAATCAAACAACTAGGAGATACTCCACAGCTCAAAGAACACGCAAACATAAATTTAAAAATTATGTCGTGTTGAGGGATACGCATGAATGGCCCGGTATTACAGCCTGATCTGCCGGGGAGGCATAAATAACAACTGTAGTCTTCAAGAGAAGCATCTCGGGGGCAAATTCAATCTCATTTAGCCAACCCAATCGACACCTGGGTCTCGTTGTTATAATTTATCCATGGGAGGGTTACCAAAGTACTCATTGTGAAGGATTTTCGGCTAGATGGCGAACCTATAAATGTCACCTGCCCATAACTGAACAATGCACGAGGTACTAAAGTTCCATTGGTGTTTAGCAATTGCACGCACAACATCCCTTATTTGGAATCCTACACCCACTATTGTGCCTATTGGATTCTCACTCAAGTGGCGGCAACTAAATGTAGTGGGACTCTTGATTAAAGCTCATAGACATTCTTCATTATTTCTTTTGTGTAAGGGAATCCATCGTACAACTTGCTCTGTTGGGAAATTAAACGTACAGCATAGATATCCGCAATTCATACGTACGACCTACCAATTTCTACAAGATTCCAGGTACACATTCTTATAAAATAGCTGGCTGTCTCTTCCTCTCGCGTGGAAATCCCTTGACACCCATCATCGTCTTTATCCAATAACCAAAAATTCCACCCCACCCTAGTCCTCGCGTTCAAAATGAAGTTTCTCCTTCTTCTTATTGCTTTCTTTGCTCTTGCGGAAGCAGGATACAATTACCATGTAGCACGCCCTAAAGCCTGCTTGAGAAGAGATATGGAGTGCGGCCAGTACTTGAAATGCTGCGGCAATATGCGATGCCGGGTAAACCCGCCTCCAGACTCCATTGAATCAAGTTGCACGAAAAGGCTAACATTCATTCTAATCAATAGGCTGGTGGTCACCGCAAAGGTGATTTCGCAAGATGCAGATAGAGGCAAAAGGAGAGAGATAGAGGGAAAGGCCTAATATCTCCCCGTTGCTATTCCAATAGCTACATGCTAGATTCAAGTCTATTACGGATATCGATGGGTTTCTTAAGAGGGACTGTGTAGCTGAGTTGGGGGATATCTATTATAGGGAAAGCGATATAGATGGACGAAGGAGAAGAGCAGCCAGAAATTCCCAATGGGGAGCTGATAAGTCTAGCCAGAACCAGGTCCCTAAATTTACAGCGGCTGTCGTTTTAATCCGAGAGATGATCGAGAGCCCGAATGTAAACTTCATAGGTAAGATGAGCATGCAAATCTTACCAACCTTATATACAGGTCAGAGTGCATTAGCCTCCTCGGTGGCAATCGTCGACTTTCGCCCTGCGGACTTAAGGTTACTCCCAATCGCCAACCTTTCCGCTTATGGCACCTTTCACGAAATGAGCAGGGGCTGAATATATCTCACAGTCAATGCTAGATGGCTATTCCATTTTGGGTAGGTTTCGCTAGCGCTGATATCTGCCGGAAATAAGTGTCTTTGGTGATCAACGCATGTCACGAACGCGGCAGACAGAGCTCGCATTCGGGCTTTACAAGCCGGCGGGACCTTGTAGGCTCTATGTGTTGAGTTTGAAGACTTATATAAAAGGATAGGAGAGGAACGACCATTTGATGATATGAATCAAGAGAGAACATCAGCCAGAATTTCACATTATCTTCGTTGTTTCCCAAAGCTCAAAATCATCCCAGCCTAATCACTCCAAAATGAAGTTCGCCGTTCTATCTACAGTGGCTTCTCTGGCTATCGTTGGTCCTACCTTGGCCCAGACTCCTCCTGGATTCTCGCCTGCAACGACGAAGACCTTCACTGTCAAGTTCGGAAATACTGCCGTCACTGCTGGCAATGCGATTAAGCTCCAAGGTATATCTGCCACGATGTCAAAACAGTGAAGACTTCAAGACTAATAATAAGTGCCGCATGGCAAATAGATACGGCTGTTGCACCCAGCTTCGACTTTGGTGATGTCTCCAGCAGCTCGGCTCATGTTGTCACCATGCTGGATCTCGATGCTCCTATGGGTGACGCTGACCGGTCCTACTCTCCTCTCCTCCATTGGATGGCTTCTATACCTTCTGGCGACAAGAGCAGTGCCACGGCTAAGGATGTAGCCCCATATGCTGGCCCCCAACCTCCTGTTGGCTACGGCCCGCACCGATACGTCCTCCTGCTTTTGACCGACCCCTCGGCGGAGTTTCACCTGCCCTCCGGTTTCGAGAACCAGACCTACGCGGATGTCACCTCCCGTCTCCTGTTTCCCCTTGAGAAGTTCATCGCTGCGGGGAACTTCCAGGTCGCTGCTGCTAACTGGTTCACGACTGAGAACACCACCGCCACACCTACCAATTCTACCGGTCCCACCAACTCCAGCAGCCCTAGCACCAGCGCCCCTGTAACAGCCGGTGCCTCTGGTCTCCAGGCCTCTATTGCCGGTGTTCTTTTGGCTCTCATGAGTCTTCAGATCTTCCATCTTTAAGAGATGTCAATGTGCTGGCCAGAGACAGCAACACTCTTGCTCTGTGTTGGATGTGTTCTCAAGGGAAGAGATCGGTGTTGTAGTTAGAGAGATTTTCGGTATAGCCATAGTACCAAGGTGTATTTAGATACATTCTATAATAACAAGCTGTCTTCTTTTGCGTGCGAATGAGGATTGACTGATCTGATGGCGACTATGCTCAGACCCGTGAAAGTAGCATCTTGCAACCACCCAGACAGGTACCGAAATGCAGCTCCGCGCTGGCGAGGACTGGTGCTGAACCTCGCGACTAATGTGAGCGGGAAAAACATCCGCAGGCACGCACAGCCGATGTTGCGTGTTGCGAGGAAGGCGGAGCACCGTAGAATGTCATCGCACGGTTCCGTCATGTTCGATTCAACATCCATGCGGAGTACCGCTAGGAGCAGTCGCGCCGTGGAAAAGTAGGCGATGACAAAGGCTGTGTACGCATCACGGTAGCACTGCTCATCATTTTCCAGTGTCCATTGTAGGAGGACCCCAGCTGACCTTGCTTCTTCGTTGTATTCTTCCCATAGACCATTGATTCGTTCTTCGATATCAGGATCGCTCTTGATGAGGCCTTCATAGTCGGGTTTTCCGTTTCGTGTAGCGAAGAAATCTGCGAGGTCGAAGAGGTCTATCATGAAGCGTGTTGAAATGTCTGCTATTTGATGATACCGCGAACGGCCCAGAGCATTCCACCGCCGTGCTTCGGGTGCTGAAGTCATGTACTGGGTAGGGTATGCTACCATTACAAATAACTAACCACGGTGTTAACTCAGGGCGAAATAGTCACATCGTTATGATAGAGACAGGACTGACTGTTTGGAATTGGAGGTGTATCGCAGCTTGATCAATGATGGGAGCTCCTAGCAAAGAATCCTCCTCCATCAGACCGAGGATCCGCCAGGCAGCAGCCAGATGCGTGGCGTAGGCAGTCGTCGTCGTGGGGTGGATGGCCTCAAAGATGGAGAGAATGACGGCTGTGCAGACGATGGCCACCTGTTCCAATGGTTTTGTAGTCGGCGATGGCGATGGCGATGAAGACGAAGATGAAGATGAAGAAGATGATTCATACCGGCCCAAGGAGAGAGCTTTAAAAAGCCGTTGGAGGGCTATGCCATACATGCGGCATGCCTCTCTGGTGGCCGGGCGGTGCTTTGTGACGGCACCGCAATGAGCAAGCGATGTGGCCTGGATAGAAAGGAGCAGCGCCGATGCTGCGGAATCTGGACCGACGCCTTTGGTGTGCGCTTGGACAATCCATGACTCCTTTGACGGCTTCTGACTCTGATCACTGATAAAGTTGAAGAATTGGCCTGTGAATGCGACGGATTCAATGGCCCATGATGAAGGTTGACGCGCAAGAGTATCAGCCTTTGAAGATATTGGACCACAGCTCCCTGAAACACCGGAAGCACGGGCGCGCCGACTTTTAGAGACAACCGAATTGGTTTGATTGACAATCAATGGGCCGTCGATAGGGCCGGAACATGTTCGCCCAGCTCTGAGGCAGTTGTTGCAGGACGGCTGCGAAAGATCACAGCCTATCCGGCGCTTTCTGCATGCCTCACAGGCACGACTCCTCCGCGGCATGTTGTGTGCAATGTGTATCAAATATAAGAACCAGGTCACAATGGCCTCAGTTTACCATGGATCATACCAATTGATGTGTGCCGTGGTGATGGTGTTCATTATCTTGTGAGATGGATGTTCAGTGGAGGTTTGAGTTAAATTAAGGAACCTCCAGCGGGCAGCTTATTGCGCCCAGGAGCTCTGGTTGATTAGTCATTACAGTCATTGTAACACGATGGTCGAATGAACACCACCCGTAGTATAAACACCAAGATTAGATCAAGAATGTTGAGAACAGGCTCACGCCTCTTCCCGATACTTCTCGTCAAAGCTTGGGCGTTTGATGAACCACGCCGAGAAGAAGTGTCCATCCTCTGCTCTGACCAAGTGCACCCGGACCAGTTTGAGGGATGGTAATCATCAGGCTTTCCTCATCTCAGATGCACCTTCAGCCAAACGAAATCGACCCTTATTTGAACAAAGCCGCCAATGTACATGCCAAATGAGTTTATTTAACCTTAAATTTTCAGAGCTACAAGACGAATATACATATGTAGATCCCCCAACGTTTGTCCAGTTACACCATTTACTGATCGTCAGAATGCTGACAAATCCAGTGAACAAACCACGTCACCTGAGAATTGCGCTCACTCTCTCAAAGCCACAATACATTCATCGTCCGCTTTCCTTTGAGGTTGAACTGAACGAATCACAGCGCCCATGACTGCCGCGAACGGAGTACCAGCCAATCTGACATCGAGATGGAATATCAACACGCGCCGCTCGCCTTCAGCACCGGCTGTAGTAAACTCATCAGTACGGAAACTCAACGCGTCCTGTAATGGCTGCCGGAAATTAAGAGTCAAGTGTTCCGGCGGCCAGCCATGTCAACGCTGTACGACATCACCCACTCCATGTGCTTGTATTTATAGCATCTCTCAGCGTCGAGGGAAGTACAAAGCACCTGAACCAACGAGCCAGCATACCTCGGTAATCCCTGATTTAGGGACAATGCCCCTGTTTACCCAACCTACAGATTGGACCGTATCACCAGGCGTGATGTGGAATGGCCAGGACATGTTGAGTATTGAGGTGTGTTTTATCCTACAGGTCTCAAAAAACTCATCGGAGCTAACACTACTCGCTGCAATTCAGACTGAACAGCAAGACTTGGACCAAACTTTCTATTCCAACCACTCGAGTTATCAACTCAGGGATTCACCTTCCTTGAGCGATTTTCTTGACTCGATAGAGCCTCCCAACCCTCCACCATCCACCAACGTTGCCGATCGAGGAAAATGCACCGAGTCGTGTTTTCTTCCCGTTCACAAGATGACCAGCGAACTTGTGGGAATAGAAACAGACTCGTCGCGGAACTCACTCGAAAACTTGCTCAAAATGCTCGATCAGTCGATCATCCACGCTGGCAAATATCTCGCATGTCCAAATTGTGATCCCGGGTGCCCCAGGATAATGAATCTGTCGTTCCTTCACCAGCGTCAAGTCACTCTGCTCATCAATATTGCCAAGGATCCAGCTGCTTTTATAAATGAACAGGCGCCCCGGGTAACCTTGGGAGAGTACCAGGCTTCACGAGAAGATGACATCACCCTCAAACGCATGTTACTTTTGCGAGTGGCGCGGGATCTTCTCAAGTCCGTGAATGAATGCCATGACAGATCAATGGAATTTGAGAGGAGATTCAAGGAGGGCACCCTGGACTTGGGAGATATCGGGAAATTGAACTTGCGGTGGTTGTTGGATATTGCAGCGAATCTGACAAAAAGGCTCAACTGCGTCAGGTCTCAATTAGAAAACAACGAATGGGGTCTATATATTCTACTAGTACACAAGACTAACCCATCCCAAAGTATAGCGAGCGTAACTACTTCTTCCGAATAAAAATCAAATCCAATCTCAATAAATTCCTGGGAGTACTTCCCAGGCATTAGATGAAGACTTCGCCTTTCGGCCATGTCTCAAACATCTAACATATTGCATGATCAAGTAGGATGATTCATGGTATCTTCCACCTAATCAAACTTGACATCATATTTCTTGCGCAAGGCTTCGCCATATCTCCAAAATAAAAGCGGCCCTATGGATACGAAAATGGCAATAAACCCAAGAAGGGAATTCCCCTTTTGTCATGGGTCAGCAACCTTACTTTTGCAACTCAAGAATTAGCACTTACCCAACCGTATCCCAGTGCCTGGTAAAGCGGTAACCCAGCGATAGGGAGACAACCACCCACGATGCTCCGAACCACACTTGTTGCTGCCAAAGCGCTTGCGGCGTATGTCGTAAAAGCGTCGATCATGTAAATCTGAGTTGGAAGCTGCCTCAAGTCAGAATTTCAAGTCCAACGCATATCAGTTTAGCCACTCACGAAGGAAAAAATCAACCCGGCGCCTGTGAAGCCAGTGAAGATGATGGGTACTATCCAATGCGTTTTGTACTGTGCGGTCCAGCCGTAGACGAATAAACCTATCGGGAGCAGCGGAATGCCGAGAACAATGGGCAGCAAGCGATATCTGTCTCAAAATGTCAGTCAACATTCCTCCCTCGGCGATTCATAGAACAGATAAGACTTACTCAGGCTTCGTCCCGCCGTGCTTTTTGGTCAGCTTGTCCTGGACCCAGTCACTCATCCATGACAAGAGGACCAGGGCCAAAACACACCCAACTCCCATGCCAAGAAATGCTAGGCCTAGAATATCAATACCAAACCCATACTGTTCTGGAAATACTGTCGAGAAAGTAGTAAAGAGCAGATACAGGTATCCGTATATGAGTGCAAGGTATAACGAAAGACCAGCAACGATTGGGCTGCCAAAAAGCATCCTCATTGGCCTAGTGAGAGACCTCAACAATACCGTCTTGAAATGCGGCTTTTGTTCCTCGGATATCTCATCGGATGGCCGTAACCCTTTCTTCGCCATATTCTTTTGGATGGCTGGATGATGACTCTCCGAGAGAAAGAAGAAAGTCAATATAGAAATGACTCCCTTCTGAATCCATGATTCAAGGTCAACAATTGCACTGTGAGTCCAAAAAGAGGCGGGGCATTGCTGTCCTTACCAGAATCGCCATGATCCAGAAGACCCATCTCCAACCAATAGCTTTCGCAATGAAGCCCCCAATTACAGGTCTAGAATATTGTGTGAGTGGATTCCAAAGATCTTCCAAGCTGAGTTTAGGGAACTTACCCAATTACGGGACCAAGAAATATACCCGTGAAGAAGATGGACATCACAAACCCTCTCCTTGCAAGAGGGATTTGATCAGCGATGCTACCACCTCCAATGTTCATAGGCCCCGCCCCAAAGCTGCCCCCGATGAACCTAAACACAATAAATGATGCGATGTTCGGAGCAGCAGCGCTTGCGATTGTAAAGGCCAGCGTGGCGACGTTAGATATATTGAAGAGAATCCGCCTTCCATAAAGTTCCGATAGGGGCGACAAGATTACTGGACCGAAGGCAAAGCCAAGCACGTAGATGGAAACAACCAGGGAGGTCACTGGTCTGCGCGTCTCATGGAAATCATCTCGTAACAGAGGGACGCCTGGGACGATGATGGACGATTCCAAAGGTCTACCAAGCCGTCAGTACTCAAAATACATGCATTTCGATAATATGGAGAACGTACGTAATGAATGCCAGAAGGGATACGATACCCAAATTGACACATTTCTTGAAATTGCTCCAGTTTTGAGGGTTAGCAGCATCCTCTTCCCATGGAACAGCTTGGGCGTCTTGCTGCTTCTCCGATTCGGCTTCGATAGACATTTTCTCGAGCTTGAATACTCCTTCGCTTTCCTGAATGAGGTCTTGATGTTTTTCTTTCGATTGAAGAAAGCCGACTTGCCTCTTGATATACCACCGAGATTGTTGTGTCGTTTCATGGCGTTTGTGCTGAATTGGGAAATATCCATCCTCGCTGAGCGAGAATTACCGCATTGGGAAGTCTCCACCTCGCTCAGCGACATCGTCAAGGCCTTCAATACCAAAATAGGAGGATCATCAATATGTGACAATACCAGTCATATCAACGCTGACAAATTAGATTTCATGCAAATCGGCTCCCTTTCCCCCCAGCAACTTATAAAAGGGGTCAAGAACCTGCCCTCTGCTGTCCAATTAACCAGCAACCTCGATCCATCTGCCCGGTTCACCCTTTTGCAAGTACAACACCATGTCTCAGAAAAACGTCCAGCTCAAGGATGGCACAAACCTCCAGGTTTGGACCTTTGGCAACGAAGACAAGACCAAGCCACTCCTGATAGCGTTGCATGGCGGCCCAGGACTGTCCACCCATGAAACAGAAGTCCAGTATCAGTTTCTCGCTGACAACTTCCGAGTTCTTGTATACGACGCCCGAGGAAGCGGAAGGAGTGATCTCAAGGGTCCATTTACTGATGGTCAATGGGCGTCCGATGTTGATGAGCTGCGGTAATGACTTCTCCGTTGCCTGTCTTCCCACGAAGAGCATTTACTAATCCGATACGATAGGGAATGGGCTCAAGCAGAGACATTCGTCCTTGCCGGGTATTCTTACGGGGGATTCGTCGCGCTCACCTATGCTTTGAAGTATCAGAACCGGCTATCTGCCTTGATTCTACGTGATACCTGGGCTTTTGGTTATCGTGGGGGTCTGGGGGCCTTGCGCTCATGTCTGACGTCCCCCCGCATCTCGCCGGATCCTGCTCGACAAGTGCGGCTGTGGTCGGGAACTTGTATCAATCGAGAGGACGCAGAAAAAGGACTGGCTGAAATCATGCCCATCTATACCCCCGAAAAGGAGGGAGAAGATTCATCTACCCCGCCTGCGTTTGATCTCGCGAATGATGGGCTAGGTCTTCACTGGGAGGTTCATAACGCTGCTTGGTCGTTCAACCCCCCGAGGTTTGATGTCAGGGACAAACTGGGAAGCATCACTGTTCCTGTCCTTGTGGTTGTTGGGCGACACGATCCCATTTGCCCCGTGGATGAGGCGCAAGTCATCGCTAGGGGTGTTAAGAATAGCGAGCTTGTTATCTTCGAGAACTCGGGTCATAATCCGGCACAGGATGAGTCTGAGGAATTCCAGAAGGAAGTGTACAAGTTCTTGAGGAGTCATATATCGCTTTAGCTCAACTAAACCATCCTGTCGACGACTTAAATTAACACACGCACAAAGATGTATGTATTTTAGAGAAGACAAGATATATTTACGGGTATATTTATCTATCAGAATCAATTTCTGGCTTACATTTTCATTGAACCAAAAGAAGAAATATTGACACACGTAGGCTCCCAAAGATACTGATCTCCATTCCCCCAAGGTCTTCTTCCATCATGTTCTTCTTCGCGTGGGCCACGTTCCCACATACCATTGTTGATTGTCGGCCACATGGGAATATAGCAACGCTCCTACACATTCTCGTCAGCTTTTGAATCCTGATTTTAGTACATGAACTCACGTCAGGCTTGCAGGGCCCTTTGCATCCAGCCCAAAGATCCGCCCATCCCAGCCACGCCATAAGCTCATCGACCACCACCTTCCAATGACGTCGAGAACTTTCCAAATCGAGTGTAACATGTGCTTCATTTTTGTTGAAATGCAAAAGCCATTGCATTTCAACTCCCAAGCCAATCTCGAAGGTAGAATGACAGATACCATGAAGTGTCTCCCTAACAGCCCAAGAGAAATGTTGCTCTCCTTCATTCAAATGGCCGTGCTTCTCGATATCATACTGACTGGTGCATCTCGAAACCGCTTCCATTGCCGCTGGTGAGTCCATAGAAAAGTAATCGCGAAGACTGTCTTTGGTGTACGGTTTCGGCGGATATTCAAAAAACGACATGATCAACCAGTGTGTCAACGATCGTACCGACCGCAGCCAGTCACGCTGTGATTGACCGGAGACTCCAGCGAGCAAGTCATGTAGCGTCCGCAAATTGTCGCCATAGAATATGATGATCTCCTCTGCAGTGAGTTGCCAGTCAACTCCGCTACAGGTTGTTGCCTCGCTGGCCCGATCGCTTTCAATGATCCCACGCAGGCCATTTTCAACCATGGCACGCATGCGCACACCATCATCTTTAGTCACGTTGCTGGTACGATGAAGCCGTCTTCGCCTCATAAGTTGTTTCAGCGCATGCTTCCTGGCGCCCTCGTCAATAGGGGCATCCCATTTTCCAGTAGCAGAGATATTCAAGGCTCTTCTTTCGGCCTCGATACGAGCAGCATCCTGGCCCTGGAGACTAGGATGGTAAAAAGTGAACAGACCGCAGGTGTTCACTTTGGCACGAGCCTCTCCCCTTCCTGGTCCGGTCCCAATTGTGCCTAGCGACCCGTAACGCCTTGTCGCCGCGGTGAACCACATCCAGTTTGCGACTCCCCGGAAGGCCTCGCTGGGGTCAGTCATGCCTGGACCATGAGGGCCCTCTGGTGTATCTGACCTGGCTAATGGCATCTGCACATCGTCCAATACAAGTTCCCCTGATGAGAGATCTTCCAGTTGAGGGGTCGATATATCAATGTTTGACAGAAGTTTGAGTGATGGCGATTCAAAATTGCACCATATGAGCTCAAACCCTGCATTCATCCGTACAATAGCCTCGATACCCCATCCGAGGCCACCCAAGTTGTGTTCTTCGATCCAGCTACAGAGTCCTTTGGCTCGGAAATACTCATCATCAAGCGGATTCCACTCTTCAGTCCTGTCTTCGTTCAAAATACTTGGGGGTTTGTTCGGTGGCCTCGGTGGTCTCCCTGGAGGACCATGCGGGTGCTTGGGCACACTGTCACTGTCACCATAGAGAAACGTCATCTGCGACTCAACCCCGTTGCTCATCAAATTCGCAGACATCCCATCGAAATACAAAAATCCGACCTTGCGCTCAGTGCGGTAGGTTAGGAGACGGGAGTCAGGCAAAGAGCCCATGATGCCATATGCCATTTCCGAATCAAAGGCAAGCCACTCGGGGCTTGAGGGCATATCATTGTCATGCCTTCCATGATATAGCAAGGTATGCGGCGCAACGGTTCCAGCTGCGATCGCGTGGCCATTCGGGAAAAACGTATTCGGCCATTGATGAAGGAGGCTCGCAACAGTGGAAAAGACGTACGGCGCTGGCGAAGAGAAGTTGAGGTAAAAAGAGGCTTCGGCCGAAACTGGCAGGGAGAGGTCGAACAGCAGCGCGATATACGCCACGAGCGTTCTGGGCTGCATTAGTTGGGAAGCAGAACACCACAGGCGATGTTGGAAGTGATCTGGTGGTTCTTAACAGTTCATAAGGAGATTTGGAAATTAGAGTGCATGCCGAACGAAGAGGAATTGTTATCTATCTACGCTTGGTTCGATATGAGGGGCCGCGTCACCGATCATCGGCCGATTCATTGGCCGATTCATTGGTCGGATGAGACACCCCTGCATGAGAGTCGACATCATTGAGTGGAAGCTGTATTTGAGGCTCTTTGATTCTTTGCAGAACAATAAATACTATGCAAACTGTTTCATCTGGACCTAGAATGGCCCATCCCCTGTGAACCTCAATGTCTCCTCCGACAGATTCTTCTCGAAGGTGATATTTGATCCTAGTCCAGCCTTGATAACCGCAGGCAGCCGACTCTGAAGCACCGGCTTAGAAAGAGAAACCTGGCCCGCCTCAAAACCTTCGCGCCACGCCTCCATCGTTGGAAATCCTGCGTTTTTGTTGATTAATTTCTTCGTTACGGCTATCACATCGTGGTCCCAGCCGGCCACGCGGCGAGCAAAAGTATCAACGAAGCTTTCGAAGGAGTCGTCCGGGATTGCTCGATTGATCCCTTCAGCCGGTCAACAAATGTTAGAGCAGATAAAGATCAGGAGGGGGAATCACAACATACACCCATACAGTGCCGCCGTATCAGCGTCAATGTCATCGGCCCCAATGGCAACCTCCAGTGCTCTTGACCGACCCAACAACATGGGCAGTAGTGCCATCCCCGAGCTTGGGGTCAACCCTACTCACAGAAAAGCGTGATCAGCAACTTTCCTGGCGTTCTTAGTATGGGCTTCTACTTACCAAAGCCAACCTCGATTTGATTAAAGACGGCCTTTTCTCTGCTTCCAAATCTAACGTCCAAGGCAGAGGCAAGCTCCACGCCGGCTCCCCGAGTAATTCCACGAATGGAAGCCACCGTGATCAATGGCAGGTTGCTAAGACGAGTCACGTTGCCCCACCAGACTTCAGAGGACAATTCTGGCGGGGGAGGGTTGGCAATATCGATGCGCGAGATCCAAAAGTCTGGAACCTCAGAGTCAAAGACTACAATCTTGACCTCTTGGTCGTTTGCGAGCTGATCGACGAGTGCATAGAAGTCTAGGTAGAAGTTGGAGTTGAGTAGATTGAATGGGGCGTTTGAAAAAGTTGCTCTCCAATATGAGGGAGTAACCTTTGTGACACGGATAAACCCTGTTGGAGTTGCCTGGCAAGCAGCCAATGCTGACATCGCAAGGGTGAAGATGAACGGGATAAGACTAAGATACTGCATGTTGGCAAGGAGGTTCTGTTTTCAGATAGTTCCTTGGGTTAAAGTATGATCACTAACGGGCAATGTGAACGATTATTTATATTTTTCACCGTCATCGGAGTTAAGAAAAGTCAGGATCACACAGATAAATTTATAATCTAGAAATAGTAGACGGCCCAAAAGCTTGACCGAAGCCGCGCAAAGTGGCTGACATAGCTGACAATGGTTGCCGCTTCTGGAAAGTGTGGTTAGTTTTCGCGATCCATGCTAGGATGGCCTGCTCGTTTCCCATGTTCACTTTCTGGATCTAGAAAATTGGATCTCAGACCCAGAGAGCTCAACAAATTAAAGTCTCGGTTGCATGTCGATGACGCTGTTCCTCTTGGCAAACATGGTTCAGGGAATATAGCAACCTATGAGCGAAATGAATGTTACTACTAACGAGCTGATGACACCTGGTGGTTGATTCTGACAGAACAATTGAAACTTCTTCACTTAGTCGTCTTGCAATAGATGTGAGAGAAATTGAAGACAGGATCTCAATCTACAGCAAGTCAGCAATGAACCTGGACTGCTTCTCAAGGCGATACTCCATCGCACGTGGCTTCCCTAGAGCATCGGGTCTGGCATCCCACGGCCGCGGGCCACTACTCGGTCGGTAGTTGACCCCGAGCGCGTCCAGCCTCTGGAAATGTGTCTCGAGGCGGTCTTTGAAACTCTCAGTCTCCACGTCCGAAGGCGGTTTGCCCCATGCTACCTCAGCCATGGCACAAAGCCTTGGGTAGGCCATGTAGTCCACCCTGCGAGCGCTCTCCATATGCTCCGTCCAAATGTTTGCCTGACATCCAATGACCCTCTTCTTCTCTTCCTCGGTCAAACTCTCAGGGATTGGCTCAAATGCATACACGACATCAACCGAAAGCACTGTCCCCACTGGTGTAGGCTCATGTTCGTGCTCGGACTGGCGGAAGTCCAGATACGCCGCCATGTCCGGGCAGGCGATCACCTCGAATCCGCGCTGGGCTGCAATACTGATCGGGTCAAAACCTCTCCAGGCCCCTATCAGTACATCGGCGGGTGTTCGTTCACCTCCGGCTAAGATCTCGTCCCAACCAAATGCTCGACGAGAGCGAGAACGTAAATGGTCTGCCATTTGCGCAACGAACCATCCGTGCAAAGCGCTCTCGTTGGGGAGACCCAACTCTTTCATGCGAGCTTGTACAGCAGGACTTGCCTTCCACTCGTCGTGAGGGCATTCGTCGCCTCCGATACCTACAAACTCCCCGGGGAATATGTCGCAAACCGTGTCAAGCACATCTTTGCAGAAATCCAGGACTTGGTCGGACATGTTGAGAACGTGTTTGGAGATGCCCCATTCTTCCATTACACCAACCTTTGTTCCGTTTCCAAGCTCTGGATACGCAGATATGGCAGCTTGCATGTGTCCAGGCATATCGACCTCAGGTACCACGGTGATGTGCCTCTCGGCTGCAAACGCCACTATCTCCTGCAAGTCTTCCCTGGAATAGAACCCACCATGCGGTCGCGCGTCATACGCATCGTGGATGGTCGAGCCCAGCATCGATCTCTTCCGCCAGCACCCCACCACCGTGAGCTGCGGCCACTTGTCGACCGGGATTCGCCACCCCTGGTCGTCCGTCAGGTGCAGATGCAGCACGTTGAGCTTGTGGAATGCGGCCAGGTCAATGAAGCGCAGCACGTCGGGCAGGGGCATGAAGTGGCGGGCCGTGTCCAGCATGACGCCGCGCCAGGCGAAGCGAGGAGAATCCTCTATCAGCTGCGCTTGGACTGGCCATGGCCCTTCACGACCAACAGCAGTGTGACGCAGCAGTGATGGTGGCAGCAGCTGCTTCCAGGTCTGCTTGCCATAGAATAGTCCTGCAGCAGCGCCGCCCGTGATGTGTACCCCGTCCTTGGAGCTGCCTATATCGAGCTTGTACCCTTCGCTTGGAAGTGTCTCGTCGATGGACGTAGTGGGCTCCAGGCTTGACACCTGGATAATGCCCTGCGCCTTGGTGATTGACTTTGGATGTGGGATCATATCTGCAGTTCCAACTCGGGCGTTATAGCTTAAACTTATTTCTTGCGTCCAAGAGGCAACTTTATTCTCATATGAATGGGTGATGAAGAAAAAGCTTTTGAATGAGAACCCAACTGTTTTGCCTGAATGCTGACGTGAGGCGGCCAAGTGCCAAGTGCTGCTGCCTGAGCGGGGTAGTCATCAAGCAACATGCACGACGAAGCCTAGTTCAAACTCCAAATTTGTGGCTTGACGTGGTAGGTTGAACCTTGCATAATGTGGGAACAGGAAGAATTACAAACCAAACCGTAATGGGTGAGATTCATGATAGAAAAGTGTAAACAAAGATTTCGTGTGGTGAAAACATGCCTCATCGGGTGGTTCATTCAGTAGCCTCCCTATTATTAGAAGAGAAAAGTAAGGTGTTGATATGTGAGTTGAGGAAGGGGAACAGCAGGGCTAGCCTTCGGAAACATTTTTCGTGCCTCGCGCGATTCAGCCACCTCGACATAAGGTAGTTCAAGTTGTAAAGAAAGCCAAGGATCATTCCGCGGCTGAATAGAGCTTGAAGCGTTCGCGCCCAAACAATATCAACATCGCGTTGTATTTTTTGTTGTGGGTAAGGGATGTGAGATACGAAGTTTAGGCTTTATGGATTATGAGAAGTTTTTCTTGAAGGCAAATACTGGCCAATACCAGAACCTACAAAAAGACAGATCATCAAATCATCAACACCATGCAGACTGAGCAAAGGCATTGCTACCGCCAAACTCTAATAAGGGCTCGGCCAGTGCGTGTGTGCATATAACCCGCCCTTGACCCCAGTAAAGATCGTAAATGAATTCTTCCAAAACTGAAGTCCCATTCCTCAATTCTTCCTAAACTAAGATCCCACTCTTCCCGTCTTGCGCCCACACAAACCGACGATGAAGCTCTCCATGGTCTTTGCATTCGCTGCGGGTGTTCTCGCCATGCCTACTTCGTACAGTGCGGAGCCTTTGAAGAACAACGAAACCGCCCTTGTCGACTACTACATCTTCAACCTGACCCTGCCTGAATTCCTAGCCAAACGCGAGGCCAAGGACCCTCCCTCTCTGAACTGGACCAGCGATGGCTGCACTACTGCCCCAGCTAATCCCTTCAACTTCGACTTCACGGTAGGGACCCTAAGCTGCCTTCCCCTTGACTTACGTGGGCGGAGGTTCACTGCACCCGTAGAGTCTGCGCTAACAGGATCAAACAACCAGCCCGGCTGCCAGCGTCATGATTTCGGCTACGCAAACTACCGAAAGCAGGGTCGCTTCGAGGTCCGTGGAAAAAGGAGGATCGACGAGCAGCTCCTGGTAGAGTAAGTTGCAACATTCTCCTCCTCAATAAGATACACCTCACACTCCCCCTCCAACTACACGCACACACGCAATTCGAGGGAGGGAAAAACAAGAAGGAAAGTTCTTGCTGATACTTTATAGTCTGAGAAATCAATGCAAGAAGGTCACTCACGTGTGGAGCAAGGTCGGTTGCGAAGGTCTTGCGGAGGCCTACTTCTTTTTCTACCGTTCAAATGAGTTTGGCGGCGGCCACGATGCTACAAGACATGTAAATCCGGGACTTACTAGAATGTCGCTAAAGGCAGTGAGAGAAAAGAAGGGAAAGGGAAAGGAGGAAAAGGAAAAGGAGGCAAAGGAAAAGGAAGCAAAAGAAGAGGAGGAAAAGGAAAAGGAAGCGAAAGAAAAGGAGGAAGAGGAAGAGGAAGCAAAGGAAAAGGAGGAAAAGGAAAAGGAAGCAAAGGAAGAGGAGGAAAAGGAAAAGGAAGCGAAAGAAAAAGAGGCAGAGGAAAAGAAAGCGGAAGAAAAGGAAGCGAAAGAAAAGAAGGCAGAAGAAAGGAAGGCGAAAAGGAGGGAAAGGTGGGAGAAGTTCGAAAAGAGTTGGTGGAGATATTGGGTGCCTGTTTTAACACCATTACACAAGAAGTGATCTGGCGCTGGAAAAGAGGCCATATCCATATGTCTTCTAATCTATATCTCTTTATTATGATTGTATCCACGACAACAGGGTGGTTAGTGAAGCTATCGCCGATCTGCCGCAAGCAGCGGCTTCAACAGCAGCTTCAACCAACATCGGCTGCAGCAGCTGGTTCAACGCACCCAAGCACCTTCATCAGCGGCGGGCTGCTCGAGCTGGCGGGATCTATAGAGGTATAAAGTTATATATGCCAAGAGCAGTACTTTGGGTAGAGAAATCTACTCTCAGATGTATCTTCTTGTCATGAAAAGTTATGGATATGGACGAGAAGATCAGGGTATTTTTTGGTTCTGATTTATACATTCTCGAAAGACGCATATTTGGCATCAACAGTCACTCACCAATCTGGCAAGTGGACAGTGAATTGAACTTTGAAGGGAAGAAATTGAGTGGACTATCAAGGCTTATGTCAGCAGGCTAAAATCAACACGACCTTGACGCGTCGCTCCACAGACGCGTTTTGTTAGCCTCCACTCCTGGCTACCTACCCTATAGCATCAAAAAGCTTGCAGTTTCTCGAATAGATATCTGTTTTAAAATACTCCTCATTATTATTATTATGATATTGTATTCCTCTAAATGTATCTCTTGTTCAAAATTTCTACTTATAATAGAAAGGGATTTCGTGAGTGAATTAGTAGAGACTTGAATAGAACAATGAAGAACAATGCGGAAGCCCATTTCGTACCTATATGGCCAACACGCAGCGCCAGCGTTACTTGAAGCTGAAATTAGAAAAGGAACCTGAACCCAATGAAAATTTCGGTCTCTAGCAATCGAAACCAACTACGAATAACACGATAATAGCATTACCAGGGTTAGTATGAGTTTCCCCCTGAGGATTGATTTATGTTTGGTATGTTGCTCAACACTGATCTAGGTGGCTAAGTACGGATGGATATATAAGTATATTATTAGAGATGTATTCCTAACAAGTTGTTGCTACACTTTGCCTCGAATGGCGAACACAAACAAAAGTCGAGTTTCAGACCTGACGCGATCCGGTTTGACTCAAACTTCAAGCTGCGTACGGCTATGCACTCTATGGTGGTTTTAATACCAACCCGGTCTTATCATTTGTTTGTCTCTATATCCCCGCGTATGCCGCTGCTCCAGCCCGTCAGGTACCAATGGTTGGACTCAACGGCCTCCAAAATGCGGACATAGTAGTTGAGCGCCTCCATGGTGGGAACCTCGCGCGTGTATAGGGAATTGAAGAACTCGTGGCTGAAATAGATGGCCCACATGTTGACGACTCGCAGCTCTGAATCGTAGCCTTTCGAATTCGCATACTTGATGCATGTTATTAGGGAATGTGCACCGAAGTGAGGGCTATTGGATGCGGCGAATTCTTCAAGTTCACGCAGGATCGTTGAGAGCAGAGGCGATTCAGAGTCGTCGTGAATACCAAGATCCAGTAGCTGTCCTAATGGTCCTTTGAAAATGACATTTTCCCAACTGTTCAGGATTCTATGCACCCCACGGACAAGCGAGAAGACTTCAATCAGACTGTCTAGAGTGGGTGGCCCCAGGTCTTGTGCCATGCCCATGGAGTGTGAAGCAAAGGCACTGATGGTCAAGATCGACGCCGTTGCGAATATGGCGTGGCAGTTGGTTTCGTTAATATTGGCGACTGCCGTCCTCAAGCCCTGAATAGCGCTGTCTTGGTGCTGCGAGGCTCGCACGGCATGGCGCACATGGTCGTCGGGATGCAGGAAGGCCATGTGGTATGCTGCCACGGCAAGGAGCTGGTGAAGAACAAATTCGTTCCCTTGCTCCAGCGCCAGTCGCGGGAGAGCGACCTGCCAGATCTCTTGGCGACCGGGTCCTTTGGGGAGCGTGTTCCAGGTGACGGAGGTCAGGTGGTGCATCAGCTCCAGATCGATGCGCCATTGCACGTCGGGCTCTTGGCCATGCAGCCTGGCGGCAGAGCTGTCGAAGACGGAGAAGGGATCTCCCTCGAACCGCGACTGAGGGCTTTCCGATGACGACACCAGGCTCTGATCCCCGCGCATCTCGCTCGGAGCCCTGGACGCGACGAGGCTGCACTCGATGCCGTGCCTCACACACGCCGAGCAGGGGAGCTGCTCGTCGCACTGCCGTCGACGAAAGGAGAATTAATCGGGATTTGTTCATCACTGCTCATGTTCTCGACGGCTCGCTACTCACCTTGACGCGACGTTCTTTGCACTTGAGGCACCCATTGCGGGACTTGCGAAAGCCCAGGCGGGGAGGCATGGTGGTTCAATGTTTGATCGATCGCTAGCCACGGTCTACTTCCCTCCTCGTAGGGAGCGTGCAGTTCAGTTCCATCGACGTGAGAAGGATCCCGCCTGTCCCGAGAGCGTGCTGGTGTTGAGCCAAGTTTTCGGTAATCTGTCCCGGGAGGCTTAGGAAGATGTCGTACTGCCGCTAACGCGTTTATTTGCCCCGCCCCCAATGGAATGGTCCAGTCACACTCCTGATTGAGTGACTCGTGAATGGCCTCAGGGCTCGAGCACCTCCTTTATTCGGCCAATATTCTGCATAGTCGAAGTCCTTTTGTACATTTGAAACGTGGAATATTTAGCCCTTCTTGCGCCCATTTGAAATATCAACTCCATTGCTTGAACTGCTAGCCCCTCAGTACAGACCCCTCGCTTCTTCTCATGCAGTAACAAGTTTTGATTGCTGTCAAGGTCTGAGCTACTCTTAGTCCGGTTAGCATTTTATCATTCCAGAGGGAAAAAAGTGTCACACCATCGAGTTGGGAGGTATTTCCCATTATCCCAACAAGCAAAGGGTATTAAAATTACAAACATGGACTACATACGTGATATTCATCATTCGTCAGCTTCTACTTCTAAGTTGAAGGCCTTTTGATCTTGTCTTGGGGAATTTTCCGACCCAGGGGCCAAGCCTGGAATTCCTTGGAAGGACAGCGTTGCCAGTTCAAAACGGTCTGGCCTTTTTCTAACAACTCGCTCCTCTTCCAGAAGTAGAGTTTCATCATCCGCTTGTGTTCACGACCCGAAATTTCCCATTTCATCTCGGTAAAGCCCGGGTCCGGCAGAGGAGGCCACTCCAAGGGATCGGTCGCCTCCGTGTTCTTCGTGATTTGCGTCCCAGCCCGCCGCTTCTCGCTCCATGCAGCGAGCACCGCGCGAAACTCTGACACTGGGTGGTCCAGAAGAACTTCGGGGTGCTTTACCCATTCTTCTTTTTCAATGACAGAGACATCCTGTTTGTCGTGGTGCACACGGCGATGACGATCATTGCGAGTGATGATCTCGTACATGGTGAAAATGACTCCCTTGACATCGTTGCGATTTTCATAATAGCCTCCTCGTCCAATGCGGGCCGAGAAATTGAAATCAAATATCATCAACGAATCAGAAGCTTCATCTATAACAAGATTCCGTGGCGCGACATCTTGGTGAGCAACGCCATATTTCAAATTAAGCTCATCCACAACAGCCATGAGTTGGTGAAGCCACTTGAGCTTGAAGCAGCGCGTTTTGTTTTCATCCAAGGTACCGCCAGGGATGAATACCGAGGTGAAACCCACGAGGCGTCCCTCGATCTCATCCACAACGACACTGCCGAATGGCACAATGTTGGGGTGTTTAGGAAGACGCATCCAGAGGCTCACCTCATGCCAGATAAAGCTATAGCTCTGAAACATGAAATAGTACTTGAAAACAAGCTGTGGCGGCAAGGTTAGCCTGTGAAGATGCTGAATCTCCCAAGTGTTTGACGCTTACCTGCTTGGTGGGCTCAGCCGATTGTGGGCGCACAACTACGTCGACGTTGGGGCCTAATCGATCTACCTCCTCGAGGTCTTGACGAGAGACAACTTCTATGCCGTCTGGAATCTGGAGGCTCTCCACGGGTGGGCGGAACACGCATTTGGTTTCGTCGTCTTTCGGGTCGGCTGAGGCAGAGATGAGGTCGCCGTCGGAGGTGACATGGATTGAGTAGACGTCTGGCGGAAGATGGTCGATGTATTTGAGAAGATGCTCGAACGCTGGATCTTCTGACTCGAGCTCTTCATCCATGACCACTGAGACCAGGCGGCGCTGATCCCAGTCGATGACATGCCACGTGCTTGGGCCGCCTGGGGTGATGTCGCCGCTCGGGGCAAAGAGCCTGTCGTCGTGATCGAGCATGTTGGCTTCGCTGGTGAGACGCTCTCCTAGGAGAGGAGAAAATGATGAGATGAGAAAAGAGGCATGGAGTTACTGTGCGCGTGTGAAATCATCAGATAAGCGCGTGAGTGAATGCCGATAAGAGATTGGTGACGCGTCGGTGCAAATTTGTTGCTGCCTTCAGCGAGTAACATGACGCGGGTTGAGCCTTGCCATGATCAGTTTCTGAACTGCACGGCTGAGCTGTCTGAGCATGCTGGACCGAAGTCGAGCGAGAGCGTACTGGTGGTATGATATGCTCAGACAAACTAGACTGACCTGATTAATATAGAAAATAGAGACGCTTTTTTCCAAGAATGACTACAAAGTTCAACAGAGCTCCAGAGAGAGATTCATAAAGGGATCTGAAGCTCTGGAAACCAGTCAAGTGGGTGACATAAGAAATGGCACCCCTAACACAGACATGATCTATCATCCTTCATAGCTAGCTATAGACTTACCAAATTGAAGGAAAAGACTTTCCAGGTCCAAGTATTGATATTTTACATTAAATATCTGTTTAGAATTAGCTGTTCATTCATAAAGATATGTAGATGGGTTTTTGGGTGTGTGTTCAGGTGGTTATTTGGCTCTTCATTTGGGTGTGCCATTTCCTGTGTCACCTGAGGAGGAACCACAGAGAGTGCCAGAAAGTCAACAGAGATCCCCTAACATTTAGTGGTCGAAAGCGCTAGTGGGTGCACATAATACTACATGGCATGGCGATTCATCCCCAAAGCACATCCATCGCACATTCTGAGACAGCCAAGATGAATGGAGAGACATTTAACTGCCTGAGTTCTCCGCGCAGCCAACAGGAACATTTCCACCACCCCAATTCCCGCAACCACCGGAAGAGGGATCTGTCGGGGTATTTACCGACCCCGCACCAAGTCCAGAGTGCGGCCTCGGTGTTTTGCCCGATTAGCTGGAACAAGCCCGTTCCTACGCCCATTGCCGCTTGGACGAGTGAATATTTGACGGGAGGAGAGTATCCCAAGCTGCTCATTTAGTTAAATGGCCCGACCCCTGAGATAATCCATCGTCCTACCGCTGTCATCGATAAACCGACCCCAGCAAAATCACAATGGCGGACTCAGTTCGTGACCTGAAATCAACCCTCGCCTCCCTGCCACCGGTAGGAGCCAAAGATCTCCGAGGCAAAACCGAAACCGCCATCCGCTCCGGATCCCTCAAAGTGCCCCTCCTCGTCGTTCTTGATGATGACCCTACCGGTGAGTACGAAAGAAGGTTGGGAGAGCAAGCAATGAGCACGGGTCGTTGACATCTCTTCGCTTCCAGGCACACAGACTTGCCACAATATCATCATCCTTACTGCCTGGGACACACAGCGGCTCATTGAGGAGTTCCGGGCTACACCAGCGGGCTCAGGCTTCTTCATCCTCACCAACTCCCGCGCCTTGCACCCACCCCAGGCGAGGGCGCTCATCACTGAAATATGCCAGAACCTCCAGGCCGCCAGTAAGGAGACCGGGATCGACTTTGAAGTCGTTCTAAGGAGCGACTCCACCCTGCGAGGCCATTTCCCGCTCGAGGCCGAGGCTGCAGAGGCGGTGCTCGGCAAGGCGGATGCCATAATTCTCTGCCCGTTCTTCCTCCAGGGCGGCAGATACACGATCGACGATGTGCATTACGTCCAAGAGGGGGACAGGCTCCTGCCAGCGGCGCAAACGCCTTTCGCCAAAGATGCGACTTTTGGGTATCAGAGCTCCAACCTGAGAGACTACGTGGTGGAGAAGGGCAAGGGATCTATTAAAAGGGATGATGTGACATCCATAAGCCTGGAGACGATCCGTGTCGGCGGCACGGACGCAGTTCTGAAACAGCTGCTCGAGGCGACCAGCGACCCCTCCAGGAAACCAGTGATTGTCTTGAATGCCGCTGCCGAGGAAGACATGGATGTCGCCATGGAGGCGCTGCTCAAAGCCTCAAGCTCAGGGAAGAGGTTCCTGTTCAGGACAGGCGCTGCATTCGTCTCTGCGAGATTGGCCATTGAGGGCATCGCGCCCATTTCTGCCGCCACTCTGGGACTCTCAGGCAAGGTGGGAGGATTGATTATCGCTGGGTCGTATGTGCCCAAGACGACAGCTCAGCTTGAGTCGCTCCGGACCCGCAGCGGTGACAAGCTCACATCCGTCGTTCTCGAGGTTCGGAATCTGCTCGAGTCGCCCAAGAATGCCACCAAGACGGTGTCGGATGCTCTGAAGATTGCAGAGGCGGAGATTGCAAAGGGCCAAGATGTGCTAGTCATGACGAGCCGAGAGCTCATCGTGGGCACTGACGAGGCGAAAAGTCTAGACATTGGCTCCGTCGTTGCTAAAACACTGGTATCCTTCCTCGAGAGACTCGAGCAAAAGCCTAGATATGTCATTGCCAAGGGAGGAATCACCTCGTCAGACATGGCTACCAAGGGCTTGAGGTTCAAGCGCGCAGCCATCGTAGGACAGGCCGCGCCAGGCGTTCCGTTATGGCGATGCGACGAGCCGTCTGCTAAATGGCCTGGGTTGCCCTACGTTGTCTTCCCGGGCAATGTTGGAACAAATGATACTCTCTTCGAGGTGGTTAATGGCTGGCGGGTTTAGTTCACTCAAATATAGCTGAATAACAGAATATTTTTTGATAATTATATATGCTCCCCTTCACTCTAAGTGAAATGGCTTGTAAGCAGATTATATACATCGTTGGAAGTGTCCGTCCCAAACGCTTCATACAGCAAGCTATCATTCATGAAGCTCGATCCGTTGCCAAAGAAATTTTCACCAGACGCCGATTGCACCTCCCATCCCGGCGTCACCAGCTGCGCGCCTTGCACAGCCGCGCCGAAGCCAGAGCTAATCAAGGGGGTGCTGTAGCCCGGCGCGTTCATATCCGGCATGCCAGCCTCGGCATCAGCACTGTGTTCTGGCACCTGTCGATATTCCTCCACACTGGTAGCTTCCGCTGTCATCTTGCCCAGCATCTTCTCCAGCCCGGCTGCTATGTGGTGCAGTACATGCCGGTCCGAGGTCACAGACCTCTTCAGTAGGTCGATCATCTTCTCCATCAACCTCGACACATTCGTGTAGCTGTGCTCGATGTTGAAGCCCATGATCCTGTTCCATTTCGTGGCCACCTTCATCAAGAAGACGCAGGCAAAAGCAATCATCATATGGACATAGAGCGGCGTGCCAACAAGCGCCCGTCTCAAGTCATCTTCCTCGAGCACGAATGTCAGAATACTCGCAGCAGCGGAGATGGCCATATTGGTCAGCTCCTTTCTCTCGGTCGAGAGGCGACCGCTATTCAGGCTCACGCCACGGACGGCGAGTATGTTGAGCTGCAGCTTGGCGAAGTAGCTGTACAGAATAATCCCCTTTGGCGGGAACGTGCCGATGAAGTTGTTTGCCCGCTGGCGCGAGTACCACAACATCCGCCACTGCTCAATCTCCACGTTGAAGTTCCGCACGTCGACAAAGTCCTCCTCGGTGAGCATGGTCGAGGATGATTCGTTTGCTGGGTTCGCATCATTGGCTGCACCGCCGCGTCCCATGCGGATCGTATTTCGATCTGGGAGACGGCGTTCGCCGAAGCGGTCGAAAACCCGTGTGAGAATCTGCATGAGAGCAACCTGGGACAGTATTCTAGCGTCAATGGCGTCGGCCAAGGGGGAGGTAAGAAACAATTCGTGTTCTCGGATCTGAATGGACTCTGCAATCATCGGGGGGCGGCCGTAGGCTATTGAGAAATGATGATCGCAGACGTAGAGCATGTACCAGAGCCGAGCCCTCTGGAAGTGTTCGGGGTCTCCCTCGAGAGCCTTGGCAAAGCTTTGGTGCACATTCAGTTCGGTTGCGATGCGGATGGCGTGGCCCGATAATTTCCATGACACGTCCGACAGCCAGAATGCCGCGATGCACAAGCCCCTGACGTCGTCGATTGAATGGTACCGAGAAAACATGGAAGATGCAATAAGGGCCAGAAATTCTCTGTAGCATTTATCGAACGTTTCGGAACTGGTTGGAAGGTGCAAGGCTGTGACGGCGAGTATCGTGGCGGTCAGGAGTTCTGATGACTTGCGGACGGAATAGAACGAAGGATGTGTCTGCTCAAGACCGACCCAGAGATAATGATTAAGAGACATATGGAATCTGTAGCATAAGAATTAGTCAGTGAAGAAGCAGAGTCTGAAGATGAGACCAGCCACTTACGAGTTGTACAGTTCCTCGGCCTCGTGCTCAGAGATGACTCCCCTGGAGATGAAATCGTTTAGCTCCCCCTGCCCCCCAGACAATGGCCTCGCAGTGTTGGCTTTGTTGCTTCGGATATTCCTTAAGCGCGTGACTTCGTAAAGACTTCCCATGGGCTCTTCCACAGTCACAGCTGCATTCATGGGGTCTGGTTCGAGCGAATTTTCTCGAGTCATGGCCATCTGCGTATTGTCTTCTCTGGTGCTGGATAGGCCCGCAGGGCTTGTTGTTGTACTGCATGGAGTTCCGGTCGGTACGTTGTGTGCCGCGAGACTGGCTTCAAAACTGACGTTTGGTGCTCTCTTCTCTGCCAATATCGAATTTATACTCTGCCTCATTAGTCGCATCTCTTCTCTCATGAGATCGAATTTTTTCCTGACAATCAGTTAGTGAACGAGTCTCTCCACCATGAATGGAATTGGTCGTACTCATAAGGGTCTTCCAGTGTCGAAGTGTCCTCCTCCAGATCGACTTCGATGAACCTGGTTGTTTTGAAAATGCAATCCACTTTACGTCTCAAGCAATGCTTGCAATTCCGGTCACCTGGAAACACCTCGCACTTCATCTTGAGTTTCTTGCACGCCAGACCTTGATTATACTGTCAGCAAAGTATTCCAACCTCAGCGTTCACCCCAGAACCCACTCACAGGCTTTTGATTTGCGGCCTGGTCCACCACTGCCAACAGCCGGATGGCGACGAGCCTTTGTTGGCTTTGCGGGAGTAACATCCTCGCTGTCTGGCAATACCTTAGTTGCTGGCACTTCCTTTTGCACCGCTTCGTCTTCCAGATTTGATCTCATTGTAAAGTCCCGAAATGCGAGATTGTGCAGAGCTGTAGGAAGGAAGGTTTTCTGGACTGGCACCGGGAAATCGGGAAATACCAGTCTTTTAATCCCCTGCCAGCTCCTCTTTCTGCAAGGGCTGGTGGGTCATCAGACTGGCCATGCGGGGGAACGGGGCTTTTGTCAACACGTAATGCTACTCAATAATGGTGGAGAAATGGAGTGTGGGGTTTCAGCTGGTTTGTTGCTTGGGAACTGTGTTCACTAGGCTGAATGATAGCATAGTAGCTTAGGTACTCTTATGAGGAGGCATTTCAAAGGAGGTGGAGGTTTACACAAGTAATCTTGCCATTGGAGCTATACTAATATTATCTATAGTGGTTTGCTTACGGCTCTCCTTAGGGAACGGCCGGCATTACAAACTAAACTAAATATCGTACTTGGTTCCAGCATTGGCCCGCCTTGTAACCGTCGCATTGGCATCGTTCTGCTCAATGTGGTGGCTCGAATCCTTCTCTCCTAAGCCCGCCTCGATAGTGATCGTCTCATGAAGCTCCTCGATCTTCTTGTTATCCCTGCGCAGGCAGTAGCTGAGGGCCGCCGAGCTCAATACAGTGACAACGGTTAGAGCGAGATTTACCGACCAGGCAGTCATGTATCGCGGGCCATCAGATGCAGGGTAGAGGTAAGGTGTCCAAACTAGAGCTACATTTCCAAAGGAATTGTTCATGGCGAGACTTATGGCTCGTTTTTTCTGAGGACGAGCTCCGATATTTGCCATCCATGCGTTGGAAATCTGAAAACAGCCGTAGGTTCCAGGAAGCATCAGAAACAGTGCGAAGTATCGGGGTCCGTTGTTTGTTGTAGCCATCGTAATGACAATGCCCGCAATGGCGACGAAACTAGGGTAAATCATATGGGGGCTTCGCTTCGAGGTGCCTGGACCAAAGTTAGTCTTAAATGTTTCACCCGCGTGGGATGTGTAGGTAGTGAGCTCAACTTACGATCAGAGTACCAGGTGTTGAACAGACAGAAAAGAGCAGTGAAAAGATATGGCGGGGCTGTAAGAAGCAGGGTGTTGATCTTGGAATAGCCAAAGCTGTTGACCAATGTCGGCAGGAAGTTGGTCAGAGAAGCAACGGCTTGAACGCAAAGCTGTCCAAGGATACAAAGCCAGACTCTGTAGTCCTTAGCAGCGAGCTTAAAGGCGGTCCAGTTGTTGATGTCCTCCTCTTCCTCTCCAGCATCCTCAATCAGTCGCACAACTCCCAGCGCCTTCTCTTCCTCGGTCAACCACTTGGTGGTGGCTGGCCAGTCTGGGATGACAAAGCCAGTGACGACAGCAAAAAGAACAGTAGCTGCACCTTCGATTATGAACAGCCATCGCCAGCTGGGCAGTCGGTTGTTTTCGAAGGCTGCAGCTATACCAGCAGCAAAGAGGCCCCCAAAGGCACCAGAAAGCATCGCCGCGCAAAAGAAGATTCCGAGACGTAGACCCAGTTCCTTTCTCGTATACCAGCCAGAAAAGAGGAAGGCTACACCTGGGAAAAAGGGGGCCTGAATGAGTAAAGATTAGTGACCATTGAGCTAAGACATAGCTGGTTATGGAGTAAAGTTCGAACCTCTGTAATGCCAAGGAAGAATCGTGTCGCCGCAAGACCGCCAAAGTTATGAGATGCCGCCGTAGCACCGCTGACGACTCCCCATGCTACCATGCAAGCTGAAAGATAAATACTAGGTCGCAATTTTCCGAGAATCATGTTTGATGGAACTGTAGGCTCAGTCAGCCGGGTGTTGATTGTCGTGGACGGACTTCCAATGCCACCTGCCTTGCATTGAGATATATCCAATGAATGTCAGACTAAGGACAATGTTATACTCAACTCCTTTAAGTCCCAGATCCTGTTCGATGCCTTGAATTCGTGCTTGCGGAAGGGCGTTTCGGTCGATGTAATTCATGATGTACATCACGATCTAGTAGTCTTGTTAGCATCATTGGAAGTCGAAGTCGAAATGTCTAGGGAGAGGTGCTCGTACAAGAATTGGGAGAAGTCTGGTGTCAATTTTCCTGAGGAACTTCTTCTCTTTCTCCATTCGCTCTTCCGGAGTCCACGCAGCCACGATGGCCCTGTAGTCAGGAGTGGCATTGCTGCCTGCCTGGACTTCAGTCTTGGTCATTCTGAAGGAAGAATCAGGACCTGTTTGTATGCGTGGGTGTAATTTTTGTCAGCTAAGTTTGATGGATTGGAGGGTGTGAGGTGAAAGCAGAAGGGCTTCAAAGGGTCAGCTTTCGGCAGAGAAGGAACGAAAGGCAGCTTCCTTTATAGTGCACAATCCTTTAGCGAACCAGTGCATCCGGTGTGAAGGTAGGCACAGGAACGGACAACCGGTTGGCTTTGACCGCTTCTAGATTCAAGAATTGGCAAGATGAATAGTTTGCGAGGTAAGGGAGGCGTCAGGTCCGGGAATGATGTGGATTCTCCGTCGAATTCCCGGGGTAAGGTTGGAGAGACATCCATGACCGAAGCAAAGGATTGAACTGACTCGTGGTTCCTCCTAACATGCTGGCCAATGGTCACCCCACATGACAGTGTGGAGAATTGTCAGCCCCAGACTTGCGAACCCTGTTGAGGACTTAGTTGCGAGTCATGGTCTGGGGTCCGGGAAATCGGGATATGCAAAAGTGGCCTGCCTGAGCCAAGATAAAATTAGGGTTGATATTTGTAATATACCTCGGTTACCGGTGAATACAGAAATCTCAATGAAACCACATGGTTCGATGCTTTGATGTATATCTATGGATTGGGATATCACAAGATCATCCATACATGAACGCGGGGTATGTCATCAGCCAGATGATGGTTGGAGGTGAAGTAAATCAGAAGTATTTGATACTGCTAGGCAACTCTCCCCTACTCTATGCATGTTCCAAATGGAACATACATCCTATGCTCCGTGCAAAGTCCGTGAACCATTGAAAAGAAATCCATCTTAGCATTAGAGCACGCCACAAGAAGGCACCGAGCCAGCATTTAGACCTCCGTGCTCGCTTGCGTAACACGGTTCATCTTAAGAATGCTCTCCGACTTAGGAATAGACCCATCTCCTGTTGTGGCTAGAGTCGTACGTCAATGATCTATTGGGAAATGTGGAGGCGAGGTTGGAACTCAGCCATCGGTAAATCGGGGCATTTCCCGAATATTTGGTGGGAATGGCCTGCAGTGTGTGTCTCGTGAGGAGGGAATGCTCGGTAGAGGGAAAGATCTTAAAAACCTATAGATATCATCCTTCATGCTGTAAATCAGAAACTCAAGTATCTGAATCGTGAACAGCCTTCTGTTATATAATCAAGCCATTTACCTTCACTCATTCTTTTCGACAACATCTAAATCACCATAGTACGAAGGACTGAGATCCCAATAACATTTTCCCTGAACCCCACAACCTCAAGTTCCACCATGACTAGTCTTTCGACCAAGCTCGCCGAGCTGGACAAGGCTGGAAAGCCCGTCCAAGTGGGCATCATTGGAGCGGGCAAGTTCGGTTCCATGTACATTTCCCAGAGCTTCCGTACCGCCGGTATTCGCTTGGCAGGTATCGCAGATCTCTCAGCAGAGCGCGCCTTGGCCTCGCTGAAACGCACTGGGTATCCTGAAGACAAGTACGACGCTACTGCCAAGCTCTCTATCTCAGAAGGCATCAAGGCGGGCAAGACTGCCATCACTACAGACTCTGCGGCTCTGATCGCCACCCCCGAGATCGACGTGATCCTCGAAGTCACTGGCAACCCCTCTGCTGGTATCCGTCATGCTCTCCTTTGCTGCGAGCACAAGAAGCACATTGTTATGATCAATGTGGAGGCAGATGTGCTCGCTGGCCCCCTTCTTGCCCGCAAGGCTAAAGAAGCCGGTATCATCTACTCCATGGCTTACGGAGACCAGCCTGCCCTGATCGCCGAGCTTGTAGATTGGGCTAGAACAGCCGGCTTTGAAGTCGTATGTGCCGGAAAGGGTACCAAGCACCTCCCCGAGTACCACTACTCGACCCCAGATACAGTATGGAACTACTACGGCTTCACAAAGGAGCAGCTTGACTCAGGGGACTTCAACCCTCAGATGTTCAACTCCTTCCTTGATGGAACTAAATCGGCACTGGAGATGGCCGCTGTTTCAAACGGTTGCGACCTCAGCCCTCCTACAAATGGATTAAACTTTCCCCCTGTGGGCATTTGGGATTTACCCCAGCGACTGAAGCCTATCAGTGAAGGAGGCCAGAACGAGAAGAACGGAACAGTTGAGGTAGTTTCTTGTATGGAGACAGATGGACGTTGGGTCTTCAACCACCTTCGTTGGGGTGTCTATGTTGTTATCAAGGGTATCTTTCCTTCCCCGATATGTCTAAAGACAGAAGAAGCAAACTAACATTGTTTAGCACCTGGCGAGTATCAAAAGGAGTGTTTCAAGCAGTACGGCCTGCAGACAGATCCCAGCGGCTGGTATGCCGCCCAATACAAGCCCTACCACCTTATCGGTCTGGAACTGGGTGTCTCGGTCGCCTCCATCATGGTCCGTGGGGAGCCTACAGGTCAGACCAAGACCTGGTCAGGCGATGTTGTTGCCACTGCTAAGCGCGATCTTGCAATTGGCGAGAAGCTTGATGGCGAGGGTGGCTTTACTGTGTATGGGCGTCTGATGCCTGCGGAAGATTCAATGGCCATCTCAGGCCTACCAATCGGCCTTGCCCATGGCTGGGTGTTGAAGCGAGCTGTCAAGAAGGACCAGCGACTAAGCTGGGATGATATTGAATACACAGAATCGGCGCAGGCTGTGGCAGTGCGAAAGGAGATGGAGACTATTTTCAAGGCCGAGTTCAAGGCTCAAAAGATCAATGGAGTCAACGGGCACGCGTAATAGAATATAGATCAAAAGCTAGACCAGGACGAGTCAGAGAATAGAAGCTCGTATTATTGTACAGCACAGTCCATTGGATTACTTGACAGGCTCCAAAGTATGCTATGTAGGCCCAAGACTTTACACAATTCTCCCAGCTTGGGTTGACTACCTATTGCTCTAATTCAGTGTCCTCGAAAATGTACGCATATCCATTCGCTACCGCCCATAACAGTGGTGTCCATCCGTCGTCGTCCGTCGATTTCGGATTAGCACCAGCTTCAAGAAGCTGGTCCACACAGGCCAGCTCCTCCATTGCCGCTGCCCATGCTAGAGGCGTCCATCCGGAGTTGTCCTTCAACTCAGGGCTCGCCCCAGCCATCAATAGTCGCCGCGTGCACTTCACTTGACCGTTTGCCACGGACCAAGAGAGGGGTGTCCGCCCGTTATTGTCCTGTGAATCAGGGTCGACCCCTTTTGCAGCTAGTAAAAGCGTGACGCATTCTTCGTGGCCGTTTCGAGCAGCCCACGATAGCGGTGTTTGGCCAAGGTTATCCTTCGAGTCGGGGTCGATGCCATTGACTCCTAGCAGCAGCCTCAAGCATCCTTTATGACCTAGTTCGGCGGCACATAATAGGGGAGTCTTTCCATGCTTATCCTTTATGTTGGTCGCTACCCCAGATGCCCCCAGAAGGGCTTTTGTCATCAACACCTGCCCTGTTTTGGCTGCCACAGCTAACGCAGTTGATCCCTCTTGATCTTGATGATTCAAACCATCAAGGCTAGCTGCTAATAGAGTTTTCATTATTTCCAGATTGCCCGACGCCGAGGAGGCAATCAAAGATGTGGAGTATCGCCCCCCTGAAGCAAGTTTGCGAAAGTCTGGACGAAAGATTGTGCGAAAGAGCCCTGTGTGACCTCGTTCGCAAAGAACGTACTCCAGATCTGCGTAGGACGAATAGGGGAAAGTTCCATGCATGTCAAACACATTATGCAGATTAATCCATAGGGGCCACTTCCCACTACTTGAGAAATCTGCCAGAAACGCGCCTTGGGTAATGGATTGGCTGGCTGCTTCCGCATGCTCAAGAATGAACGAAGTCGAGTATTCAAGCATTGGGAAGGAAAAGGCTAGTTCCATAGAGGAGAGGCCGTCTTTGAAGGGGAGAAAGTTGGAAATATCAACCTTCAAGTATGCTTCGCAGTATTGTTTCAGTTGATCATGACTTTTAGTTTCAAAGTCCTCTTTAAGATCTGGCCAAATTTCTCCGATCCCGTTCTCCTTAATTAAGAAGTCACGGACCGACTCATGGATGAATTGGACTGTTGGGCTCTGGGATTTAGTGATTTCGGCTAGACCTTTCGATGAACTAGATACCAGTCGAGCCATGACATCCCCAGTTATCTGCCCCGGGTCCCACGGGACAACAGTCTCCGGCTTTGGATTCAGTCCAAAGGACACAGCAGTGTAAAACTCCTTGGTCGTGAGTGGCCGACGCGAGAACAATATCCACTGGATGCAGAGTAGCATGTCGTTGATATTACGTTCGTCTTGCGTAAGAATTTGGCGAAAGACGTGGCTTAGATCGCTAGGTAACTCATGCAAACGTCGTTTCAAGGCAAAGATGCGACCATCTCTAATCTCTTGATTGAGAATCTCCACGGTAAGGACAACCCACATGAAGACCCCAGAAGCTCTAGAAAGAACGTCCTGAATAATATCTTCAGCCATCTTCCCCCGACCTGCGCGTAGCTTGCTGCGCACATAACTCTCCAGGTCCGAGGCATGGCCTTCCTGGGCATCTAACTGGAGTCGGAGCCCTCTCTCCACTTCAATATATGGGTAAGGTCGGCTTGAAAAACAGACGTAGAGTTTGGTCTTGTTCCGAGAGGCAAGCTCCCCGAGCGTCTCAAACGATTCTACCATCTTCAGAATTTGCTCCTGATCGCACTCATCCAAAGCATCAATGAAGCAGAACAGGGTTTTGTCTCCGAGGGCTTGGACCAGGCTGTTGAAGAGTTTTTCAAGTATCTCAACATCCAAGAAACTGCTATTTTGCGTCTTAGGAAACGTTGTGAGGCGTTTTAGAATATGTTGTAGACTCGGAAAGCTTTCTAATGCTTGCAGGAGCAGAGATCGATACATCCCAGTTGTTGACTTCTCCAGCTCCTCCCCTGTCGCATTGAAAAAGAACGATGTCACAGCAGTATCCGCAGTTTCTCTCCATTTGTCTTTTGTGTGTAAATGAAGAAATTTCAGCAATGTTGATTTTCCAGCTCCAGGCTTACCAATGACCCAGAGGAACCCGTGGTTTTCATCAAAGCTCGCGGGATCCTGCCAAGCCAGGTACCTAGGGTCTTTTAGAAACCATTCGCAAGTCTTTGCATGTGCAGCTTTGACGGCTCTCCGGCGGCTATCAATATATCCAAATGACAAAGCCTCTAGCCATCTGTTTTGATGGTCCGCTAAACACGTGTGAGCTTGCATCCTGAATAAATTCGTGCCTCGATTTTCAAGGACATTAGCTCACCCGAAATTGCGGAATCCGCTGCCAGGAGGATGTTGTTGGAATCAGTGTCCTGTGTTATTAATAAAAGCTCTTTAGAATATGCTGCCGCTACCGCAGCCGAGTAGTGCTGCCATTGTTTGTTCTTATGAGAGTCCGAGTAATCGCATATGCCACGCACCACAAGGCAAGGGATGATATCCATCACACCAGCTGCCTCAGTTTCAAAACACAAAACATCAAGCTCCTTTGACCGCTGGGATCGTGTGAGGCCATCTCTGACTATTTGATTTCCTGATCCGACCCGGCCATAGTGAATCTCAGGGAGTTCTGTTTCTCGCGGTCTTCGTGGCAGGATCTGCGACTCGTCGCAGTTCTCACACCCGTGCAAGGGTTGAACATGGTTGTATAAAGTGGCAAATAGCTTGTCCTTCAATTTGGGGCGCCTATATCTGGTCATGTGCGGATGGCGATGGTGCATCTCGGCCATGATGTCGGGAAGTCTGCTCGGCGCCCGATCATGACTTGCCCTGAGCTTTGCAATTGCTGTTAGAAGAGACTGCGCCGGCCGCCGAGGGATGCTTGTCCAGAAGAAGCGGCCGTCGGGCATGGCCTTGCCCAAGTCGTACGGCACAACTTCAAAACTGACCACGACATCGCCCAGCCTGATGTCCGTTGAATCAGGGACACCGCCACCGACGCCAACCAACAGACCTTTGTCAATATGGCGGAAGCTTCTCTGCATGTTCGTTGCCACGTTGGCTGCATTGTTGGTGCCATAGTACCCTGCTGGCAAGCAAGCGATGACAACGTTGTGGCTACCAATGCTGCCGAAGGTGTAGGCATTCGTATCATCTTGCTTGTTTGGAAGCGGGCAGTGGACGTGATCTAGCATGGCCTCTGCGGCTGCCAACTCGACCGAGAGAGCACATATCCAGCCAACAGTATAGTCATCATACGACAGGGAGTTTTGATGGGAGCTGGTGTCTGTTCTCTGCCGCTTAGACGGGTTGGAGGATGCTGCCTCATAATCGGACATGGCTCTCCCCAGAGGTGCTCTGACGGGGTCCCTGGGGCTCGCCATGAACCCCCGGCCTACAAGTTCCTGACTGTGAGAACTAAGTCATCCCGAGACAGATGCTTCCAAGCTCGTCGAAGCGAGAGCAGGTAAGGGTCCAGGTTGACCAACCAGGCCATCGCGGGATTAAAATGGAGCAAGTTCCAAAAATCAGCGCAAGATTCGTGAGCATGGATGTTCATAAGCGTGATAAGCGTGGCGCAGCAATCAGATCAATAGTGTCTATGAAGGTCGCCGGGCATACCCACAAATAATCTCTGTGGAGGAAGCCCATGCAATCAATGGTCTAAGTAATGTGACCGTAGCTTACTATGGAGGAATTAACAAGAGCAAAGGCCAGTGTAGAACTATGTATGCCAGATAGTTGCCCAGTAACTTTGTCCAACGAAAGAGCATGATATAGCAAATGGAACTAGTAACAACAGAACACCGAGGTTTGAATTCCATATCGGTATTTCTGGAGCAGATCAACAGCGAGCATGAATAATATAGTTGCCTCTGGCTTTCACAAAGGCAACCACGAGGACCACCGCGAGGAAATCCACCAGGTTTTTATGACATGCGCAGCAAAGACTCGCATTTACCAGCACAACTTTTCAAGGGCATCTTCATAAATCCAATCGTCAATAAACGATAGATCCAATGCCATGTCATCCGCGGCTTGGAGATCGTGTCTGGAATCTGCCAGGCTTCCGACGGCCAATCGCTTTTCGCCCAGAACAGATTGTGCAGAACTTATTGGATGGTGTGGTACCAGAATCTCTGGGCTGGTGGACAGCGAATTAGCTGGCTGCAACTTTCTTAGAGTAGAGTGAATTTCCTGAATGTGAGCATGGAACTCCATCGCAGCATGGTTCCCATTCTGTTCAAGCTGTTGAAGAAACCCGGCAGCGAGATTGAACTCCTCCATTTCCTCCTGAGAAGTTTTCCGGTTCAAGGCTCCTGCTATGGCGAGGATCACAGCGGCCGAAAAAAGATGCTGAACATAAAAGTAGTCGAAGATATGGAAGTCTCCATTTACCCAGCATTGTGACAGCAGATCGCAGGATTGCCTGGCTGCGCTGATACAGGCATCAACAGTGCATTGGGTCTGGTCTGAGATAGGAAGCTCCGTTCCTGTTGAAGGTCTTTCATCTATATGATGTCGGAAAACGAAGAGAAGAACTGGCCGCGTTGCTACAATCAAGAGCTATACTAAATTAGCACACATGTAATACAGTCGAATGCCCATCGGGGTATACACGGAGACATGGCTGGAAGGGGGAAAAAAGAACGAAAATTACCTGATTGAAGGCAAGATGTAGCATAGTAGTAGGTTGTAGTAGTGTCCCAATACCACTCGAGTGATCGAGGCGAGGCTTCAACGGGCTCGGTAGTAGCTCTTTCCACTGGCTCAACTCCTCTTGTATCTGCGCTACTTGCTGAAGAAAGGTACCACGTTGCTGAGGCGTCCGCACATAGAGAGACCTCGAAATATGTCCTGCGACCTTAGCTAGGCGAAGAGTGGCCACAAATTCGAGGTGGTCCCCAAAGTCCTCCGCGTTAAGAGCCGAATCATTTGACGGCAGATCAATAGAAATATCAGCATCTGATATTAAGAGTGGAAGACCGATTTTCGACGATAGAAACCTATCGATAATGTAGACCGACCACCAAAGGCGGACTCGATGCTCTCTTATTTCAGGTTCTGGAATAGAAGCAGACCCTATTTTGATATGTAATCCCATAATAGTGGCGAGGCGGAGGGCAGTGCCTACGAAAGTGCATGCTGAATGCCGACGGTTCGTCTCAAGAGAGTACAAAGCCAACGCGCTCTTAGTAAAAGCACAAAACGGCCAGATCTGACGGTTAGGGAACTTACTAGAAGAAGAACTGTCTCGATCACATCAATTTGGGGCCTCTCATTGATCATGCGGATAGCATCACTCGCCATGGCGAAGTAGGCTAATCCAGGGAGATGACCTGTCGCAGTAAGGCATTTACTCGAGCGTAGTTCACCGATAGCAAACAATGCCCACAGTTTGGCCTTGGAATGTAGATTTATTTGGTTGAAATCAGTTGCCCGCAAAGTCGAGAAGACTTCGCTACGCCGGACTATGTGATAGTTGTGTCGCAAAAACCGGACCGCTGTTTCAACCAGGAGCCTAGCACGCGACAACGATGGCCAGGTAGGGGGGGGATATGCCGTTGCGAGACTGTGAAGAGCCTCGTCGGAAACAAACTGAGTACGAGGAATGTGACATGGTGTCTGGGAGAAAGAAGCAAACTGGCGGAAGCGAGTGGCAAAGGCACTGTCTGATATCTCACCTATCCAGATGGGGGTGTCGGATGTCCTAATGTGGGTGAACCAGTCACTTCCCTGTATAGACTGGTTCTCGACAGATTCATGGTCACTATGGGATATTGCGGGAGTATCCCAGGTGTCTTGCTCGGGTTTCCTTTCGGACTGCTCAGCCGGATGCTGAAGGGCACGTAAGTCGGCATTCTCCTGTAAGATACGGTCCAGGAAGCTGGCCTTTATTAGTATCGAGTGCCAGAGGTCGACAGAAGTTGATTAGCACTTATTTACGTACCTCTGGTGTACTCGGACTTGGCGATCTCGCTTTGGGTAGATGCAATCAGATACACCCGTGCAGTGGTTGCACGGCTTGGTGCCAGAACACCGAATCTTGCGTGCGTGGCATGATTGACATCTAAACAAGTCAGCTCCTCATCCATTTATTTTATGCACATTTGTCCGCCTTACGCAATAGCCTTCTTTTGAGGAAGCTTGGGTGCTGGAATGGGCTGTTTCCCGCTGCGACTGGAGGACGGCGGCATTATGCAGTTGCCCGAGATGAGAAATGAAGAATGATGTGATGAGGAAGATTCGGCGGGGCTCCAACAAGGACAAGACCCGGAGGCTCTGAAATTTTATTAGCCTATTGGAATGACATAAGCTTCGGATTGGCCGAATAAAAGCTCACACTGCATTTCCCCCTTCACCAATTCATTGTAGGAAATAAACGATCATCGATTAGATTTAAGGAGACATCTATATCTGGCTACTATGACCTTCTCATAATCCCTTTGCGTGGAACAATGCAATCCTTCGCCACATTTCTACTGGATTTGAGTACATGATAAAGTGCGCGGCATCAGGGATCTCCGCCAACTCAACACCGGTTCCAGAGAGTCGACTCAGGTAAGACAAGGTGTTGTACTGCTCTCCATACATGAACATCTTGGGGCAGGGTAAGGATATGAAGATGTCCAATAAGTCTTCGGTGTCTGATAAGTGAACCATTGATTCAAATGTTGGTCGCACAACCTCTGGTTTTACTTTGGCTTGTAAAGCGGCGGCATAAATGCCGGTTCCGAATTCTTGCGACTTTCGTGTACGCTCCACAAACTGGCGGAAGAAGGTCTGAGGGTTGTCGGACGGATGATCCAGCACTTGGCGACTTAGGAAGCAGTCCTCTGGCGCTAGATTCCCTTTGATGTTGACAAAACTGAGCACGGCATCTGGGTGCCTCTGGGCCAGCTTCAATGCCGTGAGCCCACCCATCGAATGGCCGATCAGGTGAAATTTCTCTATTCCGTGTTTTTTCAGGAACCCCTCCGCCAATTCGACCAGGAATGGAATGGATAGCTGATCGAGTTTGTCGCTTGTCGACTGTCCACTCCCTGGGGCATCGTAGATAACAAAAGAAGAACTGGAAAAAGCTTTGACCAATGCGATATCGGCAAAGTCTTCCTTTGTACTCCCAAAGCCATGAAGTATCAGAATAGGGTATGATGGCCCCTCTCGCCGGACACTTGATATCGTCACATTTACGCCGCCAACCACGAGATCGGTGCACTCCCAAATGAGTGGCCTAGATTTCATCGGTCCTGTCATGTGGATTGGCTGAAGTGATCAGATGAGGAGTTTCCGAATTATCAACGAGGATAAGATGTAGTTTGGGATCAATTCAATTTAACACCTCCATAATATCAGCAAGGCCTTCAAGCAATCTTTAACCACCGGCGGTTGCTGACAAAAAGGCGAAGACCCACAGTCTCCCGGCAAGAATAATTTTCGCCGGCGGCTTTTGGCAAGTCACCGAGATCAGAGTCGGCTGCTTGTCTGATAAGTAACCGACAAATCCTGTGTTTTCAGTATGACGCTACTGAACATGCTGGTGGATGATAGCTTTGAATACCGGGCTATACAGGACCATTGGATTAGACATGAAATAAACAAGATTTTCCCCCAAATAGTCAGTATTGGAGGGGGCTATAAAAGCCTACGCCTCAGCCCTACAGTTGGATACAAGGATACTTGGGGCGAAGACGTGTGAGAAATCTGCACGAACACTTTCGCTAAAGCCGATAAGTGTTGCTAACTGATGCCATCTGCTCATTTTAGGCGATGTTGATGACCAACTTAACAGCCATCGCAAGGCCCTTATGGTAATCGTCCAAAATGCCATCAATCAGCTCATTGCCGCATTTTCGCTGATGCTGAAACACGAATGTCACTGTAGTAAGCAATACCGCATAATTAATTAGCTGTGCCGCGGCGTATAAGGCACGAATCCTGTAGGATCCTGCCAACTGCCGCGGGCTCCGTTATGTCTTACGGTCCTTAATTTGCGATTGCTGGTTGAAACCCTGAGCGTTTCTGCAAACGAGCCCCCCGAATCCGTCTACGCAGGGACGGGCTTTTATAATAAGCTTATTTCTCTTTTTTAAAGTGAGGGTTTTCATTGAACTGCACAGTGCTTAACCGGTATTTGCTCACACATTCACCCACTCAATTGATTCATCCTCAAAAATGCGCTTTGCTACACCTTTCGTCCTTGCCACGGTGTTAGGCCTCGCAAATGCCGGATTCAGTACCTACAAGGAAATTGTAGAGGGCAAGGATAACTCTGATGCAATCACCTACTATGCGCTCGACCGATCAGATACACTCTTCTTATATATTCAGATTATTTCTGGAGGCGACCACCAATCTCTGATCAGCGATTTCAAGACCTTGGTACAGAATTACGGTTCTCAAGGCATATCGGTCATTCCTCGTGTACGGTACGGAAACAGCGATGGCTCTGTAACCTCCGAACCGGACGACAAAGATCAAATTCTCGCCGATGTATCCACATGGGCCAAAGTCTTCTCAGATGTCTCCGGCTTGATTAAAATACCCGTGATTCAGGCAGGCTTCCTTGGTACTTGGGGCGAATGGCATGTACGTAAAATCTTCCCTTTGAGCAATCCCTGGCGTTCTCGTTTCCAAGGCCTCTAACACTTGTATGTAGGATGGGCCGTTCTGCCAGAACCGTGGTAGTGATGACAGTGAGGCCAGTCTGCAGGTGAAGAAGTCAGTTGTCGATGCGCTACTTGGTACTGGAGCAAAGGTTGCTATTCGCTACCCGCAGGATCACAAGGTATTGTATGACGGCGATCGCAAGGTCACGATTCATAACGACTGCATCTTTAATGGTGGACCGAACGGAAACGATGGTGGCACTTTCCCATCGGATGATCGCCAGACTTGGATCGACTACACAAAGCAGGTTGCCTCGAGCAACACGTACGGAGGGGAAGGATGCGCCGATGCTGGCGACTCTACCTATGATTGGAGCAACTTTGACGATGTCTGCGGTAGCAATGGGCTGGAAGCCTACATTCACAAGTTTCAGATCTCATACTTTAACGTGAGTATTTCCCCTTTTTGCGTGTGCTTCTTTCCTTCTTTTTCTTCTGTTTATAAGCTAACATGCGTGGTAGCCCGGGAATCCATCCAAGTTTAAAGAACTGTTCGACAATAGCAACTATGCCAGCTGTGTAGACGCAATAGGAGCTGCCCTTAACCAATATCCCTAGATAATATGTTCTCGAAGTATTCTCAGTCTATCTAGGCCAAGGATTAGCAGTCACTGTCACCAAATATGTTCCTTTCCGCTATACATTGCGACTCGTGCTCATTTTATCTCAATACTATTGCTGGAAATGACATGCACCGATCCGCTAATTGCATACCCGATGCCTTCTTGCCAGTCCTTGGTCAAATGGGTTTGTCTCGCACATGAATGACTGACTCTATGAAATGACCACTAAGGATTGGGTTCCGACAGCCTGAATCAAGTAATGTTTTGAAAAACGTATCTATCGTTCAACTTCAATGTATAGCTGCTGGATTACTCCGATAACTCCTGGACTGGCCAGCTCGGATGATGTGAGAGTGGGGAAACTTCCCCAGCCGATCCCTGCACAGGTCTAAACGAGCATCCGATGAGCTCAATCTTTCCACAAGGCTGAATTCGGGTGGTGTGCTCAACGCCACTATTGTGTCAGGAACCCAAAGCTCAAGACGCATGCACAATTATCATGAAGTGGGCCAATAAATGAGGTCCGTTGACCTGAGGAGTTTCATTGCTGGTGCAAATTCTGATACATATTCTTGGTTTATACTCTCAATTGCCCTGCATACCGCCATATTCCGATTTGCATCCTTGCCCATTATTCCCTAAGATACCTATGGCTTTGAAACCTCCACGTGGTTGGAGGAAGTTCCACTCTTGTCAAGCTCGGCTTCCGCGATCTCTCTGGACTCAGCTTTGGCGTCATCCATTTCCAAGTGCTTCTCAATCACTGGGGCAACCTCATCTCCGAACTTGGCGGCAATCTCCTCAAGAGACAGGAAACGGGTCTCGGGGAGGAAGAAGTAGTACATGGTACCGGCAAACAGATTGCACGCGATGAAGACGAAGTAAAACTTCCAAGCGATGGCATCAAAGGCGTAGGAGGCTGCATAGTTGAGCCAGATTGCCGTGATGGACTGAGTGAAAATAGAGAAACCGACACCCACGCCGCGGAGGTCGAGCGGGAAGATCTCAGCAACCAGCACCCAATTGACACTGTTGAAGTAAAATGAGTATCCAAAGGCGAACAGAAAGACAAATGCGATTCCGGCCCTGGAGATGCCCGGTGTGCTGTCGGTTGTGCTCGCAGAAAGTCCAGTCAGAACCGCGAGGAAGGTGGCTAGAACTATTGAACCGGGAATGACGGTTCCGCGGCGAGTCCAACGATCAGCGACGAGGAATACATTGAGAATTTGACCAATGACAGCCATGAATCCGTAGAAGCCACCGAGAAGAAGGACAGTCTGGCCCTTGTAGCCGAGTTGTTCGTACATGATCGACTGGTAGGTCTGGATGATGTTGGAACCAGAGAGCTTCATCATTTGAACTGTCAAGCAAACCAGAAGCGTGCGGCGGATATACTTTCGTGTGAAGAGGGTGGTGAAGTTGGCCATCGTCTTGCGTTGGGCCTCGAGTTGAATTTGTTGACACATCTCTGAGAACTCTCTCTCGATCGCTTCCTCGCCGCGATGGGCCTGCAGGTAGTACATGACCTTCTTGGCCTCGTCGTGTCGCTCCTTCATAGCCACTGTAGATTTTTATTAATCAATGTGTTTCTTTTCAATAGTTGAAAGAGAAAGTTACTTACGCCAACGAGGGGAGTAGGGCAAGAAGAGGGTCAGAACTCCGAGGAGCAGAGCAGGTGGGATCTGGCAACCCAGAGGGACCCGCCATTGGACATCTCCCTTGGCATAAGATCCCGCATAACCAATCCAGTTGGCAAAGCAGAACCCAAGCGTATTCAGGAGCCCCTTGAGACCTACAAGGAATCCACGGTTCTCGGGAGGAGACAGCTCAGCCAGATATACAGGGGCAGTAGGATAAACCATGCCAATCGAGAAACCGGAAATAGCGCGACCAACAATCATCATGGCCGGGTTCATCGCAGCAGTTTGGAGCACAGCGCCGACAACACTGAAGATGGAGCCAATGAAAAGGGTCCATCGACGAGAGAGTCGATCCATGCTCCAAGCCGCGCCGGTACTGCCAAGAGCATAGCCAGCGTAGTAGCCAGATACTATACCGCCCTTGAGAGCCACGTTGTCCATGGCGGGGCCGTACATGTATAACTTGAAAGTCTTCTGCGCAATCGTCGATGAAATGATTCCCGTGTCGATACCGTTGACAAATCTACAAAGGTTAGCAATGTCTGGTTTGTGGGCGAAAAACCAAGGGGCGGAACTTACCCAGCGAGACTGATGGCCAGAGCGATCATAATTGACCGCGCTGAATTGCCACGATGGCCTGTCAGGTTGCTTGGGACCGTCGGAGCCATCTTGTTCAATGTTTTGACTTGGAGTCAAAGAGCGGAAGGAAAGGAGATTGATGAGTGAGTCAATGCTCAGTGCTGTTGTTGTCTTGCGAATCCTCGAGAGAATATGGGATTGCCAACAGACAGACGGCAGACTTTATGTAGATATCCTCAACCGGAGAGAGAATCTGGGGATTGAGTCGTTGTGAGTAGAGAATCCGGAGAACTGGGGAAGTGATTTAAGTACTTTGAGGGGCTGGAAGACGGCCCCATCTTTTCCTCCGCTTCATGGGGTGGTGTGGGGAAGACTTGACTCGAGAACGTTTGATGCCGACTGGTTAAACTGCCACCCAATCCTCGGATGATGAATACCTACTTATCCGCTCATGATCACATTGCTATTTTCGTATCACAAGAAATAACATTACTTCTACAGAATTCTTACGCATTTTGGCAACAGATTTACAGTGAAGACATCTGAACGAACTCCTTCATCAGACCGCTGTATTCCTACACCTTGACTTGGCATGGGTGGCTGTTCTGGGGGCCATTGCTGACCGCGGATCTTTATCCGATGAAAGTTACCGTTTAGAGCAAAGTAGCCTGACCAAGACTCTGCAACATACTATCCTACAATGAGGCAAGAGAAATCTGGAGGCTACAAGGTCGTAGGGCGAACGATCAACACCACAACTCGGTTGAAAGTGTTCATCTTCCCCACGGTCCTAAGCCGGAAATTTGGTCTGCGCGCTTGGATAAAGAACTTATTTGTTTGTTTCCTCTGTTTCTATCGTCTTTCTTTCTGTAACAACGCTGGAAAACACATCTTAATCGGGGAAAGGGGCCACATCCGACCAGTTCAGGGGTGTTATCTGAAAATAATTAGACGTAGAGACAGTAACTAAACTATCCTTTGCATCCTCGGTGCCGTGAGCTGCTACGGACCATCGGAGAACTGTGAATATACCCGCGGCATCTCTTGATGCGGAGCATGATTGATAAATGCCTGCGGAAGGCTGATGATTCCCCACGTTCAAGCATAGCACCCCCGCATTGGTTCCTGCGCCGATTTTGCTGTCTTCCTCCATGCCTTTTCCTGCTAACCTTTTCTGGTGCTACGAAGCTCGGAAATCTTGAATTACTGTAACCAGACAACGGAAGCTCCACAATGTGCCCCCCGCAATCACTCTCCATGGGGTTGAGTTGTTGTGCGGAGACTCATGACTTGATGGGTAGTCCTGTGACTATGTATCCGTGACTCGGAGGCTCCATCGGAAAGTGGGCGCCATCGCTTCACCCATTTTGCCTGACGAGGAGAGTCTGGTACGTATTCCTTCGATTGTGCAGGGGTCAGTGCAAGGATCGGATAGAACGGTGAACTATGGTGTCCTCTAGGAACAAATGATCATAACTATTGGATACTATAAGGCCTAAATTAGCTTGTGGTGATCATGGAAGTTGGTGTGTTAGGATTGTGAGCGTCCTCAACTCCCAAGAGCTCGGATGAGCATACAAGATACATCATTGCTAGAGGTTGATGCGCCGATAAGTTCGCCGAGCCCCCAGTCGTCGGCATCGTGAATCAAGTGGCTGTAAAGGAGCTTTTCGGAGCCTCTATTCCCGCTTTCATTACCATTTCAGCTTTCCCGAGCTGTTGATAGATATCGGATTGTGCTATGCTAATTGATTGTCCATTTCGTCGTTAGCATGCAAAGCTGGTAACAGCATCCTGGTTTGCCACACTCTCTGGGCTTGCTCCCAACTTTCTTCCGCCCCCACCCTATTGTAAAGAAAGTCACAACTCGGCGGTGTTTCGGGATTCCATTAAGTCGCGTCTGTTTTCAGCGTCTGCATAAATGAAATTATATTTCAATGATTCGATGAAAGCAGCGCGTCATGCCAGGGATCCTTACGGTGGTACCAGAGCACGCAAAACAATAATAAAGTTTGCACATCGAAATGATTCATTACTTGCATATGCCAAGCTAAGTCACTAGACTGATGAAGATAATGCCTTGTCTACGTCAAGGTTAAAGCATCCGACGGATGTTGATGTTGGGGTATCCGACCCGATGTAGGGATCGCGCTATTTCTCCGAGTGTGGTTCGGGTCGGATCTTTGCAATTCGGCAGTCTGCATCACTCCCAATCCGCGGATGCAACGATAATTCTGTCCATTGATTGGCTACGAAACGAACCTGGCATCCCTAACTTAAGAGGGCCAAATCATCCGACGTGAACCAGGCGGCCCGAACCTCGGAGGTAGCTTCATCACTTTCGTGATTCAAGGACGGAGTGGTAGATTTTTACTTATCGCGATGCGTTATTCTATCATGTTTTCATTTTATCTACCTTTTTTCACTTTCCAATTGATCAGAAGCTGTCTTCTTAATTTATCATGGCTATCCGGATGTGATACTTGAATGACTTACTTGCAAATAATGTAGCAGGTCCTAGGTGAGATGTTGTGTAACAATGGGAAAGAAGGCCATACTCAGCTCAATAGAAGCACAGATGGGATACCTCTGCAACAAGCCACTAATATTTCTGGGTCCAATGCAACATACAAGATTTTGAGCAAACACCAAAGGGCTCATTTCAATGCTGACAAATCAGGCCAGGCAGTCGGTGCCCATAATCCAGTGCCACCGCACGATCAAACGTAAGAAGATCACTCTTCCCAACGTTAATAGCTATCTACATTTAGGATACAACCATGGAGATTGAAGTTCAAGATATGAAATTGTTCAAGAAATGAATAAGATTTGGAGAATAGTTGGCGGGGGGTCGACAGAACATTCATTTTGAGAGCAGCAAGTACCTAATGTTTGGGATTACTGTGTAGGGGCTTTTACTGCTTTAGGCTCCGTATATTTGAGTGAGTTCTCCCAACTTTCAGTTCACCAAAAACCCCCATAAGCGTAAATGCGTTTGGGGTATCTTTGCATAACCTAAGATCAGAGATGAACTCATCTAATGCGATAATCTGCAATGGATAAGGTGGAATAGGCCTATTGTCTTTCAGGTCCCTAATGTTGACTAATAAGAAACTGGCAAATCCCAGTTGCTAATGATAAAGTAGGTTATGTTATGCAGGGGAGCAGCTAGAAAGCAAAATAAGTTGCCAAGCTTTCACAACCACTAATCTGACACCCTACCGCTAAGTAGTTCCATCGAGCTGACATGCTGCATGCACCTAAACAACCAACAGAACCAACAGAACCAACAGACCATGCAGAGCAGGGGCCCGCGCTACACGAATTGCCCCCTTCAAACATAAAAAAGAAATCAAACCAAACCTAAAAAGGTAGTCATAACACCCTGAAGATAAGCTGTAAAGAGCAGCTTCGAGTGAAAAGTCAGACACTTTCAGATTGTAATCAGGAGAAAGAGAAAATTATAGTAGCGGAACTACAGCAATCTGCCGTATCCTCCCCTACGAATTACACAGCCAACACATTTCTTTAAGGTAATTGTGAAATATTGACGCAAGTGACATGGATTGTTCTATTTGGGGAACCGGTTTCGGTATTCCATGTCGCAATTGGGGGTCACTGTAACATCGAATCCTTCATGATCAAACAACGCGACCAACAGCATAACGACCAAAAAGGAAGCAACAAAGGGGGCTGTGATGAGGCGGAGGTGTTTAAAATCTTTCAGCCCGCGTCGGGAACAATCTCATCCAGTGGCCAGAAAACTTCTTTATCAATATTAGTTTATCATACACGATACAATGCTTTCCAGGCTACTTATCCTCGCATTGTTACTGACACTGCTCACGTTGACGGCCAATGCCGGCAGTGCGACAGTTCCTGTTCAAATGGACGCATCTTCACCCTCCATTCTATCCAGGCTTGCACAGCGCCTGGAAAATGCCTCAAGGGACAACAAAGAATATAGTAACAGCACTTCTATTGACAAGAGCTTCAGAAATGCTACGGTATTCAAATTGTTAGTGCATCGTTAAATCGAATTGATTCCTCCATAAGTTATGGCTTACCTGAAATGGTGTTGTGTAGCAAAGGGGACACAGAAACGCCCGGGAACGTTACTGCGGAAGCGAGCATTGAAGTCATCTGCAAGTTCTGCTACTTCAAAGGCAATGCCGGTGCCAAGATTACCGTAAAAGACGATTTCAACGCCACTCAGGCATATAATACTCTGGAGAGCAGTGTTTCAGGAACTATGAGGAACTTGACAAAATGGGTCGAAGACATAGATCTCGACATCTCGGAAGCATCCCTTGTCATTCCACCACCGGCGAATATCAATTTTGAAGTGGAGATACCCGATTTCCCCGATTGCATTCTGGAGTTCACACTCAATGATGCCGAACTTTATGTTGAGCTAAGCACTACGTTCGGGGCTGGATTGACATACACTCTTCTCCTCTTCACCAAACCATTAGGAGTTGAGCTTGGTAATGATTTATTCCTTGGCCTCATATTCTCGGTCGATTTAATTCTCAGTCTTGAAAGCCAAATTACAATTGAGCATGGCTTCCACATAAAGCTCGACGAAGGAATCCTTCTGAGGATGGCTATGTTCTCCAAGGAGGCCTCGGTCGTGGAATTGTAGGCAGACTCTCCCCCCATGTGTCACCGAAGAATCAGACTAGCTAACGGTGCCTCAGGAATGGCGCGAAGTTCGAATCTCTCCCCGTGCAGATCGAGACGTCAGGCACCGTCATCCATGCGATCCTCAGATTATCTGTCCGTGCAGGTTTTGCCTTTGAGGCAGATCTACTTCCTGGGCCAGAGATCGAGCTTGGACCCTTTAATTCTGAGGATTGGAAGGCATCTGCCGGACTAGAGACCAAGTTGTATGTCAACGTTGCTGATCTGAAGAGCAATATCACAGCGTTTGGCGAAGAAGATTGCCCGCTCCAGATCGAAGAATCCTTTCAATTCGCCATTGGCGCAGCAGCTGGCGCTTATGTCGGCATCGGAGAGCAAACCTGGGGACCAAGGCCCCAGACAGAGGTTCCAATATTGCCAACCACGTTTGCCAAGACCTGTCTAA